ATAAAGGAAGGAGAGGAATAGAAGATAGCCTTCCGTACGCGAAACGGACTCTACGAATTCTTAGTTATACTAATAGGGCTTACGAACGCCCTAGCGACATGTTAAAGAATAATTAATAATGTCTTAAGCGACCTTATCGACATTACCGTTATTGTATATATCGACGATATACTTATCTTTACCAAAGGATCTAGGGAATAGTATATCAAGGACGTAGCTACTATACTCGAACGACTAAGCAAGACTACCTTTAAGACTATACTAGAGAAGTACGAGTTCTTTAGAAAGGAAGTTAGCTTTCTCGGATTTATTATTAGAACCGATGGAATCAAGATCGATCCGGAAAAGACAATATCAATTAAAGAGTAGCTAGTACCCAAGAACGTCAAGGACGTATAAGCGTTCCTCGGACTTGTAAACTATAATCGAAAGTTTGTAAAGGACTACTCGAAACTAGTAACGCTACTTATAAACCTTATACGCAAAGAAACGATATTCAAATAGGATACGGATTAGCGAAGAGCCTTCGAGAGGCTTTAGGAAGTATATAGCGAAGTACTAACGCTACGTATATTTCATTTAACAAAACCGATATAGGTCGAGACTAATACCTCCGACCTAGCGATAGGAGTATACCTTACACAAGAGTTCGACGGGACTCGGCACCTAATTGTATACTTCTCGAGGAAGATAACGCCTACTAAATAGAACTACGAGATTTACGACAAGGAACTACTAGCGATCGTCGTAGTATTGCGATACTAGAGAGTATACTACGAAGGAGCTACTAGACTAACGATCTATTCCGACTATAAGAACCTAACGTACTTTATAACAACGAAGGTCCTTACGAGACGGCAAGCTAGATAGTTAGAGCTACTCGGAGAATATCAATTCGAAATCGTATATACTCCCGGACGAGAGAATAGGCGCGCCGACGCGCTAAGTAGACGAAGCGACTATATAGAGGGATATAAGCCGTAACAATACCGTATACTAAAGGTTAATTAGGACGGATCGCTAAGCGCGAACCCGTAAGAGTTTAACTTAGTAATGCGAGTATTAAGAGACAACAACGAGGAGTTTCCGATATAGTACGGAAAACTTAAGGTTCCCTTAGATAAGGAATAGAAATACATCCGGAATTACTACGATAGACCTACGATAGGATACCCCGGAATCGCAAGAACAACGGAGTATATTCGGCGAAACTTTGTGTTCCTAGGAATAAGATAGAAGGTTGCTACCTATATTAAGAAATACTAACAATATAATAAGAATAAGGCCGTACGACACGCCAAGTACGGGAACCTCTAGTTTAGAGAACTACTAGTAAAACTATAGGAGGAGGTTACGATAGACTTTATCGTCAAGTTACTAAAGTTATAGGAACTAATAATAGGAAACGACTACGACTTAGTTCTAGTTATAGTTAATAGATTAACGAAGTACTTACACTTTATACCCTATAACGAAACCATTATGGTAGAACAACTCGGACATCTAGTTCTAGATAGATTAATACGATACTATAGAATACCAACGACGTTTATTACGGATAGAGACAAGCTCTTTACATCAAACTACTAGAAAACCTTAGTTATAGCGATAGGGATACGATATAAACTATTAACGGCCTTCTACCTATAAACGGATAGATAGACTAAGAGATCAAATCAATTACTAGAGACGTATCTAAGACACTACGTCAATTATACGTAAGACAACTAGGTTACACTATTACCTATAGCGTAGATCGCACTTAATAACAATGTATTAGAAACAACAAAGATATTACTATTCTATAACAACTTCGGAAAGGACCCGAACCTATTTATAGAAGCCCAAGAAGGACCCTAAACGGACCGAGTAATAGTCTAGGCATCGAGCCTTAAGGAACTATATAAAATAGCTACGAGCGCTATCTCGGCTTAATAATCGCGATTATCGATATCGCGAGAATCAAAAACGGCACCTTAGCTAAAGAGGGGGGATAAGGTCTTCCTCCTTACAAAGAATTTAAAGACTAGGAGAAATACGAAGAAACTAGATTATATAAAGGTTAGACTATTTTTGGTTTCGGAGGTTAAGGGACTAACAAACTACCGACTCGACCTCCTACTAGACGCGAGGATCCATCTAGTATTCCATATCTCTATACTAGAACTAGCGGATAGTAGCATGCCGCTATAGACGACGTTCTACTTCGAACCTTAGGAGGAGGACGAATTCGAGGTCGAAAGAATCGTCGGAAAACGAGGAAGCGAGTACCTCGTAAAGTAGAAAGGATATCCAAGTATAGATAACACTTAGGAACTACGAAGGAATCTAACGGGATATTAGTAGAAGCTTAGGGAGTTTCATAAGGGACAACGCGCCTTAACCTAAACTACTAGGGACCTTACGAGGAGAGCTCGAATCTACGGTAGGTACAAAATCCTATACGAAGGGATCCGGAGTACTAACTGCCTCCAACTAAGTACCGAGACGGATAGCCTTAGAAAAGCCGTCGTTCTCCTCCTCGGGCGTATTCTTAACTATATACCGTACCTACTTATCTAACCGCCGGTTGTTTTGCTCCTAGATAACTTTATTCCGCGCTATACGCGCCTTTACCCTCTAGATTTTGTCGAGTAGCGATAGGAGTTCGTCCGTTATCTTCGAAGCGTTCTCTTTATCCGCTAAGATCTTACTCGCGAGGTTATCGGCTATAGCGTCGAGACGCGCGACCGAGGAAGTTACGTAGGGTTTCCCTATCCGGGTATACTAAGCGTAGGACATAATCGAGAAGTCCGTAATAAAAAGGAAGTTACGGTTATAGCGACGATAGAGGTCGTAAGGATCGAGAGTAGGGAAAGAGTTTTGAAGGATCCGGTTTATACGACGGAGTTTGTTTTTAGTTTTGGAGGAAGCTATTACGGATAACGAAGAATATAGGGGAACTTACGATTATTTATATAGAAGTTAGAGTTACGGGATTCCTAAGGATAGGAACCTAAGGAGGGAGCTAGTATTACGGACACGGTAGAGAAGTTACGGGATTTCTCTATTAGAAAGGGCACGTAAGCTAATTGGGCCGGAGGAGTCTAAGCTTAGGGTACTCGACGCTCGCTCGTTTTCGAGTAGCGAGTACTCGACGCTCGATAGCTATCGAGCGATAAGTACTCGCCGTAGCTACTTAAGCGAGTAGGATATAGGGAAGTATATAGGAACCAAGAATGCCTCTAGTATTCTTGTATTTAACTTATATTACAATCTTACTAAAAGGTCTATAACCAATTAGGCTTGAGTTAGTATCCTTACCTTTGTTTAATCGTCACTTGACTCTCTAAAGAAGTACGATTAACCTTAATCACGTAAGACTACCTTATAGGATTATAACAATATAGTAAGCGGGCGCTCGTGGGAGTCTCGACGTAGTACGACTAAGATAAAGAGAGTTACGTAAAGAAGCGAGAGCTCGGAACGAGAGGTTACGTACTTAGCTTACTAGCTCGATAGCGAGATAGTAAGATTTACTCGACTAGCTTATAGCGAGATAGGCGAGCTAATATATACTCCTTAGGTATATAGGAACTAAGGATATCTCTAATATTCTTATATTTAACTTATATTACAATCTTACTAAAAGGTCTATAGCTAATTAGACTTAAGTTATCTTACCCTTAATACCTATTGTTCTAAATACTCTTTAAAGAAACGTTTTTGATTACTCTAATTACATAAGACTACCTTATAGGATTGTAATATATACCTAGTGTAACGGAGTAACTAACTCGATTAGTTTAATTAGCTTAGTATAGATTAGTCGAGTTTAGATAGATTAGGAAGGAACTAAATATAACTATACTTCTTAGGTATATAGGAACTAAGAAAATCTCTAATATACTTGTATTTAACTTATATTACAATCTTACTAAAAGGTCTATAACGAATTAGGCTTAAGTTAGTATCCTTACCTTTATTTAATCGTTACTTAACTCTCTAAAGAAGTACGATTAACCTTGATTACGTAAGACTACTTCGTAGGATCGCAATACTTATAAGATCGTAATAGGCGAATATTAGGCTTTCTATTAGCATATCTAAGCTATAATCACATTTCTATTCTAGTAAAATAGCTCTCTAACTTACTAGTATAGGTCGCTTTAGCCTACGGAATACTAAACTTACTTTTCCTCTTAGTTCCTCCCTTGTCCGTACCCTAGTACTAATGAAATATACCTATTCCTAGCTCTTCATCGGACCACTCGAGCCTTTCTAGTGTGTTGCTAACCTCTTCTCAATAGGTCTCGTCCCGCGTAGCAGCTCCTTCTCACGGTAAAGCTCGTCGTCCGCTGTCGTGGCTACGCAGGTGGACTTGTGCCAATGCGTCCAGCAGAAGCCAATGTGGCGATGTAACGAGGAGACTTGTGGAGACAAAAACATCAAGGTGCTATCCGTACGCATCCATCGTACGACAGACGCAGCAAGATTGATCGTGTAAACAGTCACGTCTTGGTGCCTCCGTTGCAGCTTCTCTATTGCATTTCTTGCCACCAACAACATGGCTCTCACCGCACACTGGACGAAAGTAGGTCAAAACAATCTACTCAAACGCTCTTCGGTCTGTGCGAGTGTCATCGGCTCAACCATCTACGTCTTCGGCGGAGAGCTCGAGCCTCGCAAGCCTCGCGACAACGATGTGCACAAGGTCCGTATAAGCTTGGACGGTGGTTCGGCGGTCGAGACCACGTTTGCGCAAACCAGCTCACCATCTCCAAGAGTCGGAGCTACGACTACGTCGCTCAATGGCAAGCTCTACATGTTCTCCGGCCGGGGTGGGGAAGCAATGGCTCCTATCGAGGAGAACGGTCATGTCTGGGCTTTCGACCCGTCGATCGAAGTCTGGACATCTTTGCGCCGATCCTCAAGCGTCTACCCTGAAGCTCGCAGCTACCACGCAATGACCAACAATGGATCAGATACTATCTACGTTCATGCTGGTTGTCCTGAAGCCGGAAGGCTGTCAGACCTATGGGCTTTCAACGTCCACGATTCCAAGTGGAGACAGTTGGCAACAGCGCCGGGAGCAGACCGTGGTGGTTCCTCAATCGCATACGACGACGGCAAAATCTACCGCATGAATGGATTTGATGGCAAGACTGAGAAGGGTGGCGCGTTGGACGTATTTGACGAAGCTACGAACAACTGGAGCTCCTTTGATTTCTTACCGGACGGAAAGAGCGGTCCAGGAGCTCGCAGCGTAGCGGCTTTGATTCCTGTGCATAGAGATGGCCGTGTCTTTCTTGTCACTCTGTTTGGTGAGAGCGATCCAAGCTCTCTTGGTCATCTTGGAGCCGGCAAGATGCTCAATGACAGCTGGGCGTATTCGGTACATGACGAAACTTGGATCATGGTCAACGTGCCGTCCACGGAAGGGCCACAAGCCCGGGGGTGGTTTGACGCAGATGTCGTCTCCATAGGAGGTGAGGAGAGCGTTGTGGTTGTCGGTGGCCTTGGCGAGTCGAACGAGAGATTGGACGATGCCTGGTTGTTACGTTTCAGCGTGAGCCCCATCGAATGACGAAGAATGTTTAATGGAACAGTGAAATTCAAGAGTACACAAATTCCAGTGGAAATTGGTTCATCAAGAAAGAGGACGAGGTATAGTCCAGAACTGAGGGGGCTCGTCAAAATGAAGGAACCCAATGCACCCAATTCATCCGCGCAAAACGTCCAATGTTGTACAGAGCATTGCCTCTTTGTAGTATTCGTTTCGCCGTAATCATGATTCATCGTCAGTGGCCTGCTCTTTCTGGCTCAGTAAAGGATATCCATTCCTCTAGCTGTCTGTGCCACTGTGGTTTGTATGCCAAAGTGGACGCTTCAAGCCAGGTATGTGAACGAGATGGCCCCGTCTTTGTCGCAAAAAAGTAGCGTAGACCGCCCCAGCAGTGAAAGTAGCTATGCCGCTCACTAGTGTTGGATACTTGAACTGATTCACCCGCGGCAGGGCTATCGTCAGAGTATATGAGATGAGTTCGAAAGGGTTCTGAAACGCCGCTTCGGTTGCTGAAAATGAGCCGCGAGTGTCCTCTTGAACCTCCTAACGTCTCTGTTAGCTCGTTGTCCCCCTTCTCGGCAGCGAGCATCTACCGTCTGAATGATCATCTGCGCACTGAGGTCGTAACCCCACAACCCGATGCGGCTGATGATGCTGCCAGCTGAGAGGCCAGACGCAGCAACAATGGGCCTAGTCGGCGACCAGAAGAATCCAATGGTCGCGGCAAGCCAGAAAATTTGCCAGTTCAGAAACCACATTGCTGCTCGAGTTGGCGAAAGTCGAGACATAACCCGAGGCGCGATCCAGGTTGCCGATAGCTCGACAACGACGGATATGGATCTGACGAGGCCGACGTAGAAGGAGTTGAAACCACAAGCTAGAAGATATGTGACCATCTGTCCGCCAAAAGATAGCACGGTGAGATAGAGGCATGCAAGGGCGAAAGACGGAAGGCATGCGCGGTGACTGAAGTACAGCCGCAAAGCTTTGTACATGTCTCTCAGCTCGTGGAATGGGCGTCGCCAACCCGAATGCATATGGTGACCAACAGGCAGTATCTTCGCGATCCCCAGATTTGGGACCAGTCGATGAACCTGGATCGTTGTGAGCAAGCGGTCTGCAATGATATACTTCACTCAGTCGAACACATACTTGCGCTATCGCGAAGTATTCAACCGGAATAGAGGTGACGTTGATCCCAAGTGTCACCCAGATAGCAACGGTCGTAGATGCACCGTCGATCAAGGCGATGAACAACGGGCCAGCAAGCTTGCAGATTAAATCAATGCGGCGCATGCGGGCGTTGAGACCTAAACGTGCATTCAGTGTAAATTCCAAGACTCCTGTTTGACAGACCGCGGCCGCGATATCTGCCATGACCGTGCTTACTCTGTAAAGCAGGGTCGTTGTTGGCAGCCACGACGATGACCTGGCTCACCAATTAGTAGCCCAGACATATTGGGGTAGGAGACAATACGTACCCAGTCTCGCTCGACTGCAACGGTGTTCATCATGAACGCTGCCTTCTCTACGCACGACAAGAGAACCAGTCCACTGAAGATGGCGCGTGAGGCGGACGGAATTATCGATGGATACGTCCACAACACCCAGAACCCCAATGCTGACAGCACGACAGACACCCGCCCGGCGGCTGATGAACACGATTAGCCAAGCTCCATAGACGACGGGAGAGCTTACACCGGGAGTATTGACTGACCGATAGACAAGCGGACAACGGGGAGTCGTGCTTTGCGATCAATTGTTTTCCCAATTATTGTGCTTAATACTATCCCAGCCGCTGAGCGTATCACCGCATATATTGACATATACAGGAGCGTGTCTGGGTAGATCGCACTGAGAAAAAGCACTGAGCCGAATTCGAAGGATCTAGAGTTCCATGTCGAAAGGAAATGAGAAAGGTAAAGCCTCCAGCTGATTGAATGTAGCGGCCTTACGGCGGGCGAGCAGTGGCCTAAACCATTTGAATGATCATGACTGCCATGTTCAATGAGTTCTGTGTCTCTTGAGTGGGCGAACGAGGTTGTGCTGGTCTCAATCTGGCGTGGCGTGGCCACCTGGGATACATCTGGCTCGTCGGGAGGCGAAGAGGCATGAGAGGCGCTGCGTTGCAGCGAAGCCATGTTTGTTTTAACGATCTAGCGGCTGTCTTCATGAACAGCGTAATAGGTTGACAGTATAACGGGGTCCAAGGCAATTTGGTTGAAGGCATTATCGTTGCGAGAGTGGGTGGAGAATTCTCACGGCCCAAGCACTTTTGCTTGGATACGCAACTGGTCAACCTACAACCATCGTACGACTTTAACGAAAGCTGGATCCAATCGCCGGGGTCTGTTCTATCGATCGGTCAGGTCGAAAAGGTATTCTTAACCCATAACCGCCGAATAACGTCGATGGAAGGTGTTGCTGCTTGGACCGCCGTTGTATTTCGACTTGTGGCAGCTCAAATTTGACGCTCGAAACCTCAGAACTGTCGGATCCATCAGTATCAGCTCTACGCCCAGAGCTGCACGTGACAAAGTTGATCCGATCGAGACTGCTTTCGACACGGGTGAGGAAGGGTTTCTTGTCCACCTGCATTTACTTGCTCCTGTTTCTTCGTGGACCATTTGCAGGTACAATGCTACAAATACTCGCGCTCCTCGGCCTGGGCCTTGCAAGCTATGCGCAGGCGCATGGCGGTCACGAACAACAGCCAATTCCAGCGGACGCGGATTGGGCAACTCGACATATGGCTGAAGAGCACCACATAACGTCGTTCGACTCAGGCTCCTTCTTCAATCTCCACGACTACGACAGCAGCAATGAATGGACGCCGGAAGACCTCCTCAAAACCTACGGCCTCAAAGACCCCAGCACGAACCACATCCCGCAAGAAGAGAAGATGAAGGCCGTTGAGAAGGTGATCTCGCTCTTCGACAGGGACGCGAGCGGCACCATTTCGTTCGCAGAATACACGATTGGCGAAGCACAGGGGATCAAGCTGCCAGACCTTGGCTACGGCCCCGGACATCATGGCGACGATGAGTATGAGTACGAGATTCACCATTTCGAAAAGTACCACGATGAGAACACCAAGGAGGAAGATCTGATCCACCCGGAAGACATTGAGCATTTTCGGATGCATGAGCAGATGGAGATGCGGCAGGAAGCGCAAGAAGCAATGGACCGGATGCCTATCGTCGAAGCCAACATACCTAGCAAATTTCGTCGCCATGGCTGAGAGTACGGAGATGGAGTTTCCGGCGGGAGCGTACGCTGAGCGTGCTCTTGAAGGTGTGCATGTCGATGCTTTGCGATACGAGAGAGACTGGTTCTGGCTGGTTGCCGCTGTCTTGACCTGGGGCGTTTTCTGGAATCTTGCCGACCAGCACCATGAGAATCCACATGCGCAGTTCATGGTCTGGACGATCATACTGGCGGCTGCTTGGTTGACGGACAACGTGTGACTTGTATGAGGACATGTACATGGCAAAGCGAGGCGTTGGAAGGTCAGTGGAGATCTGCTGGTGGTATATATATGTCTAACACGCAATGCATGACGCCCGGGGCGTAGCTCTTGACTTGGTGGATGCCCTCCAACTGAGGAGCGGCATGCTGTCCATAGCTTTGTGACATATGCTCGAGGCTTTCTCTGATGCCTTCCGCCTTGTCACCGATCTCACTGATTCCAAAATTCCCATGCACATGGATCCAGCCGCCTAGCTCTCGATCGAGAACATTGGCAGCGATTCGCCAGCTATGCTGCGAGGATGGCAGAAGCCCGCAGTTCACGTGCCGGATTGGTGGAAGGCTTGCTTGCATCTTTCTGACCCGGTCTGGTGCGTTCTCGTTCGACTCCTCGAAGATGAGTAGTTTTACTTCGCCATTCGTCCCATCATCGAAGAAACCAGCATCATGGTCACCGTACGTTGCGTAGTCCCACTTGTTCGCCTTCGCACCCTTCCTCAGCCCCTCGATGCTCCAAGCATTGATGTCCCAACATAACACCTGGTTCACTCCAGCCTTCAGATACGAGAAGGCAAAGTACCCAATGCCGGCGTAAAGGTCCACAGCAGCGCACCCTCGCCCATCATGCTGGCCTTGCTCAATGGCTGCGTGTACTGACGACAAGCCGAGCAATCGAGCCTTCTCGCTGATATTGCCTCGAGAGAACATAGTCCATCTGGGAGCCCAGGTTTGATAGATATCGTTCTGCTTCGCCGTCACCCAGAAGGCGGCGTCGAAGTCTTCCTTAGTCGGTGGCGACGAACATGTTGTAGGGCCAAACTCTCCGTACAGAGGCGTGAAGTTCTGTGGTGCCCGAAGGATGTTTTCCGAGTCGATGTCATCACTTTGAGGTGGTATTGGTTTGTTGATGGCTATGTGTGAGATCCTGAGATGTTTCGCCAGGAGCTCGTAAAGTTGTTGGAAGTTCTCGTCGGAACAGCGCGTCTTCAACTCCTGCCATGTTGGTGTCTGGAAGGCGTTGTGGGAAAGCAGAAGCATGCATCCGTAGATGGTGTATGGTAATTTTAGGAGCCTCGCATTGCCACTGGACGATGTGGTGTCAAGTGTGGTGATCCAAGTGTCTATTGCCCGGTCCATCAAGACCAAAGGTTGCTTGCAGCCAAGTTGGAAGTGGTGATGAAGTTGTCGAGTCTACAATGCAGGCGGATGAAGAAACGAAGCGTCGAGAGTAATTGGCAAAAGCACGAGGCCGTTTCTACAAATTACCACACTGATAAGACGTGGGACATCGAGGAGTAATGTTGATATACCCTTTCTCGCGATACTGAGATTGTGATCAGGTAGGTAGTGATAGACAGCGTGATGAGGTTGATGCTGGAGCAAAAAGATTAGGGTGCACGTTCGTTCGGAAAAGTCTCATATTCACATTGCTCGTCGTCCACGATCAGAAGATCAGCCTTTGCACCTTCGTCGCCTGTTCAGATAGCTTCGTCCCATCGTCCATCCTCCGCGCGGACTTCTGCTTGAAGTCGTTGGTCATGCCCTTCCGCACAGGCTGCTCTGCTTTGCTTCCACCCCTCGCCTGCTTCATCTTCCGCTTCGTCTCCATGCCCTCCAGCATCTTACCCCTCTCAATGTCGTCCACAAACGCCTTATTCTCCTGCTTCGTCTTTCGCACTTCCTCCCTCATCCTGGCCGCCCTCTCAGCATTTTCATTCGCAATCTGCTCCGTCAGGTGGCTCCATTTGAAACCTTTTAGATACTTCATGCTCCATAGATCGTCATGGTAGAAGTTGCCTTTCTTGCCACCAATGATGTTGCCGTTCAACGTTTCCGCTGCAGTCTTCGCTTCCCGCTTCGACACGAACTCCACCCAGCCATCTGTAAATGACTTCTTCTTGTTGCCGCCCTTTTTCACCCGTCGCGAGTGCGCCACATGGTCTTCCGGGGTAAGGAATATCCGCCCAAGACCTTTTGGCGCATGCGGCGCGAGAAAGTGCTTGAGGGTCTGCGGCTTCATGAAAGGCGGGACCCGGGAGATGTATACCACACCACTTCTTCGCGCCGCTTTCTGTGCCGCTGCTACATGTTTCGGCGCCTTTGAGATTTTCAGTGAGGAGGTTGGTGCGGGAGATTCGTCGTTCTCGACATCGTCGTCGAGCGCGGCACCATCGTCTTGATCGTCTAGTAGAGCCGCAAACCTAGAGTCCACATCTTCAGGCTGCTTTCGATGCTTTGCTCTACTGGCGCTGGCATCAAAGTCGTCGTCGTTTGAGGCATCAGATAGTTTCTGGCGCTTGCGCGCCGGTGCAGATATCGTGACTCTACTTTCTTCGACCGCCTCGGAGTCGTACCCGCCTCCGGACGCGTCTTCGTCCTCCTCGCCTTCCAGATACTCGTTGCGCTTTCGTATCGACATCGTTGTGTGTCGAATCTGTTGGTCGAACGAAGATCAGAACCGTGAACTGATATCTGAATACCTTAAAGTGCACAAGTCGTTTCCCGAGTGTCCACTTTTGACACCCCTCCGGAAGCCATCCGACTTCACAGGGTTTCATCCCCTCTCTTTTGTCTCCTTACAGGATCATTTACAGTACCTCGAAACGATGTGCTCACTGTCAGATTTTCTCGCCTGGGATCGGATGTCCAATGTGCTTTCCCGTCGGTGTTGGATCTTGCCACGAGCAGTTCCCCGACTTGAAGCGTGGCCCGCGAAGCAGGAGCCTTTGATGCTCGGTATACCGACTATACTCGAAGCAACCCACGCAACCCCAACCCAATGTCACTAGACCATGGTTTATTCGAATCTCCGGAACAGCCTTCGGAAGACTCCCGCGAAGGACACGATATAGTCTCATATCTCTTATGTTGCTTAATACTGCTTTCAGAACCAAGTATTATGTTCGGAGAAAGCATCTTGGCATGACAAAAAGAAGGGACAGTGCCGCTCTCGGGAGCCTCATTCGAGGTCGCCAGCAGAACGAAGATGATGCCGCGATGAGAGCCTTCCTCCGATACGGATCCCGTGTACAGCGCACCTGCGCTGTCCTTTGCCAGGAAAACCGCACGCCTGCCCCGCATCGAGAACCAGTGCATTCCCACTAAGTACGAGATCTTTGCGATTCCAACAACGCCAGTGTGTTATCGCATCCTTCCTTTCGGTCTTCCTTCGCAAATCTGTGCCTCCTCATCTAAGATTTCTCGCACGTGATTGTGCAGCATTCGCTCTCGAAACTAACTCTACCTGCTCATTTGTCGATTTCTTAACCCCGACTCAGACATGACCTGGACCACGCAGGCTTACCATGACCCGACCTTTCTGATGGAGAACTGGGTCCTCTACGGTGTTGGGATGACCATCTTGTTGCTCCGGATGGCTATTCGAATACGGACAGTGGGCTTTCGAGGGAGGAAGGGAGATAATTTCTTCGCCATCATCGTTCTCATCTGTAAGCCCCACCCGAGCCGGAACCAATGCATGGCCGTTTGCTCACCAGGGTCAGGCTACTCCATAGATGCGATCTGCGTCTACTTCAACTATCACCTGGGCTCGAACGTCGATTTTGTAGAGCGTGGATCTCAACACCATTTGGTACATCACTGACCACTGTCACGAATAGACACCCGCCGAACTGACGGACATGTCAACCGAAGACCAGCGGAAAGTCATGACTGGGTCGAAGATGGAGCTTCTTGCGTGGTGAGCTCAGCACTTCTATACCTCGTGTATGCAGGTACATCAGTCACTAAGAAGAATAGGTATGCCTACGCGACCCTCATGTGGTCACTGAAGGCGATGGTGCTGGCAAGAATGAGCTGAAGCACGAGTTACTGAAGCACCGGCTGACGTCGTTGCTTATCACCAAAAGTTTTTCTTCGACCGCCTCACTTTTGGTCTGCGACAACAACACTTCGTCAAGCTCCTCGCCATCGCCGTTGGCGTTACCTACGTTGGTCTTGAATGACTTGAAATTGGGTACGCCGAAACTGACGTGACTGCTTCGGCAGGTGCAGATACCAGTCGTACTCACTATCACATTCAGCTGCCATCCATTCCACCGCAACTGGCAGGTTGATCCTTACCCAGGCCTCACCTGCACCTTCAAAACACAAAACTTTTACGTCTTCACGATCCTCAACGTTCTCACGGACACCGCACTTTTGGCTATTCCTCTCCCGCTGATGTGGGCAATACAAGTGCGGTTGAGGAAGAAAATTTTGCTGTGCATACTGCTGTCGTCTGGTCTGTTCGTCACAACCGCAGCCATCGTTCGAATTTGCATGACTTTCGCAGCTCATCCGTCAGCATTGACGATTAACAGATGGGGCGTGAGAGAGACATTGGCCGGGGTGTTCGCCGTCAACCTGCCGATCTTGAGATCAAGTGCGTCTGATACACACGAATTGCCGCTTGATTTTGCTGATCCATCCTCAACGCAGTTTTCGCGACAGATTTCTGGAAGGGTACCCTACCGACCAGGTCCAAATTGGCGAGCGTCAACCCCTACGATAATCAATCAGCGATTACCTGCAACACTATGAGCACCAACAACTGCCGACCAAGCTTGGTCTTGATGCGTGGCACCAGCGAAGCGCACGAAATGCCCACCACGCAGGTCACTTCACCCTACCAAAGAGCTTCTACCATCCCGGATACAGGCCGCGATTGCAATCCCCTTCCGCATTGTCAGACCACCAACGAAACGGACGACAACTTGCGGCAGTCTTCTAAGCCCTCCGAAGACCCAGCCTGGCCGAAGCATATCAGGGCGCCGCCACCGTCACAGCAGCGGGATCGCAACGATGCAGCTTCGCAACCATACTTGTTCGATCGCGATCTGGAGAGAGGGCAACCGCGAGAACCGTCACCACGTATGGAGATTATGGTTGACCATTCCTACGATCACTCACGGTCTTCAGCAGGGCCGGCTGACACGCTTGGGCGGCGATCGGAGCTTGAGAGTCGGTGGGAGCCTCCCTGGCCAAGGAGGGGCTTCGGTAACCGTACCACCATTTGCGGAGGAAACCATGACGATGTTGACTGTGTTTGTGGGAATGGTGGAAGGCGAAACGGAGACTGCATTGTGTGAGCGCTGGGAGGGTGTGTTGGCCTGGAACCCTGCAAGATCGAGCATCTTCTTCATACAGAGATCAAACACGCTGCGATGCCGCAAGACGCTTTAAATCGCAGAGAAGTCTGCACTCACCCTGCTATGGCGCCGATGGTGAACAGTTCTCCGCCGCAGCTCGAAGCACCCTGTTCGTCTCACTGCTTTTTCATCGCGCGTTCGAGGCTTCGAGATGCCATTGATGACCATGGCTTGAGGCCAGCTCACAGACGGTTCTCCGGGATAGTTGAGACCACTCTGGGTCTTGGCAGTGCCTCGTCTACTGGATTGCACAGTTGAGAAGGCTGCAATTACCCTGACGTGCTGTGTACCCTTCGTCGCCGTGGCTTGAACCACGTTAGATGGTGTCGATGGACTGTCTATGCTATCGAGCCTTCGAAATGCCGTCGATGACTATGACTTGAGGACAGCTCATCGATTGTTCTCTGGAACAGTTGGGAATGCCCTGGCTCTTGTCAGTGGCCTATCAGTTCAATTTGAGGCTGGGAGATGCCATCTAGAACCAAGGGTGACGGCAGCCCGTGGGCGCTTCTCCAAGACAGCTGGACCTATCCTGCGTGTGGCCATTGCCACGTTCGCTCGTTTTGGTGGCAGAGAAGCCTCCAAGATGGTGATATGAAGATGGAAATTCATACGGTCCTTTCACGCCTGGAGGACAGCTCATAGATCGTTCTCCAAAACAGTTGGAAGTACCCTGCGACTTGTCAATGCCTTCTCGGCTCGCCTGGGTGGCAGATAAGCCTCGAAGATCGTGGTGTGAAGATAATAATCCATACGGTACCTTCACGACTGGATCACAGCTCGTACATCGTTCTCCAAAACTGTTGGAAGTACCTTAGGTCTTGTCAATGCCTTGTCGACTTGTTTGCACGGCGGAGACGCCAGTACTCTCTGTTCACGGGTCGCTCCTGCCTCGCGCAGAAGCTTCAGAGTTGTGGCACGTGGTATGCTGCTTTCACAAGTGTAAAGGGCTTTCTTTCGCCAGATCTCTTCCTGTCCTCTACCACAACTTCTCACTCCTCTGATTGGGTCAAGATATTACCTAAAGTGGATGAATTTAGAGTTGCGGGACGGCGGCACGTCGCCGAGGCGCGCTAGCGTGCCGCAGCCACGCCAAAACAACAACCTCGACCTCATTTCACAGACTTCACCACAATCAGCACGGCTGGAATGTAAGTTTCAGAACCTTTTCTCTGACAATAGAACCTCACTCACGGCAATAACAGTCATTCGAAACGTCACTTTTCTCCGTCTTGCGACAATCACAGACAGCTATTTTCGGCTCGTGAGAACACCACAATAGCAAGACGCGCCTATTCTCCGGCGGAGCAACAATACAACAATAGTCCTAAGCTGCCCATATAACCTGGCCTCGATCCTGGAGAGCTCCTTCTTCCTTTCTTCAGCCTTCTCGACACCCGCTCTTTGCTCCGCTTTCTGCTCCGCTTCCTGCCCCTTCTCCGCCTCGACGACAGCACCACAGCCAAATGGCACCCAGAGCAGCGGCGGAAACGCCATCACGAGCGACGAGGACCCGCTCGAAGAGCCCCCTCCCGGCGATCGACGCCAAGCAAAGCCAGGCGTACGGGGCCCCTGGCAAGGCCAACCTCGGGTCGCAGCTCCGCAGCCAGTCCGCTGCCTTCTCGCAGCAATTTGAGGAGAGCCGCACAGCAGCCGCTGTGGTGGCACCGGCCTCCTCTGCTGCTGAGAGAAGCGGCGGGCTGGTCGAGGAGGGAAGCGAGGCGGCTTCTCTTGCGCCGGGGCCCCGTCGCCGGCAGTACAGCGGGCGACCAGCCCCCATCCCAGAAGAGCGGCCGGCGGAGATGGGCACCCGCCGCGCCCACCCACCACCACCACCACCACCAGACTCGCCGAGTCTTCTCGGCCGCGAGGCCACCGTCCTCGACCACAACGCCCGCTACGGCGGGGCGTTCGCTGCTGCTCGCGCGGGGATCTGGCGCCAGCTCAGCAACCCCAACTCGCCGATCTACTTCGTCCTGCTGATCGCCATCGTCTTCCTCGGCGGCATCTTCTCCGGCCTCCTGGCACTTTTCGTGCCTGTACCAGCGAGTGTGGTGCCGATTCGTGAGCAGTTCGCGCTGGGAATGCACGTCGCATTCCTCAAGTACCCGTACGATCGGCCGCCTGTTGTCTGGGAGCGCTACACCACCGAAGTTCTCGACATGTTCAAGCAAGAAGCCGCGAAGATCGACGGCATTGCACAGCGATCAGTCGAAGCCTGGCTCGAGAAGCGGCCGTCCATCGGCGTCACCAAAGACGAGCTCAACACCATCATCCGCTTCCACCAAGTCCACAACTCCTTCCGGGCGATGCACATGGTGAACTGGTTCTCTGTCGGCTTGGGCGCTCGCATCGACCCCTACCTCACATCCGCGACCAAGATCATCGGCTCCAAGACCTGGCTCGGCGCACTCTACGACTCCATCAACCCTCTCAACATCCCGCCGAACCCACCCATCACTGCTCTCCTGAAGTGGGACGAAGCTACAGAATGCTGGTGCGGCACTCCATCGAGCAGCGGCTACGTCCAGATTGCCATCATGACACACACGAAATTCTACCCCGACCGACTCATCATTGAACACATCCCGCGAGCAGCAACACTCGCCCCTCAAGCAGCGCCGAAAGACTTCGAGGTCTGGATCGATCTAGGCTCAACAGAAGAGGTCAAGCGCGTCCGCGATCTCTACGATGGCGACTCCATCCTCAACATAAACGGCCCATGTGGCGACTCCCCAGGCAAGACCTGGTACTGCGTTCTCAAGAACGGCTACGACATCAACTACAGCAACCACGTGCAGACGAAGTATCTCGCGATCTCAGCAGCCTACGAAAAGATTGCGACCAACAAAGTCCTTGTGCGTGCGACATCGAATCACGGTTCCGACTACACGTGTTTCTACCGCTTGCGCATGGCTGGCCAGCAGATCCAATCCAACGACGACGAGCAGCAAGACTACCGGTCCGTCGCTGACATGGTCGGCCAGCCTGATTGAGCAAAATATCTTCCTTCAGGTCACAGAAGAGAATGATGCACAGATCTCAAGACGCACAGCGCAACACCTCACACATCACGACATCAACAAACATCACCACATCACACAATACGACACCACACCACACATCACCTCCGAGCGCATCACCAATCGAGCGCATCACCGCCACACGACATCACACATCACCATCGAATCACCTATAAGCAAGGAACGAGATAGAACATTGCGGCGCTGAAGTGCAGATATGACTGCATGCTGCGATCGAGAAGAAGAGATATTCAAGGGTGGTTCATTGCAAGCAAGCGCGGCGTTTGGGAATGGAATGCAATGCATAGCGAAGATACCCCAGGGAGCTGAATAGCACTGAGCGAAATGCCATTATTGACTGATCTTCAAGACAACCACCTGTTCCACCTTTCTCTCATGTTTTGTCTTCGTCGTGAGTCGCCTTCCTCCACCGTGGGTTCCTCAAGTTGCTCATGGCTCAACAACAAAGCTTCACCTCTCGATCTCCAGTAGGCGAGCGAACGTTGAGCTCAGGTACTGTGCGTAGCAGCACTCTCCGACCCTTAAAGACTGCGAGAACACTTATTGTACAAAACTTCCATCGTTGTGGGTGTTCATAGCGTCGTGATAGGAGAAGTGCTTGAGCCGCGAGCAGTTTGACCGAGTTTAGCACCTTCAAAGCCAGGCGACGTAGTAGAAGAAGTGGCAGTTAGCTTCTGGCTTCTCCGTAACCCTATCGCCCGCTATAAAGACTCCCGTTGGGCGATACTATTCCTACTATCTCGGAGAACTAAACTATCCCTACTATCTCGAGGGCTATACTATCTACGTATACTCCTCGCCTCCAGTCTTCTCCGCTAAACAATCTCCTACTAAGAGGCTTCTAGATATACTTTCCTTATGGTCTAGACTACGGAGACTGCCACTTCTTCCACTACGTCGCCTGGAGCACAAGGCGGCCCCGCCAAGTCCCGAAGGCAAACAACTTCAAAGCTGTCTTACCCAACCTCCTTCACTTCTTCCAAACCTTCCAACATCACCATCACACTTCGACCATGGCAGAACAACAAACACAGACTGCCCAAGGGCGGAAGAGGAAGCACTTCGTGCCACTTGGTATACACAGCATGAGAGCGCCGCGACCTCACCACCAGCTAACGGGAACTAGAGAACAACCCTGCAGTCATGACCAGTCTTCTTCACAACCTCGGCCTGTCTCCAACCCTAGCCTTCCACGACGTCTTCTCGCTCGACGACCCGGACCTCCTCGCCTTCGTGCCGCGACCGGCGCAAGCGCTTCTCCTCGTCTTCCCCGTCAGCAACACGTACGAGAAGTTCCGCCACGAAGAGGACAAGGACAAGCAAGAATATGAAGGTCATGGCGAAGCTGAAGACGTGATATGGTACAAGCAAACCATCGGCAACGCGTGCGGGCTCATCGGCGTTTTGCACGCGGTCTCGAACGGCGCGGCGAGGGCGATGATTCAGCAGGATAGCGACTTGGACACGCTGGTCAAGCGGGCTCTTCCGTTGAAACCACGTGAACGCGCAGAACTGCTCGAGGAGACTGAGGCATTGGAAACGGCTCATTCGGCTGCGGCTTCGACTGGTGATACGGCGGCTCCGCAGGCGGAGGATAATGTGGACCTGCACTTTGTGTGCTTCGTGAAGAGTGAGAAGAACGGGCACTTGTTTGAGATGGATGGAAGGAGGAAAGGGCCGATCGACCACGGTGCTCTTGGGGAGGGAGATGATGTGCTAAGTGAGAGGGCGTTGGAACTGGGTGCGAGAGCGTTCATGAAGAGGGAGGCTGAGGGAGGGGATTTGAGGTTCAGCATTGTTGCGCTGGCGGAGAGCTTTGATGATTGATGATACGATGCTACGATTACACGAAGGCAGGATCAAGCAGCTTCAACGGGAGTCATGCGTGCTCATGACATGGATGCCACATGAGTCGCGATAGGCGCGCAACCCGTTGTCGACTGTTCTGGGCTCTTCACTACAGCAACGCTCGTGGATAGCCGCGATGCTCAGAATCGGATCTGAACCGCATTCCTCCCGGCACACGGCACCTCGAGCATCCGACAAGCGCGACAACTGTGGCGTTGAAGACCGAATCTCGACATGAGCACTCAGAAGAAGGCCTCGGGTACTGCGAGCTCAGCTGTACGGCAGTACAAGAATGAGTCTACCTGAAGCTAAAGTATGAAGATGTGGTTAAAGTACATTGGCAGATACACCTAAATCCCTAGTTCCAGGAGTCTGTTCTCGACCACACTGCTGGTATTTCCACCCGCATTCCAATGAGCGCGTCGCCTCGCTTTCCCATAGCGATGCCAGGACCTCACTTTCACTGCTGCGACAACCGACTGTGGTGATGCGTCAAGTTAAGATAGAACGATGATTACAAGCAATAGATTACTTCGCTCTACCGCCAGACGCTCCATGAGCGGCCCAATCTGATCGCCTTCGGACACGCCCTCCCCCTTGCGCGGGTTACGAGCTCTACCCATCGCAGAGAATCGGGAAAACAAGCAGCACCAATACCCGCAATGCCTTCCATCCCGATCTTCGGAACGGACGGCAAAGTGTTCCAAGCCGCTCACGCCAGCCTAGACGGCACATCTGCCTTTTTCCACAATGCCTTCTCACGCGAACAAGTCGACTCTCCCGCATTTTCCGACCCCAAGGGCTTCAACGCCAGCATGGTCCTCAACATCCAGCAGCAGCACACCGTCCAGGTGCTCGTCACTTGCACCACCAGCGTCAGCCTCCTCGCAGCAGTATGTGCGGTTTACTGGTTCTGGATGATGAGGAGGAACTTCCGGCGAGACCTTGTGTTGCTTCTGATCTTGGGCGGGTCGTGGAAGAGCCTATGGTTCGCTATCTTCTCGGCTGTGACGTTCACTCAGGGCAAGATAATGACCGAGACGAGCTTCTGTCAGGCGAGCGGGTACATGTTGCAGGTTGGATTCGAGATGTGTGGTAAGTGTTAGAGCATGAAGCTGTCAAAGAGGAGACTTGCTAATCGTCCTAGATTTCGCCGTCCTTTTCATGAGCATGCATATGTACCTTCAGATCTTCCCACCCACCCGCTTCACATACCTCGGCCACGACGGACTATACCGCGTCCGTAAATGGGTGGTCGCCGCCTGGTTCCTGATACCAAATCTTACTGCTTCGCTGGCTTTTGTGAATCCTGGCACGGGCTACATAGCTCAAGGAGGCTTCTGCTCGCTACCACTGCGGCCAATGTGGTACAGACTTGCATTGTTCTGGATCCCGAGATATCTGATCTGGATATACGTCATCTTCGTCGCCATTAGTATCACTAGATATGTTGGTAGCGAGTTCAAAGTTTTTGGACAGGAGAAGGACAGCAGTACCAGTCAGCTCATGCACAGTTCGATCACTGCGACAACTGGAGGTACCGACAAGCAAAAGGGAGAACAGGACCGTTCTGCTCAGAAACTGTCCAACCCGGATGACGACGACTCCTCGCAGGATTGTGCACCAGACGATGTTGAAAGCGTGCTCAAGGTGAAGCCGCACAAGTTCTCGTCACCAGAGACAACGACCTCCCAGAAAGCGGATTTTGCCCGCCGCCAGTCAATGCCTGCCTGGGCGTTGGGCGGAGACTCAGATGCGGCGTCGAACCCGTTCGCATCGCAAAGCAAATCTACTCCAACCTCACGAAGAGGTAGTCGTCAAATCGCCCACGGCATCCTATCAGAGGACTTTGGACTGCCGCCAGGCATCGAGCCCAGCACACACAGAGGCTCCATCGTAAGCATGGGCTCAGTCCGCTCCTCAGCCGGCGTGTCCTTCGAAGGCGCACCCACACTCCCACCGATCGCCGAAGGTCTACCAAGCGGTGCACAGTCGGGTGTTCCACGGCACTCAGCCCAAAAGGCGCTGAAGTTCCGCCGTGCTGCCATTCAGCGCCAGCTCCGCCTCCTCTTCATCTACCCGGGCATCTACATGCTGCTCTGGATCATACCGTTCGTTGTCAACTGCATGAACTACATCGACTACTGGGCCCAACATCCAATATTCGCACTCAAAATCCTACAGCTCACTGTCATGACCATCATGACCTTCGTCGACGTCACCGTTTTCTGCTGGCGCGAGAAGCCGTGGCGACATATTCCAGGTTCGGACGGGACGTTCATCGGCAGCTTCATGTTCTGGCGCTTCTGCTTCGGAGGCACCTGGGCGCAGCGCAGACGTACGAGTCGAGCGCCGAGCAATGTACCGGATCTCGATTCCACCCACGATGGCAAGAACGGCTCGCAGACTGGTCTGCTAGCGTCGCTAAAGCGATGGGCGACCAAGAGTAAACGTTCGAGCAGCGAGACCGTTGGTTCTTCAGTCAAGCCGCACAAACGGACGTACAGCGGAGGTTCTGATCGGAGGCACCTGGAGGCCGAGAGGGCGGCAGAGCGACTGGCACTGGAGCGAGCGGAGTATGACGCGAATCGGAAGAGCTTGAATGAGAGGAGGACGAGTGTCATTAGTCAAAGTAAAAAGGCTCCGCTAGGGCGAAAGGAATGGTTCGATCCACAGGTCGATGAGACTCTGGAGTACGGCGATGAGAAGACGGACAAGAAACCTGTAGCGCCTTGAGTTGTAGTATTCACATTTGGAAGCTCTGTATCAATCTTGACTCGTAATTACTTGCTGAAACCGTTATTCTACATCCCACAGTCTATCTATCCGAACGCCAGCGCTATGCACGACGCCAGCATCCGCTTGAGTATAAACACTTTTGTTGGGCCACCAAATCATCACGGCGCCATTACCAGAGCCAGCAACGCCATCCGCACGAACATGCCGTATCTCATCTGTGGTAGAAATTAGCAAAGCTCACAGTAGGAATGTGGTAATCACTCACCTGTCTGAAGTACGCCGCCCTCGGGTCATCGTCCACCTCCTTCGCCAGCTCCATGTTCCTCGGCAGCGGATGCATCACAATCATGTTCGCCTTAGCATCTCGCAACGTCTTCGCACTGACGACCATCTCATCCTTGACCTTCTCATAAAGATCCAGGTCCTCGAAGCGCTCCTTCTGCACCCGCGTGCAGTACAGCACATCAGTCTTCGCAACTATCTCGGGAGTCAGGGTTTCCGACTCTGCTCCCAGCTGACCGCGAGCCTTCAAGGTCTCCCGAATCTTACGCGGTAGAGCTAGAGGTGAGGGTGCGGCGAGCTGGACGGTGACGTTGTAATGGCGTAGCATTTCGCAAAGGGAGTGGACGGTGCGTCCATACTTCAGGTCGCCGGTGAAAGTGATTGTGAGACCGTTGACTGTGCCAAGCTCCTCGCGGATGGTGAAGAGGTCAAGCAACGCCTGCGTTGGGTGCTCGCGGGAGCCATTGCCAGCATTGATGATCGGGCGGTCAGCAGCTTTGGCAGCAATGTCGACACTATCGGCCTCCGGATGCCGTAGCACGATGGCATCGCCGTACTGATCCAGTGTGCGGATGGTATCTTCCAGACTCTCGCCCTTCTGAGAGCTGGAATGGGCTTCGTTGATGACCACCGTCGAACCACCAAGTCGCTTCATGGCAGCATCGAATGAGGCAGAGGTGCGGGTTGAAGGCTCGAAGAACAGCGAGCACAGCACGCGGCCTTTCAACACGTCAAGCGAGCCTCCGCGCTCAACACCTAGCCTCATCTCGGCAGCCACAGTGAAGATCAAATGCAGCTCGTCCTTGGTAATCTGCTTGACCGAAAGAATGTCTCGGCCCGTGAATGGTGAGTCCTTCAGCAAATCCGCCAGCGTGACTGAAGTCTGCGAAGGCTGTGGCAAGGCAGCAGGTGCAGTGGGCACTTCGGCGAAAGTCTGGTAGTCGACTCTGCTGATGCTGAAGTCGTAGTTGCGGTCAATGGCCTCGATGAGGATCTTCGCGATCTTTACGTTCGTCACGAGAGGCGTTTGGTAGTCCACGGCCATCCGGCGGGTGCGGTAACCTTTGCTCATGTAGTTCGCGGGTCGCCTGAACTTGTTGCTGGATGGCAGGTTGATGTACAGATCGATGAGGTTGTTTGCCAGAGCATGCGTGAGGGAGTACTCCTGCCGCTGTTCGTCATCGCCGAGAGCCTCCAGGAACTGTACGGGGATGTTGTGCTCCTCGATGAAGTCTGCTGTCCCCGCTGTAGCGAACAGCTTGAAGCCAAGCTTGTGCAGCTTCTCGACTGAAGGCAGCATCTCCGTCTTGTCCTTGAAGGAGCCAATGGACAGCAGGATGGCCTTCCTCGGCAGCCTGAAGCCCGTAGAGATCAGGCCTTTGATGTAGGCTTCGTACTTTGTCCGGCCGAAGCATGCAACTTCTCCGGTAGAGGCCATCTCTACACCCATGACAGGATCTGCTCCAGACAGCCTCGAGAATGAGAACTGTGGGACCTTGACGGCGACGTAGTCCGGCGGCACTGGCGAAGCTGGGTACTCTCTCACCGGTATGCCTGTCATAGCCTTGGTCGCCATCTCGATCAGGTCAAGTCCCATGACCTTCGAGACGAACGGGAAGGAGCGCGAAGCCCGCACATTGCACTCAATCACCTTGATCTCGTTTTCCTTGGCAATGAACTGGATGTTGTACGGCCCAGTCACGTTGAGTGCATCACCAATCTTGCGAGTCGCATCTTCGATCTTGCGTACGGTCTCCGGGTCCAGGTCCTGCGGCGGCAATATTAGAGTCGCATCTCCAGAGTGCACGCCAGCGTTCTCGACGTGCTCGGAAACGAAGTGGCCAATCATCAGACCATTCCGTGCAACTGCGTCCATCTCGATCTCCTTGGCGTTCTCGATGTACTTCGTGATGACCACTGGATGATCCTTGGACACGTCCACAGCTTGTGCAAGGTATGCAGCTAGATCGTGCTCGGAATAGACAGTGTTCATCGCAGCTCCAGACAAGACGTATGATGGTCGCACGAGCACAGGGTACTTAACCTTCTTGCAGAAGTCTTTGGCTTCATCTGTGCTAGTGAGCTCCTTCCATTGAGGCTGGTCCACGCCCAGTCTGTCGAGCATGCGAGAGAACTTGTATCGGTTCTCGGCCGTGTCAATCATTTCTGGCGAGGTACCCAACACCCTGACGTTGGATCGGTACAGTGGCAGGGAGATGTTGTTTGGGGTCTGGCCACCCATGGATAGGATGACACCGCTCGAGTGCTCCAGCTGGTAGATGTCGAGCACGTTCTCCAGCGTGATGTTCTCGAAGTACAGTCTGTCGGCCTCGTCGTAGTCGGTGGACACGGTCTCTGGGTTGTAACTATTCATAAGTTAGCATTATGCCGTATCATGTGACACGGAGGGAGGAGAGTTGTGTCGGCGAGAACCCAACCATCGACTTACTTGACCATGACAGTCTTATACCCATTGTCCCGCAGTGTACGAACTGCCCTGACAGAACACCAGTCAAACTCCACTGAGGAGCCAATGCGGTAGACACCAGATCCCAACACCATCACACCCCTGTCGTTGAACAGAACATCATGCTCCGCTCCGTTGTATGTGAGATAGAGGTAGTTCGTATAAGCCGGGAACTCCGCCGCCACAGTGTCAATCTGCTTCACCACAGGCATAATGCCCATCTCCACCCGCGAGCGGCGGACATGCTGCTCATTGCTCTCCCAAAACAGCGCCAGCTGGCGGTCTGAGAAGCCCATCGCCTTGGCCTTCCGCATCAAGTTGGACGAGATGCTATCGATACCATAAGTCCGCATGAGTTTGCCGAAATCGCTAAGACCTTTCAGCTTGTGAAGGAACCACTTGTCGATCTTGGTCATCTGCCAGATCTTCTCGACGGTGTAGCCGTTGTGCATGGCGTTTGCGAGGGCGAACATGCGCTGGTCTGAAGGCGTCTGCAGCTCTGTGTCGATGTCGATAGACATGAGGGCTGTCGTCTCGTTGAAGCCGAGATTGCTTGGGTCAACTGACCGGATGGCCTTTTGAATCGCTTCTTCGAATGTGCGACCGATGCTCATGACCTCGCCGACACTCTTCATTGACGATCCAAGCAATGTCGAAACTCTGGTGAACTTCTTCAGATCCCATCTCGGAATCTTAACTACCACGTAATCAAGCGATGGCTCGAAGCAAGCACAGGTGACTTTCGTGACCGTATTCTTGATCTCGTTGAGAGGGATGTTCAGGCCAAGTTTCGCAGCTATGAAAGCCAGTGGGTATCCCGTGGCCTTAGACGCCAGCGCCGATGACCTAGAGAGACGAGCATTGACCTCGATGATGCAGTACTCGCGGCTGTCTGGGTTCAGCGCATATTGGATGTTGCACTCACCCACCACACCCAAATGCCTGATCACGCGAACGGCGGTGGTGCGTAGCATGTTGTAGTCCTGGTCGGAAAGCGTCTGAGATGGAGCCACAACGACCGAGTCGCCTGTATGGATTCCAAGTGGGTCGAAGTTCTCCATGTTGCAGACCGTGATGCAGTTGTCGTGGGCGTCGCGGACGACTTCGTACTCGATCTCCTTCCACCCTTTCATGCTGCGCTCAATGAGCACCTGCGGACTTGCAGCGAATGCCTTGTTGCAAAGGTCCAACAGCTGCTCCTTGTTCTCCGCGAACCCGCTGCCCAAACCACCAAGGGCATAGGCAGCGCGGATAATGACTGGATAGCCGATGCCTTCGACCGCCTCAAGAGCCTCGTTGATGTTGTTGGCTGACTTCGACTTGGCGCACGGCGCGTTGATGGACTCCATGCTCCTTGCGAACAGCTCACGATCCTCGGTCGTGATGATAGTGTCGATGGGCGTGCCCAAGACTTTGACACCCAGAGCTTCGAACTCGTCCTTGAGCTGAATACCGACTTGAAGTGCAGTTTGTCCACCAAAGGTAACGTAAATCGCATCCGGACGCTCCTGTTTGATGACTTTCCGGACGAAGTCGGCGTTGACAGGCAGGAAGTAGACCTTGTCTGCCAGGCCCTTCGATGTCTGGATTGTGGCGATGTTCGGGTTTATGAGAACCGTGTAGATGCCTTCTTCCTTCAGCGCCTTGATTGCTTGGCTACCAGAGTAGTCAAACTCTCCAGCCTGGCCAATACTCAAGCCACCACTACCCAGCACCAGCACCTTCTTCACATTGACCCGAGGCTTGAGAGCTGCATTCTCAGCAGCATCGCCACCAGGGAAGCTGACTGGCTGTTCCATCTTCTGCGGGTCTTCGATCGTGTTCGTGATCGTCTGCACGAAGACATCAAATAAGAACTCCGTGTCGCGAGGGCCGGGTGTGCTCTCGGGGTGGAACTGCACACTGAAGAAAGGTCGGTTGGTGTGTCTAATACCCTCGTTGCTGTGATCATTGGCGTTGACGAAGAGCTCGGTCCAGCCAGGAGGCAGGGTATCGGCATCCACAGCGTAACCGTGGTTCTGTGATGTGATGTAGCACTTGCCCGATAGCATGCTGGTGCATGGAATATTATGACCTCGATTTCCGAATTTCATCTTAAGCGTATCTGCGCCAGCGGCACGTGCGAGAAGTTGGTGGCCAAGGCAGATGCCGAAGATTGGCGTGCGAGCTTCTTCGAGGGCTGTGGCGATGTGCTTGACCGTTTGCTCGACCATGGCCGGGTCGCCGGGACCGTTCGAGATGAAGAGGCCGTCATACTCTTTTCCAGCCAGCTTGGGAAAGTCGTAGTCCCAAGGCACCACTTGAACCTCCACGCCTCGGTTGACGAGGCACCGCAGTTGGTTGTATTTCAGACCAACATCAACACATACGACACGCACAGGTCTACCGGACGGGTGACGCAACGCAACGGACGGACTTGGAGAGTAAATCTTTGGCTTTGGCGTTGAGACTATCGAAGACATTAGACACGAGCGTCTATCTATACAGGCTGGCAAGGCAAGCTTACCGTCCGCGACCAAATTCCTGATATTTGGATCATACCACGCCTTCTCGTCGTAGACTGCAACCTCCTTCGACTTATGGAAGTGTCCATTGACACCGTTGACACCGTTGACACCGTTGACGCTCAACGTCCCGTCTGAGGCGTTGAGATTTGGGAGGCTCGGCAGGTTCGCAACCGCCATTGGGCCGTTTATGCCATTTGGTGTCTGCGTCCCACTTGCAGGGATGACATCATCCTGGGTTCGCTCAGTGCCCGTCTGCATCAGCAGACGTCCTAGCATGCTGCCCTTCTCTCGTATCCGCTTCGTCAATGCTCTGGTGTCCACACCGCTAATTGCCGGCACATTCTGCTCTTTCAGCCATGTCCCAAGAGAGGAGGTGGCGAGGTAATGCGAGTAGTCCTCACCACTGTACGAAGCCACCACGAGTCCAGCAATGTGGATCTCAGCGGCCTCGAAGTGAGCCGGAACATCTTGCAGAATTGCGTCGCGGTCCTCCCTCGAAGGTACGCCGTAGTTGCCGACGAGTGGGAATGTTATGACCAGTATCTGTCCGCGGTATGAAGGGTCCGTGATTGACTCTGGGTAGCCGACCATACCAGTCTGGAAGACCAGTTCACCTGCAACGCTGCGGTGAGCACCAAAACTCTGGCCCTCGCAGAAGCGAATGCTCCTGTCTCCGTCCTTAACCTCGAGCGCCATCATGCTCTCCTCCCCTTGTTCAGCCATCTCCGAGAAGCTCTACCACTTTGGTGAGAAATTTGCTGGAAAAAGCATGTGAAGTCGAAAAGTTCGAGCTCGAGCGGTCTAAAAATGCTTTCAAAAAGTTTAAACTTTGCCAAGGAGCTGCAGGGTCCAGACAAGCGACAGACGCGCGACACAATCAAGTGAACATCTCCATTCGAACGAGACTCGAACAATAAGGTATAGGTCGAGTCGCGCTATATCAGACTACTGGAGCGCCTTCTACGCCGCGCATCCGGGCTACTCCCTACGCTTCGCCAGGTGGGGCAGACAAGCCCAGCATATGAGCATCCACACGAAGCAGCTATATCACGACATCAGCTTTCTAAGCATGCAACATTGTGTATACTGGGAGGACTCACAAGATGCATATCGGATGCAGCACGAACGTGCCAGCAGACTGAGCGATCAAGCCTGTCAGGAATGGCACCAGGGCGCCTCCACTGGATCCCATTGAACTAATGAATCCAATGGCGAACACTTGCAGACTGCCAGGCAGCAGGCGTGTGAAGACGGTTTGAGCACCCGGATAGATTGGTCCGATGAGCAGGCCGACTATGGCCACAGCCACTGCTCATTGACATGGCTCTCGTCAGCAAGTGTTCCGTATAAGAGGCCGGCGTAGCAAGACACGTACCAGCTTCTCCGACGATGTTCGGGACGAACCACACCAGGAACTGAAAGGCCAGACATCCGGACGTCATGATCGCAACGAATATCTTCTCGCCAATGCGTGTCGCGATGTGCGTCAGAACGAATCTTCCGATGGTGAGCCCAGCCTGGAGCACCGCAACGGTAAGTATGAGCCTTCCATCTCATGTTTCACAAACATACCCAGAAGCCAGAGGTAACGTAACCCACTTTGCTCGGATCTCCATTCCGATATCTGTTGCGTTGTCAACGTGAACGCACCCAGGCTCGCAGATCGGGCCACAACGTACTCGATGAGGTATGTGATGACCCAACCAGCCTCTGCCACCTCGGCGCCCTGGTACGCAAAGATGAAGAGAGCGCCAATTATCGTTGTTTTCTTCTTCAGCGCTTGAGCGAACATCCTTCGCTTGCTCGAATCACCATACTCAGCCGTACTCTGCTGGCTAGCGATCTGCTCCAAACTCCCACTGAACTGCGCCATGCCTTCCTTCTCATAGTTCCAGAAAGACCAGCCCACGGCAAAAAGGTTGATCAGCCGAAATATGATGGCGATCGCATAGAACCTGGCCCAATGAACGCCATTCGAGACCAGTGCCGTCGCCATGATCGGACCCAGCATGCCGCCTATGCCATAGAAACCTTGTGCAGCCCCGAAGACCACCGTCGCATTAGCTAGATTCGCAAGAAAGACATTATTCAAAGCAATCTCCAGCGCTTCGCCGAAGCCGATAGCACAATACGCCACCACGACCACTGGAAACGGAATCGGACAGGCGATAACGACGTAGGCAGAAATCACTACCAGCTCGGATAGCATGAGGCCTTTGGCACGACCGAGCTTCGCACTGATGAAGTCGGACATGAATGCCGCAAGTATAAATCCTACGCTGTCTCTCAGTCAATCACTCTTTGCAACGGTGAATTCGGCCATACGAACCAACTGCGTTCGAAATCCAGATCATGGACACCACGGCATACCCAATGTCATACCACGTCTCGATGTACGGAATGAGGGCACCTGGGGCCGAGTCGTTCAAACCATTGGCGAAATACTCCCCACACGCGGACAGGACTCGCCATTTGTTCATCCCCGGGTACCAGAACGTCGGCATGATGCCTGCGGCTTCACTTTGTCGCGGTGTTGGTGGTTGACTCCGCTCGAGATCGTTCGGCGTTTTGGGCGTTGGTGGAGTGGTGCCATCGTGAGCGGCAGCATTTTTGTCGCCCTTGTTGGTGAGTCCGTAGTCTGGCAGCTCAATGGCGTCCAGCTCTCGTATCGAAGGCGACTTCTGAGAGACTTTGGCCGACGGCGGCTCTTTAATTGGTGCTGACGAGAAGACATCGAGTCCCAGGGCGAATGCTGGAGCGGCCATGTTTTGAAAGTTTAACCACCTACTCGAACGCCTTGAAGCTCTTTTCTGTGTTCTCCAAAGCTTGAGCAGATGTCACCACCGAAGCAGAATCATTTGAGCAGTAACGTGCGGTATCGAGAAGCTGTTATGAAATACAGCCTCCGATGTTGTGCAGCTCGTGACTGTTCCGAATCTGCACTTACCGCTTCTCGAGTTTCGAGATGAAGTCGGAGAATATTGAAGCGGGAGCGGTGGCGCCTGCAGATGCATGTTGCCGCATCTCAATGAAGCAAACCTCCGACGAACCCTTGGACAGAGCGATACATTACTTGCGGGACTGGTCTGCTTGCGAGATGAGGATATTCACGACAACTTAACTTCCTCAGTTCTCAGCACAAGCTTAACATACCGCAAAAACGCGAAAGGCGAGGATCGGACCTGGGTGTTGCGAGCAAGAGCGCAGGGCAGGAGCATTGTCGCTATCTGCAACGTCTGAATTGACACCAGGACAAACCGTCTCGCTCCTTTGCCTCATCCGAGCGAGTGTCGAAGGAAGAGGGCAGATCCGAATGAAAGCCTCGAACCGACACAACAAATCCGGTTGCTCGAAGCAGCACAGCCCAGCGCTGGCATTTCTTGGCCGGGTGTTTTAGACCTCCGCGTGTTCCTGACGGCGCAGTTCGTCGTAGCCTCGAACATCCTGGACGGATGAGGTATATCAGTCGCATTCCTTGCGCGTTGATGAACAGCGACGCCGAAAGGACGAGATGGTATACCGTACAGTGGTGTCCTTGATACTAACCTCACAGGACTCTTTCAACCAAGGACTTTGTAGGGCTGAAACTCTAACAGAGATGTGCCGTATGGAGTCTTGGGTTGCTTGGGGTCTGGAGAAGCTGGACTTCTCAAATCATACCACCCTGGGACTTAAGATGATGTCAAATCGATCATTGCGTTTACCTGGTATATATGCACGATTGCCATCGGATGTGAGTTTTCCATTTTCACTCTGCTAATCGCTTTTACGAGGACTGCGAGCCCTGTGTATTGTATGCCATAAAGGTCGCAGCTTACGGTGCTATAAATACGCCTTGAGCGAGCCATCTTGCCAATCCGTTGGCGCAATCGGGTAGCTGGCGGCGTCGATACTGTCAGCACTGCTGGCGCCTCGGACCACCGCAGATTGCTCATGAGTCTAGCTCTGTGCGCCTCTTCTGCGCGCTGAACCACCTTCCCTCAACCTCGTGGAGCGGTACAGTCGCAAAGCACACCACCATCCGCCGCTGCCGCCATGGGGAAGCATATCGTCTACACCAAGATCACGCCGCTGCCATCCAACGTTCCGCGCCAACTGGCCCTCGACCTGCTCCACAGCCATGAAGAGGTCATCCGCATGAATCCGCTTGTGTAAGTAGCACTCGTTGTTACTAGACGACGTTGGCACCAGCTAATCCATCACTCCACGCATAGCACCGAGGTCAAGATCGTAGAAGCGCCGCGAACCGCTGCCTCCGACGAGTTCTTTTCCAACTGGTACGAAATCACCGAGATCATAACCTGGGGCTTCGGATTGAAGAAGAAGATCAAGTTCCATGGCGTGTTCCACGATCAGCCGTACGGCATGCAGTCGCATGTGTATGCGCCGATGAACACCGACATGCGACAGACCTATAAAATAGGAGGCAACCAGCCTGGCGAGCCGAGAGAGGCGAAGGAGCTTGGTGTGGATACGCCGGAGAACGGGCTGTATCTGAGAGAGGATGTCAATATCAAGGTCAACACTCCTTTGGTGGGCGGGATGGTGGAGAAGGAGATGAAGTCGGCGAGTAAGGTCATGATTGACAGGATCACGCGCAAGGCAGAACTACTTGACGAGGGCAAGCTGCACGCCATGTTTGAGCAAGGGCGTTTGAAGACTTCGAAGCCGAGCGGTGACCCGACCTACGTGGACCGACCGCTACCATCACCTGGCAGTCCGCCCGGCAGTCCACTTCCTGTTGGAACGCCAGAGACAGGCTTTCAGTCGGAATTCAAGTCGCCGAATGTGGATTCGAAAGGCTTCGGCAGGTACCATGATGTTGCGCCCGATCGAAATGGCAGCGTACGAGCGAGCCAGTACGCACCAGCCTACCAACAAACAGGATATCAAGGACCCGACTACAGCAGACCGGGTGCACAGCTGCCTGGCCAATATCCTCAGCAATCGTTTGTCAGTGAGCTGCCCGGCTCGTTTTACCAGCCGCAGACGGTAGACAATTTGCGCCCAGCACCACTTCGGCCAGGTTCACAACCTCAGTCCCAACATGTCTTTCGAGCAGAGATGATGGGCGACACCAACTTCCTCCACCCACAGCAAGCCAACCAGACGTACGACGCAAAACCACCTTCGCCTGGTCAGATACATCCTGCGTACCAACAACAGCAGCATCAGCAACAGCAACAACAACAGTCACCCCAGCCTAGCCCACGACTCTCATATCAGCAGTCTCCTCAGCCCAGTCCAAGACTTCCGAGTCAGCAAAATATCCCTTCTCGGCACAGCTCGAATAGCAGCTATCAAGTGACCAACCCTGATCCACCACCAACAAATCGGCAAAGCTCCAACGTCGAACAATGGCAGCGGAGTGTGCAGTCAGATCAACCGATTGACGGGAACTACTACCGCAACTCCCGCAACTCGCATTCAGGACAGCCAATGGAACCAGACCATCAGCGCTTCTCGAATCTGTCGATACAGCACAATGCGAATGATGCTCCGCCAGTGTCAAGATCGGCGAAATGTCCCGTTTGTGGGCTCTTTGAGGTATGACATGACCTTTCTCAGACTACTTAACAATGCTAACCGCATCCAGGGCGACGAGAAAGCTGTCAGCCATCACGTCTCGAAAGAGCATTTCCATTAAAAGGATTGATTGAAGGCAGCAATTTGGCTACTTGTGCAACTCTACTTCGTTTTACATACCTTTTGCAGCGTACCGCAGCTGGCGCCGGGGGTTCTTGGACGAGTGTTGGCGTACTGATCTAAGGCGAATTTACGCAGGGATGATCTACATGACTGGCGGGCGATGTTTGGCGATTACTATACCCTTGTGAGTGTGTTGGAATTTGAATGGAAGAAGACTATCACCTGTCCCTCCCACTACCTCGTGCAGTTTGAATTTGTTGAAGGAGTATACGACAATCCGCAGCCGCTTGGCTTCATCACTTGGACAAGAAGAACATGACAAGACCTCAAGACAACAAGCACTTGGCATATCTTGGAGCTCCACTATCGCAGTACCCTCCGCCACCACGACGTTCAAACCCTCTGCTGCATAAGCAACGCGTCTCTCCGAAATTTTACCCGCCCGTTCTTTGGGTTCTTGTTCTCTCCGCCGCCACGTCCCCGTCGCTACTCGGCGCCCTCGTGAGTTACGATCGCCACGCCTTGGTGCTGAGACTCGACAAGTGCTGAGGCCTTCCTTCTGCTGCATGGCACTCTCACAACCATTGCGATGCTTGGGATGGATGCAACGAATGACGCATGCCAACGGTTGCTGGACATGGGGTTGTGGGGTGGACCCCATGGCCCTCCCACAGATATATCTTCGGTGTTGTACCCTCTTGCTATAACCTCGACCTTCTTCGACAATTTACTTTGACTGCTACCCCATCATGGCCGCTCCCGCCGCTCCTGTCAATTCTAACCATTCGGGAGACAACCACTCCGACGATAGCTCTCCCTATGCATCCGGCGGCGAGAAAGACGGCATCACCGACGTCAAGTATGACGAGAATGCCGCCGAACGAAGCGGCAGCATCGCTACGCGGAAGGCCAGCGTCGCCGCTCTGCTCCGCAACCCACTGGCCGGCATGACTGAGAACGAGACCCTCGCCGATGTCGATACCTTCGTGGAACAACGCGGACTGAACCAATATCGTGAGACCTTCCGCAAGGGCGCATTGCTTGCACGAGCCAACCAACGACCCGATGGGTTCGAGCAGGTCGACGCTGTGTCTGAAGAGGAGAAAGGATTCCTTCGCCAGGAGATCACCAGCAGGTGGAGTCAACCGTTCATGCTGTACTTTCTTGTTATCCTCTGTGCTGGGTCTGCGATTGTGCAGGGGATGGACCAGACTGCTGTGAATGGCGCTCAGGTATGTTTGCATCACCTTGTTGCTTTGAGAGTGCAACTAACAGAAGCGCAGAGCTTCTACTTTGAAGAATTTGGCATCACAAACGAATGGCAACAGGGCCTTCTCAATGGTGCACCGTACCTCTGCTCCGCTGCTATCGGCTGCTGGACCAACGCGCCGCTCAACAAGCTCTTCGGCCGGCGAGGGACGATCTTCATCTCCTGCTTTGTGTCTTTCACTACGGGCTTCTGGATGGCTGCCGCAGATACTTGGTATAACTTGCTTATCGCCCGTTTCGCTCTTGGACTTGCTGTGGGAGCCAAGTCGAGCACGACTCCTGTCTATGCTGCTGAGTGTGCCCCGAAGACCATTCGTGGCGCGTTGACCATGATGTGGCAGATGTGGACTGCGTTCGGTGAGTGCCAAACTACCTGCCGATGTTTGTGGTTGTCCTTGCTAACTTTTCCTCTCTTACGTCTAGGTATCATGCTTGGTTTCATGGTCTCCGTCGCCTTCCAGGACGTGACCTTCATCGGAGGCCAATACGCTCCCTGGCGCTGGATGCTGGGATCTACGGCCATACCACCCTTCTTCGTCATGATTCAAGTCTACTTCTGTCCTGAGTCGCCACGATGGTAAGGCTCACCTACTAAAATACCAGTGCCGTTCGCTGATCTATCGCAGGTACATGGAGAAAGGCAAATACGACAAAGCATTCAACGCAATGAAGCGTCTCCGCCAGCACGAGATACAAGCAGCCCGAGACATGTACTATGCGTACAAGCTTCTGGAAGTCGAAGCTGGCGAGCGTGAGGGCAAGAGCCTGTGGAAGGAATTCTTCCTGGTCAAACGCAATCGTCGGGCTGCTCAGTCTTCGTTCTTTGTGATGTTCATGCAACAGTTCTGCGGCGGTAAGTCGAGACCTCACGGTTCAAAGGTTGAACGCTGCTGACCTCCTGCTTCTTTCGATAGTGAATGTCATCGCCTATTACTCCACCCAGATCTTCATGAACGCGGGCTTCAGCCGTAGCAACGCTCTTCTTGTGTCTTTGGGAACCGGCATCGTCAATTGGCTTTTTGCCATCCCCGCCGTGTACACGATCGACACTTTCGGCCGGCGAAACCTGCTGCTTGTGACATTCCCACTGATGTCGATATTCTTGCTCTTCGGCGGTTTCTCCTTCTTGATCCCAAACAAGCCGAATGGAGATCCGTCGGATGCACAGCTCGGGTGCATTGCTACGGCTATTTACTTGGTGAGTCCCAAAACAAATTCACCACGGTTTGCTCCAGCTGACGCTTGCGCATTTAGTTCATGGTTGTCTACAGTCCCGGCGAAGGTCCAGTGCCATTTACCTACAGCGCCGAAGCCTTCCCGCTCTACATCCGCGACATTGGCATGTCCTTCGCAACAGCGACCACTTGGGGCTTCAGTGGGTGACCTTTCACTGCCGCGATATTTGGGACGTTCACTGACCGCTTCCAGACTTCATCCTCTCGCTCACCTGGCCACCCCTCGAACGCGGCTTCACCTCCACCGGCGCCTTCGGCTGGTACGCCGCCTGGAACATCTTTGGCTGGGTCTACTGCTACTTCCTGCTGCCCGAAACGAAGAATCTGACGCTCGAGGAGCTGGACGTCGTTTTCAACATCGGGAACAAAGAGCACTTCCAGTATTACGCCCAGAAGGCGCCGTGGTACATGGAGAAGTACGTTTTGAGGAAGGATGTTCCGCCGATGGAGCCGTTGTGTCATGTATATGATGAGGGTGGGCAGGCGACGGAGGATGAGAAGGGGATGAACCAGAGTGTGTGAGGTGGGGGGGCGGCGAAGACTGATCGGTGCGCATTGCCTTTGTCGAATGTTGGCAGTTTGGTATACCATCTATACTACACCCCTTGTTTTACAGGCGCACGCTCCTCATACCGTGCGTATGGTCACATTCCAGGGCCATACGGTCCGAGCATCCGGTTCCGTCCATGGACTGATCATTGGGTACCATTCTGACGATGTCAGTGCTCAGCGGGTCCAATCGTTTCACCCATTCGAACCCGAGTGGAATTGATTGGTGTACGTGAAATGTGAACTCATATGTCGCTGTATAGGCCTTGTAGAACGCCATGAGGTACCCTACACCGGTGATGACGGCCCGGGAGTTCCTCGGGATATTTAAAACAGATACATATTGACATATGAAAACTGCACAGGCTCCAACACACGAAAACTCGCTGTTCTACAGCTCTATCAGTCCCGTGACGCAGTGGCTAGCGTGTCGTTCTTATAATCATCCTGTGGGATCATTATGGCTATATGCGAAGTAGGTATACCCACTATGTCAAAGTATGCCGAAGTATACTATTATTCACAGTTGGAACGACCCAATGGATTCTTGTTTCACACACTAACGGGCCAAAAGAGTCGCGAGTTCGACCCTCGCCGGGACTAACTTTTGCATAAGTAGATGCCCCTTTCTCTTTTATACTTTTGATCGATTGGTATATCCTAGAATATGAGCGTTGTACTATTGGTTTGAAACATAGAAGTCGGAGAATTGTTTTTACCGTATGATACAGATTTGAGGAGGAGGAGGAGAGGCATTTTAAGGTTAAGGTTTAGGGTTGCGTTACCCTCATTCCCATCCTGGACGTCGAACGCAAGTTGAGCGATAAATGGTAAATCTTGGAGGATTGAGCAAGGCAGCAGCAGCAATACGGCTGCATGTTCTTGCACATACCATGTTCCTCAGATACGAATACCTTGCCGACGGGAGGCGGAGTGACGAACCATGTGGCAGGTTCGAGTTCAAAGGTGGAGGCTGAGCCATTCTCAGACAATAAGCAGAAAGGCGATGCAATATCAGCAAGAACACAGCGCGGAATTTCAAGACTTCCTACAACCGGACAAAAGATGGGATTCTTCTCCCTCCCACGTAACGTACGCAATCTCATCTACGAGCAATCCCTCCTCGACATATGCAACTCCTCCTATTACCCCGACATCCCCTGCGGGTATCGTCTAGGAGCCTCCACCGAGGTCATGAACACCGAACCTCCCAGCGAAAGAGATTACGAGGATCAACGTAATGGTACCAAACTAATGCGTAAAACCCTACCATGTCAAAGACATTCGCTAACCCCTTTGCCCTTCTGTTCGCAGGCGGGGAATTTGGCGGATGGCTTGACGTCGTGTGCAAGGGTGGTTGAGAGCACGATAGAGCGCATGAAGGGATCATTGAACCTAGATGTGGTCATCCATTTTACGATCCTTTGGGGAGACGTTCGCGACCGTCTGACGAGCGTTTTTGTGTGTCGGTTTTTTGGGGAGGTAAGCGAAAGGTACCAAACCTATAGGCAAAACCCTACCATGTCTGAGACACTGGCTTTACCCTTCTGTTCGCAGGCAAACACTTGGCAAGGAGTGATTGAAGATGGGTCACTCAGCGGTCCGCATGGCCGAAGAGCGAGTAGAGCATGGTTTCGCCACTTTTGAACATCACGCCGAAAACGAGGGTTGATGGCAGGGAGCATTCTGCACCTGGAGATCACGGAAGTCAACAATGCCATTGCGAGGGTATCTGACAATTTCCAAGAGGCAAGCAACACCTCACCTGCCCTTCCAATGCCATGCATATGCACAAATACCAAGATGCACCCACTTCTACAAGAAGAACATCGTAGCAGCAAGCGCCACAAGCATCCCGCCTACAGACACCGACAACCCAGCGGCGCCACTGCCTCCATCGCCGCCACCACCACCACCACCACCACCACCAGTCCTCTGAGGGTTATTAAATTGTTGCGTCGCGGACGGTTTCACAGGCTTTCCGAGGTTCTTGGCCGGATAGATCGTATCGTCGGACGCAGCGTTGTCCGGTGGCGGGTTCATAATGTATCCGTTCCCGAAGCTGCTCGAGACCTCTCCGGTCGAGTCAGGCACAGCATCAGCGTTGCCCCAGACGATGTCGTACGCCTTTGACCACACCAGTTCCTGCGAAGCGTACATCTTCGCCGTGTAGAAGAAGCGCCAATCCGCAGCCTCGTAGACAAACTGCAACGGCGTATTCGAGGAGTCGCCTTCGCGGAAGTTGTTACGAAAATTGAAGGAAGCTTGCACGAGCGAGGAGCCGCCGGGCGCAGCCCTGCTGAGCGCCCTTGTGACCGAGTTGAACAGGTCCACGCCAAACTCGGTTTCGAACTGAGACTGCATAGCTCTCGAAGCGACTTGGTAAGCTGTAGCAACGAGCTGGAAGATGGTCAACATGCCCAGGACGTTGGCGCCTTTGACACCGCCGATAGCCTGCATGGGTCCGTTTTGCTTACGCCCACCGACAACGATGGATCTGACGTGGCCTTGGTTCTTCATCAATTCGGCGAATAGAGTGCAAGTTGACGCGCATGCGCCGTCCTGGAGCAGCACGATGTTGTTTGCTTCGAATGTCTGGGGTTGAGGCTTGTCATTCTCGCCGTAGCCGTAGATGTAAAAACCCAGTCGCTGGTCTGGATCACTCAAGTTCCACCTCGTGAGGTCGGTGTAGTTGTCGCCGTGGATAAAATTCGGACCGAAAAAGTCCGCCCAGGAGTTGAAATCCTTTGCGGCTTTTGTCACTTCATTGTCCACGTTGAAGGGTGTGCCAGCATAGAAGTCGTCAGTGCCGTCTTGCTTTGCTTCCGAGCCCGAAGTGCCCTCAAAGAAATCCGAGAAACTCTGCCCGGTGAAGTTGAACAGAGCGTTGGCGCGGTAGTTGCCAGCACCGTAAGGATCCTGAGGCGGGAAGAGCTGCTTGAAGGTATCTGTGGCCAGAAGAGCGATACCACCGGGGTTGCCTCTCAGATCAATGATGAGCTTCGTCTTGCCATTGGCCTTGGCAGTCGCCAGCAACTTGCGCACGACGTTCGAGAACTGAGATTCACTTGCCGGTTCGTAAGTAGGAATCGTCAGCACGGCAAGGTCGTCCTCCGATTCTGGGAAGTATCCAGCAACAGCGTAATCATCCGAGACGACAAAAGGGTCGGGGAAGTTCGGGCTGTACCCTCTGACACCACCTGTTGGCACCGCCTTGTAAGGCACTTGCGAGCTGGGTACAGCGGCGGACCCTGATGCACTTGGCAGCGCGAATGAAGACGCGAGGGGGCTGCTGAGAGGAACGTTGCTGAAAGACGGGAAGGCGCTAAATGATTCGAACACTCCGCTGGATGGCTGTGGAGCAGCACGTTCGGTGACGATGTCTCGCTTCGCCGGGAAGCTGCTGAACGCCGGAAAGGCGCTGCTAGATGGCGAAAGCGAAGGAGCGTAGCTGCTTGAGCCGCCAGAAAGCTGGTTGAGGATGTTGCCGGAGCAGAAGGCCCGGAAAAAGCTGGCACCGTCTGTAACACTCCTCGCGAACATCCGAGCCGAATCCGCTGAAACAGCTGCTTCAGTGATGACGTGTCGGGTCGTGCCGTTCGCAAACTTCAAGACAGTATCAGTGCCTTGATAGATGGTAGCCTGAGCGAACGTATTGCCGTATCCTCCCACGAGAGATGGGACGCTATTACCAGGGATAGATGGGAATAGTCCATTGTACTGCGAGTCCGGGTCCTGTTGCTTTCCAGTACCACTAGTAGCAGCATACGTGTTGAGCCAGTCCTCGACATCGTCGCCGTTGATCTGAGTAATTGGCGAAGGTTTGTACTGCGCACTGCTGGTGTCAATCAGCGCGTCCGCGTCCAGTACGGCGTAAACGTCCGGCAAACTGGTGCCGTCGTCAGACACGGAGAAGATCTGGTAGAGTTCTGGCTGCCCCCCTTCAAGACTTTCGGAGATGAGCCGAAGGAAGTAGAAGACGCCGATGATGTCAGGTGTGTACGCGAAATGACCATCATAGGCAGCGTTGATTAGCTTGTAGATGTCGAGCTGATAGTCGTATTCATTGGAATAGAAGTTGCTGTTGAGGTTGTCTTCGATCTTGTCTAGGCCGCCCATGATGTCCACTGCTGGGTAGAGATATCCTGGTGGCGGTTTGATGAGGTATGACAGATCACTCTGAAAGCCAACGAGCGTCCTCAGACCTGGTTGAGAAGATTAGCTGTGATCGATAATGGTAGCCAAGCAATTTCTCGAGCAGAACTGCAAGCTGCTGAGGGCCCCATCATCCGCTGTAGTGCCGGCAGTCGTGGCTCGATGCTCGAGAAGCGGCAGAAGGGCGTCGTTGATGCCCATTGCTTCTCCTGTACTGGCCGACTGTAACCGCCATTACAGCGGATGATCTTGCCTTCCTAGCTGCTCGTCAGCCCGAGAAGTACTGATGAACGTACCCGTGAGCTGTTGAGCGCCGCCGCTCTTGTCGAGGGGCACCGAGCGCAGACATGCTAACGCTGTGTCTGCCGGCACGTATGTGCTGTCTCCCGAGAACGACCTGCTGATCTGCCCGCATGGTTCTGACTGCCTGGTGTCGTGTTGTCCTGTAGGATAATGATCAGTATGGTTTAAGCTTCTCAAACGCGTCATTACCCAGGCGCGATGTCCAAGCGAGTGACCAAGAAGGCATGGTATTAAGGCTTTCTTCCGGAGGCGGACGAAATGTGGTGCAACACAATGCCACGCAGCATGAGATACCACAGCCGAGAGAGCTCGCCTTGGGTTGCTTTCCTGGACATATTTGGATGTCCTTCTCCGCGAGCCGGGACAATCTCGTGCTGCTGTGCTCCCTCTGGAACCTTGACACGGCGCCTGCATATCTCGAGAGCCACGTACCTGTATGTGCTTTCGCAGACGCGAATGTGATGGCGGAGGCCGCCACCAGGGCCTTACCCAGCGCACTTCCAAGCATGCCCGCTGATGCCTATTAAGGGAAAGGAAGAAAAGATCCAAAGACACACCACCGCGACAGACGTATGTACAAAGATCAAAAAAGGAAGGAAGTGTCGTGGTATAAGAAAGCAAACGCCGTGGAGACTGCCTTCCACAGCCCAGTAAGGCATTACCTGATCCAAGAGGCACGAGCTCAGGAGAGATGAAGACGACTTGGCGGGATGAACGGCCCCAACCCACTCTAACGTGTCGCCTAGAGGCTCAGCCTCCGATCTAGTTTTCCAACGGCGTGTGGCGTCTGCTTTCGTCCGGTGTGTGACTGCAGGCACCAGGGTGCGTCGAGGCGGCGCAGACTGGAATCCTCCATGTGATCGAGAGGCCTTTGTTCTGTTCACAGGAGAGTCTTTCCATGTCCGCCGTGCCGAATCTTGATCGACGACGCCGTTTCACAGCTGTTCGCCGGACGTTGAAAATAGCATCGCGCTTGTGCTCGAAAGGGCTAGCATCGAAGACTAATTCTCACGTTTCTCTTCCACGAAACACCACACGATGTGTAGACAGTACTTTTCCTGTTGTAACCACGTCTGCCATCAAACGCCCCCAGCCCCCAGCCCTTTGGGGTAGATCGACTACTCCCGCCGTACAACACAGCTGCTACGCCGGTGACACCAAACGCCTCCATCCGCTCACTCCGTGGACATCGGCAACCGGCAGACACGCCAAGGGGTCTACCATCGCAGCCAGCAAGGTTGAGTCAAGCTCTTGACGACAGCCGTTCACACGTTTGCTTTCTGCTGGCGGCGCGTCGATATACCGCTGCCAGCCTAAGGTACACAGACGCCTGCAAGGCCTGGTCGAGCTGGCCTTGAAAGCAAGCATGTTCTGTGAAGCTTCGAAACCACCGATTGTAGCAATATGAGTAATCCCTAGATCTACTGGATGATCTTCTCGATCTCATGGCCCTCCGTACTGTCGAGAGCACCTGAATCATTGGCCGCATTTCCATGGAGCACGGTGTCCATGGTCATCTGAGTTGTGCTGAACCTGAAGAGGTTTCAACACTAAGAGTTTTCAAGTATGGTCATATTTACGAGAAGAGCAACGATGTCTCTCACTCACATGTCTTCCACCCGAGAATGCAAGGCAGGCACTCATGAGGCAGTCTTCACTCTCCTCTCACAGTGTATTTCACTTCATCTCATCACCCTCATTGGGTTGCTCGTCTGCCTCACTTGACTGCTCTTACAGTGATACTAGACCCTTCTCATGGTCTTCACTCATGCCTCTGAGGCAAGAGTCTACCCTCTCATTTCTGCATTTAATCCCATTTCGTACTTCATTTCCTCTGAACTTACCATCTGATACCGAACGATCTCAAACCTCACGTTACATCCCCTCCTACTCCGTCATCTCCACACCTACAAGATCCCACCATTATGGCCACCTCCTCAAAGCCACTCAAGCGCAAAGCCGCCTCCGGGAAGTCCTGCATCATCTGCTACGAGACAGGCACGAGCTTTCCAGCAACCTCAGCCAACTGCAACTTCGCCCACCGCAACGACGTCTGCGCTCTCTGCTGGCGTCGCTACGTCAAGATTGAAGTTCTTGACCACGCGCAGGAGCAGGTGCGATGCACCCAGTGGGATATTTGCGGGGCGCACATCACCCATGGAGATCTGAAGAGGATTGCTAGTAAGCCGGATATGGAGCAGTACGTTCTATTAATACTGTTTATGCAATGTATATATGGAGCTGACGAACGCAGCTACGATTGGCTCATCCGCTGTGCCCACGCAGCAGAAACAGGCGAACGCGAATGTCTTGCCGACATTGTCGACGCCGGCGGGAACCTCGTTACGTGCCATCACTTCCAAGTCCACGACGAGGCAACATCAGGTCGAGTCTACGTGTGTGGAGCTTGCGGGAATCAGCAATGCATTAGTTGCAGCGTCGCGGAGCACAGTGGCGAGAGCTGCGAGGCCTTCCGACACCGCCTAGGAAAGCAGCATGGTGCCGAAGAAGACGAGACGCTACGAGCATTTGAGCAAGGCTACCTCGGCGTAGAGAAGGTCGGGATGTACGGCAAGGAAGTGATGAAGAAGAAGAACCCGAAGCCATGTCCGAGGTGTGGGCAGATGATTGAGAGGGAGGGTGGGTGTGGGCGAGGTACATGTATGGATGTCCCTCGCAATTCTGTTGGCAAAGGCGGTGACAGCTGACAAAAGCAACAGGTGTACGCTGCGCCAACCAGTTCTGCTCTACCTGCAATGCTGCTTTCTTCGGCAGAGGCAGTGTGCCGGAGGTTGGTAATGCGGCGCATGCGGAGTACTGTGCGTATGCTAAGCGCGAGGTGGAAGATCGGCGGTTCAAGAGGAAGGTTAGGAAGGTGAAGGGTGAAGCTGTGGATGCGGTAAAGGCGGAGAATGACGCGATGAAAATGGAGGCCAAGGATTACAAGCTGGAATCACCTGTGAAGGACGAGGAGGTGGAGCCAAAAGTCAAGCAGGAGGATCCTGTGCCAAAGGTGGAAGAGTCTTGCATCAAGGAGGAGTGTTCTCACGAGGGATGAAAGCTGCTTGAAGTATTGGCATGCTTGATGGTATCCTATCTCGGGCGAAGGTCACTGCAGAACGATAGCGTGCGGAACGAAATCAATGAAGCAAATACAATTGCAGTTGATGGTATCCCTCCTTGTCTGATTCACACCAAACGCCGTACGCTCGCTCACAAACCCGCATCATGACCTCATCAAACAATAGCTCGTTCGAACAGCGCCGCCCATTCACTCCAGCGAGATAACTTTCACCTCCGCCACCCCACCCTCTTCGACCTCAATACTCTCTAGCACCTCCTTTGTTTTCTCCCACGGGACATTGAAAAGGCCGGAATTGATTTTGCACATTCGCACCTCCTTCATCTTGCGATTCTCATCCACCGAATCGTTCCACTCCTTGACCTTGCGCAACAGATCCTCCATCGCCGGCTTAGTCGCTTCCAGAATCCGTTTAGGCGTGTCTTTACCTTTGCCGTACCGACGGGATGTATAGAGGCATCCGACGAAGTGCGTCTCTGGGTCTCCTGCTTCATCCGCATCGTCGTCTGCGAAGCCTTCGTCCTCGTCGTTCGTCGGTGCACTGGGAGTCGCATTACTGTTCGGAAAAGCAGAGTTCGGTGGTGTGATGAGCTGTGCAGTACCAAAGAGTTGGTCTGGCGTCCACTTTCTGCAGTAGGCACCGTACTTCTGAAAGGCCTTCGGGTAGTGGTCTTTGAAGGCTTTTGCGATTCCTGCGCTCCAGGAGGCTTGACAATTACAGCCATGGATCAGGAGGCTGTTGTTTGGGGCTGAGAAGATGTCGCCGATGGATTCGGTGACTTGAAGTTTTGTGCTCATCTCGGCGGTGGCGGTTGGTGAGCTCATCTTGTGCTGAGCGGAGGCTGGTACTGGGGTGGGTGTTGGGGATGAGTCTCTCTTGCCCGCGACTGTTGTGAAGGACGATGATTTGGTCGCAGGTGCCTGCGTATTCTTCCTGTCTGTGGTCGCTGTTCCTCCGTTACTCGGGCGTTTCTTCTTAAAGGCCGTCATGATGGAAGGTTGATTCGGGTCGGACATGTTGTCTGCGGAACGCTTCGCACCCGGCTTCGTCGACATGATAGCAACTTATATTGAGCGCTTTTGCAGTGCATACAGTAATCTCGGTGATCGATTGCGAAAAGCCTGGGTGGTGTTGTATCTTATGTAGAGTCGCTGTTCAATGTTGCCTTCAGAAAGCAGCTTCCAGCGTTGTTTCGCGCAGCCAATCAGCTTCCAGCCATTTCTCAAAGTCTGCACGAGCCACCTCGGGGAGAAACAGCAGTTTGCTCGACGACGACACCTCTATCTCCCCAACCCATTGGCACACCACCTCCCATCCGCCAACATGTCCCTCACAAAAGCCGCCACCACCGCTCTGCGCACCCTCCCCCGGCAGCCCGCGATCCGCTCTCCTGCCGCCGCCCTCGTGAACCAACAGCGCAATGTCTCGGACGCCTCGACCTCCCACTCCGACTTCAAATCCCCCTTCCACCGCGGCACGACCCCCAACCACCAGGACACGACCGTGATACCGAGCTTCGGCAAGTACAAGAATGGCACGGAGACGGGCAACAAGATGTTCCAGTACTTCATGGTGGGTGCTTTCGGAGGGTTGAGCGCGATGGGGGCGAAGAACACCGTGCAAGGTAACTACACCCTCTCTATTCCTGCACTGCCATGCGCGGAGCAAGCACACTGAGCATATACTGATACACATGATTCCAGACTTCCTCAAAAACATGTCCGCCTCCGCCGACGTCCTGGCCATGGCCAAAGTCGAAGTCGACCTCGCCTCCATCCCCGAGGGCAAGAACGTCATCATCAAGTGGCGCGGCAAGCCCGTCTTCATCCGCCACCGCACCTCCGACGAGATCAAAGAGGCCGAGGACTTCGACTGGAAACAACTGCGCGATCCGCAACCCGACGAGGACCGAGTGCAGAAGCCGGAGTGGCTGATCATGCTGGGCGTGTGCACGCATTTGGGGTGTGTGCCGATTGGAGAGGCGGGAGACTATGGTGGATGGTTCTGTCCTTGTCATGGTAGCCATTACGATATTTCTGGGCGAGTAAGAAAGGGCCCGGCGCCGCTGAACCTGGAAGTTCCGGCCTATGATTTCCCAGAGGATGGCGCGCTGGTTATTGGCTAGTGGATGACTCGAGGAGTAAGGGAAGAGGATGTGTGGAGTGATAGAGGGATGTCTGGCGTGGTGGTTTGCCAATTGTACAGTTACATGGCTTCTAGCGTATTACACATGCATTTTCTAACACCCATCGAGTTTCACTGAGACCTCAAAAGCTGTACCTGCATCACTGACGTGCGATCTGCGAGACGTACGAAAGCAGGAAGCGTCAACTGTCAAAGCAGAGTCGTTAATCATCGAGCTAAATCGCATCCAGATGGCCGCACTCATCTCGTCGTAGCATTCGTAGAAAGAAACAACACGCAAGCCGCCACAATCACTGTTGCAACTATTGTGAACACCTAAAACTCCAGCGTCAGCATACCGACCTTATCAGAATTGCGAGCAAAGTCAAGAGTACTCACCACCTGCGTCGCCACCCCACTCTGCACCAACGCCTGCCTCCTCGAGTACCGATTCACCGTCTTGATATAATTACTTAACCCGCTCACCAGACACGCCAGCGCCAGGAACCAGAATACCAGGCCAAAGGGCAGAGCAACGCGTCGTTCAATGGCCGTGGGCTCGTGCTTGAGATGGAATGATATCAAGATGGCCACGGCGACGACGGCCATGTAGGTTGCTAGGCGGAGCCAGGAGAGGAAGGCTAGATAGAGGTTAGTAGGGTAGGGGCAAAGGGGGGGATGGGGGATGAGTACTTCGCTCAGCGGCACAGTGGTCCCGGGCATCGGAGTCCTCGTTGTCGAAGAGGATGTGCCCGAACCAGGGGCGTTCGACGAAGACGTGGCGGTCGTAGCTGTTTCGTCTGGAATGTTTAGTTAGCATCGTACTCTTGTGTAGGAACTGTTCGGCCTTACTGGTGGACCAAGATGGGACGGGCTGGTAGAGGGTTGTAGAGGGGATTGTAGGGTTCATTCAAGAAGGCAATGTCATCGTTAGTAGGCGCCGTTGGACGCGGCATGATTGTCTTAGTATCTGTGTCACATTATAGGTAGCATTGCACGCTTCATGTTTTTGGCCGTCGAGCAATGTCATCCCGAGGTCGGGGAAGAGCAAAGTGGTGTGTGCCACCATTTTTTGAAGGCGTAGGCGACTTCCATCTCGGAAGAGCCAAGACAGACGTCCGCAATGTTGGAGGACATCGAGACCTTGTGAGATCGTGACATTGATTGCCCGGTGAAGTATTGTTGTGAAAGAGAATCTGGTTTGATTGTTGAGCGCTGCGAATTCGCATCGCAATAATTGTATCAACCATGGCAATGGCAACACGAGCATCACTCACGCCCTTCCGAGTCGGCACCAAAGAGCTACACCTGTATGTCCACCCACCGTTAACACGTTTGAACCTCTTCTAACGCGTGCGAATAGCCCCGACATATCAATCACCCTCCTCCGGACCGCCAACTCCCCCGCCCACACCGCCAAATTCCAAGTGCCCCCCTGGTTCTCCAAGCTCGACCTCCGCGACTACCTCTTCCACGTCTACGACGTCCGCATCCTCTCCGTCCGCAGCTACGTCAAACAATCCCGCGTCCAAGAAGGCGACCCCAAGATCCCTCGCCCGCAACCGAGCAGATGGCATCGTCCCCGACCAACGAAGTTCATGACGGTGGAGTTGGAGCGGCCGTTCGTGTGGCCCGAGGAGCCGGAGGATTATGCAGAGTGGAATAAGGGGGAGATGGAGGAGAGTGAGGAGGAGCAGAAAAAATTGCAGGAGTCGTTGGGGCCGACGAGGGATACGATTGGAAATGAGGAGCGGAGGACAGCGATGCGGGATCAGGCGAAGGCGTTGTTGGAGGGGAGGGTGAAGTGGAAGCCGGTGGCGGAGAAGGGGAGTGGGAGGTTGTTGGGCCGGTGATGCATTGTGCTTCTGGCGGTGGGTCTTGTTTTACTAAAGAAGGTGTGTATACTGTACAATACTGTACGTTAGCGGCTGAACGACGGAGCGCGCGCTAAAACCAATATCCAATATCCAAGTCGTTGGTCGTGGACTGGACGAGTCGATGTTTGCGGTGCCTACACAATGAGGTACGTTCGGAAGTGCTAAAACAAATCGACATCAATTCAAAGGCGAGCTCCTTCCCAATTCGCCACAAAAATATTGACACCAGCAAAAACCCAGCTCGAACCCGCTATGAATTAACAAAAGGAAAACCCCCTGTCGGAGGAGAAAAGAAACCAGGCGTACAGATTTGCTTCTATTCATTCCTAGCGCAGGATCGACCCAAGAGGATGAGGAACTGGAGGCATTTAAGGAAGTTGTTAAGGTGTAGGCGAATTAGGGGAAAGGGGGGGATAATGGTTTTGATCCCATTAAAGCAAGTTGGTGCTGTGGACACTCGGTCCGCGCAGTCGGTACTAGAGATGGAAGGACCTTTTGGTAAAAACAATATATACTTGATGTGAGGCGGTGCGAAGGGCAACCGAGATTGCGTCGGCTGTCATATGCTTGGGGTGCGACATCACTTCATTGGGGGGCTGCGCAGGGCTTTTATGGGACTGAGAGGCGACGGACGGGATACATTGGTTCTTTACACGGCACAGTGGACGCAAGGGGCAACTCTACGGTATGGCGCTGGCAGCAGGGCTGAGGTTGAATATCTGGACACGAAGTCCCTTGCAGGAGGCCTGCGCGGAACAGAGGCACGCGCGGTGCAAGACCAGAGCAGCGTAAGGGCCACCTCAAACGCTTGACCAGCCTAGAACTCATGCATGCCAGTACTACAGGGCGCCGCACAGCCTTCGATATAACGAACGCCACCGAACGACCTACGAATACCAACCGCCAAATGAGCGCGCTGATTCGGTGGGCGCCTTTCTAGGTATCGAACGAGCGTGGGGAGAACGCTGCAAATGGTCAACATAGTCAAGGTGGCACGAGGAAGAGAGGTTTTGGCATAACATAGCGCTGTTACGAACGGTGCGAAGCGAATTATGCAAGCTGCGTTGCGAGATTGGTGGGCTACAGTGCCCAGCACCCACGTTTTCCTTTCACCCACCCCAAGTATGATAGGCAGGCTCGCATGGGACTCCTCCAGCGGTCACCCTTCGGGCGATGGATCGTATAGCTTCCCAATATTCGGCGCCAGCTGAACGAGCAGGGCAGAAATTTGCGATTGTGGCGTCCTCGAGGAAAAGGCCTTGCGGCGCAGATGGCGACGATGATGTCGCACAATGGAGATCGCGATCAGCTGCAGCAGTCCTTGGGTCCCTATAGTCGTCTCGTCCAGCCTTTCCGCCCCTGCAAACCAAGCATCTTGAAACCCAAAACCAGTAATCCCCCACTCAAAACCCCCCTTCACCCCTTCTTCCCCTTCCTCCTCCCCGAACCCTTCCCTCTCGCACTCCTCTCAACATCCATCTCCTCCCCATCATCCCCCTCCTCCTCAACTCCCATCGCCGCCCTCGCCCTCGCACCCCCTCTCTTCCTCAACTCCCCCGTAACCTGCCTTAGCGCCGCCGGCACCTCGTTCCCCATCTTCAAATGGAACAGTTTCAAATTCCTCGCCTTGTCCTTCAACTGCACTTGGTTTCGATCTTTCAGCACCTCACTCACTGACCCGCCTCGGCCGTATAGAGCGAGAATCTGCGACCAGTGCGGCCCCGCGACTTTTTCGAGACCAGAGAGCAAGGCGTCTTCTTCGGCTTTCGACCATGGCTGTCGCATCGCGGAGCTGGGGGCGGTGGGTTTTCTCGTGGCGGTGCCGTCAGTGGTGGAAGAGTTCTTAGGGGCGGTGAGTGGGTCGCGGATGGTCTGAGAGGTGTTGCCTCGACGGTCGCTGCTGCCGCCGGGGACGTTCATGATGGCGTCGATGTTTTTGCTGACGCTTACGGCGAACTCGCGGACGAACTCTTGCCATTGGTACTTCTTCGGTAGCTCGCCCACCGTTTCGCCTGCGGATTCTTCGGCGAGAAGGTAGCTTTTCCGCGCTCGACTCCGGTCGATGAAGTCTTGCTCACTAGGCGATAGGCTCGGTGCATCGGGGTGTCGGGTCAGAATTTGCGCGTCCAGGTCCAGAGGGAACAACTCGTCGAGCATCGCTTCGGGACTGCCGTCGCTATTGATCAGAGCAGAGATATATGTCTGCGTCTTCAGCTCCAGGTATACCGCCCCTTGCCACTTCAACAGCCGATGTCCGAGCGGGACAAACGTCTCCATAAAGAACTCGTTTAGGTGGAAGAAGCTCACATCATGCGCACCCAGGATGGAGGAGAGGAAGGTGGCAATGTTGGCTTTGCGGATGGTCTCCTGTTGCGAAGGCTGGAACATTTGGATGGCAATGGCGTCGATGAAGGGCGTCTCTCGAGAATACACTTTCCGGGTCTGGTCGAACAGACTTTTGAGCGTGGTGTAGGCCTGGCTCTCTTCGTCGTCGTTGGCGCGCATGATTTCTTGGATTTGCGGGAAGCTGGCTTTGGCTATTGTGTGGATGAGTTGGGTAGCCTTGCAGCCCATCAGTGAGGTAGATCTAGTGAACAGAGGCTGGCCAACTCACCAGATTCTCCAATATCGGCAGACTCTGTATCTTCAAATGCATACTAGCATCTTCATACAAGAACGCCGACGCCTGTTGCGGTACATCGCTTCGCGGCACTCCATTCTCATTCCCTGAAGCGTAGCTGAACGGTTGCCCACTGGCAGGATCCTGCCCATACTGCACCATATGCTGCTGTCCATCAGTGCCATCCATCCCTGCGTCCGCTGTAGCGTGCGGAGGAAAATATGGCATAGCACCAGCACTCTGATAACCTTCTCCCTCCTGAAAAGCACCCTCCCCAGGCGGTGGCCACGGCGAGTTATAAGTACTCGGATGCGTCTGCTGGTAGAAATACGGCTGCTGCGAATAGCTAGCCACATCCGGGTACGGCGACACGTTGCTATTCATCCCGTTCATGCCAGCAGCATGCGCGCCCGCAGCGTGCCAGTGATGACCGCTCGCTTGCTCATCCGCGAAAGCTCTCGCAGTAGGGTTAGTAGCGTTTCCATTACCACTACCGCCGACGACCTCCCCACTACTCGGCGCAGCGCCGTAGTCGCCAGAGCCCGAAGCGGGAGGTGCGCCGAAGAGCCCTGCTGATGGGCCGTAGGCCTGCTGCTGCTGGTGATGTGTGACTGCAGCGGAGCTCTGCTGGCCCCATGCAGCAGCAGCAGCAGCGTCGGAGGATGCCGCACCGTAATCGCCATGCCCATTCCCATTACCACGTCTCCGCCTCACGCCCATCCGCGACGGTGCAGCAGGCATCGCGAATCCATCCTGCCCCGACTGTCGACCGCGATACGCATACGCGGTAGTAGGAATCACTGCACACCCCGCACACACCGTTAGCCCATTTCAGTTCAACAAAAGTCCAGACCGATGATAAATCCATCCATAGCGTCCATAGCTGTGTTAGGGCACGCCCGTCCACAGCATCCATCTCCCCAACCTGTAACAGCTCGACAACGGGAGGGGATAAGCGTGGACATTGAGTGAGAGCGCACTTTCTCACCTGCAGCGTCCATTTTCCCGTGAGGTTGGGTGGAGTTAGGGCTTGTGAGCGCGAGGGCTCAGGGCTGCCAGGTTCCTTCTGAGCCCTAGATTGTCGTGCCACGAGCCAAACTTGGGCTCTATCATCGACGGCGGGAAATCGGGGACGGGAGATTGGGAGCTTGGTCAGGAGATGGAAAGCAAAAGTAATCGCGAGATGTCAAGTAGGCGGTCTTTCTGCGGCTGAAGAGGGCTAGTCGGCGCCCACGTTGTTCGTTTGGAGCAGAGGCAGCGCTCCAGCGCTTCGGGATCGCGTTGCCGGCGTCATATGGCGTGCGCCATAGTCTTGACTCCTACCGCGCTCACTTATTAATACGACATGACTTATCTGCACTGCTGGAACAATTCCTCCACAGTCAAGCAGACTCCATTTGCCATGCTAATGTATATCTACAGATGTCATAACACAGATACGCAGAAGGGACTCGGTCCTGCCCTTTCCCCCGCCGCTGGACCATGCAGAAATTCAGGCCGTTTCAATCGGTCATCCTGCCGTTCGCCGTCTGATGCAAAGGAAGTACAAATGCTGTCCGTCGCAGCTGCGAGTGACTCGGAGCATGAGGCAGAGTCAGCGAGCCAGACCACTAGCTCGGTGTCCCCTTCTCTATGCCTCTCAGCCCGCCGCCCGCCACCTTGGGATCAAGGATTGCAGCTCTCTCGTCCGCGAACCGTGCGACGCCCTGCCACCGTAGTCGACGGTAGAGCTTCAAGCAAGGCCGGATCATGAGCAGGCCAACGAGCACAACGAGCATTCCAATAAGCGCGCCAAGCAGCACAAAAGGCCATTCCCAGCGGAAAGACCGGTTGTCCTGTAGTCACTGCTCATCCTGCCACCCCTCAGGTTTTTCCCAGTCGTTCATATCGTACCATCTTGCCAGGCCTGCACACGGGTTAGCATTCATTCCTCTAGCCAAGCGAGGAAGGGAGCGGAATGAACTTACATGAGTAGCCGTTCCAGTCGAAGTTGTGACTCGGGTCGCAGTGACACTTGAGGTCGAGTCGTGTCTGCTCGCCAGTTGGACAGTGCGTGAAAGGCACGTGATAATACGCAATATCATTAAAGAAATGAATTTCATCCTTCGGCAGCATCAGTGCCGCCGCAATCGAATGCACCGGCGCGTCACCCCATCGCTCGTAGAAGAACCCCCCATCCTTGTCCAGATGGGTGAAGTAGTCGATGTAAGCGTCGCTGCGCAGCCATTCCAGGCTACCGATCTCGAAGTTGGACCAGAAATGGCAGTTGTTGTAGTTCTTGCCCTCGTCTTCGGAGATCCACCAGAGGGCGTTGTCCTTGGCAATGTGCTGCGGGAAGGATTGCGTGAAATTCTTCACACTATCCCAGAGCGTGGGGATGGTTTCGCGGTACTCGTAGAGCGAAAGGACGAAGGAATATTTTTTGTTGTTCTCTGCCATATACTTGAAGGGGTCGTAGGAGACGTCGCAGAATAGCTCGATGCTGGGCTCGACGCGCCAATAGTACTCGTACTCCATCATTAGAGGGTGGCGGAAGAAGAAGCCGGACTCGTAGCGGCACATGTGGCGATAGGAGATGCTGTCGCCGTAGATTATCTTCTTCTCGCGCATCTCCTCTCGGACCGTGGCGGCTTTCTCCTGGTCGATCCAAGATGGGAAGCCCCAGTGGTCCTCGCCGATTTTGCCGTACCGTGCGCGGCCAGAGGTGAGGGTGGTGGTGACCTTTTTGAAGGTGTCGTCGAACTCGTCATCATTGAGGAAGACCCAATCGTAGCCGTAGTTGCGATTGAAGCGGTCTTCGACTTGTCGGATGCTGCGTGAGATTTCCCAGACGTCGCTATTGCGGGCGAGGGTGACAAAGGTGGCATTCATGCGCTCGCCGGGGGCAACGGGGTTGTGGGTGAAGGGCTGCTTGTTGGTGCCCAGTTTTTGAGAGGAGGGGTTGGGTGAGGTCGCGTTCGAGTGCCCGCTCGGCATGGGTTCGGGGGGCGATTCCTCAGAGAGTGAGGGTGGGTTGCCGAGCACCTGGCCGGAGGTGTCGTGTTCTTCATCGCTGTGGAAGCGAGGGGGTGGTTTGGGAGGGGATGGTGATGTCGAGTCTGATGATGGCGAGTGGCCTTTGAACAGGGAACCCTGCTTCTTCAGCAAGTCTGTCGCCGACTTTACTCGGTCATCGACGGTGCTCGAGGATGAGGAGATGAAGAAGATGACGACCAGTGTCACGAACGCCAGCAGGATGTAGCGGATGTATCGCGTCGAGCCCGCCATATCGGCGTCTCTTTGGGGAGGTGTCCGCTCTGCCTTCTCCTTCGTATTGCCTCGCACAAAGGATTTCGCCGACTCCGCGCAATGTCCTTCGCCGTCCCGTGTGCTTCTTTCTGCCCGCGTGCGCTGACGCAGTAAGCCGTTCGACGGAGACACGGAGGGCTCCTAAGGACAAATCGTGGTATAGGGAATGACACAGTGGGTGGTTGAGCAATCCAGGAAGATAGGAATTGGGAAAGTAGGTGGTGGAGAAAGGGATGTCGTCTCTGGTCGCACAACGAGAACGTTTTGTAGCAGGTGTTAATCAAAGGCGCCTTTTCAAGCCGCGTCAACCACCAGTTGAGTTCAAGCAATACGCAAGGGGGCCCAAGATAGTTCTCCGTGTGGCGGCGGAATCTCGGGAGCTTATCTAGATCCTGCAAGTGGGCTTTCCCGCCTGTGGCTGGTGCGAGAACAGACGTCAACCCACGAAATATGAGCTCTGACATCGAATCAGACACCATACAGCACACATTACTACAACGTGGATGGTATAACACAAACAACACATTCATTGACATCCGATCACGGGCCGACTGGTCGAAGCAGCCAGTATGTCCTTCTTCGGCTTTGACACCAACCTGCCGCGCGACCGACAAGGACAAACGGGCGGACAGAGCATGTTCCAGCAGCACGACCCTTTCGGCGGCTTGAGGCGAGAGGATGCGGGCAACCAAGAGTCTCTGGACTTCGAAGACACCTACGATGGCCTGGGTCTGAACCTGGACGAGTCGGGAGACACTTTCAATGACGACACGTTTGGAAGTGAAGAGCCTGTCACGAGGCAAGATGTGGGCAAGGACTTTGACTTCGCTGGACAGACGAGCCGGATGAGAGGCGAGCTGTTGGAAGAGGAAGCGCTGCATCATGCCCGCCAGCCAATGCAGTATGCGCAGCCGTCTAAGCAAAAGAAGTCGGGTTATGAGGCGTACCGAGAGCCAGAATACATCCCCAAGCTGGAGGCAGATGCATCGATATGGGGCAAATTGAGCACCAACAACAAGAAGCCGGCCGAACAGCAGGCAAAGCAAGATAGCTCGGCGAGGAAGATGATGAGCGTGGAGGAGGTGGAAGCCATGATGCGCTCTCAATCCAGGCCGACACCGCCTGTTCAGGACACGGAGAGGCAGAGCCAGGGTTTGAGGGACATGCTTGGTGTGGGCTCCCCTGGCCCAGCGCCTCCACAACAGGACCAGACACGGCCACCTGTCCAGATCTTGCAGAGACCTCAGCAGCAGCAACAGCCGCCACAGCAACAGCCTCAGATGCAGCAGCCAATGCCTGGTTACAATCAGCGCGCACCACAGATACTGCAGCGCCAGCATACTCCCCAGCAGCAAGGCCGGCCGCAGTCGCAAGACTTTCAAGGCCAGCCTCCCTACCCTACTCAACAGCAGCATCCAGTGCAAATGCCCATGGGAGCACCACCAGGCCAGCCTCAGCAGCCACGTGCGCCCATGCAGCCTGTCTCGCACAACCGCGGCCCGTCGTACAATGGCCCTCCAATCACCCAAGCACAGCAGATGATGAACATGTCAAACGAAGAACGCGAAACATACCTCGCAGAAGAAGCCAAGCGGGCCAAACGAAACCACAAAATCTTCCTACTCAGCAAGAACAATGGCTTGATGACGCCTCAGGACAAGAACTTTATCACGCGCATACAATTGCAGCAACTGTTGACTGCCACTGGTGGCGTCGACAATGCTATGGGAAGTGAGGAGCAGCTGGCTGAGGACTTTTACTACCACGTCTACTCGCAAATCCGTGCTCCTCCAAGGAGTGGGCCAGGTCAGCCATTGAGCCATTTCGCACAGACATATCTATTCCAGACTGGCAGTCGCTACGGCCATGGGAGGAATAGGAATCAGCCCAGAGGTGGCGACAACCACGTCCAGCGCATGGAGCAGCAGGTCGCTCGTGCTGTAGAAGCAGCCAAAGCGAGACCAAAGAACAAGAGCCTCGTTGTCGAAGGCTCTCTCGGCAAGATTGCTTTCAGCAACTCCAAGACTCCACGGCCGCTGCTCAACCTCAAGCGCGCGGACTCCGAAAGCAGGATGCGACCTGCACGCCAAACCACCGTCGCCGATCGTAAAGCAGCTTTGCGAGACGTCGAACACCTCTTCACCTCCCTCATGATCCTTGAAGACCACGAGCGCAAAATGCCTGAGCCGCCTAACGAAGAGAGTCCTCCCGACAAGATCGAAGGCCACATCAAGTGGCGCACCGAGCTGCAACACCTCAACCAGAATCTCTGGGAAGCGACAAAGGTCATGGAACCAATCCAGCCAAAGTACGTCTTTCCTTCCCACCTACTCATTGTGCCTCCAAGCTGACGACTGCCAGCCCCACAACACCCCACCCCTTCATCGCCCTCCTCGCCCTCTCCAAATCCAAAAAAATCATCCCCCGCCTCTTCCGCCACCTTGACGACCAACAGCGTCTCACCATGCTCACCCTCATCGTCATCCACCTCGACTCCCTCGACGTCGTGCGCGACGCCTACCCGCCCGCGGACAACACGCCCCTCCCCGTCCGCGTGCGCGAGGAAATCGCCCTCTTCGACGCCTGCATCATGCCGCCGCTCTTCAACTACGTCAACGAGGCGCGACTAGAAATCATGGTCGGGCTCCTCGGCCTCGTGCTCGAGCGCGTACACGTGCAGAGCATCCTGCGCACGAGGATCGGCGTCAGCATGCTCACCATGCTCATCTCTCGCGCCGAACTCGTCGCCGGCTCCTTACCACCCAACGCGAACCAAGACGACAAGCAGCAGTGGCAACAGCTCTACTCCCGCTTGTTCGACACCATCGAACCCGTGCTACCGTACATTTTCCCCACGACGACGAACGTGGCTGCCGCGGACGACGTGTATGTCTGGCAGTTCCTCGCGGCGATGGGGGTGGGCGCGAGTCCGGATCAGCAGCAGCGGTTGGTGTTGGGGGTGAAGGAGCGGGTGATGGAGACGGTTGGGGTGGCGAAGGGGTTGCCGCAGGAGTTGGCGGGGAAGAAGCTGGGGGAGGTGAATTTGTTTATGCGGGCTATTGGGTTGGATGTTGAGTTGCTTGGGTGATGGAAGTCGTGATGGAGGTGTGTAGAAAATAGGAGAAATGGATTTCACGACCACCAACCACTGGGTAAAAAGGCGAGGATAGCACATTTCATTCATCACGTATTAACCATTCGATCTACACACTCAACCCCTCCGACTCGGCCTAGCATTCTTCTCCCTCCTCTTCCCCTTCTCCCGCCTCAACTTCCTCACATCCTCTACACCCCTCAACTCACTCTTTCCCTTGCCCTCCCCACCCCTCTCCTTCGCCGCCGCCACCCTCTTCTTCCTGCTCTCGTAATCATCTCGATACTTATCCGCCCGCTTCGGCGCCTTCTCCTGCTTATGCTTGAACCGCTTCCCCTCCCCTCCACCTTGCGCAAAATGCGCCCCGCTCCGCTCCATTTCTCCAACCTTCGGTAGCCGAGCCACGCGATTCGCTTTACGCCACGCGTCGAAACGGCCAGAGCGGAAGGAGGCGGGGAGTTTCTGTCCGCTCTCGCCGCGGATCATTTTGGTGTTGCTCTTCGAGCCGTCGTCGTCGTGGGCTTTGGAGACGTACTTCTTGCCCTTTTTGTCCCAGCGGAGACCGCGGGAGCGGGAGGGCTCGGCGAAGGATTTCGACTCGTCGTTTGTGAGGTCCATGGTGGCGTCTGCGGCGGCGGAGACGAAGTTGGACGAGTTGGTGCCGCCGGAGGCGACGCCGTAGCCGCGGTCTTCGGCGAGGTTGAGGGTGGTGGGCGTGTAGCCCATGAAGTGTTCGGAGTCTTGGTAGGTGGTGGACTTGGACTTGTTGCTGGGATTAAAAGGTTTGGTAAAGGTGAGGTCGAGCTCGTCTTCGGAGGCTTCGTCCATGTCGACGTCCGGGCGGGTGAGCATGAGTTCGTCGTCTGACTCGACGTCGATGTCTGCGGTCCCGTTGGTTGGTGGAGCGTCTTCGAGATCCTCCTCGTCTTTATCAGCTTGGTGCTTGGGCTCTATTCTTGCCCTACGCTTCCGCATGATATCCGCAGCAGTGCTGCTGTTGCCTTTCCTGCCAATCTCAAACACAGTCTCCTGCGGTCTGAAGCCACTCACTCTCGCAAGCATATCAAGCCTCTGCTGTTCGGCGTCGGCGTCTTCGTCGGGCTCGAATAGCATATTAGTGCCTTTCGCCGTCTCGCCGTGCGCAAGCGGTCGGGCACGCTTGACACTTTCTGCAGACGCAGAATTGCGGGTGCGCAGATACTGCTTCTCGCCTTTGCCGGCAACTTCTCGAGTCGAGATAAGGTCTTCATCGTCTTCAATGATTTTGCTCACCTCTTCGCAGCAGCGCTCGACCTTGTCTCGAACCATGGCACCCACGACGATGTCGTTCTTGAACATTCCATCTTCTTTGCGAACACGTCCGACCACAAGTTTCTTGCTCAAGAACAGTTGCAAGTCCAAAAGGTAAGCTAGATCGTGTTCAGCAATTAAGCTGTAACTCCACCCGGCTTTACCGGCTCTCGCTGTTCGGCCGACACGGTGCACAAAAATCTTTGGCTGCGACGGGAAGTCATAGTTGATGACGTTTGCGAGCACTGGAATATCCAGTCCACGGGCTGCGACATCCGTGACAACAAGTATGTTTGTCATGCCAGTTCTGAAGTCTTCCACTTGCATCTTCCGGGCGGTCTGATCCAGAGAGCCATATACGTAGGAGGTAGCATAGCCTAAAGCTTTCAGTAGGCCAGCGAGGTATTCAACATGATGCTTGGTAGCAACGAAGACAACCGTGGAGTGCGGTGATGGGCTCTCGCCGGGCACTGGACCATCTGCGCCTCGCTTCCGCTTCTTGCCACCAGTCGTCTTTTGCTCTTTCAATCGTCGAGTTGCTTCGGTGGCTCCAGGAGGAATCTTTACGATATCCTGCAATATGTGCAACAGCGCACCCTCCTTCTCGGCACGCTTCACTGTGAAGAATGCACTCTGCAGCTCAGGCGCCATCTTGCTTTCTGCATCCAGGCGAATGAGCTTCGGGTCCTGTAAACCAGCTCGTGCAAACTCCACAAGCGACTTCGGCAGCGTAGCGGAGAACAACAGTGTCTGACGGGAAGGAGGCAACGAGTGCATGATCTCGTGCAGTTGCGCCGCAAACCCCATCTCGAACAGCCTGTCTGCCTCATCGAAGACCACATACCGCACGCTTGAAAGCTCCAAGCGCATCTCGACTTTAAGATGCTCGAATCGGCCGGGCGTGGCGATAATTATGTCCGGGTTGCTTGCCATACTGCTGAACTGTTCTTCGAGACTGTCACCACCTACCAACAAAGTAGTCCGCAGATCTGTGCCCTTGCTCATCTCCTTAACCACCTTCAACGTCTGCAGAGCCAGTTCGCGGGACGGCGACAAGATAGCAGCTCTCGCGCCAACCTTGGCCGAATGCGACTTTAGCTTCTCGATCATAGGAATGACGAACGCCGCCGTCTTGCCAGAACCCGTCCTCGCCATGCCGACGACATCTTGTCCATCCAGTATCATCGGTATAGTCTTCCTCTGGATCGGCGTTGGCACCGTAAAGCCCTTTCGCTGGATCGCCTTGAGCAGATGCGCGTTCAAGCCCATAGACTGAAACGCTCCAGTCTTCTTCGCCGCCTTGCCATCGCCTTTGCGGTTGACAGCGGCCTGTGTCGCGGCGATGAAAGCCTCGTCTTCATCTTCGCTTCCTCCATCTTGCGCGCTCGCCTCGTCTTCCACGCCAGCATCTGAAGCTGCTTCGCTGTCCGAGGCGTATCCTGCTCCTTTGCCAAATAGTCCCTTGGAGATGTCGACCTCATTCTCCGAGAGCGCTGGCGACGCTGCTCTGTGCATCTTCACTTCTGGCTTAGAGAATGTGTACATGTATGTCGACGTTCAATCTGGAACTTTTCTCGGTCTCTCGCTTGGCAGGGCGGGATCTTTCCGCGAGCACTTTAGCTTTCGCGGGGCAGGCGCGTTTGCCTGGACGCGTGCTTCAACACCAATTTGAATATCATCAACACTTTGAACCACTCCAGCTTCCTACTGATACGCACCTCGGACCAAGGACAGGACAACATACGTTCATTGCACCCTCCGTCATGGGTCCGTCCTAACTCACCCCCGCTCTTCTCACCCAAGACTGATGAAAGATCTTAGACTACGGCTACACCACCTCCTACACCGCCGCCGGCCACAGCGACGGCGGCGGCTTCCTGCCCAACTCCCAAAACCCCGACTCCGGCGGCGGCGCCAAACGCAAATTCGGAACCGACACCCTCCGCCCCGTCACCATCAAACAGCTCGTCGCCGCCCATCACCCCTCCCCGGACGCCGAGCACTTCATCATTGACTCCGCCGAAGCAACACAGGTGACCTTCGTCGGGCAGATCCGCAACATCAGCACCCAAACTACCAACGTGACGTACAAGCTCGATGATGGAACGGGGATTATCGAGGTGAAGATGTGGAAGGACAACGATGCGCCGGACGAAGGCCGAACGGGAGGACTGGTGGAGCAGGGGTACGCGAGGGTGTGGGGACGGCTGAAGGCGTTTGCGAATAAACGACATGTCGGGGCGCAGATCATTCGGCCCGTGGCGGATTTGAACGAGGTGCAGTACCATTTGCTCGAGGCAACGGCGGTGCATCTACACTTCTCGCGTGGGCCGCTGGAGTCGATGCAGGCAAAGGGTGGTGCTGGGGCAGCGAACGGGGCGAATGGGGCGGACGGGACCGATGGAGGGTATGCGGGGAATAGCGCGGCCACGACGATACCGGCGAATTTGAGTCTGCGGGCGAAGAAGGTGCTGCATTGCATCCAGAACGCGGTGCAGACGCAGGAAGGGTTACATGTCGAGCAGATCGCTGCGCAGACTTCGATGGATTTTGGGGAAGTGCAGAAGGCGGGGGATGAGCTGCAGAATAATGGGTTGATCTATACGACTGTGGATGATCTGACGTGGGCGTTGCTGGATGTGTGAGCGGGCATGGGCACGAGAGGAGCAAGACGAAAGAGCAGTTGCCCTCGTGGGCGAAAGGCATCTCGAGGGCCATTGACCAGACGGTTTGTCAGCCATATTGAGGACCCAGCGGGACTACCACCGTGAAGGACGGGACGCAGGTCCTCCTGTCCTGTCCGGCCTGACCCCAACCAGCGTCCAGCTGGAAGTGGCTCAAATTGTCGCTATGCAGATTAACGAAGCTAGAGGGAGAAGTCCATCCTCCGTCGCCTATGTTTGCCCCTCCACACCAACACCAAAGAGATACCTTACCTACCCTTGCTTGCAGCTCGCTTCCACTCGCTTCCGCCGGAGACTCTGCACTTGCAGCCTCGTACCTGCATCTTTCCAATCTCGTCATCGACCGAGCTGACAGCTTGAGAACCATTCTTTACTGTAGCCAAACCATTCCATGGATCTGGTATCGAACACGATATGAAAGATGAACAGATTGATTGAATCGTCCGGAAATAGCCATTTCGATATTGCACGTGCACGATCTGATCCTGATCCGCGCACTGATGTTCATTCATCTCAGCGACCATCAGCCGAATCGGAGAGCACGCAACAAATTTGCCGACGACACCTTGACGCCTCACGCTCACGTCCCGCGGCGGGAGGTGCAGAAGAAGGCTTTTTCGCTGTTGAGCCGCATCTCGTTCAAGCACTCGGGCTGCCTTCGTATCCAGCTTTGCTTTCGGAGAATATATTTAGCCACAACGGTTGAAGTTATACCACTGCCAGACTTGATGGTTGTCTTCAGATTTTGGCATTTGTTGACAGAGAGTGCAAAGTGTGATGGTCATGAGACCTGTCTTTGTGATTAGTATTGGAAGCCGAAGGAGTGCTCCCTCTCATCTGGTCAAAAGCAAGAAGAAGAGGTGGAGTCTTGGAAAGTGCGGTTCAGATTGAGCTAGCACTAGGGCAAAACTTAGACTTTGGCGCCAGGGCGATCTCCGACTCTCCGATTTCAACGTCAGCCCGTCAAAGGCCATCACAATGCATACCCGCCCTCCCACATTGGCAACAGTAATACCGCCCCCGCGCCGCCTATATCGCCAGGCCATGTCTCGGGACTCAGCCCGTCACACCCCCGTGTCTTCGTCCGCAACTGCAGGCCTGGCAGAAGGGCTTCGGACTCTGCTACCTTCGGCTCTCCATCTTGCTGCACGTCGACCTCTAATCCTTGATGAGATCTCCGTAGTGCGTCGGAGATCTGGCTGCTACGCTTCGCGGGCCGCGCTCAGAAGGTTACCGCGCATGCCGGTGTGGTGGTTTGGAGGCCTGTCGTTGACGTCGTTGGATGACTCGACCCCACTGCCCGTTGCGTGCAGAAAGCGGGTTCCCAGCTGGTGCGGGTCCGCGTTAGCATCAGGCTTGACCTACTCCACGGCCTTCTTCAGAAGCATCCTTGGCACCGTGGTCCAGCGCCTCGGTTTGGGGCCCACTGGGCACAGGGGCTACTCCATTGCGGTTGCTCACCGAAGCAGTGCGGATTCTTCTGGTTGGTACTTGACTGAGCGCAGGTACGATCATCCCTGTATGTATCCAAGCACAAGCTGTCGCCGCGGAGTGGCCCGGCTGCTCTCCGAGTAGGAGGGAGCTCTACAGGACAGATCTCCTCGACCGCCCGCCATTCTCGGCGGTAGATCTGCATCTGGGGACAGCTATCTCGCCTTTACCAGCCGGGCGGTTATTAGGCATCTAGAGAAGATATGCGGAGCTGATCTACCAAAGACTGTCTATGAATTGTGTCTCACCCCAGGGTTGACAGCCAAGGCTCGCGGACCGCGAATGGCTACAATGTGGGTGAGCGCAGTGACACGCTCCGCTGAAGAAAGAGAGAACCTGCTGTATTTGGAAAACTGACTCGGTTAACAATGTATACAAGCAAATCACCAGCCACGGAACTTTATAGGTATTGACAGTTTGCAGATCAGTACGACTGTGGCTTCGCAACGACTTTTAGGGTCCTTTGCTCTATTCTTGCATATGCTCCAAGCTTTTCCGAAATGGAGGCCAGCCGACCCGTATGTTTCGGAAGCAGCACCTCAGCACCGGACACTTGACTGCTGCGAGTGTTGCGATTTTGATGATTTCTTCCTGGCTTACGCATGTGAATACTAACACACTGCATACCGTCAATCAATTCTTCTCGGATTTAGTGCCGTCGTCGTACCAGCCCAAAATACAACAACTTTCTACTAGCCAACCAAAGTTGGGCTCGTGAGCAGAGTCGATCACACCGGATTGATATCGAAGGCAACGGATCTCAACCACTGCATCCTGTTTTTGGCCGCGCGACTACTACTCAGCAAAATTCAGCATCAACACACTGCTAGATGAACGACATCGCCATGAATCGTTGAAGCGGCACAGTCGAAGACACCTCAGAGCGCTCTTAACAGACATCCATTACCAGGCGACTCAAGGAAGCAATGAGTGTGCAGACCGCGACCAACCATTTTGCTCTTTTCCCGCATCTGGCAGTGAACGTCCCGGGTTGCAATCGCTCGACCAAACGCAAATTCGACGCTTTCTTGGGGACGAGTGCTCTTAGAAACATTCAATATCCTTCTCCACCCATGTCAAATCCGCCTTCACCACCTCGCCAACCACCAACATCTACTCAGCCTGAGATCGTGAGCTCTGCGCCTGGCGAACCTTTGACCTCTGCGCCCGTTGTACCTTTCACTTCGGCGTTTTCGTTTCCGCCATCAATTCCTCCGTCATACGGACCGCCTGCTGGAGCACCCCTTGGACCATCGCCTTATGCGAGCAACTACCCATATCCTACGACATACCCTACGCAGCCTGGACTATATCAAGGGGCCGCACCCGTCGTTACGGGAGGGTACGGTGCCTCTGCAGTTCCTGCACCTCTGGGAGTGAGCTCTGCTGCAGGACCAGCGGGGTCCACGTTAGCTCGTCCAGCGCGCAAGTCTAAAGCGCACGTCGCATCTGCGTGCATCAACTGCAAGCGAGCTCATTTAAGCTGCGACGTGCAGCGCCCTTGCGCAAGGTGTGTAGCCTCTGGCAAGCAGGTGAGTATTATGGTTAATGGACAAGGTATGGGTGAATTCAAGCTAATGCCGACAAGGATACTTGCTACGATGTCCAGCACAAGAAACGCGGCCGTCCAAGGCTACGCGAGGAAGGCGAATTCAATGTTGAACAGATGGTACGAGAGCCCGCAGCAGGATCGTCTGCACAAGCACAGGCTGAGGCTTCAGCTTCGAGACCGATCACCGGAACTAAGCATCGTCGGACGGAATCCCTGCGTTCGTTGCGGTCCCAGGCCAGCGAAGGTTCGTCGCCTTCGAGCATACCAACGCCAATGTTCGCGCCAGCTGGCATGATGCTACCGCCACCGCCTGCGATGCCGCCTCCTAGCAGAGAGCTTGCCCCGTCGGAGATTCCGACCGCATACCTCGATCTTGATCTACGAGTCATCAGAGCCAACGAGCCGTTTCAATCGATACTAGCGGGAGGCCGGAACTTGAATGGTCAGCATCTTAGTGTTTTCACTGCGCCGGCAGACGAAGAGTCTTTTCAGGCCATCCGGAACAATCTACGAGCGGAACGAGAATTGATCGATCCTACTTTCATGCCACCCATACTGGAGCCGGGTCAAGACCCACTGCAGAATGTCTCGGAAGCTGACTTGGACCGGCTGTCACAACCGTTCGCTGACCGCACATACACTTGGGCACGCAATCAACCTGGTGCGCCTGCTGAAGCTTTTCCTGCCCGCGTCAGGCTCGCGAAAGCACATGTATATTTCGTCGCCGTTACACTTCCCACTTTTCGTCCGCGGCCTCCAGCAGCACAAGGCTACGTGTCTCCCACCGCTATGAGGGCGGAGGCACCGCGACAACCGATTGCTCAACAACCTCTACAAGCTCCACAATATCCGCCGCCGAGCTATGGCTACCTACCACCGCCTTCTGAGCGAAGCACGTTCGGCCAAGGACCATCACCAAGTCCTCGCGCTCCACCTCAGTTGGCAAGCCCGTTTACACCCTATCAAACTCTGCAACCAAGCCAACAGCTCCCTCCACCCTTTCCAGCCGGCCAGCAGCCGACCATGGAGCTACCTGCACTAGCCTCGCCCTACATCGGTCGCCCAACATCCCAGGAGCCAAGCCAACAACGTGAACCCCCCGTCCAGCTAGCACCATTCCTTGGAGCCTCCGCTGCGCAAACCTCGGCGCAAGCTGGGTCGTCGAGCAGCAGTAGGCCTGAGGAGAGTGCGACGCAGCAGCGAGCAGCATCCGATGATGGTGATGACGATCAGGAGACGCCGCGGAAGAAGCGACGCGTGGGCATTGAAGATATAATACAGTGATCATGCGACCAGAATACAACGGGAGAACACAGCACCGTTTCCAAAAACAGTAATGATGTGAACGATAGCATGCAGAGAAACGACATGGGGTAATGATCTGCTTGCTATAGATGGGAGCGCCAAAAAGCGGCCAGGAGGATCCTTGATTTAATCAGAAGCTTTCAACAAGGCACGACATAGTCGAGAGCGAGGAGAAGCAATGTACAACAGGCGGCTGGCTGAGGTCGCCAGATATGCTACAGTACTTTCTGATGATACCCAAACACGCCTTCGCTGTGCCAATATAGCTATTATACAAAACCCGCTATGCCATACACTCCACCACCTCACGCAGGCTGCGGTTCAGCGACTGTCGACGCCGGCCTCTCCGGCAACTGCGTCGTCTGCTCAGAATCACCACTAGGCGTCGCCGCCCCGTCCCGTGCATGCCTCCCATTCTGCTGCGGTTGTGGCCGATTCGACTCCCCAGGGAACAACTCCGGCATCAAACCAGGCAAAAACCGCTCCAGCCTCGTCCACGTCTCACTCCACAGCTGCCTCTGCTGCTCCGTCTGCTCCTTCGACTCGTCGGAAGGCGGAATCAAATAGCCGCCACTACTCATCACCAACAGAATATTCTTCAACGACTCCGGTACAGCTTCCACAAGCATGTCGCTCTGCCCGCTGTTCATCAACCGATCCATGATTGTCAGGATCTTGACCCACAGATCCAACACCCCCTCCCATTCGCTGAGCAGGACGAGGTAGTGCAGGAAGATCTTACACAGCAGCTGCGCCGCCTGCACGCGCGTCTCGCTCATGCCGTGCGGATCGGTCTGGTAGACTTCGGGTTTGAGCAGTTGGTTGATGAGGGGGAACAGGACTTCGGAGAAGATGTTGGTCCATTCGTTGTGGTCGGGGGACGCGAGCTCTTGGGAGAGCAGACAGCGTTGGAGGGAGGTGAGGGCTTGGTGGCGGACTTCGCGGCAGGGGTTACAGCCTTGGGTGGCGAGGCAGCGGAAGACGGGTGACCAGTAGGCGCGCCAGGCTTCGTTGGTTTCGAGGTGGGATTGTTCGATCAGAGAGGGGACGCGGCTGGCGAGCTGTGAGACTAGAACCAGAGCTCGTGTGGCGCGGATGACGGCTTCGTTTTTCTTGGGCTTCTTTTCTGGAGGGGGCTGTTGCTGGCCTCGCCGCGGCGCTTGCTCTCGCTTCTGCTCATCCCGAGCGCCCACACTACCCGCTGTTGCAAATGCGTTGAGCAAAGAGACGGCGGCCTCGTAGTTGTCCGCAGTAATGGCCGAGCTAGAAGGGTCAGCAATAGACTCTGCGATCTGGAACGCCAGCCCAGCGGCATCTGGCTGTGGCTGAAGCGTGTGCAAGACAGCCCAGAAATCTGGCGAGGTGGCCATCTCGTTCTTCAGCTCTGTTGGCCCGCTCATGCAGCCGTAGACGCCTTTGAGGATTGGCTGAGCGCACTGCTTAAGTAGGTTGTCCCGGAAGCTTGAGATGGCATGTAGTACGACCGGCGCTCTGATGTAGCCGTGATCGTTGCTCGCGCGAAGAAGCGCCAGGAGGTAGAACACAGTCCGGCTCAGAGCGACCGGGTGCAGTCGATCGGCGTCTGCTATGACGGCTTGCAGGGCACCCGCGACGTCCGAGCCAAGGGCAGTAATCGTCTCCTCGTCTCTCAATGCTAGTATGGTGGCGAGCTCCAGCACGTAAACAACAGCTGGGTCGTACACAGGAGCTTCCGATCCAGCGCTCTTAGTGCCATTGGCCCGGAGTGGAGTCGGCGCAGGCAGCTCTGGCTTGACAGCTATCACCCGAGGACTGTCGTGCTCCGGTAGATGCGCCAAGAGGGACATTGTCAGAGACTTTAAGCTTTCTACTGGCAGCTCGCTGACATTGCCCAAGATCTCTTCAAATCGGCAAGCATTGATGCAGTCGACAGTGCACAGGGTCGCTTCGATCTCTTGATCATTCGGTTCGGGAGGCTCATCATTCATGACGGAGCTGACATAAGATGTAAAGGCAGAGAAGAGGCCGACTTCGTTAGACTTGTCGTTGCGCTCGATGACCTGAGCGGGCGATTGCAGAGGTATGGGCGGAAGGTCGAGGTCTCTGGAGATCGATGTGAAGGAGGTCGGGACGAGTGAGTTGACGAAGAGGTTGATGATAATGCGAACGATCTGTCAAGATATTAGTAGACGGCCAAGATGGACACCTTACGCTTCTACTTACGTGCGTCCAACCATCTCTGATAGCCACCTCGTTGCCATTGATGATCCTGAACAAGACAAGCGTCGCCAGCTCCGCCTTGTTGTCCCGGCCGAAATCGACAGCAAACTTGCTCACCATGATACTCTTACCACTCGCCTGAATCTCAGTATTGAGCGAGGTGCTCGGCGGTGCCTCAGTTGCAAGCGTGCTGATCTTCGCTAGGCTCAGAATGATGTGATCTAGACATTCGCTGATATTGTATCGTGCAGCGATTTGTGCGCATTGGTTGTAGCCTGCAATTACCCTCTGGAAGACCGCGTCTTCTGTCGCCGACACAAACACGTAGTTGAGTGTAGCGATGATGGGACGCCATGTCGCGGCGAACATGTCAGCGTCGTAAATATTGGTATCGCAGATGACGAGGTTTTCTGCTGTTGCGGTCTTGACCAGCAGCTCTTTCCAGGCATGCTCGAAGGCATGCTTGTTGTCATGCTCCTCCGGAAGCACAATCTCACGGGATTTGATCGCATCGTAGATTTGCTGCAGATATTCGGGGTCGAAATTGCCTCCGCCGTTGACGTCTCTCAGGTTGCGTGAGAAGTCCTGGAACTTCATGCGATTCTGGTCTTTGACGTTCGGGTTGTATTGGTCCGTGTTCAGCATGATGATAGCGTAGGTCAGGATGAAGAGGGCGTCCTTATCAGCGATTTCCTTTGGCTGTGCAGAGGCGAAGTACTTCTCCGCAAATACCGTGACGATGCGTTCGATCAGCTGCGATTCGCCAGGCAATCGGAAAGTGTTGAGCAGTTGCCGCAATGCTTCATCAACACGCAGGCCACGGAAGTCGAACAGATCCATGAAGGCATCTAGGATCGCATCGTTGGCTTTCTTCGATATAAAGTCACCCAGCACTTTCTTGTCGATGCGTGTCGTGCCCTTCAAGAAGCTCGTGACAGCATGCGGGTCGTTAGGGTCCAAGATAATGCCTTGTGCTGCGAGGAAAGCAATGCCGCCCTTCGGCGACTCATTGAACTTTGTCGCACCGCGGATGATGATCTTCTTCCGAGTTCTTTGCTCACGCAGTGCTTCAGCGTCGCGCAAGCCCTCAGTTGTGGGCTCACCATCAAGTCGCTCGGCAATCCACTGCACGTAGCCTAGAAGACTGTCCAAACAGAGTGGAGGAACATTGGTAGTGCTCCAGGTAGCAGAATCCGGAAAGGCGTTGCGCGACAACAGCCCGACCATATCCGTACAGAGATCACTTCGGTCGATCTCGCAGTCATAGTTGACGAACAGCTCAGCCATGTATGAAGGTATTCTGACCAGACCGCCGACGCTCTCAACCATTGCTTCACGAGCATCAGGTTTTCGAGAGCCTCCTTCCATGCCGAGCTTCTGTCGATCTCGCACAGGTACAGGTGTGGACCGTCCACTAGCAGTTCCAGAAGCCGGTTGCTGCTTCACCAAAGCAGGCGCATGAGGCACGCCTCGGTACAGGCTCGAGTCAATGTTGGGCTCGTCGGGTATAGGTACTCGAGGATGTAAGCAGGCCACCACATAAGAGAGGAACAGCTCTTGCTGCAGCTTCAGCACGCTGCGGCAGGTTGCCAATAATGTGCCAGCAACACGCAGCGACTCGTGGAGGATTGCAATATTCTCTGACCGCACCAGCTGGAACAGGTTTCGGCACAGGGTGTCCTTGGCCAGAGAGGCCAACGATGGGTGGTTGGCAATGCTGGGTCCAGCCACTTCAAGAGCAACGTTCACTATCCGGAGAGCCATCACTCGCAGCGTATCGGTCCGTTGTCGATCATGAGGATCCAGCAGGTCCGCCAGCACTCTGAACAGCTCTCGGATCGATGGCAGTCCATACGGCCTGACATCAGTCGGGTCCTCGTCTTCCGCCAACGGCTTCGAAAGATCCAGCTGAGAGCCATTCACATCCATACTAGGTCTGCTCGACTGAGGCTGCCCAGGCACCTCCAAGCCCACCGGCCTCATCTTCTGCATCTTCTCCGGCCCGATGTCACCGTTGGCAGACGAGTCAATCTTGGCAGCGTCCATATCCTCTTGTGTGACTTTGCCATCCATATCTTCCATGTTCTCGCCCCCTTGCTCCTCGAACTCCGTTTCCAGCGTCTTCAGACGAGCGAAAATGACTTGACACATGGTCACCATGCTGATTTCAGCACTCCTCCGCAGCACCTCGCTCATACGCAGATGGCAGCAGATCGAAAGCGCACACTCCATCATCTCGCACACACTCTGGTCTCCGAGCACATCGCCAGACGCTCCGCAGATCATGTCCTCCATAAGTTTCAATATCCGCAAGAAAACCACCTCGTCGCTTGGACTGTTGTCACCCTCAAATCGACAGTGCGTGACCGTAGACGCCAGTAGCTGCATTCCATAGCTGAAGTTCGGATTCGAGGGATTAATGATGTTGTACGACAACATCTTCGTGATCGCGATCAAAGCCAGACTCGTAATCGGTGCTGTCGTACTGCTACTCCTGATCACCTGCAAGAACGGCTGCAGCAGCGCCGGAGCATCAAACGCCTGTATATCCTTGCACTGCTTCAAGTCCGCCCTCAGCTTCGCGAAAGCGCTCATCAGCGGGTTATCCTGCATGCTCTGCCCCTTCTTCCCTCGAAGGCCCCATCTTGACTTGAGCGAGCCATCGTCTTCGATCAGGTCGATCTTGCTGCTCGCCCTGTTTCTCTCGTTGCTCGATCCTTGTTCGTCAGAGGGAGACTGGCGCAAGGTGCTCGAGGATCCGAGGATGGAGGAGATAGAGGAGTGTGCCCATCGCGCGTGCTTGCGCATGGCGCTCGTGACTGTGATGCATTCTGTGACCACTAGAGCGACCGGGTCTATGGCCACGGAGATGTGGTTGCGCGGGTGCGCGGTCTCGGTGTCTGCCATGGCTGGTGAAGTCGTCCGGTCGTGGTAGGATAGATGTACTTCGAATCTTCGTCCCTTTGCGGCCTCAGTGTACGGAATCCATGAATGCCTTTATTGACCCTTCTTTGCTGGACTAGTGCACTAATCAGGACAGCGAAGAGGCCACAAAGGCTTACTGGGGCATTCGAAAGAAACCAGGTGTTGTCAACATTTAAACTCGAAGTCCGAGTTAAGCAGCTCGTGTCAAAGCTGGGGAAGCACGCGGTTCGGCCTTGGCCTGCCGAAGTGAACGTTGCGAGTAATAGAGTGCTCCGTACCTCCTACCTCCTATGCGGAATGCGATGAACTTGAAACTTGTTGGTGGAAAGAATAGCATTCCAACATCTGCACATCCTATCGACAATGAACGCCTCCAGCGCCAACGCTAAACCTCGTCACACGTAGGCCTCCTCAAGAAGACATGGAATCGTCATCGCCATTGGCATGGTTGTTGGCTGCATCTAGCCTGATGGGAGATGGCAGTACCGTAATCTTGGCTTCCATCGCCTGTGTCTCCGCCCACGCCCTCGCACGCACGAGTGACCTGATTTTGGCTTCAGTCCTTTCACCCCTCGACTCCAGGATGGCCTTGTTGATGTCCGACGCCACCTTCTCCCTCAACTTCACATCGAGCAGCTTTTTGAACTCTGCAGGCATCTTCTCCGGTGTGTAGACCATCAGTGCCATGGTCTCCTCTAGCGCCGTGAGGTACCGAGGATCTGTCGGTGCGCGAGGAGACAACTGTTCGGTGGCGAATGTGATGGCGGGCAGAAAGTCCCGAGCAGCTACAGTCTTCTGGGCGGACTGCTTGTCGAGGACGGTGCGGATGATTTCGATGAGTTGCAACTGTAGGAGTTGGAAGTGCAGTTGGGGGTTAAGGTCGAGGATCTAGAAGCATCAGGCATGGTCAGCGAATTTGCCTCTAAGCGCATGATGGCTTAAAGAAGGTGCTCTTGTATTTTGATCATACTGAGGACTGAAGTGTGAGTTGCATATCATCAACACCCGCCCAGAAGGCAGGTGATTATGAGTGGTGCATGAAAACTGGATGTAATCATATCAAAGCAGATGTAAAGCATGTTCTGAACTCACCTCAGGGTCAATCTCATTCACCATGCCAATAGCCTCTTCAATCCGGCCTGAGTGTATGGCATTCCGCACCCTCACTCTCTCTCTAATGCCCTCGACATCGGTGGGCTGGCACAGATTCGACTCTTGCGCGAACTTCTCAGCTGCGCCTGGGTAGCCCTCGGAGACCAGGTAGTCCATGATGACCCAGTTGATGTCGCTGTGAAATTTGTTCGAATCAGCTTCTACCTTCTCCCACTGCCTGAGCTTGTGGCACAGAATGCTGATATGATCGTGAGGTGGTGGGGAGGGGCCCCGGTTCCAATCCATGGCGATACCGATGCTCAGTTGTCAAGAAGTATGTGTTTCTCCTCATTGATGTTCGGAGAGATTCCCATCTTGTATTCAATCATCATAGCAGGAGCGGTATGGACGGTCGCAGCAGTCGCGCTGCGTGGGGTAGGAAAGGGTGGCGGCATACCTCTTGCTCGGCTTCATCTCCTCCACCTTCTTCTCGAAAGAGTAGGGAGAATGCATGGTGTGTGGGGGGGATGGTGATATGGTCGAGGAGCTCTGAAGAGGTGTTAGGATGCAGAGAATGCCGGCGGTTTGGAACTTGATGCTGACAGGTGACTTGAGGTAGCCTTACCATGTCTCGAAAGAATGTATTATGGCGGGCATGTCTCAGACCAGCTGGATATGACCATGGTTCATCTCATCGTTCGTGTGAAGAGGATCTCAACGAGCTCGAGCGAAGTGTGCTCTCGAGGTTTACTTCCGAGATTAGACCGATATGCCTTGGCGCTCCTGTGGACCTCACGTCTTCCAACAATTCCGATTCTGTCTTCACCATACTCATCGTTTCCCTTATGTGCTAAGATGAGGACCATCGTAGTAGCAACTACGGATCGCAAGAAGTCTATCCGATGAGCACGGCACCCACGCAGCGGGCACCGAGCTCCGCCAGTCACACGAGCAGCGTTCTCCCTGCTCAGCGAGCCCAATATGAGCCACCGTGGCAGAACACGTCCATCATTGGGATAGCTGGTTCTTCAGGATCCGGCAAGACCTCGCTCTCTCTTGCTATCATCAATGAACTCAGCCTACCATGGGTTGTCTTGATGTCAATGGATTCATTCTACAAGCCTCTTACGCCTGAGGAGAGCGCCGCGGCCTTCCGGAACGAGTACGACTTTGACGCACCAGAGGCCATTGACTTTGATGTCTTGGTTGAGAAGCTCAGGGACATCAAGTCAGGGTTTGTGACCACGACGATGCCACTGTGCCGGCTTAGCTGACGTATGTGTAAGCAAGAAGGCAGACATTCCGGTCTACTCGTTCGAGAAGCATGCCCGGCAAGAGCACTCCAACACCATCTACTCGCCTCATGTCTTGATCCTGGAAGGTATCTTCGCGCTGCACGACCAGCGGGTACTGGACCTGCTGGATCTGAAGATCTTCGCCGAGGCGGATGGTGATCTGTGTCTTTCTCGAAGGCGTGAGTCTTCCACTGTCCTCGTATCCGTCCCTGCGCTGACCTGGCTTGCAAGCAAGTCTTGCGCGATGTGCGTGAGCGAGGCCGAGACATTGAAGGTTGCATCAAGCAGTGGTTTAGCTTCGTCAAGCCGAATTTCCATCGCTATGTCGAGCCGCAGAGGACTATTGCAGGTATGCTGCATTTCTCCTTTCCTCTTGCCAGATTTCCTGCGCGAGCTCTCGTGATGAACAACAATCATTAAGCATAGTTCAACCGAACATCATTGAGGACAACTATCATCGATTCATCTTCTGACCGAGCTCTCTTCTCTTCCCTACACATTTCTACGTGCTCTTGGCTATGACTGACCAAATGCATCAGACATCATTGTACCTAGAGGCATCGAAAACAAGGTTGCGATCAGTAGGTCACACCCTCACTTGCTCCCTCGCGATAACTGACATGCTTGCAGGCATGGTCTCCGACCGTGTGCACAAGACATTGCACACCAAGTCGAAACTGCACCAGCAGGAGCTTCGCCGTCTTGGCAAAGTGAGCGAAGACGCACCACTCTCGAACAACGTGACGATACTGCAGCACACAAACCAGGTCCGCGGCATCAATACGCTGCTGATGGATCCTGACCTGCCTCGCGAAGAGTTCATCTTCTACTTCGACCGTCTGATCGTGATGATGGTCGAGAAGGCGACCGAGCGAGCACTGGCCTTTACACCTTGCAAGATCGACACACCAGTCTCAGGTCGATCTTACCAAGGTCTACATCTCGAAGGAGAGGTCAGTGCCGTGGTCGTCTTAAGAGGGGGTTCCTGCCTTGAGACCGGCCTCAAGCGAGTCATACCCGACTGCCGCCTCGGTCGAATGCTCATCCAAACAAACTTTCGCACCACTGAGCCAGAGCTGCACTTCTACAAACTCTCGGAAGATATCGCCGAGCATAAATGTGTGATGCTACTGGATCCGCAGATGAGCTCGGGTGGTGCGGCTCTAATGGCTGTCAGGGTACTGCTCGATCACGGCGTCAGAGAAGATCGCATTGTGTTCGTGACGTACTCCGCGGGCAAGATGGGGTTGAACCGTCTGATGAGCGTCTATCCGGACATCAAGGTGGTGGTGTGTCGGATAGTGGACGATCTGGAATTGAGGTGGGTTGAGGTCCGCTATTTGGGCTGTTGAAGCGATGAACATTACCGAAGGCTGGGGGAAGAACATTTGTAGAGCTTACTAATATACTGTATCAACACACTACATTGGAGACCGGCCGTTTGCTGCTCCACCCTGGCGCCCACATGGACACTCCCATCCACTCGAGCGAAGGCAGCTGGCGGACAAGACACTGCCCTGCGCAAAACAGTTTTAATGCGTGTGACGCAGGAAGGTGAAGGATCTCACGATCTGGTTTCATTTGGTTCTCTGAAAATTCATCCCAACATCGGAGTCGCCATGCAGCAAAGGGAGGCTGGCACTTCTGCACAGCTACCATACACGACCTGCTATTAAGGCTCACCGTGGACGTCGTTCTTCACTAACACTTCAGTCCTTCTGCTCATGGCAGACCCGAAACATCACATGTGACATGCACAAACCTACGCGATGTGATCTCGAATGAACCTCGCGTTACCACGATCTAACTCGACAGAACCACGACAACCTCACTTTGAACTGGCACAAAACCACTCCGTTTCAAGAACGTCGGCCAGGATCTAGGATCGCTGCATCAACGTTACTCAAACTACAATGGTCTGGCCTGCTGGCTATTGGCGGGTCTTTGAGCCGCTTGAGCGCAGAGTCAGATCAGTATCCCCAGATGACAGATCTTCCGACAGGCCATCGAGCGTAGCTAGCGTCAACGAAGGTGAAGGCACGGGAGATGATCAGGAAGAGAACTCTGGCGATGAAGAGGACGAATGCGACAGCGACGAAGAAGAGTTGAGTGACCTTGACAGCAGTGAAGACTATGACAGCGACTCCACCTATGTGGACAGCGACTCGGAAGACAGCGAGGATGGTGAAGTCGAGCGGCCGACGGCGATTGTGATTCTCCAAATCCCATCGCTCAAGCGCGAACAGCTCTCTGGCAAGAGAAAGTCTCGGACGGACGACGTCAACGACGACAGTGCGGCCGCTACGACGCGGGTACTGAAGAAGCAACGGAGGAGCATAGAGTGCGCCATTTGCTGCAGCGATCTTAAGATGGACAAATTCCCGGTGCTTCGACATGAAGGCTCTGTCGCCGACGAGCAGAGTGTCTGTTTTACGTGTTGGGAGAAGCACATTTCCTCTACCCTTCTCGCCAAAGGTTGGGACGTCGTGAAGTGTCTCGAATGCGATAAATTGCTGGACGAAGTAGAGATCAAGAAGCTGGCGAGTGTTGAGACGTACATGGACTAAGTCGATGTTCGCGATCCGCATTCTGCTGCACAGATGCTGACATCTAGTAGATGGCTAGACAAAGCAGCGAAAGCGTACAGGGAAGGCGATGAGGAGTTCCGCGCCTGTCCCTCCGCATCCTGCAGTTGGGGCTGCTTCTTCTTCACCAACGAGGACGGCAACATCTTTGCTTGCCAGCTGTGCAAGTACCGCTGGTGCGTGGTCTGCGAAGTCCCAATGCACGAAGACCAGACCTGCTCCGCCTACCAGGCACGAGTTGCCAGAGAAGAGAAGGCGAGACGCGAGGAGCTGGCTGTACAGAACACGGCTTCCGAGAAACTGGTCGGTAAGAGTTCCAAGGCTTGTCCGGGCTGTACTGCGAGGATCGAGAAGATCAGTTGGTGCGACCATGTGAGGTGTAAGTCGAGCAACCCTACCTCCAGGTCTTCAAGAAGGGCGTTTGTGCTAACAATGATTCCAGGCCGGCGATGCCACCATCAGTTCTGCTGGTTGTGTTTTGCGGCGTACGGTGGGAAAGGGGGCATTCTTTCCGAAGGCAACAAGGCTCACGAGAAGTCTTGCAAGCACTATGCATAGAGGGGGCGTCTCGACCTAGGGACGCGAGTTCGTGTTCTAATCAGTAGTACCACTGTAGCACAACAACACTCTCCCCATCGGAGAACTCTGATCAGCTCATCCACACGTCCAAAACCTCTCATCCATCCCCCCTGTCGTATCATCCGAGCAAACACTCTTTGCACGTCTTGGTATCACCCCCCGCCTGCCATATCTTACAAAGCCAACCCCGTCCCATCACCCGTCCATCGATATAGAGCCAGCACCTCGCGCCTGCGCAACTGCTGCTCGCCGAAATCCTCGACCATCCGGCCGCGCACCTGCGAGAGGGCCGAGCGCATCACTTTGCGGAAATTCCTCTGCGTGTACATCGTTAGCTTGAGACGTTCACGAAATAAGTGAGGGGGAGGATATACCTGATACTCGGTATTGAGCGTGACGACACAGGCCTCATGCGCTCGGACGATACTCTCGCACGCTTTCACGACACTCGGACTCGCCTCGCCTTGCAGCTTGTCCGCGATCAGAAGCAGGAGGAAAGATCCCTGCAGCAAGTAAATGCCGAAGAAGAACGGCATAAAGCTCAAATCCGGATCGTAGTCCAGGATCTCGTTTATAGCCTCCGCAGCCGACACTGCGTGCCCGGTGGCCGAGATGAACGACTGCGACGAGATCCAGAGGTCGTTGTCGTCGAGCAGGGAGATGGGATCCCACTTCCCGTTCAGCAGGATGTGGAGCGTATGCATGAGGTGCGTGGCGTAGGCGACGACGATGCGGGTCTGGAGCGTCGCTTCCGTCATGCGGTGGGAGGTGCTGGTGCCGACGGAGTTGTTGGACGGGCTAGGCTCTTCGTGGTGCATGCCTTCGCCGTTGGGCGCGCCGTCGGTTGCTTGCTTTTGTTCGTGGCCGGGGCCGGGGATGTTTTGCGCTTCGAACTCTTTCAGGCTCTGGCCGTAGGCGTCGAGTTGGGCTGTGATTTCGTGGGCGTGCGCGTCCCATTCGTTGCCGTTGTTGCGGACTCTCATGCCGAATCTGGGGTGGTTGCGAGCGTGGTTGAGATCTACGATCTCGCCGAGCATGGTCATGAGTGGTAAGAAGTAGCCAAAGATGCCGTGGCCGGTGCACTCGAAGGTAGGCCCAGCTCTGCGGTAGTAGCTCGCTTCCGGTCGGTTCGGGTCAGGGTAGTAGTCGCCTGACTGCCAGACCATGTCGTTCTCGGGTTGGAGTAGACCATCGCACTCAATGTCCAGAAGGTAGAGCGGCCGGTTGTAGCAAAGGGCCAGATGTCGGTCGACAATGTACAGCAACCACCAGATCCTTCTGCGCTCTTCCCGTTCCTCTTCACTCGCCATGCCAGGCTGGTTGCCGTTCGGTGGGCCTCCAGGCTGAGGCGGTGCTCCCATCGATTCTCCGTTGGCATCCATCTGCCCATCTCCAAGGTCGTTATTCTCGTCTTGACCCAGATTGGTCGGCAGTTCTCGTCCTAGCTTCAGCTCACGGGCTAGCGACCAGGCAGAGTTCCACCATCTTAGACTCGCTGCCTTGTACTCGCTTGCAGACACCACAGTCGCCAGATGTATGTATGTGGCAACGTCGTCCAGCTGACCAGATGCGCCCGGCGACCCGCCTTCCATCTCGAGCGCTTGTCCTGGCAGAGCAACACCAAAACCGCCCAGAGCAATCCCGTTCATCACAGTGTTGCCGCTTGCGCCTGGCGTGCCGTCGGCGGGCGTGTGAATCAGCGGCTTCAGTAGTCCCACTGTGAGTTCGAGCAGTTTCTGACAGATCTTGCCTCTCGCAGAGGGTGGTGAGGTCAAGAACGGAGACTCGCTTGTCTGGGCCGCAACCCACAGCATACTGGCGAGAAGCGCAGGACTGCAGATTCGTGGATTGTTCGGTCGAAGGAAAGAACGCTTGCGGAAAATGTAGCCAAGGATATAAGGCGATTGAGGTTGCATGAACGCTGAGGAGGTGCTGGAGAAGTACAGTTCGAGAAGATCGCAGGCCAGGCCGATGGGTATAATCGCAGAAATGTGAGGTAGTAATGGTCGTAGTACAGGATACCGTAGCACCTGATTTGAAGGTACTTGCTGCAGGCCGGGGTATAATGCCGCAGATGGCGACGGCAGGGATAGCCATCCAGGTGATCCAGCAACTGGAGACTGGCCTAGGAAACCACCAGCAGAAATCGGTGACTCTCCCATCTGGAATGGTTGGCCAGGCACACCAGGTTGACTGCCAGGCGATGGAACAGCATACGGACTCTGGCCGTAGCCGGTGATGGTGCCGCCTTGGATCATCTGGTTCGGCATGCCGGTGACACCATTGTGGAGGATGTTGTTGCCCGCGACCGGTGCCGCAGGATGGAGAATGCTCCGATGGTAGTCGTCAATGGAGCTGTTATACTGATCCATACCGACGGGCATGCCGCTCCGATCAGTCATGCCCACACTAGGCAGCCGTGGCGTAGACATGTCTCCAGGAGGTTGCTGCTGCATCGGCGGCATCCTGGCGTGCTGCATCTCACCGCTGTGTGGATCGTGCTGATGGTGATTTAATTGCTGTGGCTGCTCGATACTCGTCATAGGCGGGACGTGTCCATTAGGAATCTGATGCACGCTGGTCATGCTATTCGTGCGCGGTGGCGGTGGGAATCGAGGCTGCTTGAACTCGCTGCTCGACCGTCGTCGCTTGATACCCCGCTGCTGTTCCTCGAGCTGTACCGTGCCGTCGTCCGAGTTGTCGTCCACCGGCGAAGTCGGACTGCCGTCCTTGTCGTCGCCGTGAGCAGCGGCCGCCGCTTGCTGCGCAGCGATATCCTTTCGTGAAGCCTTGCCGCGCTTCTTCCGCTCCCTCGCGTACTCACACGTCAAGCCAAACTCCACGCAGTGAGCGCATGGGTGTTTGCCGTCGCATTTGGTGCGCAGCTGGTTGCACTGGTCACACGCACGACTGATCCTCCTCCGCACCGTCTGGCTACTCCCACTTCCCGCCCTGCCAGCTTTACTGATGCTCACGGATTCTCTGCGGGCGTCCGCCATGCCGGAAACACTCACGCCATCAAAGCTTTCCCGGTGTCTCATTGGCGGCTTCGAGCTGTTTAGCGACTGCACGCCCTGCTGTTGCGCTTGCTGCTGTTGTTGCTGCTGTTGTAATTGCTGCAGCGCATACTGTGAACCCTCCGCCAGCGTGTCCAGGCCAGAGTGCGACATGTGCTGCGATGGCATGTAGCCGTGGGCGATGAAGGTGCCGTTGCCAAACTCGGGCGAGTATGAATGGTGGGTTGACAGCATTTCGGCGGCGAGTCGGCGGTCGGTAGTTGGGAGCGTTGTGGGGAGGCTCTGAGGGAGCTCGCTCTTAGGCTCGATCGTCTCGCTTACACTCGGTGATCATGAGAGATGAGGCGTGCATGTTACAACAGAATAACAATCGTACAGTCGTTCCATCCAGTCGTCAGTATAGAGACACACTATGCAAAGAAGAGACAGCATGCCGGGAGACGGGGAGGAAAGAGGTTGGTCGGGCAGATGACACGATGACCGGCGCAGCTCGATTGGAACAGAGACAGTGCAGCAGCGGATCGATTGACGGCCAGAATTAATTACCTCTCTCAATCAGACTCGCGACTCTCCACAGCACCATGCTCTAGCGCGGGCCGCTCGAGGGTCCCCGCAATCACCATCGTCTTCCATCTTTCTAGCACGTCCACACACCCCGGGGGAGGCCTGCGCTTCTGCACCTGCGAAAGCCTGACAGGGGGGCCCTCACATCACGATGCCCTCGCTGCCGTCTCCTGCTCGTGCTCCTCCGCGCCACTCCCGCTGACCTGCCTGCGATTCGCGTAAAAGATCTGCTGCCCACGAGACAGTTGCCTCATCCTTCCCTACCCCCGAGAAGGCTCTGCGCATATGCACCACCCTGACGCACCACCTGTCCTAGCGTCCTCGTGCGCGCCAGGTACGCTGAGCAGCCATCTAGCAAGCACACCAGACCTCTCACTGCAGCGCCTCGGCATGTCCAGCTGTCGAACGGAGCAGCAGCTCGCCAACCCGCCCAGCCAAACGACCCTGGAATCAAGCACGAAATGGAGCAAAAAGCCCGTCCACACTGATCGCCGCGCAACCCAGCCAGATCTAGTCCCTCCCACCGGCTAAAGTCCTCGGGACCTGGCGAACAGCCACACGCGGACTTGCGGGAAGGAAGGGGCCTGCCTGCAATATCGTTGCCGAGCCTCTCTTTCCTTGCCCAAACGAAATCTTCTTTTGCGACATCGTCGTCACCCGACCGACTCTCAAGTACCGTGCCGTACGGTACTGTTCGTAACACGGCTCCCAATCCCGCCCACCCTTTGACAAGTAGATCTCTACCTCTTCCACGTGGCTCTGCAGCCTCTAAATTGCGCATTCCAGGGCCTTCCGGCAGTTGTGCGACGCATCATCTAACTGTCTATGGCCGGTGTCACCGCTGGTGGATGGATAGCGGGTTGGTTGCGGACGTGAGGATGTGCATTGTGATGCGTGCAAGCACTGGATCTGGAATGAATGCATGCAATGCGAAAGTGCCGGGCGGGCGCACACAAGCGAGATCAGACTACTGTATAGAAGAAATGATCGCGAGATGATGCGTCCCAATGCTGCTTTGACAGCGGGTTCGCGCCCCTGCAGGGTCGACGAGGTGGTGATAATATTAATAAGGCCGCGTGGGAAATGTCTTGCTTCAGGACACGAGCGCTCCGAGCCTCAGATAGACATCTGTACGAGCAAGTAATCCTGATCTTGAAGGAAATATCTGACACTCGTGATCTTTCACAAAATCTTCACTCTGCAGACTACACCTGCCATCCGTCCGATCAACCCAGAAAACCTTAGTAGCGACATACCACTACTGCACACGCAGTGGGTCAATACTCTGTGGGGAGTCCAGAGCGAGCACATGCACAGCATGCGCGGTACTTGACAGCGCCACACCGGTATTCATACTGCAAGCGAACACCTCTTTGTGGAGTTCGCGTGCAGTGGCCGCGGAGCTTATTACATGAAGCATCACGTGAGCCACTCTACTCTACAGCTCTCCGCCTAAATTCGCCCAGATCGCCAGGAGAAGATTGCGGGAAGTAGAAGGGCTCGCTTATCGGACGTCTTGACGCATTAACGAGACGATGTTTTTGCAGGGTTAGGGATGTTTGGAATGGTTCGGGGGAGACTACATGCCTCCCCACTCGATACAGAATGATCTCACGCCCCGGCTCGTTTCGTCCCCAGACTTCGCGGCACCCTTGTCCCTGCCTTCACCACCTTCTTCCTGGCCTCCGAGCAGGAAGCCCTTCTTTACCCCAGTCCCAAGACGTCCGCCAGTGACGAGGTCGAGTAGGTCAAACTCTTGATCCCAGTCCATGCCGTTGACCAGGAAGTGCGAGTGGAAGCGGAGCGGGTCTCCGGGGTACGCCATGTACTGGCACCCGAAGCGCAATCCGGGCGCAAGGAAGTAGCCTTGGTCGTGCAAGTACCGGAAAATTGGATAGGACTGTGGCGCGTCTGGGGCGTCCACGTGGGTTGACTCGCTTGGCGGGGCTGCAGATTGTAAAGGAGGGTACGATGTCGTTGGTGTAACGAAGAAGGGCTGAGGCTCAGCTGACCTCGCGTTGTGGGGAGTGCTGGCTTTGCACAGAGCTGCTGCTCCTGGCGAGTCGAAGAGTGTCTCGTCGTCCGGGGTGTCATTTGGTTGGATCGTGGAGCCTTCAGACGAGCCTCCTTGACGTTTCCTACGGTCTGATCTGGGTTTCAGCATATCCTCGGGCAGATCATTCCAATTCTCCGTGCCCAGTTTCTCCAGCGTAGCCTTCTTCCTCTGCTCGCTTTTCCTATTCTTCTCACCAGCAGCAGCAAGTCCTTGCTTTCGCAAAGCGGCTTGATAGGCTCTTCGCTCTTCCGCGCTCATCCCATCCTCGAGGAAGGCTCGACGATGCTTCGCGACATCATCCACGACATATGCCACACGCTTCTCTACCAGCAACCGTGCCTCCTCCGGCAGCAACTCAAGCGGCAGACCAGAAAAGACATTCTGCTGAGGCGCTTGCGGGAGACCGCCGATCAAGACGCCGCAGATGTTGTGCTCTCGTCGTAGGTAGGTGACCGTGTCGGCATCGTAGACGAGGTACCGCTGCGCGAGCTTGAAGATGGGGAGCGGCTCCTGGACGGTGGGAGAATCGGACGTGGTGGCCATGCTGGTTGCCCGAAGGCTTGTGATTGTCAGCGCAGTCTCGCTGCTGGGTTTGTTCGCACAGAGAGTGAAGGGTTGGAATCATTAAGAGCATAGCAATTTATTCGTCAAGAGCGCGTTGGCTTCAGGGGATTGACAGATAGTTGATTGTGTGTATAATCATATCAGAAGGGATCAGGGGGGCGGATGTCATGCTTACCTTGGTTGGGGGATTCTCCAGTTGCTGTATTGTTCACATGTTGGAGTGTGTGGGAAGGAACTTTTCTGACTCGACCGCGGCTCTGAGAAGCGGCTCTGCCAAGCCCTAAAAATGCCCGAGCGCTTGAAGATTTCAGTCCTCCGCAGACTTCACCTCTGTCGTTTGCACTCAACCAAGCAGGTCTGCACCACACCTCCGCACACCCTTATCATGGCCATTTTCGAAGATATATGCTCCGACCGTTGTGCCATTGCGCCTCTCCAGCCAGATGATGGCTGATGCGTCGGAAGGCCAGCGGCATCAGAAGCTGCTGCGAAACTACCTGCTACTGAACTTCTCGAAGTAAGTCCATCGCAGTCTCTGCACATCCACCCTCCTTTCCTGATGAAGCCTATCACAATCTGTACCGGAGACACTTCATGATCCATGTACAAACATGCATCACCATCTGATCTTGCTCACTTTGCTCAAATTTAACCTCGGCGACACGCGACTGAGCAACACTGACTTCGCACAGGGCTACAGTCCACGACTTCAGAATGGACTTACGCCTACGAGGCATATCTCTAGGTACGGTGCATTCGTTCTTTCATTTCACTCCCCACCTCCAATGATGATTGTATCAATTCAGTTCTGCTACTGAAGCATAATGTGGAAAATCCATACCAACTTACCAATTTTGTCTGATCTGGACCCATCATCTACTACCGCTCGTTTCTCGCCCAGCAAAGATCATTCGCTGACACGAGTTGAAGCAGGGCCGACTGCGGCCGGGTCGAATCGCCTTTGGGGGTTGGCACATCACAAGGCCTAATATGTCCAAGCCGCGAGACACATGCGAATGCACATGTTCGACTCACCTGTGCTTAACCACCACTGGCACACCACTCGCCAGCCGCCAAAGTCACACCACATGGGTAAGCTGAATCCAACTTCTCCTTCTCCACAATGATGACAAAAGTCAATCCATTCCACGAGCTCTCAAGAGCAGCCTCACCGGCCGAGCCACCCTCCCTTATACCGTACCGCTGCCGCCTCGAGTGAAGGTGGAATGATCGGTTGTGGAGTTGTAGCTTCGGCTGCGTAATGGTGGCTTCAGTGTGCCAGACTGTGCTGCACCGTTTTGTTGTGGTATGGCGAGGCGCCGGCTGGAGGGCCTGAGTAACACGGCTTATCTGAGATGTTACGATTGCACACTATTCTTCATACCTACGAAATTTGCTCTTCGCTGACAAAAAGATTCATCTAGACACCAGCCTTGGGATCCATCCAACTTGCCGGCATATGTACTCCCATGCACCGCGCGGGTGTAATACCTTCTCCAACATTGGAACCACCAATTGCCTCGACCGCTACTACGCCCGCAATGCCCCGCGCCCGTCTGCTCGCGGAGAGACCCCAACGCTAACATGGCGCGATATGCCGTGCAACGTTGCTCCAATGCAAGGAACGGTGCGGACGGGCAGGCTCTTGGGCCTTAACTATGGCAGATGGAAATCAGGAAGGACTATTTCAGATTGCACATCATCCACAGCTACCTATATCAGATCATGACATTTCACAGCTGCGTTCATTGTTTGCACCTTTCACGTGATTGCACTTCGAAGAGTAAGCGCGTTTCAGGTTGACGGAAGAGGCGTTTGGATTAAGATCTTCGTTCGTTCGCGTCTTCATGATCAAGACTCCTATATCAATGCAGATGGCAGTGTTTACTGACAATGGCACTGGATGATGGTCTTCCCTATGTTGCCAAAGCCTCGACATCTCAACTTGCTTGTGATCGCGTTTTAGACATCTTGAGAAAATAAGGTGGGAAGAAAGGGAGCGGAACGTAGGACAAGCTTTTGGCTTCTTGCAGGGCTCGGGCCTCCGCTGTCCGCTGAATCTCGATTCGTGAGGCCACGCAAGTCGAATAACTTTGTCTGTTCGTCTCTGCCATAACCGCCACCCTTCGTACCACTATCGACACCACTACCTATACCTACACAACGCCAAAGACCTTCACGGCACTCACTCGTTTGATCCTCGCCGATTGTACGCCCACAGCCTTCCATCTCCAGCCACGCACCGAGACCGTAATCGCACAAATCCACTGCACACCTCGATCCATTGCCTCGACTACACGCTCGATAACTCACCGCAGCAAGTCTAAAGAGCGACCAGAACACCGCGGACGGCTCAAACCCACCCGGACCGCCCCCAGGGGCTCCCCCGATAGATGCTCCCCCTCTTCCATGCCTCCTCGCAGCAATCCGACTACTCCTCGAAGATGAATCGGCACGCCTACGCAGGGGGCGGCCTGTCGCCCATCGACAGCCCGGGAAGCCCCAAGAACTTCTTTTCCGCTACCGGTGGACGGCGCGTTGCGACCATGGGCGAGAGCGGGAGAGGGTTCCATATTGGCGTGGACAAGTACAGTGATGAGAAGTACCAGCCGAAATCGGCGCGGTCGAGACTGCAACGGAGGAGGAACTCGCTGTTGAGATTGGGAGGGTTGGTGACGGGGGTGTTGTGTGTGCTGATGCTGATCTTTCCTTCGCTGAGGCCTGCGGCTGCGCTTTCGGCGCTTTCGGTTTTTAGTATGGGTGGCGGAGAGGAGTTCAATATCGAGACGGTGCGGTATTACGATCTGGCCAATGTGGGAGGGACGAGCAGGGGTTGGGAAAGAGAGGAGAGGATACTGCTCTGCGCGCCATTACGAGACGCAGCACCGCATCTGCCGATGTTCTTCTCTCATCTGAAGAACCTCACATACCCGCACAACCTCATCGATCTCGCGTTCCTTGTCGGCGACAGCAAAGACGACACTGCGGCATTACTTTCAGACTTGCTCGCGGAACTGCAGGCGGCGGAGAACTTCCGAGACACATTCGGCGAGATCTCAGTGCTGGAGAAAGACTTCGGGCAGGTCGTGAACCAGGATGTGGAGAGCAGACACGGTTTCGCGGCACAAGCAGGTCGCAGGAAGAGCATGGCACAGGCGAGGAATTGGCTGCTAAGCGCAGCGTTACGGCCAACGCATAGCTGGGTGTACTGGAGAGATGTGGATGTGGAGACGGCGCCATTCACGATTTTGGAGGATTTGATGAGGCATAACAAGGATGTCATTGTGCCGAGTATGTATTCCGCCAAGGAGCCTGAGGTTTTGAGGAAGACAGTCTGTGGCCCTGTGCTAACATATTGATTTCACAGACGTCTGGCGGCCACTTCCTGAATGGCTCGGGGGCGAGCAACCCTACGATCTCAACAGCTGGCAGGAATCTGAGACCGCTCTGGCGCTTGCAGATACCCTCGATGAGGATGCAGTGATTGTCGAGGGCTACGCCGAGTACGCGACCTGGCGACCTCATTTGGCCTATCTGCGTGATCCATACGGCGACCCCGACATGGAGATGGAAATCGATGGAGTTGGCGGCGTGAGTATCCTGGCCAAGGCAAAGGTGTTCAGGAGTGGCGTTCACTTCCCAGCATTCAGCTTCGAGAAGCATGCTGAGACGGAAGGCTTCGGCAAGGTGAGTCGCGAAACGATCAGTTTGGGCTCACGAGAAATGCTGACTTTTGACTCCCTCAGATGGCAAAACGCATGTCTTTCTCCGTCGTTGGCCTGCCTCACTACACCATCTGGCATTTGTACGAGCCTTCGTACGAGGATATTCGGCATATGGAGGAGCTCGAGCAAGAGCGCGCAGCTCAAGAAGAAGCGGAACGACAGCGAAGAGAACGCGCCGACCGCATTCAGCAGGACTTCGACACAGGCGCCATGAACCAGTTTGAGAAGGACAAGGCGGCTATGCGCGACGCGGTCAAGAAGATGAAGGAGGTCCGAGGACGAAGTCACCCCGAAGAAGGCTGGGAGAACGACGAGAAGTTCAAGCAGCAGCGGGAGGAGACGAAGCGGAAAGCGGAGGAAGATGAAGCAAAGCAGAAGGCCGCGCAGGAGCAGGAGGCTCAGAAGCAGAAGGTTGCACAAGCGGCGGCGGCGGAAGAGGACGCAAAGCAGCCTGGCGCAGCGCCTAGAGTGAAGGCGGAGAAGGAGGGAGCGCTGGAGCCGCCTGGTCCGCCGGAGAAGGGTAGTGAGATGTAAGCTCTTCAAATACGCTCTCCATTACTTTCGCGATTGCGCAACTAACGCTTTTCGTCGCCTGTAGTAAAATGCAGCGCGAAGCAGACGGCAAAGTCCGCATCGAAGACCCCCTCGGCGAGATCAAACAACTCGGCGGCGACGCCGATGCGGCTGGCGATGTCCGCGCGCAAGAGGCGAAGATGCAGGACGCGGCTAACGATCAGCCGGCGGCGGTGCCGCAGGGCCAGGCTGGAGGTGGCGCTGGGCGGAGCTGAAGACTGGAGCTTTCCGAAAGCCGGGTTGGGTATGATGACATTGTCTGGAAGGACTCCCAAGAGGGGTTCGATACAGGCGCTACAGGGTATGGAAATGGGTGGCTCACATTTGTGCGAACATACGGCGGTGTTTTTGGACGGGTGGGGATGTAAGCATAGCTAGCATAGCGGATGGTGTTTTTGGGCGTTGGAGGCTGCTTTTCTTCGTTGTACGAAAGGAGAAGATAGGTAGGCTGCTTCGCGAAGCGAGCGGTGATGAATAAACATGAGTTGGAAGACGCTCCTCGCTTTAGTCTTTTCAATCTTGATGTCTTGAAGGTTGATACTGATGGTATACAGGCGCCTATGTGAGGCGCACAGCTCACTGGAACACAAACACTTGCCCGCTCCGATCCGCACTAACCACCATTCCAAACGGCCTCTCCACCACCGCCACATCCGTGATAGTATCCAGATGTCCTTCCAGCAGACTCCTCGCCGACAATCGAATGGTCTCGTACTTCGACAACGGCGCCGCAGTGCCCTTCTTCCCAGCCGCTCGCGGCGACTCCACAGCCCCTCCTGCTGCGGAAGCCTCGTCACTTGTCGTCTTCTCGGTGATGACCCGGGCGTCAAGACCGAGGTTGGAGAAGCTGTACGTCGTCTTCTCGTCGGTCACCGCTCCGCTGACGATTCGACAGCCATCGATGCGATCGCAGTCCCAGAAGCGGACTTTTTGGTCTGGACCGCCGGTTATGGCGAAGGCATGTGGGGCTTCTGTGTCTTCCGAGACTGGGTTCAGTCCGAAGAAGGCGGTAGAGGTGAGCGCAGGTGCCGCTGGGTCGTCTTGCCTTGCGCTGGCTACGCGGCTGAGCAGGCCTTCGGCGCGGTCGTCGTCGAGGTTCTTGAGCTCGTAGTCTTTTGGGTTCAGGCGCTCTTTGCTGTGCGGATGCGACGGGCGGAAGACTTCGTGGCAGATCACTTTCTCGATATCCCAGACTGTCACTTCACCTTTTGCTGTTCCGCCTGAGACGCAGACACGGTTTCTGCGCGCAGTCTTTCTGCTTGGATGGAGTTGTAGGCGAGTGATCGGTGCTGCGCTCGGGAATGCCCACGACCGTAGGCGCATGCGGAAGCGCAGGTCCCAGAGGTCGAGGATGCCATGCGAAGTACCTACCAACAACCAGTCGTGCTTGCGGCCGAGACAGAAGCAGGTGGGCGTACCGTGCTGAGCTGGATTACGGAAGTCGAACAGTATCGACATGTATCGCAGATCGATCGCCAAAATGCGGTTCAGGTTTGTCGCCAGCACAAGTGTACTGGCGGTTTCGCCGCGGTAGTGCTCTGACCACACAGCGTACTCAGGCGTAGGGCTGGCCGTAGGGATCTTCCAGGTGCGCAATGCCTGCAACTCGCTGTACCGTGGCCCATGTTCGCCTTCTGTCAGAGGTACCTTGTAGAAGTGCACGCTACCATCTGACCCTGTGCAGACGAACGAATGCGTCGACTCGATAAAGCACACACTCGTGACTCTAACATCAGACCCCAGCGACTGCTTGAACCGAGAGCGATGCGTGACGTTGCGTTCCAGACGGGAAGTGTCCCAAACGCGGAACTCGCTGTCGTCGGACACAGTTATGAAAAAGGCATGATCCGGCGCCACAGCGATCCGATTTACCCGGGCAGAATGCTCCCCAAGCACAGCGACAAGTTGTCCTTGCGGTCTCCAAGGTCCTTTCGTGTTCTGAGTACTGCTGGAAGGTATCGGACCGCGTTTACGCGGCTGGATGATCGGGCCGAACTCCGCCGCGTCCGTGGGAAAGGTATCGACGTATACGGCGTCGAGGAGCCGCAGGACCGTTGGATCGTTGCCGGCGTAATTGTGCGCCACCCGACTGCTGGTTGTGCGGCTGAGTGCTTTTCTGCGTTCCTTCGAGTGTGGCGACGTCATTCGAGATCCTACAGCTGGCGAGTTCAGTCTGCCTGATGCCGTCGCATCGTCTGTCGCGACTTCAGGTAGCGACTTGTTGCGAAGGTCATTTCCACCGAGGTATCGTGCTGCACTGCTTCTTCGCTTCAACAGTCGAGCGCCGTCCTTTCCGAGCAAACCGATGCCTGAGCCTGGCGAGGCGGACAGGCTGTCACCAGATCCAGACGTCTGTCTTCGAAGATCTGGCAGCTTCAGCGGGCCTGGCTTGCCGTTCGCATGTTGCTTGATGTCGATGCCATTTGTGCCGGCTGCTTCTTTGACGCCACTGTGTTCAGAGCGAGTCGGACTCATGGCCTCTTTCATGACGGAAACAATGTCCTGGTTCGAGGAGCCTTGGCCTGCCAAACGTTGCTTGTAGACGTTGACATCGCTGTCGAAGATAACAGTCTGTGGTGTGATTTTGAGGGTGCTAAGCGCTGCCACTTGGTCGAACAGCCCGTGAGAGTCGGTGTCAGAATCCTTCTTCGATCGCTGTGCAGCGCGCCATAGGTACTCTCTGAACGCCATGATTTTGATCTCGTCCTCGCTCCTCATGCCGGCGTTACGCAGGCGCCCGAGCCACTGCTCATCTTCATCAGACCTCGGAGCTTTTGCAAGTGACTTGGGACCGAGATCTGCTACAGACGAGGTCGGCGGCATTTGGGTAGTGGCTCGGTACGAAAGCTGCTTCGAATCTCTTGCCTGCTTCCAGAAGACGCTTTTGTCGACTTTACTTGCCCATTGAAGGGCCAGATCCAACACAGCTCGAGGTAGTGGCTTCTTCAAAGCATCCAGAACCTCTTCTTCTGACAGCTCTCCAACGGGTATTTTGAGATATGGTTTGATCAGTGGTGCTGCAAGGATGCGAACGTCAGCCATCGAAAGGTAAGTCGTCGCAGCGGAGATAAAGTGGCAAGCCGCTTCCTTGATCCACATGTTTGGATGCATCTCGAAGCGCGCAACAGTATCGATGAGCTCCCATGTCTTCGGTCTTTGCAATAGTCCTATCTCAGCCATACTTGCGAGCGATCTGAGAGCTTGCTCAACCACGAATTCTTGAGGATCAGTGAGTGCCTGCAGCATCAGCGGAAGAATGAACTCCTCCAAGCTTGCGCCTCCAATGTATACGGCGACGCCAACGATAGTCCGGAAGAACGCGCACTTCAGCATCCAATCTGGGTCGTTCAGGTATGTGTTGAGATGGCTGAGAATGACATCGCTTGCTCGTGCCTCACCGAAGAACACACACAACGTTGACACGGAACTCAAGAAGGCTCGCTTGACAGCTGTGTCCTTGTCTGTGATGAACACCTTGGTCTGCTCTTCGAAGTTGTGCAGCATTTCTGCCCGCGTAGTATCATAGCCATCGCGAGGAGTCTGGGAATCATCTTCAATCGCCTTTTCTGTTGCCGGTAGTGATCCATCTGCTCTTAGGGCCTGCATCATGTCCAGGAACCGTGAAGCTGTCTCCGCAAGGCTCGCAAGGCAAGCGGCGTACGTAGCTCGGACGATCGGGTTTTTCCTGAAGCCTTGGCTGCGTACAAATACTTGCAGTCGAGGGAAGATGTACTGCGTGAACAGAAAGGAGTTGACGGGGGTGATGACTTGCACCAGCGCCAGGAGTTGTGTCATGGTTCTGAGCGCAGCAACCAATACCATCTCGTTTTGGTCATCTAGTAGCGGCATTACATATGGTAAGATGCGGTCGAGCTTTGCTTCATCCGGCAACCTTTCGGCAAAGGCGAGCAGTAATTCGCATCCTCGAACCTTTGATGATGCTCGCGCTGTGCTTCGCAAAGAAGCAGTGACGACATTTAGCAGGATGAACGTTCCGTTGTCGATGTTGTGGACAAGGCCCGTGGTAGCTGTATGACGATCGTTCGGCAGGTCTATCTGCAGTGGGAACAGTCCTTGTCCTGTGCCTGGCAAATGAGGAGATCTTGAAGGCTGCACGGCCTCGTAGCCTAGTGAGATTGAAAGCATGTCGAAATCGGAGTAGATCCTGTCGATCCGGTCGTCTGATACGCCGTTGTTCGTACCATCAGTCATTACTGGCTTGTAGCCAGGCCCTGGATCGGTGACCTCCTGCATGAGCGTATGCAGATGCTGGTAGAAGTACAGCGGAAAGGCTTTGCCCTTGTACTCGTCTAAGTAGTCCTGAGCATGCCATCTCTCCTGCGGGTCCAACCGGATCATGCTGCTGATAAGTCCTCTGACGTGCTCGCTTTCGACCTTGCCCAGCAGTTGCACTGTAGGGTCGTACTCGCCTTTCCTGTATTTGAACAGCTGGCTGAGAGTGAAGGTTGATGTCTCTGTGAAGAGCTCCGCGATGACGCAGCCTAAGCTGAAGATGTCCATGTTCCACTGGACGTCGTTCTCATCTAATGGCTTCTCACCAGCAGCAAGAAATCGTTCTGGTGCGAGGTAGCATGTCCGTCTGGCGGAAGTGTCGTAATAGAAGGAGAAGTCTGCTGGATTGTCCTCGGGAAGATAGACAGGTTTGAAGGCTGAGGCGAAGTCCGTGAGATACACCCATCCCCAAGACGTGACGAGCACATTCTCCGACTTGATGTCTCCGTGGAAGACGCCGCGAGCGTGGCAGTCTCTCACCGCACATAGCAGCTGGAAGGCAAGCCACTTCTTCTCGATGATCTCCAGAAAGGGTCTTATGCTGACCCGGTCGTAAAGCGAGCTGTGGATGAATTGTCGGACCAGTATCCCGAGCGTTGGCGTCTCCCGGATCCGCTGGTAAGGCAGGACATTCGGAACGTCCCTCAGCCTTGATCGCTCCGCCTTGAGAAGTTTGGCGTATTGCTTGAAGGAGACATTAGGACCGGTCTTCGCGCACACTTTGACAACGACGAGCCCCTGCTGATGCCTGGCTCTGTGTGTTCGGAGGAAGCGAGCACCGCCTAGCGACTTCTCAAAGGTCAAGTCTGCCAGCTCAGTCGTCTCTATCGCATTTGGACCTGCCGCGAGGGCGCTCATGGAGTAAGACTGGCCCATCGCGCCGTTGTCTCATGGTCTGGGTGAACGAGACCTGGATGTGAGTTGGCTCGTCCTTAAAGGTGGGTGCCCTCTAATTCGGGATAGCAACTCGTTTCCATCGTCCGGTACTGAGGTCATCGAGGTACGTGTCGTACTTCTAGCATGATGTGCACAGGTCGAGATATGTTTGTCCACGCGATCAAGAGATGAGGTCCAAAGCACATGCTAAAGCGCCACCCAGCCCAGCCACTGTGGCGCTCATTCACGAGCACGTGGATGCTAATACATGTGATTACCTGTACCTATACATGAACAAGGAAAAGAGTAATGTCAGGATAGGAGACAAAGTCCATGGAGGATGCAAGAGAGATGTATCGGCGAGGTTCTATATGCTCTCCCACAACTCTGCCCTATGCAACCATCTCATATCGTCCGTTCGTGTGCTGTGGCAGAAACTTGCCGGCAGCATAGCCCAGCAGTACTCTCAACACAACCCATCTCTACTGAGGCCCAAACGCCCCCTTCTTCTTCAACATCTCCGCCTCCTCGTCCTCAATCTCCTTGTCCTTCTTCGCGCCGGACGATGGCTCGTTGCCATGCGCCTTGGCCTGTGAACTTGTCAGCCGTCTGCCCAATCCAACCCCTTCTCGCCTCTATGCTTTGTATGAGAACGTACCGGCAGTGTAGGATCAATCTTGCTCTGCTTCGTCTCCATATCCTTCTCCGGCTCAGGCTCGTTCTGACGCTTCTCTTCGCGTCCGAGCTTGTTTGCGATCGATCGCTCGTCCTCTTAACGGGCATTAGTACGAGTCGACGGTGCGGGGAGGGTGGTACGGACTGGAGTCTTGAGCAAGGTGAGAGTGAGGCTGGCCCTCCTTGTAGCGCTCGGCCTCCTGCTTCTCGCCTTTGCTGTAGTTGCGCTGGGGAAAGTCAGCAGCTTCCAACGGTGTGGAAGATGGAGGTGTCTACCTGGTCGCCAGCCTCGTAGGTGCGGTGGTCGCCGACGTTGGAATTGGAGCTCATCTTGACGGTGGTTGTTTGTGTTGTTTCGAGGTAGGGGTTGAATGGTGTGTGATATTGCAGGCTTCAGTCAACATTGAATCGCAAAATTCAAGCCCCGCCATCCCACATCATGACGTTGTTTGCGCACAGACGAAATATGAACAGCACGCGACCTTTAATCCAACTAGACGACGCTGTAGATGCATGTTCAAAAATGACAGAGGCGAATGAGACAAGCCATTTGCTACGGCTCCCAGCTGAACATCTGGCCCTTCTACCTAAATGACTACCCCGACATAGGCAAGCCCCATCATAAGAAGCCAGCACTCACAGCAGTCTCGAAATCCATTAGAGCAGAGACATGGTCGCTACACTAAGCACACTGCACCTTGACCATCCCAGGTAGCATCAACCGTAACTGCGCCGGCACCTCCCTCTCCCGCGTCTTGGGACCGCCAGATCCGCCCGCTCAACCTGGCAAGCAGCACGCTGTTCACTGTGCGCTTCGACCCGGTGCCCAGATTCCTCGAGGAACAGGTTGTGCCCTTGAGGTTCCACATCGAGATGGAGAAACGTAGCGATAGCTTCACTATCAACCACGAGTACGGTCGACGGTGGTTGGAGCGCAAGGACCGAAAGTTTTGTCCAGGAAACTTCGATAACATTGTAGCTGTTCTGGAGCGGGAGCTCTGCGTCGTGCTGAAGTCTCTCGTAAAGTACCCTGGCATCGCAAAATTCATTGCTAGAGATCTAGAGCGGCTGACAGGATTGGACTGGCGCCTCCTGCCGGCACCGAAGTGGTAGGGTCGTTGAGAGGAAGCAGGGGGACGACGTGCCATATCATCAGAGCCTTCTTGCAAGATCGAGACGGTATACGTTTCATGACGGCTGCTCCAGGGTATCACAGTTCCTCAAGAGCGCCACGCATCGCTGCTGTCCTGTCCTGTCGCCAGAGCCTGGCTTCCGAGGCGAACGGACCTCTACTCAAGCTCGATGGTCGCTGGAGGCTTGCTCGAAACTTCCACAGGTTAGCAGGGTCACCAGTGGTACTGAAAACACGAGACTTACTTTCGTAGAACACACGCGCCACACCATCCACCTCGTTACCAATCCGGTTCCGCACCTGCCTGAGCACTTTCCACTCGAACTCGAACGCGTCTGCTGTCATGAAGTCGGTCGTCTGCACAGCGCGTAGCCCGACAACATGGCCATGCAACCGCTGATCGCCCACGACACCCACGGCTTTGCCTTCGAACAGAGCGGCAAACGCTTGGCTGATCTGCTGGTACAGTCCAGCTTTCCGAATTTCCTCGATGAAGATCTGGTCCGCCTCCTGAACGATCCGCACCTTCTCAGGCGTGACTTCGCCAATGATGCGGATAGCAATGCCAGGACCGGGGAAGGGGTGGCGCCAGACGAGGTCTTCAGGAATGCCGAGACTTGTGCCGAGCTCACGCACTTCGTCTTTGAAGAGTTCGCGCAGAGGCTCAATGAGCTTGAGCCGCATCTTCTCTGGGAGACCGCCAACGTTGTGGTGTGTCTTGATGGTGGCACTAGGGCCTTTAAAGGATATCGATTCGATGACGTCCGGGTACAGCGTGCCTTGGAGGAACCATTCTATCTTCCCTGCTCGAGGTGTATTTTCAGCCTCCTTTGCAATCTTCTCTGCCTCTTCTTGGAAGCACTCGATGAAAGTGTTGCCGATGATCTTGCGCTTCTTTTCTGGATCTGTAACATCCTTCAAGAGACCCAGAAAGAGCTGGCTTTTGTCTAGTACCGTCAGGTTGATGCCGAGGCCTGCTGTCAGCGTTTTCTCAACTGTCTTGGCTTCGTCTTTTCTTAGTACGCCATTGTCGACCAGTACAGCGTGGAACCGGTCTCCGATGGCTTCCTGCATCAGCTTGGCAGCGACTGTCGAATCGACGCCTCCGCTCACAGCACCGATGACTTGTCCCTTGTCGCCGACAAGCCCTCGTATCCGTGCAATCTCCTTGTCGACGAATGCCTCCATTGTCCAGTCTTGTCGCGCCTTGCAAATGTTGGCCGCGAAGTTCTTGATCACCTCGACACCTCTAGGGGTATGCGTAACCTCCGGATGGAATTGTACGCCGTAGTACTCCTTGCTCTCGTGCGCGATCCCGGCAAAGGAAGAATTCGCAGATGTTGCAACGGTTACAAAGCCGTCCGGCAACCGACCGAGCTTGTCACCGTGCGACATCCACACGTCCATCTCATCCGGCAGACCCTCGAACAGCTTGCTCACGTGCGCTTCCTTGCCCACATGTTTCTCCAGTTGCAGCGCAGCATGTCCGTACTCCCTCTTCGCTCCTGCGAGCACGTCCTTGCCGTGATGCCAGGCCAGCTCCTGCAGTCCGTAGCAGATGCCCAAGATCGGCACATCGAGAGCGAACACATCTGGATCCACGTGCGGCGCGTCAGGCGCGTAAACGGAGTATGGCCCTCCTGAGAGGATCACGCCTTTTGGCTTGAATGGCAAGTCCTTGACCTTCTGGGTGCATGGGAGCATCTCGGAGTAGACATTGAGTTCGCGAAGTCGGCGGGTGATGAGGTGGGTGTATCTGTGATTGTAGAAAGTGGAGAGTCAGCGTCTCCTGCAGAGTCTACGTTCATGCGAAGAAGACGTACTGCGAGCCGAAATCAAGGACGAGTATGGTGTCGAAGATGGTATGCGGAGGGGGAGGCAGATCGCCGTTGATGTTCGTTTTCTCTTGCATTTCTGTAGTACGTTGTAGAGACGGGTCAGTCTTCGAGCCAGCCTCTCCGTTGTTTTGCGCCATCTTGTCTGCTTGTGAGAAGGTGTACTTCGAATGCGACAGACTCATGTCCAGAAAAGTTCGAGGGAAATCGCGTTCTGTTATCGATAAGACATTCGCGCTAAGGAAAGTTTAAATCTTTGGTGGATCTAGACGAAGATTTGTTCGAGTTCAGCTTGGACTGGGTCTGAGAAGAACGAGAACATCAGGTTGACAACCAATAGATCAGGCCAAAACGAGTTCAAAGTTGTTTAATAACTCGAGGCCTGCACTTCAAATCCACAAGACACGATGGTGAAGCGAAAATCCGGCGTCGACGACAAAGCGCCATCGAAGGACAAGATGGATGTCGATGGCGAAGACAGCGGCAGCGATGATGTATGTCTGAATCAAAACCAAAGAATACGGCATCAAGTCGACTAACACAACACGGCAGGACGAACTCCTCAACGTGGACTTCGAATACTTCGACCCCTCCCCCGCCGTCGACTTCCACGGCCTCAAAACGCTCCTCCGCCAACTCTTCGACGTTGACAACCAGCTCTTCGACCTCTCCGCCCTCACCGACATGATCCTGGCCCAACCCCTGCTCGGCTCAACAGTGAAATGTGAAGGGACCGAAAGCGACCCTTACGCCTTCCTCACGGTCCTCAACCTCCACGAACACCGAGATAAACCAGTCATCCAGCAACTAACCAACTACCTCATTGAGAAGACGCGGAGCTCTTCCTTGCGCCTGGAGTCATTATTGGGATCGAGCAGTAAATCCCAAATCGGCCTCATCCTCACCGAACGCTTCATCAACATGCCCTCCCAAGTCATCCCACCCATGTACAACATGCTCCTCGAAGAAATCCAATGGGCCAACGACGAAAAGGAACCCTACCAATTCACGCACTACCTCATCATCTCCAAGACCTTCACCGAAGTCGCTTCCAAGCTCGACGTCGAGGACGACCGGCCAGCGAAGAAGTCGAAGAAAGTAGCGAATGCGGTGGGAGAGACTTTTTACTTTCACCCCGAGGACGAGGTGTTGGAGAAGCATGCGCTGGCGACACTGAGGTTTGAGTATGAGAAGCAGGGGGAGGAGGGAGCGAGTGATGCAAAGAGGGCGTTTCAGGAGATGGGGGTTCGGCCGGTGGGGAGGTTGACGTTGATCGAGAGGGAGAAGTTTGAGGGGGCCGTGAAGGCTGTGGGGGAGTATCTGGGGTCGGAGGCGTGATCTGACTCGAAGTGCTGGCTTGTAATGCATGAACGAAGACTATGTTGGTATCAGCTGAGAGGCCTTGAGCTGGCCAAAAGGCATTGAGTGAGCTACCAAGACTTTTTCAAACTGTACAACCCTAGCGAACGCTCAATCTCATATCCCAAGAATCAAATCCGCCAGCACCGCGCTAAACCCAGCAAAAGACCGCTTGGCAGGTCAACCGCATCAATAATACCCCTGCTGCGTATTCTCCTGAGTGTAATGCTGTCCGAACCCCGGCAAATCGCTCCCACCCTGCTCGTCCATCCCCTCGAGATTCATAAACTCGTCCAACCCCGCCGTGTCCGGAACCTGATCCTGCATCTCCCCCGGCCTTGACACGCGAATCTCATCACTGCTCATGTTCTGCGCATCCGCTGTGTCGAAGCGGGGATCAATGTCCATCGAATCCTGCGTCCCGCCCAACCCTTCCAGCGCTGGGTCCACGTTGTCCGGTAAAGGTGGGTCGACACCATCTCTGATCTCCGCATTCGGCGGTATGGACTGCATGAAAGCCTCTCTTCGCGTAGGTCTATAGACATTTTGTCGTGGAAGGCGAGGCAAATGCGCAGCACGGTTAGCGCCGATGCAGTCACCCCGCGAATTCATCCAGAGCGTGGCCTCGGAAATCTCGCCTTTGCGCGCGGCATCTTCGAACTGAGGCTGTGCGACGATGGGCAGGGCGAGGCTGGCTTCGTACCAGCGGCCCTTGATGTCGTTGAGTTCGTGCCGGCTGTTGATTGCGGTGAGTTTCCAGTAGTGCGCGGTGCCTTTGGCGCGGATGGAGAGGTTGTTGCGGAAGGCGAGGTCTTCGGTGAGGCGGGGTGGCAGTTGGGGGTTGTTCTGAGCGGAGGCGAAGGTGGGGGTTGAGGGGTTGGTGTGTTGGACGCGTTGGATGGTGTAGACGTCGCCGATTAGGTGCACGGTTTGCTGTTGGAGTTCTTGGCTTGTAGTCGTTCTGCGAACCATGATGTTGTGGAGGACGAGTATGTCGGTGCCCGGTTGCAGGCGCAGCGCGTCGCCTACCCATAGCTTCTCCGCGCCGAGATACATGCCAGCGTAATTCTCCACCGTCACGCCAGACTCTAGCTCAGCAGTTCTAACGCTGGCGAAAGGAGTGTATGAAGCATCCACACTCTTAGCGGCCAGGATACTAGCATCGACTTCTGCGTCGCCGGTGCCGTACTTCTTATGCATCATTAAACCGGCCCAGTCGACGTTATCGTATCGCGCAGGCTCTACCAACTGGTTCAGACCATCATTGGTGTATTTCGGGACACTCCAGGCAAGCCAGGGACGCAGCTCGGAGTCGGAAGTCTTTGTCATGGCAGACGGGTGGCCGAAAGGATGCGAGAGCGGTTGGACGGAGTAGTGGTTCTGACCATCCTTATTCTTCCATCGCCGTAGAACTACACCAATCCCCCAGGCCGCACCACGACTGAACCACACGACCTCGCCCGGCCGATAGAAGAAGCTGTTGTATTGGCGATCAATGGTCTGGTCTGTGGACTTCGCTGGCTCGAGTCTAGTGGGAGTGAGTGTTCGCTGCTGAACTGGTACGGGACCACCGGCCTCCTGCTTAAGCTTGGTCGTGCCCTGCGCGCTCCCTAGCCTCATCATACCAGTCCCGCTCGCTCCTGCCTCCACCTTAAATGTAGGCGTTGTTGCTTTTGGCTTTGTGTTCGGTACAACATCATCCAAGTCCTCTGGCGAGCAGATCTTGCAGCCACAATTGTCAGGATCACCGCCCTCGTCGGTGCAGAGCCATAGCAGATGTGGGAAGAAGTCGCCAGGGCTTCGATATCTCTTCTTGCGACCTGCTGGGTGTCCATACAGGTAGGCGTCTTGTCGGTCATTGCCACCTCCTGCATGAGTCTTGCTCTTGATCTCCGTCTTGCCATCTTTCACCGTCTTCTTCACGTGCTCATACAGGCGATAGTTCTCTGGGAGTGCTACCAGCATATATCCTGCGTCTGTGCAAATGTCAGTACGCTTTTCGAGGATGTGTTAAGTTCAACTGGAGCCAAAAAGCAGAACCATGCCCCATGGGCCTGAAAGAGGATTCCATAGCCCCAAGATTAAAATGTACAAAGGAGGACTTGTATACTGCCCCGAAAGACTTACATACCACTGTCTTGCTGCGCTTCCTTGTCCTTCCACACTAACTCTCGAGCCAGCATACCGCCCAACTTCCTGCGCCAATCCAGATGCTTAGATTCGTCAATTCCCACCTCGCGGTAGTAGTCGCTAATGCCATTGCGATCTGGTTTCTGGTCGAGCTGCTCGTCGGTGGGCTGGTTGGTCTCGCTGCGCTTGCCTTTCGCCAACACCTCACGCTTCCCGTCGCTGCGCCGGACATAGAGGGGGTAGAATCGGGCCATGGCGGTGACGGATTACTGCTACATTCGTAAGATGGATATGGGTCAAGGTAGGGCGCATGCCATCGCACTCGAGAGTCTGAGGTCGAAGGGTGACTAAGCAAGATTTTCTCGACCTCACGGTAAGACGCGCCTGAGTCAACGCGTTAAGTGAGTCTCCTCTCCCTTTGCATACTGCATGCATCACGTTTGGGAGGCCATTGCGAGTGCCTTTTCTAGCAAACATAGATTGCGGGCTGTCGAGAGTGTTTTGATAGAGCAATTCTCGAGCTATTGACACATTTGGAGGCATTTTAGAGGAACATCGGTATTGAAGGCATAGAGTCGCATTGGAGAACTTGGATCACTTCGACGAGAGGTGCATTGGATCACACGGCCAATCAGGAGGCTCGACCAACCTCACCACGTGCGTATCAGCAGCAAGCAGTCTCAGTTGACGTGACCTCACTTGGCCACCCATGGACGTCGACCCGCTGTCGACTCACCAAACACCCCCTTCCAAGCGGCGGAAGTTGCTGGCTGTCATGCCCCCTGCCCCCAAACTGTCCGATCTCTTGTCAGCATTTGGTGCCAGAAGCATCCCAGCCAGTGTCAGCAAGATGGCCAATGTGGCGGATGTGAAGAATCTGAGGCAGCAGAGACCCGTGTTCAGCTACGCCGAGTCGGAGGCCACCGCCTCGCCAACCAAGACGGACAGTAGCAGCTTCGACGACACACCACCAAAGTCCTCGAAGACGTCTATCGAGAAGGATGAGAGCAGCGAAGAGAGCGAGGACGAATTGATCTCAGAAGATGTGATCCAAGGTACGTCTCCGGCACCAGCAAATGTGGTTCAGGGCTAAGCATTACTCCAGTTGTTCCGCGCCGTTCGACTGGCACCCGCGAGCTGCCTAACAGATCGACCAGGAGCTGTGTCAGCTATGCATCTCCCAAGAAAAAGTACAAGAAAAGTGCAAAGGCACGCAAAGCAGCGAAGGCGACCAAGCTCACTTCCAACCTGAACGGTAACGTGACTTCAAAGACGTCCAAACCCACAATCAGCACCGAGCGAGACAAGGTCCACGCGAACATTGCCGCCTTCACCAAGCCAAGACGTGATGCCTTCCTTCTCGCCAACAAGGAGTACTTCCAGCCTCTTCTGCCAGAGACCAGCTACATCGACAAGCTGCAACGTCTTCAAGACATGAAAGGAGATGAGGATGTGGAGACTGTCCCTCATGTCGCTCTCACGCAGCAGCCGAAAGGCATCATGGCAACAATGAAGCCATACCAACTCGAAGGTCTGTCTTTTTTGGTGTACATGCACAAGAACGGCATGCCAAGCATTCTCGGTGATGAAATGGGTCTCGGAAAGACGTTGCAGACCCTCGCGCTGTTCCAGTGGCTGCGCGAGAGCGAGCCAAAGACTGGCGAGCCTCGACCATTCCTCGTCATCTGTCCGCTCAGCGTGCTGTCGTCCTGGATGAACGAAGCGAAGAAATGGGCACCTGCGTTTAGAACTGTACGCTTCCATGGGCCAGTCAAAGAGCGTGATAGGCTGAAGGACGAGTGCCGGGTCGCTGGCCAGGCTGCGAAGATTGACATCATCGTCACCACCTACGAAACGTTCACCTCCGAGCAGAACTGGTTCAAGCGAGCCTTTGTTTGGCGCTACTGCGTTCTCGACGAAGGCCACAAGATCAAAAACGAGAAGTCTGAGGTTGCCCACTCGTTGCAGAGTTTGAAAGCAGAGTACCGCCTGCTACTGACCGGCACACCTCTTCAGAACAATCTGCAGGAGATGTGGGCATTGCTGCATTGGCTGTACCCAGACGTATTCGACGCCAGGACTTCAGAGGAGTTCAAGCAAGCTTTCGATCTCACCAGGGGCAAAGTATCGAGAGATTTCATGGATCATGCTCGTGGCCTTCTTGAGCTGGTTATGCTCAGGCGCATGAAGTCCAGTCCTGGCGTCAACCTTGGTCTGCCACCGAAGGAAGAGGTCCTGTTGTACGTGCCGCTGACGCCGATGCAACGCTTCTGGTACACAAGACTCCTCACCAAGATGGACATTTCAACACTCGACCAGCTGTTCAAAGGGTCGAAGAGCAAGGAGATCGTATCAAGGCAGCACGAAGCTGCGGTTGATCAAGCACAGCTCAGCCTTCTCAAGAAAGCAGAGGAGGAGCTGTCTACTGGTGCTGGCGTCTCTGACGATGTCTGGGCCGAGAGCAGGGAGATCCTAGAGAACGGCATCCAGAATGAGGTTGCGGACGTCGAGAAAGGCGAATACAAGAAGCTGATGAACCTGATCATGCAGCTTCGCAAGGTGTGCAGCCACCCATATCTGCTCCCACACGCCGAGCCAAACCCCTATTACTGGGGTGAGCACGTCAAGACTGCTTCTGGCAAATTCATGATCCTGGACAAGCTGGTCAACGAGCTGGTTGTGAAGCAAAAGAAACGAATCCTCATTTTCGCGGGGTTCACGAAGACTCTGAGCTTGTGTGAGGAGCTCCTGGCCCTGCACGCAACCACCGACAACTCCTTCCGGTACCTCAGACTGGATGGCTCGACATCGCGCGCTCGTCGCAACCTGGGCATCCGCATGTTCAACGACATCAGGAGTGACTTTAGGGTCATGCTCATCTCGACGAGAGCAGGTGGGCTGGGTGTCAACCTTGCTTCCGCTTCAGATGTGGTGTTTATGGATGAGGATTGGAACCCACAGATCACTCTCCAAGCGGAGGCTCGCGCTCATCGCATTGGTCAGATGCAGAAGGTGACGGTATACAAGCTGTGCTCTCAGGGTACGGTCGAGGAGCAGATGCTCGGGCGAATCAGGAAGAAGCTGTACTTGTCTGTCAAGGTCACGGAGAGCATGCGCAACATCCATTCAGGCGCCGCCCAGGGCAGCAAGAAGCGCAAGCGCGGCCCTTCCACCAGCGCCTTGGAGGATGATACACCGCAGCTCGACACCGGGACTTTGAAGTCACTCATCCGCCGCGGTGCCCAGACGCTCTCAAGGCCGGACGTTGATGTTAAGGAGATGCTCAACTGGGACTGGCAGACCACGCTCGAGAAGTGCAAGGATCAGCCGATGGATACGCATGACGATGCCGACGTCTCCGCAGACGAGACAGTGGAGGAGAGCTGGTTGAACACTATGGAAAAGGTTGAGACTGCTGTCTTCGAGGGCAAGAGGCATCAGAAGGCGATCGAGCAGGCTGCGAAGGAGGATGCTAAGCTTGACCGCGCCGATCGCAGGGTCGGCAAGAACACCACTGTCATGGTCGACGGCTTCGCGATCAACAAGGAATCCATGGGCTGCGGTGACTGGGAAGCCGTACCCACGTTCGCAGGCAAGGACCCACGTCTTGCCGAACCGCCGAAGCGCAAGATGGTGCAGGTGCCGAACCAGGACTTCTGCCAGCATTGTTGGGATGGAGGCGACCTCGTCTGCTGCTGCGGCTGCCCCCGGAGCTACCACACCAAATGTCTGGAGAAGTCTTTTCAGCTGAAGGCCAAGTCTACGTTCGCTTTGTTCTACTGCCCGCAGCATGAGTGTCTGGACTGCCAGTCCAAGACGCAAGACGCTGGAGGTATGATCTACCGCTGTCGCTGGTGCGAGAATGGATTCTGTGAGGATTGTCTGGACTGGGATAACACGAAGCTGATTGGTGAGACGTTGCCGGAGTATGAGATCTTGGGTCATCCGGCCAAGGACAATGCTTGGTACGTTCCTTCCTCCGCACATCGTCTGAGATATCTGCTGACCACCTCTATCCAGGTACATCGAATGCCCAGCCTGCGTCAAGCACTACGCCGACAGCGACGAGGATCGCGAGGCGATGCTGCACGAGCAATCCAGGATCGACAAGGAGTACGCGAAGTTCGTCGCCTCGCAATCCGCTTTCCACACCAACGGCACTACGCCTGCGACGGTTTCTGAGGCGGGGACGCCGATGGGTGGAGACTTTGAGATGATACCGCCACCGGCGAAGAAGCTCAAGGTCGCGGACAATGGTGTAGGGAAAGGCATCAAGGTGGAAGCGGAGAGGGTTGTGATTGAGCTGTTCGATTGAGCTGTGAGGAGAATGTCCGGCGACGTTGTTAAGGTCTGATGGAGGATTGTACGAGGCCGTTGGAGGCTGTTCGAGGTTTGTGGATGTCTCACTCCCGCCACTGGGTCTGATGTGCGTCGCATTGGCGGCTTGAGACATTGTCAGGGGCTTATTCTGTCGAGCTTGGAGCCACTGCGCTTCGTGTACCATAAGTAGGTCTCAACCTCACCAAGGAATTTCTCATGCATCCCTTCCCTTTTCCTCTATATGTATGTGCAGTTCCTCAATGTACTCTGCCGGGTAAACGGATGGGTGCTGATTGGTTCTCCAGATGAAACAAGATTTTCCTGTATACACGGGCCGATCACATGTCAGAGCTGCACCTCCGTCAGGTTCTTCGAGCGGCACAGCAGCGCCGTACCAGCTCGCCAAAGTGCCCTGCATGGCGCTGTGGTTGTCTACTCTACCATCGACTGGCTCCTCTCCTCAACGCATCCCGGTGGTCCTTCGGCGTGGTATGGAGTCCTTCCGCTCTCGCAAGCCATTCTGGCATTCACTCGTTATGGAGTCCTTCGACTGGGTCCGGGCCGCTGCCTAGATAGACGGTAATCCACGCTCATTTTGTGGGTACAAAGACCACTTAATTCCGCTTCGACGTTTCTTTGTTCAAAGTGAATGTGCATGGACGCCTGGCCTTCGGTCTTATATCTCCCCTTTCTGGCTGCCTCGATCATTCGACATACACGCAGACGACAGCACCGCACGCTTGCGCAACAGAATAACCTCCCCTGGACGACGAAGCCGGGTACTGTAAACGCTTGCGAATTACACCCCCTGCGTCAACCAAGATGAAGATCATCACATCCAGAGTCGAGACGTTGCAACGAATGAACGAGGATCTGCGCATTGCCCTGGCAGTCGCCCGAGCCAACATGTCGCAGCTGGAAATGGAGAATCAGTCGCTCAGTGGAAAAGTGGCTTGTGCGGTAAGGGACGCTCAAAATGAAGTCGAATGGCGAGACTTCATGATCGCTCAGATGAAGAAACGCTACCTCAAGCTGAAGAGTCAGAGGCGTGGCGAAGACGGCACAGACTCGTTCGGCGTACAGGACGACAAGTTGTTTTGCAAGGATGAGAACGTGAGCTATGAGAACGATGAGCGGGAGGACGTGAACCGGGAGGACGTGAACCGAGAGAACGCAGACCAGGAGAACGCAGACCAGGAGAACGAAAACCAGGAGAACGAAAACCACGACGAGGACCATGGAGGCCATGCGCAAAACGAAGACAACGCTCAGGAGCTTGTAGCTCCGGTCATCAACTGCGACACCGCGCAACTCTGTGATAAAGCCGCAGACTCATCACTTGGGGTCGCAAATCAAGTTTGCAATCAGCCACTGTCATCGACAATCAGCACTGCTTCACTGCCTATTGAGATGCCAGAGCCGATCTGCACTCGTTGTCTATGGCACCGCGCCTGCCGAAGTCACAACGGGCCTGGCTCCCTCGAAAGTACGACTCGTCTCAACGACCAGGAGTACTACGGAACGAGGTCGCAGGTGTGCGCTGTGCCCGTTGACGTACAACTTGGGCTCATGAGGGCTGCGCTCGAGCTGGCACAGGAAGCACTCTGGTATTACCTTCGCAAGCACTGGCCCCATATACAGCGCCGTCTCTACCCTGAAAGCCCCAAAGAGGTCAAATTCGGCCGCGACGAGCTTGCAGACTCTCTTGGTCAATACTACACCAAGAAGAGCACCCTGGCGTTCTGCAATACACTCTGTATCTGCTCTTCGGTGACAAATTCAATGGCTGATCTTCGCAACGCAACCTACCACTTTCGGAGTATCCCTACCAGCTGGGTTGACTCTCATATGCAGAGCGCTCAGGCCATGGCGATCGAGGTCCTTGACGAGGCGAGAGCTACCAAAGTAAGGCAGCTGCGAGATGACCTTCAGGCAGAATCCACCAAGGCATTCGAGCTGATGCGCGGCCTCGTGTTTACAGCGGAGCTCAACGAAGCATCCTGGGAGATTCCGTGGCCATTGCACATTGAAAGTGACCTGAGATACCCTCGAGGCTATCCGGGTCCGCGGGACCAGAATGACGCTGTGAGAGAGTGTGCGGCAAGGCTCTGGAAAGAGAGACAGGGCGGTGTGTACGATCGAGACTATCCAGAGAGAAAGGCAGAGGCGGCCAAATTCATGAAAGCGCCAACCTTTCATCATGACGACAGCGAGAGGCTCGACGTAGCGACTTCGAGCGGCTTCGATGCCTCGTATCACGCCATCCGCCCCCTTCGCGTGAGCCTCTGCTTCGCTCGGTCTCTTCCGCCATCAAAGTTGGAGCGGAGGCCAAGTTTCTGGGCCCTTCCTCATAGCATTCGCGAGCAAGGTGAAGACCGGCCATGGGTGTGCGACTTCACAAAGCCTGAACCTGAGGCGGAGCTGGGACCAGAGGAGGTGCTAGAGGCAGAGCTCAAGGAAGAGTGGTCGGAAGAATGGGACAGGAGATGCTTTGAGGAGGCGGAGGGCCTCGACGAGAGTGCAGATCTGGAGGCAGAGTTTCACGAGAAGCAAGAGGAGAGCGCCTTAGAGGAGGCCGTCAAGCTCGATGAGGACGGCGGAATGGTCGGCTGGTAGGAAGTTCTGCAGCGCTACATCAATGCCTCGCCTAAGCAGCCATGGAAGATATAGATTGCTGAACAGGGACAGGGAGTTGTTAGCAAGCACGTGTTCCGAAATTACATAGTTGCGTCTCTACGTGTCTCTTTTCCGAGCCATCAGTGGTGTGCAGCCGTCCGTGCAATGCCTTGCCGTGTTCAAGATCGCCTCCAAAATCGTCCCTTGCGTAGACGGAGGCAGGGTTTCAGTTTCGAGCTCGTGGCTCAAGGGGTAGATTGGTCGTCGTTCGACTCCGGACAGTGTTACATGTTCGCACCCGTCATTCTGTGTTCCTAAAGCGTTATCATCACCAATATGCGGTGCCGGAAGCTCCCTGTAGATTAGTTGCATTTGGTCCCATTCGACCGACTTCTCCGCAGGTGCATATCGATGTGAGCTCACTCTACCCAAGTTAGCGTCATACTGGGCTGCGAACGAATCTCTGTCCGTATGCGCCTTGCCGAGAGATGAATTGTGTGCATTTGAAATGAAAAAGAAGTGTTTCATCGAATCGGACTCCGTAAGCAGCCAGCCGTAGCAGCCAGCCGTTCACATTGGTTTTGACTCAACAAGTTCTTGCACCTTTGTTCGTACTGCAAACTGGCAAACTCTGCAAGCTGCAAATCCACAATGTGCCTGTAGCGCAGGAAACACATTTCGAAGAGGAAACCAAAACAAACTTGCTGCCTACCTACCTATAGCGCAACGCTGCCGGCTCTGGCACAGTCACCTGTCCGACCTTCGGCCTTACCCTCCTTGACCTCCCACACCTTCTCACACCGACCTACCACTCCCGCAACCATCAATCAAGATGGACGCATGGACGAAGCACGCTGCTGCTGCGCAGCGAGGTGATCAACCACCAGCACAGGTGAGCGCGCGCCGCCCTGCTAGACAGGCTTAAGCTCGACCTTACTGACCTTCATACAGAAAGCCCTCACGGCCTCAGGGAGCAGTCAGGGAGGTTCCAAAAGCACTGCTTAGCTCTTCGACGTCAAGCGAAAGAAGGCGCATCAGTGGAAGGAGATAGCCTGCCAACAAGCTCAGGCGATTCGAAGTCTGCGGCAGTGGCTTGACGTGAGAGAGGAAGATAACGCGGGATTGACGCAGACTTGGGTAGACGATGAGCAGGACCCGGCAGCCAGCGACCAACAGTTATCCTGGGAATGCGTCAATGATTCCATTAATGGAGTGCGCGCAGGACCACAAGCGAACAAGGAACAGCTGCAACCCGGGACACCAAGGAGTGTCGCTACCTCAGCCGAAGCCATGAATTCCGAAGCGGTCGGGACACGATTGCGTCATTTGCGAGTGGTTCGAGACGCCGAGCAAGAGGGAAGAAGCAGGAGTCGGTCTCTTGAAGGTGCAATCTCGCCTAAGGGAACGCTTGTTCTACAACACGCCGGCCTCAGAATGCTTTGTTCGATCCAACTTCAAGAATCGTGTGCGAAAGCAAGCAATTGACACCGCCCCGGATGCAATGATGAGCAGGAAGGGGGTTTGGAGGTCAAGGTGCTGAGCAGAGTTTGATCTTTCGGGAGTTTGGTCTGGTACTTGCGAATGGAGGATCTGTGGGTCGCACTGAGATCGAAGATTCGCCAACTGCATGATGATTTGCAGCAGGAGGCAGTCAAGGCTCATACAATAATCGAGGAGCGCGCGAAGCTTGGGCAGCTAGAGGACAATCTGCCTTGGCCAGCGCACATCGAGCGCTATCCTCGATTCATCCGCTTTGACGCTGACGGTGTCTGTCACGACCCGTCTACAGAGGCTGCAAGGCATGCGGCACGCCTGTTCCAAGACTCAACCGACTTTCCGTGGACACGGTCTGGCATTGGCCAATCTCATGCCGAGTACAAGGCACGTCTCCGGGCTGTTCGATGCAGCATGGTACCCATCCCACCAGCAGGTCTCGATGAGCGCGATGATGAGGAGGAAGGTGGAGTGCCTGTCAGCCCCTTCCACCGGTTCGAGGTCACATTGCCTATCAGCATATCTCCTGGATCCGACGCTGAGGAAGGGGTTGGCGTGCGCATCAACTGTTTCGAAAGACCCAGCATTGAGCAAGATGGAGGAGTCTCAGTCACTCTCCTCGAACGAGGCAGTCGAGTGAGGGTGCGGTTCTCCGTCCAGCAACCAGAGAGCGAGTCCAGTCGTCGGACATCACAGCGGACCAGAGCATTGACCCCATCCTATGCCGAACTCAAACACGTCGTGAATAAGGCAGTTGAGTTGACTAGACAGGTTGCAACAGTTCTTATGACAACTGAGCAGGATCTTGGTCTCCTTTGGCTCCGCAAGTTGCTGGTGTTCTCGAAGCTGAATAGATCGCGTCGAAACGTGTCTGGTTCCCCAAGCCCTCTGTGCATAGTTTCGTTACTTCCTTGAATTGTAGGCGGCGTTTTTGTCGCCGTCCGCAACGTATGCGTAAAGACTTGCCTGCTCACTCCTCTTCGGCTGGCACTCTGCTGTGAACAGCCTTTGATGCGGCCAACAAGCACACCACAAAGAGGTGAATGCTATGTGTGTAGGCTTCTTCTCAACAAAGGAGTATTTCGTTGAAGGATTGTTCCTCGCAAATCAACGAATTCGCCGCTTTGGCCTTCCGTCCCTTTGTTCGCAAGTTGGACCTGCGAGACCTGGGCAAGCGCCAAAGCAGAAGTTGTGTTCAGTACGAGCATAGTCGGGGAAGCAAACCAAGACAAGTTGGCTGACCGCAATTGATCAAATTGACTGATGCTTCCGCTGCCACCTGTTCAATCTTACCTTCCTCTTCTTAGTCTCCATCGATGGGTGGCCATACCAGTGGAATTGTGAGCTTGAATGCCCTGTATCTTATACTGAACATCCACGTCGTATATTTCGATGTCGTCGCCTCCCTGCCTACGGCACAGTCCTGGCGAACCGTGCACCGTCGCATGGCGCCACGACTCCTTGGGTGAACAGGATGGCCCAACGTACCTATTTGTGGCGTCATCTTGTGTGAATGCGCGAAAATCTTTTTGACCGAGTGACCAGCCGCTTTGCTCAATACTGTTAAGATTCTTTCCAGCTTGCAACTTTACAGCTCGGTCACAACCACTGATAGCCCACAGCAACCTATTCGCCCACGATGGTGACTCCTATCTCGGAATAACATCATGGAGAACAGTGACCATCACCCTGCGCTGCAGCGCGCGCAGGGATTCCAGAGGCATTGCGTACAGTTGACCTGCGAGGTGCAGCGTCTCCAGGACATGTTGAAGGCAGAGCGTGAGAAGAACGGGTCCTTGTCGACGGATGAGCAATGGAAGCCCGACCCGAACGAGGGTGAAAGCGGGGATTTGTCATTGAGCGAGCCTGAAGATGAAGGGGGTGCATGGGGCAAGCGAGGAGCAGACGCACCTCAGGTGCAAGTGAGTACCAACGTTAGCCAGGAGCCGCTCTCGCAGGAAGTTGAAAGTGCCCAATAGCAGAGTCCGGACCCACCTGAGCCTTGGTGTACGAGGTGTCACCATGTCGAAAGCACCAAAGACTCCCACCACCAAGCGGTCGGCGCGCTGAAGCTGCGGTCGCGCCTGAACGATGAGGCCTTCTTCAAGACAGCCGCATCGCATGTGCCGGTTCCGTTTGACGTCCAAGATCGGATCCGGAAGCAGGGCCTCGGCGTCGCCCAGAAGGCACTGTGGCACCACACTCGCGATCACTGGCCACATATCCAGCAATCACGGTGGCCGGAAGGACCTGGGCAGATCTCCTTTGGCTGGACTGACCTGGAAGAGTCGCTGCTTAATAGTAGCACACATCCGAACACCGGGCAGCAGTGTAACGGGTTCTGCAGGCTCGTCTACGACAGAGCGGTTGCTGTCAGTCGCCTGAGAAACGCGACGTATCATTTCAAGTTCCAGGAGACCGAGGTCCTGGAACAGTGCCTCAAAAAAGCACAGGAGTTGGCAGTGTCGCTCTTCGATGAGACAAGGGCGTTCCAAATCCGTCAGCTCCGCGACAAGCTGCAAGTGGAGGCGATGAAAGGACACAGCATAATTGACGAGCGCTTTCAAGCTGGTCTGCTTGGTGACCATCCACCATGGCCCTATCACCTGGAGTACCTGTTCGCGAACATCAATTTCAATGCGGAAGGAGAGGTCTATTATGGCAATTTCTCCACAGTCACCAAAGAGGTTGCACTTGCCTGGCGAGCAAGGACAGCTTGGCCCGGATATGGTCGATTCATCGGCGATCGCAACTCAGGGTACCAGGGAAGAAGGACCATTATGAGCTCTCGCATGATGCCTGGAAGGCCGCCCGGGAACCCGCTGTCAGCACCAGCCGCAATTACAGCAGGTGCGTCTGTTACGTCGACACAAACAGTTCAGCAGCCGGGCCGAACTCCACAAACTGCGACAGGACAGATCGAGACGAACGGCCATCAAAGACAGGAGACCGCATCATCCTCTTCTGAGCCGACGGCAGGCATAACATTCAGCGTTGCGGGACCACGCAGCAGCCTGGTAGAGACCGAGAGTCGAAGACATGAGGCTGCCGTGGAGGCTCCGATATCAGCTTCGGAGGCATCCCTGAGTGTTGCCAATGTATCTGGCGAAGCGGAGACCCATACACACGGAATCCAAACAGCGGTCGAGTCTTCTGAGCCGGGATCGAACACAACGCCAACCATTTCGACAGGGCCGAGCGTGGAGCAGGCGAATAATCAAGGTGCTAGCGTTGAGTCCGCTCAGCCAGCGCCAGAGATGACCCAGAACGACTTTGATGATGACACCAACCTTGGCGGAGACACTGTCCCTTTCGGCTACCTCTAGAGCGCATGGGACCGCGCATCGTCATCGTGAATTATACCTGCGAATAGTAAGCACGCTCAACTTCTAACAGCGTGAGCCTGACCTGACATACAGGATGATCAAAAGACGACAGCGTAGAGGACGTTCAGCGCATCGTAAGAAGTCGATGCTCGAGCAGGCCTCCGTAAAACTTCGTTTGGTGGCGAATATCGATCAGTTTGTCCCTTGGGATTGGATTGTGGGACGCGGTAGTGAGCAGGATTAAGGTGTGCACCCGGTCTTTCTTGACGACCTCTTTGGGAGGATGAGCAGAATCTGGTCTTGGGCGGACTCGCGCACTGATAGATCGATTTCCGCTGGGTTTGAATGATCGCTTTGGATGCTAGTCACGTCTCCAACTGTCGGGACTCGCAGCAAGGAGGCTTCCACTAAATATCTTTAGCTTTAAGAAGCGATGGTACACAAGAGATGGTCCTCCTGGTGTCGCTTTAATAGTGAAAGAGTGTCGATGCGAGAGCTTGTAAGGCACCTTTCTGTCTCTGAGGGGCAGTCATACCTTGATGTTTGCGGAGAGGGTGGTCATACACCGCATAATATATTACTCGCCCATGTGTAGGCACCTAAGAACACCCCGCCTCCAATACTGATCCACATCGTCCTTGGGCCAATCCCACTGAAAAACACTCTGCCTCCCTCTTCCGCCCAAATCCTCCTCGTCAAGCCCACCGCTGTCTCCCGCTGGGTGGCAAGCATCATCCTCGTCTTCAGCACATCCAGCGGCGTAGTCAGTCCAGCAGCAATGGCGCCCGACACCGCGCCGAAAGCAGCACTCTCCAATCCAGAAACGTCCGCGGGTTTGCTCCCCTGTCGCTGCCGCAAAGACCATTTCTTCAAACCCTCCCAGAGCGGGAATTGTATGACGGTGAACGGCACCTCGCGCATCACGGTGATGCTCCAGCCTCTATACAGCTCCTTCCACATATAACCGAATCCATGCGTCTTCCTCTGGCCCAGTATATGCGTCAAAGCCGACAGCGAAGACGGATGCTGACGTGCTTGCGCTCTCTGCTTGATGACTTCTGTCGGCACTCTGACCGCACATGCTGCGACCTCGCCCAAACTTGCTGCCAGCATGTGCACACCAGCCTCTCCTGCTGCACTCCGCTTGCCGGAGGCATAGTATCGCTTCACGCCATCGTAGGTGACGAAGAAGAGCGCTGCGCCGGGCGCTGAGCCTACTATCGCCGAGCCGATGCCATTGTATACGCCGCGGAAGCCGCCAGATGCCCAGAAGCCGGTGGATGATTGAAGACGTGTCTTGAGAGTGTCAAGGGGGTATAATGAGGTGTCAACTGTCGTGCCTGCTACTGCGCCTGCCTGGAAATGTGAGTATACGGCCTGCGAGAGTTGGAGGTTTCTCGTACCAGGAGAGACTGTAGGTATGGCGAGTGCACCAATGGCTGGCGTGACTGCGATTCCATGCTGACGCAGAGTTGTCTTTCTGATCACCGCTCCATCGTCAATAACTTGTCGTCGTCGTCGTGAGAATGAACTGTTACCATGGAGTCTCGAAGAGATATATCGTCCCAGACAGGCAACTCCGGGCCGATAGTTTCGCCGGAGATGCAGTCTTTCTGACCACACCTTGTCGTTTCTGTAGCCGCCGTCTTCATCTGAACGCCCCGGATGGCCAGGGACACTGTTTCAGGAGCATTTCAATCTCTTCATCCATGGCAGCTGCGGTGAGATGTACGAGAGCCGCTTGATCACGCGTGGCAACCGTCCGGCTAGAAGACCGCGTATCAACACTGTTGTGTTGACGTTAAAGACGACACGCATAGCAGCATGCACCTAGAAGCTATTGCTCAAAGTCGACAGAGGTGCTCTCAAAATATACCAGCATGCTCTGCTTTACCCGCCATGCCAACAGCGCCAGACTGTTGCCGCCCGAAGAGGCACAGCAAGCGCATACCATCCGGACTGGCCAAGATAAGTACAGCGAGCTTAACATGTCTTTCCTCAAGCCTTTTTTCTGTCGATACTTGTTTCTCAATCGATAGCCAAGCAACATCATGCACAACTCATTCTTCAACTAAAACATCACCAGACCATACCCCTACCGATGGTTCACCCCGGTAGCTCTGATCGGAGCCACCATCCTCCTTGTCCTACTCTCCGTCATGAACTTCGTACAGAACAGCTATCGTCTCGAAGTCACATACGCTGACAACCCCAACTCAACAACCACCAACGGCATCTGGTACAGCCACTGGCCCTCCTACCTGACCAACAGCGTCAGGCCCACCTGCCAGCCCGCCAACCTCCCCGTTGGGACACAATTCTTCACGGACCAAACCGGCTTCACCTGGACCCTCACCAGCGTCTGGCAGCCTGGCAAACGAACCTCAGCCTCTCCGTCGCTCCCCTACCTCAACAACCCCCTCGAACAATGCAACATCCGCGACATCCAAGTCTCCTTCGGCAGCTCCCAGCTCGTCCAGACCGCCCAAAGCCTGGGCACCATCGTCACATCTACCGACATTCAAGTCCGCGCCTTCGTCACCTGCGGCATCTGGAGCCCCACGGGCTACATGAAATTCAACGCCACAGCAATGTACGACACCATCTCCCCAAACGCCGTCGCCGGCACCACGGCCTTCGTGGCCCAGAACCCCGCCGCGAAAGCAAGTGTGTACTGGGCAGAAGTCTTGCTCTCAGCCTACTGGCTCCAAACAGACGGTATAGCAGGCGGCGGGTACTTCTCAACCTATTCTCCCTACGCAGGCAAAGGCCTCGTGGTGCTCTACCCCAACCCACAGCAACCCAACATCACGGACTTGAATTTCTTCAATATGACCTACACCTTCCTCTCCGCAAAGACCGACCACCCCGTCGACTTAACCCTCTCCTCCGGCCCCTTAGCCCCGCTATCTCACTACGCGAACCGCGGACGTCTCTCCGACCTACTGTGGCGGCCTCTCGACGGCCTGACGAAGGCGATGTACTCTGCCGTTCTAACCGATCTGGGCCAAACCGACGCTCCCGCCGAATCCAACATCGTAGCCTCGGAGCAAGCGCTGCAGCAATTTTCCACCAACCTCTCAGCAATAGACTTCCTGTCCGACTTCTACCACCTTCCCTTAATTGAAGACAGTGACTTCAACACCACTCAACACTCCGACGACGCAACTGGTAAGCTAGGTCTGACGAGATCAGTTATCTCGACGAAGTATCTGTGCCAAGTCCCGCGGAGACGGCCCTGGGGCGATGTGTTTATTGCGGTGCTGCTGGCGGATTTGGTGCTGTTGCAGGCGGCGTGGAAGTTGTATACTTTTGCAGTGGATCAGGCTATGACAAGGGTGCGGGTAGGGAGCAAGTGGTGTGAGGGGTGCGTAGGGAAGGAGGAGGGAGGGGAGGATGGGGTTGCGGAGGCTGTTGAAAGGGCGTGGGGACGGTGGTATGGGCATGCAAAGGGAGCGAGCGCGGATGTGTCTGGTATGCGGACTAGTGGGACGAGTTTTAGCTGACCACATGTCGAACTTTCACTCCTCCGGCTCGGCCGAGCACCCGTATCCTCCGCCGCCTTAACACCCCTCTTCTTCCGACTCTCAAAACTATGTGACGTGGTGGTTGGTCCTGCAGTTACATATCAGTCAAAACGCCCAACATCCACGTCTACGAAATCGCTTCCATTACGAGTGCAGTCAAGAACAAGCAGGGCAGGCGTTGAAAGACAATGTTATCACATGTGGTCATGAAAGGTATCATACATGAAGTTGCCAAGCGGCCTCGTTCTATCTGACAAGAGAGGGCAGTTACAGCGTGCATTCCGAAGCACCCGACGTCCACCCCATCAGGCGATTCGCAACATCCGAAGCATAGCACGGCGTCGCCGTGTTGTCGTCAAGGTTCTCTGGCAAGTTGCCACTGTTGTAAATCACCGCCGCGCCAAAGTAAGCCTGGCAGCCAGTGTTGCCGGTCTGCGCCATAGTCTGTTTCAACCCATCGCCCGCCGGCGTCCCTCCAACACCATCGTTGACCATCTGCTGAATCTGACTCTGCGGGCACGGATTCATCACCTGCCCGTTGTTGCACGACCCGCTGCCGTCATGCGACTGGAACAATCCCGGGTTCACGACCCCGTTGTTGGTCGTGTGCACGCGCACGCACCCGTTGCTCTCTTGCATCATGACTGCCAGGACGAAGCGCTCGTCGACGCCGTACTGCTTCGCAGCGCTAAGGATGGCGCTCTTAATCTCGGAGATTTCTTGCGGCGTGTTGTTAGGGACGTTCCATTGGGCGCAAGAGGCTTGCATGTTGGGAAGGCTGGCGGACCAGGCGGATTCAAAGTCCATCCAGGAGTCTTCGGACGGCCAGCCGGCGGAGGGCGAGCCGTTGCCCGTGTACATTTTGTAGCCGCTGAAGCCGCCGCCGTTGCTTGGGGGTGAAGAGGAAGCGGAAGGAGAGGGAGCGGCGTAGGTTGATGGGGCGGGTGCTGCGCTGGAGGCCGGAGCTGATTCAGCGGGGGAGCTTGCTGGTGGGACCGGTGCGTAGGTTGAAGGTGCTGGGGCGGCAGAAGATGGCGCGGCCGGTGCGCTGGATGGCGCTGAGTAGCCGGATGGAGCTGGTGCTTCGCTTGATGATGCAGGTGCAGCGCTGGATGCACCCCATCCACCAGATGGAGAAGGGTAGCTCGGGGGACCAGCCGGAGGCGCGGCGGGAGCAGTAGAGTTTTCGCTGCCTCCGTTCCCGCAGTACTCCTCAGTAGTACCGCAGTACCCATATTGCGAGCAGCAGAAGCCAGGTCCGCAACCGTACCCAGTATCGCCACCACACTGCCCAATAGGGCTAAGGTTGTAAGTCGTCGGCATCTCCAGACCAGCAGGAGGACCTCCATGCTTCCCATGGAAACGGTGGTGTTTGTTGCGCGCCATAGGCACGGCGCCCGTCAGCGCGGTGAAGCATGCTGTAGCGAGCGTGAGGGTAGTGAATGAATGCATCTTGGTGGAAAGATGTGGTTGAATTTTGACACTTGGACAGCCGGCTGTCGTTTTGTGTGTAAAAGAGTGTGATGCGTATCGACTAGCGACAGCTGGAAGAGCAAACGATGCAAAGGAGGGACTGAATGATCACAGATCTTCTTACCTGACGGGCGTGGTGGGAGAAGGAAAGAGAAGAGGAGGTGGGAGGGACATGGCACTTCTTAAACACTACCGCTGAGGCTGCACTTCCCGTCCAGAAGCGGACGGACGATGCTGGATGCGAGGGGGTCAAAGTGGACTGGTGGAGATGCTTGGACGGTCAAGAAGACGGAGTGTCGTTGCTGGTGACCAATGAGGTCGTGCGAGGCCGTTGTTGCAGCCAGGCTGAGGTGTGACGGGGGTGCCGTGCGGTGAGGTGTAGCACCAATCCAGGAACGAGATCGCCAAGGGTATCCTTGAGCTGCGCCGGTCATGCAGCCAGCCGTGGGCCCGGGACTTGTGCACGAGCGGGAGAAGGCTTGATCGTACATGTATCCGATGATGTGAATGGTGGAGGGCTGCGCCCGCTTTGGTTTCATATTGTCGCCACTTGCCACTTGGTGGCTCTTTTCTTCCAGATCCTGAGGCTGTGTGAGGTGTTGTTTTATGCAGATCGCATCCACCCAGATGTAAGGGCTCCGTGCGTAGTAACCGGCCTATTTGAAGACGTCGTCTCGGCGAGGGTCAGAAACAAATCTCATGGCCGATCGACAACCACGAATTTCGCCTGAGACGCTCCGACTCCGGCCACGAGATTTGAATGTGACCCTCGTGGCCTTGTCTAGATTGGCTAAGAAGCTATTTATAAAGACACTGGTGTTAAGCTTTCCATCGTCATGGCCTCCGGCCGCACGAACAACTCCTCATCCTCCTCGTCCACCGGCAGTTCCGAGCGCTCGATTGATGGCCCAACCACCACCTCCTCCTTACGACGAGCGCGCCGTGACGTCTTCTTACGAGCTCCTCCTTATAACGCCTTCGAAGCCGGCTTCTTACGCTTACGAGCAGTCAATTAAGTAGAAGGAGGAGGACGTTATAACTCTATTCATCGGTCAGTATACGCGTTGCAGCCAAACTCTGGTGTAGTGCGTACTCCGCCAAGTGTAACAGCTGGTATTTGGCGCATCCTGGAGCAACCTGGAAACCACGAAAGCTGTGGTGCAAACAGCCACCACACCATGCCGGAATGTCCTCATCGCATCCCCGACGCGCACGCTTCGTTCGGATGTAGCGATGACAGATCACGACAAGGAGCCATGACAGTCCGCGGTCCCACCCTGTCCACAGCAAAATCTCTGATCGGGCTTTCTATTCAACCGAGCTTCGGCTTGCATGCCTCTGCACTGCGGAATAGTCTTGCCCCGGCCTCTAAGCTACGAGACTGGTCAGCAACATTCTCGCCCTGGCTCCATCCCGGAAGCTGATGGTGCCAGCAAATGTCCAAACTCATCCGGCCCGAGCTCATATACGAAAAGCTGGGACAGTCAACTCCTCTCCGACCTTAGCCTACAGCTGGCTGCATCAAATCTCCTGGGCAAACTGGCCCAAAGCCGTGACTATGAAGCTGATTACAGCAAAACCCAACTACATCATATCCCACGAAGCAGCAGACCCTCCTATGCGCAGTGAATCTTGACGCCTGGTCAGCCCGAACCCGTATATGGGAAGCTGAGGACAGCATATCTCGGTATCGACTATTCCTACAGCCTAGTGTGCAAGCCTGGTGGAAGCAAATCTTTCGATTCTGCTAACCTACGATATTGCTCATACACCTACGGCCGCCAATTCTTGCAAGGTGCTTAGCCCAAAGAACGGGCTGCAGGTTTGACAACTTCCTATCTCATCGTGCCTCTGGCGGGACTGCCAGCCATGGAGCTATGAGCAGCAAGGCACGAGATTCCTCTGTCCCGAGCTCTCTACTATCAGGTTATGAACATCAAGACTTCATACGCATACAGCCCGAGCGGCCGTCCACGACGCTGCCTGCTTCGCATTTCCTTAACACTGTGTCCCGCGCTGTTACCAACACAGCTATGAACACTTCGTGTCAAGCTCGCCTCAGCCTGCACCGTTGCCACAAGTACTATGTTCAGTGTATTAGGTCGAGTCTATACTTTTATCTGCTCAACTTAGTTCTTCCTCAATTCCTTTCCATGTTACTGTCGTCCGCTACTGTCTTATTCCAATGCATCAGAAGGTCTTGACTGCTAGCTTCAGTGTGTCATATGTTTCCTTACGTCACATGCTTCTTGGAGATTCACTTGGTGGTCATCAGCCTGTCACATGCCTTTCACTTCCCTCCTGCGATCTCATGATCCAAACTCAATTAGGTAGCATGTGACTCCACTAACTGGTTCACCTTATCGCCTTCCCAACAGCGACATCTCATATATAATCTCCCCCGCCACCTGCGACACCTTTCTCAAACATCTCCCCACAATAAAACTCATCCACCATCTAGAGCAATACATCAACCAAGCAGACCTCAACGAACCACAACCATGAAGACAGAACCAGCGGACGACGATGGAGGTGCTTCCAGCAATCCGCCACCTTCGCACCCGAAGAAGCGCAAGGCGACACAGCCCACGGATGCGACCGCGCCTAAGAAGCCACGAGTCACGAAAGACCCTGTGAAGAATTACCAGATCGAAGACACCTCCGAAAACTTTGCGAAGTACCTAGACGTCGACGTGGACGAGATCGGCGAAGTCGACGCCAAAGAGCACAAGAACTTCAAGAACTGGGCCAAGCGTGTCGCCAACTGGTACAATGGTCACTGGCGGGGCAACGGCAACATCTCGCCGACCCTACTCGACACCCTGTGCATGATCATTCGAACGACTTACCCTGATCTACCGAAAGCACGCATTCATATCGGCAGGGATGAAGAACCGGCGATTATCATCCTTGCGTGGTCGAAGACGAAGACGCAGGATGCGAACATCAAGTCTTGCAGAGACCGAATCAATCGTCTTCGCTACGATGCATTCAGAGCCTTGGAGAATGCGCCGATCATAGCGAGCGGTACGGTCGGGTACAAGAAATCTGCCAAGCAAGCGATTCAGACGTACTTCAATGAATTGCTACGGATCAACCTCTACAAGAACGGCGTGGACAGTACAACATACACAGGCGACGACGACATCTTTTCGTTCAATCAAAAGAAAGACAAGTACCTCAAGAATGTGCTGCAAGGCGAAGAGCTCGAGGCTGGGCGAGTCTGGCCGCTCGACAACGACCTCTGGGACGATGAGGATCAGGAGCGTCCATTCCTATCCGCCTACCACCCGCCAGCTCGCAAGGGCAAGAAAGGCAAGAAGGAGGATGACCCGGCCAGCGAGGATGTCAGCCCCCCGGACGAAGACGAGACTGAGCACATCAAGCAGGAAAATGATGAACTCGACGACGACTTCGACTCGCCAACTGGTGCAAGCCAAGGCATCAGTCCTAACGGACAGCCAACAGCTTCTGCAGGAACTGCCGCGAACATCAGCGCATTGACGAATAGTTTTGAGCCGCAAGCTGCACCAGCTGCTGCGCGAACTGCTGCTACCGCACAAGAATCCACGGACACCGTCAAGTCAAAGGCCGCACTCCACTCCTTATCTCCAGCCTCAGGTTCCAAGGTCGCCAACAAGCCAAAGGCCGTACCAGCTGCCGCACACCCTGCTGCCGAGAAGGAAGTCAACAAGCCAAAGGCCGCACCAATTGCGCCGGACACAAGCACTAGCTTGGAGACAACGTCTACAGCCCGTGAGCATACCGCTGCACAGTCCGGTGCGCAAGGCAAAGGAGCTATGCTCACCGTCAGCTCGTCGACAGTGGATAGCTCTACAAAGAAGGATATTGTGCCAACCAACACTTCACCAAATGGTTCAATTGGACAGGGATCGAGCGGGACCGAGCAGATGGCATCAAGAATGACTGGTATACTCGAACAGAAGGCTGCTGCACCGACTGGAGCTCATCAACAGGCGATGACAACGCTACCTCAGGAACCTTCCAACATGCAAGCTGTCTTATCTGTACCGGCTGCTGCAGGTTTTGTGCAGTCGTCTAAAAACGACCAAGGTGACTCTGCACCACAAGGTTCAGGTTCGAAGGGCAAGAACATGTCTCAAGGCTTTGGTGACGCAGGGAACTACGGACAGGATGCTCTTGGGGACACCGAGAAGACGACGAAGTCAAGGGCAGCAGCGAGTGGTGCAGGGATTGAGGAGATGGGGGACAAGTTGGCAGATGAGGATATTGAGATGACAGACGGAGCGGATGCACCCCTTGCACCAACAGGAACGGACGTGCGCGATTATCCCAAGGCCAACGACGTCGAAGGAGCGGGAGCTGGTGCGGCGTCTTGACGTCTCATCTATGTGCTGGTCGGAGTCATGCAACCGGTGCAGTCAGATCGCCCGCGCGGGATGTTTCTGCGATACACGAATGCGTCTCCGGCCAGAACCTTCACTATTCCGGCATAACACCACTGCCCACCACATAACCACAGTCATTCCTGCATACGACCTCGACTACCGACCACAATTGCGAATTCCATACAAAACACCGAGCCCACAGTCTTTACCGATCGATCATCTTGCTGCGTCCTGTTCGAGCATCACTTACTGGACATCAACGTCTGAGGAACGGGACTTATTTGCATGCGCCGGCATCTTTCTTGCTGGATCACAGTCATTACCGTTGCGTTGGAGCGTTCTGTTCACACACTGCATTGCTGGCCTTGATTTGGAGAGGGCTAGTCGTACGCGAGTATGACTTTCACCTCACCTTATCCGTAGCAAGTACTACATAACTCATACAGCATTCATAAAGATCTCACTACCAATCAGGCTTATCTGCAATTTGACTTGCACCAAATGGTCATTGACCGAGACCTTCTATAGATGCGACCTGCACCGGGTGGTGTACGGTATCTACGGTAAAACATGCTGCTATCATACTCATCTGCACCAGGTGGTTAGCTTGCGTGCTATCTCTCGACATTCGTCAAGCTTGCATTCATGCCGACCTGCACGAGATAGTGGGCTTCCGCGCTATCGCTCATCACTTGGTCAGGCTGTCGCCATTCCGACTTGCACCAGGTAGTGGGCTTCGTCGCCATCGCCTAGGAGTAAATAAGCTTGTTGCCATACCGAGCTGCACTAAGTAGTGGGCTGTATTGCCGCCGCTCACCATTTGATTAGGGACTTACCATACTGATATGCACCAGATCGTTGGCACTTACGCCCTCGTTCACGGTCAGCCAAGACCGTTGCTATGATGACTTGCGCCAAGTAGTGGGCAGCCATGTTGTCAAACACATGGTCACCGAAGGCTGAGGCTGAGGCCGTTGCCATGCTTGTCTGTACCAGTCGGCACACGGCCCCAACAGCTTGTAACATCAATCACTCTCGCCAACATCTCAGACTATACCACGAGCTGCCTGATGACCTTGCATTCTGCAGCAACTAGTGCTGCTCGGCCTTCAACCTAGTTGACGTTTTCCCGATGAGGAAATCTTTGGCCTGCAACGGGCACCCTGACGCGTACCAACTGCTGGAAATCGATTTCTTGAGCAGCACTATTCGGTGCAGTCAAGTGTTCAATGAGTCCAGAACGGTATGTTAGTGGCGTCGGTCTCCGTAGCAGCTTCGTCCGTGTGACAGAAGACGGGCAACTATCGAGCAAGTACTTTCCAGTGGTAACATTCAGCTCCCTTCAACACTCACCTCTATGCTGGGTCCTCCACTACCTCCCCTCCCTGTTAGGTTTCTCGTAGCATACTGACAATCACTCAATCGGCTGGCTCTCGAGCAGGTTCATCGGACTACGCCGAAGGTCAGTCTGAGGCAAGCACGTGAGAAAGCTCGTATATTGTTGTCTGCTCTGGGGGTCGATCAAGTAGACGCAGAGGCCATTGTGAGTAAGGGCGACAACGTCATTACTACAAATTGGTAGATGGGACTGCAGAAGCAAGAAGTCATGAACGTCTGATAGGTCTGGACTGAGGACGCTCGAGACGCACCAAGAAGACGGGAAACGTTGTACTGGCGTAGTAGCTGTAAAATACCTACAATCGGCTATGCCGCGTACCTACCAAAGTATGCAGATGCAAAGGCTCCTGCAGCTGCATAACTCTGCCTCCCAATATCGAGCCCGACTGACCGGCCATGCGCACCAACTGCTACTCTCTGCCCCGAACTTCGGTGCTGACACCCGTGTTCATGTACCAAGTGTTCAGAGACGTCCCACTTACCGCCATGTGTCTCTACTCACCTGCACCAGATGTTTCGCACCACCCCTTCCAGAGCCTCAAACCCTACAGAAGTGCGCCAGGTCCCTCACTCTGACCCACCGTCCAAGAGCTGTCCCAACGGCCCTGCACCAGCTGCTACTCGATGTCCCGGCTTGGGCTCTTTACGCTTGAGCCCTTGCACCAGTTCGCCGGCCGCGTCCTAGAGCTGAGACTCTGCAGCTGCGTAGCTGAACCAGCTCGCCCGCCATGCCCCGACTTCCAGAGCTTGCGCCTATGTTGTTGTACCAACTTGTCTGTAGTGCCCCGTCGTCGACAACTTGCGACTAGGCATCTACACCAGCTCGTCGAGCACACCCTGCCTCGTATAGCTCGCGCCTACACTGATGTACCAACTTGTCTGCCGGATCCTAACCTTAAGAGCTTGCAGCTGCATAGCTGTACTAGCTCGGCGACCGTTGCCCGACTGGCGAAGCTCGCGCCTGTAGTGCTACACCAGCTCGTTCGGCGTGCCCTGACACAAGACCCGACAGCTGCGTGTCTGCACCAGCTGGATTGCAGCGCCCCAGTCGCGTAGGCGGGCAGCTGTGAGCCTGCGCCAGTCTGTCCAGAGCGGCCTGGGACACGTTGACAGCGTCTGTTCCGTTGCACCGTTTGCTTTGACGTGTCCAGTAGACTTGAGTGATGGCACCATCGAATGTACGTACTGGCTGCGTGGCTGCTGCTTCGATGTCGATAACGGCGGGCATGCTGGATGCCATCCGTGATGGTGTTTTAACGATGGAGACTGGACTCGGAAGTGGTAATAAGACGAATGTCATTGGACGAACTACTTTTAGCGTCCCGTCTTGTCATTCACCTGCCAAGCCAACCGCTTCGCACCTCACTTGTCGCTTTCACAAGCTCGCGCATCCCTCACCATGTGTGCTTCACGTGCTCTTGTTGGATTCACCCTCGCCAGCTCCACGTGAAATCACCTCCGCATCTGCCTTGGAGAACAAGTTCGACAGCGAACGCCCCCCAGCGCGAATAGCCATGACTGCCTTCCTCGAGCCCTTGCTCAGCGAGCCGTAACGTCCGGATCCCTCGCTGAAGCTCTGGTTGGCCGCGCTCAGGCGAAAGGACTTGGGTTGCTATAAGACATTGGGTTAGCAAGATAGGTACAACCAATAAAGAGAATGCCATACCTTTCCGTACTCCTTCCTGGTCTTCGCCGTTTCCTTGCCCTCGGCAGCCATGCGGTCGACGGCGAGTTGATGCGCGGCCTTCCGATCTGCGACCTTGTCTGCGGTGGTTGGAGTCGCAGCCTCCTGCACCAGATGGTCCACCGCCGTCTCGATCTCCTGCTCGCCTTGGTGCGAAGTTAAGATGGACATGTCGTCATCATCATCTTCGCTGGCATCGAAAGGTGATGCGAGCAGCGGCGGGTTTGGGCGAGGAAGATACACTGGTTCTTTCTGCTTGCGTACCTCCTCATCCAGGTCGGCCTTGATGATAGCGTACCATTCTTCGATCTCCTCGATAACGACACCGATGTCTCTCATGCTGATCCTGGCGCGCTGGATCCAGTCGAATGCGATGGTCAACATGCTGTATTCTTCGTAGGCCGGGCAGGCTGCGAGGTAGGCGTAGAACTTGGCTTTCGGGAAGGATGGTAAGGCGTATGGGAACTTCCTCAAGATGCACTGGCAGCAGCGACGGACCGCCTCTTCGCTGTCTCCATTGTATGCCCGCTGGATGATGTGGCTGATTTCAGTCAGCTCCTTATGGTCGACTCCATCCCAGTTTCTGATGCGGTCGAGAAGCTCTTCGATGGTGATGCCTTCGTACGGATCAGGCTGTTGAAAGGCACTCATGTTGGCAATGTTGCGGTGCTGATGACGCGAATGAGCGTTGGGCTGCGAAAGAAGGAAAAAGAGCTTCGAGCGCGTGGCTGCATGTGAAGTGGCCAAAGCGCGACGCCGGCCCACATCGCCCCGAAATGACCTGGCAAACGGAATTTCTGCACCTTTCGACATCGCACAGCGCGGGCTCGAAAATCCTGTGAGGAGCACAGAACAGCACAGCAATCATGGCGGACGACGGTAGCGACCACGCGCCGGATCCCGACGAGCGAGAATCCAGCTCGGACGATGAGCATCAGCATTCACGCCCCAGTCGACCGCCAGCGCCGTCACCAGCCCCAAGCCTGCCTCCTCGTCGCACGCTCAGGTCGAGGGCTGGCACCACTGCCACGTCCAGACCCACGACGCAAGACGGTAACACTGATACGAGACCGTTGACCGTGTCAAGAGCGGGTGCGCGCCAGCAGACCTCTTCGCCGGACCCAAGTCTGGCTCCAAGTCTACGCCCAAGCCTCAAATTCCGGCTCATAGCAAGCAATACCACGACGTCGAGACCTCAGACACGGGACGGCGGCGACAATGATAAAAGACCTATGACCGCATCGAGCGCAGACGAGCGCGAGCAACCGCCCGCGAAGAAGGCCAAGTTTGTGTTGAGCACCGGAAACGACACTTCAGACCCACCACTTGCCATTCCTGGCCAGAAATTATGCTCCAATCGCAACTTCGATCACCCCCTAGGCAATTTTGAAGGCCCAGGGCCGAACGGTCGTCTTTGCGAGACTGATTACAACCGATACCGACAAGCTCGTAGAACGGCTGAAGCATCGGGGCAACCCATCAAGGACGACTGGGCACTCACTGGACCTTCTCGGAAAACCACGAAAGATCCCGGCTTCAAGGCGACCGACCCCTGTGCCAACACGAATTTTCCACACGAAATTGGGACAAAATCGCACCCATTACCGAGCGGTGGCCGTCTCTGCGACGCTGACTACCAACGACGCCAGAGAGCTTCCAAGAAGGCGCAAGACTCAGGTCAATCTCTCACAAACGACTGGGCGCTCACTGGACCCTTTACACAACGGAAGCAACACACGCAGCGTACACTCCCAAAGTGGAAGGCGACGGACCTGTGTGCCAACACGAATTACCCACATGAGATTGGCCTAAATTCAAAGCCAACCACGAGCGGCCGCATGTGCAACACTGACTACCAACGATGGCTTGCCGCTCGAAGGGATGCGGAGGTCTTAGGTCGACCTCTCAAGAACGACTGGGTGCTCACTGAACTTCGCCACAAGCCCTTCTGGACTGGGAAATGGACTGAGCCGTGTTCTAACACGAATTTCCCGCATGAGGTTGGCGCAAAATCGGAGTCAGGACCGAGCGGCCGTCTCTGCCAACCTGATGCCTCTCGATATAGGAAGGCTCTCAAAAAGGCACGGAACTCTGGTCAACCTCTCAAGAACGACTGGGCGCTCACTGGACCTATCAGGAGGAAACCGGGCCACGAGAGAGCTGGCGACCTTAGCGATGCGTCAAGTGAAGCAAGTGATCCGAGCGATTCGTCGAGTGAAGGAAGTGCTGCAAGCGACTACGAAATGACCTGTGTTGATTGCGAGAGGTTGGAGTCGCAAGGGTGGGAGGTGTGCGAGAACGGAGCGGTGTTGTGTCAGGCTTGCGCCAGACGACGCAGGATTCCAACAGCCAGACGCATGAGACTTTCCCAGATTCCACAGCGTGGATACCAATCTCATACCGCACTTCGTCATCTTGCATACCGCAGTTGGCGCGAACTGAACCCTGTTGGACCTTCGGAGTCGATGCCACAGCCGACATTTGCGACCACAGACTATTGGTCTGCGAGCCCTCAAGAGCTTGCAGAGATGATTATGAGGCGAAGGGGGGATTCTTCAACGCGCTTCAGGGGCACTATGGATTCGCGTGAGGCCAGGAACTGGTTGCAGATTGACGATGCATGCGATGGTCTGCTACCGCGACCAGATCCTGCGCAAAGCGACATATTGCATGACAAGCAAGTAGTCGATCTTGAAGCTATGTGCAAGGCCAAGGGCATGAAACTCGGCAGGAACACAACGAAACAGGACATGCTCAAATGGCTATCGACTCATCAGCGGCAGCCTTCAGACTTCATGCAGCAGATCGATCCAGACAAGCTGGCCGCCTTGACGACTGCAATGCAGTTGTTCTTCGACTCACTGCCTCGGGATCTTACAGCGCAAGCTACTCGTGGACACAGTCTCGTGGCGTCCAGCGCTGCAGTACTGGAGGATCTGCAGCAAACCATCTTGCAAGGCTTCGCTCCTGTGTGGACTGATTCAGCGGGACTACTCTGCGGCCTTGAGGCGCTTCGCACCGCTCTGTTCGCCTTCCACCGCGCCGACTTCCCACATTCCCCATTGTCGAACGTCATGATCGAAGGCTTGCGCTTGATGCGCCTTCTCTATACCAATGCCGACGATCCTACTCCACCAGGCGACGATCCCACCCATCGGGTAGGAATGCCAACTCCAGCGTACGAGCAGTACATCCGCGACACGGCAACGACCCAAGACGAAGCAGTGCTGAATGACCGATACACTGAGATGACCCAGATGTACAATCTTGATATCGCGCAACTCGGAGCTATGGTGCATCTTGCACACCGAGAAGGGCTCATTGAGCATGACCTGAACATTGGTGTTGTTCGAAGTAGGTGCTCCAAACATTTCGTAGTCTTGCTATATGCTGACCTTCACTAGGTGCGTACATCAATGAACAAGGTAATGTGGTTCCAGCCTTTGCGAGCATCGAATACGAAGGCAACGAGCAGGCTCCAATCATTTGGCTACATCTCAACTTGGCAGCTGGCCAGGGTCAGTACAACCACTGGGAAGCGTTCTCGAATTATTGCAACCCAGAGGATGCGGATATTGTGCACGACTGGGGTCTTCTTCATCTTGGAGACACGCTGGACACAACGACACTGGAGCTGACCAGAGCGCGATACCGTGAGCAGCACCATTGGAAGCACGGCAAATACACAGCAGTTCGTGCTTGCCACGAGTGCCGCAAGTACGATCGAACCCGCACTTGCTTCCCAGTGCCTGGTGTTCAGCATTGCAGGAACTGTTTTCACAATCCGGACGGCTGCATCTACGACGAAGGCACTCGCCCTCGAGACCTGTGGACGTCCGCCAGTCTGATCCCAATCGGTGGCCTGAGACCCTGGGACACGCCGTTGTCATGGAACGACCAAGTGCAAGCCATGAAGAACACACAACTACACCTGCCCGACCCAGAGCCAGAAGGCATACACTTCGTTGGCATAGGCTCTGCGCGCCAATCAAGGAGAGGAGGGCCGGGCGAAGTCCTGAACATAATGCAGGATCTTGCCATCAGTCTCCACACCTACGACAACAAGATCAACGACCCCCAGATTGTGCATCTGCCGGAGGGACAGCGACCAGGCGGTCCTGGGGTGCCGATGAGGAAGTATCGTATGGTCTTTGCTCGCAACGGCTCGATGGCGCTCCCAACGCACACCGGCAACCTGCAAGATCCTACCTTGATCGGTATTGTCAACTTCATCAACCACATCACAGACCCTGCCAATCTGAACCAACCGATCGAGACGCATTGGTTCCTCATGGGATACGCTGGCTATGGTGTGGACATCACGAGATGGGGAGACAGGTTCGTGCCTGCTATTAAACACGAAATGCGCATACCTTTGCTGACCATGCTTCAGGCAACAAGGATTCTTCGCCCATGTACTCTCACGCAGCCCGGCAGTCGCCAACAGCATGTACCTCGTCCCTGCTGTCGAGCGTCATGTCGTCTCTGCAGTCTCGCCAACATCCATCAACCCCAACATGCCACCACATGGAGTGATGGTGAGCGACGTGAAGTTCGTGACGAAATACTTGTTGGCCTACGTTATCGACCGCCACGAGCAGCTTCAAAACATCGCGTCCAGGTACAACCTCAACTTTCTGGACATGATGATGCATCTCACCGGTCTGGGCCCCCCAAACGGGATTCCCCCGAACGTGATCCCTCCGAACGTATCAGTATACGACTTCGTCTGGCCACCTGGATACGGTGGAGCGGCAGAGGCTGCAAGGCTGGATCGGCTGATTATGGCGATGCACATGGAGATGGCCTGGCGTGTGGAGTGGTTGGATGGCATGACTAGACCGAGGGAAGTGTTCATGCATGCAAACAACGTGAACCGCAACGGAGTCATGCAGTGATTGCGGTCAAGCAAATCTGTAGCCTTCACTATCTTCGGACGGTAATGGCATGTTATGGGCTGAGATTTTAGGAGCGGATTGGAGTACGGATGGCATTGCATGTTGGCGAAGGATACCGATTTGGTCACAGTCCATGGTCAGCTGCTCTGTCCTTGCAGTGGCAACTGTAATATCACGTTGTGACTAGATAGTCTTCGTATACTGCTTTGCTCAATCACTGTAAAACTCCAAGACTACAACTACTGCTCGTCTGTGAGACTGTACGAGTTCTGTATAGTGTTTGTTCCCCAAAACGAGGTCACGCTCACTGTCGACGAGATGTTTCCCAAACCCCCGCCCTCCCCCGCACCTAGATACTCCCTCCCTTCGGGGGCCCCTCTCAGGTTTGCTTCGGCGATGTCGATCACATCTCTGCTTGAGGGTTTTGAGGCGAGAAATCCAAAAAACGTGACGAATTCGTTCCTCCTCCCCAAAACACTGCGTGGCTCTAGCGAAGAGCATTGACGATATGTCTCCATAAAGTCTTGGGAGTATGTCCCCTTACCATCTCCGCTGGTCGATTTCAGTGTCTTGGCTTAATACCAGACGGAGCGAGTTCGGTGATGATCACCTGCAGCTTCCCTCTCCTTCGCCAGATCATACAACAAGAAATCTATCAATACGGCGTTGACCCGTGTGGAGGAGGCGTCTGGACGCTGTCTCACAATCTCACGTCGGATCAACTCGACGGCCCTGTGCGCAAGCAAAACGTTAGTCAATTCTGGCTGGGTTGATGGGTGAAACGGTTGCATCGCTTCACTGGTATGGTTGGAGCATGTACCAGATGCTGCACCCTCGAAGCTGGACTTCCCAACTATGGCCAGAGGGTATCTGCTTCAGAGTGCTGATGTGGTAGTGAAGCGGCGGGCTGTACACCAGGACCCCGATTGAACGAAGCATTTGTGGGACACGGTAGTCTGTGGGGATCAGTCGCGCAGATCTCAATTGCTGGCAGGCTGTCAACTCACCCGCGAACATGGTCAAATGATCGATATCCTCGAACTCCCCGTAACCGGCTCCATTGAACGCCGCCCAAACGTCTGCGACGAATATCTGTGCGCGTTTGAGGAAGCGGACGCGTTTCCCCTCGAAGCGCGTCTCATCACGGAAGGAAGGGAAATGTTTTGCTAGGAGGTTCACCAATTTTCCTGCGCAATGGTCTGCTTTCTCGACCAGACGCACAACGCTGAGATCCGGCTGCCTGGATGCTGGCGATGGCTTCGCCGCATGTTCCTCGTCCTCTTTCACTCCTGCGATTGCTGCAGATTCATGAAGCTCTGGATCTAATGGCTGCTCCTTTGCAACGGGACTGCCTAGGTTGACTCGATAATTGTCAGATCCAGACGTTGGAGCTTCGACCGGTGCGTCGTCCTCTCTTGCTTGTAGGCGGTTGCTGGACGCTGCAAGCTGGTCTTCCCTTGCCTCGCTGCTCAACGGCCCATTCTCACCGTCTCCTTTCGATTCTCCGAAACTCTTCAGTGGTCAGTAGTCAACTTTGGTACCGGAAAAATCGTCCACATACTTCTTGCAGAACGTTTCCAGCCTCCCCAAGCATTGCTATTCGTTCGCTCAATAGTGGAATCTGCTCATCAGTAGCGCTGCGGAAGACGTACTTCAAGACGTCGTCGGAGCATGCCTGATCGTTCCAGTACCGTGGTGTCGTAATTGGGATACCCTCATCAAGTGCTCGCCGCAAGCAAGCCACCAGGCTTTTGTAGCCGGTCCGTCGTTTGCCCTGGTACTCCACTTGATATCGCTCGTTCTCAGGTAGCTCTGACCAGAATCTAATGATGTTCAGCGAGACGACTCAGTCTTGAGGTTGATCTCCGATCGTACGAGAAGTTGAGCAGATCCATGGTGAAGATGAAGTTCACGATGTCGACCTCCGAAAAGCCTTGATCCAGTGTTGGATGCAGATCGTGCTGAGCCCACGCTTGTGTAGAGTAGCCGCGTTGTTGCATCGTCGAGTACAGACTCGCAGCTGCGGCTTTGGTGCCATACATGTCGATGGATACATCGATGGCGTTGGCGTAGACGTATTCGGCGTCGTGCAGGACACCTATGATGTATGAGTCTAGGTCTCCATGACCGTGTTCCGAAAGCTGAGGTTCACTGTTTGTAGATCGCAGGAGAGAGTTGTTCTTTGCTTACCGGTGTCCTGGGAGACCTCGTCAGAGGCGGTCTTCGAGATTCCTAGGCTTTGACGCAGCAGCTCCAGCAATTCCTGGTCGGCCTCGTCGTCACTCATTGTGGCAGTGACTTTGAGGAAGTGTCTGTTGTCCAACACTCCTCGAGATTCGTTCAATGGTCTATCACATGTAATTTTGAAGTTGTATGCACTTCAATGGCAACTGCCGGAAATAAGAAGGTTTAGGGTTTCCTCGTTTAGATGGTAGCTTGAAATTGCCGAAGCTTGATTCGACGCCAGCACGGACTTCACGATGTCGCGAGACGGGAGCCTCATCACCTCCAACCTTCAGTTCAGTTCATCTTTACATCACATTCGTTTACATCACTTGGAGCTGCGACTCCACCTTGCGCGGCTTGTGGGACTCCCGTCACCTCCTCTAGCGACAACTCGGACTGGTCATGCGAGCCGGCGACGGCGACAAGGCGCTTCACTAGTCAGCTTCACGGTCACGCCGACACTCGATCGCAAACGACTATATCAACGACAACTTGCGCGATATCACACAACAAGTCTGGCCTAGGCTTTTCCGCAACCTCAGAGGTCACTTTGAACCACAGAACAGCACAGATGACAGTGAAGATGCAGCGGCGAGATCGAGGGGTAGCGCAATCGCTGGGTGGGCCCCTCACGAAGAAGGTGAAGGAGAGCAGAGTCTTGCTGGTCGGCGCGGGAGGCATTGGATGTGAGCTACTCAAGAACCTGGTGTGTTCAGGGTTTGGCAGCTTCACATATCCAGCTTCCGCTACCGGAGCGCCGGCGGCAAACGGCGTCAGCAGGAGACCGGAAGTGGTCGTAATCGACCTCGACACCATCGACCTCAGCAACCTCAACCGACAGTTCCTCTTCCGGAAGCAGCACATCAAGAAGCCAAAAGCGTTTGTGGCCAAGGAGACCGCCATCCAGTTCAACCCTTCTGGGAACATCGACGCGCATCATGCCTCGATCTTCGATAGCAAGTACAATGTGGAGTTTTTTGAGGGCTTTGATGTGGTCTTCAACGCGCTCGACAACCTTGCGGCAAGAAGGCATGTGAACAAGATGTGTCTGGCGGCCAATGTGCCGTTGATCGAAAGCGGTACTACGGGCTTCAATGGACAGGTTCAGGCGATACAGAAGGGCGTGACAGAGTGCTACGACTGCAATCCGAAGCCCGTCCAGAAATCGTTCCCGATATGCACCATACGGTCGACACCATCGCAGCCTATACATTGCATAGTATGGGCCAAATCGTATCTCTTCCCGGAGCTGTTCGGTGCAAGCGAGGATTCCGGAGATATGACGGTGACAGAGGGCGACAACGTGGACGAAGTCGCCAAGCTGAAGGAGGAAGCGGACGCATTGAAGAAGATTAGGAGCATGATGGGGAAGAGCGAGTTCGCACAGGAAGTGTTCAACAAGGTGTTCCATGACGACGTTGAGCGGCTACGTTCGATGACAGAGATGTGGCAGAGTCGGAGGCCGCCTGAACCGCTCAAATTCCAATCGCTTGCTGCGGACTCGAACATTGTCAAGCAAGGACAAGCGCTTGCATCACAAGATCAGAAGCCGTGGACATTGCTGGAAAACATTGCTGTGTTCTGCTACAGTCTGGACACACTGAGCAACCGTGTGAAGGCGGGCGAGAACGTGATAGAGTTCGACAAGGACGACAAGGACACTCTCGATTTCGTAGCTTCGGCTGCCAATCTGCGGTCACATATCTTTGGCGTACAACTACACAGCGAGTGGGAGGTGAAGCAGATGGCTGGTAACATCATCCCGGCGATTGCGACATCGAATGCTTTGACAGCAAGTCTTTGCGTGATGGAAGCGTTCAAGATTCTGCGCATGCAGCAGGCGAAGGAACTGGCGGCGAGCAACCTCCCACCGGCAAAAATGCAGGGCGGCGCCAAGGACGATGGGTTACTGGGTAAGCACTGATGGCTCACAGGGTTCTCCGAGATCCGAACACACTACATGTGGTGTCATGAGACCGTTCCAAATCTTGCATCATCTTCGAGACACCTGCTAACCCTTTTGTTCTTCATCTAGGTGGTGCGAAGATGGTCTTTCTGACGTCGAAGAGTACCGATCGGTTGATCAGCTCGCAGTCGTTGCTGCCACCCAAAGCGGAGTGTCCAGTGTGCTCACCATACTATGCGAAGCTCGGGCTGCCAGAAGCCAGCAGCCCGACATTGCAAGAGCTCGTGGATTTGCTCAAGGAAAGGCTGAGTTATGAAGATGACTTCTCAATTACAGCCGAGATGGGCATCATCTACGACCCGGATCTGGACGACAATCTCGCGAAGCCACTGAGCGAGTTCGGGTTTACGAGGGAGAGCAATGGCTTCATCACGGTGACGGACGACAGCGATACGCCGAAGGTGGATCTGGTGTTGAGTTCGTCGTCGCAAAGCACCTCTGCGGAAGACGCGGGCGCTGGCACTTCCTTGCGCCTCTTTCCAGGCGCGATCGAGCTCCCGCTCAAACCAATACGGGTGAAAGACGTTCAGACCAACGGTGATTCTGTCGAGAGGGTGCCCGACTCAGTCGCCGGAGCGAAGCGGAAGCGCGAAACTGAAGATGAGGTGGAGAGCGCAAAGAAGCGGGCGAAGAACGACGATGTGTTTGTGGTGGAGGACGATGGCGGTGCGATTCTGCTCGACGATTGAGTTGAGAAGATATGGTAAATTACGGGATGCACGAATATGGGTTGGAGTTCGGAGCTGGGCTGGGAGATACCACATTATGGGACTTGCAGTTCCGCTGCACACATTTCGGCTTCACGCCGAGCTTCCGGTGCTGGAGAAGGCCTCTTTTCTGTGAGACAGCGGCATGGCATGGAGGAATTTCTGGAAAGTGTAGTACTAAAGAAGCTTCATTGCCACGGTAGATATTCTCGACCGCGTGTCTACATAGTTGAGCAGCGCTTTGCGCCGACATAACAGCATTGCACATCACCACATGAGCACGACTCTCACTCTGAACTCGAACTCGTTACTTCCTCCAATTCAATTCACATCAGTCAGACACACCCATTTTCCCACCTGTGCCTTCGTAGAGAAGACTACAACAGTCGCGCATTCTCATCGTCAACACTCGCCCTCGGCGTCCCCTCGTCCGCCTCCTCCTCCTGCCTCACCTCAACCCTCTCCCCATCCGTGTACTCCCCACCCGCCTGTCCGGCTTCAGCAGCAGGCAAGCGGGAGTAGTTCTGCTTGGTCTCGTGCGAGTGCACGGACGAGCTGCTCCCGCTGATGTCCCAGAGGAGACGGAGGTCTCGGCGGGGAACTTCACGCTGGCAGTGGGGACAGGTCGAGCAGGTGAGCCAGTTGGTGAGGAGAGAGCGGAGGGGGAAGCTGTGGAGGACGAAGAAGGCGTGGATGCAGCTGCGGCGAACGTTAGAACGAATGCTTGAATGTTCGAGCGAAGTAACGGAGAAGGCGAAGAGAAATCCGGTTGATGTCGTACTGCTGTTGGGGAGGAGAGGGGAGAGATGGTACGTACAAGTTGACAATCACCGGCATCGAGGCAAAGTCTATGAGCATAGAGTTTCGTGACCACTAGAAAACGAAAGGCTTAACACTCTCCCGTCCCAGCTTCGGGTATCAGCAGTTGACGTACTCCGTAGCCCCAGCCTGTGGCGTTGCCGATCCAGTACGGGATCAAGAATGACATGAGGGCGACGGCGAGAAACAAATCCAGCGCGATGTTGACCCGTTGGTTCTTAGGGTTCTTGAAGATTTGGATCAAGCCGTGGATTAGAGACCAGGACATGGGTATCATAGGCATGGCGAAATAGCCGTGGTGGGCTGTAACGGCACTTGGTACTAGGAGAGCGATCGCTGGGATCCAGCAGATGACTTGGATCCAGCGGATGCGGCGGTCGGCTTCGGAGAGGGGCATGCTGGAGGTTTAGGTTCTTGATGGTGGCTAGAAATTGTAATGGTGGAGGTTTGGGAGATGATGTAGTGTAAGAAATCGAGTACCGGTGGATTGGGCGGGCTTGAAGTGTGAGATTGAAGTGCTGTGATATATCAACAACAAGATACCTACAGATCTGAGACTATAAGGTCTTCTCGAATACGGAAGCCTAACAAATGTGGGAATAAACAGAGGTGAAGTTGACGATAGGCATCAGGATTGGGGACGTGCTGATTGGTGGCCGAAGACAACCGCTCGCTTTGGCGGATCTTCGTAACACGCATCACCTGGCAACAACACCGATCTGATGAAGCCTACCGTTTCTATGGAGAGAAGTTCAAGCGCTGGTTCACGGGAGTCGCTGTTGCTGGAAGCCTTGCGACCGGACACCTAGGACCATCAGGCGAAGATGGCATCTGGCGAAGATGGGACGGCCTCCTTTCTAGCAGCTGCATCGAAGGCTGTTTGCAATGGTTTTAAAGCTAGTAAAACCCAACTGGAGGCAGCCATGAAACTTGAATCTATGGGGAGCGTCGAACAGTGCCTGGAGATTCCTGGCTGAGAAGTTCTGGCGAGAGAAGAGCTTCCTCCTACTTTCAGCAACTAGGTATCCATCATAGCCGGGAAGCTGCCAGGAACAGGACCACCTGCTGTGAAAGTGACAATCCCACACTACCATAGTGGCAGTATCGACGGCGGCAGCAAGAGAGCAGTGGTCTTTGTGAGCTTCAAACGTCTCCACGATTTTGGTATCAAATGGTCACGAAGCTCAGGTACACGTACGTACTTGGGTACAGGCTACAAGGCGGAGCTTGAAGCGTATGCTACCCGTCTACACCACCGTCATATGTATACACCTGCGGTCTTCACAAATTTCTCCACCTCAAACGATCCTTCTCTACCGCTCTGCCTTCAGCTCGGACATCTTCTCAAAGTCGTTGGGCTCTGGCGAAGTATCAAGCCCCAGGACACGGCGAGATTCCTCCACGGAGACATGATGCCTCATCTCCTTCTCACGTCGGACAGGATTTCCGCCAGCTGCGAAGACAACGTCCAGCTCCTCCAACGACCTCTTCTTCGTTTCGACTAGGAAGAAGTACAGAACTGGTACGAACAGGAAGTTGAAGATGGCGAAGATGATGTACTGCCACAGGGATTAGTGGCGACTTCCACGCTGCGAGACTTGGGTTCGACTTACTGTCTTGTAGCCGATATTTGCAAAGGCCGGCGGGATAATCATCACCACCACGAAGCAGAAAAGCCAATTGCCTCCTTTTGAGGCGAAAGTGATCAGCGACTGCCTCAGACATGCTGGGATCTTGCCCATTACTTACCGGAAGCTATCGCATTCGCCTCCGCTCTACACCTGAGCGGTGCAATCTCTGCGCTGTACAAGAATGGCCCTCCGACCCACGCAAGGCCGAAGAATGTATTGAACAGGAAGAGCAATCCAGCAGCAGCCAGTTGGTATGTCCGAGATGGTGTCGAAAGAAGACCCGCGATGGCAGCGAAGCAGGCGGCCATGCCGGTGGCCGTGGACATGAAGGCTTTCCGTCGACCAAGGCCTTCAATTAGAAACACCGAGAGCAAAGAACAGAGTGTGTATTCCAGGCCACCCATCGCGGCGATCAGATGTGACATACCAGCGTCCAGGTCGAACGATTCTTGCAAGATCTTGTTGGCGTATGTTGATACGAGGTTGATTCCGGAGAGCTGCTGAGCGGATTGAATGAATAACCCGATGGCGACGCGGTAAAATGTTCGAACGTTGTCGGTTCGGAACAGCTCGCCAACAGAAAACGGTGGCAGCTCAGCTTGTGCCTCGAAAGACGCGACAATGCCATCACGTTCTTCGAGAAGGTCCGGGTGATGTTCTGGGAGCCCTCGAAGCTTCGACAGATTGTACGTTGCCTAAGAGTGCATCAATCAGCAACGAACTTGGCTGGTGGTATGGGCCCAAGCCAGCTTACCTCCGTTACGTAGCCGTGCTTGACGAGCCATCGCGGTGACTCTGGCAAGAAGTTGATCAAACACAACACGATCACGGCTGGAATAAGCTGGATTCCGACAGGTGCCCTCCATTGAGCCTGGCCTTGTACAAAAAAGAAGCCATATCCGACGAGTTGTCCACTGGCGACACCGAACGTTTGGAGTCCGCCCTCAATCATGACTGTTGTCTTCATCAGAACGATGCAGCTTTTACACTTGGTCGTGACACATACCCCAACGCCCTCGGGAGTGTGGTTTGGCTGTTTCTGACTGCCATGCTGGTACAGTGGCAACCTGACTCTTCCCGTCAGTTATACCGCCATTTATAGGATACGATACAACCCACCTGCTGGCCTAAACCAATCCCACTGATGACTCGTCCGACCAGCAACTGCGCCACATGGAACGCACTGCATTGCAGCACTCCGCCAATAACCATTGCGACCATGCCAAACCAAACCGTGAGTCTTCTTCCGAGTTTGTCTCCAATGTAGAAACAGGACAACGCTCCTACCAATGCGCCAAGCTCGAATGCTGCGATAACAATCCCTTGGACGCTTGCATCGTTCATCTCGGGGAACGTTGAGGTGAAAGGCTGTTCAGTAATGATTCCGCCCTGCGAATGATGAGTACCGTTGGCTTGTTAAGGACGATTGAAAACTTACCATGACGCTCATGTCGTATCCGAATAGCCAGAAAGCGCATGTAGCTGTGGCTGCAACTGCCAGGTTGAGCCGAAGCCCTTGGAGACCCATGGTCGTGGTGTAGGGAGTGAGTGTGAACATCTTGACAGACAGGTGATGCTCTCAACCAGTTCAAATATCTTACAATGTCGAGTAGAGTCCAGATCTGTTGAAGGCATGGAACACTTTATATGCGGGATGCATGACTTATGATCATACCACGTGCCGGAAGCATGGTACGCACCCACAGCACGTATGGCTCTATTCTTTTTGGCCACCGGCCATGCCTCCTAGGAACACTGGAGACTGATCTTGTGGAGAGACTGTGGAGAGGCTTCGGAAGGCAGGCGACTCCGCTCAAGCCAAGACACTCCGAGCTCGGAGATTGGCCATCAACACAGTTTCTTCCTCGTGGTCACTTTCCTTCCTGAGACTGCTACTTTTGGAGAGGTTTTCAGCCAACTGTGGACGGCGGTACCTGCCAGATTGGGTGTCATATCGGTCAGCCGTTCCCGGAAGGCAGGAAACCCCGAGGCTCTCAAGCACTAGTGGCGATGATCCCACGGCCTCCAGCGACCTCATGAGCGACTCGCAACGACGGCAACTCGTCAGCTGTGCCAGGGTTACACTTGCAGTAGAATGGCCGAGCCTATATATCAAGCCCGAGCAGGCAGAGATTTCCAGCTCTCAAGTCTCGCCGTGTGTATCAATCCTACCACTTCTAGAGTATTCGAACAAGGCAAACGATAGACCATGCCGGCAGCACCAAACCATTCATTCGGCTCTCCGCTGTCTCTCAAGGTCATTGGACACAATGCTGGCACCTCCATGGATGGCGTGGATCTCGTCCATGTCCACTTTACACAAGACTCGCCTTCTGCGCAACTGAACATGCAGCTGCTTCACTATGGCGAGTATCCGATGCCCCCCAAAATCAAGCAGAGGGTCATGCGCTTGATCAAGGAAAACAAGACGACCCCAGAGGAAATGGCCATTGTCAACATCCAACTCGGAGAAGTCGTGGGAGACGCAGTCATTGCTTTCGCAGCGGAACAAGGGTTCAACATCGAGACGGAGGTGGACATCATTGCGGGCCAGGGTCAGACGATTTGGCATTTGCCCCTACCAGAGCTCTTTGAAGGTGACCAAAAGCGTGCTCACCTGGACATGGCGGAGATTGCAACCATCGCTGCCAACACAGGCGCAACAACGATCGGCAACTTTCGTGTGTCCGAAATGGCACTTGGACGACAGGGCTGTCCGCTGTTTGCAGCATTAGACTCACTCTTGCTGAATGACCGCAGCCTCAACCGCGCCGTGCAGAACATCGGCGGGATTGCGAATTTTTCCATTCTCCCCAAAGGAGATGTAGAAGGCTGTTACGATTTCGACACCGGACCAGGCAATGTGTTCATCGATGCTGCAGTTCGATACTTCACCAACGGGAAGAAGGAATACGATAAAGACGGTGCCACGGGCGCAAAAGGCAGTGTCTGGCAGAACACTGTCGATGAGGTCCTCGCTGGTCCGTACTTTACGCACGACATACCCAAGACCACGGGTAGGGAGACATTTGGCGATCGGATGGCAGAGGATATATGTGATCAGCTTCTGAGCAGTAGGTCTGCCGCAAATACACACGATACACATCACTGACACCTCCACAGAAGGGGCGGGCCCTGAGGACTGCGTCGCAACCATAACCCGCATTACCGCACAGTCTCTCGCCGAAGCCTACCGGCGATGGGGCCCTCCGGGCGGCCTAGACGAGATCTATATGGGCGGCGGCGGCTCGTACAACCCCAACATTGTCTCGTACCTGCAAGAACAGTTCCCCCAAACTCGAGTAACGCGTATCGACGAGATCGGCATCCCCGTCGGAGCGAAGGAGGCTGTTGGCTTTGCTCTGCTCGGGTGTGAGTGCTTCGTGGGCAGGCCCATGATCGTCCCGAAGCGCACAGAATCCGATCGTCCTGGCGTTGTAGGACAGGTGCAGCCGGGCAGCAACCATCATCGTTTGCGGCAACATGTTGCTCGGGTGAGTTTCTCCATGCTCGTGGATGTGAGAGTACGAGCTGACTTGTGTGCAGTTTTGGGGCGACTTTCCAGAGGAGGACATCAGGTGCACTACGAGCATGAGACTTTTACCTAGCCTTTGCAAGTGATACAATATTCTAGGCTGGGATAGTACGTAGTCTTGTTCTGTTGATAGACACCCGGGTCTTCGATACTCTCAGTACTAAAATGCTTGAACGGTTGAGCAGAGCGGTTATGCCCCAGGCGGAGTCCATGGGGCCTGCTTCAAGAGGGATAGTAGGCGAATGGGCAAATCTACGCAAACTCAGTGATCGACGTTGCGAAGCCCCGGGAATAGAGCTCTTGTCGTTCGTCGTCAGCATAGCTACATGTAGTGGATGTGTTTGGTACGCCTCGTTGCCTGAATCATGTCCTCCTTGGGACGGCATGGCATTTGCCGCATTGCCGTAGAACTACATCTCCGGAAGTGTACCTAATTTCTTTACACCATCTACTGAGTCTCATGACCATGTCCAGCTCCCATGAAGGTGTACGGAGCTACATATACATGCATGCTACTGCTTCCGTGGGCGTGAGATGTCGCCAGCTGCTTCCTCCTCCACCGCCAGCGCCCACGTCCGCGGACCAAGCTCCAGGAGCAAACTAGGTACAGTCTTCTGGCAGTTCTATCTAGGCCTTTGATGAATACTCGCTCATACACCTCCTTTCTCTTAGCTTGTCAAGCATGTCGAGACCGGCACGTTAAGTGTAAGTGGAAACGCTCGCCCGCAAGATCACGCTGGCATCGAGCTGGTATTGACAGAGGCAGGCGATTCTGGCGCACCATGTCTTAATTGCCGCCAGCAGGGGCGCGACTGTTCAAACGGCCAGCCTGCTGTTTTCTCGGCCCTGCAATGGCGTCCAGAGGCGGACTACTCGCAGACACGGCATGAGACCACAGCTTCGCCAGGCGGCGTTAAAAGTAGGTCCATCCTCCGGTCAAGACACCAAGACAGTCTTCATATGTACTACGTTACTAACTGCCCGTAGTCGCCTTCGTAGACGAGACTCATGCAGTGTCTCAGCAATACAAAGTGATTGCGGACTTACCAGATCTCACTACTGGTCAAATGGAGGCACCGCCAATCCCTAAGAGTTCAGGATCAGCTGCGAGGGACGACGCGGACTCGACAAGCACAAGGCCGGCTGGCGCGCCGATTACGAACAAGAAGGATGCCTTCTACATGTCCAGATACGTTCAATTCGTCGGCCCCTGGTTTGACCTTTTTGACAACACGGACCGCCACTTCAGCTACGTGGTTCCTGCTTTAGCATTGAGTAATCTCCTTCTGAGACTCTCTTGTCTAGCAGCGGCTGCTCGACAACACTCCTTGGTGAGTGACTGCGGCGACGGAGATGCGTTGTTGTACTACGACGAAGCACTGCGCGCGTTGGCTTCCTGCCTGAATGATCGAGCACACGAGACCGCTACCTTTGCCAGCTGCCTGCTCATCGCACACTGCGAGATGGTTGAGAGCAAGGCCAACGACTGGAATTTGCATCTAAAGGGAACTCGCGAGCTGGTCGTAGCTCAAGGTTGGCATGGGTCCAGCGGTGGCCTTGCGCAAGCTGTAAGTGTAGAAGCTCAAGAAGGGAAATCGTTAATCCTGACTGGGGTCTCAGTGTTTCTGGATCTATTGCCGCATGATGATCCTCTCGTCAATGTCATCCGGAACGCCGACTCCAATTGATACAGCTCACTGGTTGCCCTCTAACGATTTTGAAGATCCAGAGGAGTGGACTGCAGACACATGGGCTCGCAAGACAGTGTACATGTTAGGAGCCGTTCACAACTTCCTATGTAGATCTCGTCATGTTTCTGATCCAACTACAATCGAGGCAGACAAGCGTGACTGGGACAGCCTCTCGCAGAAAATCCGTCACCACCAAACTCTTTGCCCGTCAACCTGCCGGCCGCTGAGCATTGTCCGACGGGAACCTCTCCAGGAGATCTGCTACACCAACGGCTCTATTGCAGCAGCATGGCAGATGTACCATGCCCTCTGCCTCGTCCATTCCATCGGCGCCCCTTCTCTGCCAAACGAGCGCCTGACGACGCTTCAAGCAGCATCATCTACCGCCGTGGAGCACGCGAAGCTGATCGTAGCCAATTCCATCTTCAACCGCTTCGACACCGCCTGGGTCAATGCCGTGCAACTTTTGACGACGGCAGGACACTGTCTGGCGGGCTGGCAGCTCCGCCATGCCTGCATGACGATACTGGAGGATATCCGACGGACTACCGGATGGAAGACGAGAGAGAACCTCGCTGTCTTGTTCCATGCTTGGGACCGCGTGGAGTCCGCTGGCTTGTCGGTCTGTCCAGATAGGACCACGGGTCTTCTCTTATATCTTTTGGAGGCTAGAGATCAGAGCTTCTTCAATGACCCCGATGACTAATACAGCAAGCCTTCCCAAAGTGCAAGCTGTGATTCCACACGTTCAGGTACACGTACCTGGCTACAAGCTGCAGGGCATGGAGCTTAGTACGACGTCCATACATGTACCCACATGCTCGCACGTCTTACTCTTCTCCATTGCCGTGGTTTACACCCCTCCCACCACACGACTTTCAGCTGGAGGTGTTATTCAATCAGACACCAGCAAGTACCTTCGGTGATTTGATCCACGGGGCAGGGCGAGGATTAGCGACTGGTCTCTCGGCAAGCAACCTGGCCATACAAGTCCCATTGCAGCTCCAAGTCGCTGTTTGTGCCGCAAAGCAGGCATTTTCTTCGCCGCGAAAGTGTCATCAACAACCATTAGGGTGCTTATCGATTCATCCACCTTACGGCTGCACGTTCCACCGCACTGATAGTGACCAAACAAAGTGAGTTTCATCATCCGGTGTGACGAAGTTGATGCTGACTACATCCAAGGGAGCCACTTTGACAGCTGATAAATGTCCGATCGACGGTGAATCGTTCCATTCGAAGCCCGGCGATGGCAACGACTCGCTGCCTTCTTGTGGTCTGCACAAGGATGTACACTCGTTGGCTTCGCGATCCCCTCCGAAAGACGAGCCTGATTACAATTCGTATTGGTTGCCAGGTTTTGATCAAGATGAGAGGCGACCTTTCGCCTCTACTCGAGAAGAGTCTCTTTCACAACTGGGGTCGGAGACGGAGGGCTACATGGCAGCTCAAACTGGAGTGCCGATACACCTGCTGCAGTGTCTCTCCGGGACTCAGGATGGCTGCGACGACCAATACGCACGGTGTGGAAAGTTCTCATGCTGGTGGCTTGCGAACAAGGACAGATCAGCGTCAACGCTTCGCTGCATGAGCTCGTACTCGTCAAGATAGTGTATCCATGTAGACTAGAAATATTCAGCCTCTGAGTTCCACCTTTGCCGCACAATCCTTTCAGCGCCATGCGTTGACGTCTTGCTCGAATGCCGTGCAGTGATAGTTCTACAGTCTAAGGCGAAACAGTCCCCACTGCCCGACGATACGTCAGCAGCGGACCAAATCCTTCCGTAATTTGATAAGCAAGCATCCGCCTGGTTGATTCGTACGAAACTGGTTTCCTCGCTCGCTCGGCGAGAGGTCGCCGTACGCAATGCAATGAAGCGCTAGATCTTGAAGTGGGAAATATGTCGCGGACCGATGTTCCAAAGACGGTTTGTTCGCCTGATCTTCTCTAGGAGCGACCTTACCGAACGGCAGAGCTGAAGGAAGCGGCATCGACGGCGGTCAGGGCAGGCTAGCAACCTACCTTATTCACGGCGGCCTTGCGATGTTTTTCGCTATCCACAGATAGTAGGATGACTATATAAAGTAGTTCTACGATCACCACCTGGACATCATGAACACCTTCATGACCAAGCAACTAGACAGATCCCGGCAGTCTAGGAAAATGAGCGACGCGTCACGAGCAACGCCAAAAGCGAGCTCGACAACCGAATCAGAATCGTCAGGCGGCTTCAAATCGTTCTGGAGAACGACCGACAAGAGCGCTCAACAACAGAACGTCACTTTCGTGCAACAAGACCCATCGAGCAAGAAGAGTACGTTGGCGGTCGGGCAGTCTTCATACCACGAGCGCACCAGACTTACTCTCCGCGTAGAACCTAACCGCATCAGTCGCCTGTTGAGGCAAGGAAGTACGACATCTTCACCAGAAGATGCTGAAGCTTCGGGAGCGACAAGCGCTCAGAAACGAAGGCAGCAAGTGTATCAGGCACAGAAGTAGGCAACTATCCAGGACGTATCGCAACCTGTTCATACGCTGATATGTCCCAGACGCCACCGCAACCGCAAAGCCGAGTATGTGCACACGCTCGAGGAAGAAGTCGCCCGCCTCCAGCACCTCGATGCCCTCATCAACAATGAAAAGACCACTCTCGAGCACCAGAACAAGGCGATGCGAGAACTGCTTGCATCTAAGAGTCTCGACGTCGGCTTCGATACCATGAACCTGAGCAACTCGTCCTACTCTGGCGACGGCTTGAGCCAGCTTGGTGGTGCAGCAGTCGATATCAGATTTGATCCTGTGATGGGGCATGAACGGACGTTTCTCGATTTCGACGATGTGGACATGATGTGGACGTCAGACGAGACTACGTCCGGCAGTGAGAGGGAGGGCAAGCGGCAGGTGAGGGACTCGCCTGTGGCTGGAGACAGTTGGGCGGCGCTTGATTTCATCCTGGCTTTGGAATGGCCGTGTCGAGAGCATATCCATCATTCTTCGATCAAGTGAGTGACTGCAAGCTTACGTGTAGAGGCTAGCTCTGCTGACAGTGGCTTTCTGCAGCCCGAACATTAAAGTGCCGGAAGCGTGCTCGATTGCTGATCTTCATGGGCACGCTCTGACCGCGACCGCTGCGGTGTACCAGAGCTCGCTTCCACCATCCACGCATGGTCACGAACACGCCCGTGCTGCTAGCCATAGTCACGGTGGGCAGCACTCGACTCAACCTGGGAAGTGGCAGCTTCCGCATTGTGAAATCGACAAGTATGGTAGAACTGCACCACTTATTTCCTGTCAGCTACTGACCTCATCGCTACTTCTAGGCTGGTGGAGCTGAGTGAGCTGCTTCAGCTTGACGAGGAATCATTAACCCCAGCGCAAGCGTACACTGCCGTTCGCAGCAACATACCCAGCGAGAAATGGCTGAGGCCGACGCTGGACTCGTTGAAGACGCCTTTGAGCAGTCTGGTGCAGTGTCATGGGTTTGGTGCATGCATGGACGCTCCGATGTGAGAAGCATAGTTCCCTTCTCCGTGGTACAAGCTGACCTGAATTAGGTTCTGGCAGCACCTCGATGCGGCCATGGAGAAGCTGAAGTTTACCAGACCGGAGCTGGCGAGTGATGCTTCGTAGACAGAGAGGATTGAGGATTGACACAGAAAATCTGCGGGCTTGATCGTTCATACTAGCTCAGATTAGCATGTCCTGTCGTCGTTTTGAGTTCTCTTCGAAGGGGACCGTACTGTCCAAGTAATCAGCAGCCATGACCAGCTCCAGACTGAGCTCGATCGGGAAATCCATGTCTGCCACGTCTTTCGAATCTTTGTGCTTCTGATAGTAGTAGAAGTATTCGCACACTTTCTCCAGGACCAAGCCGCTGTCATTCGTCAGTACCCGGTCAAGCTCTGAGCCGATCGTACTCACTTGATGTTCTCGAAATGGCAGGTGTTGGTCTTCGACTCTGCAAAGCCATCTAATCGTGGTCAGCGGGCGTTCAAGAGCCTTGAGAGGAGTAAAAGCATACACGCTGGATCCAACATCCTTTTGATCGCGGGGCTTTTGATGGCGGAAGAGCGCAGGACCACGAACGAGTAGTCGTCTGAAGACACCAACGTCACGTACTCAGTCTCGCTCGCCATTCTGTTGATGCTTGTGAAGATGCTGAAGGAAGATGATGGAGAGTTGACCGAGTTCGAGGTTCTGTTCTGGAAGGCAATCAGAAAACACGCTAAGCACTTTGGGACGCGCACGTGTCTCTCAACTTCACGCGTTCTTCTCAGGTTTCTTTCTTCCCTTCCTTCCCAACTCTCCGCTGTCAACGGCAACTTCACAGTATGTCAATAGGCTGAGGCAGATATGCGCTGCAGCGATGTTGCTGATTGATATGTCGTCGGCGCAGTATGTTTCAAACCTTCTTCGTGGTCTCCCTGAACTCGTTGGCATATCCATTCTCCCCACAGACTCCAGTAGATATGTGCGAAACCGAGCGTCCTCTTCGCTCTCGGGCTTGATGGTTCCGATCAAGCCTTCGCAAGCGCTTCGCTTGGGGCTGAAATGCAGTTGTTTTGATTTTGCGGCTGAACGTTAAATTTGGCCTACTCTAAAACGTCCTGGACCGTAAGTTAGGGGCGTCGCCAAACCAGCCGGACAAACATATCGACTTGATGTATTCGTATGTGACCTTTGCATTTCTTCCTCACCAACGCTCCACGCAAATGGCTGACATCCCAAAGTACACAGAGCTCTACTCACTACATTCACTACATCACTCTGAGCAAGGTCCAGACTCGGTGAACGCAACACCAAGAAGGCCTTGGCAGCCAGGCTTCTTCAAACGCCTGCCATGGACCGGTGTACTCTCAATCATCCTCGCGCTGGGCTGCGGGATAGCTGCTATATCCCTGGGGTTGAAGATTGATGGCAAGCGGTTTGACTACTGGACCGTTGGCGGATATGTAGTCCAGCCGGCTGTGTTACTCTCCGTCCTTGCTACGGTGGCCAATGCCTTGCTGGTCTTTGCCTTTGCAAAAGGTGCTACGATACACTGGTATATCACTCTCCAACAGAAATATGCTCTTATGATCATTGACCGGATTACAGGTGGCACAGTGCTGTTCGCGGAGCGACCTTGGAGCAACTGCACTCCTCATGGGCTTTTGGCAGTGATTGGACGGCTATCTTCACCTCTGTGGCCGCTTTCAATACCGTCGCTCTGGCCGCCGTGTTTATGCCTATCTTGCTTGCGGATGGACCCTTGTTACAGCGTGAGCACTGTTGGGCGATAGCCTGTCTTGAGTCCTCGGAAGGCTGACTTCGTCTCAAATGTAGGAGCTGTGGTCGTTGTTACGACACCCAACGTCACGCACACGAACCAAACAATTCCACTGTCTCCGAGCCCATTCCTTTCTGGTGGCACGGCTTTTTTCATCGACCACGCAGCCGAGCCATCTTTGTATCACCCTCTGTTTGCAAAGGTGGTTCAGCAATACACGGCTCGTGAACCAATTTTGGTCCCGACAGGCCTGTGCAACGGCAACTGCGAGCTGGAGGTATCTGCGCCAGGCTGGGACATTGAGTGTGACAGTTCCGCTACCCAACACGAATTGGCCACATATGACGATTTGACGGAATATCTGAAAAATACAGATAGCAACTATACCGAGTACCGGAACTCGACCTACCGTGGTCCAGAGGTCGACCAGATCGTCTTCAACGTTGAGCTGACATATGGTTATGACTACCCCGCCAATTACGAAGATGGTGTCAACGTAAGATATGTACCCAGCTTTACTTGTGCAGACGACGTACTTACCACAGCTTTCAGTTTGCGATAGATCTAGAGACAAGGTATGCGCCGCTCGTTACGAAGTGCCTTCTCCAGCATATCAACATGGCATTCACTAACCAAGTGGCTGGACACTTCAGATACAAGAGTACACCCGGTGGGAACTACACACTCTCCCGCCATTCGTGCACACTCCACGAGGCCATCATCAAGTATCCGCTGGTCCTCCAGAACGAAACGGTGACCTTGGCACCAATGCCTCTGTCCGACGGTCGAACAGTGGAGCGAGTCTATCGCGGTCCCGAGTCAGGCTCAATAGGAAGTGCGTCGTTCTCCTCCCAGTATTCGATGAAGACTATGTGCTTATCATTGAACTCTCATCGCATAGACTGGCCTTCAAGCTTGGGAGGCTTCTATCTCGCTCTGCAGAACCAGTTCAATACAAGCACTGTCATGAGGCAGGTCCATGAAATACCGCCCGCAATCAGACAAGCTAACGTGTTTTCATAGCCCTACCGCCGGCTGGTACAGGCTGTATACCTCGAATGCAGTCTCAAGTACGCTCCTTCCTTACAGAACAGTGCTTAAAAACGTTCGCTGACTCTTTCCTCTTCCACGAAGGCCAATACCTTCGCTCCTCAGGCTCATACGATCTTTCTTCATCCAACATCACCTTCGAAGACCCAATGAAAGACATAGTACGCTTCTACACTGCTTCTCAGCATACGAGACACTACTGATCTTTAATGTCGATGGGCAGATTCTCATGGCGAACGAGATTGCTTTCCGCACTGCATACGCCCAGACATCCATGACACCATCAGGGGATAGCTCTGTCAATCTCACAGCCACTCAATCATACGTAGGTGTTCACGATTCTCCGCTGTCGCTACGCTGCCTCAGTCCGAATCCTCTATTGACAACGGCCTAACTTCTTTTCTAGATTCTCAAGCCAAACCTGACAGGCATCGACCGGCCTCTGGTGCAACGTGCTGTTGTTACCGACAAAAGTACCCAGACCGTCTACCAAACGCAACCCGGCTGGCTTGCCGGCGGCTTCGTCGTCATATGCCTCGCTTGTCTATTCATTGCGCCTACGTAGGTCTCCCATCGACAAGAACTCGAAAGCATACTGAACATTCGTCTAGCTACTGGGGCTTCTGGCGCTTAGGGAGAGAGGTCTCCATGAGCCCGATTGAGATCGGTCGAGCCTTTGATGCTGCTGTCATGCAGAATGCCGACCCGAATGCGACCGGTCAGGACTTGAAGAAGTATCTCGGCGACAGGAAGGTGAATCTCGCGCCCGCTGCCATCCAACGTTCGCGCAGCACGATGTCTTTGGGTGGGCAGCCGGAGGAGTCGTCGGGTATTATTCGATGACATGTAGGAGATAGACAGCGTGGTTGTATGGGAAGCTATAGTACACGGCGTCCAGCGAGCCATATATCATGTAACAATTTTATCACTCTGCCAATCAAGGTAGTCACCAACTCAGCAGTCCCTAACATCAAGATGGAATATCGAAACCCCGTATGCCATTCGCCACACGTGAACGCCACATGTTCGGCTCCGCAAAAGCTTGGTCCTTCTGTTTCGGGCAGCATGCATGTGACTTGGTCACTTCACTTGCGCCGTCTCGGAAGCACCAGACATCAACGTTCTATACTACTCACCGCGATCGCACAGGTCGCAAGCAAGACTCGGACAAGTCGTTAACGTGTTCAGAGTCGTCAATACCCGACAGCACAACTCCACGAACTTCCTCGGTCCCCTTTCGCCATGGTTCGAGAAAGAGATGCAGACGTACCGCAGCCAGGCCCGGCGCAACTGAGCTCACATGCTGGACCGGACGAGTGGCTCGCGCAGGCGAAGCTATGCCGGTACCTACCAGAGGCGGACATGAAGCGGCTGTGTGAGATTGTGAAGGAGTGCTTGATGGAGGAGAGTAACATACAGCCGGTGGAGGCGCCGGTGACGGTGTGTGGTGACATTCATGGACAGTTCTACGACCTACTGGAGCTATTTAACGTCGCGGGTGGAATGCCGGGGGAGGTGGAGGAGAAGGCGCCGCAGAGCTTGAGTGTGGCCGCAAGCCCGAAGGGCAGTGTGAAGAGCGCGGCAGAAGCGAAGAGCCCGAATCGCGGCGCTATCAGCGCTGCAGACCTCGAGCCGCCGACGCAGATCAAGGATCCAAAAGTGATGCGGAAGATGAAGAGGAGATTTCAGAGGGACTCGGCGTATACATCAGCTGCGTCGAATGATGGCTCCGAGGCCGGAGAGGACGAAGAATTCAGAGGCCGGGTTAGGAGCCGGAGTATGGAGGAGGCAGACGACGATGAGGAATACGAGGACGACGAGGAAGGCAGCGAGGATAGTGGAGTCGGTGTTCGAAGTCAGCCGAGTAGGAGCAAGAGCACACGGAAGCAAGACCATGCGAACGGCAAGCAGAACTTTGTCTTTCTTGGTGACTTCGTGGACCGTGGATACTTTAGTTTAGAGACGTTCACGCTGCTCATGTGTCTGAAGGCGAAGTAAGCGCTTCGAATCTGAGGCTGGAATGTATGCTGACATGTCACCAGATACCCGGACAAAGTCACGCTCGTCAGAGGCAACCACGAGTCCCGCCAGATCACCCAGGTCTACGGCTTCTACGAAGAATGTCAACAGAAGTATGGTAATGCCTCGGTCTGGAAGTCATGCTGTCAAGTCTTTGACTTTCTTGCGCTTGCAGCCATCATCGATGGCAAGGTTCTTTGTGTACACGGCGGGCTGAGCCCTGAGATCCGCACTCTGGATCAGATCCGGGTTGTTGCCAGAGCACAGGAGATTCCGCACGAGGGTGCCTTCTGTGACCTCGTCTGGAGTGACCCCGAGGACGTCGAGACGTGGGCTGTTAGTCCAAGAGGAGCCGGCTGGCTTTTTGGTGACAAAGTATCAAGTGAGGTAAGCCATCTCTCGCGTTAAGAAGTAATATGGCTCGCGGCTAACTTTCTGCCACCAGTTCAACCACGTCAACAACCTCCAACTTATCGCCCGCGCACATCAACTGGTGAACGAAGGCTACAAATACCACTTTGCGACACAAGACGTAGTCACGGTCTGGTCAGCACCCAACTACTGCTACCGATGCGGCAATGTAGCCTCAATCATGACGCTAGGCGAGGAGCTGGAGCCGGATTTCAAGATTTTCTCCGCCGTCCCGGATCACCGAAGAGCGGTGCCTGCTGGTCGGCAAGGGAGGGGCGAGTATTTCTTGTGATTGCTCGCCATTACATACGATGAGGTATGCACCCTACGAGACATGGTCGGCGCAGAGGCGTCATCGGGGGACGTACTGTTCTCGCTTTTGGACATGCCTATGGTTGTGAGCTAGCCATCGTTTGCATGAGGAGAACAACGGCGTTGCATTGGCTTGTGTTACGGGGCCAAGAGGACTGCACTGCCTGGTGAGGCTTGTAATATAAATTTCGCATTCACTTTATGCATTGTACGAATAGCCTTGCATGCCTTCACGTCCCCGTTGTGCACTAGACCAGGCCACTAGCAGGTAAATTGCGCGGTGACCAAACTCTCGTTCGGTACGGTCAAAACTACCTCACCATCCTTCGCTTCCGGCAAAGGACTGACGTTCTTCCAATCATTTTCGTTTGTCGTCTCTACGATCTTCGCCAGTTTCCCGCCCCGACATGAAACCTGCAGACTCATCTCGAAGCTAGTGGTCTGATTGTTCATGAACAACACACTCCACGTCGACTTCTCCCCAGTCTCCTGCGCAGAAGACACAGCATTGACACCGAAAGGCAGTTGCGCTTGCGGGACGTCGTACCTCACACTCCCCGGCCGGTGGAAGTAAGAGAAGTGCTTGACCATGAACGCACGCTTGGTGGTGTAGAAGTTGTAGTCTTGCGTCTTGTTGTAGTCGACGTCGATAGCAAGCCGCTGTCGTACGCAAATGTCGAAGTTCGGTTGGGCCTTTGGTAGCAGTGATCTCCTTACCCGGTCGGAGAGTACAGTAGGAACGTGATGATGGTCCATCAGTCGTAGTTTTCCGCAATCTATACCCTCCGCAATCTGAAAGCAAAGCTGCTCTCCTCACACTTCACTTGATCTCGCTCAAGTACACCTGGACCACAAGCACCCGAGCCCACTCCGCCTGTAGCACCGTCAAGTCTGAGCAAAAGCATATTCTCTTCTCTCAGATCGCAAGGATGCCTCGTGGCGTCCAGGGACTCGGCAGAATACATCGAAGCCGCCCACGAGAATAACTTATCCTGATCCAATCTCGTAGCGTGGAGTCCAGGACCACCGTCACCATTGAGCTTGACCCAACGAGCATCCATCCTGTTGCCGTTTTCCTGCGGTACGTCGTACGACGTATGTAAGTCGCGGACCGGTGAAGAGTGGATGTCTACTTTCTGAGCGCCTCGCTTGTCGGGATACGACTCGCCTGGACCAAGGCCAAAGTATCCTGATTGCGTGAGCGCCTTGCTCAAGTAGAGATCGAGACCGATCCGCGGGAGGTTGGCAGGAGCCTTCCCTCGTGGTGTGAGCTTCGCTCCGATGCTGATGGATTCATCCGATTTGATTGTGTATGTGATGGAGGCTTCCATCCCCCAGTCCAGGATAGGTGGTGCGAGGTACAGCTTGCTCACGATTTCGACCTCGTCATCCGAAGAACGGACGATGGAGAGAGAGCGCAGCTGAGAGGTCATGGCGTCGACGCCGAAGCGCTTCCAGTACGGATCGTCTGAAGGTCGATCGTTGTCTGTCGGCGCTCTCCAGAAGGAAGGATGCAAAGCGCCTTTGCGAGGGCCTTTCGCTGCCAGCAGCTCGACCCCCTTGGACTGCCACGACTGTAGCATGCCTGTGGTTCGGTCAATTGTGACCCTGGAGTCACCAGATGTGATGGTCCACACGGTGGCTGACTCTTCGATGTTGAGCCTCTGATCATGAGAGGATCGCGGCTCACCGTAATCAGAAGCTTGCAGCTGGTGTTGGGACCAGGCTATCTCGTGTCCAGCCTTGGCCCACGCAGAAGCCTCTCTCATGCGGAAGCTCACAGTGAGCCAGATCTCACTATCTGCATTGGCGTTTGAGACTTCAGCGGGCAACGAGATATAGCTCGTCTGCCCAGCTTCTATTTGTGGCAGGTCGATGGTGCCAGACGCAAGGATCTTGCTACTATTGGTGGCATTAGCATGACTTCTGCCACTCATCAAGTCTTGTGCGTACCTGTCCGTGAAGACCTTGACTTTATAGACCGCTGTCAGATGATCAAGCGACCTGAACCCATAGCGATTCTGCACCACAAGATTGCTCTCCTCAACCCAAGCATGCACCGGCTCAGCAACCTTCTTGAGCTCAACCAGCCCAGGCGTTGGAGTGTGATCACTATGACACAGCCCGTCCATCACGAAGGTGTCATCATTCGGCTCATCACCAAAGTCCCCACCGTAAGCATAAAACCCTCGGCTTTTGTCGTCCTTTTTCCACAGCCCATGATTCGCCCACTCCCAGATGAAGCCGCCTTGGAGCCGAGGGACATCGCGGAACGCCTGCTGATATCCCTCAAGATTCCCGGGACCATTGCCCATGGCGTGCCCATACTCGCAGAGGACGATAGGTTTCTCGAACTTGCCGTCAGTCACTCCTTCAGTGTCCGCCAACCTCTTCAAGCGCTCCACGGACGGATACATGTACGAGTACATATCAGCGGAGACAGCGTGGGCGTCACCTTCGTAGTGGACAGGCCTGGTAGGATCGACTGCCTTCGCGTAGTCATACATCGCTTTGTGGTTCTGGCCGTAGAAGGCCTCGTTACCCAACGACCAGATAATGACAGAAGGGTGATTCTTATCCCGCTGCACCATAGCCTCCATCCGGTCGACATACTGACCTTGCCAGCTCGGGTTGTCCGACGTGTACTTGGCCGCCTCAGGAAATGTTAGTTTCTTCCTCTCCTCGTAATTCATCGATTCGGGGATGTCCTGCGGCTTCGCCACGCAGTCGTAGAAGCCGTGGCATTCGAGATCAGCTTCGTCCATGACCCAGAAGCCGAGCTCGTCGCAGAGATCGAGCATTCGCGGATCTGGAGGGTAATGTGAGCAACGTAGGGCATTTATGTTGTTGGCTTTCATCAGCAGGAGGTCCTTCTTGATGTATTCCAGAGGCACCGCCCGACCGTGCTCGGGATGGTGGTCATGCCTGTTGACGCCTTGGAGAAGGATTCGCTTGCCGTTGACGGTGAGAATGCCATCACGGATTTCTATGCTGCGGAAGCCAATGCGGGTTTCGATTGACTGCAGAGTTTCGCCCTGCTGCGTTCGAAGTTGGATGGTCAGACTGTACAGATTCGGCGTCTCTGCAGTCCACTTCTTCGGATCAGACACGGCCAAACTTTTCGTCACCCTGCCCTTGGTTTCCGGACGGAGAATTGGGTCCTGAAGCTCCACGCCATTCCCATGGTGATCGCGGAGACCGAAGCTGACTTTGAGCCCCTCCACGTTCTGGAGAAGCAGGGCGACTTCGAGGGTGGCATCTCTGTACTCACTGTCCAGTTTGGTCACAATGGCGAAGTCTTCCATACGTGACTGTGGTAGAGCGATCAGGTAGACGTCACGGAAGATTCCAGATAGCCACCACTACGGAAGATCAGCTGAGCACGTCCTCTCTCCAGTTCGCGATACGTACTTGGTCCTGATCCTCAATGTACGACCCATCGCACCATTGATACACGCGAACAACCAAGTCGTTCTCAAACCCTCTTTTCACCAACCCACTGACATCAAACTCGCTGGTATTGCGAGAACCCTGGTGATAACCCACCTCCTGACCATTGACCAAAAGATGGAAAGCAGAGTCGACGCCATCAAAACGAAGCCGAAGCTGTGAGTGCTCCGCCCACGTCTCAGGCATCGTGAAGGTCCGATGGTAGGTACCGGTAGGATTCTCAGTTGGAATGTGTGGCGGACGGACCGGGAATGGGTAGACTGTGTTGGTGTAGTGAGGATGGCCGAAACCTTGGAGCTGCCAGTGGCCAGGAACATTTATGTCGGTCCAGGAGCCATCGATGTCTGGTTTGCCGGATACTGGAGGAGCGTGCATTGGCGTAGGAGCGTAGTGGAAGTTCCATTTCCCACTAAGCAGCAGTGAGTCTTTCGGGAGATCGTATGCTCGGGCTGGGAGTCGGTTCCTCTGGAAGATCTTCTCATTGTTGTAATCCGGCAGACTTTCGAGCTGATTGGAGCCGATTGAGGTCATCTGGGTGGGTGCGAGTTCGCCCATCTTGCAAACTTAACAGCTGGCACGGGATGTAAAGAGCGGACTGGGGCTCTCTGAAAACTTCGCACTCCTGAACAAGTTTGACTGCGAAGTTGTAATAACAATATGTCGGTCCGCCACGGGGAAAGACGTGGGCAGAGCTATCGTGACAAGCGTCGAAAGTGGGGAGGTCTCCATAGCTGCTGCAACGTGAGCGAACAGGCAACTTGCGACATGCCAGGAACTACGTGTATTGCAGTGCAAGAGTGGAAATGCCAGTGGATGCTCGGTCAAAAAGATCATTATTCTTGGTGTGAGGTCGGAGTCGGCAATTGCTCATGTTACATGTAAGAACGAAATGCTGCTTACTCATCGTCATCAATGTTCATAACATCCATATAGCAAAGAGCATAAACCCATGGAAAGCGCATGATAATGCCGTGGTGGAACGCGCGAGCTCGACTACACGTAGTCTTGCGCAGGGTGGGAAGATTTTCACTGAACAATGAATGTCGTTCTGGTCTCAGCAGTAAGTAGTCTCTTCCATACCCTCGAATGAACAACCGCTCTGAACCGTGCACCTTCGATAGGTCCTTGTGCGATCCAAAGAATATCTTGAAGTACTCGGAAGAGCCAGGTAGCGATCTAGATCGCTCTCAAGCTGCTGCTTTACCAGTGGTGCTGTAAAGCTAATTGTCGCTGCCGAAACTGAGACCGACACCGGGCAGAAATAAGGCCATGTCGGTGTTCACATGCACTTGACTGGAGGACAGTAGAGGCCATATCCATGAAGTTGTAGTCGTTGACGGATTGCGAACGGGTGACCGTTGATTGCTCTGTGCAATGCGGAAAGGAGATCTTGAAGCTGAAGTTAATCTTGTGGTTTTCAAACTGCGAAGGGCTCACGGTCTTCATTTCGATTCACTTTCTACCTCCGGAGGAGATAGCCGGAAGGATTGCCTGTGTGGTGGTCGTGCACTCGCTGTTGCGAGTCAAGTCGAGTGTGGTTGGCAATCGCCGCATACTGCAACGGCACGGTGATAGAACTGGCTCCATCATCGAGCGGCACGTATGCTGCCAGCTCTCTCACAGCTCCGACGCTGCACCACGGCCAACAACAACCTCTCGGTCCTGCTGGCGCAGATAGACTTTGGGAAATGAGGAGCCGGCCGCGGGCAGTCTCCCAACCTTGAAGCCTCTTCATGGAGCATGAGGAGATGGTGTCATCCAGAGCCTATGTGCAGTGCTTTCGGCGATGCCAGATCATGTTTCGATTAGGTCATATTGGAGTTGGGGTGAAGTCTGTCGGTCCGATGGCCTGAAGTCCAGAGAAGGTTCGGGAGCTGTCACATGATAGTACGCATTGGGCAGCCACGACCTGCAGATTCAAGTTTCTGGCATATGAAAGCCAACCAACTATTCACTTGCAACCTGTTCGTGTGAAGACACATCACAGGCGCAACATTTATCTCATTCTTGACTTGTATCCAAGCGAAGGCCGAAAATACTACGACCCCTAAGCAACAAGGATCGTGCAGCGGCGGAGACGGGACAGCAGCGGTCGGCAGTGATTAGTAGCAACGCCTTTCGCCCCTGAGCGAGAGCTTAACGTGAGCGAGCCCTGGCCAGGCCAGAAGACGACGCTCGCAGAAGACTGCGGAAGGGACAGCACGGACACTAATCTCGCCCTGGAGCCCTGCTTCCCCTCGGTTTGATCAGCCAGCTGCGCTTGAATTTCTGAGATCCATCCAAGACCTCCTTCGCGTGCTGCTCGACCACACGTCCAACCTTTCCCACGCACCGACTCCCTGTCTCGCAGCGTGGCCGACACTTGCGCAATCGCCGGTTTCACCATCCCATGCGACCTTGCCACCGCTCCGCTGGCGCCGCATATCATTTCACCAACCACCTGGCCGAGCTTCCCTTTCCACATGCGCCGTGAATCGCGGAACCACACGGCCCCGTCCAACTGCTCCAGCGCCCACGACTCGACAGGCGTTCGGTTACCTGCACTTCTGGCACCCATTTGCTGGTCCTTATGATTGACAGCTACTGCGCACCTCTAGGCCTAGCAAAACCTTAGGGCTGCAGGTGTCTTGCTTAACCCGCTAACGCGGGTGTCCCACGCAGCCGGCGACGCTCCCTGTCCGTTCGGGAGTGAGGCGGACCCAGATGCAGGGGGACCCGATCACCATGGACATGTCTCCCTCTGCTCCGACTTCACCTCCGACAACACCATACCGGCACAACAAGCAGCCAAGCACGGCGTCCCTCGTCATGCAGCGCGCAAAGCGCAGCTCCAGTCGCGTCACCGACGGCGTCATGAGCAGGTCCAGCGACGACGACGGGAACAGGACTGCAGTCAAAGTTGGTACGTGCAACTGGATTTTTTGCGCGTTCGCGCAACGATCAACTAACAATCGTGTAGCCGTGAGAGTGCGACCCCCTCTGAAGCCGACCGACCCCGGCTACGACCTGATACCGCAGCGATTTCGAGAGGCGACCTGTGAAGCGCCCACGCCCACCAGCCTGTCCGTCCAATCGCCGCACGGAAAGAAATTGTTCGTGTTTGACCGGGTATTCGACGAAGCAACTACTCAGGATGGGGTGTGGGAGTATCTCAGCGACAGTGTGTCGTCGTTTGTCAAAGGTTACAATGTGTCAATCCTGGCATATGGGCAGTCTGGTTCTGGCAAATCGTACACGATGGGCACATCAGGCCCGGAGGATCAGGACAGCCCGCAGATTAAGGGCATCGTTCCAAGAGCAGCGCAGAAACTTTTTGAGAAACTGGTGGGCGCGCCGCACAGACAGTCGGCGCTGCAGGCACCGAAGAGATATTCAATGCAAGCTCTGCCTACCATGGCCAGCTTTTCGAAGGCCGGCAGTGGCGAGAAGAACTGGACATTGAAGGCTACATACGTCGAGATCTACCAGGAGCAGCTTCGCGATCTGTTAGTCGATGAGACAATCCCACAACAGGACAGAGCACAAGTGCAGATTCGAGAGGATCCCAAGGGCAGGATCATGGTCACTGGTCTCACACAAATAAACATCAATTCGGTGGAAGACCTACTGAACGCGCTCAACTTCGGATCCTCGATACGGCAGACGGACGCTACGAACATCAACGCCCGAAGTTCTCGATCGCATGCTGTTTTCAGCTTAAACCTCGTGCAAAAGAAGCCTGATGGTTCCATGACCCCAAAGCAAGAGAAGCGGGCGTCAACACCAATCGACGGAATGTCTGGCGCGGACAACATGGTCACCTTGGACAGCAAGCTGCACTTCGTCGATCTGGCTGGCAGCGAACGGTTGAAGAACACTGGCGCAACTGGAGACCGCGCGAAAGAAGGCATCTCCATCAACGCCGGCCTTGCGAGCCTTGGAAAGGTCATCGCCCAGTTGTCGTCGAAGGGTCCGAATGCACACATCTCCTACCGCGACTCAAGATTGACAAGACTACTGCAAGACTCGCTGGGCGGCAATGCAATAACATTCATGGTCGCCTGTGTGACCCCAGCAGTCTTCCACTTGAGCGAGACTCTCAACACCGTCCACTACGCACAACGAGCGCGAGCAATCCAGAGCAAGCCCGAGATCCAGCAGTCACATGAGGAAGGGGACAAGCAGGCTGCAATCGACAGACTACGCGCAGAGGTCTCTTTCCTGCGCGACCAGATTCGGCATTCGGAGCACTCGGACAACAAGAGTGCGGACAGTCGCGGCCGCTCGGATAAGATCCGAAGTAAGGAAGCAGACCTTGAATCGCAGCTCATGGACATGCAGGAGAACTATAATGCTCTCAGTGGCCGGCACGCTAAGTTGATCTCCGAACTCTCGAAGGCCCGTGATGGCGAGACCACCGATACACCTCTGCTCAACGAAGCGGTTGGTGCGAATGCATCGGAGAGAATACAGCGGTCTAATTCCTTCGCTCAAGCGGTCGAGCAGATGGTTCTGGAGTACGAGAAGACTATCCAGACTCTGGAAGGGTCCTTGTCAAAGACGCGAAGTTCGCTTTCCAACTCTGAAAGCACGTTGTTGGAGAAGGAGACACGAATTGCGTACATGGAGACAATTCAGCACCAGCTGCAAGCACGGATTCAGAAAGCACTCGACCGAGAGCAAAGCAACGAGTCCTACCTAGAGGATCTGGAGTCCAAGATCGAAGGTACCACTTCTGGTGAAGAGAAAAATGCTGCGGTGATCGTTGAATTGCGCAAGGAGCTCGCTCGTGTGCGGGAGAGCGAGAACAGCGCGGAGGAGTACATCTCTACCCTCGAAGAGCGACTTGCGGAGGCCGAGCACGACCAGGACGTCATGCAGCGTGAGCTGGAGCGCCTGGAGCATGTGGTGGAGAGGCAGCGAAGCATTGGCCGGCTTGACAATCTCCTTGGCGAACTCGACACCATCAGAAACGGCGAAGATGATGGGTCGCACCATCGGGGTACGAACGGAGATGGACCACTGATGAATGGACATCGCGAAAGCTATGATCCCTACAGACCTCAGTCCCAAGCTTACTCCAGCACCGAAAACACCCGCGACGACTACTTCGAGGATGCAGAGGCTGAGCAGGCAGAATCCGAGTACCCTGAAGAAGAGTTTCACGACTCTACCGCTACCCGAGACATGATGGAGCAGTCCACACCTCTTGCAAAGGCGCACAGAGCAACCCAGTCCGACTTCATGGCCGATAAGTTCGAGAACATGACACAAGAACTGTTTGATCTGCGCTCTGAGCACGAAAACGTCATGAGCGATTACGACAAGCTGCAGCAGAAGTACCGGACCGCACTGGAGACGTTGGCCAAGCTGGAGTACGACAAGGAGATGCGCAAGCAATCGAAGGACACACCTTTTTTAGCGGGCGCGGGGATGAAGGGAGAGGAGAAGGCAGAGGCCGATGGGCAGCCTTCATCCTCGCGATCGGCGTCGCCGGAGTTGTCCTCGCAGCATCAATCGACTTCCTCGCTCGACGATCTGATCGAGAAGGCGGACTCAGCTGGCTCGGAACCAGAGCAGGCTGAAACATTGCCCGAGATCGCGGAGAAGGATGCGGTTGCTACCCAGGTACCGCTACCTGTTCCTAGCATTCAAGAGCCCGCGCATCCGGAGGTAGAGCTTTTGAGGCGGCTGAACTCTGAGCAGGAGGTCAACGCAGCTCAGCTCACCAAGACGTACAAAGCGCTGCACGCCCGGCATGAGGCCACGCTCTTACAAGTCGAGGAGCTGAAGCAGGAGGTCGCCAAATCACGGGATAACCGGCCATCATCACCGAGCTACTCGCCGAGCTACGCCAAGCCCTACTTCAGCAGGCGGAAGTCTGACGATGTCATGGGTTCGGCTTCAGATCGTGCCTCGCGGTCCATCACCTCCCTCAAGACCATTGCCAACCACAATCTGGAGGAGAATGTCGACGCCCGTCAGAGCTTCGACCTCAACCTCAATACCGTCATGTCGGAGCTGTCGAACCGGTCTGAGAGGGTACAAGCTCTCGAGGCCGAGCTGAGCACTGTCAGGAAGGAGATGGAGACTAAGCAGACCATCATTGCCGGACTGACTCGTGAGCGTGGCAGTCTCAAGGCCTCCTTGGGTGTTGACTTCTCGGTCGTCCAGCAAATGCGTGAGCAGTTGTTGGAGAGCGAGAACCAGATTCGTCTTCTCCAAGAGCAGCACATGGCCAAGGAGAAGGAGTTCGAGAGCCAAGTTGATAGTCTCAAGGCTACTCTGGCAACGCAGGCACGACAGCTTCCAATTCCTGGCGATCACAGTCCTTCTCGGATGCCTGGTGGTTTTGAAGAGACGCCCGCTCGAGAGCTTAGTGACGATCAAGCCATGGGCGGTGCGAGGGAAGCAGAGCAGGTTGCAAGGCTGCAGAGCCAACTCGATGCTTGGGAGCTAAAGCACCATGAGACCGTTGCTAGCATGAAGACTTCTGAAGCTCAACTGTTGGAGACGATAGCACAGCTCGAGGAGTCTGTCCGCAACGTTGAGGATCGTGGCACCAACCGCGACACTCCAGTTGAGGCCTCGGACGCCGGTGCCGCCGCTACTGCCATGCTGGAGAAGGAGCGGGCGAAGCACCAGGAAGTGGTCGATGCATTGCAGAGGGAGATCGAAGAGCATCGTTCGACCTCGAACAACCATGTGCAACAACTGCAGGAACTGGAGACGGCTTACTCAAAGATCTCGCAGCAGGTGGAGGATGATTCGAATTCGCGCGATCTGAGCTCGCAGGAGCTACAGACGCACAAGAACTTGATCGCCAACTTGGAGAACCAGCTGCAGGTGCACAAATCGACGATCACCATCCACCAGGAGAGCCTTGAGTCGCTGCAGTCTTCGCACAGCAAAGAGATCGAAGAGCTGAAGGTGGCTAGAGATGACTCAGAGAAACAGGCGACTGAGCGCTACGCAGCTCTTGAGACCCAACACAGGGACACCGCCGACAACTTGCAGAGCGAGCTCACGAAGGCCCAGAGCGAAAAGACAGAACTTCTACGAAGCGCATCTTCAGCTCTTGGCTACCAGACGGATGCTTCGACCCTGCACTCACAGATCAAGGGCTTGGTTGAGGAGGGCAAGGAGATCCATGCTCGGCATCTGAAGACCACGAATGAGCTCAAGGCTGTTCAGGAGGAGCTGCAGAACGCGATCAACAAGACCGTGGATCTCGAGAACAAGATTGCAGAACTCAAGTCGATCAACGAGGAGACAATAACCAGTCTGGAGAAGATGACTGAGAAGGAGAAGAAGAGCTCGCGGCTGGTCGATGAGCTGGAGGAGCAGTTGAACAATACCTTTGACTCGCATCAAGCTACCAACAACCGGCTCAGCACGATGCAGGGTGAGGTTGCGCAGCAGAGGATTGAGATTGAGCGGGAGCTTGAGAGCCAGAAGTTGCGGAACCAGATACTTGAGGTGAGTGTTCTTTGCCAGCCACCATGTACAGGACATATGCTAACTGATAACAGCAACAAGTGGAGGCCTACAAGCGTGCTTCTGTCCAGTCAGAGGCCGCTGTCAACTTCAACCGCGAGTCTCTATCACCAGAGGCCGCCGCCATTGCTCTTGCTCGCTCTGGTTCAGCTTCCTCCAACGCTCGCAAGTCTCTTCCGTCAGCGCTACCTACACCACCTCCATCGATACCCCTACCTCCATTGCCAGGCTCACCTACATCCGGTGCAAACCCAATACCAAACGGCATCGACGGCCGCGCTACCTCCCCACCTCCACAGCGAACAACCTCTCCCATCCCGAACAACACCTCGCCACCAGGCTCACGCCACGCTTCGCGCGACATCAACCACCGCGGCTCGCAGCAAGTCGAAGAGCAAGAAGCTCGCATCCGCACCATCGAAAAGCATCTCTTCGCCGAGAAGCAGCTCACCGCCACCCTCGAAGAAGCGCTCGTCGACCTCGAAACGAGCGCCAACCGCACCAAAGCCGAGGCCGAGCAATGGCGCCGCAAAGCCAACGGCTTCGAAGACGAGCTCAAGAACTTGCAGCGCGAGAAGACGAACTCCCGCGCAAGTCTGCAGGCCGTGGAAGAAGAGCGCGAGATGCGTGTCCGTGCGGAGAGGGCGCGGCAAGCTCTTGAACAGAGGATGGAGCAGCTCAATTCGTCGAAGAAAAAGAAGAAGAACAGCCTGAACTGCTTCTAGTCGAGGCAGCAGCCTTGAAGCAAGGACTGTGCTTCGCAATGTGTAATATTACGAACCGAACCCGCCGACGACGCGGCGAGAGATTTTTTCCTTGGGTTATGCTACGTTCCAGCGACGACTTCATTCATCGGGACGGGAGTTCAGAAAGACTGCATTGGCGTTTGTCGTTGAAGCGAAAGGAAAGACATAGGGTACAGCTCACGCGTGCACATTGGGCGTATTGCGGAAGGAAGGGGATCTACCTACTGCGGTGCTTTGCAGACATTTTTCTTGAGACGGACGAATACCCCTTTTCGCGACGTAATGCAGCGGTACCTTAGCTGGTAGCGGCATCTGCTTTGTATAAATAGATGTGACACATATCTTACTTCATCAACAACATATTTACATGACGTTGCTCTTCGTACCCGTGATATCGTGACGTGAGGTTTGAGTTTGGTGGAGGATGAGCAGGGTATGGATACAGGGCGAAGCTATCTATCATACCGTTACATCCCGCTTCAGCATGTCCAGAATGCTTTGCGCATCGACTTGCTTGGGCTCGACGGGAGTAGGCTTCACCTCGTGCCTATCACCGCATGCATTGCCGGCGCCGATTTGGGTAGGGCTGATATCCGGACTCCTAGCAGTCTTCATCATGTACTCCTCGTCAAGCATGAAGCCATCCGGAAGCGACCCCGGTGGTTGCTGCAGCACGTAGATCGTCGGATATTCCTGTACTGTCCGCCCTTGCAGCGAGTCGGTGAGCGTGGCGCGAGGATCCAGCTGGATCAACACGCGGTCCTTTCCTGTTGTGCCGGGCTTGAGGAGGTAGTAGTAGACATTCGGCTTGGAGCGTTCGGCACGTCGGGTCTGCTTCGACATGGCCTCTGCCGTTTCGCCGACTGCTGTCGTTGCATCATCTGGATGAGTCTCTGTGATGATTTCAACAGGAGGTGAGGAGCGGTCCGACTCTGCATCATCTTCTCCTGTCGAGGTGGGTGTGGTTGGCCCTTCAATGCTTCCCCTTTCGTCTCCACCCTGTGCACTCTCTTCACCCCCACGACGTCGATCGACTATGGTGACTGACTGGCCTGGCTGGTCTGCGCCCATCGTCTGTTGAGATTCGAGTGACGTTGACTGCCCAGCAGATGCGGCCTCGGGAGCACCATCTTCCAGTTTCTGCTTGCGAACCAAACGACTTCCAGCTTGATCGGCACCATCCTGACTCTGTCGCCGCTTTCTCGCGTTGCGCATGGTCGCCTGCAGTACTTCGTAAAGATCCTCCACACTCGCAGACTCCGAACACTCATTCTGCAGGTGGCGAGCAGAGTCCTGGTCAATCCACTCCGCAGTCCAGGTAACCTTCCCCTTCTTGCTAATCCGAGTCTGGTTATTCTTCTGACGACTCATTCCCAATGGTGCGCGGTCGACGATGATCTTGTTCCGGCTGAGATACTTCATGAGCCCGCTGTCTGGTTGCCACGCTTTGGCCGCACCTCGCGTCGAGGCTGCAGCAACACCGATCCCTCGTTCCTGAGCATCTTGCCCAGCATCGCCGATGGAGCGCTCGACGCCCCTGAGATAGTTGTAGTCGTGGTCGACACCAGCCGGCGTAGCCCACTTACTCTTCTTCACATAAGTAGTAGGGTCACGCTTGCCATTGCAGGCGGCCCGCTGCTGATGTCGCTTGTAGCACGCAAGCGAGCATGTCTGTGTCCTACACCGTGGACATCGGTACTTGGGCGTCTCGGCATGGCTGCCAGGGGTTAGCGGTGGGCAGTGATTGAGATAGCACGTGACGCTCTGCTGCTGCTTCCTATTTCGGGTGTTCTCACTTACCAGATCGTGCAGAGGTCCGAAAGCGACGTTTTGTCCATGACGATACTATGCAAGTGCTAGCAGTACACTTCTGCTATTTGGAGAGGAGCCGATGGATGGAGTTCAGATCGATAGGTTGTGGTTCGGAAAGAGCCTGTCAAAATCTTCTCGACGAGGCTTGGCGTTTCCGACTGTCACATTCACTCGAAGTCCTGTCTTGCTCTTGCTCATGTCAACTGACAATGCTATATCCTCTTGCAATGAACAATTACGGAACCATCTGTTGCCTCTCGACAATTACGGTCATGACGTTCAGCAGATGCGCGTCGCTCAACTAGTTGCATGCGGTACTACACTACTTCCAGGTACCGTAATTCTTTAAGATGCGGGGAGCCGAGAGGCCAGACGTGCATTGCATATGCATTGCAGGAAGGCGTTATTGCAGGGCTCATTTCTCACTATGCTACAGGTGTCTCTACAACGTGTGTCGAGTCAGAGGACAGATCGATCCAGACGATTCTGGCCCAGGTCTACCAGGTAGCACGTTGCGATCTTGATTGATATAACACAGGGAACCGCTGTATAGACAGACTTTTCCCCATTTGACGCAAGGGTGCCCGGCGTGATAACCGAGGACCTGTTTCCGTCTCAGATCAATCTCACAGGTTGGAGAGCCCGTTGATATGCGGAGGCTGTTTCCTCCAGCTGTCAGTTGCTGACCACCCAGGAGTGTGAGCGGAGACGGAGCTGAGAAGAGTGTTGTTGGACAGTCAACAGTCAGCACTTGTTGCCGGAGTTTCATAGCACGCCGTTAAATGTATCACCACGTGCAAACGAACAGCCGTGGGTGGTGCTGTAGCCGACCGGCCAGGGTTCACGAGCTGGTGTGTCTGCCCCTTTTGCCCATGACCGTGTCCATCTGGGAACGTGCACGCGCTTTGGTGTGATTATTCCCCGCGGAGAACCCGTTCCATATTGATGAGATGCATGTGATTGAGCTTGCCCACGACAGACTCTTCGAACGTCGAACGTCGCTGTCCCGCTCTGAGGAGACCGCAAGTCGTCGGTATTCGTGCAAACAACCACTTGCCGGTCGGTCCAGGAGGCCGAGATTTGGTGCCAAAACGCTCTCCACTCGGCTGTCAACCCCTGCGCCGCCCTGCGTTCTGTTACTCCGACGGATCTCAAACTAAAACTCCCCTGGATCTCTGCCTAAACCAGCGTCGGCAAGCGCACGTATCAAGGTTTAGTCGCGACCTGCGGGTGCAGTAAGGAGTCCGAGCATATGCTCATCAATTGCGCTTCTCTCCGAACTCCCTCTCTTCCCGTTCCACTTCCAAGCACTCTGTCCGCCCAAGCTGCTACTGTCACCGGGCTCTTCTGGTCGTCATCTGCTTCTTGGGACGGTGGCAGCGTCGGACTTCTGACAGGAGGCATTCGTTCTACATCAGAGCGTTTGCAAGGAGACACAGCGGCAGAAGTGCCATTGGGGAGCGAAGGCAGAAGTCAACACGTCTGCGCGATAAACTGCACACGAAACCATCAACATGCCGCCTTCCTTCACCTCAAGGCCTCGGTCTGGCGAATCCGCACGACCGACAAGCAGAGACTCCGAAAACCTCGTGATTCCCAATCGGACCTCATCGCTGCACTCCCGGATCGTGCAGCCAATGCCGAACACGATGCCTCAGCAGAAGACCGCGCAACGTGCGCCCAAAACCTTGACGCATGCTTACATGGTGTGCGGTGTTGGCAGAGAGCCTTCGCAGTGGGTGAAGGCCCCTGTTCCTCCACAAGGGAAGATTGGGCACATGAAGGGCGCAGTTGGGCAGTTCTGGTTACCGGAGATCCTGGGAAGCAGTCCGAGGCTGGAGCAAGACAACGAGATTGCAAGGTCGCTTCACTCTGCGATGAGGGTATGTGTTTGCACACTGCCTCCCATCTCTACAACGCTGACAATGCATAGGCCTGCTTTCCACATGATGTTGAGATCTGCACTGGAGCGAGCCAGCCACATTGCGTTCACCATGCCTTCATACTCCAACAGGACTCCTCCCACACGCTCTACGGCATTGCTCTACGCGTGTGGTCGCGTGCCGATGAGAAGCGTGCAGAGACGATCCGAGAACTACGGAAGCGAACGGAGCCAGACTACTACGATGCGCCTGGCGAGACGTACTGGATCCCATACTGCCTGAGCTTTCTTTCGAGATATCCGCTCTACAATCTGCTCGGCGATTACCTTCGCGGTATGTGGATTCATTGGAACAAGGCGACCAACCTCTTCCACGCAGAGGAGGTCTCGCGGATCTTAAGCTTCCCAGCCCCTCGCCTCAACGATCTTGTCCGGATCGACATGAAGGACTACGCATTGTGCTACCAGTTCCCTTCGACGCCCAACGGCTTCCAGAACTTCGCCATGTGGCCACTCTTCTGCTGTCTCGCAATACCAAACATCGTCGGTGTGCTCGAAGCAGCCATCTCCCCAACGCGTCGCATCATTTTCATCTCGCACTACCCAGCGATGCTCACAGTCGCCGCTGAGACCATCCGCTTCATGGTACGCGTCTACGAGTGGAGTGGCCTCTACGTTCCGGTGGTGCACGCACGACATGCCAAGGAGCTTGTGCAGGAACCCGGTCCATACATTCTGGGTGTTACTGCAGAGTGTCGCACACTGTTTACTGCACCATCGGATGCCCTGGTCGTTGACCTTGACCGCAACTTTGTGCTGACCTCCAGCCCGCCATCGGTCTGGAGCGCGAAGCAGCGGTCGAAGCTGATCAACCGTCTTACCGAGTCTCTGAGCGGCGAAGTTGCGCCATCCGGCGTGCCACAACATTTGCGATCTGCATATGGCGGTGGCAAGCTCATCCCGGCTGGCCAAATCATTGTCATGCGTGGCGAGGTCGAGAGCGTGCAGGATCCAGGTTGGTGGAATCAGGACAGCGTCATGAAGGTCATGGACCACGCATGTGAGAAGTTGGTACGACGCTTTCCTATTGAACCGTGCAGAAGAAGGCGCTGACACGTTGACAGGGAAAAAACACGGGCGTCAAAGCCGTTTTTGGGGGCGCTCAGAAAAAGCCGCTCATGACCAAGGTGTCTATGCGCCATCTCAACGAGATTGTACGCGAGCGCAATCAATATTCGCGAGATGCAATGGAAGCTTGGCAGGACTTTATCAACCTCAAGGGCAGGATGGACACGGAGCTTACGAAGGTTACGAAGCGCAACAATTTCTTGGTGGAGGAGCTCGAAAGCTGGAAGCAGCAGTTCCTCAAGTTCCAGGCGTTTGCTGAGCAGCTTACCAAGGAGACCAACGAGCTCAAGATCAAGATCGAAGGACATAAGAGGGAGAACCGTCGCCTCAGTGCGCTCATTGATCAGCAGAAGGACGACACTGCCAGGCTCACCGTGCGGCTGTCTGGAACTGAGAAGCAACGGGACGATGCGTTGGAAGCACTTGTGCTACAGCAAGAGATTGCGGAGGAGCTTGAACGGGAGCGAAAGAGGAACAAGAAAGACCTTTCAGCACTTCAGCACACCAACACAACCTTGCTACGCCAGCGCGATGAGGCTCAGCGTGTGGTCCTCCACCTGCGTGCCCTGATCGATGGCCAAGCGCACCACATGGAGCATATCGTCAAGTCTCTGAACGACACTTCAGAGCCCGGAATGTTCACAGACGCTGAAGAGGGCGAGATGGTTGAGTCACCGAGAGACAAAGATCAGCACGAAGGTGTCGCGGTCAAGCAGGCTGGTGGGAGGGACTCAATGCCGTCGTCGAGGTCAAGCACAAGAATGTCGAGTCGTGCGGACGGTGAGGAAGCCTCTCAAGCAGCGGAGTCTCGATACTCCAACCACGCTGCCCGCAAACGCTTGTCGGAATTCAGCATGACTGATGTCGCAGATCGCCATCTCCGCGACAAGACGGACGCCATCGCCTACATCATCCGGAACATCTCCGAGCAATGCGCGGCAGCAGTAGAGGGACTGGACCTCGCTCGACGTGCGGACACCTCTAGCACGATGAGTGGAGACGACGATCGATCAGAGTCCGGAAAGAAGAGAGGCAAGCGGGCGATGAAGACAATGTCACGAGAATATGCCGATGGCGAGTACCACGACACCCAGACCAACGGCTCGGAGTCAGAGTTTGGAGATGCCAGCGACACCTCTGGCTACCTACGTCCTAAGCGGTCGTCGTCCCATGTGCCGCCCACGCCGGATCTCGTGCACGACCGGAGCTCGACCAGCATGAGTCTTGGCAGTGAGAGCACCGCTGCCACACCTCAGAGACAGAGCATCAACAGCCAGTACAAGACCCAACAGGAGGACATTCCCGAGGTGCCGACACGCATCCTCGACCAAGATGAAGAGGCGGACATGGAGGTCTCCGAGCCGGTCACGAAGTATAGCGCACACCGCGTCTCCAGCAGCCACCAGCAGGCCGCACGGTGAGCCTGACGGCGGCTACCATTCTTGGAACTTTACGGAGTATGAGTTGAAACGGCGTGGCGTTCGCGGCGCACACAGAAGGATGGGCCATGTATCTGGACGTTTTGCTTTTCGAGGTGATGCCATTCCTTCCACGGCCTTTGTGATCTAATACCCCATTTGAAGTAGCATGTTTCGTATGTAGCGGGGCACTTCGAGGGAGGGGGGAGAATGTAACGAGCAATATCACATATCGTCCAGATTTCGGTGCGCCTTCGTCGCGCCTTCCTGGTAAGTGCGTGCCTTCCTCATGTGAACGTATGCAAACTTTATCTCGACTTCATCCCTTCTACACTTCAGCTTTTCCACCACTTCCACCTCTTTCTTAGTCCTACGTCCGACCGTCTCGACGGCTACGCGGGGCACACGGCATCGCAATGGAGCAAGCGCTTCGATGCAACCACCTAAAGTGCCGAACGCAGCTAGAAGACAGTGCTGTTGTGACAACATGCTCTCATATCTTCTGCATCCCCTGCTCCGACTCCTTGGGCCTCTCGACACCCACCAGCAGGACTCGCATCTGCCCAGCCTGTGAAGCACCGCTATCCAATCCAGACGATGCGGTGATTTCGCAGCTCAATCCATCTGAAGACTACAAGACGAGCGTCCTGAGCGGTTTGAGCCCCAACACTATCCTGGAGTGTGCTGGACGAGCGTTGAACTTTTACAGCTATCAGACGAACCAGGAGATGTAAGTCTGCGTCAAGTCTATATCGATGGGAGGCTGACAGCATGTAGCATGTACCAGGAGTATCTCGCCAGGAGTCTTACCGACAAGTATCAGTTGCTCAGCGATCAGATGGACAACATCATCAAAGATGCCAACTCGCAAATCCGGAGCATGAACAACAGGCTCGACGGTCAGTGCCTCTTCGTACATTATACCGATGCCCACCCGCTGACATTATCCAGCGTTGCAAGAAGAGAAGCGGAAGCTCGAAGAGAAGAATGAAAGACTCGCTGAGGCTTACCGCAACAAAGGCAAGAAGCAGCAAGAGGCACTCCGACTGTAAAAGACACTCAAGCAGCAGCAGTTAGCAGCTGGCCTGGAGGTTGCCGCTGACGTCGATGCCGAGAATGTGCTTCACGACGCTGCCGCTGCTCCAAGGCATGGCGGCAATCCGCGCGGCGGTGTGCCACTGCAAAGCCGAGCTGGCAGCAATGGTAGTGGTGGGCGAGGTGGTCGACGACAACAAGGGATCCCGTGGGAGAATTATTCTGCACCTCAGCGGCCGGTGATGCAGAGCTCGCGTACGTCTTCCTTGCTCGTTGTTCGAGGCCATTTCTGACATCGTTGTAGGCAGCAATCCGATCCCAATGACACCGTCTGGCACACGCACACGGCTACCGCAGGCGCTCTACGGGAACGAGAACTTCAACAGCCATACGTACCAGGGCGAGAGCCTGCACTACGGCACGCCACGGACCCAGCTCAAAAACCTAGATCCGAATGTGTACGGCAACAGTAACAGTCAGCGCTATGGTGGCATGAGTGCCGGTATGAAGGTCGGAAGGCCCCAGAATCAAATTTACCATGGGGCGGTCGGTGGTGGAAGGCCGTCTGGTCTCAACATGCGGTGAGAAATGGCACTCCTGCCTATCTGAGTCAATCAATTCGCTTTAGGAACAATTTGGCTTTGAGCATTTTCTAGCTGCGCAAGAGTCTGTTAGAGATGGCCTTGTCTCGCCGCTGTCATGCAGCCATTCGAGGCAGGTTGATGGCATCTACAGATTTGAGCTTACCGGACTTATTGTCTGTATACCTCACATACATCTCAGCCATTGTATACTACCACAGCCCATCGTACAATACCATCCCTGTCCCCCTCCCCATCTGTCCTAGCAACTCTCCGCCGGCAACGGAAACACCGCCGGGCTCTTCTTCCCATCCTTTCCCACACTCCTGACTCCAAACTGCAAGTCATCCTTCGGCAAGTTCACAGTCACACTCCCGACATCCCCGACCTCCAGCACATGCGACCACTGCAAATTCCCCGTCGACCGAAACACCAACTCATACCCCGCCACCATTTCATCATCCCCCGTGTTCCAGCAGAACTGACTATCATTGCTCAAAACCTCAAGACTCGTACTCCGATCCGTGGCAGGAAAACCAATGCTCTCACTAATACTAAGATTCCGCGGCATCGCCGGCGCATTAGCAGCAGAATACATACTTGCGAGATTCGTCCGCGCAACCCTCGCAGTGAAATCAAAGTCCACAAACTCAATCAAATCCCCATACTGCGTCCCATTCTGCACCCGCACATCCTGATGCTGATGCAGGAAATCCTCCACCGGCTCCGTGAAGCGCACGGCGGGGAAGCCTTGCTCGAGGAACGACTCGTGATCACCCCCGCGTAAGAAGCGGTCGGGGCGGTAGATGAGCGCTACCTGCATGCCCACGGCTTCTGCGGCGCCGGCGGCGATTTCGGAGACGAAACGTCCGAGGTTCTGCGCGGGGGAGTCGTTCCATCCGCCTATGAGGCCGTATTCGTTTTCGGTGGCGGAGGAGGAGACGTTGGGGTAGAAGATGCTTGCGCCGAATAAGCGGACGGTGTGGTCGTTGATGGGCGCGAAGGGGGAATTTTTGCCTGTGCCGACGATGTCGTTGTTGAAGTTGCCTTCGACGGATTTGCCGGCTCTCTTTAGTGTTTTTGCTAGGTGCGTGGCGCCATAGCTCGCTTGTTCTTCTGCTGCTGTGGCGGCGAAGACGAGGGTGGATTTTTGCGCGCCGTGGAGAGCGACTACACGCGCCATTTCCATTACGACTGCTACGCCTGAAGCGTCGTCGTCGGCGCCTGGGGCGTCGCCGGTGTAGTCCATGACGTCGAGGCGGCGGGAGTCGTAGTGCCCCGTTACTACGTACACGCGGTCGGGGTCGGCTGTGCCGGGGATCGTGGCGACGACGTTGGAGATGTTGACGGGGAACGAGATGCGCTCGGCCACGCCTTGGATGTAGCTGTTTAATTCGACGGTCATGGCGCCGTTCGCTGGGCGGGCGTTGTTCGTCATCTCAGCCAGGATCCAGTCGCGGGCGGCGCCTATGCCACGGGTGGAGGAGTTTTGGGTGGAGAGGGCGTGGCGGGTGCCAAAGGAGGCGAGAGTGGAGATGGTGTGTTGGATTCGGTCTGGGTCGATTTCGGAGAGCATTTGGACGAGCTCTTCGTCTGGCTCTTGGGGTTGGATGGGCTGGCCGATGGTTGTGGGTGGCCAGCTGGCGTCGGGTGCGTAGGCCCATGGTTCGGAGGGCGGGTTGTAGAGGCTGCCTGGGAGGCTTTGCCATGAGAGGGAGGAGTTGCTGTATGATGACTGGGAGTGGGCTGCGGGTAGCAGTGCTATCGCTGCCGCGAGGATAGTTCTTTTTGCCATGTTGTCGGTGGAACTCTCGAGATGTGAACAGAAAGAGAGAGGAACGGTCGAGGTGAAGAGGAAATGCCTTCCCTTGTCATTAAGCAACTTACTGGTGATCATCGTCTTCACAGCTGCCTTTCAAGGCCTAGCATTCAGAGCTTCGGTGCAGGTGCAATGCTGCTTTCAATCAAACCTCCGGGTTGGAGATTTAGAATGTCGTCAAGCTGGCCAGGGCAGTATCTCTTAACAGCTTCCTCATTGGGAAGTCGATGGGTCTATCATTTTCGAGACGTCGTCGACCCACGAAGGACGTCTGATGAACGTCGAACGGAGTCGTATTCATGACGAGAGAGACGGTCGTATAAATGTCGTTGCGTGGTAAGGTACGACACGATGCGTCCGGCTGCTCGGCTTCAATGTGTCCTGGCGAACATCTGCCATGTGAGTGTCCTGCAGCAGCACAGCCCTCTCTCCCGCATGAGACCAGATCTCGGCCGGGAGATCTGCAGGTCGATGTCTTTGACCTCGGTGGGGTGGCGATTGGAGCAAGACAACTGGTATCAGAGTGGTCCTGCTCTCTGGCCTGCTGCGGTGTCGAGATGAGACGGAACATCAGCAGTCGGCGTCAACGGCAAGAAGGAGACTGTCTCCGTACACCCCCAGATCTCTCAAGCCACCACGCACCCATTCAGACATGCCCCGGCCGATGAGGCTAAAGACAGGTGCAGATGCGGGTCGACGGGAAATGGTGTGAAGAAGAAAGGAATGGGAAGGCACATGCACCCCCTCCTCTCTTCCCCGTCTCTTGTCGCATGCCCATCCCATCCCGCACGCTCGGAGCTGGCGGATTGTCTCCCCCAAACCAAGGGACTCGATCAGTCTAGCCTTTTCTTCTGCTGCAGCCCACCTCGTGCCTGTCATGCCAACCCATTGCGCCTTGCCGCGTGGCCCGCTGTCTTCTCCATCCTTTCCATTCCTCTTCTTTCGTGTAGGAAGACTTTCATGTGTATGAAACAGAGAGAGCAAGTGGCAAGCGCATCCATCCCCGGTTCCCGCTTCTTGCACGCCTCCTCGGACCTGACTTGACAGTGGCATTGGCCGCGGATCGCTTTGACTTTACAGCCCTGACCTCAACATTACATCCGCTGCCATACAGTCCACTATCGACGCCTGCTATCTTTCTGGTCTATCCTTTGCCGCCTTCCATAGACTGCTCGTGTGCTGTCGCAAACCCATCGGGAGCGCCACCGTCACCCACCTTGGACCATCGTCGGCAGCGCTTGGCAGGCGATCGGGATACGGCTGACAGATCCAGCGGCGGTACGACGGGACACACGACAGCACCTCTGGCCGACAATGGCTACCCCGGCACCACAAGGCGCTGATGCCTCGACCTCCGCTGCCGCCGACACCCCCAAAGCGCAGGACGGCGTCGAGATGAGCACGCTGCAATCGCCTTCCGCGCCCTCCGCCGAAGCAGACGCCCAACCAGCACAGCAAACACCACATCCACAGCCCACCTCCGAGACACACGACACCACCGCCGGCGCCGAGCAACTCCAACCAACACCCTCCCTCCAACCACCCCTCGCCCGCTCCCAAACCGAAGCCCTCGGCCCCGCCACCGAATCCCCCATCGCCGCTCCCCCAGCCGACCGTGGCCCCACGCTCAGCATCACCCTCATGCTCACGAGCGGCGCGCGACATCCGTACAAAATCGACGAAAAGTACCTGCGCAACCGCAAAGTCGAGATCCCGAGCAGTGGGAGCTTCGATCCGCGGGATATCAGCGGGTACAAGTTGAAGGAGCTGATTTGGACGGATTGGCGGACGGAGTGGGAGCCGAGGCCGGCGAGCCCGAGTTCGATACGGTTGATTATTCTGGGGAGGTTTGTGGAGGACAAGAGTGCGCTGAAAGGTGAGTTCATCTTAATACGCCGGGTTGCGGTTCCGTCTGGCACTTGTGGATGTGGCAGTATGGTGTCTGAATGACTGGAGGATGGGTGCTAACGGTTATGGCAATCAGACTTCCCCTTCAAACTCGACCAAACCAACGTCCTCCACATGACCATCAAACCCGCCGACTTCCTCGACGACGAAGAGACCGCGGGCAAAGGCACAGGCAAAGGCCACTCGATACGAGGACGGGACGACGGCGAGGGAGGGGCGGGGTGTCGGTGCGTGATATTATGACCGCTTCACGAGCGCATCATATCAGTAGGGAGCGCGGAGCATGTTGATGGGACGGCTGGTTTCTCTTTTCGGGCGACAAACAAGCGTGGGAGTGTACAGTGAGGCGTTTTAGGTGCGTTCTGGGGACTGGGTTTTGAGTGCATTGCGTGGCGAGCAAGGATGGCGTTTGAGGGGTACATTTGTGTGGCCTGGTTGTATGCGCGTGATGGTTATGAGTGTATGGATAGAGAGCGCTGAGTATGAACATTCGTCACAAGCACAGTCAATGTGTTTCTCAAGTGTAATGGGTTCAGTTGTGTTGGATTCTGATGACTTCGTACTACTAATGCAGGTTTCTGAACGCCTGAGGGTGGCGATAAAGTACAAGCATGAAGTTGAAGTCCGTCGCAGCAGTCTGTTGTTACACTCGTCTTCGCGCCTTCGCCTCCGCAGCCTCGTGGTCATCAAGACTGGCGAGCCAGAAAGCTCCTTGCATCATCCACACCCCCTAGCCATCGCCCCATCATCCTCAATCCACCACTTCTTCCCTCACAACCTCATCCAATCCCCTACCACCCCATCCCAAACCTCCCCTCCATCTCCCTATGAAAGTCCACCTCCCCCCCAAACTCCCCACCCACAAACACATCCTCCCACCCCACCTCCTCATCCCTGCCGCTCAAAATATCCTCATGCACACCCCCACCCATCCCGACATGCAGACACCCCGGCCTCCACTCCCCCTGCCGCACAATCGCCAGTTCCATCCCTCGACGGACCGGCTCCGCGATGCCGAATTGGCGCCGCAGCATGGACATTTTGAGGCGGTCTTGGTTGTTGCGCCATTGGGAGAGGCGGGCTTCGAGGGGGTGGGAGGAGGCGAGTTGGAGGGTTGAGGGGGAGGCTTTGGGGGGTGGGGCTGTGAGGGAGAGGTTGGAGCGGAGGGTGTCGTGGACGCCTGGGGCGGAGGGGGCGCCGGTTGAGGGGAGGGTGTTGGTTGGGTGGGACGAGGAAGGCACTATGCGGAGGGCCTGTGGGGTTTGTTAGTGGTTGGTTGATGGAGGTGATGGGGAGAGGCTTACCATCGTGGCGGCTGTGGGGGGTGTTTGTTTGTGTGAGCGCGGTGGGTGTTGCTGTAGTTGTATTAAGAGTGTCTCGGAGGTCGTAGTCGATCGGGTGATGAAGGCTTGTCGGTTCCCTCGGTTGTGTTGATGGTGGTTGATGAAGAGTGAAGGTGTCCTTGAAGCTTCGCAAGGCAGAGAGAAGCACGCGTCAAGCGAAGGCGTTGCGCAAGCCTGCAGGAGCTCACGCTTCCGGGCCGTTCCGATGGATCCCGCTGTATAGCCGGCAGGCGACGTAGGAAAGGAGTGGCAGTCAGGTTCTGTCTTCTCCGTGACATTATCGCCTACTATAAACACTCCTGCTAGGCGATGCCGTTTCTCTTGTCTCGGGGAGCTATACTGTCTGCCTATTGTTCCTCGCCTCTTCTCCGATAAACAATCTCCTACCTAGAGGCTTACAAATGTTTCCTTATAGTCTAGACTGCGAAGACTGCAACTTCTTCTACTACGTCGCCTCATAGCCGGCCCTGCTGGCGCGAAGAAACAAAGGTGCACATGGTGAGGGATGCTGGGGGGATTGGTTCTTGGGCAGGACACGCTTTTTTCGCGAGGCTTATACAGTCAATGGCTTCATCGAGTTCGTCAAAATGTCTATCTTTGAGAAGCTACAAAGGGCGTAGTCATCATTGTACCACTGCACGACCTCTTGATACTTCCTGCTACGTAGATAACTTATCAGCTCGTGTTGAACAGATGGTGCATACATGTAATGAATGTGTTTGACTTATGATCTGACTCCCGGTGAGCCCGGGCAGGTACGGGTCTCAAGGCTTACGACGGTTTCGTCTTCTTGCGCAGCTCTTCCTTGCTGAATACGGTCAGCGTGTGTTCCAAGTACATGTACATCCTGGGCATTGTACGTGAACTTACGCCTTATTAGTAAATGATTTGGTCGCACTCATGTAGCTTTCCGTGGGCTGGTCGCCGACTTTGGACGCAGCGCCATCGAGCCAGGCTGCACGGCTTCTTCCTTGTTGTGTGCTATCGCCGGCCTTGGATTATCGGTGCCGGCAAGCTTCTTGCCGTCGTGGTCGTCTACGTCCATTTTGTTAATCCCAGCAGCAGCGGCAGCATCCCGGTCGTTGTCCTTCTCACCGTCGCCTTCCTCCTTCCCACCGCCGCCTTCCACCCCCCCCTCGTTCTCCTCAGCATCGCTGTCGCTGTCGCTGCTGCTGTCGGTGCGGAACCCCATATCGCGGAGAACCTGCCCCTCTTCGTCGTCCATACCGTCATCCGAGTCGTCCGCCACTTCTTCCCCTGAGCCGTAGAAAGACATCAGCAGTCTTTGGTGAATCTTCTTTGGCGCCTCGTCCTCCTGGTTCTTCTTCAAGGTATCGACATCAATACGAAAGGCCTTCAGCACTCTGATGGTTTCCTCCTGGGACTCTTTGGTGAGGCGGTTTGCTTTGTGCCGAAGCGACTCCAGCTCCAGCCAGCAGCGTTCTGCGACCTACCAGAAATCCGTGGCACACGCCACCAGCAAGAGCGTCTTCATACGCTAGAAGCGTGGTAGGGCCGGATTGGTGAGGTTGTAGTTTGCAGCTTCGATGCATTCTCCGAAGGCCTGCTCATCGAACAGTTTCAGCACGTCGCCATACTGTGTTCTGTGTAATGACTGCGGCTGTTGTTCGACATGGTTGTCTTTTTCGGTAGGTTTGGAGTCCATAGCGTGGTAAGCGTGGTCTTTCCGAAGAACTTTTGGTTTTGGGTAAGTGGGAGGAAGAGGACAGAAGGTCATGACGCTTATTACGATGTGGAAAGCGCGATACACCGTGTGAAGGCGTTTGCGCTTCGTCTAAATATTTCCGACTCACCGATCCACTTCACCAGAGAAAACCACCCACAATTGCCTCTCTACGCTTTCGGTCACACGCCTGACCATCCTGTCGTTCTGTAAATTTTCTCCAGGCAATCACGAGCCATCTTCCGATGCTTCATTGCGATTCTTGCACCTTTGAAACCCTCATCGCCTCCGAGCTTCAAGCTCACAAGGACACTGAGCGTCCAGCACCTTCTAGTACGCCCACCAAGGCGGAGTTCGATGCTCTGAATGCAGACTTTGCGAAGGGGAGATGCTCAACTGCATCAGGCCCGGGCAGACTTTGGGGCCAAAGGTGACAAATTACGTCAGGCTCGTGAGGATATACTGCTATGGGCCGGATGCGGGATGTAATGGTTGGACTTCTTGAGCGGCAGAGCAAGGAGATACTTGAGACCGCCGGGAAACTGAGAAACCTGTAGGGCGGGCGCAAATGATTGTGCAAGAGAAGACGAGCAGGTGCATTCTGAGAATGGCAGACGACTGAGAGCAGAACGTATTGAATATGAGCTTTATAGAAGGCATAGGACCAGTAGACTGCATGATCGGGAGTGTCCGTAACAGAACAGGGGTCAGGTATCCAGCTTACACGCTTACCAATTTGACGCTGACCGCCTATGTGAGAGAAGTAAATACTGAAGGTCTATATGAGGCGAAGGCGTCGCGCAACCCCTGCAGCTCACGCTTCCGGGCCGTTCCGAACGTTCTTGGCACATGTTTTATTTACAGCCGTTCCAAAAGTTGGCTTCATCGGGTACTTCCGGCAAGGTTGGTCAACACCACCTCGACGTGCTATCGTATCAACTCCTAATGAATTCTTAATCGAAAAGGTGTCCGAGTGGTTATGGAGCTGCGTTTAGGTCTACCTAAGCTTGATCCGCAGTGCGAAAGCGCGTGGGCGAGTTTGCACCGTCTCGTTTCGTAATAGCTCCTAATGCTAACGATACCCAGGTTCGAATCGTAGGTCGTCCCTGAGTATCCTCTGCCCTTCACTATCTAATCAACTTTCAGCCACCCTTGTCAACAAATACGACTATCTTTTTTGCCCTCTTGTCTTCCCTTTGCCTGACCGGAGAGCTGCTCTATTTCTTTTGCCGTCTTGCTGGTTTATCTCGAAAGGAAAAGCCAAACTCACAGGAATACCATCCATACATCAAGCTATCAGTCGATACACTAGCTCAGAAACCTCCCCCTCACCCCTGACTCAACACCCCATCCATCTCCCCCATACTCAGCACATCCAAGTCCAATTCATCGATGGTCCTCCCTAGTTGACTCTCAGTCATCGACGCTTCCCGCTGCGCGGCTTGATAGCTCGACATCTCTTCAAAGCTATCGTTACCACAGATTTCCCGCTCGACCTCGGAGACGAAGCTTTGAGACGCCACCGTAGCAGCAGGACGTCTCCGAGCATCAAGTGGATTCGTCGGCAGTGACTCGTCCGTAGTGGACTCACCGAAGGAAGGAAAGCTGCTGCGCTCGTGTGCTGTCGGTAATGGCTGCGAGGTTGCCTTGGCAGTGGGAGAAGGTATCACCAATGACTCGAGGCTACTCCTAGCCAACGGCATCGACGCTGGGGTGTCAAGCTCGGTACTTGATATACCTGCTGTCAGGCGAAGACTCGATTCCATCTTCTCCGAGAACGTTGCGGAGCGATCTGGTCTTGTCAGCGTGTCTGTTGACGTAATCGAATGGCGGAGACAGCTTTCTGGTCGTTGTGGCTTGCCATATGTCGATGTGCCATTTGGCTCCTCCATGGAAAATGTGAGCGACCTTTTGTCCTTATCACGCTGCATCGCCTTTCGCAAGACTGTCGGAGTAAGTATAGGTGACTGCACGCGGTTACCTCTTGGCTTCTTGATGGTGGAGAAGCCTTCGAACGCAGCGAGCATGGCTTGAGTGCTTTGCATTGGTTCCTGGGATAGTTGCTTTAGCGGCGGTCTTGATATAGCATGCGCTGATGTTTCGTCTGCTCGTGTGGATGGTGGATCGTCTTCTTCAACAATGACTTGCTTCTCCGGCAAATCGAAGAAGTCTTGTTGAGCTTGGTTGAGAAGCACTTGGGTTCCCGGCCAGAACTGCGACAGACCAGCAAGACGACTCTTAGTCGTGTTGTATACTTCCGCAGGTGATGGCGTGTCTGCTGTCTGTAACGTCGTTGGCGGCTCGCTAGTGCATCGAGGTGTCTCGGCCGTCGATAACCCAGAGATGCTTTTAGGAGGCGCCTTTCTCGGCAAGGACGCCGGTTGAGATAGAAACTTCATGGGTCTCCTGAGGACCACAACAGCTGGGTCTCTGGGAGAGTCTTCGTCGGATTCGCCATCCTTAGTCGTAGTATTGAGGCTCGAGAATCGTACGCTGTTCTCATGCCCACGTCCCTCCGCTGGCCCAGTGTCGATGCCGGACCCTCGCTTGCGGAACACGAAAGGTGTAGACCCATTCTGCGCTGCTTCTTTGCCTGCATACACACGAGGGCTGTAGTGGTGCGGGCCGGTTGTTCGGTCTGGAAGAGAGGGTTGCATAGGTGTGACCAGAGGCCTATGGGTCGGTAGTTCTTGTGTCTCGCATTGGCCACTTTCTCTTGTCGAGCCCCGGTCTGCAGATCCAGAAGAGTCCACATGATCCGTACTCGTAGGTTCCGACGAGGCTTGTGCATTCCTTGTAGAGTCATGAGCGACGCCGTGGTCATCTCCAACTGCACTACCACGACTCGAACGAGGCACGGTCCGGAGGGAATGCCTCGAACGGCCCGCAGATACGGGTGTCACTGTCTCTTGGATAGTCGTTACCTCAGCAGGCGTGCTGTGATCTGACCTCGGAGACGTGTGCTTCCTAAGCATCATCCCGTGCGTTCGTGGGGACGAGTCCGCAGCCTGCTGGAGCTTTCGTAGTTGCCTTGACGGGGTATCTATCCTCGACAGGCGAAGCTCATCCAGGCTCTCGTCGCCGAGCTCGGCTAGTGGGACGTTGGACATCCTTCGTGACAGCCAGACAGACCGCTGCTCGCTAGGCTCAGGGGTTTGCCGTAAAGAATGGCTGGCTGGTGGCGCACCGTTCTTCTGATGAGCAAAATGATGGTCTCCATACACTGGGTCGCTCTGTATCGTGTCTTGCAATTGTCGTGTTTTGCGAAGGCGAAGCGCAGCCGCAATCCTGAGAGCCTCTTCGCTGGGGCCAGCTGACACATAGGCAGGCCGCAAGCGCTTGCTTTTGCCACAGCTGGCAGATGCCTGTTCCTCGATCACACCGTGGTCTTCGGCGGCATCCGATACTTCATGCTCAGCCTTCGCTCCCGCCTGAGCAGCCCGTCGCAAGATCTCGAGCTCATCCTCCACATCCTCCCACAGACCCGCAGCATCCCCTAAATGGTCCACCTCCGGAAGAACAAATTTTGGCTCATTCGAGCTCTTCTTGTTCCAGACAATCGTCCGCCTTTGGGCTTCCGGGCACGGTCGTGCAGATGTGATATACAATGGCTCCCCATTCAAGAAGCCATCTGCCAATTGCTCGATGCGCCTCCGTTTGGCGCTTCGCTCTGTCGCAGATAGCTTTTCCTCAGGGCCTGGAAAGTACGTCCGCGTGGGCGGCGGCGTGCACTCTTCGAAGCTGATTTCCCTAAAGTCCTCTGATTGCTGGAAAGCAGAAGCGTTTGTCCAGAAGTGGCCCCGTGGTTTATGGGTCCGGATCATGGTGCTGGAGCATGGTCGGCTTCACCCAGCGGAACTCCAGCATCTACGACGGTGTCGGGTCTGTGTTTTATCTGGTGTCCTACACAGATGCTGTCAGATCCTTTTGTAGCTCTTCTCACTTCCCTGCAGTCGCCACACTGTCGCCTTGGTGGTGGTTGCCAATCGAATAGGGTTGCGGGAATACCCGCTGTTGCTGAGGTGACGTTCGGATGTCGGAAGATCTACTGCAACAACACTTCGACCGGGTAGACCGCGCCATTGACGCGCCGTTTCAATATCGCACATCAATACACACATTGATTCTTCGACACAGGCTCTATCTCGAACCGCGACTGGATATTTGACCCTCTCACTAACACACGGCTTCTCGCCCGAGCATGCGCGCATGACCATCAACACTCGCCGATAAACAAGGCACATCTTCCATTCAAGATGACCACCAAAGTCGCCCCATGGCTGCAGGGCCTCAGCGACGATGCTTGGGAACTACCACAGCAGCGAGCTTTGGCAAGCAGTGTCTCTTCAGCCAGCCACGACGCAGGATCAATTCGAAGCAGCAAAATCCCCAGACGCAGTCTCAGCGGGCTCCCATCGTCGCTCTCCCGGCAGACCAGTTCTTCACAAGCATCCACTCAGAAAAGGCGGAACCCGCTTGCAGCCCTCTCAATGAATGAGACCAACACCCTTCGACGGCAGGAGGGCAACGTGCGACCTGCTACCACGCGCTCAGCATCGGAGGGCTCAGATGAATCTTTTGCAGCATGTGGTACGGTTCAACAGCGGTCGAAGAGCGCCTCGCCAGCCAAGAAGCAGGAAACGATGGAGTGGAAGAGGCGACTTGTCCATGGGCGAGTGGGCTACGGTGATCAGACAGACTTGTTTGGACCGTCTGGTCTTGAGAATATTTTTGCTGGTCCCAAGGAGGATGAGAACGACCAGCCCAAACCGAAGAGCAGGATGAACTGGCTGCAGAAGTCCTCCGATATACCAATGCCGTCTAGTCCGCCGCCTTGGCCATCGAGCTTCATCAATCCACACAACTGTGCGCAGGAGGAACCGTTGGATGTTGTTGGGGGGGAAGAAGACCGATCGAGCCCCAGTGCGAAAGACTTTGAGGCAGACGAGAGCTTCCGAAGCAATCCGTTCGATCTGGAGAGTGCCGCCCAACGTTCAGCAGACCTGGAGAACAGCCGCCAGCGGTCGAAAGGACATCTTTCCAGCCCCAACACGGCCTTCGCCGAGCTTTCTGAAGGCGAGGCAGCTGGCAATCGAACCGTCAGTGGGCAGACAGAGCTATCGCAAGAGGACTTCAGTCCCGTTTTCATCTCCAAGCACCACACAGTAACGGGACAGGTGGGCTATACCGCTCTCGACTCGCACACGATCAAACAATTCCAGAGCGTGAAGGTTGACCTACGCCATCCGAGCCAGACAAACCAACATCAGAGCAGCGGCTCCGAAGAGCAGGATGAAGTGGACGACTCAAACTTCACAGACGGCACCGAAGGGCAGGAAGAAGAGCAAGATGAGTCTGTTGCGCCTGACCTTTCTTTCTCAGAGAATCTGCCAACGGGCTCGCCGTTTCCGAATCTTGGAAAGCACGTCGAGCTCAGACGTGGTGGCTATTCACAGTACGGCTCTTTTAAGAGGAAGCCTTTGAGCCCCTCGCAGTCTACCATGGCACTTTCGAATCATCCGGAGGCGAGCACACTGCTGTCGCCAATCCTATCAGAGGGACATCAGAGGTCTCCGTCACCGACGCCTCCAAGGACGCCAAGCGTACGTGCTGACGGTGAGGAGCCAAAGTCAAGGCCATCTGGCAGTCCACTGAAGCTTTTCGGTGCTCACGATACCTTCACCAATAACAGGCTCCTCAGACGAATGAGCCAGCTGAATCCCGACGGCACCCTTCGGCTGCCAGCAGAGGCAGCCCAACAAGGTGCAAGCGAAGGCCGCCGAGTCACATCTAATGGCTCATTCGGCCAAGGCGAGCTCGATGATCACCAATTCGATGCCGAGATCACTATCACTTCCGCTTCTGACGATAGTGGCAAGAGAAGCGACAGCTCGCCTGGCTCAGAGGTCCCTGTACCTGGAAGCAAGATACCGATGGCTTTCCGTTTTGACGTCTCACCTCACATCACCGAAACATACAAGCTCAAGAGGAAGCTGTCCAAGCATAGCACTGCGACATCAAGAGGGTCAACATTGGACGGGACGTCGGCGCCATATGCGGCGATGCAACCAACGGTCGAGGATGCCTCGATATCGCAGCTACAGGCCGAGCCAGCCGATGAAGCACCACGAAGCTACGCAGAAGGCAAGCGACCACCAACATCGCCATTCAAGAGCCCGACGCCGAAACGACGTCGCACACTGCATGCATCCGAACTTGAAGATTACATGACGAGGGTCAATGACACTTACCACAGCCAGCTGCAGGAAGCAGTCAGCAGTCGCAAACGCAAGGATGCACGGCATGGAGACAGCCAGATCACAGCCGGTCCAGAGGTCCTGGCACAGCGCAAGATTCTCCGACCACGCAACCCGACGCCTAGTCAGTGCCGGCGCGAGCAGATCGAAGCTGAACTTAGGGAGGCAGCTGCAGAATTTGCCGAGCAGGAACCTGAGAAGCTGGAAGCAGTGCTGGAACAGATTGAGTCTTCGATGACATCTGAGTCGCCACAGACGCTGCAGCAACAAGCACAGGCTGTAGCTTCGGAAGTTGCTGCCTTTACGCTCAAAGTCCGCAGACCATCCGGTGAGCTCGGGGAGCGAAAGCGCTCGGTAACCACGCAGGACTTCCTCAATGAGGCGATGATGGTGATGAACCTCATTCGCGCCAAAGCAAGACCACAAAGCAACTTGGGCAGCGTGGAGGAGTCGGATGCAGAGCCATTGGCTCTAAGTGCGCGCAATGATGGGTCGATCCCAGAGGAGTCACTGCTGCGGATCTCAAGGCCGCCATCACGCGAGGGATCTGGGTGGAGGCAGCGCATGCCTGCTCAGACAGACGCTAGGGTCGTCAGCCACCTTCGCAAGTTCCAGGAGCAAGACGAGCGGGATGACACGGACTTCATTGCCAACTCGATAGCCTCGCTGCAAGTGGACGACGAGGAAATCAACGATCAGGTCATCTTCACCGACGAGCATGCAAACATCCGCATTACTGGGCCGCCGTCCGATAGAGGCAAGGCAAATAACGAGGAAGATTCCCAGCCAAGTTCTCAGCGGTCGCAAGGTAGTGCCACCGACACTCAGAATTCCAATGGGACATCGACTGGGCGCACGATTGGCACCAGCTCGACTCGCAAATCCGACAACGTTGGCACACTGGCCCCGGACGCAGTCGCACATCTCATTGGGGAACAAGTCGGGGGCATGACTTTCGACAAAGAACAGCAGCGCTGGGTACGAGTGGGCAAGAGTCCGGCGAAGAGCCATGGTAGCTTCTTGGAGCTGCCCAGCACTGTGACCAGCGATGACGATCCTTTTAGAGAGATATCGGACTTGCCGATCGACGAGCAGAACGAGATGCGCAGGATCAGCTCCCCTGCGAAGCTAGTCCAGGAGAAGGCTGCTGTGGGAACACTCTCTTCGGCACACGACCAAGCTGAGGATGGTGCAAGCCAGCAGCAGATCACCGAGAGCCACGCCACATCACAAGAAACCGTGATCTCGCGACCAGTCACACGGGAAGGGCCTGGCATCCGGCATAATCATTCCAGCTCGGTACCATCGCGGTACACGGCTTTTGCATCAAGCCAGCAGCAGGATGAGGTCCAAACGCGAGCGACGTCTTGGAGCGATGAGGAGCTGGCCCGTATGTCTGCGTTTGGCAGAGCGAAGCATCAGCCTCTGGAATACGCTGCTGCGCAGACTGCACTGGCAACGCACGGCAACCTCGAAACCATCGAGCAACAATCGGAGAGCGCGGATTCTAGCGTTGAGACGACGATTCCTGCTAAGATTGACGTTGATTCGATGACTGAGCTTGCCGGACTGAGAGAGGATACGATGCTAGACGCAGCGCACCATGATGTCGAAGATCTTGCGTCCCCAAAGCTGCGCCAGACGCCCACAGAGCAACCTTTCCAGCCTGCCAGCTACCAAACGGCACCGCGGCAGGTGTCGCTACGCCGCCAAACCTTGACCAACCGCTTCAATGCTGAGGCTGTCGACCATCGTGAGCTCTCGTTCGTGGCCCCACTGCCTGGTGACCGGATGATGAGCCTGTCCTTGAGTGTGTCTCGACCCGTCAGCAAACGACATCAGCCTTGGGTGGCCAACGTTCCGTCCTCACCGTCGAAGGTCGACTCTAGCTTTATGCTAAGCGATTTGCCAGACTTCACCGTACATGAGGAAGACGCGGAGCGGCCATCGGAGCGTGCCTTGGCCAATCGACTTGCGCACCACGCAGCAACCGAAGTCAACGATCGATATGCCCTGGCTGTGAAGGACCTGGTCAAGACTTTGACGGATGTCAACCAATGCGAGCCCTACTGGGAGGACTTGAAGCAGCTGGACCTCCACGGCCAATCTCTAGCATCACTGTACGGCCTCGAAGACTTCTGTACTAGGGTACAAGAGATGGACGCCTCGATCAATGCGCTGACGCACTTAGCTGGTTTGCCTCAGACTGTTCGGAAGCTCAATGCTCGGTCGAACCAGCTCAGCAGTCTGACGTCCTGGAATCACCTGATGAACCTGCAGTACCTGGATGCCTCTCACAACAACCTGGAGAACCTTAACGGACTCGGCTGCTTGATTCACCTGCGTGAGCTGCGAGCGGACGACAACAAGATTGCTAGCCTCGATGGATTGTTTGAGCTGGAGGGCTTGCTGAAAGTTCGTGTGCGGCGAAATGAGCTGAGCAAAGTGGACTTCTCGGGCAGCCAGCTACAGCATCTTACCTCGCTCGACCTGTCTCAGAACCACATCGGCAGCATCGAAGGATTGGATGGCCTGTGTTCGCTCAGAGACCTGATCCTGGACGGCAACGACTTGCAACAAGGCCTCCAGGTCGCGCATGTCATGCCACACTTGACCTCTATCTCGTTGCGGGACTGTAAGCTGCAGCACCTAGATGTCTCCAACTTCCCGGCTTTGACGCACCTAATCGTGGATGAGAACTGCTTGTCGACCATTGAAGGACTGCCTCTGCTTAAGAACCTGCAGGTGCTGTCGATCAAGCGGCAAGATCTTCCTGAAGGAAAGCAGATTACGCTCTTTGATCAGCCATTTGACACACGGACCCTGCAACTCTCGGGCAACGTAATCTCTTCAATCGATCTTGCAGCAAGCTTCTTGAGCATACAGCACTTGGAGATGGCTTCAGTCGGCCTACAAGAGCTTCCAGATGACTTTGGCCTTCGGATGCCAAACCTGAGATCGTTGAGTCTCAACTTCAACAACCTGAAAGACATCCGGCCGCTGCTTAACATCCACGGTCTCAAGTACTTGGCTGTCTGTGGCAATCGCCTGCATAGGCTGCGGAAGAGCGTGGCAACCGTCTCGAAGATGAAGAGCCTGCAGACGCTGGATATGAGGGACACCCCGATGACGCAAGGGTTCTATCCTTCCATGGCGTCGACACTGTCCAAGAGCACCTGCCTCATCCGCCAGAATATATCGCAGGCGCTAGAGGACGAGGACGAACATGCCATAGCTTTCGATTCGGCACGGTATCAATACCCAGCCGCCGATGTCGAGCAAGACAAGCAGTACCGCTCTCGCCTCGACGAAGACACGAAGCTGCGAAGGCGAGTGCACGAGATGCTGTTGGCGTACAGCTGCCGCTCATTGACGGAGCTCGATGGGATGAAGATAGATCGATCGTCGTTGGGTACTCAGGATTCTGTCTGGCGGCGCTTGGTGGAGTTAGGAGTGGTCAGGCGGTCCGGAGAGGGCGATGGCAATACCTCCGGAGGCCATAGCGCGGCCGGAGATGTTGGTATGCGGCTCTTGTCATGAAGTATACGATGGGATGTGTAGGATTACGAGCATTTGTTTAGCACTAGCGTGGTGTTTGAATTGGGTTAAAGCGTGATGTATACCAACAAGGCAATGGGAATGAGATTGTGGAGCGTTCGGTACCGAGCGGTACTTGTAACTGTCCGATTTTAATGCTCTACACCAAATTGCATCAGACAACCTGCCGTTTCCAAATCATGAAATCGCCTCGGAACCGACAAAGCAAGACGGTCTTCTCATTTACCCGATCTGCGGGCGCTGTACCGAAATGTCTTGCATCTTGAGGAGATCGGCGCTGTGCACGTCACGACTCGAAGGTAGATTGAGCGTGGACCATGCATTGCATATAAACACGGCACTGCGTCCAGCAACAGTCCATCAACACATTTACTATCGACCAGATCGAATATTTCAAAATGCAGCTCAAGTACATCTCCACAGCTCTTCTGAGCGCATCCGCCGCTCTCGCGCAGAGCTCTGGAAAGCCTGGGTACGACTGCTACCCGCATTGCATCGCCTCCACGGTCTCCAACAACAGCCTCTCCTTCGGCCGCCACTACGCCGTCCTGAACTTGGACCTAATCAACGGCATCGTCGGCGGCGTCGAGAACACAACTGCCGGCAAAGCATGGATCGATTCCACCGCCAACTGGATCGATGCCGTCCACTCCCAGAACCCGCCACCCTTGTCCATCTTCACGCGCATCTACTTCTCCAATTCCCACAAACCAGAAGTCGGACCAGATGCTCCTTTCGCTGCCGTCGGAGGCGCGCTGGGAACTGCTGCGCAGCCGGAGACAGAGCTGTACCCGGCTTTCAACGTGCATAAGAAAGCGGGTGATGTCGTCTTGCAGAAGACGCGATATTATGCTGGCGCTGGCAATGCTTTGGAGCAGATTTTGAGCACGCAGCATATTGACACTGTGGTGCTGTCGGGGATTAGGACGAGTGGGGTGATTTTGAGCACGGCGTATCGGTTGTTTGATTTGGATTATAAGGTGTAAGTCGAGACGATGAATATGCCCGTGGTGGCAATGGCTGACATTGAATAGGTACGTGATCGCGAACAACACCATTGAGTCGCCTCCGAATACGCCGGATATCAACAGGAACATCCTCGAGGGTATCTTGCCTAAGCTTCCGGTTGATGTGATTACGATCGAGCAGGCCATGGCGGCGCTGGAGAGGAGCGGACCGGCCATCTATTAGAGACCATTAGAAGAAGGTCGGATCTAATGTAATATGCGTCAGCATCAGCCATTGGCCAAAGCAAGTTTTTCTGGCTTTTCACACTCTTTCTGCCAGTAGCACTCCCAGTTGAACTTTATGCATTCGTTGCCCCAACTCCACCAGCCCGCGACAAGGTATCTTGCGAAGACTTCCAATGCTCTGTACCTCTTCGGATCGGGCATCATAGGCTCGATGAGCTCCTTCAGGCACGGTTTTCTCGAATGCAAGTCCGGCACCGCCAGCATGACCTTACGCTGTACGTTCGATGTCTTTACTTCCGCATCGTCGGGTGCTGCAACCTTCCGTCGCTTCCTCCCTAGCAACAAAACCTCATACGGCTTCCTCCACACAGCGTCAAGCGGCGAGACAGGCTCACCATGTATAGTCGTCTTCAGCCATGCCCACTCCTCGACAAGCTGAACACCCCAGCAGGCGAACAGGCCATCGTCATGGAGCACCAGTTCTCTCACTGCAGGCTTATTCGTGATCCAGACGCCGATCAGGCACTCCTCAGCCATGAGCAGCTCGATCTTCGTATCCAGTAGCATCTCCCGCAGATCCCAAAGTGAAGGCGAGGTGGCGTATGTTGAGCTAGGCGTGTGATGGGTTCGCTTCACGGAACTATTTGGCCACGGCGGATCAAGCAGGATGAAATTGAAAAGGTGAGTACTGTCTGCCTGTCGAGCTCGATCTCTGACAGCGTCACGGAGGGGCTTTGCGTCCGCGCAGTCGCCGAGGTAGAAGGACGAGCCCGGTGGTATGTTGAAAGAATGGCGATGCTCTTCGCTGTCTCCGTTGCCAGGTATGTATATTGTCGTTGGTTGATCGGAGGTGTTAGAGAACACACGTCGCTCCTCGGCATCAAACGAGACCCGGGTACGATATCCTCCAGTGGAAGTCACTGCTTCCCCATCATCGGCGTGGTCCTGGATAGACCGGTCGCTCAGAGCTCCCCGTCCGCCAGTCTCAATGGCCTGCGTGGGCTGTACCTTCGTCTTGAAGCCATCGACGTCGTGTGTTAACTTCCGCTTCTTGGATTGATGAGGCGTGCTCTCATTAGTGAACGGGCGCGGAAGACACCAAGCCTTCGGAAAGGCTCCCCGTATTTCTTCCAGAGCTGCATTGAGAAGGCTCCGGTACTCCTCATGCAGTCTGTCCTCGCGATCGTGCTGCTGTAGTCTGGCCTTCCCAGATGCTGACTTCGGCTCGTTCGATAGAAACGGAACTTCCAGTGGTGAGGTTGACTGCAGATGCCGTATCTCTGTAGTGCCTTGAGCACATTCGATTGAGCGTGGTATGTCTATCAGAGTGACGTCCTTTGCTTCGTTCTGCCAAATTATTGGCGAAGGCATTGTTTCTCTGCTTGTTCGTTTTCCGCCAGGTTGGTGCGATCTCAAACAGTACCAAAGAGCTTTTTTGAAGCACGATCAGAACCCGAAAAAGAATGTACCGAACTCAGACTTGCCTTACCATACTAGCATTCGATTGACCTACAGCTAGAAATGTCAAGATGAAGGAGGAATTTAAAACTCGAACTCACCACCTCTAGAGCAAAAACAGCAAAAGAACGTCGCCAAACCCATGGACCTCACAGACGACTCCCGCCAAGCGCGCGCGTAATCCAGCGCCGCCACTCCATGGTCTGAAGTTCTCTGCCCGATTGCTCGGCTGAAGGTTTCTTCAGAAGCTCAAGGCCGCGCCAGCAATCGTCCGTTACCGAGACGAGTGGACGACCACCACCAAGTTCGAACTGGGCACGCACGCCTGGATTGGAAAGGGAGAGGCTGCGAGTGAGTGAGGCTTCGTTCAGTGTAGCCGTTACAGCTGGAATCGTGGCATTTGACAAATATTATATAATACTTTAACATTGAAGCCGACATCTGCCCGATTAGCGCAGCTGGTGATGGCTCTGCGAGAAAAGTGCATGCTTGCCTTTAGCATTCTCAATGGCTTATATAGTCGAGCTATGTACATCTTCATCAGCTAAGCCTCCTACTTGTCCTGATCACTCCCCTCATCGTCATCCTCCCCCTCGACCTTAATCCTCCTGCCCTTAACCCCCTGCTCCACCTCCGGCACAAGCGACTCCATAAACTCAACATCCCTCCCCACCAGCGTCACCGTGTTCCTACTCTTCCCCCATCTCGGATAACTCCCCACCTTCACCCCCTTCCCTTCCACCTTGCCCGACAGCTCCGTTAGATACCCCGCCACCCCGCTCTCCGGCAAAGGCGTACTGAACAAGATCCGATGCACACCTTTGCCCTCTGGGTCCGTCAGCCGTGGCAGCAGACTCGGCTTCAGCCCCGTCAACATCTTCTCGAACAGCCGCGGGATGCCTGGGAGGATGTGGATGTTTCCATTGACGATACTGATCGGGACCCAAAGATCATCCGCCGAGAAGAAGATCTGCTCCTCATCGCTCTTGTTCTTATTCCACGGCAGCTCCACCATCCGCAGCCTCGCCGTCCGCTGCGGACTGTCCACGTCCCACGAAAAGTCCGGATCGTTCTTGCGCGGTTTACTCAGCGCCTTCATCTTCTCCAGCGCCACCTCGTGCAGGACCAATGGCAAGCCAAAGCCTTTCGCGATGCTCTGGTACGTGATGTCGTCGTGTGTCGGTCCGATACCACCGCTCGTCACCACAAAGTCGTAGTTCTTCGACATACGCTGCGTCGCTTCAATAATCTCGCCTTCATCATCGGCGATGACTTCGACGCGCTTGAGGTTGATGCCGAGGGAGAAGCAGTATTTGGCGAACCAGGCGGAGTTGGTGTCGACGGTCTACGTCTGTGTCTCAGCATTCAGCGCTTTGTCGAAGCATACGAAGATGTATTGAAGTGTGGTACCTTTCCGCCTAAGACTTCGTCGCCTATGATGAGGCATGCTGCTGTGTTGATCATTCTTTTGTTGTCGGCCATGATTCGTGACGTAGGTGATATGCTTGGCCGATGGGCGGCGGCGGAGGAGTGCAGGTAGTTGGGCAGTGGTCGCGAGAAGTGCCTGGCTAATTGGTTGACGCGGGCGAACATGGGGCTCGAAATGTTACGAAAGAAGATTTATTGCATGTGAAGGTCGAGAATGGAGAGAGCGACGTTCAATGGCATCGCGCGAGATCGAGGAAGCGGGGTGGATCTGAGGGACATCTGAGACAAGCTTCGATTCTCGTGGGGGCATCTGCCTGACATTGCACTTCTGACGACACTTCCATTCTCTCGGAACAACAACACGTCGATCAGTGTCAAAATGGTAAGGACAGGCTTGATTCAACGAGAGGAAGAAAAGATCTAATGTCAAGCAGGCATCAGAATCCCGCCTCTACACCTTCTCGCCGGAGGTTGGTACCATGACTTCAATATCAACCATATCTCTGTATACTGACAAGACGGTAGACGAAGGAGAAACTCCGCAAATTCCGTCTCAGCACCTCGCGAGCCAAAGACCCGCAAGCAGTGATATGTGCGTCTTTACCACCACCCTCATCCCAACTGAGCCCCCGCTGACCGTGGCAAAGAAGACCAGATCGACAAAAAGACCCTCGAAATCTCCCAGGCGGACGACGATGTCTACAGCAAAATGACCGAGCTCTCCGACGAGCTGCCGGATAATTCGCCGCGGTTTGTGCTGTTGAGCTATCCTCTGACGCTCGTACGCGCTAGTCTCAACTCCCCAGATGAGCGCGAGCATGCTGACGATGGATTAGGCTTCTGGACGCATGTCAGTGCCGTACGTAATGATCAACTATCTCCCGCCGACCTGCTCGAGCGAGATGCGCATGCTGTATGCGGGCGCGAAGGAGTTGCTGAGGAACCAGGCGGAGGTCGGGCGGATTATCGAGATCGACTCCACGGACGATCTTGAGTCCATTGAGGAGAGACTGAAGGGCGAGGAGTGAGCTGGCGTGCTGCAGCTGCTTTGCTGTGCTCCAGTAACGACTTCCGTCGAGGCCGGTTGGCGTTATATCTTCTGGTCTGGTGTAACAGGGAACGGCAACCTCCGATGCATCCTCTGCACAATCTCCACGTAGTCCTTCTCGTTATCCGGCGTGATGATGCCGTGTCGGATGAAGAAATCAATCATCACCACAGCGCTGTTGGTCTTGAAATCCTCCTTCGCTAGAGCCTCCTTCACTTCGTCCACGCTCATGAGGTAGAACTCCTTGACCTCGCCATCCTCAGGGACAGGCGTGACATTGGCATCAACTTCCAGGTCAAAGACGAAGATCACATCCGGCACGACACAGCTCTCCATCCCACCAGGTTTCTCGAGCTCGTAGCTGATGTACGTCAGCACACCAGTGGGACGTATGTGCTTCTCAATCAACTCAGCAGGCAGCGAAGCCTCCTCCTGAGCTTCGCGGATGATGTTCTGCATCGGCGTCTCACCAGCCGTAACACCGCCCGCAACCGTCGTGTCAAGCTTGCCAGGATACGTAAACAGACTCATACTCCGCCTGGGCACCCAGATCCTCATCCCATCACCAGTCATCGTGTAGACAGTAAGATGCGCCCCTCTCGCCGTGATCCCGAACAGGTCAGCCGCGTATCGTTCCAACTGGACAGGGTAGTTCGCTCCAAGGATCGAAAACATCTCGCTATGCTGCTTGTTGAGTGTCCGGAAGATGTCCTTGTCAATGGCATTGTTGATGACTTCAGCGAAGGCGGAGTTACAGGCTGTAGATGCACTGGAAGCATTTGCGTGCCCTCTGAGTCGGATGGTCCGTCGGCCGTGGTCAATCACGAAGTCCTCAGACCAAGGCATCCGCTGGACATTGGAGGCGAACAGCCATCCGTGCGGTCGTTGGTCGTTGGGTAGGTAGAGCTTATAGAGTCCTTCGTCTAGACCTTTATATGCATAGCTGGACAAGCGTCAGCATGGCTCAAGTTGGACGCATAGAGTGGAGAGCATCTACTTGTCACATAACGCCACCAGCTCGAGATTTGACAGTCGTTGGCCGGACATGGTTCTGAATTCGAGGCGAAGGAGGTCCTAGCTATGTGTCCGCAAAACGTGTAATTAGTCACGCTTGAAGTCCGAGAGTGTGGCTTCGAAGCGGGTGCACGTCCGGTAGTATCGTGTTAAGGCGAGGACGATGTGTGCCTTTGGAGCGCGGCCTCGAGATGTATGGGTCGCTCCTTCCGTTTATGTCAAGAAGTTCAAGCGTCATGACAAGGTTCGAGGCAATCGCGCTGGCACGTGCAACCCCCTGACTACACCACCACAGTATCGCAGAGGACGGGGAGACAGCAGAGTGAAAAGTTCTAATTCAAATACCCTATACCAGCCCCACGATCAGCCCGTCAGGCTTCGCCACCGCCTCGATCTCAAAGACGGTAGCTTCAGTGCTCTGCTCTTCCGCACCGAAAAAGGCTGTATCCCCATCCCTTGACACAAGAACCTGTTTCCCACCCTGCCCGCGCCGAACTCTGCCCTGATAAAATGAACCACACGCGCGATAAGGGATATCAAAACGAACTGAACAACAGGAGGGCTGCCTCCTGCTCCATGAGGTTGTGGTGTTCTCCGCCACGAGAACGCTCACTTCTATGCTTCTGCGCCTTTTTCTTCGCCCGATGCGCTCACTTCCACTCCCTCTGCCGCCGTTGTATTCAATAGCGTGTCGCTCTTTTCTGCGCGCCTATAGCTGCTCGCGCTCTTCCCATCCCTCACCACCTCTTTACATCACCACGCACTTGCTGCAGCACCCAGCATCTTCGTCCCTGTCCTCCATGTCCAGCTTCTGGTCCGGGCCGCCTTGCCTGCCGGACTGCGCGCCGTTGTAGCCGTGCATGTTCTTGTTGTATTTCCGGATCTCGCGAACAATGTCGAAGAAGGCGTTGTCGACGTTGATACGGTTCTTGGCCGAGGTCTCAATGAAATCGCAGCCGAAGGAGGCGGCTAGTTGGCGGCCCTCTGTCAAATTACATTAGCAATGCGCCCGCAATCCTGCGCAGGGATGTTGCTGTGTACTCACCCTCAATGCTCACCTGCCTCTCCATGTCCAGATCGCACTTGTTGCCCACCACGATGATGGGGAAGTAGTCCTTGTCCTTGACTCTTAATATTTGTTGCTGGAATGTGATGATCTCCTCAAACGACTGCCGCGACGTTATGCTGTAGACCAGCAGGAAGCCTTCACCCGTCCGCATGTATTGCTCGCGCATTGCTGAGTACTCCTCCTGGCCGGCGGTGTCGAGCACGTCGAGCAGCGCGACTTCCTCGTCGATCACGCATTGCTTGCGGTAGGAGTCTATACATTATTATCAGTCAATGGTCTTGCCGTCGGTGGGTTGAAAGGTATGCGAACCTTCAATTGTAGGGTCGTATTCGTCCACAAAGTGGCTCTGGATCAACTGAATGGTCAAACAACTCTTCCCCACACCACCGCCTCCCACAACGACCAGCTTGTATTCCCGGAGGAACTGAAGTACATGTTAGCTATCTCATCCATCTTCTTCAATCGCTCAATGGCATTTGTAGACAGCCGGACATACTTTTGAAGCCATTGTGTATAGTAGATCGCCGTTCGCAGAGGTTCAGGCGTGCTCGTGCAGATCAATGCGCGTGAGGGTTCGAGGCGGCGAAGGGATGGTTTGGCGGTCGAGGCAAGGAGGTGTTCCCGTCGAATGTGCTGGCCGGTCTTCGAGATGCAGCCAGGGACTCTGACTGTCGCTGGAACTGGCGGTCTCGGCGTTTGGCGTGGAGCGTCTGGAACGGGAACCCTGAGTCGGCGTCTTCCCTTCTTTTTCCCTGCGGGCCGCGGCGTGTCTTGCTGCAGGTTGCCACGCGAGATGATCTCGGGCGGTATGCGGTGGGATGTGAAGAGCGAGGGTGTGGTATAGGGAAGGGATGGGATGTATGGGACGTCGGGGAATTGTTCGCTCCAGCGGCAAGATGGGACGAGACGAGGGTCAAGGCATGCAGAGACGAAGTTCGAAGTGACAGGCTCGAGAGGCAGGGATTCTTCTGCTCCTACCACTATCTAGCATGCCCGCTAGCGATTCGCCAGTCTTCTAGTGCCCTTCCACTGCATCTCCCGCCGAACACCCTCCACCCTTTCTCCTGTCTGCCACGCTCCCACTCGCCCACACGTGCGGCCAGCAGCGTGCGCAAGAGCCTCCGCCAATTTCCATTCCCCAAACACCCTGTCACTTCGAACATGTTCTACAAACACACGGCCAAGCATGGATTATTACTGTAGATGAAGTTGATGAACGTGCGATAGATGGGAAGAAGCAAACGATATCAATGCAGGACCTCCTCACCCAATGGCCGTCGGCAGCGGCCTCCCGATCGCCTGCCTTCCGCCATCCCCAGACCATCGCTAGCCCTTCTCCATTTGTGAAATGCTGCACGGCAACGCGTTCGCGTGCTGATCGACGTGAAGCTCCGCCCGTCGGTAGCTGTCGCCGGCAGCAGCTTCATGCACATGCACATGCACCGCAGGATGCAGGACGCACACGTTGCGACCGGCATCAACATCCTCGGCTGGTTGTATCACATCTTACGTTCGAACATGAAGAGTCGAGGCGTCTTGCTTCGAGGGATACATGTGCCTGCAAGCGCTATCGTCTTCGCACCAGCCAGCGCTAAACAGCCTGGAGCTCTCCTGACTCTGCCTCTCAACCGCGTTCACGCCAGCACGCAGAGCTCATCCCACTACCGCCGATCGCTACCCCTTCAAGCATACCATCAATCTCACCAACATCGCCGCGCAATTCGGTCAGATAGCTGGTCGTCTTCAGGTAGATGGCACGAATAGCACGATAGAGTGAGGTCTAAGACATCCATCACCTGACCGGCAGCTCATGCGAGCTGATCGCGAGAAGGACGCGCTCGCACACCACCATCTCCACTGAGGCTGCAGGAACGGTTTGTGAGGCTCTAAGTGGGTATGCACGCGCTGCTGACAGCCAGCCTTGTGGTGTGAGGCACGCCTATAAGAAGTCGATCACAGCGCTTCTACTTTACACGCCTTCTTGTCGCGAACTTCCGTCGACGTGGAGGCGCAGCTGAAGGTGTTGGCGCTTCTGAAGCTGAGCTGTTGTATTCGTCTCGAACACACCACTTCGATTTGCAGGATGGCGACCAAGAAGACAAATCGATACATTCTACGGCCATTGCACCGACTGGTGTCAACAGTCGATAGGAATAAGGTGGTGTGGTCAGGCTCGCTCCTCCCCCACCAGTCTCGAGTACAGTAGGTGCGCTCCGCTGGATCTCGCTTTCCTTCACCCCTCTCCTTATACCAATACGTCTTTCCTATTGAACGAGAAGAAACACCACGCCACTCCACTGAGCGAGTAGTCTGCGACAACACTATCTTTAGCCCTCAGCAGCACCCTGTTCAGCTCCTATCACAATGCCGTCTACTTTCTCCCGCCGTTTCTCCATGGCGTCCTACTCTACGAACGCCGCAGGTGGCATTGACGCTGCTGTTAGCGAGAAGGATACAGAGCTGTACCCAGCACGTCCTCGCCATCGCAAGGGCAACACTCAGGACCACATCGACATGCAAGCGAGTCGTCTCCTTCATTCATCATTCAGCCTCGCCACTAACACACCACCAGCGAATGGGCAAGCGTCAAGAACTCAACCGCAAATTCCAGTTCCTCTCTACCGTCGGCTTCGCTTCGTATGTGCTGGGCACGTAGGAGATCGTCCTTACCGCGAACACGCCGGCCCTCCTCCACGGCGGGCTCGCCGGCCTCTTCTGGTCAGTCGTCTGGACGTCCATCGGGCAGTTCTTCGTCGTGCTGTCCTTAGCAGAGATGGCCTCCATGGCACCCACCGCCGGCGGACAATCTCACTAGGTGTCAGAGTTCGCTCCGCCGGGAAGTCAGCGGTTCCTGTCGTACCTCTCCGGCTGGATGACGGCGGTCGGGTGGCATCCCACTATTGCTGTTGACTGCTTCATCATCTCTGATGTTATCCAGGCGGTGGTTGCTGTCAATGACGCAACCTACATTCCTACGAGGTGGGCTGGGACTGTCATCATCATGGCTCTGATCACGGGCGTCTCTTCCTTTGACGTCTTCGCTGCCGGTCACCTTCGCATCGCTGAAGGCTTGTTCGCGACTTGCCGGTTCTTCGCTTTCGCGCCTATTGTCGTCATGCTGTGGGTGATGGTCTCGCCGACAAAGTCGACTAACGAGGTTTTCGGGAAGTTCAGGGACTATACCGGCACGTGGTCGAGTGTCGGGGTCTCTGTCCTAGCAGGTCAGGTGACCGGCATCTTTGCGTGTGCACGGAGCGATGCTCTTGCACATCTTTCGGAAGAGGTGGAGGATGCTGCTGTGGTTGTGCCTAGGTCGATGGTTTGGACTTATGCTTTGGTGAGTATTCTGGGCTGGTCTTCATGCACGCTGCTGATGCAACGCAGAGCTTTCCTTTCACGCTCATCGTCCTGCTCACCTATTGCTTCAATATCGGCTCTGTAGAAGAAGCTCTGCAGTCAACTCACCCTCTTGGTGAAGAAATCACACCCTCGTAGCTCCTTCGTCCCTTTGCTAACACCTGACCAGTCTACGTCCTCTGCAATGCCCTCTCCGCCGCCGGCCCCACGACTGGCTTCGCCATGATCATCCTCATCCTCCTCGCCATGATCACCATCAGCGCCCTGGCCTCCGCCTCCCGCCAAATCTTCGCCTTCGCGTACGTCTTCCCCACCCCCAACAAAACCTCACCTCACTTCACTGACGCAATGGTAGCCGCGACAACGGCCTTCCCTTCTCCCCTTGGCTCCGCCGGGTCGACCCTCGCTACCGCGTCCCCTCCAACTCTGTCCTCTCGCTGATCAACCTCGGAAGCAACATCGCCTTCAATATTGTCCTCTCCCTCGCCGCTGCAGCACTGATGGGCTCATACGGGCTCTCGGTCGGCTGCATCGCGCTCCGCCGCCTCCGCAAGCAGCCGCTCCCCCGCGCAAGGTGGTCGCTCGGGAAGGCGGGGCTGCCGGTGAATATTGTGGCGATGGTGTATGCGGCATGGTGTTTCTTCTGGTGTTTCTGGCCGGCGAGACAGGGCGGAGGGGTGGAGGAGTTCAATTGGGCGATTCTGCTGTTTGGGGGGGTTATGGGAGTGGCGGGGGCGTTGTATCGGTGGGGTGGGAAGGGGAGGGGGCATGTTGGACCAGTGGGGAGGGTGCAGAGTTGGATGAATGAGTGGTAGGAGCATATACGAGTGATACCTGGTTGCGACCTAGGCATTGATGTCATGTTTCTCGTACGGTCGGAGGTCATGCACGCATGCTGCCGCCTTACCCGAGGTGCATGGCAGGCATCTGAATTTCATGCTCTCCTGATCTCCCATCTCACATTGAGGATACTTACCTCCTCCCCCGCCTTCTCATCGTAATCATACCAATCCCCCTCAGTCAAATCAATTCCACTAAACTTTGTCCCCGACTCCGCTCCCACGGCCTTCCAGTCGCCCTGTCACATGTCAGCAACAACTCCACTCCATTCCACCACTTTCCGACCGGCAAGCATACATCAGCCCTGAACTCCACAAACTCCAACCCTCGACAATCCATCGTAATCAGATTCATCGCCTTTGCCGGATCCTGCTGCGGGTATGCCTTCGGCGCGTCGATGATGTTTGCTGAGTGCTCTCTCTACACCCACGTCAGGACTTCCGATCTGGAGGTAAAGGGAAGGATTCAAGTGGCGGACCTTACAGTTCTTACACCGCCAGACGAAGTTGGCTTCGCCTCTGCTGCCGGATTGTTCATTTTGTTCCTTGCGTTCATGTCAGCGAACAACCCGTCCATTACTGGGTGAGGGGGATGATCAGGGAGACACACGAATCGACTAACGGAGACCCAATTCGGGTGGACCTCGCGGCAGGAGGTGCATTGCACTTTGAAGGTGTAGAAGAAAGGGTTGTCTTCTGTGTCGTCGGGTTGGAGGTCTGTTACACTGGAGAGAATTAGTCTGGGTGTGGGTACAAGGCGACTACGTATACCCGTTCAATTCGGCGGTGATGGCTAGCGCTAGCATGTTTGAGGTGTTGACAGTGGATGATATGGTGAAGTGTAAACAAAAGTGACGTCGGTTGATTGGATTTAGAGTTTCGGTAGCGTGCTGGCTGTTGCCTTTCGTGTCACCGCGATTCACATGATACATCAACCAACATTCACAAGCAACACCATCTACCTCTTCTTTACTTGAGGCTGCGATCGATTAAAAGGGACGATGCTCTTCTCATCACAACAGCGGCACAGTCAAAACAGAACGCGAAGAAGACGCGTCCCACATCGCGCCTCTGCTGGCTGATCCAGCGTCACGCCAAACAAGATGCCGCGACGAGCACTGCCATGGGATACTGAAGAGACGGAGAAGAAGCCGAAGCAGAAGAAGGCCTCACCGCCGCCCAGGCGCAAAGAACCCACCGCCAACTCAGGCGACGACCTTGTCGACTCCGACCTTAACCCCATCCATCCACCCTCCCCCGAGCCGAAGAAACCCAAAGAGCGCCCCGACCGTTCACCCTCTACGTCTCCCGCCCCCGCTCCGCCTGCCGTCGTCTACATGCGCGAAGGCTACGCCGCCGACGACGCCTGGCGCATGGTCGAGGACGAGTTCTACACCACCGCGCAGACCTTTACGCAACACATCCACCGCGCCGAGTACGTCCGGCTTAGAAAGCTGGCGTGTTCGCGAGGCGCGCATGTGTTGAAGGGAGTCACGCACGGGACGGATGGGAGGACGAAGAAGAGCGATGAGGTCAGATTGAAGGGGGAGGTGGAGGAGCGGGCGCAGAAGAGGAGGGAGGTGGTGGGTGGGGAGAGTAGTGAGGAGGAAGACGAGGATGAGTACATGCATGATCCGTTGCTGGCGGTGTTGATGACGAAGGACAAGGGGATGGCGAGGGATCTGGTGAGTGTGAGGAGGGGAAGGGCGAAGACGAGGGCGGCGGCGGGATTTGAGCAGAGTCCGAGGAATGTTGAGAGGAGGAGGGATCTGGTGGGTGAAAGGGAGACATCACCGCCGCGGTTTGATCTGGCTAAGGCACGAAGGCCAGCGGGTGGAGAGGCTGCCAAGCAAGAGAGGTACAGACAGGAACCGCCAAGGCAGGAAGCGCCTTCGTCGGACGATGATGAAGACGGTCTCGATGCTCCACCAGTCCGTACAGCTCGGCCTACGTACGCAAAGGCGGACAAGCGGCGGGCTGAATCCGCTGCCCCTGGTACGGCCTCTAAGGACACGAACGGCGTCAAGCGCGAAGATCGCAAGGAGAGCGAGTCGGTCTTCAAGCAGTTTGCCAGGCCCAAGGCGGAGTCATCGCGAATCGCGCCTCCGACCTCACGCCGCCGGCATGAGCAAGCCGCTGCCGCTTCTAAGCTCACCAAGACACCCGGCATGTTCGGAGAGACCGACAAGAACTCTGGCACTAAGAGTGCTGTCTCTGACGACGCTGCGACTCACTACGCCAAGTACAAGGCCGACAAGGAGAAGAAACAGCAGGAGCAGAAGCGCAAGGCCAAAGCAGCGGACGAGATTCCCACGTTCCTCTTCTAGAAGGCTAGGTGTGTACATGTACAGTATGTGCTATTTTTCATCTTCAACTACCACTTCTCGAGCATCGGCCTGATGTCAATGTCGTTGGTGAAACATCTCTTGCTCTGAGTGTGGAGGTTCCAGTATGACTCCGCGATGTCATCCGCACTGATCTTGGCCTCTGGTGGCATGTCTTTCAGCCAGTCCTTCGTCCTCGGGATGTCGATGACACCGTCAATGACCGCGTGAGCGACGTGCACGCCCTTTGGCGCAAACTCTTTGGCGAGAGAGGTGGAGAGCGCCTTCAGCGCGAACTTGGGCGCCGCGAAGCCTGACATCTGCGCGTTGGCTTTGACGGAGGCGGTGGCTCCAGTGAAAATCAAGGTAGGTGGGTACTTGGCTGACTTGTCCTCAGCGTGCTTGAGGAGGTGAGGGAGGGCTGCTTGGGAGAAGATCACCGCTCCTTGTCTGTGCCGACGTCAGTTCCTTCTCATCTCAATTCTTCTCTTACACACTCACACGCTGACCTCCCAGCTTCCCCGAAAATCCTGCACGCTCATCTCCAAGAACGGCTTCCGCGCAAACCTCCCGGACGCATTAAACACCGCCGCCGCGCACGCCCCGCCTCCAAACTCGTCGGAGATCTTCTTGAAAGCGCTCTTCACGCTGTCCTCGCTCGACACGTCGGTGGAGATGCCGATGGCTTTGCCCCCGCTCTTGTTGATCTCTTGGACCAGGCCCTCGTAGTTTTCGGGGCTGCGGGCGAGGAGGGCGACGGGGTAGGCGGAGGCGAAGCGGCGGGCGCAGGAAGCACCGGTGCCGGGGCCGACGCCGGCGATTACTGCGAAGGCTTTGGACATGGTGGGGCAGGGTATGAGGTGGGTGGATAGGGCGGAGAGGCGGGTGGAGGGCCGGGATGAGGGGACCGTGGTGGGGTTGGGTTGATTGCTCGGATGAAGGAGGTTTAGGAATTCTGCTCACGTCAATCGAAAAGGAAATGAAGACGAAGGACAAAGACAATATATGAAGAGAAGGGGAGGAAGGAAAGAGTTGATTAGCAATATACTCGACCATGTCCGAGGCCGACCTCGAGCTCTGGAGCTCTGAGTCTGTCCGTGTGGGGAGAAGATGGCGTCAGATCAGTAATTCTGAGGAAGTGGCTCCGTTCCGAAGAGTCGATCCTCCTGCTTCATCTGTCCTTCTGCTCTCTACGGTGTGCATAGATGCGGCGAGATAGTCATGAAGCCACCTTTCAACAAGCAATGATATTCTGCAAGCCAAATGTAAGTCAAATCAAAGCATGACGTCAGCTTTTCCATTGTGACTCTTTGTCGGAAGGAACGTCGTTCTTCCCAGGTCACGCGATGAAACATCCATGCCAAATTTTGAGAAAACATCAGAAAGAATAGAATTGTGATGGCTCTTATATCTTGTGGTTCCAGTGCAACAGTGGAGCGGACGGCATGTCGCCGACGCTGACGCTTACGAAGGGAAGCGCTGGCATGCTGTGATTACAGGACGGGCTATGCTCGGCCGCGAGAGTCCTATTTGTATATATACTCAAGAGGTAATCCGTTCTAACGGACCTCGATAGCGACGATGCAGAGACGCTGGTATTGCGTTGAAAATCAGCTGACGTTATACCTTGCCATCATGGTACGCCTTCCGGCGGTGTATGAGCCTATACATATAGCGACAGACACAATGCTATTCGCGGCTCAGAGGAATCCTCAACATCGCCCGCAGACAGCATGGATCTAAAGCAACGACTCGAGGACCTCCCACCTGAACTCTACGACCACATCTTCCAGCTCACATTCACCTCTCCCTCCGGCATCCGTACAGTAGACAGCTCTTACAGACCGCCGAGCATCCTGCAAGTCGACAGACCCACCCGAGAAGCCCTGGCATCATCCTACTACGGCGACGGCGCGACCTTCTACTGCACGAACCACGAGCACTGCATCCGCTGGCTTTCCTCACTGCCCAAAGAGCACAGCCGCCTGCTTTCAGGGGTGCAGGTCGAGTCCGTGTCAAACTCGTGGAAGCTGGTGGCGATGGATACGCATGCGAAGATGCATCGCTTGTATGTGGTGAGACGGTTGGCAAAGGAGGGTGTTGCGTCCGATGCAAGGGTTCTGTTCTTTAGAGCGTTCACGGGAGAAGGGGAACCGAGCTGGACGAATTGTTGTTGAGAGGAGCAGCCAGAACAGGAACTGATTCAACGGTGGCTTGGGATGAGAGAGAGGGCGATGGCAAAGTGGGAAAGAATTGAGCCCGTGCGAATGCTCTCTGTTTCGAGCAGGTCGTGCTTGGATTGCAATTGACGATGCCACCTAGAAGCCATCCCCAGCATGATCATGATAAGCTTCTCCAATTCGAAAGGCTGTGAAGGCGACAGAGGGTTGGATTGTCGAGAAGTCAAGGTATAATTGGCGAGCAACTCGAGTCGGCAAGGCAGACTTGTGCTTCAATCTGTCAGTCTCGATTGCGAATCGACAGCACTGCTTATGTTCACTTTGCAGCGCTTTTCACGTACGCGCCAGGCTCTGACGCAAGCTACGGTGTTGTAAATCGCAGCATGCTGGTTGACCGCGGTCTGGTAGCTCGGAATCTCGTGTCACGTGACCTGGTTGACTTACCATCCGACGTCTTGGTTGATCCATTGGAGGGGGAAAAGATGGATGGAAGTCAAGAATAATCGTTATGATCCTATCCAATGAACGTCTTATTTCATAAAACTACGTACCCAACTTTACCCGTCTTCCTTTGGACACCCGCATGTTCTTTGCCTAAGCATGGCTGGGGCTAGGGAGTTACACAATTAGCCGTACCAAGGCCATCTCTCCTTCTACAGCAAACATCATTGCTAGAGGTACACCCGCAAGGTCCTCCTCCTGCCCCGCAGCCAACGGCGTTATGCCATGTCGGGGGATTGCCTGAGCATACAAGCTTTTTTCACGTTAATACATCGTAGCGTGTTCTCAAGAATGAATACTGACCACACCATTCTGATTCCCGGCGCCAGACTTGCAGCAATTTTTTCCAGCATTTCCCGCACAACTTGCCCCAAGGTTACAATACCGACTGCAAATGTCGGCAAGCCCTTGAAGTAGACTCAGTAGGTGGCTGACACAACCCTCATGGCCTTCTTGGATGAGACTTACCACCAGTGGCGGAGAGAAATACCAATGCCATAGATAACTTCATGGTTGCGGTAGTCTCTTTCTGTCCGGGAAAGAAGCAGGATATGTATGCAAAGACATTGGGACAGGCGGGAGATTGTACCACCTTTATACAATTCCCACGCAGCGTAGGCGCTACGATCTTCAAGATCCAGAGCGTCCACCCCTCTTCTTCTCCCTCCCACCGGCTGCAGCAGACGTCTTAGCGATCTGTGTGATGGGCCTGTTATGTGATGCTGGCTCCATGCACTCACGATTGGGAGTGCAGTCTTCATCAAAGACCAACATGCCCCAGACCTGTTTAAGAAGGAGCGTGACTTGGCAGGCAGGGCGTCTTAGATGCTAAAGTACGCCCAGCGCTTGCAGACATCGCTTGGCACCATACTCCCCTTGTCCGCTGCATGCAACACTGTATAGCGCAGCAAGACCTCGCTTATAGTGCTCATCATCGGTGGTCTTGATAAGGCATTGGTGGAGCGTCTTGACAGTCTGGAGGATCATGCCTGGCTAGGCCACATCTCCGACCCGTTGAGACGTTGTCGAGAATACGGTTGGCTGGAGTCCTGGCTTCGAATGTCGAGTGGTTGCCATCTGCTTATGCTAGGTATACCTTGCATCAGATCGATCGTCCACGCGGCCCAACTCGCCTCTCTCTGTACAGAACCTACTTTCAAGGGCCGATAGGGGCAAAGGTCCTGCATGTTTGATCTGTTCATTGCCATCAGTGGAGCTTTAATCAAGTCTTGGACCGCGTCAACGGCTGCACGTTCGTGTAATCTGGTGCCTTCGGGATCAACGCCAGAATGGCTGCTGAAGCTGGTCAACTTCCATGCGCGTCGAGATATATGTTTGGAGGAGCGCCACGTGGTCGATATTTGCTGTCAAAGCCTTAGTCACCCACCGTTCTGCGATTCACAACACTGTTGCTTGTGTAGCAGTGACCAGCTGTTCTCCGCTACGGAAAGCCTTTCGAAAGGCTCATACGCTGAAAGATCAACCTCCGGTTCCATTGCTGCAATGAGAAGCTTCTCATAGCAACCCAAGTGTGCATTTGAAGCCACGAGAACAGCGTCAAGTGAAAGCGACGTATGAACGGTAAGATCAGCAGGCGCCTCCAGAGCCAGACGACAACCTTGAAAGCGCTGCTCTCGGCTATCTCGCACATTTGTGCATTCACCTTGCTTTCGTCTCGTCTTTTCGTCTCGTCTCTTTTCGTGCCATCCCGTCTCAACATGCCAAATTTGATCTGCGATCAGGACGGATAGTAATTGTTCCATCCAGAAGCTCGCTGCTGGAGTAACAATAATGTTCTTCTTGATGCTGTGATTGAATCTCTCATTAGATATCGACATTGACTGATACATGCTTCTCATACAGCGTCGCCTAAACCATCCAATGCAGTGCTTAATCAAACGCAACTTCCTCGCAGTATTCCTGTCACGGATAACGCCCCGCTTGAACGAAGAAACGACATCGCCTCTGTTACCCCGATCACATCTCCTCCACCGCACAATTCGGATGCACGATATACATCACCCGCTCTTCCTGCTCCTGCTCCTCATTCGCATCATCAACAAGACCTTCGCCTCGGATCTGCAGGAGAACATTGTCCTGATCTAATCGTTAGCTAGTCGTTCAATCGTCGATATAAGGCAACCCACCTTCACCATCCGCTTCAACACCTTCTTCGCCAACCCTCTCTGCGCCTCCATATCTTCCTGGCTCTCGAGCTCATCCTCCTTCTGCTCGAGATACCACACCAGAAGGTCGTTCTCTTCCACGCCATCCTCCGCCGCGCCTTGATCGTCATTCACCCGCTGTAGCAGCATGTTGTGGATCTTTACGTAGTCGTCGTATTTGATCTGCGTTCTTCGCGTGGCCGCTGGTGTTGCTTCCGCCTCGTCGTTCCCGTTCATTGGTGAGTCGCCATCTTCAGCAGCGCCCTCCGCAGCATCAACCATGTCCGCATCTTCCTCATCCTCAAACTCGACATCATCCTTCTCAACACTAATGATGCTCTGCCTCAGCAGGTTGAACGCCTCGTCGACGAACTCTGGAACAACCAGATCAGTACACGTCGCCTTCGCGATGGCCTCGCTCAATCGAATCAACGACTCCAGCTGTCGAACAGTGATGCGGTAGGAGTTCCGTCCAATCCCGCCTTGCGCATCGTCCGCCCGCAGCTCCTTATACCTCTCGACCAACCTCTCCTTCGCAGCGTCGTTGAAGACAGGCTGGTAGAGCCGTGCGAATCGAATGAATCGTTGCAGCTGCTCGGTGCTGAACTCGGGCTCGACGGCGTCGTCCTTGTGTTGATGGATGCCGACGATGTGCCTCGCCAGATGCTCATCGACCTGCTCGTTGCATTCGTCGAGGACGACAAAGAACAGATCGAACCGGGACATGATGGGTGCGCTCATGTTGATGTTGGCTCGCAGCGTCGTCTTGCGGTTGTATCGTCCACCGACAGGATTGGCGGCAGCGAGGATACTCGTCCGAGCGTTGAGCGTTGCCTGAATACCAGCCTTGGCGATGGAGATGGTCTGCTGTTCCATTGCTTCGTGGATGGCCACTTGATCCGCTATATCCATCTTGTCGAACTCATCGATAGCGCAGATGCCGTTGTCAGCAAGCATCAGGGCCCCAGCCTCGATGGTGAACTCCCCAGTCTCCTCATCCTTGACGACGGCCGCTGTCAGACCTGCTGCAGAGGACGCCTTGCCAGAGGTGTAGACCGCACGTGGCAGGAACGAGCAGATATATTTCAAGAACTGCGACTTGCTGGTTGATGGGTCGCCGACGATGCAAATGTTGATGTCACCGCGCAGGGCCATGCTTTCAGGGGTGACCTTGCTGACACCACCCATCAGCTGGAGGAGCAGTCCCTTTTTGACGACAGTATGGCCGTAGATCATTGGCGCCAGCGAGTCGACCAACCGCATGAAGATATGAGGTGTCCGGACCATTTCCCGCAAATCATCCACCTCAGCCGTGGTGAGGGTGTCCAGGTAGTCCTGCTGTGCTGCGTCGCCCGACATCTCGCTGACTTCGTTCATCTGACCTAGCGAATTCAGAATGTTGCCAGCCTGGCCCTTGAGGTGCTGATTGTTGCTCTGTCCTTGGGTCGCGGTATCCATGGTCACCATGTTCGCCAGGAAGGCCATCCGGTAGGTCAGGTCCCGCACGCCAAGCGCCTTGAGGCCACTGACACCACTCCCTCCAGCCTCTCCACCGCGAGCACCTTGAGGATCACGCATACCCTGCGGTCTGACGCCAGGCACTCTGAACTGACTGACGTCTGGCACGACGATGAGGGTGCCTGTGAAGATGCACTTCTCACCAGCCTTGGCGCGGTCAACCATCTCTCCTCGCAAGATGACATCCATCGTCCGGGGCATGCTGCCGGTAGGAATCTCCGAGCTGTTCTCCTGGATACGGACCTTCTGCCAGTCGATGAATGTGCTCTGTCTGATGTCGAGACGCCATGCCTGTCGGTTCATGCATTGCGCGTTGGGGCACTGCGTGGGCTCGGAGTACTTGAAGATCTGCTCGACGTCCGGTATGACGCTATTGCAGTTCTCGCAGATGAAGGTGGCGAGATGAAGCTCTGGTCGGACCTCTGACGTCCGCGTCACGGTGCCGGATATTGAAGCAAGCTTGCCGATCTGGTCTGTCCTCAACTGCCGCACTCTTGAGACCAAGGGCATATTATAGAAGGCGAGCGCAAAGATCTTGTCGGTCTGCTGGTTTGGCGTCTTCTCATTCAGGCCATCTTCATCGCTCAGTGTATTGCCGGCCAGCGACGTATCTGTTCTTGCGGTTGTGGAGCCAGGCTGCCTATGCTCTCGGTAGTACTGTGGCTCGTACTTGGCGATCAGGCTGTTGAGGGCTCGCAGCATGTATGGAAGGAAACGGTAGAAGTCTCCTTGGATAGCAGTGGCCAGCACTCCTCGTTCGCTGTCCATGAGATGTGTAAAGTCGACATAGAGAGTGGACAGCTTGAACTGACAAAGGCCGTGTATCTGCGCGATGTAGTATTTGTTGGTGGTGACGGCGCTGGACTTTGGCTCTGCTGAGGGCGTGGGCTCTTCGGTGAATCTGCGTGCATTAGTGGTGCCTCGCTGAGGGAGGGCAGATAAAGCCATACTCCTCAAGGAACTTCTCAAACTGTATCCCCAACGTCTCTGCTGTTGTGTCGACCACTCGCGGCACCTCTCCGCTGCCTGGAAGGTTCCTTCTCAGACCTCTCACACCAACGACTTCATCATCGGGGAAGCCCAGCTCGCTCTGCATGCCGGGCGTGCTGACAGATGGCGGGCCCCTGGGTCGCGAGGAGGAGCGGGCTTGTCTTCGTCGCGCTGACGGTGCATCGCTACGAGGTTCTTCTGGCGCATTGTCGGAGCGGAGGACTGCATCAACGAGAGAGGACATGGTTTTGGTCGGCAGTAGTGTGCGTGGTGGTGGTGCATGTTAATCGAAGAGGGGTGGTTGAAGTCGAAGACGCGTCGCGTAAAAGCGTGTTTCAATCATCTGTCCAAATTCGACCACTAGCGCGAAAGCTCAAATCCACCGAAAGGATCGCCGGCCGCTTAGAGTCGATACACGACCTGGAGATACCAACACTTTCGCAATGGAACAGCCAATCTTGCCATGGTCTTCAATCATATCCTACGGAGACCCGTGAGAACCACAATCATCACCGTCCTGGTCATCCTCGTCGTTCTGTTCCTCAGCACTGGCGGCACACACAAACTCCAGCCTGCGTTGTTCGACATCACTCCCGGCAGACGACTATCATCTCAGAATGCTGCAGCAGTCTGCAGAAAACATGGCTTCAGCCCTTACCGCCCACCTGGGCGTAAAGTCTACGACCTCTTTCCCTTCAACGTAGAGCTAGATTGGCTGGACATCCGTCTCAACACTCTCGCCTCTTACGTGGACTACTTCGTTATAGTGGAAGGCCGAAACACCTTCACCAACCTGCCTAAGCCGGCCTATCTGGAACGGAACTGGGAGAACTTCACAACCTTCCACCCGCAGATGCTGCATTACGTTGTCGAGGACCCGATAGATAGCACCCGCACATGGGATCACGAGGACTTCTTCCGCGACGCCTTACTCTACAAGACCTTCCCGCACTTCCGAGGAAGCGCGAAGCAAGCGAACGATGGCGACGTGATCATCCTATCTGATATTGACGAGATCCCGAAGCCAGAGACTGTCGAGCTGCTACGGCACTGCGACTTTCCTGCCCGGCTCACGCTGAGAAGTCACTTCTACTATTACTCCTTCCAGTGGCTACATCATGGCGAGCAATGGGCGCATCCCCAAGCCACCATCTTCCGTGGATTGAAGAACACCATATCACCGGTTCATTTGCGTAATGGAGAAGGCGGTCCGTCCTGGAGCTTGCTGCCCTTCATGCGGCCTCTACAGCGCTGGTGGCAGAAGTCCGATCTTTGGAGCTCGACGTGGCACTGCTCCTCCTGCTTTGCAACCATCAAAGAGATGCGGACGAAGATGGAGAGCTTCTCTCACACGCCTTGGAACACGGAGGAGAACCGGGATGCCAAGACCATGGTTGAGCGGGTCCGGAATGGTGTCGACCTGTTTGGCAGGGAGACAGAGGTCTACGACAAGGTGGATAACAACCCTGACGTTCCATCGTATATCCTCACCAAGCAGGAGGAGTACGGCTATCTCCTTGATCGAGACGGACAGGATGCGGCTTTCAAGGATTACGACCTGTTTTTCTAGCATATGGACAGCGTGAGCTACGATCCATACCAGAGCTCTCTCCATATTTCATAATTGTGCCATCAACGGTTGTGCACCCTCATATTGCTCTCCAAAGCCTTTAGTCCTGGGAGGACCGCGCGTCTTTACAAGCGAACGTGCCTTCTCCCAGCACGTGACGCGCCTTCATCTTCTCACACCATCACAGCAATGCCTTCAACGCTCACTATGCCCATGCAACGCTATGCAAGTCTCTTCATCAACAGCACTTAGGACCCGTCACGCATCGCTCATGCTTCGCAACTTCTCTTGCTCGTCCGGCGTGAGGGCGTTGAACTGAAAGACATTAGCACTTTCTTAGAAGATGCAGTCACTGTACTTACCATCTCCATAAACCCCGGCTTCTGCGACGCCTCCCGGAAAAAGTTCACCAAATACGTCTGCGTCTCATCGTCCCGCGACCGCCTGCCAGTATTGCCATCCTCCGCGCCGAACGACATGAGTTGAGATTTGGTCATACCTGTCGAAAGATCGATGAAATCATCGTCTGCTGATTCCCATCCTCCCTCCTCATCATCTTCGTCGTCGTCCAAATCCGCTGCTGCCGAAGGATCCAGAGTACGGTTCCCGGATGCTGACAGCAGTTCTTCCACCAGGATCTTGATGATCTTCAGCCGGGCTGAGACGATGGTGTACTGGTCGGGATTCTGCTTGGCACGTGAGCGGGTCATGATGCGGTCGGACTTCTGGACGATGAGGTCGCCCTTGACCTGGATGTCGTTGAGTCGTGGATCGTTGAGATCGTATAGCTTTGAGAGTGCGACGACACTAAGAGACGGTCAGCCTAAGGATCTAAAAGTTGGCAACAAACACTCACTTCTGCCTAATGTCATCATATCCCGCGAAAGTGATAGAGTTTTCGAGCCACTTGCTCATGACCACCGCAAGCCCGCTTTGATCGCCCAATTGAACATCAGCCAGGAAGCCGACGACGTCCTGGGCAGATACGAGAGAGAGGCGGGCGAAGACGAGAATCAAGCTCTGGATGAATTGAGCTTGGGTGGCAGTAGCAAGTCGAGCAGCCACCGCGCGCAGGAGCTGCATCAGGTATGGTCCAAGGCGCTCCGATCCAGCCTTTTCGACAGTCTCTGCTGCAAGGCCACCGACTTCTGCAGCTCCATTTTCGTCCACTGCAGGGTTGAGAAGTCTGTCGATGATGATGAGCACTACCTCGAGCCCAGCTTTGCCGGCTTCGTCGTGGAAGCCAAACACTTGGTCTGGGTCGTGTTCGATCATGTGCTTCACAGCGGCAGTCGCAGACTTCAGTAGCTCGTCGTCTATCGAACCGAGCAGCAGCCTGTTGAGGCGTGGCATCACTGTCGAGACGAAAGCTGGTGGCAGTGGGGTTGACCCATTCGCAGCGAGGACGGAGAGGAGCTCTGCTGCGAGGTTGGCAAGCGCATTCTCTTCGGTCAGGCCAGCTACATCAAAGGCACCCATGAGCGATGGAAGGACCTTGGATGTCAGTTCGGCGTACTGGTTACTCCCTCCGGCAGCGATGGTGCTCGCAATCTCTTCGAAAGTCTCCGTGACAAGCAGGGCAATCTGGAAGTTGTTGGCACCTCTGCTGGCCACTGTGAATAGCAGGTCGATTCCGCCGCTGCTTAGGCAAGCTATGGTGTTCAGGAGAATGGCGTCTCGCAGTGTCTCGACAATCGTAATGAGGAGATCGTCGCTGTCATCCAGGTCGCTGAAGTCTTGGCCGCTGAGGAAGTTCGAGAGAGTGTTGATGATGATCGGTTGCTGTGGTAAGGTCATTGAAGGCGGCAACGCGGCGAGGTAGTATTGAAGAGCGCGGATGCACGACACTTTAACAATCTCCGAAGCATCTCCTGTGATGGCCTGCAGGGACGCCTGCATGAAGCTTGCTGCGACCGGTTGAAGTGCTTCACCTGAGGTTCTGGTTAACGTGCCAGCGACAAGATAGCCGCGGGCGCGTAAGAAGACAGCTTCTTCTTGCATTGCGTGCTGGATGAAGTCGACGTATCCATTCGCAGATTCAGCACCAATCTTCTTCTCCACATCTTGGAAATCGCCCAGGAGCTGGTTGAGCAGGTATAGAGCGGCTTCCTTGGCCTTCCAACCGGCATGCTCGGCGTAAAGCGTTCTCGTGTACGCCAGTAGGCCCTCGACGGTTGCAGCATTCAGCCATTCGCCAAGTTTGATTACCAGATCGCCGCATGCTGTCCGAGGGGTGTAGTTGGCGGTCACGTTGGCCTCTTCGGACAAGAACACATTGACATCGATCTCCCACAAACCTTCGTCCTCAATCGTGATCTGAGCGTAGGACACGGCCAGCTTCATCATATCAGTGACCCAGCTGCTCGATACCGCGTTAGAGGTTTGCAATTGCTGTTCAAGCTCTTTGCGGACCGGTGGTGCTCGTAAACACGCTTGCATGAAATCTAGTTCTTCTATCACCAGGAAATCTAAGGTGTAGGGGAGACCATCGGCATCGACCAATCGGCTCTGACGGTCGTCTTCGATGTACATCTGGTGATGTTGTTGCTGAAGTGTCGTAAGCTCTTGCCATGTTGCCGAGAAAAGGACCGGGCTGTGAGGAGATAATACAGACGGGAACACCGAGCGAACGCGGACCATGACCTTGACCACTTGAAGCTTGAGCGCGACAGAGCCCCTGAAGAGTTCTTCGCCTGGTAAATCCCGGTTCTCTTGGTCGTCCGGTGGAGCTGGTGGCAAGGGTGACTTCAGGGTGGTGATGAAGAACGGAATCCAGGCTGCCAGGGCCTCCTCAGCAAACCGCTTGACTTCGGTCTTGTGATGTTCGAGCACGACCTCCAAAGTGTCGAGACAGGACCGGAAGACTGATACTGCCAACGCTCGAAGGATGGGCCTCTGAGTGTCATTCACAGCAACATCGTAGACCACCTTGACAAGATCTCTTGCCACCTTGAAGAACTGCTCGTCGTTGAAGCAATCGTCCACGAGCTCGTTCAGCACTTTTAGCGCGCCATGCAGTTGCGCTTCTGTGCCGGTGCCGACGACGTTGAGGACGGTGGGAAGTAAATCAGGCCATTGATCTGGAAAGTCCGCTGTGGCAATCTTGCTGACAACTAGGCTGGCAGCATTCTTGATCTTTCTCTCATCTCTCCCGCTGACGGCGAGGTCCAGTAGGGACTGCCGGATTTGTGCTTTGTTTCCTTCATCGGCATAGAGTGGCCCTGTGAATTCTTCTAGCTGTGCGGACCAGGATGCCAGTACGAAGGTCTTGAGATACAACAGCGCTGCCTGTCGGACGTCGATTGGCACATCACTGTGAGCGCCGACAGATATCAGAGCGACGGGGAAGTCGGGGTTCACATGTTGCTGTTTGAGTTGCCACTCTGCGTTCTTCCGTGTGGTCTCCTGCGGAGATTGAGTTTCCGAGAGCAGGCGCACTAATTGCTCCTCCATCTCTGGAATCGACTAGCCTTTAGCGCCACGGTATGTTGTGAAACATTGAAGTAAGTTGGTTTAAGCTTTCGAGATTCCACGTGCTCTGCCGAAGCGCGGTGACGGTGGTGGATGTGCTGGAATCTCTGTTGAGCCTGGTGATGAAGCGGACTGGGCCACAGCGTTGGTAATAGGCGAGCGTCCAGGTATCGATGTCGACTATCCGATAGTTGGTGAGTCCTGTGCGCTTATCTGGCGATTGTTATGTCCGCGAGGACTTTCTGGAGGTTGTAGGTTTCCGCAAAGAACGTCGGAGAAATGGCCGGGCCGATGTTCCTGATCCAGCGCGAAGCTTGGCATATCCAGCGGCAACGACGACCATGTGAATCTTGCACGTGTACTCTCGCTCGCTTCTTGATCAAACGTGCGAGTATCAAATGGCGGACTCTGAACCAACATTCCGCAGCCTCGCCACGAGCTTCACCGACTTTCTCACCGTGGCAATACACACAATCCTCTACGAACGCTCCGTCTACCCGCAGACATCCTTCCTGTCCGCGCGGAAGTACAACTTTGCGGTCCGGCAGAGTCGACACCCCAAGGTCTGTGAATGGATTAACGACGCTGTCGCCGCGGTGGAATCCGAACTTTTCAAAGGCGCCGTCGACCGCGTGGCAGTCGTAATCTACAGCAAGAACAACAAACCCCTGGAGCGCTACGTCTTCGAAGTCTCCCGATTTCCAAAAGTCCCGGCTTCCGACGTTGATGTCCCCCTTGAGCGGCTCGATGCTGATGGCCAGCAAGGCAGTGTCTTGCCACTGGTGGACATGGAGGAGCAATTCCGAGCGACCATGAACCAACTCGCTGGTTGCAGCTCTATGCTTCCTCCCATACCGGTGGGATGTGCCTTCACGGTTGCTGTCGAGCTCAAAGAAGATGGAGAAGCACCAACCGCCCATCCTCAACCCTGGATGCCGGTCCAGCCTCGAGCTCCAAACGACGGGGCGAGTGGCAACGGTGTGGTCACTAAGCCTGTGCGAGCTGTGGCTGCCGGGTCTGTTCTATTTGAGACGTGGATAGAGCAGGTCAACAGTGACGATGGAGATGGCTGAAGCCTGAAAGGTCACTGATCGAATCGAAGTGTAAATACTGCAGCAGTGTGTCAGCATCCCCGTCTCTGTCAACAGGACGATGGACATGGCTGCTCAACTGCGCCGACAAGACGAAGAGGAGAGCTCGCTTCAGGGACGCTGGCCACTACCTTCGCACGAACCATCACCGACCTGAACACCCCTCTGGAATGCACGAATGGTACAAAGCACTGATCAGATATGCGAGAACTACCCCTCCCTGCGATTTTGGAAACTTGATCGATTCAGAAAGTGTGGACCTTCACGCTGCTGGACCCTGCGATACTGGAGTTGCTTTAGAACTGAACCCCCTGACACAGAGCACCGTCCGCGCAGACGTTTGTGCCCGACACAAACGATGCTCTTTCCGAAGCAAGGAAGCACACGACGTCCGAAATTTCCTCAGCTTTTCCCATGCGCCCCATGGGATTCTTATCCATCTGGCTCTTGAACAACTCTGGCATGTTCTTTTCTACGTTGCCCCTACAATTCATGGGTTGGAGATGTCAGCATTCTTTCATTCCTGCGTAGGTAGAGGAGGGAGGAGTGTCGGCCATCATGCCTTAGACGCGGACCATTGCTTGAGAAGCTCACTCTACCTTAGCGGCAAACTCTTCCGATAAGTCTCTCGAGGTCTTTCAAGTCTAAGGCGTAGCGACGACATGTTGTACTTACCAGACTCCATCATTGATGTAGATATTTCCAGGCGAACAGGTGTTTGCTCTCACGCCCTTCGGAGCCAGCTTACGTGCGAGTGAAGCAGTGTAGTGCTGTTAGAACAGAAAATTCAAGGGTCAGCTCATCTCGCACTGCCGAACGGCTTCTCATCAGGCTTACGATGACGGCGGCCTTGGCTGGTCCATAGGGGCTGGGTGTCGTGAAATCGATGTCGCGGCCTGAAACTGATGAAATGGTCACAATGTTGCCTCCGGTCTTCTCCAGGTGCGGGATTGCGGCCTGGGTCAGAACGTGGAGGCCGAGCAGATCAGTCTCGAAGGCCTTCCTCCAGCTTTCCGCCGTATCTTCGATAGCCAGGGCAGACACGTTGGCCACGACAACATCAAGTCTGCCGTTCTGCTCTGCGCAAGACGTTACCCAGTTTTCTAGCTGCGTCTGATCTGCAACGTCAACCGTGCTGCCGTAAGCCTTTGCTTGAGGATAGTCCTTGGCCAATTGCTTCTCGCTCGCTTCTACATCTGCTTTGGTCCTTGAGCAGAAGTGAACGATTGAGCCTTCGTCCAAGAAACCACGTGTTATTGATCGTCCGATGCCCTTGGTACCGCCTGCCGTAGTTTAGCTACCATTTCGAATCGATGTATGTAGGCGACGTACCAGTGACCAGCACTACTTTGTTCTCTAGTCCGAGATGCATTTTCGACAACTTCCTGATTCAATAGAGCTGTGATACCGAGTCGGGATGGGTGGGAGAACTGATGGAGGTTTCAATGGGGTCTCGCGGACGGATGGGGCAGTTGTGCGGGCGGAAAAGTCGATTTTGACGTCACTCAATGCCCGCTGATAGCAATCTACGTCTTGGAGAAGATGTTGTGACGGCGTGAATGAAGCGATATAGAACATCTTTGATTCGGTAGAACAGCAAATTGATCGAGACTGCATGGTCTCATTCGTACTTCACATGTTGAAGACGAGGAAGACACGGCGGTCTCCAGTGATGAACGAAACCTCTCTATTTCGACAAGCATGGCGCACAATCACAGAGTGGAATCGAGATAGAAAACGTGTGCAGCTTCCATGGGGATACAGTGAGCTACACAGCTACGCAGGTGGGAGACCGATCAAGCGCACTCCAACTTACTCATCTAAATAATCCCTTCGTTCTCGCCCAATCTCACTCACGCCTCGCTCAAAACCCTTCTCCAGTACGCGATCGATCCTGTCGTCTCGATCTGCTTGTCATCCCTTCCACCGTCACTGAACTGTCACCCCTCGATCCTTGTCCTGTCCTCCTTGCCCCACAAAATCAGACGCCATCAAGAGCCTTCCGTCCAACACCTTGCCCATGTGCGTCCTGCTGATTCCAGTGCCGTTCCTACGAATGGTCGATGTCAAGGTCTGCAAGAACTTCACCGGTGACCCCCGCTGAGCCAACTTACCACTAGCATCTCTGCGAATAAAGCCGTCAGGGTCGTGCTTCTCCTGGCCGATCGGCGGTCCGGTGGCCAGGTCGACAGACCGGCAGACTCTGTGATAGTCGCCGATGGTCGCAAAGTACAGCTGGCCGGCAAACAAGTTCAAGAGGTCAATGAGTCGTTGCTCGATTTTCGGCGGCGGGTCTCGTCTGGGCCAGGTGAGAAGAGAAAGGCTGTCAAGCGGGGCATAGGATGCATTGGTGCGCGCTTTGTAGACGTGCAGTGTGGTTTGCTCATCTTGCTCGGAGGCCATCGTCTTCTCCATGAAGCGCTGTGCCTCGAATGGACTGACGACCATAATGGTATCGACGGTGTTGGTCGCGGGGGTGCGGCGTGAAAGGATCCACTGAACCGGGCGTTGGTAGGAGTCCAGATTGCCATCTTTCTTGGCCGAGCCAGCGACGGTGCGGGCGAAGTCCTGGGATACCAGAAAAGCTTCCCGGTCATATTGGAGCTGGCAAGCTTCCAAGTCCACCCGAGCGCTCGTGCGAAGCAGAGAAGCGAACGCTGGCTTATAACCCTCTGGTTTGCTGGGAAGTTCGCCCTTCGACATGAATTGCAGCACGTCTGGATGCAGGAGCGACGGTGCTGGCTGCGCGGCACGCGGGCGCTGTACTTGATGCTCTTGCTCTACCTCAGGCGCGAGCTCTCGCTCCTGTTCCTCTTGCAACATACTCGCGTTGAGTTGCAGGCCTTCGAACTCCTCACAACGCTGCTTGATGTCGACTAGCGTCCCGTCGCTATCAGGCAAGATCTGGAGAATGCCGTCTCGTCTGGATCGCGGCCTGTACCGGTGATTGAGGGACTGAGCTTCATCCTCGACGAAGGCATCAGCTTGCGCCTTCAACATGGTCGTGATGCCTTTTGATCGCACAGCAAGCCATAGTGCTCGTTGGCACAGGAAACGCTTGCCCTGCACCGCCCACAATGGCATCATCTTGCGCGTCATTTCGAAGGTCTCGGATATGGCCCATAGGATGACATCTTCAACGTCAAGAACTTTGTTGCTCGACTTCCGTGAGTAGGATCGTATCTTGCTCTCTATATCCTCATTCACGCAGAATGCGACTGATTGGCCTTTACCAAGCTGCCTCATTCTCATGCATGCTAAAACTCGTTAGTCATTTGACAAGCCTTCAGGACTATCCCCCACATACCTTGGACCACTTTGTCTTTTGGAGAAGCAGGACCAAGTGTCACTGCGGCCCGATAATCCTGTGGTAACCTCAAATCAATCCCTCGCGTGTGCGCCTCATCAAGAAAGACCAGGCAAACGTCAAGCTGGACGGCGAATGGTGATGCGCGAAGGGGCTCAACCCGGCCCTTGCGATCGAGAACTGAGACCTCGTCCTTATCGTCCACGAACACAACTGCTCTGATTTCTAGACTCTCTTCCAGCTCGAGCCATCTTGAAGCGACCTGGAGGTTATTAAGCTCCAGGATCTGAGCTCCTGCGTCAAGAATGACCCTGATGGGCGGGTCTTGCTGAAGTGTTGTCGAGAGCAAGAAGTCTGCATCCGACACCGAGTAGTCTGATCGCTTTGGCATCGTAACGACTGCGTTCTCAGGACGGAGGAGGTATTCCAGCACAAGCGCATTGGTATGCCGTTGTGCAGGAAGATCCAGCTGTTGCACGTCCAATGGAAGGAGGCTCCTTGAATCGTTTGTCCCGCTGAAACCAGTGGTCGATTTGCCTTTGGACTGCCCGATGTCCCAACCGGATGACGACAGCTTGGATGGAAACTCCTTCATCTCTTTGGGAAACACAAAGTGCGAGAGAAAATAGTCGATGACGCACTTGCCATAACGCAGGTTGGGGAAGAGAACTTCTTCGCACTGTTGGCGATCTCGAAGGTTGATTCCCTCAAGCTGCCGGAGCTCATGCGGCATATTGGGCGCATCCTGGAGCCAAAGCGAGTATTCAGCACCCGCTTGGTCAGAGTCCATCACATGGCTGAGCGTGATGTAGAGGTCAGCATCCGTGAGACCGCCGTAGTAATAACTGAGCGACGTCAACATAATGACCACATCAGGATGGCTGAACTCTGAGCGTGCTGATGGCTGGTCCTTCGACGTGTACGGCACAGCAAGCTTCGTTCGAGGCGTATCCGAGGGCACAAGTCCGTAATTGACCCTCCAACGCTTCTGCTGAAACACAAAACCAATGATGCCCCCAGCCAAGAGCCCGCGGAGCAAGAGTAGAATCCCTCTGACAGATTCCTGGAAGAAACCTTGGTTATCTTCGCGCTCGACTTGGGCTATCTCGTCGCTGTCAAGATCCGGCTTCGTGATGTACGTCTTGACTGCATTCCGTATGGCTTCGTCCTGCCTTGAGATCGGGAAGCCATCAAGACCATTCTCGCATACATGGTCCGCAACACGAGCGACGAGAAGGTCTTTGGCTTCCTGCTGCAGCAGCCGAATCCTGGGGAAGCTGCCTTCGACCACATGATTGTACTCCAGAAACTGTGGGAGCTTCGAGATGTCCAAAGACAATGTCCGCACCAATTCGAGCACCTGCTGAATGCATCCCCAGCGCCTTGTACTCAGCTCTACGGAGCTCTGCTGGCCCATCGTGTAAATCAACTCCCACTTCGGGCTGAAGATCTCGTCTGACTCGTCAACAATGTCTCGCGCCACAGTGTCGAAGAAACCTTGTATGCGCAGAAGTGGCAACGCTACGGTCTGGTTTCTTGCATTGGTGGTCTCCAAGCACATCAACTTGAACGAGAGTATGCTTTCAGGCTGGAGTAGCACAACGCCTCCATCAGCCATGCACTCCCGCATCATGGCTTCCACAGAGCAAACTGCTCGTGCGTCCAGTTTGAGCGATCGGGAGAAGGGCATGAAGTAGACTCTCCTGTTCAACAGGCCTCCCAATTTGGAACACAGGGTGTGCTGCATCTGCTTGGATTGTGCTTTGGCAACCAATACCCTCACCAACTGGGTGGTATCGGCAAGGGCAGAGGCAACCATAGGCACGATGACAGACGACTTTCCTTCACCCATGTTCAGCTGCATGACTGCATTCTGCTGTGCTTCTGGGGCCATCATCTCTTTGGCAATCTCGACCTGGACCTCACGAATAGTGATGCCTGCTTCAACTTCGAGAAGAAGCCAATCCGGGTGTTCGCATGGATCCCAATTGGTGTGTGGAACGTGCCTGAGCTCAGACAAAAGGTCTTCACGCTTATTGGCATAGACGGCCTTGGAGATGCGCTCAGCCCTGTGAACTTCAACGACGGCTCGGCCATACTGTACGAGAGTCGCCTTCCAATCGTTGCTTAGTTGCTCTCGAATGCCATGCTGTAACTGCTGGAGGAGGAACGTTGCCGACACTCGAGGCCACTGCCTACTGTTGCGAAGGATTGAGCTGTTCATGAATCGTGGTGCTTCCAAAGGTGCCGTGTCGAAGTGGGCAACGATACATTCGTACAATTTGCCAGCATGGTCGCGGCAGCTGTCCAGATACTCAGTGGCAGTATGAGTGCTGAAAGTGCCATCGAGGACCATCTGATCTCCGGTACAGTCTGTCAAGGAGTTACGGCTGGCCTCGAGCTCATCTGTGTATCGCATCTCGTATCCGGAGTTGCAGAGCTTCCGTAGCCGGTCTACCAAAGGGCCCAAGCGACTCGTGGAACTCTTCGCCAACGTATCCAGGCTGAGCGACGGCAGAGACGCTACCAGAGATGGTAAGCCTGGGGCTGGACACGAGAAAAGGATCTGCTTTGACATGAATCCCTGCCTCCGGCGCGACACTGACATCTCCTTTCGCCGTGGCCACTGCGGCGTCCCAATTATGCCAGCATTCACGCAGTTTGCTACTTGCTCGATCCTCTGGAAATACTGCAGAAGTTGACGGTTGTCGTACCAAACCTGGAACTTCTTTTTGGAAGCAGCGAGAGCAGCGTCAAGCCTGATGTACTTACCCACGTCGACGCGAGCATGTTGCAAGTCCGGCATGCTGGGAGAAGCCGATGTTCTCTGGGCAAACAGCCCATTCGCCAATGCTTGAGCAGCCGTGTTCTGCTTCTCCTTGAAAAGCTTCCGTTGACGAGCTTCGAAAGCAGACGGTTTCTCCTTGGCCACCGCCTCGAGGTCACCCTCGGGTGAAGACTCGAGTGGGACCAGGTGAGACTGGATGATGTTATTGATTCCCTGCATGGTGACTTCGTGTCCTTCAGCTGGGCGGCACGTGTCAAAGACGGGGACCTTTATATTGCGGAGCGCTGTGACTGTGTGGAAAAGCGCAAATGTCTGAAGAATTGTCGTGTCGGGATTGGACCTGGCTGCCTAGATGAGGGTCAGTACTGAAGTTTCAAAGCTTCAAGATCAGGGGCATGTACGTACCAGGAAAGATAGCCATGTCTTCAGCTGGGGGCTGGTGATCGAAGTCGCAGGGGTGCTGCCAAAGGCTTTGAAAAGTGCCAGGAGACTGCGGATGTCAAAGCCGTGGTTCACCAAGGATGCCGCGTTGCTGTCAAAGAGCTGGGTCCGCGTACGAGCAGCCTTCTCTGGCCCTTCGAGGGCATCGAGCCCCGAGACCAGACTCCAGAGGTGTTCAGCCGTTGGGCCACTATAATGCCGAACGCCTTGTGTGCTGCCAGCCAGAGTAGACATCACGTGAGCATAGGACGCCTTCTCGGACGATTGTGCGATGTCCCTGCCCCGGTATGATTTATCGAGCAGTCGGGAGTGATCCTCCGCACCGAAACCACATACGCGGAACGTGGACGCTCGGATTGCATCACGCTGCATCAGATGCACGTCTACTTGCGCCAGTTGTGGGCGACGCCACTTCGAGTCTTGATGCAAGATCGTAGCGCTCTCGGCCTGGTCCAGGATAGATGATACGCATGCCGAGAATCCGTTGTGCTGACAGTAGAAGCTCAAGTTGGCGTCCCATGAAACGGTCTGCATCTCCTGCAAATGGGTTGGGTAGTAGACTCTCCCTGGCGAAAGACCCGCGATGCGACAGAGCATGGCGGTATTGGCTTGAGCGAGTTCTTCGAACGATCTGACTGTGCTTGACTTCAAGATGTTGAGGGCCTGCTCTGTGCCACTAAACCCCAAAAGAGGATCTGGCAAGACAGATGCGGTCAGCGCATGGATGTAAGCCAGGAAGAGCTTGACTTGTAGACTTCCGTTGTCTACCAGCCGACCAAGTTGACGATCGACACTCAGATGGTGGACTCTGGTTTCACCTTGCTTCACTGCACGGACGAGCACATGGCCAGGGCTGACTTCGTGCGCCACCGCGCCCTCCAAAACCAGAACTGCTCGTTGAGGACCAGTATCATGCCTGAGAAGCAATTTGTTCTCGAAGCCGACAAGGGTGTCGAGTGACTGGTCTTGATCCACCGACATGCCTCGGAACTCGCGTGAGCGTAATGATGACTGGCCATGGTGCAAAAAGAAGCTGAGCTGAAGGGTGGGCAACTCGATCTCGATCTGGTCGCCGGAGCGTTGGAGAACGCAGTGAATGGACGGCCCATCGACCAGAGGGGCGAAAACATGCGCGATCTGCTTCGCGGTGGCAGCCTCCAACCCAACCACACAACTCCCGTCTTTCTCCAAGCGCCACGAGGACGTTGACACATGACGCATCACCCAGACTGCACGCCCCCAAGGCTCGCTGACGGAGCGGAACTCTACAGCATCGCGCGCAATGTCGTACCAGTGCACAAAGTCCTTGATGAAACTCTCCGGAAATTTTCCACTGAAGAAGCGAGGCGGGAGGAGTTCGTACACGGTGCTGGGTGAAGAGGCTCTCAGTAGCAAGTCCGTGACGGATCCAGATTTCTGTAAGCCGAAGTGTACAACGTAGCCGTGATGCTTGGTTTTGATGGAACAAGGCATTCCCGGCACATTCGAAGGCATCACTTCGATCACCGCCTGACCGAAGAGCGTCCGCCAGAGTGTATGCTGCTGGTATTCGTCGCCGGGTTGACCAAGAGTGAGGCCATTGACAAGCAGCTCACCACTCAGTAGATTGTAATGAACAGCCAACGGCTCATTCTGACCTTCAACCCCAGTCTGTGAACGGATCCAATGGCCGCTACCACCTTTAGTGGCCTGCCAACCGTATCCCGGCCGGTATGCGGACCAAGAGCCTTGGATGGCGGCATTAATGCCTTTGACATTCGAATGCAGTACGGAGATTGATCGATAGAGAAGCCGGGAGAATCGATGTCTCAAGAGCTGGAGAAAAGATCCTCTGGAAGCCGAACACTCTTGAACCACAACGCAGCACTGTATGAAGGTCGAAGCAGCCTCGCATTGGCGGAGAATGCGGGCAAGGAATTGAGGCTCTACATCAGCGCAAAGTGCACAGATGAGAGCCACGCCGGCGCTCTTCGTACGGAACTCCGCGCGGTCTGAGCCTGTGCTCGCTTGCTGCGCTTTGGTACGAAGCTGTTGGACCCAAAGGAAGGCTGTAGTACGGAGAGTATCCAGAAAGATAATGCATTCGTGCTCGACCTTGTCGGATTTGGTGAGCGGCAACAAACGGCAAGCCACAGCTGCAAAGACGCTAAGTGCTTGTGCGGATTCCCAATTCTCCTTGACCCTGAGGAACGCGACTTTCAAGCTGTCGAGCAGTTCCAGCCCGCTCTGCTCGTCTGCGAGAAACAGGTGTGCAGCACGGTGACATGTGCCTTGCCTCGGAGGTCCAGCCTGGTACATGCATTGCAGGAAGAATAAGGCTGTCTCTTCTTTCTTGTAGTCGACCGAAGGTGATGACAACTCGGTCAGCATATTCAGCCACTGTATGCAATGTCCGAGTGGCACGGTGCAAAGCCGAACATACTCTTCAAGCACCATGTGATGGGGGCACTCCGACTGGCCAGCGATGACTTTGTTGTGTGACGGGCCATCTGGTGATTCAGAAGGTCTGAGGAGGTACTTCTGAAGGGCTTTGGATTGCTGTGGGAGCCGATACATGAGAGATCGCGCAACAGTGTCTGTATTGCCCCGCGCACCAACCAATGTGCTGGTTGTAGTGTCGTAGTACTTGTAGTTGAAGCCATTGGGAAGACATACTTGGTTCTCGGAAGCAGATGAGATCTCGATGCGGTTGTAGTGTGACTGAACATTTGCCTTCTGTGGAGAAACCAGTGTGATGCGAGACTTGGTGGCTCTCGTGACATGCTGAAGATGTGGATCAGAGGCCAGCAGCTTTGCGTTGCCTGTGTCGGACAAAGTAAGCGTTTTCATCTTGAGAACGGTTTGCGACATGAACACATCAGCATCCCGTGAAGCTGCAAAAGTCTCTGGCATGAGCAGCTCAAACACGATTGCTCTGATTTTGATGGCATCCGTGGGCAAGGGCCATTCGTGGATCGTGATGTCCAATTGGCCGGCTCGAGTCTTCGCTGCGCACTTTTTGCATCCAGGATCATGCCTCGTCTCCTTCCAAGTGTTCCTCCGGTTGCGGACGACCTCCTCATAGTACTCGCATTCATGCGTGGCATGATACTGTATCAGATCCTCATGGGTTTTCTTCAAGCGTTTGAAATCTGCCACCTTCTTGATTCTCGCCTCTTGGGCAGCATTCGTGAGGGCTTGAAGCTTTTCTTGCAGCCGCGGATCCTGGCCGAAGTAGCGCGCTGCGAAGGAGCTCGCGCTCTCGATGTCGAGGTAAAGTCTTGACCATTGGAAAGTCGCGTTAGTCCGGCGGGTGTCAAGATATCTTTCAACATCGGCAAGTCGCTCCATTTGGCTTTTGGTAGTCAGAAGAAGGTTCTGCAATGAATCGTAATTGAACCCAGGCGGGTACGAGCGAAGCATTGGCAGGCGATGAAGAGCTGCTGTGTCCAAGACAGACCATAGCTCGGCCATTGTGAGGTGCATCACTGAAAGAAGTTCGGGATTGGAGTCGTAATACTTCAGCGCCAGGTCGTGGTAGCTCTCCATGAGATCCAGCAAACGCTGGCAGATATTGGCTTCGTCCAGATGAATCGTCATCCAGGTATGAGAATGCTCATTTACCCAGCTCTCGAAGATGAGCAGATTGGGAATCGCAAACTTGTCGTTGGTGCGAAGTTGGGGCAGGGCGTCGGGCGACAAATTGACAAGCCCCGACTTGGGCATGAAAGTTGTTCGCGTGCTGTCTGAAGTACGCTTGCCAATACTGCCGATGAATGTTGCAAGCAGTGGAATCTTGACCTCAGCGTCACGCTCGAAGTCAAGGTCTTGGAGGAGTTGCAAGTCGATTGAGCGTGCATCGTGGGCTCGAACTTCTGCCCAAGCTCGCTCAAGATTGAGAGATGCGCGTTCGGTGACCTCGCTGACGAAAAGGACGACACTCTTCTCGACCTCGTTACCGAGCTTCAATAAACGTCTACCAATCTTCGTGGCCATAGCGTGCAGCATGTCGCGCGAGAACGGATCCTGCTTCATCAGTGTAGCAGAGTCCCCACCCAACTTGGCTATGACGGCCTGCAGCATACTGGCTTCGATGAACAGCATTGCTTGCTTGTAGAGATTGTCTGATCCGGTTGCTCTTCCCATCAGAAGCTGGAGGGCGACACGAATGAGCAACCAGCGAGGAGAGCGGCGCCAAGGGCTCCTGGCACTCTTCCACAAAACTTCCTCACGAGTGCACTTGTGAATCTCTGGGGTTGCAGCAGGCTCGCCATGCGCGGACAGAAACCCCGCAAAGATCTCTGTGATCATTGCAGGGTTGACGGTATCCCTGGCCTCGACCTGGTCTCTTCCAGACTTGCGGGCGGTTGGTTGCATACCTGATACAGATTGGCTGTCCAGACTCGATAATATCTGCGCCACAGCCTCTCTGAAATTCTCGTCCTGTACTTTGCAGGTGGGAAGGGTCAGCGAGGCCCCAGGGAAAGTGCGCTGAAGGCGCCCCCTCGTGGTGTTGACGGCATGGTTCTGCGGTGAAAGTTCGAACAAGTCGAACCTGATACGGCCTTTGTGATCTGCGGTGACCAACACGCCCGCATTCTGAGCACGGATATGCAAGGCAAGAGCACGACCACGCGTGACAACGTCTTGCAGAAGGGTTTGCAAGGTGGTGTCGCTGATGCCTTGAGAGTTGCCGGCGGCCGTGTTCTCGAGCATGTCGAGAGCTTTTTGGATGTCGTCACGGCTTTGTGGCGGCATGGAGAATTTGAAAGCAGTCAGAGCCCTTATCGTCTTGGAGAGCAACTTCGCCTCCGCATTCTCGTCGAAGTCATCCTCCTGTGGTAGCTTGGGTGGCAGAAAGACGTGATGGAAGATGTACCTTGTTGCAGCGTCGATGCCGCCGTCGCCGTCGGGCGGCTGGCGACCGGGAGCCATGGTGCTGGTTGAGGAGTTCTTGTGCGCTGAGCTGACTGCAATGGTGGCGAGCGTGCGTTGCGTCTGGAATGGGTGCTGTTGCGGTGCGAACGAAGGATGGTGTGGTTGTTGCGAAACGTAACGTAGCGAAGACGTGCCGTGTGAGTGAGCGATGCGGTTTGTTTTGGAGAGGAAATCGAAGCCACTGGTGCGCTGAAAGTCTTAGCGTGTCACATGCAGCACGGGAAATGAAGTGACGTCGATGAACCTGCTGCTTCACTTACAGCCCAGATGAGCCCTTTCAGCTCCTTCACAGGAAAATTCTTCCATTTGCCGGAAGAGTTGCAGGCCATGCAGTTGCCCGAAACAAGGGCCGCAGATGTCTCAAGGAGGAAGAAATCTCAATACAGGCAATCCATAGCCGGCCTCGCTGTAATGCTGAGACCTCGCCACAAAGTCAGCGCATGCCCGGTGATCACCTGTGAAGAGACGGACTTGCCGTTGTCACAAGTACGAAGCGTTCTCCAAATGCAACACTGCCTCTACGAGCAATGCTCTGCCTGTCAGCACCTCACCGCCCGTCACGAGTGAAAGGGAGAAGACCGCCTTCCAGCGACCGCTGCGTCAATCTTGTCCTGAGCCGGCCAGATGTTTCAAAACCAGCCCGCCACACCAAGACCTCCTCAACCGTGGCAGGAAACACAAGGCCTTCTCCGTGCTCGCGACGATGGAGCAACCTCATCCTCCAGTGCCTCAGAGGGTACAACCATTTGGGAGATGCACATCAGCACACAACCACTGTTTAAGCGGGAAGAGGTGCACTTACACGGCATTGATAGCAGCTCTAGGGCATCTAGACAGCATCATTTCGACCTCCACAATCCAGAAACACCGAAGGATGACCGGAGGCTGTCCAGCTTCTTCCCACCGCCACCGTGAGCGGCTGCCATGATGTCTAAGACAAGACCACTATCGACATTTCTGTTCCACCCATAAGCCAGGATCAGGGTGACGAATGCTCTCTTCGTGCTCTGGTATCACCCAGCCTTTCCGGCAGCGACACTGTGGTCATTGAATGTCTTTCATCTTGTCTTCGCGACTTCTCTCTCGCCATATCCGTCTCGTTCCGGGCTGATCTCTCCTTGAGCAGATCTCCCGGTGCGGTCTCCACTGGGATGGCGAACGGCAACATGATAACATGGGAACAATCACGACTTATCTCAGGACATCTTTTGGTTCAACACGGCGGCACTTCCTCAGGACCGTCTGCGTTCTATCGTGAGAGTGGCTCCGTCCAGAAAACCGCATTAGGAGGCCCCTAGAAGTTCTTCACCCAGCGCAGGCAACCTTCACTGAGGTCCGACCGAGTGGGAGTACATGTGGTTGCACGCATAACAGGGAAGGAGCAAGCAAAACCAGCCAGTTGTGAAGGTGGGCAACCGCAGGCAGGGCATCACGGTTGCTTGTGTAGCCCTCGAGAAGCACGTATGTATTTTGCTTTGTAAAGTCTCTCCGATAGTACCGCCATTTTGCATCACTTCATCGCTCGTTTGTATGAGAAAGCATGAAGTACTTGACGCATCTCCTCCTCGAAAAGCCGGGACGACGCGGAGATACTTCGGCCTGCTGCTGGTGCGGCTTCTTGACTTCACCTGCCAACATCACTTCACCTAAACATCCCGAGACATCTCACATCGCGCCGAAGACTCGAACATCATCATCGATCAGCTCTCCAACACCAGCGAAGCCATCACGTGCAGTCACAAGATCGACAAGCTCACCGAACGGGAGTGAGGCCTTGGACAGCATCGAACTGAGCGACCTCTCCAACTCGCAGCATTCACCTTCCTCGAGTACAGCAACCTCCATCGCATCCCCACCGCCACCACCATCATGTCCACCGATCCTGCCGAGCCCTCCTCGGAAGGCGCACTGCAAAGCCAGCAAGGCTCCAACACCCAACCTCACACCAGCACAACCACCCAACAAGAACCCCCCACCGATGCCGAAATGAGCCTCCCCAACGAAGCCGACCTAGACGCCGAGTTTCAACCAACACAACCCTCCGACCCTACAACCGTGAACAACTCCTCCGACCCTCTTCCCGCGCCCTCAGCCTCCGCCGACCCAACAGCCCCCGCAATCCACCCAGCCCACCCCGCCATCATCGAACCCCGCATCCCGCAAAAGAAAGACGCGTCCCTCCGCGAATTCCTCAACAAAATGGACGACTACACCCCCCTCATCCCCGACGCAGTTACAGACTACTACCTCACCGTCGCCGGGCTCGCGCCGCCACCCGAGACCGACCGTCGGCTGGCAAGGCTCCTCGCGCTCGCGACGCAGAAGTTCATCGCGGATGTCGCGGCGGACGCGTATCAGTATTCGCGGATTAGGAGTACGAATACCACGTCGAATAACCCATTGACGGGGTTGGGAGGCGCGGCGGGGTTTGGGATGAATATGCCTGCTGGTGGGGAGGGAGGGGAAGGTGCGGCTGGGAAGGGGAAGAAGGATGCTGGGAAGGCGGCGCCGTTGGGTGGACCGCGGGCGGGGTATGGCGGTGGAGGTGCGGGAGGTGGTGGGCAGGGCAGGACGGTGTTGACGATGGAGGATCTGGGGATGGCGGTGGGAGAGTATGGTGTGAATGTGAAGAGGGGGGAGTTCTATCGGTAAGATCACCGCTTCGTGTGAAGGCATTTCAGGACGGGTTTTGCATCGGATGGCGTTCGGACAGGAGGGATGGGTATACCCGAACAGGAACAGATGCTGCAGAAGCAGTGTCGTATTAATAGCAACGCTGTATCATAGCTATGACATATCTACGAACAACCCTCAGCGGTAGGCAACCAACGCCGCGCTATGTTAACATCCACGCTCGAACGCACAATTTCTTTTCCCGTCGTTCATTAGCAATGCAGACGCACTGTCCCGTGCAACCATATGTACCGACACGTTTGGACTCAAACATGCAGTACAATCACCTCCTCGCAGTCCTCGAGCCTCTCGCAGTAGCCGGTGGTGGTTCAAACGCCTCATCATCACTGATCTCATCATCGCTCGGCTCCTGCATCTTCTTGGGCGCCGCAGCACGCGAACCATTCGATCTCGGCGCGGTCCCGTTCGCCTGACTTCCGAACGCGATCTGTGTCTGGCGTCCGCTGCCACTCGAGGCTGCTGTCTTCCCACCGCGTGTCGACTTCGCCGGCGCCTTCTGCGAGCGAGCGGCCGCAGCCTTTGAAGCAACCGGCTTCTTCTTCTGCTGGACAAACAATGTCTCACCTTCGTCGTCATCGTCATCATCATCATCATCAATCATAACCACGTCTTCATCGTCGTCTTCATCTTCGTCCTCCGAGACTTGCTTCTTCCTGCTCTTAGCCGCCGGCTTCTTCGCAGGTGCCTTCTTGGTGGTTGCTGCAGGCTTCCTGGTAGTAGCGGCACCTCCCCTGCCGCCTCTCCCTCTCCCTCTTCCAGACGTGGCCGGCCTGACGCTCGACTCCCGACTCTCCTGCATATCTTCATCTTCACCTTCATCGTCACTCCTAATGATGGATGCGGGATTATTCTCCCAATCCCCATCCATATCAGTGTCCCATCCATCAGGCTTCGGCTTCCGACTGCCCTTCCTCCTCTTCTGCTTGAGCTCACCCTTCTCGTACGCCTCTTCCTGCGCCCTCTTGACCTTCTCCATCAGCTCTGCCGTCGCTTCTTCATCAACGTCATCGTCTCCATCGGCTAGAAGCTGCTTGAGCTGATCTCCCAGAGATTGCTCGATGAAGTCAAACATGGCGTTCTTGTCGTCCTTGTTCACGAACTGGCCCACGGACTCGCTGAATTGGTTCTGCGGCAGGATCTGAAGTGATTGTGCGGTGAGGAACTCCTCTACCAGCTTATCGACCTTCATATTCTCGAGCGAGAAATTATCCACGACGCTCGCTTGGGGCATGTCAGCCTTGGCCTTGGTTGCTCGTTTCGCTGCGACGCGCTTGCGGTGGGTCTGAACAACATCCGTGGTGTTTGCCACTCGATCGACGAAGCGGTTGCTGAAGCGCTGTGGGTTCTCGATGTTGTACTTGCCACCTTCTGGAGCCGTGATCTCAACGCGGAGGCGAATTAGTGGCAGAGGAGGAACAATCTCTTCATCTGGCTCTTCGCTGGACTCTCGTTGCAGCTCAAGCCACTCTTCTCGAGCTTCTTCGATCATCTCATCCACAATCTCAGTCAGAAAGCGATGAATCTTGCTCTGGTTCTCCTGGTCAAGAGCAATTTCGCGCATCTCTTTGAAATCGTTCAGCACGATCTCCTTCTGCTTGAAAGGCCGAACGCTCTTCAACCGGATGGGTTCGAAGTCGAACGTCTTGCCGTGGATGCTTAGTATTGCGACTTCCTTGGCCACCGCCTCTCCAGCGACAAGTGAAGTGGCGACGGAAGATCCAGGCTGCATCACACGAAAGCCAGCCTCTGCGCTGAGGCTGGGCTGGATTTTGCATTCGTGCTCGTGGCCCCATACGACCAAGTCCATGAAGTCCGGGAGGAAGTGTTCAGGCAGGTATCCAGTCTCGGTGTAAGCGTGGTGGTTCTGGTGTACGCTCAAGATGTTGAACCAGTTACCCTTCTGCATGTTGGGTTGGAAGAATTTGACGTTCCCGTCTCGGAAAGTGCGGAATAGTCGCTCGTCGCGAACGTTGCTCATGCCGTAGAGAGCAAGCTTAGTGTTGCCTTTCTGCAATAGCACCGGCTTGATCTGGATGTTGTCGGATTCTGGCGTGCGGCCGTAGTAGTTGATAAGACCCGACATCTGTAGAATGTCCAGTGCGGCGAGATGACCTTCCTGTGATCTGTCAGTACTATCTCGACGGTATTTGCAGCGGCAAGCTTACGCCGGAAGGATCGTCATGGTTTCCGTGGATGGAGAAGACGGGTATGGCAACGTTGATGTCTGGATCCTCGTAGTTGACATGGTTGAAGGCGCTGGCCAGTGTTAGCTGTTAAAGTCGTAGCCAGAACGAAGAGGTGGAACAGCTCACCCAGCAAACGTCTCGCTGGCATCGCTCAGCATCTCCAGCTCGCATGGTTTCTCCCCATAACAATTCATACGGAGGCTGCGCATGACCTGGTACATCGATTTGCGGCTGGGCTTGTTCTCGTGGAATAGATCGCCAGCGAGCAGAACCATGTCGACATCGCGCTCCTTTGCTAGGCACATAATCTCGTGAAAGGATCTCCAGCTGTCGTCGCCACGAATCGCGTCTCGTTCGTTGTAGCCGACATGATTGTCCGTTGCGACCAGCATGCGGATGGTGTCTGCTGCGGTGAGGTTCGGCATGGTCGCGGTGTCCCTCTCATGCGTGGCGGTGGTTGTTTGTGGAGTACATAGGGAAAGAAGAAGAAAAAGACTTAAGATGGCCAGCCTTTCGTTTGCATGTGAAGTGTGAAAGAAGTTAATTGGATAGGATGTCGCGGCTGCCTCACGCTTTCACGTGACCAATGAACAGGAGGGAAAGTCGAGCGACCCGGCCTTCCCGATGGGGAAGGAGGCTGGGATCACCACCGCAGATGTGCGCTCTGCTCTGCGCATCGAATCTTGACTTCGAGAACCATAACAAAGCGATGCGATGAGACCTACCATTGCGCTTTTCGCGCGGTCAGTGTGGAAGGGTATGTATGGCAACATCAATGGACAGGCGACATTACGTTAACACCAACCTCAGGACCACACATCGTCCCGTACGCTCATCCCCCAAATCAACGATAACCAAGAGCAACACTCACTCCAACCAGCCTCCCTATCATCCGCCCGAAGCCCGGCGAGAAGGTACCCCCGATCAAGACACAAGCACGCAGCGCGACTATCCTTCCAAACTTCGTGGGACTCGTCTTTCAGGTGCACAATGGCAAGGTCTACAACGACGTGCGGATAACGGAGGATATGGTGGGACACAAGCTTGGAGAGTTCTCACAGTAAGTGATTCTGATGAATGTCTTCGAAGGCGGGACATAGCTAAAGTTTGGCGCAGGACACGGAAGCGCTTCTCGTATAAGCAGACGAAGAACAAATAGAGACAATCTTCCATCGCCCGCTTCCGCTCTGGTGGTGCTCGTGGATTGGTGATGGTGAAAAGTAGATGTCGAAGATGTTATACGGCTGTGGTTTTCGAGTGTCCTCTTGACATCCCTCACGCCTTCCCAGCCCACGGGGGAACCATGGCCCCTGCCGCTTCCTTTCAGCAACGGACCTGTCCATGCTTTCCCACACCTGACATGTTCAGCAGCTCTTGCAATACACCTTGACCAACACCTGCAAGACCGACCAGAGGCGGAGGCAGTGCACAAACAATGGCACTTCTCATTGACAACCTTCTCGGGCCCATCCATCTCTCCTCCATCACAAACAACCACCATCGTCCACTCGTTCGCCCCACTGTACTTCACGCTCATTGCAAACCCAACCATTCCCAACTCTTGATAACCACGTTCACTTCTTCCGTCGCTCGACCGTTATCCACCACTGTCTCGTGAACTGACCAAACCCACTTGCTTGCGCTGGGCTCGCAGACCAGGTACGTGAGCTGCCCTCCAAAGCCCCAGTGACGTTGTGCTGACCATGCTGGCTGTTCTAGGCTGCTGTTGACACAGATTCCTCCTGCCTCGACTCGTTCACTGCCACGATGAAGTCCCTCTCAGACACCATGACTGTCGACAAAGCGCCCCGTCGGGTGTACTCGGCAGAACAGATGCAGCGTCTCAGGGCATCGTGCTCCCAACCAAAACTCAGCGAGGCGATTGAAGAGTTGGACGGCGAAGATGCCGAGCTTGTCAAAGGTACAATTTGCCCCCCTGCAGCCCCTCGACACGCTTCGTAAACAAACACCGCGGGACATCTTCACAAGCACAACACAACATTCTCGTCCTGCACGCGCTTTGCTCCGCACGACACTCATCTTTACCTGGAGAATTTCTTTTTCATTGCTCAAGCATGTGCAAAACCCTCTCGCCCAGCTTTGAGGTTCATCAGCGCTGGATTGAGGACATCATCAGCACCCCTGAATCTCCCCCCGATCACGTTTCACCTCACTCGAATTCGCTGACAGAGGTTGAATCGCCTTCAGAGCACGTTCTCCGTGGGTCCAAGTCATGGGCAGCGCGCTCATACAGGTCCCGCACATCCGGCACTTCACTTCGCGTACCTTCCAACAAAGAGAACCGGTCGACCATCGACGAGAACAGCCGCCAGTCCTCTGGCAACCACATCCCCCTTTCTGCCCCGGCTCTGCCGATACTTGGCGAGATCGCACCCAATGGACAGCTCCTGCGCCCGACTGGACCTTGGAAGTTCGGACGCTCGCCGACTCCCTCGTTGAAAAAGAAGAAGGCGGAAGCTATCGTGAAAGCCCATGGATCACCCCAGCACATCCGCGTCACTGCTGGCGGCCGCATCGTGCCCAGCGAGCAGTCGCCTCTCTGCCACCCACGCTACGGCTACAGCGCCATCAAAGCCAACGGCGGCCTCGTCAAGTTTGCCCCGAACCATCCAATGGGCAAAGCACAATGGACGCAAGCAACGCAGAACGGCTTCGTCGCTCAGGACGTCAACGGTCGTCTGTGCCAGATCGTCAACGGTACTATTCTGCCTCTCAACGAGATCGATGGCGCACTGCGACTCTTCCTCCCTGCACCCAATCTCAACATCTCGTCGCACGGCTCGTCGTTCGGCCCTCTGGCTCCAGAGCGTGTCGGCAGTACCGGCCATCAACAGAGAGCTGCTTCCATCAGTAAGCCAGCTGCCTCCGCCTCTGCCGACCCACCTTTGCCGGCCCAGACGAATGCATTGGAGCTTGAGTACTCGAAGCTTGAGCACGAGCTGAAGGAGCTTGACAAGACCGAAGCCCTTCACGGTCGGACGATGACCAAGACGGCCAAGGACGCACTTGTTGGCAAGCGCCGCGAGCTCGTCTCGACCATGGACAACATTCGCAAGGCGATCAAGAGCATCAAGTCCGCTCAGCAAGCGGAGGCACCTTTGTCTCCGCGGGTCATGCACAACCAGCAGCAGTCCATTTCGTCACCACCCAACCGTCTGCCGGCTTTTCTGCAGCAACGCCCACCACAGCCCAACGAGGCATCGGCACCGCACTTTCCAGCGAACTTCAATCAGTTTTTTGGGATGCCGCAACCGCAGCTCCCGGGCAACCACTTTGGTGGCCAGGCTACGACGCCATCAGATGCTCCCTTCAACCCAGCTTATGCGATGCCGCCTTTGTTCGTACCGCCGCCGGCGTTCGATGGGTCGATGGCTCCCGCGTATCCTGCATTCCCTGAGCCACCTGTTGGCGGCGACATCACCGCAGCTCAGCGTGTCCAGGCTTACGGCGCTGCTACCAAGGTAGATGAAGCGTCTACAGCAGGTCAGCTACCCCAGAACGATGGCGCTCGTTCCGTTGCGGACCTCAAGAAAGTGGCTTCACCCCGTCAATCCCGTGCTGTCGACATCAAGGCGCCGGTGCCGAAGCCTGCCACGGCTTTCAAGTCGAACCTGAACCCGATGAGTCCTGCCTACAAGCCCGGAGCTGGGTTTTTGAAGGCTGCTGCCAATGGAGATCGCCCTGCGCCAAAATCAGTCAAGGACAGAGCACCTACTCCACTCTCGCCTCTGCACCAGCTGCGTCCATCGTCTACTGCCATCAAGGCCTCTCTTGCATCAGAAGACACCAGCAGCCCGACAAAGAAGAGTCCTCACTTACACAGCTCCAGCGTGTCGAGCTTCGAGACCGTAGACTTCTTCCCTCGCGACACGAAGGAGTACTCTACCCGCAAGTACGCCTACCTTGACCAGTCCGAGGACAAGGAGAACACGGCACCGCCGCAGTCGTCCACCGAAGCATCAGCAGCAGTGCCGCCGACAACGCCACTCAGTGATCTCGCCAATGGCGCATCTAGCAAGGTTGCACCGGCCAGCGGCTTCAAGGCACCTGCGCCTCCTCCAGGCACTCCTGTTACTGTGAACCTCTCCACCGCGAAAGCGCAACGCTCCATCCAACACACCGCCTCGAGCACGGACAGCCGTCACTTCGACTTTGCAATCCTGCCTGATCGCCTTGCTCACAACGTCAGCCCCAAGAGCAAGCGCCAGAACTTCGTCTTCGTCGAAGAGCATCCAAGCGAGTTCACAGATCAGACGTCGTCGTCATCTCCGGAGAAGCTGCATCAGTGCCGTGAGGAGCTCTGTGCCACTGCCAGTCCGGTCGGTCAGATCGACTTCACTGAAGCTTCCAGGGACTGGATCGAGGGCTACCGTGAGGGCCTTGCTCGTCGGCCGGTTGGCTCTGATCGTCAAGAAGACTACTTGGACGGGTACTGTGCTGGACTGTTGAAGTCGAAGCACGCCAACCTCGGCCCTTCCACCGGCAGCCCAACGAAGCCGCCTCCGCGTCGTCCAAGTCCGGGCATCGCGCCATCACGGTCGTCTAGCCGGCTTCAGCTCGATCGTCATGAAGCAGTCACTGCACGCCCGCCCTTCGAGAAGGCTCTGCAATCAATGGACACTCTGAAAGAGGCCGTCTTCGCTCCGAACAATGAGAACGCAATCCTGACGCCTTCTGCTGAGGGTCCATCTGCCAACGAGCTTACCTTCAACCTTGGGACGTGGGCCAAAGACAAGGAGCAGGCTGGTGCTTTTGAAGGACGACCGACAAATAATGGTGCTCCTCCATCCGGCTTTCCGTTCCCAAGTCGGACCTCCTCAGTCATGCAACGTCAGACAAACTCATCGGACCGAGAGCTGGCGGCAACCCAGCGCATCACTTCGATGGGCTCTGTTGTCAACAAGCCGCCACAATCGTCTACTCCCACTGCCACCACCGTCGGCAGTGCTGGTAGCAACAGCTCGAACGCTGGTGAGAATCGTGTCAGCAGCATGACGAGCATCGACTCCAATCTCTACCGTCAGTGGCCCGGCTGTCGTGTCTTCAGCCCGCATCTGGAATGGAAGTCTGCCAGCTCGATCGCTCAAGCTGCAGGGTTGGCAACTGGCCACATGACCAACGCTGAGTCTGAAGGTGGGAATTTCCATCGGCAGTACTGCTCACAAAATGCTGACATCAACCACACAGATACTGGAAAGGCCATCGAGCCACAGCGCATCGTCTCCTTCACGAGCGAGAAGATGACCCACCACAGTCGCTTCCAGGAGGGCTCGCTCGACGGCATCACCAACCCACCGAACTCACCTCAGCCAATCTCGCCTCCAATGTCTCCGACGCTGTCTGCCATCAACAGCCCAGGCAAGACCTCCAAGCGCAGCAGCCCTGCCAAAGGCACGTCCCCGGCCAAAGTCAAGTTCGAGCACATCGCCGAGAAAGTCGGCATCAAAGTCACGACCGGCGGCAAGAAGGAAGATGGCTCCTCGCCTTCCAGCCCGAATGGCAAGCGCAACTGGCGCAACGTCTGGCGCGGCGGCTCTCGCAAGGACAGCAGCCAGGACGAGGGCAGCGTCGCTCAAGCCAACTGAGCAGACTTCACGTCGACCTCACATCGACTTCACCTTCCTGAAACATCGGTCGTTTCTTCGCCACAGGATATCAGGCAGTCCAGTTGGGTACGTATATCATCATCGTATGCCTGGCATACCTTTTCGTTCCTTCTTGGCATGGTACGTGGGCTTTTGGTGGATGGTTGGAGCTGTTTCCGATAAGCAGGATTGATGGAAGATTGTTTATTGTGTTTTGATACTGCTTGGAGACATCCAGCATGTAAGGAGGCTGTAATTGATTGCTTTTGATGGAATTGTAACGTTAGCATGTCGGATGTGGAGCAATGTTATGTATTATGCCTCGCCTTTGCTTCCACTTCCTTCTACATACTTGTCCGCCAACTTGCATCCCAACCCCAAAACATGGCTGGCCACTGCAACAGGTGTTCTGGCGAACTTTCCGACCACTGTCGTCCACCATCACGACTTTGGCTATGACAGTCAGGGGACCCAGACGACATATATTCGGTCCGTACCTACGGGTATCTTTGCAAGGCGGCGGACTGAAAGCAAATTGAACGGCCAGGACGTGTTTCATTGCTGCTGACACCGAGGAACATCAAGAGTTGTTGGACTCTGCGCATGCGCCTGGTTTGCCAACATCAACTGGTCTGAAGATAGCCAAACGCGATTGCGAGCTGAGCGATGAATAAACTTCGGCGCAGGAACGTGCAACTCGTCAGCTTGAAACGGCCTTCTCTCGAGCCTCTGCACCTTATTATCGATCGACTCTTCGTTGCCTCCTAACGCGAGCGCTGGCCTCCGACAAGCAGTTGAAGTGACACCGAGACGCTCACGAACTGCTCCACCTTATACCAACACATGACTTGCATGTCGCAAGTATTTCCGGTCGTATAATTATACCGCCCGGGCAAGTGAGCGACAAGCATTTGAGGACCCGCAAGCCCTACACGCCAAAAGATCGAAATAGTCTTTTAGCCTTCGCGGCCATTGGACCTTTCATCTCGCTTCTCCTCTCGCGCGTTCGCAATGATCCTTCGCTCTTTACAGTCCCTTGGCCATGAGTCCGAACGAGAGCAGTGAGATACCACCCCAGCATCCCCTCCCGAAAGCGCTGCACTAGACAGGCCCAGCTGAAGCACGCGTGGCGAAGACCGCGCGCGTGCGTTTTAAGATGGCCTTGCGCTCCCAAAGGTTGGTTCCGGTGGCTACACAACCTCACGTTGTGCAACCATGGCCTTGACGAGCATAGGCCCTTTGACCACGGTGTTCACGCCTCCAGCGGGTAAGGATGGCATGAGGATCTACCCGAAGGATACATGCAGCTAACACTGGACCGTGAAGGATGTCTTTCCACGAGGACGTACAACGGGAACGCCATCTGGGCGCCGGATGTATCGAAGGGATCCCTCAGTCCTGCAGTGCTGCTGGGCGCGACCGGCCAAGCGGCGGATTTGCTCTGCTATCCTCCCAAGTTCACGTTGAACCACTACTACTCGCCTGGAATATGTCCCAGCGGTGAGTTCCTTCAAGTCGAGAGGCCCACACAAGCTGACAAAACCGTCAACAGGCTGGTACAGCGCCTGCGAGCCCACCGGCTCAGCATCATCAGTAGCTCCTGATGCAGCCAAGACAGTACAATGCTGTCCTACGTGAGTACGAAGATCCCATGCACCTGCGCTGGTCGTTGACCGTCTTCTAGCGGTCTCAACTGTGACGGCCTTGCGTGGTGTAGAGGCGATCCTGCACCCCCAGGACCTATCTGGTCGCTATACACCGATAAGTATGGCATCGAAGGCAAGATGACCGACATGGTCTTCCCAACGTTATCTGTGATGGCAAAGCCCATATTCGTCGCATATGAATCCAGCGACCAAGATGTCCTCGCTGCCGCGACTCGAGCTGCAAAGACGGCCGAACCAACAAATGGTGCAAACGCCGCCTCAAGGACCTCAGCAGGTAGCCTGGAAAACGGTGCTGGACTGTCCAGTCAGTCGTCTTCGAGTGGCGATTCTCTCTCCGGCGGCACAATCGCCGGCATCGTTATTGGATCTCTCGGTGGCGGCATACTGCTTGCCACCATCATGACGTTCCTTGCTTTGCGGTGGCTGGGGTACCGAAAGATGCCCAAGGACGGTTTCGACGAGAAGGATCAAAGCGGGCCCTGGAGCGAACTGGGCGCTGGGCAAGCGAACGAGTTGCAGAAGAGTCAAATGGGACCCTGGAACGAATCGGGAACTGGACGGGCGAACGAGTTGCACGCGTGGCCGCGAGCTGCTGAGCTTCCGTCACAGAACCCAGACAAGCCTGCGTAGCCTGAGTTAGACCACTCTGGTGGAATGAAGATGCAGTCACTCAGACCATGACAATATTGCCCCCACAGCGCTTGTGAAATGTGATGTGTTTGATTGACGAAGCCTTCCGGTTGGAACGAAGACTCCTCCCTCTGCGCCTCAGAGAGATGCACTACGAGGTGTTGCAGTCATGACCATACATTCCCACTCATAGTCAAGTTCAACAGTCGATGTCAACCAGGCAGTCCTCCTAAGATGGGGGCCGAGGCCGTCCTACTCAACTCGAGCAAGCCAAGAACGACCCGACTTGACAACGTGCCATCTTGTCTTCAGCCCGCTCGTAGTCAAACTATATGTGAAAATCACAAGGCAATCTAGTGGCGAGCTTGTGCAGCATACCAAGTAAGACTTCGAGGTACTGCTCCAGATGACCAATGCTCCCACCCTCATCTCCATTTCGCGGCAAGCCCAAATCCAGCCGAAGCTCAGAAGCTTTCGAGAAGACCGCTTGCTACATATACAGACCAGGACAGTCCGACGCAAATGTCCCTCGCACCCGTGTACTTGCTGGAGATATGTCGGACAAGCATGGCGGCAATGCCACTGGCACTGTCACTCATGCCGGAGCTGTGCGCCCAAGGACGTCAGCACAGCGCAGCCCGCGAGGCGTACGCCTGACACGAAGGTGAAAGCACCGGCACTGTATATCCCACATGTTCCGAATCTCAGCTTCGCTCGAGGTTTGTAGCGAGTCTGCAAAGCCTACAGTTACAGAGCTCTTTAAGCACACTGCGACCCTGAACGTGCCATGATGCCGCGTGAGCTAACGTGGCGCGTCACAGCGGTACGCCTTCATCCCTGCGCGCCTGGGACATAACACCACCAACGACGCCGTCGCCGAAGCAATCATAAAAGCACAGGAGTACTACTTTAGCGGTGACCTGACGAAATGGCGGCAGAGCATCTACTATCAGGCTTTAGCAGTCTCCCAGCTACGGAAGTCGCTGGATGCATCGGATACCACACTCATGACGGTAGCCATGCTCACACTGTACGAAGATGTCGCGCGGTTCGACGAGCTCTCCTGGTACCCACATCAACACGCCATCGTGAGCATCCTACAAGCAAGACCCGAGTCCTGGCCGACGAGTGATATGGCTACCGCCGTCCTGTATGCATTTTGGGGTCCTTCCTTTGGTTTCTCGTGCTTTGAAGGAACACCGAGTCCATTCGATGAGAAGAAGTGGTTGTCCTTGGATCCAGTCTGGCAGACTTGTGCTGCTTCTCAAGCGCTCAGTAAACTTCGGAAGCTCGCGCATCAGCTTCTGATACAGACTCCAAGGCTAGTTGCGATGCTCTGGGACATCAATGGCCGGTCGAACAGGTCCGTCGATTCGGCAGAGCTTGAGAGACTCAGCACCCTGGCACAATGTCTGTACGACAGAGTCGATGCAGAGTCTGAGGGTGTCTTGCTACACAATGTTGCTGTCGTGAGGAGTCCGGACCGTGCTGGCAAAGCATTGGTTGCATACGTCTTCGAGTTCCATTCGATCGACGAAATGGAAACCGCTGTGCTGTACTGGATCGCTCGTATACACATCAACAGACTCTGCCGGAGTATCTTGGAGCTTGCAGCTGTAGACGAAAAGCCATATCCAAACCAGGGCGATACTGCGAAGACTATGCAGTCCAGTCTACCTTCGATGCTTGCTGGGCTCACCCACGAGCAATTGCAGGCGGAGCAAACACGCCTCGCGACCAATGTTCTCATGTCCTGACAGTACATCCGAGCCCGTGGTAGCTTTTTTCTTACTGTGTCGATGTCCACGGTCCTGCTGTTCGTCTGGGGCGCGTTCCGAGATGTTCAATTCTATCGCGGCCGGCCGGTCAAACATGTCCGCAGATGGATTCTGCAGAGATACCAGGAGGCCGCTCGTGGGCTCCCGGTGGTAGTGGATGAGCAGCCGGTGGACCAGACCAGTGATCTTATTTGTGGTGGTCCCGTCAAGGGGTTCGTGGTAAAAATCAGGGAGATGGGACGTCAAGAAGAAGGGCTAAATCGTAGCTCCGATCTCAGATCATGACACAGCATCCTAAGACTACTTTCGCGCCCGTGGACAAGTCTTCTCCTCCTCAGCAGCATGTAGACGCCAACGACCGAGACGACGGGGACGTCAGCCCGACCCTGGTCGTCGGAGACATCAGCCCGACTTGTGGTTGAACGAACACCCTCGTGACAGCACAGAAGGCAGAGCAATTCAACCAATCCGAAGATTTGAACGAGAATAGTGTGCTGCAACAGTACACTACTGGTTGAGAGCAGAAATCAAGCGAGCCAACAAGCAGAGACGACAGAGAGGGTGTGTGGGATGGCCGTGGCGTTGGGCGAGGAAGAGTGGTCTTGTTTGCTGCGGACGGCGCTGATCGCGGTTCGAGCTGGGATGGATGGGTGGGAGCAAGGACAACGCTGCTGCAGTGCATGGGATATGCCGAGTCTATCCGGACTTCATGGGATGGCGGACTGCACGGGATGGTGGGAAGAGATGGAAGCATGGGCGTTGAGGAAATTTAGGTTGTTCGCAAGCTAAATGACAATGGTATAACCAGTATTGCCCAAAACACCACGCGGCACCGTAGTACCGCTCTCTCCGCGCCAATTGTATCCTCTTCCCCACGACCCAAAAATCTAATACAAAAGGGTATATAACGAACTTTTTCCAGCCCGCCAACCATCGCAATGCAAGAAGCGCCGCAGCGTGAGGGAATTGCCTGAACAACATGTATGCGTAGCCGTGCCATGCTCCATGAACCAACCCATCCGCGCGTGACAGGCCAAATTAATCGTACACTCGTCCTTGTCGCCGGATGAAAAGAGAAAGTATGGTACACTCTCGTCCAGCCGATAACTCCGTCAAATCAAAACCCAGAATCCAGATGTTGTAGAAATTTAGCGTATCTTGCAAAAGCATTCGCCACCCATGGCTAGGCAGCAGGATGGCGAAGGATGTCCTCGCAGTTCGCGTCGAAGCGCATGGACCACAGCCGCATGCTGGTCATCAGCTTCTCCGTCCGCTCGAGCTCGCGGTCGCGACCGAAGATGGCGTCGACGAACTCGCAGCCGCTGTTTTTGCCCATGCGGACCTTGGCCGTGCTGCCGCTCTCCTTCTTCGCCGCCTTCCACATGTAGTTCTCGCAGATCTTGAGCAGCCTGTTGAAGCGTTGCCACAGGCGCTCGCCGGACTCCAGGAAGTCGTCGACCAGTTCTCGCGAGGCGGTCTGGCGGATCCGTGGCATGCACTCCTCGGCTCGCTTGACTTTACCGGCGAGCTGGATGAGCAGCAGCCAGAGATCGCCGGCAACCTCTGACATCGGCGTTGCCGCGCCGTAGAAGAACACGGTCCAATCGTAGATCCACTTCCCCAGCGAGTTGGCGTCGAACACGCTGCCGAGGAGAAGTATTGGCTCTTCTGTCGGATCCCAGTTCTTGTAGCAGTAGCCGGCAGGTATGCCAGCTTGACGCGCATCCTCTGCTGTTGCCTTCGGAGGCGGTTTCGTGGCTGTGCTCGGACGCCGAGGCGTGGATGTGTATGTCGGCTTGGCGTTCTGCTGGCTGTACGACGCTCGACGAGGGCGCGTCGACTCCGTGGGCTCGGCGTGAGTGTAGATGGGCACCTGATCATAATAGCGACGATCAGTGCGTGACTCACAATAACTCTGATGGCGTCTGTACGAAGGTGGTGGTGCTTCGTACTGTTCGTAGCGTGGCAGATACTCATACTCGCGGTCGCTGTAGCCGTCATAGACGTATTGCGGGCGTGTAGAATAGTGCTGGCTGCTCGAGTACTTCCGCTGCTTCTTGCCGTCGTCGTGCGCTGGCATCCGACGTTCGTGGGTATAGGCATAGCCACTTACATAGTCGGATTTGCGCTGCGGAGTGGACTGCGCCGAGGTGTTGTAGTATTTGGCCGACGCGTAGTCCGGAGTCGAGTAGTAGTTGCTCTTGCGGGGCGTGGAGTAGGTGGTGGTGTTGTAGGTGTAGGTTGCGTCTGCAGTCGGCCGTCGAGTGTGGCCCTTTGGCGCTGTCGCCGGAGTCGAATACTGTCTCGGCGAGAAGTAGGCATATCCGCTGGCCCTCTGGGGTGTCTGAGGAGGGGATCTGTAGTCGTAGCTGAAGTACGGTGGCACCGCATATCCGGCTGTCTGCATCGGAACAGGTCCGACGAGGGCGTCAAAAGACGCCCTGTATGTTTATGGTGGAATGGTGTATTTATCGGCGTTTTTCCAGCGTTCTTATCTCTGATCGTATGGTCTTCTACAAGGTGATTGTCGAGAACGGGAGGAGGAAGCGGTTCTTCGAGAATACATCTGGCTGATGGGGTGACTTGCGACGAGTCTGCAAATCAAGACGAGATCGATAGATCCCGTGACGTGGATGGCGAGTCTTCCGTAGGTATGAGTAATTGCACTGCCTGCCTTCTGGCTTGCTGTAGAAGGGAAGAGAGCGAGATGGCTGGGTGCGAACGCTGTGGTTTTGTCTCCCGATGCGACGAGTCGAATCAAGGGCAGGGGGGTCGACGCTAAGGGGGGAGCGGTGGCGCGGCGCTGTCGGCCCAAGGCGGTCAGTGCCCCCTAACGAATCGCGCTCCCGAGATGAGAACCCAGAGAGCCTTTGATTTTGATTGAAAGACTCGTCTGGTTGGGAGGGCGCGACGTCGAGGACCACTGAGGTGGCTGTGCCGGGATGCCCTTGCGCTGGGGATGCGCACTCGCTGCAGAACGTCTGCGTGGCCAGCTGCACAGCTGCCCGTTCCGCCCTTCTCGAACGTCTATTCGCGCAGAAAGACGAATCAGGAGGATGAGGAGTTGCTACCAACGTCAGCTGGGCTCTAGTCACTATAAGATCAGACGGGACGACTCTCACTCCGCAGCTGGACCGGCGGGAGCGGGAGCACAAACACATGGTGACATGGAAGCTGGGAGGGGGTTCGCGAATAGAGTGGAAGCGTCGTTGGTCAGCGTCGGCGAGCCGCGGGTGGCTCATCCCTCCCACTCCATCACCTTCAATACTGCGAGGCACTGTTCGAAGATGTGTGGTCATGTTCTTCGGCACGCCGGTATCACACTCGCACTACATCTGCCGTTGCTGCAGCTGCCCGACAGAGCTCCTGCAGCAGAGCGTGAGGCAGACCTCTGTGGTTCATGCCAGCACACCCGTTTCCGCCAATAGAACTGCTGCGTGGCCATGTGCTACAGGGCGAGATGCATCTGACTGAAAGAAGCAGCATGCTGACTCGGGCGTAGGAGCTGGTAGGTATGGAAACCATTCACGGAAGCGGCGCGTATCTTCAAGCCTCGTGACTGTGATTGAAAAATAAATGCTTGTGCTATCTATTCGAACTGATTGATGTCGACCATCAGACCAGGCGTCCGTAATACCGGCATGGATGGGTACCGACGACAGGGCTGACATGCAACACAAGCACCAGCACAGACCGACCAACCCCAAGCAAGATGAGCAAAGGAGCAATCTTCTGGAACGAACACATCTCGCTTCATCCCTCTGTCGAAATCGCACAAACCCTTTTCGTAATCTCGATTTGACACCGTTCCCATCCTTCATATTCCCTTCATCTCATCACCCCATCGTTCTGACGATGGATCCTGTCTCGTATTCCTGCTGCGCTCCCTCAACAATCACAACGAGCTTGCGAGTCTCCCGACATCCAGGCCTCATACCGCCTTCTCATCCTCCCAGATCTATTCACGCTACGGATGCGTGCAGCAACATCCGCCTCCAGCCAACGCACACAACTCCTAGGCATTTATTGGCTGAAATCGATCGGAGCGCGTTTCAATTGGTTGGGTTTAAAGCCCAAGCGCTAAAATCCATATGAGCTTTGATGAAGAGCACACGACAGCAAAACACTTCTCCACCGCTTAAGCAGGCAGACGCACGCTAAGAGAGCTCAGCAAAAACATTCCCTGGTTTGAAAACTCGAGAGCTCTGCATTTCCTAGCATGAACGACATGTCTGCAAGGTGGACCGGAACTGGAAATAGTGGACCCCCATGCGTATCACTGTGCTACCTTGGGTCGGACCGGTGTGTTCAGTCCTCACCAGTGCTTCCACAATGTCAAGGACAGTGTGATGCACACCACCAGGCACCAATACATGCCGTGCGCTTGGACGCCGTCGCACTCTCAGGAGAGACATCGGGTGCTTGCATACGCTGTGCGGCCGACTGATGAGACAGAACGGTCGTTCGCGAGACATCGGGTCGTGGCTCCCGGTGGCACGTTTGACGGCAAGAAATACGTTCGCGCTCGTGACCGCGGAGTTGTGCAACAGTCCAGTAGGAAAGGCGAAGATTGACTGGCTGAAAGACTTGATCTATTTGCCTGGATAGTACGACGCTATGGTAAGAACTGGTGGTACTCTTTCAGACTCGTGGAAAGCAATCTTCATGCGCATCGGCCAGCTGCCTGGAACGATCAAGCCTGGGGCAGACGTTCTCTGCGAATACGCACCCGACCTGCAGCACTGCTGTTTTCGTGAGAACGTCGAGGGGACATGGTAATGATGTCTGGCGGCCTCGTGGAGCAAGGGCATCCAAAAGGTAGGGTTTGTCAGGTCGCGCGAGGTATCGATCCTTCCCTATTCAGCTTCTCTTTCATTGCCCACATTTGCCAATCTCTTCACGCCTTTTGCTGATGGCATCCGAGTCAACATGGGTGCAAAGGGCTGGCGAGTCAGCAAATATGAATTCCAACTCCGTCAAGGACAGCTGCTCGCTGGCTCGTCGTTGCCCTGCATATCTATTGAGAACGGATGGGCATGTCTCTTCTGATCACGATGCACTGCTCTACCAACAGTGTTGAGTGGGTCGCATTGGAAAGCGCTCCAAAGTCCTCGCCACGATGTTCTCAAGTCCGGGCTGTGCTTAAAACACGATGCTGAAGCAGTCGGCGAGGATGAATGAAGCGTGAGCTGCCGAGCTTCGCTACACTACGATGGACAAGATACTACCTAGATGCTTTCCTAGCGCTGCCAGTCAGCAACTTGCTCTGGACATGTCGAAGCAGTCGACAGGATCTTCCTATCGGCGGATCTGTAGGACTACGCGTCCAGGCACGACTCCGTGCTGCAGCATGAGGGATGCATCTCGAGCAATGGAGACATGACGACGTATCTTATGGAGGGTGAGTTACTGTCCTACCGCGCTTCGCAGTTACCTCAGACTAGGGACGATGGGGGCAGCGAGGACCAGGGAGAAGGGGCGGATACCCGGAATGGAGGGACGGAGGGGATTGACAGGAGCTGATGGCGTCTCGCCTCCGCACAGTAGATCACGCACTCCAGTGTATCGTATACAGAACTGTCAGACGTGTTTTCCAGCACTTGTCTCTTCTTCACCTTCTTGTTGTTAAGTCCGAGAAATCTTCGTCGACGTGCATCGGCTTCAACCGGCTATCTCCAAGCAAGGCCGAGCAGCCGAAGACCACACCTCGAGCCTTCCGTCATCGCAGAGAGAAGAGCATGTGCTTCCATTTTCCCTTTTAAGACTTCCACACTTTCACGGGGACACCACCATACCGCACCCTACATAGCACAACGTAGCCTCCTACAGAAATTTGCAAGAGTTCAACGGCGGTACACTTACCAATCATCCACACCCTAATGCCGCAATCGCATGCAACCATCCTCCCCTAAGTATACACCTCCAACCCGTCCCAATGCCTTCCTATCAGAACTAACCCCATACCCAGCGATGCCTCCACGCTCCCACCACCCACGATGACAGCAGCGCAATCCCGCCCCCTCCCCTCCGACTCCGACTCCGACATCTCCCTCCCCTCCCAAGCCTACCCCCAAGCCCACGAGCAACGCAAAATCCCCCGCCAGTCCCTCGAATACGTTGTCCGCTCCGGCATAGCCGGCGGCCTCGCCGCCTGCGCCGCCAAAACCGTCGTCGCCCCGCTCGACCGCGTCAAGATCCTCTTCCAGGCCAGCAACCCGCAGTTCCAGAAATACACTGGCTCGTGGTCCGGGGCTGTGAGGGCGATACGGGATATATACGCCGCTGATGGATCACGGGGGTTGTTTCGGGGCCATAGCGCGACGCTGTTGAGGATTTTCCCGTACGGTGGGATTAAGTTCTTGGCTTACGAGCAGGTGCGCGCGGTGGTGATTCCGGCGAAAGAGTTCGAGACGCCGACGCGCAGGTTTGTGGCGGGGAGTCTGGCGGGGTGTTTGAGCGTGTTTGCGACGTACCCGCTGGAAGTGATACGGGTACGGCTGGCGTGGGAGACCAGGACGGCGAAGAGAGTGTCGGTGGGGGAGATTTGCCGGGTGATTTACAACGAGCATCCGCCGCAGGCGACTACGAGGGCGAACGTGCTGCAGGAGAGCAATGTACCGCGAGCGGCGGCCGTGACGGCGGAGACGGCGAGCGCGGCGGTAACAGCCATTACGCCTTCCCATGGCCTGTCAAACTTCTTCCGAGGATTCACGCCGACATTATGGGGCATGATACCGTACGCCGGCGCATCCTTCCTCACGCACGACGCAGCGGGAGACTTCATGCGCCGACCGCTCCTCGCACCCTACACCATACTCCCCATGTCCGAGCGATCGCAAAAGCAACTCGCGCCCAACAAACCACCCCCTCTCCGAGCATGGGCGGAGCTCATAACGGGAGCAGCAGCCGGCTTCGTCTCGCAGACCCTCTCATACCCTCTCGAAGTCATACGACGACGCATGCAAGTCGGTGGCGTAGTGGGAGACGGACACCGCCTGACCATGACAGAAGTCGCGCGCAGCATTGTGCGGGAGAAGGGGTACAAAGGGTTCTATGTGGGCCTGAGTATTGGGTATGTCAAGGTGGTGCCGATGGTGGCGACGAGTTTCTATGTGTACGAGCGGCTCAAGGTCGTGTTTGGGATTTAGACGGACTGGGCATTGGGAAATTGCATGATGGAACCTGAGAGCACCTCGCGAGGGTAGGTATGCAGGTCGGATACTTTGAATGACATTGCGAATTTTGTACAGGTCTGAAGAATGCTAAGGTGTCTGTCTGCCCTCGCTAGTAGTTCATCATGTCTATCACACGCAGTCAGCATACGGCCATCAACCAGATGAAGCGGGATATAGGACTCACCTCTCCCAAACAACGCCCTCTTACTCCAATCCATCGCAAGCAAACACCTCGTCCGCAGACTCACGCTCTGTGCAAAGTAGATACTACGCCACAAGTACACCGCCAGCAGTCCACCGCCAAAGTTCATCCCGTTGATATCGAAGATGGCCGCATTGCCAATGTACGCCAGTGAGCCCAGATGCTTGTACTCAAACGCCTTGTAAACAGCTTCGTCAATATCGCCATCGTTGATGCTGTTCATCGCCAGTCCGGGCGAAGCGTGCGCGAGCTTGTTGAACTTTCGAGCCAGGTACTCGCCTTGCTGATTCGCGCGTTGAGCGGTGGCGGGGAGGGAGGTGAGCTTGCTGTCGATTTGGCGAAGTAATTCGGAGAGTTCGCCAAAGTCGAGGGAGCCGCTCTTGTCCTTGTCGTACTGCTCAAACAGCTTGTCGAGACGTCTTAGATGGTCAGAGGCTTGTGGGAAGCGCGACTTGACGCGTTTCGCGACGTGACGCCAGTCCGGGTAGGAGATCTTCATGTTGGTAGGGTCCTTGCCTTTCTCCCACGCGAGCGTGCGGAGGAAGGAGATGATGTGGTCGCTGACGTTGTTTTGCACGGTGCTGGCATCGCCGATGACGTACACGTCGCCCATCGGCGCTCCGACAAGGCGAAGATGAGTGTCTGTCTCGAGGGCGTGGCGGTTGTTCTGGGAGTCGATCTTGGCAGCGAGGGTCTGGCAGAACTCGTTCTGGCTGACACCGGTGGACCAAAGGCAGAAGCCATGTGAGAGCTCTTTCGTGATCAATTTGCCCTCGTCGTCCTTCTGGGTGTAGATGATGCGGTCGGCTTGGACTTCCTTGACTCGGGCGTTGGTCTGAATGTCGACGTTGTCGTGGGCAAAGCGGGCTTCGGCGAATTTGGACAGCGCTTCATCGTAGGTGTTGAGAATGTGACTGCGCGACTGGATGACGTGCACCGAGATTTCGTTGCGAAGTACTCGTGGATAGAACTTGCAAAGGTCTTCGTTTAGCATGTCGTACAGCTCGGCCGCAAACTCGACTCCAGTAGGTCCGCCACCGGAAACGACGAAGGACAGAAGTCTTCTTCGCTCCTCGTCCGGAGTGGTAGGTAGGCAAGCAATTTCCAGATTTCGAATGACCTGGTTTCGGATCAAGCGCGCATCGCTGATGTCTTTGAGGAAATGGCAGTGTTCCAGGCCTTTTACGCCGTGAGGGTTGGTGACACTGCCGACTCCCACCACCAGCTTGTCGTAAGGTAGGTAGAATCGCTCCTCCTTCCCATTTGCGGCGGTCGACGAAATCTCAAGCAGCTTCTCACTGAAGTCGACATCCACAGCCAATGCCTTCAAAAAGTGACCCTTGACCCTCTTAACGATCTTACGAACTGGCTCCACCAGCGACCTGAGTTCCAGAGTCCCCACCGTCGCCGAAGGCAGCATGGGTGTGAACAAGAAGTGATTGCTCGGGCTCACAACCGTCACATGATAGTCGCCCGGATCCAACTGCTTCAGCAATGCCACGCTGCCCCATCCCGTCCCCAGAATGACCAACTTCGGCTTGTGCTTTTGCGTCTTCATGTCGTCGGTGTCATCGTCGTCGATGAAGTAATCCACTATCGGCAGGTTCTTCGGTCCACCACGCCTAGGGTTGAGAGCATATTCGGAGACGGGGATATCGGAGGTTTCGGGGTCGTCTTGGTAGGTGCTGGCGTCGTAGATGAAGAAGGCCACGACCAGACCGCCTGATATGACCATGAACAAGCCCAGCGACGCAAGGCCTTTGTAGGCATAGTGTAAGATTCTTGACCTCGATTTCGGGGGGATCGGTGTAGTTGGCGCTACTGGTGCTTCTGCATCAGACTTGAAGCGTATCTGATGGCATTGGATGCCGGCTCGTCGGATGCCCCTTCGCAGTGCGCGCGGAAGGACCTGAGGTTGCCGAGAGGTGAAGCAGCGCTGCTGGCTTCGTATCGATGTCGCTGCAGTGCCATTGGGTCTACTCTTGGGTAGCTGGCGCGGTAGAGATCGAGCGAACCCTGCGAGGGCTCGCGGGAGATGGGGCATTGTGTCGCTTCTACCGCATTGAAGCACCCGATTACCTGCGCATAGAGGTCGTCGATGCTACCGCGAACCACGCACCAGGTTGAAAGGCAAGAGAGGCTTGAGTAAGTGATAACTCAGCGGCTCAGTCGGATGGGCAGACGCATCAAGCTGCGTTCATTCCCAACCAAGCTTCTGCCGCATGACGTGAGCGGTTTCGAAAATTTGGTCGGCGCGTCGCGACTGTCACATGCTAGAAACACTTCATATGCAACACTTGTGATCGATACTACAAACAACAACGACCAATATGGCACCTGAAAAGATCACGACCATCTCGCCCACCACCAACAAGCCCGTCGTCGAGCGACAAGGACTATCCGACGCAGAGCTTGCACAGCTGCCCAAAACGGCACATCAAACCTTCCAGGCATGGAGCAAGACGCCCCTTGAGGAGAGGCAAAGGGTGGTCAAGAACGCCCTCACGATCCTCACGGATAGGCAAGATGACCTGGCCGCCGAGCTTACGGAGCAGATGGGGAGGCCTATCTCCTACGCCTCCAAGGAAGTGGCAACGGCTATCCTACGAGGGGAGTACATGCTGAAGATCAGCGACGAGGCGCTGAAAGACACTCCTGGTGAGCCGCAGGAGGGCTTCAAGCGGTGGATCAAGAAGGCTCCTCTTGGGCCAGTGCTTGTGCTGTTCGCATGGAACGTACGTATCTGAAAACGTATATGAAGACATACTATGTGCTTACATCTCGACGCAGTACCCATATCTCATACTGGCCAACTCCCTCTTCCCAGCCCTGCTTGCTGGCAACAGCGTCATCCTCAAGCCTTCACCCCAAACACCGACCATCGTTGAGAGAGTTAATGAGATCTTCCTCGAAGCTGGCCTCCCAAGGGGTGTCATCCAGTACTTCCATTGCGGTGACTTCTCCACCATCGAAAAAGTTGTTCAGTCACCAGAGATCAACCTCGTCTGCTTCACCGGCTCGGTGGCGGGCGGTCTAGCAGTACAGAAAGCCGCAGCAGGACGAGTCGACTGCAAAGTCGGCCTGGAGCTCGGCGGGAACGACCCAGCCTATGTTCGTCCCGACGTTGATGTCGACTGGGCAGCAGACGAGATCGTTGACGGGGCTGTCTTCAACTCCGGACAGAGCTGTTGCAGCCTCGAGCGCGTCTACGTTCACCAAGACATCCACGACAACTTCATCAAAGCTGTGCAGAAAGTGCTCTCGAACTACAAGCTCGGTGATCCGCGAGAGAAGTCCACCAACGTCGGTCCAGTCATCAGCAAGGCAGCAAAAGAACGGGTTCAGTCCCACATCGACGATGCTGTCTCGAAAGGTGCAAAGGACGCCACGCCCTCCAACTCCAGCTTCGAGTCCCCACCAGCAGACGGCAACTATGTCAAGCCCACCCTTTTGACCGGCTGCAACCACACCATGAAAGTGATGCGCGATGAGACTTTCGGCCCAACCATCCCAGTGCAATCCGTCTCCTCAGATGCGGAAGCAGTCAAGTTCATGAACGACAGCCAGTTCGGCCTCACAGCCTCCATCTGGACGAAGGACGTGCAGAAGGGTCAGCAGCTGGCCGAGGACGTCGAGGCAGGCACAGTCTTCGTCAACCGCGCAGACTACCCAAGCCCGGATCTGGCGTGGACTGGATGGAAGGACAGCGGGAAAGGGCAGACGCTGAGCGTCTTCGGTTTCGACCAGTTCGTGCGGTTGAAGAGCTACCACGTCAAAGACTACCCTGCGAAATAGAAGTTGGAGTCTGATCTGCTTTTTCTGGAACCCGGCACTGCTTCTATCTTTGCGGCAGCCAGGTACGGACTGGCATTTCGCGACACGAATAGATGTATGATTGGCTGCGTTCCTCACCCTCATGATGCCACGGTTTCAAAATCTGGTTGAAACGTCGCCGAAAGGAGACGAACGCGTCCCAAGGCGCATTTGGCGGAGTGACGCAAGGCATGTAGCACAGCGTCGCCGAAACGGGCCCTGCACGAACAGAGCAGATTTGAGACCTCCTCTCCTCTCGCAGCCACGAAAAGACTAAGAGCACATGTGTTATTTGTGCTCGATCGCACGCAGAAGCCATAGCAAGAGTCGTTCATCATAGCCCTGCAACGCAATTGTGCAAAAGAAGCGAGGTTCGTCAATCGTTTATCGTTATATGAAGTCAAGCACCCAACACATTCCAGCCCAGCGGGATCACCATCAAATCAATCTCAAAGAAGTAAACCCCCAAAAAGCAGGATCGTGCAAAGAATGTGCCCCAGCGCCTCGCAACGGTAAGGTCGAACCGCCGCAAGGCGCTGTGCTGTCAAAGACTCGTCTGCTGCCACGCGAGACTCCAATCTCAAATGTTGCAAGGCGTGATGGTCTGTAATCTCTCTCCTGCTTGACTTGCTATATCACGCTTTTCGTCTTCTTTGACTTCACTCGACTCTCATCATCAATGTTGTGTTAGTTGAAGCTCTTGGATGAGCTGAGTTGTGCTGTGTCCACTACTGAGATCTGTTTCTGCTGCTCTACTGCCTGATTTTAGCCAGCTATTGTCATTCCTTCAGACGTGTTCTGTGCTCGTATTTTCGTCACTCGTTTCAGCATTGGACATTGCCACATCCTCCTCCAACATCAAAAAGCACGCCAGCAAGAACCCAGCGTCAAGACGAGCGCGTGGTGACTTTCTCAGACCACTGACCTCACCGGCGGTCTCATCCCTGTGTCAGGCCGGACAAGACACACTCGACCTCAAAACACCTCTTCGTCCGCCTATCTCCTGAAAAACAAATCATTGGATTCCGCTCCACCTCCTGCAGCCATGGAGAAGAAGTCCGCCGGCACGAAGATGGGCAACTGGTTTCGCCACATCCTGTCCTGCTGCGACCGGGACGAGGAAGAGGAACAACGGCCGGCGTTGCAAATTGTTCGTTATCCACCTCTTCGATCTTCACATGTTTGTTGAAGGGGCAAAGCTGACCAGTGTCGTCATCTCGCAGAGCGCTCCCACAAACTTCCGTCGAGAAGAGATCCGCTTGCCTGGGTTGGATGAGGAGCAGTAAGTCCCTATCGACTCCCAACGTCAAACCCTTCTATTTTCTGCCTCATCATCATCACGCCAGCTAACCGCCCTTCCTTTCTCGAAACAGACAGCGCTCACTCCGCGAAAAAGCCCGCCAAGACGCCCAAAAACTCTACCCGGGCCTCCAACCCCTCCGCTCCTCCCCCTCCGGCCACTTCGCCAGCCCCACCGACACCCTGCCCTCCTACGAAGACTTCACCACACCCCGGCCCAGCCCTGCGATCCCCAGCCCCGGGCTCCGTGAGAGCAGACTGATGGAGGGCATCAAGCGGCATTCCAGAAAACTGAGCAATTCGCTGACGGATCGACTGGGCGGGCTCGGGAGCGGCGGGTTCGGAGGCGCGGACGGGCTTGGGTTGGGGAGGGAGGATAGCAAGTATGAGATGCGGGCGCTGATGGAACCGAGTCGGTCGAGGGTCGTGAGTCCGTTGCCCGGGCCGAAGATGAGTGGGGAGAGTTATGGGAGTAGTGAGAGTGAGCGGGAGAGGGCGGTGAAGGCTGTTGGGACTGGGGTAAAGATCTGAGACGCGGGAGCTCGGTGGCATCTCCTTTGTTAGAATAGTATAGAACGGATTGAGATGCCACGATATGAGAAGAAGGACTGGTGTACGAGTACTCACCGGAGACACGAGGGTGATAAAGAGTGTACAACAGCGAGTATGCATATCAAAGGGTATCACATAGAAAGCAAGTCTCGGGCGGCCACATGCCCTCCGCAGAGACGACACAGATTCTCTTGAGCCTGTCCGAGTGATCAGTTTGTGCATTGCGTATCGTCATTTCATAATGATCTGCTACCTTTGCATGAACTTCTTTGGCGCGCGCACAACTCCTCCGGTTGGCGCATGCCCTCTTTGATGCGGCGCGCAGCTTTCTGACATGCTCTCCCACGATATCGAGCTCCCCTGTCGCGTTACTGAAAGCAAGTCGATGCTCGCCAGAAGGTCTCTCAATCAGACTAGATGCCTCGCCACATTTCATGTTTCGTCCATGACGTCCTCATCCGCGACGCCAGATGGTAGCCGCCCTTCCGCGAACGCCTTCTCCAGCTTCTGCACCTCGCTCAGCGTCTTCGCTTTCCTGACCAGAGCCTCGAACCTCTTCTTCTCCTTGTCTGTGATCTTGACCTTCGGCTTCTGCACCCCGTTGACGTTAGGCGTAGCAGTGAATCCAGCGCCAGCATGTCTTGATCGCGTGGCCACGATGCTGCGCGCAAGCTCTGTGGGTGCGTCGTGGGTGCCGAATAGTTCGGTGGCCTTCTCGCGCTCCGCGTCTTTCACCTTCTGGAAGTCGAGGAAGCGGATGGTCGGGCAGCGCCAGAGGACGTAGTAGCGGTAGTTCTGTACCATCTCGTGTCAACAACGTGCCTCAGCCTTTCCTGATATATGATATGCTCACCTCCTTACTCGTCACCGCATTCTCCACCAAGCTCAGATGCACCAACTTTGTGAAACCCTGCAACGGGTCCAGATCCGCCAGCTCCTGGAACTGGTTCCCTGTCAACACCAGCGTATGCAGACTCGGCAAGCTCTTCCCTAGACTCGGCTGCAGACTGCCTACGCGATTGCGCGCGAGCAGCAGCGTCTGTAATCGTGGACATAGCGGGAAGTTGCCGAGGACTTGGATGTCGTTGTCGGTGAAGTCGATGGACTCATGGTCGCGGGCGACGACGCCCAGGTTCTCGATGGCGGGGATCTTGTGACCTTAGAACATGTCGTATGAATCAACTAGCTCGATAGTGTAGTATCTGTCCTTTTCGGGAAGGAGGAGATGGGGTGGTGGTGGTGGCTTACCTCGTAGGTCAAGCTCGCGCTCTTTCAGTGGGTTGAGGTAGGAGAGAGAGGTGTTGATCAGTTCAGTCGTGAGCCGCATGCTGGGTGGTGGTATGGAAGAGAGTGTGATCTGCTTGAAGTCGACGTTGGTATAGAAGGAAGCACGTGAAAAGTGAATGTCGCAAAAAACAAGCTTTTCCACGCGAGTCATGTAAGAGGCAGCACAACTTGAAGCTCACCACTGTCTGCGATCTCTCTTCCTCCGACCCACTCACCACTGCTTGCCACTCACCCAACACCGACAATACCACCAAACACCACACACATCGACAAAGCGAACATCCACCAACATGGGCTCCGTCGTCATCCCCCATCTCGTCACCGGCTGGCACGTCGACCAAGCCATCATGTCGGAAGAAGACCGCCTGGTCGTGATCCGCTTCGGCCGCGACTGGGACCCCGACTGCATGCGCCAGGACGAAGTGCTCTACAAAATCGCCGACCGCGTCAAGAACTTCGCCGTCATCTACGTCTGCGATCTCGACCAGGTACCCGACTTCAAGCAGATGTACGAGCTTTACGACACCGTCACCCTCATGTTCTTCTTCCGCAACAAGCACATGATGTGCGACTTCGGCACCGGCAACAACAACAAGCTCAACTGGGTGCTGGAGGATAAGCAGGAGCTGATCGACATAATTGAGACGATCTACAAGGGTGCGAAGAAGGGGAGGGGTTTGGTGGTCAGCCCGAAGGACTATTCGACGAGGTATCGGTACTAGAGGTGCAGCGCAAGCGGAGCGACACGAGCAAGGCGTTGTGAGGTGGCGATGGCGAAGCTCTTAACGAAGGACTTACGATGACATGTTGCACGGCATGAAGGGGACGGCGAACAGTGAGGGAGTGGCAATGGCGTACTGGCGAGCGGTGGAATCTGAGGTGTTCATGCATGGTTGGTCTCTCTCACATATGATCGAAATGAACAATATGGCTAATGCACAAGTGTTCGCAAAGCGTGCAACTGATACACGGTAAGCTAAAATCTTTCCTCGCGTACTAACCTTCTTGCCACGGTTCCTGCAACCCTTGTGCAAAGCACAGATGCTGTTGCACGTTCTGGCGTGATATTGTTGTGGCTTCCTGAAGCCCGCCGCTCCCCAGGTACGCCCCAGCGTGAGGCAGGAGCTCATCGGACGCTGTCGCATCCCGAGATCTGGATACCGACGCCGACTCGACGTGTCCGCGCGACCTCTCCTCTTATACACGATGTAGGTCACCCTCAGTTGTGCGCTCTGGACTCTATGCACTCATACCATATCTACCACACGTTCTCATGCTCTTGAAACCTGCTGTTCCCTTCCTTTCCTGAAGCACCTTCTATTCAAATTACTACTCTTGCGCTACTCTCATGCCTGCATACCATCTGCCACTGGGGGCCGCCTACGTCGTCATCGTCGCAGTGACCGGCATGATCTGGACACTGCAGACGTAGTGCATTCGCATGTTCATCAGAACCAGGATCCACGGGCCGCTCAGTTGGGATAACTTCTTCTGCTCTCTCTCGACATGCCTCGCGCTTGCACACTCCTGCCTTACGATTGTTGCCACACGACATGGTCTCGGACATCGACTCGATACTCTGAAGCCTTCTACGGTCAACCTACAACGACTACTGGCATGGTCAAACAATCAGATTTACATCGGCACCCTCGCCTTCTCTATGCTTTCAGTGTGCTTTCTCATCGCAAGAGTCTCGAAGCAAACTGAGCAAGCCCGCTTCGCCTACATCATTGCTGGCCTGACAACTCTATGGGCTGTGATCTGCATGCCGGTGCTTGCGCTAGAGTGTGACCTGCCGCGGCCATGGATCACTAGTCCCAGGAGTCGATGCACGAACATCGTACGTTCTAAAAACTACCGTTTTCTAGCAATGAGGCGTCTGGGACGCAGGACTAATCAAGACAGTATCACGTTTGGATTGCTGTCACCATCACCAAAACGCTCCTCGAAGTCGCCAATGTTCTTGCGGCCGTCAAACTACTTTGGGGCGTCCGCATGCCATGGAAAGCGAAAGTCGCAGTAGTGGCTGCATTCACGATCAGACTCCTGTTGCTCTCCACCGCCTCCGAATATGATCGTCCTCACGCTGATACGTTTATAGCGTCATCCCGCCCGGCCTCACTCGCCTTCGCTATATCCGCCAGACCCTCCACAGCCAGGATTGGAGCTACTCCCGCATCCGCGTGGTATGGGCAACACTTCAGAATGTGTTGGACGCTCGCTGACCCTCTCTCCCTAGGTGATCATCACCCAGGTCGTCCTCCACGTCAGCGTCATTCTCGCAACAGTCCCGTGCATCAAGCCCTGGCTAGTCGCCTTCGAGAGCGGCGGCCTTCAGCCTCACCCGGATGTGCGCAAAGAATCGCACGCACCTCGCCGTACACCTCTTCCGAGCCCACTTCTCCCGCTGCCCGCGACAGCTCGTTCCCGGACCACCACGCTCACTCGATCTACCAGCCTCGAGTTTCCGGCCAGGCCAAAACTTCTTCACCGCTCTGCGAGCCACGACCCGGATGTCATGACTCCCGGCCCAGCTGGCCACCGCAAGCGAGTTGAAGCCTGGCCGGTCAAAACCTACCAGACTCAAGCAACGTACTCCGTCACAGCAGAGTACGTCCCAGACCCCGAGCAAGTCGGCGGACGGAAAAAGTCAGCCAGTTCGGTCAGGAGCGACGGCATCACGAGGACGAAATTGTTTTCGGTACAGCACGATGAGATCCAAGACTATTTCCTGACTTCTGAAGCTGAGCAGGTGACGCCGTCGACGTTGGAGGAGGGCACAGTGGAAACGGTGCCAAGTTTACCGCTTGAGGTTGTGGGTGGGTTGCTGAGGGATGATGCAAGAGGGAGTAGAGGGACGGTGCAGACGCTGAGGGGTCTTTGAGTAGCCCGGGGAGGCCTGGGGTGGTGAAGCTTGCAGCTGGGCGGGCAGGTAAAAGATTCGATGTCCAGCAAAGCGCGTTTTCCGTGGGAAGTCCCTACTACTAGTGAGTATGATCGGACAATGGCGAAGTCAAGGAAGGACCTAGTCATGGTACCAGAGCGTGAGTTATGATTCTTGCACTGACCTTGTGTGACTTCTTTGCTGTATGAAGCAAAAGAAACCATATGAGTCCTTCCGTCAATGCAGCATCTTATTTCAGCAAAGGAACTAACGAGAGACAGGGTCAGCAAAAGAATAGTCTCGAAGGAGTTCAAGAAAATCTATTGATTCAGATGTCTTGAATAACGCCATGAGCGTACCAACGGGCATCGCCTTTATTCAAAAACCGTCTCACAACGTACAGCCGATGCATCTTCGCAATTCCTATCGCTCGGAGACATCCAGGCATACTTGCAATCAGCCGACCGCTTTGCAACTGATTAGTGATACTGCTTGTCCGTCGGCCGCATCCTGTCCGCATAGGGCTGAAGTTCGCCCTATGGCTCGCCAGGGTCCAGCCGGGCTACACCTCCTCCTTCGTGACTGAGCAACCACATACACCAATGTCTAAATTTGAGCATTCTACCAGGGATCTTCGAGTTCTCTACATAGCCAGTCTTATTCAGCTTCAGCACTGGGACTTTTGGAGACGGCGGCCAAGGCTAAGCTACTGCCCTGCCATGGCTCGTCTCGTCCAGTATATAAGTCTGCGTTCTCCTCGAAGGAGGTAGCTTCACGAGACTCCAACAGCCACAACAGACATCAACAACCACCGACAGACTCGTACACGATACCTTACAGCCGCCTCCCTTCCCAGTACCCTCTCACGATACCATGCAACTGCCGACGTCCTCTCAGGCCCTCCTGCTAGCCGCAACCCTCTTCGCCGGCTCCGCCTTTGCTGCCGATTGCTTCCTCGGTTCAGAAGGCGTCGCGCCATTCACTTCGACGGACGGACTTGCCATAGCCGACGATATCACGGCTGGCACTGTCTTCACCTTCCCACTCGAGGTCAAGGCTCAGCAAGTCGGCTCAGCCACGGCCGGGACCGCAACTTTGTGCGTAGTCAACGGCTTCTTCTTTGACAACACGCATGTGGCGGCGAGCGATGTGGATTTCGCGATCCGCGACATTATCAGTCAGTGTTCGGAGGATGGCACAAGCAATGGGTAGGGCACTCCCGTCGAGTATATCTTGCTGCCTGACATCCAGATACTGATACCATTCTTCTGGCATTAGTGGCAATTTCAAGATCAAGGGTGACACTGGTCTCGAGATCGCCATCGATGTGATCCCGACCGCGTTTGGTAGATGCAGATCGAATTAGGACCTGTCCTCCGAGCCGCCTGGTGGTTTAAAAAGACATGCGCTGTATCTTGGTTAGGATTTCGATGAATTAGGAGTGTTAGAGGTACTCGGATAGTGGGGAATGGAATCTGAAGGAGGGAGTTCAGGCGTTCTATCAGTGGGAACACATGCGTTGGCAAGATGCACATACTCTCATTCAATATTGATACATCTCTAATACAACCTCATCAGCCGTCAACCCACATCCCGCAGCCCCTCCAGCCGCGAGGCCATCCTCTTCCTTTCCGCTACAAGCGAGTGAGAACCGAAAATGTTCACTGTATATGTTCCCGAAACGACCGTGCCGCGCTCAATGCTGCCCCATTCCTCCAACCAAAACAAATGCTCGCTAACGATCGGCTGCTAAAATGGTGGTATAAAAATGCTGATGATGAAGTGAAAATGCAATGGGGGTATCGTAAACGTCATAACCAGATGCTCGCTTAGATAATGAAATGATGCGTGCTCGATTTCTCAGAGGAAGCCACCCTGAGCACCTTGTTGCATAGTAGAGGGCGGCATGTTCGCTCTGATCTCCTTTGGGTTGCGGTATCCGCCGGCGGCGCTGTGGCTTCTCGGCAGCATCGAGGGCGGGATAGAGGTTTCGCTGATCCTGCCTTCCATCCCTGACGCGGGAGGTGCTGGAGGTGGCGGCGGCGGCGGCGGAGGGATCTGGTCTTGTGTGCTGTTGTTCTGGGCGGCCATGGCTTGCTCGTAAGGACTCTTGGCACGACCGACGCTCTCGCCGCGCTGATGTTGGTATGGGAAGGGCGGAAGCACAGTCTCGTACGGCGGAGGCTTGTACTCTTGCGGTGACTTTGCTCCGTTGCGGGATGTGCTTCGCATCCTGTCTCCAAAACCGCGGAAGCGCGAGCCGAACGTCTCGCTGACCGACCCTCGTCCGCGGCGGTGTGTTGATGGTGATGCTGTCGTTGCGCGCTCCATTGGCTGCGGGTACGTCGTCGAAGGGAGGGTGTTCGGGACATCGACGGCGGAGGTGGGCATGTTGTCGTCCATGGCGATGCTGATGACGCCGGAGCCACGTGGAGGGCTGGGATGGCTGTACATGGTCGGCGGCGGTGGTGGAGGTGGCGGGCCGCTGAGATGTTGCAGCTCCGGCAGTACAGGAGGGTCTTCCGGCTCAGCAATGATGATGATCTGCTGGTCGCCACCTCCGGCAAGAGTCTCGTCGATACTCGACACCGCGCCACTCGATGCCTTGACGGCTTGTGATGCGTCTGGCGGAGATATCTTGCGTACGTGTGATAGTCGGCGACTGGACTGTGGCAGGCTTGGCTTGTATGCATGATGAATGCCAGACATCTTCTCCGGCGGCGCCGAAGCGGAGCGCGAGGGTGCCTGTGGGCCCTTCTGCCCAAAGACGGTAGAGGGCAACAATGCGCCGACACCATCGTCAACCTCTGATGACGCCAATTGGCTCAGGTTGGAAGTAACGTTGCTCGAGTTTGACGTCACGTGGCTGTAGTTGGATCCCAGGTAGCTTGTATTCGCAGTCAGGTTGGACGTCAAGTTGGAGGTAAGGTTTGATTCGACATTCGAGCTGGTCATCTGGCTCAGGTTGCTTCCGATAGATGACAGCTGGCTGGCGTTGTCAGGAATCTCCGGCACGGGAGGGGTGAAGTCACCTTTGTTGCTCTCAGATCCCATGTATCGTGGGTGTCGCATCGCTCTTGGAGTTGCCGGCAGTCCAATAGGAGCAGTCATGGTCGAGGTGCCAGAAGTCCGTCCGTACTTGGCCATGGCGTCAGGATCGACTGTTTGAGACCGGGAGTATGGCGGCGTGAAGGATGTCGGGCTGTTGCTGAGCTCGGTATGCGACCGTGGGCCCAGGCCAGGCCTCACAACTCCAAATTGAACTTCACCAGGCATAGGGATGCTTGGTGCCGAAGGTCGTCGAGCCAGGGACAGGCGACGCTCCTCCAACTCCCTAGCCGCCAACTCCTTCCTGCTGAAGCCTCGAGGCTTGAGAGGGTTGCTCTCAGAAGCCGACGAGACCTGCGAAGCATTGGTCACGCTGCTCTTGCTAAGCTGGGATACCGCCAAGCTCAAATTGCTCTCGTCACCGATAGTTTGCTTGCGACTGGATGATCTCTCCCGTCTGCTACGGCTCTCACCTCTTCGTGATTGAGCATCGTCTGCTTGGCTGCCAGCCCTGAGACGAATGCGCCGGCCGTCGCTGTTGGTATCGTCTGTTTCATTCATGCCTTGCGATTCGGATGCCATGGGCAGTGGAGAAGAGGGTGAGCGAGCCGAAGATCCAACAGTACGTTCCTCTCGGCGGCCCCGGAGGCTGTCTGTCCTCATGCGTGTGCTGTCAGGACTCGGCTGTCGGCTTGGACCCCGGCTGCGTGCACGGGTCACTGGCGTCGGGGGAGCAATTTCACCGGTATTAGCAAGTGATGGCCTGCGTCGTTCAGGCTTCGGCTCTGATCTCGCCGAACGCATGCTCTTATGCGAGTCCACCGGAGAGGCCATCTTGTAAAAGCTCTCGTCGTCCGTGGTTGCTGGCTCGACCTTGGAAGCCTGGGTAGCTTGAGCAATTTCTTCCGGCGACATTGGGACTGGAGAGGATGGCGAACGCTTTGCTGGCTTGATGTAGCGCACATCGCGGTGTGAACGTGTCTCCGAAGGCTCCCGGCCACGGCTGGTGCCTCTTCCAGTACTGCTGCCGTCCCGCTTGCGGCTCTCACCACGGCGTCTGCTTTGTGCTCGCCTCTCACGGGCCTGCTCTCGCGCCTCATCAACGCTGCTGATGTAGTTGTTGACCGCGCGGCCCGAAGTGCTCCGTGAACCATCTGTGAGTGGAGGAGTCAATGCGCCTCCTCGACTACCGCCGGTTCCTGGGCCAGGTGAAAGCGCCTCAGAGTAGCGTGTATCCATGACCTGGACGGCCAAGCCTTCGGGCTTCCTGTCATCAGAACCATGCCGGGCGTGAGAGTCCTTCAAACGGGTAAAGACTCCTTGGGCGGGAGAAGGAAGGTGAGAGTCGTCTCGAAGGGCTGTATCCGGTGCTAGTCGGTCGACCTGGCTCGTCGTTCTGAGCGTTGTCGATGGTTCTTGATTACTACTGACAGAAGAGGTCCTCCTGCTATGCGCTGGAGCAGCAGGTCCGGCAAAGTCGCGAGCGGCGGTGATGGGAGTTGTCAGGTTCGCTGCCTCTTGCTTAGCGCGCTCGATGTCGGTTCGTGACGGCAGCCGTTTCCTTCTGCTGAAGCCGCCGGGCGTTGCGGTCCTGGCAGAAGAAGGGTCCCGCATCATACGCGATCGCTGCTGCCAAGGATCGATGCCGCCTGGTGAAAGGGCAGATGGCATGGCAGATTGAGCAATGGGGGTGATTCCGGCAGCGTTAAGTGGAGTTCGTGGGTCCACCCCTACCGGCACACCTTTTTCGCCAAACGTCGTCATAAGCTTCAGAGAAGCATTCTTCACTGTCAGCCGCCCGGACGCAGACCTCGACGGTGGAGAGTTCGGGGGACTTGTCATGCCTCCAGCGCTTGGAGGCTGAGTGAACCGTTCGTGCTGAGCAGCGTAGACCGCGTCCTGCGCTCGTGGGGAGAACCAAGGCTCAGAGGTCTCAATGCTCGTGCAGGAGAAACACCTCACAGCCAGCTCTGCCTGACCTTGCTGAACGGCAGCCTCACCCCACTTGCGGATCAAGTAAGATATACGGCCCCAGTCTGCTGCGCAAGTCAGACAGGTCAACAGCACAGCCTCGAGCCAGTAGTGCTGCGAGACGTAGACTTCAATCGCGTCGTTGTGCTCGCCGAGCCCGAGTAGAATGGCCACTGCAGGGTGCACATCGCCCTTCTCCAGTAGTCGCTGGACGAAGGCCTCGCCGACCTTCTTCTGTGAGTCGCCTCCAATCGAGCTCAGAGCCAGCAACATCCAGTCGGACGAAGTCATCGACTCCGAGCCTACCATTGAAGCCATGCTGTCTGCGCCGATGTCGCCCAGCCATTTTGAGAGCAGCACGCCACTGGCAGAGCCTGGTCTGTGATGTTCCATCTCAGCGCGAACCAGGGCCTCTGAAGTGTCGTTCCAGCCAAAGACCACGCTCAGCATCTCGCGCTGCAGGAGATCTGGGGTACGCGCGGCATTGCCATAGTGTGGTGTCCGGAATGCCACTTCTCGTAGTTTTGCTCGAGTGTGTGGGAAGAGATCCATCGCCGCTGTTCCTTGCGCGTCTTGTGGACTTCTCATGATTTCCTTTCGCAAGGTTGTGGGTCGATATCTGGAGTTCGAGGCCGAAGCGAAAGAAGAAACCGAGCGGATCGATATGCTCTCGTGTCCTTGGCGAGCTGAAGCTGTTCCCGAAGAAAACTCTGTGGGCTCGTAGCTGGAGTTGGTCGAAGCGCGGGATGAGTCCGGTCTGTCGTAAAGATACTTCCGACCGCGCCGCCGCGCCCCCGAAGACCTTGAGCTTGATGATGAGGCGCGACTTGAGGTCGGACTGAGCGGCATCACCTTATCGCGGATCTCGGACTGAAGCGCGTCAAGTGTATCCATCTCATGAGCAATTTTCTGGATGGGCGACATGTAAGCAGCCTCATCTGCGCTGCTCTCTCCAGTATCCGTAAAGGTAGGTAACACTGGAGCATCCGATGTCGACGACTCTGACCGAGCATATGGATTCTTCTGCTCTTCGAGAGTAGTCGGAGGCGTCGGCGGTGTGTTGGCAGGTACATGCTGCACGCTGGCCACCTGCATCGCAACTTGGTTGGGCTGGATGTCGTACTGCTGTACAAAGTGACTTCGGCTCAGGGTGAACAGGGTCGCGGATGGGCCGAAGTTCGCCATTCCTATCACGTCGTTACCGGTTGGGATGAGATCCCATGAAACCTTCTTCGTCCGTACATCCCATGCTCGTGTTTCGCTGCAAGTATATCGTTAGCTAGACCCATGCGCTTTGGAATAGGGAATACCTACCCTTCAGCATATTGAACGATGCGCCCACTCTTAGACCATGCAAACCAGCACGGTCCAGACGATGGGACATCCGCACGTTGCAGAACTCTGATGATGTTGGGCTGTTCGCTATGCGGCGCCTTCGGTACACTCCAAACCCGCAGATCACCATCCTGGGTCTGAGTCGCAAGCATGTCGGTTTTCTGCTTTGAAGATGAACCGTGCCAGGAGAGGCCGGTGATTCGCGATGGCGCTCTCGTCGTCGTCAGGGTGTGCAATATTGTGAAGGATGGTTGTAGGGTCGCGATAAGTATGGAGCCGTTCATATACCCAATCGCAAATGTTCTGCAGTCTGCCGATGGTGCGATGGCCGTGATCGGGTCGTAGATCGTCCGCGCAGATATGTGCTCTGATGTGGAAGGCTCGAACAGCACGATGTTGCCCTTCTCGTTTCCGAAAGCGATATTGCCATTGCGCATAAAATTCGCAACCAGCATATGCTCGTACGAACTGAACCGCGCGATTTCTCCTCCCGTCAGAATATCCCAGACAATCGTTGTTTTGCCAGCATCACTGCTGACCGCCAGCCGACCCGATCCTCTTTCGCTCGCATTGTCCACCGATATCCACTGGACAGCCTCGGCATGGCCATGGAATCGTCGCTCGATCGCAAGGGTGTCGTGGTGGAGGACAAGCACAGTCTTCTGTTGCGCGTACAACAGGAACGAGGCTGTCGCGGCGCATGGCTCGAATTGCGCCTCGAGGTTTTCGGGTGTTAATGTTGTCGGCGGTGGTGTATGTCTTGCGCCAGTCGAGTTCTTGGAAGCGGACGACCTTGACTGTCGCAGGGAAAGGCCTCCGCTAGATGACATGTTGCGGCACGCTGGTTCCACGCTGCTGTCAGTTGATGGTTGACACAACGGTCATGTCATGGCCAGAAAGTAGGCCGTGAGGTCGCTCAGTAGGTCGGTTTCCCGAAATAGCAGGAACAGCACATGAAACGCTTTTGTATACTGATAGAAGAAGCTCCTGGACGTACCCTGACATGCGCGCCAACAGCCTTTGTGTACCTGGCGGTACCCCGAGGGTGCACGTCGTATCCAACAGCTCTCGTGCGCTTAGGGCCCCGCGTCCTGCTGTGCTGCTTGCCGGGGTGGTGCAGCACAAAGATGCATGCAGCCGCTCTCTGCGAGGTTGTCGAGGGTAGAGGCACAGAAGACGCACCTGCAGGCAGTCTCCGATACAGAAGGTACGGAGCAGCGCTGCAGGAGAAGCGTTGAAAGTGAGGTACCCCGACGTAATCTGATGCAGAGTCAATCAAGAAGCTGGGCGGCTAAAGCGGTCGAGAGGTTGGTGCCCAAGCGCAGTCGCCACAAATATGAGCTCGAGGGAGCCCGCCCAATGCAGTGCTGGCCGGGGGGAGGTGTAGCTTAAACGAGATGTATGAAGCAGTAGTAGGAAAGGCCTATGAAGGGCGAAGCTGGATGGTATACTCTACGATTCGTCGGGTGGAGAGGACGCCATTGCGACGGTGCTGTCGCGAACGGCCCTGGTGACCCTCGAAGCGGCCAACAAAAGCGGGACTGCCTCTCGACAGACTCGCCGAGTTTCATGTGCCATGCTTGCAAAGGCCTGCCGCTGAGAACAGGTTGACTGGGTGAGAAGCGCTCGAGAGACGAGGAGTCACTTCGCCAATCTGTTCAAGTCTACGTGACCAGAGGTGGGATTGGTCGCCGGAGTCCCACGCTAATGATCCGGGCGCCACATTTCACGCTCGTCTGATTCTTTTTCCGTCTCGGTTCTGGACCTCACGCTCTCTAGTTCTCTCGATAAACGGTATGCGGCCTTGATGGGTTTTCTGTCCTTCTCCGTCGACATGATCTCAACCTCAAGAAGCCAACACTACCTGGAACTTTTGCAACATCCATTGCGCCAGCGAGAACCAGGCGGTCAAGGCCACTCGCTTCGACCGAACTCCACACCGACCCAAGGACTCGGATTCCAATGAATATCCTTGCTGCCCTGTCACGCTTGCACTCGCTTTCACATCGACTGTCGTACGGAACTCATGCGCGCTGCATGTTCTCCCGAACAGAGAGGCTGGGAGGACCTGTGGTGCGCTGGTGATGCCCTTGCAGGCTCGTGATGTTGCCATGAGACGCTCGGACGAACTATCTGGTTCCTGCGTGCACTCGGCTGCATCTCTGCGGCCAGGTCGATGGTACTCCGTGCGGTAGACCACGTTCGAGGCAGCTGACGCAGTGTTCTCCTCAGTCGCAGCCTCACGATAAGTGCAGATCTGTGATGTGAATGCCACTTCGTCATTATCTCCTCGAGAGAAGTTGTGTCGCATTGTGATAGTGGAGACCGGAAAAACGTGCCATTGAAATCATGTGTCGAAGCGCCCTGTCAGCAGATCATCTAGACTCGTTTGGGTGCATCTCCATCCGGTATATCGCAGCCGCGTCAACATAGTGATGGGTTCTGGCCTCATGTAATCTTGTTCATATGGTTGCTATCAACGGTATCGACTTCGCAAGAACGACTTCACCATGACATGACCTCCCATTGCAATGGAGTCTCGGATCGAGGTCTCCCGAGATCCAAGGAGCGGTCCGCATCCCTTCCCCAGGGCGCTTGGGCCTCGTCACTCCCCAGCCATCTCCAGCCATTTTCTCCTTCCCCTCGAACACCACCTCCACCTTCCCGCTCGAGGTTAGGCAGCATCGCCCTTCCATTGAAAAGACCGTCTGATAGTCATGGTCCGAGCAGAGGCGCGAGACGTCGGACGCCGATGCATACTGAGAGCAGCACTTCGGGCATATCTGGCAGCCTTCTCCTGGACCCGATGGCACCCGAAAAGACCATATCAATCTTGTCGGTGGGCTGTAACTGTCTGGGAGGAGTTCCATTGCATGGCTCACTCTGACCTAGTAGGCCACCTTCACTGTCCGCAGCTTGACGTGCTTGGTGGCGCAGCGACTGTCAGGTCGTTCTGCGCTCCCGAGGTCGGCATAAGGTAGCGTGCCTACCAGTCACTTTGCTGCCTTTGGCAAATGATGGTTTGTGTCCGGCCAATTTTGATATGGATACTGTTTCGACCTGCTGTTGTTTCGCCAATTCTCCTCAGCAGGCGTCAGAATGACCCATGGCGTTGAAGTGCACAAGCATGCTACAAAGCTGATCAGTAAGTCATTCTTGATTGCATCAATCGGCAGACCCGACTTACCTTGGATAAGCATATTCCTCATCTCTCCGTGGCGTCCTCACTTCTTCGACAACGAAGACGACTTCCTCTGCTTCTCCTTCTGGCCACTGCTTCGTCTCCGAGATTTCGTGATAGGCGGAAGAAGAGGCTGCGCGACTGCCCACTGCCACGCCTCCGCTGATCGTGGCGGTGGCGGAGGTTCGCTTAGGTAGGACTCATTGTCGCTGCCGAGAAGATCCTCGTCGCTCACATATGAGCTGGGTCGCCGAAAGCCAGCGGTGGTGAGTGCTGATCCACTTGGCCAGCTAGGGCGTGCGCAAGGTGTATAGTATGGTGAAGTTGTGTTGGATGAAGAGCGGATTTGGATTGCGTGCGTCGGGGCGGACGATGAGCACGAGCCTGCTATCGAGCTATGACTTGAAGAGTACGACGACATCTTGAATAGTCCTGCAATGGCTGTCGGTTGTTTGGAAAAACTGTTGCAAAAGTGGATGAAGGCTGCAATATATCCACTCTCGAAGGAGCGGTCTATATATCAATATAGCCGCGTGCGGTGTGCGGTGTGCGCGACAAGCTATCACAGGAGCTATCGGCTGACATGTAGTAATAATACTTGTTGTAATCTGTGAACAGAAAAAGCGACAGATACGCGCGTGCCGGACGCAAGAGATCACATACCTTATGTATACTGGTGCCCTGGATCGGTACATTTACACCGTCGCATCATGACAGTGCTGGCATGAGTAAGACACCTCGACACATCCGTAAAGAAGCCGCATCGCCTTGACCGCCCGCAGAGCCGACGCACCATACGTACCGCACGCATCGCCCACCCGGGGAAGTGCGGGCGGGCGAATCTCGTTCTCTAAACGACATCCGAGATCTATGATTGCACCATTCTTTTGCATACCGTCTCGTCTGTGTGATAAGTCCAGAGCATTTTCCACCTGTCAACCAATACTTGCCACTGCTGGGCAGCAGTCGCCACGCCAGCACACTCGACCATCGAATGGATGACGATACGTCCTGTCGACAGCTCATCAGGCAATGCGACACCGCCCGCCCAAGCCACAACCCGAACTTCAAAGAACTTCGGCGGATTTAGGGCGGGATCACAACAGTCTGAACGCATCACTTACTCACTCTGCTGCCCTACCTCGCTACTCGGAGCCCGCGTTCGTCCACGGAAGAAAGGTGGAAAGTACTTACGAACATTCTACCGGCTGACTGTGTCATGATGACTGGACAGCTTGACCGTACGGTGAGACTGCTGTGCGGACGATTACTCCGCGTCGTACTTTTACCAATGTATTGTGCGAGCAATGTCCGGCGCATGCGGCGGGTGTTGCGACAGCATCGCACCATGATGACTATTTCCGCGCGACCGTGAGTTGCTTGATCCTGCGTTAGTGCCGACGAGGTACAACACTTCTCGTGGATGTTGTTGCGAATGCATTTGACTTTCCGACTCGCGGCGAGTCTTTGTCTGCTCCGCGGTGCGGAGACGTGGAGAGATCTCGTCTCCAAACCCGACGGCGCGGGCAGCCGAAGTCTCCGATGTCTTTCCATATTGCCATACACCGAGCAACTGGGTAAATCTCCCCACTCCCCACTCGATCCCACCCCTCACTCACGAAGATTGTCTCCGACTGTGGCCGAGCATGTCTTGCACTGCCAAGGATGAGATTTTGAGACGGGTATGACTGAGGCGGGTCGAGCAATGCTTTCTCCATCCGAAACCAACGGCGATAGGTTTACATGGCTTTAGAGCTCCATGGTCGCTCTTCCCGAATATAAAATTCTCTGGGGGTAAGCCTATCGCAGGTGCTCGCACGCCTTCCTCGCTCTTCGAGGACTCTCCGTCTTCTCCTTACACCTCTACCCCCCGAGACAGTAACTCGCTTTGCACTGTGAAGACACCCCGTCGATGTCGTGGAGAACATCACCAACGATTCGCAAGCTGTGCCAAACCAGAAGCCTTCGACGGATGTCCACCACCCAGCTTCTGTGCGATCTCAGTACCTGCCAGACGACCAAAGGTCATTGACCTGAGACAGCTCGTTGCGGGCGGGTACTCGTTGTAGAAAAGTCCCGTCATTTCACCAGCGGCGTATAAGCCAGGGATCGCAACGTCGTTTGTTGACAGTACTCGTGCATGGAGATCGGTCTTCACACCGCCGTATCTGCAGCGGGTCAGCAAAGATCGTTCTTGACTGGAGAAAACAGCTTACGTGAACGTGAGATTAGATGTCATCGGGAAGCCGAAGAAGGGTCCTTTGACAATCGGAGCAGCCCAGTTCGTCTTGTTCGGGTTGAGACCCGAGGTGGACTTGCCGTCCAGCTTCATCAGATCAAAAGGTTTGTCGTTGACGGATGCATTGAACTCGTCGACAGTCTTTTTCAGCTCCTGCGGGTCGAGTCCCATCCTCTGTGCCAGCTCTTCAATGGTATCTGCCTTCTCCGGCGGCACTTCAGTGGTCTCATACACCCAGCTACCCTTGAAGCGTTCCATGATCGACTGATCAGTGACGAAGAAGCACGACATGTCCTGACTCTTCCAGCATTCCAAGGCAATCATTTCGAAAGTCGAGAAGAGATGTCGTTGGCCTTCGTCGTAGAAGCGCTTGCAGTCTTTGTTTACAACAATACCATAGCCATGTCCTTCCTGCTCGTTAGCATGGATAAGTGCAAGTTGGTGGGAGAATTGCTCACCCCACATGACAGCATCCGGCTTGCCTGACCGGGTGTCGACCAGCTCGCAGTGCATCCCATCAAACGAACCTGCAGTGCCCGCTCCGACGTCCAGACACATTCTCAAACCTGCACCGCGGTTGTACTTCAATCCGGGGGCGATCAAAGGCAGCCTGTGTGTGTTTCGACCAACGTATCTGGCCAGCATCTCATGGTTGCCTTCGAAGCCACCGCAGGCAAGCACAACATTTGGTGCAAGCAGGTCGTGCAACAAGCCGTCGCCTTTGCGGACTTTCAAGCCTCGAATTGCACCGGCGTCGTCAGTCAGGAGTCGCGATGCTTCTGTCTGATAGAGGATGTCGAGATTCTGGTACTTCTTCATGTGACCGAGCAAGTTGTTGATGATGGCGTTGCCGCCGCCTTCAGGAAAGACCTGCAGGACGCAGAAGCTGCTGTCAGCCGGCGTCTCGAACAAGCGCTTCGTGTCCATGTACTAGGTTCCATCTACTTACGAAATGCTGTGCCGTCTTGAACTCGAGAAGAACGTTCGGCTCGTCATGGTGCACGAACTTGACTCCATGGTCTTCCAGATACCGTGCAGATACAGGTGCTTCGATACGTAGCTTCTCGCAGTAGTCCTCGTCTGCAATACCGTCGCTCACTCGTCGCATTTCCTTCACCCAGTCGGCATCTACACCTCACCCGTCAGTATCCAGCAGCACTACTCTCTGGGTGCCTGACAGCCATACCAAAGTCCAAGTTCTTGTCCAACCTCAAATAAGCCATTGTCCACTTGGAAGCACCCGAGCGCTCGCCCTCCTTTCCAACTTCGACCAGCGCGACCCGGCCATTCTTGCCCAATCGTTCGGTCTCTTCCAGGAAATTCAGCGCCGCCATGCACCCAGCAAAGCCGGAGCCCACCACGACCAGGTCGTAACCCTTGAACGAAGCCATGCTACTAGTATGGAAGGGATGACGGGAAGAGCAGGAGAATGTTGGAGCTCTCAAAGTGTCCAGCGAACCGTACAACACCCACATCACCCTCCTAAGGCCACGGCCATCTTTTTATGCACATCGTGAAACCCCGCATAGGATGCAGCTCCTGTCAACCGATGCAGCCTATTCGGGAGGGGCAGCAGCAAGGAAGGGCAACCCATGTCGCAGATCCTCTTTTTGTTCTTGACTCTGTGAGCTCGCAAAACAGGCGAGCTGTTGGAGGTGAGGTCTGGTTATTTCCGTTGAGCGGATCTCGAGATCCGGGGCAGTGGAGTCGTGGGGAACTCTAGCGGGAGCGGGAGCGGGCGGTCTAGCTTCTTTCGATTCTTTTTCGGGATCAAAACCATCACATCTTCAACAAACATCCTGGCTAGAGTGCACACGCTCATGGCGTTCAGGAAGCGCAATGTCGCGGTGGGCGCCTCTGCTCCGGGATCCCCTGCGATAGCACCACAGAAACAAGAAAATCTTCCAGGCGTCCGGCCATCGCCACTCACATCTCATTCTGTCACATCAACTGGAAGCTCATCGCTGGATGCCCTGCTCGGAGGCCATGGAGGACTCGCACTCGGATCGAGTGTTCTCATCGGGGAGAACGGGACGACCGACTTCGCTGGGGCTTTTCTCAAGTACTACGCAGCCGAAGGACTATGTCAAGGACATACCATTCATCTCGTAGGCATGGGCGACTGGTGGTTGCGAGAACTTCCCGCTGTTGCAGCTGAGAGGTCGGGAAGTAGGCGGGAGAAGAGCCCAGCTGAAGAAGAGAGAATGAAGATTGCTTGGAGGTATGAGAGGCTTGGTCAGTCCGGCGAAAGAGGTGCGTGGCGAGGCCGAGCATCAACCAGGTTTGTGATTTTCTTTTCCAACTGACGGTAAGTACAGCACTTCCTATACGTCAAACACCCAGTGCAGCAGGCCCTGCGAAAGAAGAACTACCCTTTTGCCACACCTTTGACCTCGCCAAACGCCTCACCATTCCACAAAATGCGAAGATCGACCACATCAAGATCTCACCCGGCGACGCCCCCTTCGCCCCAGTCCTACAAAGTCTCGAGCGCATCCTCAAGAACTCACCACCAACCAGCGTCCACCGCCTGATAGTCCCCACCATCCTCAGCCCAGCCTCCTACCCACCCCACGCCAGCAAACCCGAAAACATCATCCGCTTCCTCCACAGTCTCCGCAGCCTCCTCCGCCAACACCCCACCAAACTCACCGCCATGCTCACCCTCCCCCTCGAACTCTACCCCCGCGACACCGGCCTCGTCCGCTGGGCCGAGATCCTCTCCGACGGCGTCCTAGAACTCACGCCCTTCCCGCACTCCATGGACGAAGCCAGCGACCTCGCATCCAGCGGCGGCGCGCGCAGCAACGAAGACCAGCCGCAGGGGATGGTGAAGGTGCATAAAGTGCCGATCGACACTGAGCGCGGGGAGGGTGGCGCCGGGGCCGGGAATAGCACGGGGCAGGATCTGGCGTTTACGGTTAGTAGGCGGAAGTTTGCGATTAAGCCGTTCTCGCTGCCGCCGATGGAGGGGGATCGCGAGGCGCAGAAGGAGGGTGGGGGGCCTACTAAGAAGGATTTGGAGTTTTAGAGGTGGTAGTCAGGCTGCTTTTGTAGAGATCTGTAACACCTGTCTTATCGTCGTCGATCATCCGCTGCGTCGAGCATATCCTGCATCTCGATCTGTTCCCAGCCTGCTGAACTTCCACTGGAGCCCATCATGCGAGCGTATTGTAGTGCGTAAGTAGTCGGAAGAGTCTGTCTCCGCCCTCCAGAAAAGTGTGCGCGGATTTCATCGCCGAGACATGAAGAGATGGCGAAGAAAACGAGCACGAGGATCACGAAGACGATGATTACAATCATCAAGGTGCTGAATGTTGACATCGTTGATGCAGTCGTTCAATGGACAGCCAGAGTTCAGGAAGCAGAAGCCGTGAGGTTGACTTTCGAAAAGTCTCTTGGCGATGGAGACATCTCATCCAGCAGACTTCATTTGTCCAGCGAGACGAGCGACGCGAAGGGTCAAAGACGTGATACGTGTTTGTAGTGTAGTTCTGTCGATCTAGACTCGACGAACAGGGCTATGTTGGGTATGATGCCAGAATCCATCACCGCGAAAACGGCCCAGCCATCACAGTCCTGAACAATCAACCCTGCAACCCTGCAACGCCCGAACATGAAGCTCACGCACCCTCACCTCTTCTTCGCCTTCTTCTCAGCCTTCTTCTCCATCCGCTTCACCTCCTTCGCCATCCTCTTCTCACACGCCCGCAACTTCACCTTGTCCTTCTCCGCCGTAGCCTGCACATGCTTCAACCAGCTCGCTGCATTCCCCGACCCGCCCATGTAGTCAGTCTCTGGACCCAAGCAGCACAGCTCCACCTCCGCCTCCTTCTGCGCGTAATCTCTAGCCTTCTCCAGAACGCCGAACTGGAGGCTGTACTTCGACGCCCAGCGATACGCCTGCGCTAGATCCATGCCGAGCAGGCCTTCTTCGCGCAGGAGCTTGATGAGGTCTTGAGCCCTATCGAGCGCTTCGCTCGGGCTGCGGGGCGCGCAAATACCGTCGGCGCGGGCATGCTCGCCTTCGAAAGCGTAGAGGCTGCGCTTCACGACGTTGATCTTTGCACGGCGGAGGTCCCTCTTAGTGGCGTCGGAGGTTGTTGGGCCAAGCAAGGACGGCTCGTGAGACTGGCAGAACGCACATGCGCATTCGAAGCCGTATTTTTTGAGATCCTCATCACGCCCTGCGAAGAATTGCGAGCTGTCGATGTAGGTGGTCAGGATCTCCTCCCCTGCTTCGATGTCGCGGATGGCGTGGACTGTGTGCGTGCGGAGGGACGGGTTGTAGTTGGCCTGGTGTTCTTTGGTTAGTAATTGAAAGTGGGAATGGTGAAGGCACACGCACGTAGACGTTCGGGGTGCAGCTGTGGTTGATGCGACTGTACAGCGGGAAGACGGCGGAGCCTGACTTGTTGACTAACTTGGTGGCGTTGGTCTCAAAACTGAAATAACGTTATCAGCAATTGGTCATCAGTGTTTATGTTGTGGATGGGGTAGCAGAAGACAGACATTGCCATCGCCTTTGCCTGAGTTTGCACAAAAGACTTCAGGCCATCCTTGTCCTTGGCGAACTTCCTGATGGTGACAGCATAGTTGCGAACCTGCCTGACCTGGTTCCGACTCAAGAGCTCGGGATCATGCTGCAGACCGTAAAGCGCCTCTCGTTCCGCAGGGGACGCCTTCTCCAGTTGCTGCTGAAGGTCCTGATACGTGGTAGGCCCACTGCTTGGAATCAGAAGTAGTGGTGCTTCGGAGAGCAGGCGGGAGCCGCGTTTGACGTCGCATTTGGCGAACAGGCCTAGGCCAGTGGTAGGTGTGAGACGTAGCTCAAGTAGCGGATGCCGAACTGTGAGGTTGCCAGTCTTGGTAGAGGCGAAGTTGGTGAGCGGCGTCTTACCATCAGACTCGTCCACCACACCATGTCTCTCTCTAGTGCGCCCTGGCCCATTCCTGATTACAAGGGCCATCGCGCCGGTTGATGTATGGTCACGAAGAGGATGAAACAACGCAAACGATGCAAGGCCTGTAGTTCGAAGACATCAAGCTCTGCCTGAATGTGTGAGGAAGGCCGAGAGATCGAGTGAATATCAAGAAGATCCACTTTGACATGTGAATAGAACGTGATGTTTCAAGATTCAACCAAACCCACCCGCAACTGCAGGCATCCGCGCAGCGTCGCTCACCTACAAACGGACGCGTTTGGACACATTTGGGGATTTGCAATCCATGGGAGCCGCGAGATTTTCACACCATATCGCGTTTTCATCTATCTTTCCTCGCGTTCTGTACAGCAGACGAGCTGAACGGCTTCGTTGCACGTACCGGGTGCGTGCAAGAACAGCACTGGCGCCAGGAACGGCTTACGTTGAACGCAGCGGCGCATAACGTAGAGCATCGGAGCACTGTATGTATTCAATGCACTGGGGACTGTTGATGAAAAAGCGTTGTTGGACGCTCGTGAAAGTGATGTCTGGAGACCCCTGTCGCGCTTGTGGCGCACGTGGCTAAAGCTTAAAATCTTTTGGACCTCGAATCAATGACTGGACGTCACCCATAAAATATCCCAAGGACTTCTCAAGACACTCATTACATCTTCTAGAAGACAGCCAAGCTGAAGAGACTACTCACTTTACGTTCGCTCTATCGGGCTGTAGCGACTCCGCGCCGACGCATTGTACCGCAAAAGGCGTCTTCAATTCTCTGGCGACAGCCACCGCACACAGTCCGACGATTCGCAAACATGGCCACCCTCGACAACGACACCAAGAAGCTGATCGAATCGTCGTATCCGCAAGTTAAAGATGTGGAGACCGACCCGGTCAAGGCGTCCTCTTCCATCTTCCAAGACACTGAAGTGAGTGTGAATGTCAAGTACCTAGTACTCTTCGATCGCTGACCATACGTGCAGTACTCCAGCGCAGAGAAGACCGAAATCGAGCAATGGCTGATCACATCCCACCACATCGCCTCCAGCACCGAAGACAGCGCCAAAACATCCGAGCGTCTCTCCACCCTCAACACCCATCTTTCCACCCGCACAACCCTCCTCGGCAGCAAACCCAGCATAGCCGATGTTGCTTTGTACGCCCGCATGGCGCCTGTTGTGAAAGACTGGTCGGACGAGCAGCGGACAGGTGAGCAAGGCTACCATCACATCGTTCGACATCTCGACTTCGTCCAAAACGCACCGATGTTCGGCTTGAAGCTGTCCGACTCGGACAAGGCCAATATCGACCCCAGCAAGGTGGTCAGCCCGATCAAGCCAGTCGACGCAAAGGCGGAGAAGGAGCGAAAGAAGAAGGAGAAGGCTCTGGCTTCAGCGGGTGCCGACACAGCAGCGGCAGCCGGAGGAACGGTAACCAATGCTGCATCGTCCGACGCTCAGAACGCGGAGAAGGGCAAGTCGAAGAAGGAGAAAGCGAAGGATCTGGGTGACAGAGTCGCGACCGCAGTCGGTGCAGAAGTACCAGGCGTGAGCAAGAAGAAGGAAAAGGCACCGAAGCAGCCCAAAAATGCGCCAGCACCCGAAAAGCCCTTCTCGCCTGCCCTCATCGATCTGCGGGTTGGACACATCCTGAAGGCCGAGCAACATCCTAACGCAGATTCGCTATACGTCAGCACCATTGCATGTGGCGACGCGCCTGGAACGGACAATACCTCCGAGTACGAAGGCAAAGTCGTGCGGACAGTGTGCTCAGGGCTGAACGGGCTGGTGCCGCTAGAGGAGATGCAAGGTCGCAAGATCGTCGCCGTCTGCAACCTCAAGCCCGTGACGATGCGAGGGATCAAGAGCGCGGCAATGGTGCTTGCGGCGTCGCCTAGACTTGCGCCTGGAGAGACGGACAACCATGCCGGGCCAGTGGAGCTTGTCAATCCGCCTACTGGTGCCGAGGCAGGAGAGCGCGTGTTCTTTGAAGGATGGGAGGGCGAGCCAGAGCCTGTGCTCAACCCGAAGAAGAAGGTGTGGGATGATTGCCAAGTGGGCTTCACGACAACGGAGGATAAGGTGGTGGCGTTCGATGCGAGCGCAGTGGAGAAGTTGAAGGAGAGTGGGAAGGGGGTTGCGCAGTTGAAGACGAAGGAGGGGGTGTGTACGGTGAAGAGTCTGAGCGGCGCTACTGTGCGATGAGGAGCAGCCTCAGTGGGTTTTGAAGGCTTGGTGATTGATGACGTGTACGGCAAGGATTACGCTGCGAAGCGACTAATCTGCGAGACAAACTGCAATTTCCGCAGTCTTGCTCATGTAGAGGAGAAGGTTGCTATATCCTGCTGTATTCAGCAGAGGCGGGCTGCTTGCTTTCCAGCACAGCTTCGAGCTCAAAAGATCACGAAGAGCCGTAACTGGCGAGATGCCTCAGAATACCCCCCAAACAAGTTTCATAAAGCACTTAACAACCCGCGACATCTCGCTTTCTCTAATAGACTCTGGATCAACGTAAGCTGGTCGATCCAGCGGTTATTGCATTACTCCAGGCACACATATATGCCAACATTCTGTCGCGAAGAGCTAGGGAGCTAACACTTGATTCTGCTACGCTCGATGCCATGGAAAGCTCTACCCTCCAGTCTACAGCGCACAAAAGCAACCCAGCCGAATGCACCCGTGGCTAGCGGATCTTCGTTGGCGACTGGAACCGCAGACTCGGCCTTCTGCGCACAGACTGACTGAGCGTTCCGTTCCCCTGACTCACTGCTCTCGTCAACGCCCTCAGATCCTTTGCTGCTGTAGATGGCTTCTCAGACGTCCACACTGCCTCTGCACCTCTTAGAATGACGTCGAGGTCGCTTTCAGTAATGTAGTTGGCCGTCTCAGGCGAAGTTTCCTGCACATCTTCCTCGTCGTGAGTGAAGTCCATCTGCTCAGGGTTGAAGTACGAAGACCGGCGCCGCGGCATGATGATGTGACGGGCTGGATCCGGTGCACGAAGGATGTCCGATGCATCTGCGAAGTAAGAGCTTCTCGAGGCATCGACGATGCTGTTGCGTCTGGTGTTGGCGGCTGTAGCTTCAGGATTCGATGTCAGATCGGATACCAGCGAGATGCTGTTCTTTAAGATTGAGCGCGGTTGGTGTGCTGCCATGCGATCCGATACATGTCAGCATGCGGATCCAAGGCTGGAAGGGCCGTGTCTACCTACCTGTTGTCGAGTCTTGCTGCCTAGCTTCACCATTCGGACGAGGTCCTGGCAAAACTCGGGGCGGCAAGCCCGGTAGTTGTGGAGCTTCTGGAGTGAACACGTCTTGTATGCCCTCATTCACTTCGATCAGTGCGGGCCGCCTTCGCGGTCTGGAGTATCTTCCCGGTTGTCTAGACCGTCGGGCTCCACGGTTGCTGCGAAAGTCCAGCGTGACACCTCTGCCCTTCGTTGGCTGCTCGCGAGGAGGTGGAGGTGGAGGTGGAGGAGTCACCGTCCATGGCTCTGAGTCGTCGGAGTGAACATCATCATCACTGACCAAGTTGATGACGTTGTCATTTTTCGCGCCATTCTCCTCAGAGTCGACATCATCCTCGTGGTCGCCGTCCTCATCCTGAGAGTCGTACTCGCTTGCTTCTCGTTCAGGAGCTCGGATTGTCGACAGTTCAGCCATGATGATCCTCGTGCGCTTACGAGCGCTGGAGCGTGCAATTGAACTCTCGCGCCGTGTTTGCAACTGTGGAGGGGAAGCTTCTGGCTGGATGAAGGTGTTTTCGCCGTCCAGCTGACGGACGGACCCAGAAACGCCCTGGCCGCTCACGTTAGACTCCACCTTCAACCGGCTCGGGGTGTCGCAGAAGTCAACGTCCGGCAAGGGACCGTTCGTCAACTCCAGAGATGCCAGATTCGGTATAGAGGGTGATCGCCACTTTCGTCGCTTCTTCACAGTGCCGAACGTGAGCTCGCTGTCTTCGAAACCGTCTCCACTGCGATGGCCCGCAGTGGAAACCTGAAACTTGTCCGTCTTCCTGATGGCCTTGAACAGTGGAGGGGGAACTTTCCAGCGGGCTCTTAGAGCACTGACAGGCGTCTTTGCCGGCACTTTTGTACTGTCGCCGTCATCGCACACGGTGGGCGAAGTTTTGCTCTTAAAAGGCGGGAGGGAGGAGTCGACGATTGGGTCCTGAACGGCAATGCTGGGAAAGCTGCTTGCTGGCGCATGGTACTCGAGAGGATTAGGCACCGAAGAAACCAGCTGAAGCTCATTGGCAGGCACAGTGCGAAAGATTACCGCCGTCTGCTTGGGTTTGGCACTGGATACGCTCTTGGTGCTGCACTGGGCTGTCGTCTTGGGTCTAGCCCCTGGAGCTGGTGCGATGGCCGTGGCAGGGCTTTCCTTGTGTGGTGTTGCAACATCAGTCTGCGTTCGAGTGTCTTTCGCTTTCACCCTGACAGCAGAAGCTGTTGTGGCGACTCCTTCAGCATTGTCATCCTGGTGTATTCGGCGGCGTAGCGTCTGCCGTGCTGTAACGTCTTGCCCTGGTACAGCATGTGAGCTCTCTGCGACCTCTGCGCCTTGTTCTACGGAGCGAGGATGCCCTTTCGCAGCTTGCCGGCCATCTCTGCTGTCTGAAGGCAAGTCGTACATACTGCTTCGAAACTGCTCAGCTGCCAATGGGAGAGGTCTCGCATTCTTCTTGCCATATGTGATCAATGGCCGCACCGATGTTTGGTGTATGAAGCGCCGTGCTGGTAGTCGACCTTGCCCTTTGATATGCTCGCCATGCCGACGCATTGTTCCTTCTTACCTAGCTGTAAGTTCATCTCAGTGGTCGAGCTGGTGCTGTGGAAAGTTGAAGTGAGGTCAGGACAGAGTTTGGCACGACTGCCTGCGGCGCGTGACGAGAAGGAAGGAGCGATCGAGTCGGACTATACCTTGCGAATGGAGAACGAGAGACGATCTAAATGGAACATCAGAGTCTACGTGTACTTCAGCTGCTGTTGTCAGACTCGTGCTGTGCACTGTCGCAAATTGGTATCATGGTATGCATTCTCGAACGCCAGCCGATGCATCAACAACCCACCCTCACATCCGCCTGATCTGCTCCTCGTTCATGTAATTCTCCAGTCCATCATTTAGATGGTCCCACCACTCGAACATCATTGTGTCGCAGATGAGCTTGAACCACGGCGTGAATTGCAGCTTGCCCTCCGTGAACATCTGCTTCAGCTGATCTGACGTCACGTACTTCGTGTCCTGCACCTCGTTCGGGTTCACATTCAGATCCACATCGGCCTTGATGAACAGGATGTAGTCGATCTCGTGCTCTCCCCACTTGCCGTCGCTGGGAGCCTTGTAGTGTATCCTCGTCAAGAACTGGAACATGTCGAGAGGGACTTGCTCAGGCTTGATCCCGAGTTCGTGGTCCAGCTTCCTCTGCGCAGCCCTCTTCGCGCCTGCGACAGCTGCCTCCAACGTCGAACCCGTCTCGGTGGGTATGCCCAGAGGATGCGAACAGCATGTGTTTGTCCATAAGTCTGGGAACGTGATCTTCTCTGTCGCTCGTTGTTGCAAGAGTAGTCGATTCTGCGAGTCGAAGAGGAAGCAGGAGAAAGCGCGGTGAAGGAGTCCTTTGTTGATATTTTCCATCAGATGGCAGACTTTCTTGCTCGCGCTGCCGATTGGCATGTCGTTCTCGTCCAGGACGATGCACACTTCGTCCATGAGCCGTATCTGCTCTTCGTCGTACCCGGCGAGGTCGGCATCTCGAGTCGCGGAATTTGCTGTTTGTTCCGCGAGTTGTGTGTTGATTTCAGGGAACAGGCGGAGGATGTTTTGTGCTGAAGGCTGCTCGGTCTGTGTGACCGTCGTTGTGGTTGACATGGTTGCGAGTTGCGAGTTGTTGAGTTGAGGAAGTCCTGTGGGGGTTCTCGAAGACCAGGAGGCGCTCTAGAAGAGGTGAATAGATCGTTCGATTCAATGGCAGACTTTCCAGAAGCCGAGACGCAGGGCAATTTCAGGGCAGGTGGCGCCGATGGAAGTGCACGTGACTACTGAGGCTAACCTTTTTGACTTCATCCCGTCACAGACCGCCGAGAATTGAAGATCGCCTCCTGTCGCGTGGGCACTTTTTCACCATCACCCACTTTCTCTTCGGTATATTTGCTTCGCTGGTGGAGGTGGTTTGGCAGTGTCACAGCTTGAGTGGTGGACATTGATTGTTCTACGCAGAGACATGCTGGTCCGGTCTGCTGGACGGAGACAGCAGCGGCGGACAGCACAACTTCTTGCTGCGTCCTTTGCTCAGCTTAACCTCCCATGGCTGGCGCCCGCCCAGTTGAGATGGAGCGCCACTCACTCGCCCGCGTCCTCACAGCCATCTCGGCCTCGACGGAGAAGTTCATCCCGCGATCGAACAACCACGACACAGAGCCGACGCTTGGCCACTACAACAGATCAGCAACCTTCACGATCCTTACCTCAGTACCCTCCCCCCGGATACGCAGACCCCTTTCGCAACCCATCGCATGACAACCATGTCCCGTGGGATGCCAACGAGTGGTCAAAGAGGCGACTGTCTAGCATACGGCCTTACGCGGCTCCGATAGTCCTCAACACCAACCTCGACTACCCCGACGAGACAGTCAAGATACTTCATGGCGTTCAAGGCACTGCCCACGACTTGTTGCAACATCTCCACACTTCATTGCGGGTCAGGCGGTTCAGTAGGGCAGAGGACATCATACGCCGCCTCAATGGCATATTCCGCCCCTATTCCGCAGAGCTCGTGCATGCGCATACTGCGTATCTGGAGGCCTGGTTTGGAGAGCTGTCGCTGCATGGGCGTAGCGAGGAAGCCGATAGAGTCCTTGATAGGATGCAGAAATGGTTTGAGGTGGAAATCCAACAGAAAGGGGTGCGACTTGATGCCAGGTTGTTGGTGGCCATGATTCGTGCTTCTATCAAAGCTTTGACAGGCTCTAAACGGGACCGGACAATCAGGCGTTACTTGGACTTGGCACAACAGCAGGGCACCGAGGTTTATGACGAAGTTATCGACTCTCCGGAATACGATGACCACGAGTTCACGTTGCTGGGCCGCGTCAGTTACGAGCACCTTCAGCCGCAGGAGCCTGACATGAAGGAAGCTCAACCACAACAGGACGAACCTGCACCTCTCCAACGGAGTGATGCTGTGCCTATGGAGGGCGTACCTGCCGTACTTCCTACCGCCTTGCGAGGTGACGGCCTCGCTGGGGTCAAGAGGGCTTTACAAGATTTTTCTGAAATACCTCCTCTGCCGGCCGATGCAACAGTAGAGCAAAGGCGCGAGCACGCTTTCGCGCGACAGCAGGCCATGGAAGAATCATCCGTACAGATAGCCATGGACAGGTGGCGCAAGGCAGACGACGAATTGCGGAAGATTGGAATAAACACTTCGATGCAGAGCAAGCCGATCAATGCTCTGATGTGGCAATGGTACCAGGCTCTTTTGCCAGCCTTGGAGCAAGAGCTAGAGGAATGCAAGAAGCTCCTCAGCAATCCTGGTAGGACAGATCACGAGCGGTATCACTACGGCCCATATCTCGAGCTTCTGCCGCTGGACAAGATCGCCGCGAACACAATCTTGTACACCATGACCAAGCTTGCAGGGAGAGATCGAAAGAACGACCAATATACTTGTGAGGTGACACTTACCGTACTGACAATGGGTCTTGCGAAAGCAATCGAGCAGGAGTGCAGTGTCAACTCAGCCAAACAGAAGTCGTTAAAGCGAAAGGGCAACAAGAACTACCATATGCAGAAGAAAGGAAACAAGACGAAATCCAAAGCTCACCAGGAGCAGGACGACTTGCTGGCCAGTCTCAGTTGGCCAATCGAAGCCAAGGCGAAGTTCGGGTCTATGCTGGCTACGAAGTTGATGGAAACTGCACAGCTCCCGGTCACTCGGCTGCATCCTCGAACAGGTGAAAACATGACCCAAGCACAGCCTGCGTTTCTGCATCGCTTCAAGTGGGAAAAAGGGAAGAAAATTGGCATGCTCAGCCCAAATCCTGCCCTGACGGAGAAACTCGAGAGCGAGCCTGTCGGCAGCCTCATCGCCAAGCGCATGCCTATGGTCGTCGAGCCTAAGCCCTGGACCGGGTGGGACAAAGGAGGCTACTTGCACTACGCCACAGACATTTTGCGTGTGCAAAAGGGTGACCGCAATGGAAAAGACTATTTTTTGGCTGCGCACAAGAGAGGCGAGACGACACAGATCTACGCCGGGCTTACAGCGCTCGGACAGGTCCCGTGGAACATCAACCACAACGTGTTCAAAGTACTGCTCGAAGCCTGGAACTCTGGCGAAGCGATTGCGAACCTGGCGCCTTTGCATCCTCAGCTTGACTATCCTCCAGAACCTGAGGCGTCCGCGGACCCAGCACCAAGGCGAAGGTGGCTTGAAGAGGTGCGCGAGGTGGAGAATAAGAGGATTGGCCTCCACTCGGAACGGTGCTTCCAAAACTTCCAGATGGAGGTCGCGCGCGCAATGCTGAACGAGACCATGTACTTTCCGCACAACATGGACTTCCGTGGCCGCGCTTATCCGATCCCACCGTATCTCAACCATATGGGCGCCGACAACGTGCGAGGGCTGTTGACGTTCGGTGAAGGCAAAAGGCTCGGCGCAACCGGCCTCAGATGGCTGAAGATTCACCTCGCTACGGTCGCCGGACACGACAAGGCCAGTCTTTCAGAACGGATAGAGTTCACCATGAATCACTTGGACGACATCTACGACTCAGCGCGCAACCCGCTAGGCGGCCGAAGATGGTGGCTGCAGGCGGAGGACGCTTGGCAGACGCTGGCCGCTTGCTTCGAACTCACCGCCGCCCTGGACTCGCCAGATCCAGAAGGTTTCATCTCTCATCTTCCCGTGCAGCAAGACGGTACTTGCAATGGACTTCAGCATTACGCAGCTCTCGGTGGTGACAAGATTGGCGCAGCACAAGTCAACCTCGAGCCGGGTGACCGACCTGCGGATGTCTATACTGCTGTGGCAGAGGCTGTCAAGGCAGATGTCCACCAGGATGCTCTCGATGGGAATGCGATCGCGAAGAAGCTGGACGGCAACATTACCAGGAAGTGCGTGAAGCAGCCCGTGATGACCAACGTCTACGGTGTCACCTGGTACGGAGCCAAAGAGCAAGTGCGCAAGCAACTCGAGGTCATATTCCCGGATGTCCGGAAGTTCGATGAGGTGAACTATGGCAACATGTCGACCTACATCGCGACCAAAATCTTCAAGTCGCTGGGTACCATGTTCGGTGGCGCGCAAGCCATTCAGCACTGGCTCGGCCAGTGCGCGGACCGCATCTCGACATCTTTGACCCCGAAGCAAGTGCAGGAGCTGTCAGCTAATTCCATGCAGCCGATCCAAAAGAAAAAACCCAGGCCAGGCCCCAAGAAGGTCGAGGTTGTCAAGGACAGGCCACATGGAACTGGTTCTACCGAAGGTGACCGGAATCAGCAACGCGCCGCAAAGCCCATGTTCAAGTCAACCGTTGTGTGGACTTCGCCACTCCGCTTACCAGTGGTCCAGCCGTATCGAGCGGACACAAAGCTGGTGGTGAGGACGAATCTGCAGGGCTTGACGTTGCAGGAACCGCGGACGTGGCACCCTGTCAGCAAGCGGAAGCAACTGCAGGCCTTTCCGCCGAACTTCATTCATTCCTTGGATGCGACGCACATGCTGCTGAGCGCGCTGAGGTGCAAGGAGAACGGCATGACCTTTGCCAGTGTGCACGATTCCTTCTGGACTCACGCCTGCGATGTCGACCGCTTGGGTGTGGCTTTGCGCGACTCCTTTGTGGAGATGCACAGCGAAAACATCATCGGCCGACTGAAGGAGGAATTTGAGACGAGATATGACGGCTACATGTACCTCGCGACAGTACTAGCCAACAGCAAAGCCGGCAAGAAAATCTCCCAGCTTCGGAAGGACAAGAAGCTGAAGTCGTCCGAAGAGCTGGCGTTGGAGGCCGAGCACACCAAGCTGCTCAACAGCGACGACCCGGCCGAACGCAGCAAAGGCGAAGCCATGCGAACTCCCGGCAGCATTCTCGCCAACGAAGGCGACGACAAAGCCTTCGCCGTCCCGTCGGAAATCGAGGACCATCAACTAGGCAATATCCCCGAGAACCTCGACATGCGACCGGATTCCGAGGCGACAGGCCTCACCGCCGAAGCAGACGAGGGTGTCGTCGGCGGCAGCGCTTTGGCCACGGATACCGACGCGATCGATGCCGAGAAGGAGACCGCTGGGCGAAAGGGCAAAGCAGCGGCCACGGTGGGCAAGTCGGGAAAGCCGCACAAGCAGTATCCAAGGAAGCTTTTTGTGTGGATGCCGTTGACGTTCCCGGACGTGCCGCCGAAGGGGGAGTTTGACGTGAGGAAGATTCGGGAGAGTGATTATTTCTTCCATTGAGGGGGTTGTTGTTGTTGTTGTTGGTTGGTTGGGGAGGCTGAGGTTTGCGGTTTAGCGAGCATGGAGGTGGTGTTTGGGGATTTGGAGGGGGTGCATAGCGTGGTGGGATTGTACTAACATGTGTGTTTATAGATATATACTACTGTACTGTACAAACACCCTTCACTAGTTGCGAGAACGAGACATGAAGCAATACTGTACATATGCTCACCGTCCCGACTCCTCGGTGCGCCTGCAACGCCATGAATCGCGTTCCCTTCTTCACAATCGCCGGGTCGTGCCACCGACGATCCTGCCAACCTGACCGCCGGTACCAGAACGATTGATGCCCTACAGCCTCGCGCACAACGCTGCAAACGAACACTCACTTTCCTCTTCTCAACACCTCCAAAGCGATCCCTTCCTCTCGTGCAAATCTATCACCCGGCGCAGCGTCCCGAATCGTCCTCCTCCCCGTTCCTTCTCAGCTGCACCACTGCAAGCGAGCTGCGAGCACCGCAAAAGCCGTTGGGGCTCCACTCTCACGCTCCAAGCGAGCGGGACGAGCGGGTTTTCCCCCTCCCTCCTGTGCGTCTCCGTGCCATCCCTGCCGCGGGCGATGCTTAGCTCGCTTCTGAGTTTGAGGTGTACCGTGTTCCGGCTTGCTGGGCCTGGGAAGTAAAGTTACTTTTTGCTTTGCTTTGAGCTGCTGCTCCGCACTTCATTGTTCGCTTTCGACTTTCTACGTCCTCGACTCTCTCTGCTTGAGGGACACTGAGACATTATCTCTCGTGGTAGATGGAGGGTCATACGGATAAGCAGGAGAGGAGGAAGGGTGGGTTGAGGAGGGTGATTGCGAAGTTGAAGGGTGCGTTTGGAAGGCGTGGTGGGAAGGTTAATGCTGCTGGGTCGAATGAGGGAGCGGCGAGTCAGCAACGTGAAGAGCCAGTTGCGAGGGAGGGAGGTTTCAGCGAAGCTCCGGTTGGGAATACTTCGTCTCCTGCGGAAAACGTGGTCGAGGACACATTAATATCGATACCACCCGCGAGCTCAAACGCTGTTCTGGTTGCAGAACACGACAACACGATGTCGGTTCCTGAAGACGAGAAGAAGACCGAGTCTGCTCCTCCAGCACGACAGAATCGCAGCGGGATGGCGGCAGAAAAAGCACAGGCGCTGTTTGAGAAGTACGGCGTGACATACGACCCGAGTACTGCACCCGCGGTATCAGAAACGAAGGCTCGACGGGTGGAGAAGCCGATTCGGATTAGGATACACTGGACGTGTCACGACTGCAACAGTCAATTCGGAGGGAGCAAGACGTGCGCGAATTGCGGACATAGACGGTGTGGTGAATGCCCGAGGGCGCCTGCGAAGAAGATCAGAGAGGCGCTGGAGAATGCTCAGAATGCAGCGAGGGAGCAGAATGGTGGTGCTGGTCCGGGCATGGGAGGGATGACTACGGCGCTGGTGGTCGAGGCGTCGGAGGCGGCGTCACCAGCGCTCGCAGCTGAGAGGACGCTATCTGGGAATATAGAGGCTCGGACTCCTGAGGATATGGCAGCGGACGACCTTCCAGCTGAGCTATCACTGTACGTCAAGCAACAACGTCCGTCGACGGGTGTGGAAGCGGTGTTTGAGTCACAAGATCGAACGACCCGACGGACTTGCCACGAATGCGAGACTCACTTTGAGCCAGGCCATGCGGATGAATGTCAACATTGCGGGCATAAGCTATGTACCGCCTGCCCTCGAGATCCCATCCGCCGCAACCAGTCCACTCGAGACGGGACAGACGACCAAGAGCGCAGTCGAAAAGTGCAAAAGACCTCAACCGTCCAACGCGTCTTCCGCAAACCCCGCCAACGCATCCGCTGGACCTGCCACGAGTGCGACTTGACCTTTGTCGACAAGCAGAAGTGTCGCGGGTGTGGACATGAGCGGTGCAGGCAGTGTCCGCGGACTCCGTGAGTCTTACTACCACGACCACCTTTCACCTAAGATACTTACTGACATACTGCCAGTTCCAAGAAAGTCCCACCACCGCCAGACCCAGCCGTGCTGCAATCGCTAGCCGATAAGCTCGGTGGGACGAAAGTGTGCGCCGAAGATTCAGAGGTCGAGGCTACTACGGCGGAGTAGCAGGATGATGTCAGACGTCGACTTGATATGATACCCTATTGGTTTTTACGAGCGGTTCTTTTTGGGCGCTTTGAGCGGGTTTTGGGGGGGTAATGGGGAGTCAAAATTGGGCACGGTTATGAGCGAGCGAGCGGCTTCTTTGGGAAGGACTTTTCGGAACTTTTTGAGAGGTTGGTAGATTACTGCAGCGGATGAGACGATGTGTGCTATGAAGAGTACCTACCTACCTTTAGAAGGGACATTGACTCGAGGTTCACGGCTATCCGCACCTCTCACGGTGCCAAACTTGATTTTGTCTAATGTCGATTCGAGCTGTCATATTCGCACCCACTCTCTGTACCACCCTTCACCCTTCACCGTCGCGTCCCAACCCAACCTTATCGATCCGTCTCTGTGGTCTGAAACTGGCCCCGTCCCACCGCCCTCGCGTGTCCAGCACGTGTCCCCGTCGCACAACCTCTATAAGTGGAGTGGGCAGTGGCTTGCCCTCGCTTAGAAGCTTTTTCACTTTTGGTGGACATCACGGATCACGGATGTGATTTGTCCGAGTAAGCGAGCGCCTGCTTGGTTGTGCTGGATGGCAAGGATGGAGGTGCCGGTGGATCCACTATATAATGACAACCCAACAACGGGCGCGCTAGGAGGTGGAGTGGACTAGAGGGCCGTAGCGGCAGCAGGGGTGGCAAGATGCACGGGCGAAGGATAGAAGCGAAACCTGGATGTCGGGAACAAGAACAGGAACACTGGAGGAAAGGCGACTACGTACTGTACGACAACTAACTATAGACTTGCCCACCTCATGCTGTTCAGACTGACGTTGACGTCGGGAAGGCTTCTCTCGTCAAAACACCAGCATCTTCAGGAATGAATGGCTGACGAATAGGTTGGCGGTCAGACAAACGTGCAAGCGAGAGTCGAATCGATAGCGCGTGGATGTACATGGGCTTCGGCTGCGTAACCGACACACCCTGCCTGTCTACGCTCTACCTTACCGCTCACGCCATGGTCCGGGAAAGGTACCACATCTGGAGCCAGTGCTATAGACGCGATGCTGCGGGTCTACACTACAACAAGGTACAGTAGCAGCAAACACCATTCAGCAAAACGCGTCCAAGCCTCTCCGTCAATCGTGAAGATAAGGTAGGGGATAGAGGTATGATGGGGATTCCCAAGGTACACACCTGAGCAATAATTCAAGGACGTGACGGTCGCATTGTGCAGTCGCCGTCTCACGACAACAGATGAGAGGCGAGTCGTTCATATAGTTCAGGGTAAGGTCGCCACACCACTGCTCTTCTCCTGGAAGAAAGTACCCTCTCCTCTCACCCCTTCCGCCCAAACCCAAAATGATGCCTCTTCTTCTCCTTCTCCCTATCCTTATCCTTGTCCTTCGTAAGCTTCGCCGAACTGTTCGCCTGCGCAGCCGCACCACCAGCACCTGGCGCGTTCCCATTCGCCCTCCCATCCAACTTCATCCCCGCCATCCCCTGCTCCGGCGGCCTCGGCGCCGACGGCGCTGCTGGCCTCTGCTGCTGCTGCTGAGCAGGTGCCTGCGGCGCGACTTTCGGCTTCGGCACTTCGTCCGGCTCGAAAAGATGCGCAGGGGCCTGCTGCTTCGGCTGCTCTGCGGGAATCCCCAAACGGCGTTTATCGACTGACAAATCCGAGACTTGTCTTACGAAGAGTTGCGGCGTGAGCATATGCGATGTCGTCAAAAACACTTCCCTTCCCGTAGAGCGGCCGACTTCGTAGCACGCCCGCGCTTCGGCGTACGTGGCGCCCCCGGCCATGAAGACGATGACACGCTGGCGGTTCTCGGCGCTGACGTTCGAGCGGGCAGATTTCGCCCACGTGGGCTTCGCGGAACGCAGGGAGGTGGCGGAGACTTGCTGCGCCTGATCGGCGCCGAGGTCGAGAGGGGGTTTGGTGTAAGGGAAGACGTTGGCGTCGAGGGTACCGGCGGCGTGGCATTCGAGGAGAGATTGCACGGCGGGTTCGTAGCGGGAGGAGAGGAATTCTTCCTGGGCGCCGGCGAGGGGCGGGGGTTTGCGGGGGAATAAGGGGGGAGGTGCGGGGCGGGGGTCTTTGAGGGCGCGGGAGGTGCGGGCGCCGAGGAGCTCGAGGTTGGTGAGGATTTGGGTGTCTTGTTGCGGGAGCTGGGCGTGGGCGAGGAGTTTGGAGACGTCGGCGGGGAGGAGGCCGTCGCGGTGCAGGAGGTAGAGGAGGAGCAGGCGCAGGCGGTCGGGTGGGGTGACGTCGTCTTCGTCGAGCGTGCGGATGATTTGGTCGGCGAGGCCTTTGGGTTTCTTGTAGTCTTCGTCGAGGCCGGTGGCGCATGTCTGCAAAACAGTGAGTCTGAGCTGAGGCATGCTGAATGAGACGTAGGTTGACGTACCTGCTCCACCGAGCTCAACTCGCCCAGCTTCCACCCCTGAAATCGATTCATACACTCCTGTGCCATGCCTAGATGCAACGCGTACGCTTCCTTCATCTCCTGGAACTGCGGCAACCCCGCGAGCATGTCTTTAATGGCGTTCAAGCTGTTCCCGCCCTCATCACCAGCTTTATTGGTGAAGTTTGGGTTGTCCTTGATGAACCGCTGGAAGTCTGCCATCAATTTCTCAATCACATCTTTCATGTGCCTGTGCCGGTTCTCAAGCCAGATCTTGTCCTTTTCGGTTATGGCGATGTCCTTGATTTCTTGGTCGGGCTGGCCTTCATTGATGGTGACGCGGTAAGTTATCTTGTCGCTCTCCTGGATAGGTAACAGATCGTGTGCCATGGCTTGATACGTAAACTCGTGTAATAGCGGTCCCATCAAATCGATGCTGCGATCGAGGATGTAGAGTGTCCCCCGAGGCCGTGTGGTCGGAGGTGGGAAATCGTTGTGGAATTTGGCGTAGAGGTCCAGCTCATCTTGTACAAAACGTGCCAGGTGTGAGCAAAGTATGCTGGCTTCGTGAGTGGGTGTTCGAGGGCGGTAGTAGCGTATTGTTGGGTACTCCCCTAACGCCACGCAGACCCCGACTATCTAGCAGAAGTATTAGCAATTGTCTCCAGTTGATGTGCAGAGACAATACCTTCTGAGCGACGTCCTCCATATGCTGCCTAACCAAGTTGTTGCACGCCGGGTGGAAGAGTATGGGAAAGCTCCATGGGTCTCGGAAGGTCACGAGATGTGACTCTCGTGGATAGTATTCTGTATTAAGGACGGTGAAGTGGTCAATCTGTTCTCGTGCAATCTGGCTCTTGTCTATTCGGTCTCGGAGGGCAGGGTGTAGTACTATTTCTATTCGTCAGTAGCTGCATCCTGCTTATACCTCCTCCAGCTCCACACGCACATGACGTCCACACCAGATGTGCCCTCTTGTACTTCCTCTTTTGAAAGTCGGCCATGACACAGTCCACGATATGCGGTTGCGGGGTGAGGAAGTAGAGGGCGTCGACATCGCGGTTGGTGGGCCGGCGGTCAGTGATCTGTTCGATGTCTGGAGTAAGTCAGGGCTGGTGTACTGCGGGCCGTGTGTTGATGCTTGATCGCGGAGGAGGCGCACATACTCGTGATGTTCTCGTTGAGGAGGGCATCTTCGTCTATGACATTGTCGAGGAGTCGTCTGCTGTCTCGATCGACCACCAGCACTTTCCACTGTCCACATCGTTAGGCTGCGAGCTCAGACTGGGGCGTTTGGAGCGTACATCATGCTTGGTAATGTGGTGGATATGGCCGAGAATCACTGGCAGACTATCAGCACTGCTCTACTCGGCGAAAGGGAGCCTTGCATACCATCGCGCTGGGCATCTATGAGCGAGACCCCCATATCGGGCAAGGCTGATTGCCGTGCCTTCGATGTGGTCAAGGTGCGGGTTGGACTTGGGCGGACATGCGATATTGGAGCTTCTGTATGACTTGAACTAGCCTTGAGTAAGTGAATAGCAGCCAAACCCCTCACGTGTATGGTATATGAATCGTTGCATGTGATCGAGAAGGTGTGGAAGTGGGATGTCCTGCTGCTGCTCGTGCGCCACAGCTCCGCGCCACGCGACATTGCCCTGCATCCGTCATTGATGGATCGAGAGTCTAGAAATAATCCAGCTTCATCCTCTGCTCTCCAGTCACCTCCCCCATCGACCACTCGGTAATGCAAGCTGCCAACCCTTTCACCGGCAGATGCATCTACTGCGCCTTCCGCTCCCACCAGCACGCTCTCCGCGCTCGCCGCCTTAACCTCCCTCCCCCAGGAAGCCTCCGCCTCCACTCCCAGTCGCAGCGCGCTGCCAGTACAGGCACTCTCAGATCGAAGCATCGCCGAACCGAAGGCAGAGAACATGGCAACGGTAGCACTCGCAGGTCTCCTTCCGGAAGCAAAGACTCTGCGCGCTCAGTCAAGATCACGAAACACATTCTCGATTACGAACCTTCAGACGCTGGGACATTCCGTCCCCTGACCAAGAACGGGGGCCACAAGGTCACCGGACGAAATGCCAGAAATGCTGCCCAACAGCAATACAGCTTCGACCAGGCCCTCAGCAATCGCCTGCAAGTCGCAAAGGAGGAGCTCAAGGATGTCCCGCTCCTCACCCAGCTCCGCAAAGAAGCAGGGGCGAGAGGAGACAAGGCCGAGCCGTTTGAGAAAGTGTGGAAGCGTTTCGTGGCGCCCCTGCGCGGAGAAGCAACACCATTCATTGGCTTTGATGAGAAGAGGAGCGGTGTTTTGAAGGGGCTGCAGGAGGCGTACAGCACGAGAGGACAGAATGGCTTGGACGATCGAATACGATATGCGTTCTACGCTGAGCTTACGGGCGCGCGGTTCACGGCGACGGATATACGGAATCAGCAGGCACTAGCCGATCTGCGGTATCCGAGCGAGTGGTATCCGGCGACGAGAGTGATGCACAGGACGATACATTTACATGTGGGGCCGACGAACAGTGGGAAGACATACCATGCACTTCAGCGGCTGGAGCAGGCCGAGACGGGGATGTATGCCGGCCCGTTGAGATTGCTGGCGCATGAGGTGTACTCGAGGATGAACGCCAAAGGCAAGTCTTGCAGTCTGATTACCGGGGAGGAAAGACGGATCGCAACTCATCAAGGGACCGACAACAATATAGCGGCATGCACGGTGGAGATGGCGACTTTGAACAGGACAATGGACGTGGCGGTGATCGATGAGATACAGATGATTGGGTCGGCCGATCGCGGATGGGCCTGGACGGCAGCACTGATGGGCGTGAAAGCAAAGGAGGTGCATCTGTGTGGCGAAGTGCGGACGATACCTCTGATTCGCGAAATCTGCGCCAGCCTGGGCGAGAAGCTAGAGATTCATCACTACGAGCGTTTGAGTCCGCTCAAAGTCGCGGACACCAGCTTGAAGGGCAGGCTCGCTGATCTCAAGAAGGGTGACTGCATCGTTTCGTTTTCCGTGATGGGGATTCATGCTCTTCGTAAGCAGATCGAGAAGATTACGGGGAAGAAGGTGGCTACGGTGTACGGCTCTCTACCGCCAGAGACTCGCGCGCAGCAGGCCAGACTGTTCAATGACCCGGACAACGACTATGACTACCTCGTGGCTAGTGATGCGGTCGGCATGGGTCTGAACCTAGCTATCAAACGGATCATCTTCGAGGAAGCCTCCAAATTCGACGGCACAAGACGAGGACCTTTGAGCGTTGCAGACATCAAGCAGATCGCCGGACGCGCTGGACGCTATCGCATCGCTGACCAGCAAATGAAGGAGGCTGACAAACGAGCTGAGCAGCAAGACTTAGCGGCCGCCAAAGGCGAGCCCACACCCCCCTCCCCATCAACCCTTCCCCCAACCCAAATAACCCCCGACGACGCCTCCAACGGCCTCGTCACCACCCTCGAAGACTTCGACTTTCCCCTCGTCCGCGCCGCCATGTCCGCCGAGCCCGACCCCATCCGCACCGCTGGCCTCTTCCCCCCCGCCGCCGTCCTCGAGCGCTTCTCCTCCTACTTCCCCCCCTCCACCCCGTTCTCCTACATCCTCACGCGCCTGCACGAGCTGAGCCAGATGCACTCGCGCTTCCACCTCTGCGGCTTGAAAGACCAAGTCTGGCTCGCGGATGTTATAGAGCCCGTGCAGGGTTTGACGGTGGTGGATCGCACGATTCTGACGAATTCGCCCGCGAGTAAGACGGATTTCGAGCTTTGGAGCAAACTCATGCCTGCCCTGGCCCGCTGCGTCGCGGAGCAGAAAGGTGGCGATCTGGTCGACATCGCCGAGCTCCCGCTCGAAATCCTCGACGCTGAAGTGAGCGCGAGCCGCGAGTACCTCCGCGCGCTGGAGCGGCTGCATAAGGGTATCGTCAGCTACCTCTGGCTCTCGTATCGTTTTGCCGGTATTTTCTCGTCCCGCGGCCTGGCTTTCCACACTAAAGGCTTGGTGGAGGAGAAGATCGAAGAGGTGCTGGGGAAGTTTTCGTTTACTGAAGCTACGAGGAGGAAGTTGGCGGCGAAGCGGGAGATGGAGGTGTTGAGAGAGATGGAGAAGGTGGGGGTGGATGAGGGTGGGATTGAGGAAGAGGGGGAGGCGAGGGTTGATGAGGAGGTGGTTAAGAGGGAGGGCTTTGCGCTTGGGCGGGAGCGGGGACGGGATGGTGGAGAAGGCGGGGAGGGGACGGAGAGGGAAGGGGTGGAAAGGCAGACGGAGTTTGCGTTCGGCGGGAACCGCTTTGGAGGGGAGGAGGAGATGGCGTTCGATGACCCGTTGCAGGCGGAGGTCGTGGACGCTGAGGAAGGGGAAGCGGGGGTTGGGGAAACGGAGGGCAAGGGCAGTTTTGCTAAGTGGAGGCGGCAGGAGACCAAGGTCGACTCAACTACTGGTGCAGAATCCGACGTTGACACCCCTCTGGCCGATTCTGCGCCAGAGGGTGAAGACGCTGCCCGCGAAGCCGCCGCCAACGACAGAATATTCGACGTTTCGAGGGACGATCTACCCGCTGTAAGCGACGTGCTGCGGGACGAAGCTGGCGCCGAACAGACCTTCATCCCCGCTGAAGCCAGCGAGGCAGAATCGGCCATGAGTCCCGAACAAGATCCCTCGAACATCAGCGCTCCAACCACGCCAGAGACCGACCTCGACTCCGCCGCCACCGGCTCCGAGAGTGAAACTTCCGCACCCCCGCTCGAGACGCAGGAAGTTTCGCCCTCGCCGCCTCCCGACGAGCTCCATGGAGTCGTGAATCAGGCTCCCCGCGAAGAACGACCTGCGCCGGCGTCTGGCATGCCGCCGAAGCATTTGCATGCGCATCTTGAGGCGGAGGTGAAGGAGGGGGGGAGGGGTGTTGAGTCACGGCCTTGAGCTTGAAGGGTTGGCGGGGAGAGATAGGGGGAGGGGTGTAGATATGGAGGGATGTGGTTGTGTATGATATTCGAGTCCGGCCCTCGAACGACGAGGGCGGGATGTATAGCGTTGGTCTATACTGTAACTTCTGTTACGCTCGTCTTGCATATTTCTGCTTCGTCTTCTCTCTCTCTCTGCTCTGGAGCTCGGTGAGAGCTATCGCTCGCGCATCAGTGCCAGCCATGCTTCGATCGTAAGACCAGTAGCCTCTGCTGTCCTGCGCGGACAGTCTTCGCAAATGTCTTGCCAGGCACTGCGCTCACCATCGGAAAGAGGCGTGGAATCCTTTGCCTTGAGCCAGTGGTGCCTAGCGAACTGGCCGGCATATCGACGATTTCTTCTCCATAAGGGTCTGCCATCCTCCAGGCGTGGTACTATGCTTCGGATAAGAGCATGAGTTGCTCGAAAATCCCATGCTTCTCAAGCATGCCCTCCTCACTCCCACTCTGTCCCCTTCAGCCTCTGCATCAAATACTCCACCTCCACAATCTTCGTCAACGGAATCACATGATCCTTATACATCGCCACCACCCCCTCCACATTGACCTTACTCGGCGCCTCCGCGTCCATCCCCGGATCCACCCCATACGTCTCCGCCTTCACCTTCAACCGCTCCAACACCTTCTGCTCCACCTTCTTATCCGTAATTGCCGCATCGATCCCCGCCGTATCCCCTGCCCTGATCAACGGCACAAACGTCTCCGGCGCGGACTGGAACTTCGACTCCGCCACAAACTTCCCGAAATGCACCCTCCGCGATAGCGACTGAAGACAATTCACATCCGCCGTAGCAGCCGACCCGTAATTCTCCTGCGCCTCCTCCACCCGCCCCCTCTCGCTCCGCTGCGGCTTCACACAGCACTGCGGCAGGATCTCCTGCACATACCGCCGCTTCAACTCCTGATTCACATTCACACTATTCGCCCACAGAATCCGCGGGTACTCCAGTTTGGGGAGTATGAGCGGCTGCATCGCATCCTCGAAAAACGGATACTCGTCCGGGCTCTGGAAACGGCGGATTTGGGATTGCAGTTTTTCTTGCTCGCGGAGGACCCAGTCGGAGAAGGAGAGGGTGCTGTTGGGGAGGGCTAGGGCGCCCGGGGTGTAGATGGCGGGGTTGAGGGGGAATTGGGCGCGTTCGATGAGGTGGTAGAGGACGGTGTCTTCGAGGCGGATTAGTTGGTAGCGGATGTGCGGGAGGGAGAGGGCGGTGGAGGGGTTGGAGAGGTCGAGGGCGAGGTCCATGGTCGATGCCTAGTTGGGGGAGGTTAAGGTGTATTTGCGATGTTATTGTTCCATAGTGAGAGTGCGCGGGTGACGTTGTTTTGGGTTCTGCATTGGAGAGCGGAGCTTGGAAGACCTCCGCGGCGAGGGCTGCACGCGACCTTGACATGTGAATAACTGGGCATCGACTTGGAGCCACTCATGACCACGTCTCGCGCTGTCGCACATAGTCTCGATATGCTGCGATAACAGAACAATAACCACTTCTGAGCAATGGCGGACCGTCGAGGTCGAAGTACCTCCCCCCAGCGAACCACTCGCCAACCACAACACCTCGCATACTCCAACAATGATGATGACTCCCTTCTCAACGTACGTCCTATTCCATGAAGCCTCAGAATTGTACTAACGAGGCAACAGACCCGCCAAATCGAAGCCTTCGGCCGCACCGTCCACGCCACCGCCTCCCAACTCATCTCCGCCAACCTCCCACACAACGATGAACAGTACCGCACGGCGATGAGCAGCGTGCACCGCTCGCTCCGCCGACCCATGATCCAGCGCTCCGTCTTCTCCTTCGCCAAAGCCAATCCCCGAGAGCTCATACGGTCGAATTTCAACACCAGCGAGATCGAGCACCGCGCTATCGCCTACCTACCGGATGAGCTGTTGAGAAACGTACCACCCAGCCGAAGTCCGTTTAGCTTGTTGGATGGCTTCAAAGCCAGTCTGCCGGACGACGACGAAGCGGAGAAGAAGCGGCGGCGGCGACATGGAAAACACGGTAGCAAAGGACAGAAGTTACTGGAAGACGAGAAGGGCCCGCCCAAGCTGGCAGGCATGAAGCGCGAGCGTGATCGGCTGGAGCATAAGCTCGAGATGATGGGTGTGCGGAAAACAATGTGCGCGAGCGAGATCAAGGAGATCGACGACAAGATTGCCAACCTGAACACGATGCGGAAAGTCATTCTCGAGCGGCTGGCGGATCTGGAGCAGGAGGAGCATGATATGGAGGGCGAGCTGGCGGATGTGGTGGAGAAGGTTGAGATTGCGCAGGAGGAGATGGAAGACGAGGCCGCGTTGGCTGCGAGGAGTGGAACGATGGGTGTGGAGGATGACAAGGTTGTCGAGGAAGATGAGGAGGATGAGTCCACGGGAGAGTTCATGTCGGAATCGATATATCAAAAACTGCCGAAGCCTGGGAAGGAGGCGCCATCACCGCGAGCGAAGCGGAAACGGTTGCCCAGGAGGGTGTCGATGCCTGTGTTGCACGAGCATATGGAGCCTGGGTCGCGGATACGGGAGTTTCAGGCGCATAACGATATCATCACTGCTTTGGATTTTGATGCGCCGTTTGGCACGATGGTGTCGGCTGCTTTGGACGACACGGTACGGGTGTGGGATCTGAATGCTGGCAGATGTATGGGTTTGCTGGAAGGCCATCTTTCGAGCGTGCGGTGCTTGCAGGTTGAAGACAATATCGTTGCTACGGGAAGCATGGATGCGAGCGTACGACTTTGGGACCTGAGTCAGGCAGACTACGATCCAAGAGCAGCGGCACCACCGAGCTCAAGTATAAGCGGCAAGCCTGGTGATCTGGAAGACGTGGAAGAAGAGGGTACTTCATCGGCAGGCGATGTATTCACACCCACCTCAGAGAAGCCAGAAGAAATGCTTGAGCCGCACGCAAATGCCATGGCAGACTGCCCGATGTTCACGCTGCAAGCTCACGTCGCCGAGATCACCGCTTTGAACTTCCGCGGCTCAACACTCGTCTCCGGCTCAGCAGACAAGACGATACGGCAATGGGACCTCGAGAAAGGCCGCTGCGTGCAGACGCTGGACGTGCTATGGGCTGCCGCGCAGGCTTCGACTACGAACCAGGCTTCTGCACCGAGTAGTAGCAGCGGCGGTGGCGAGGGGAACTGGTGGCGGCCCACGAGCGCGCGAGTACCTTCTGCTGAGTCGGATTTTATTGGCGCGCTGCAGGTGTTTGATGCCGCGCTTGCGTGCGGTACGGCGGATGGGATGGTGCGGTTGTGGGATCTGAGGTCTGGAATGGTTCATCGGAGTTTGGTTGGACATACTGGGCCGGTGACGGCGTTGCAGTTTGATGATGTGTTCCTTGTTACTGGGAGTCGGGATCGGAGTATACGGGTAAGTCTACAACGTTTTTCCTTGACATTCACGTGCCGGACACTAACGTATTGTACAGATATGGGACCTCCGCACCGGCACCATCCACGACGCCTTCGCCTACGACCACCCCATCACCAGCATGAACTTCGACGCGCGCCGCATCGTCGCCTCCGCGGGCGAGGACGTGGTCAAAGTCTACGACAAGACGGAAGGAAGGCATTGGGATTGCGGTGCTGGGAATCTGGCTACGGATGATGATGTGAAGCCGAGTGTGGTTGAGCGGGTGAGGATAAAGGATGGGTATATGGTGGAGGGGAGGGGGGATGGGGTTGTTGGGGTGTGGTCGTGCTGACCGTAGGCGGGTGGGAATGGTTTGGATTCTGTGGTGGGAGGGCGTAGATTGTATAGATACCATAAGTGACTGCGCTCGGGTGTGTGAATATGAAAAAGTCTGCTCAATATCAACTTCGTCTACCGCCTTCGCTGTCGTTGTTGCCGAAGGAGTTTTGAAAAGTGAGGCAGTTTTTCAGGCATCCAATCAGGCAGCACGACGCGACTTCACGCGTTTTATCGTAACTGCGAATCCATCAACCTCACCCCAATGCCAGATATACATCGCAAACGATGCCACACGCGATAGCGGACTCAGACGACGACAGCGAGTCTGAAATCTTCGTCAATGGCGGTGCGGAGGGCAATGGACAGGCTTCAGCGGTAGGCATGGAGGTTCTTGGGAGAACGAACGAGACACAGAGTACTGGATCAACTGGTATGGAAACTTGCCCCATCTTCTGCGACACCATCACTAACTCCATCATCAGAACGATTAAGACGACAGATGATGTCAGCAGAACAAGGCCTCATGGCGACCAACAACTCCGCCCCGGCCAGGCCACGAGCTTCTGCTTCATCACCGCTGGATCACGCGAAGAAGCGTCGGCATAGCGAACTTGCTGGACCCGACCATGGCCTAGGAGCGGAAACGAGTGTGAAACGGGTCAAGCGCGTGCAAACGTACGGAAGCCGTCGCCAAAGGACCGTTCTCGACGAAGAAGACGAAGACGTGGCCGTGAAGACGTCGCAATCCGCTCGCTTTTCGGAACACTCTGGTGTCCACTCTTCTGCTGAGCTGCCGACTGGCTCTGGCCCGATCGCGGGCGATTTTGCGAATCACGAGCCAGCTGTCATGTTCACGGACTCTGGGAGTACAGTGGAAGCGTCAGTGTCCGAGCAGCAGAGGTTGCTTAATGAGGCGTTGCAGCCTAGGCTTCCGCAACAGATGACTACTTATCCTGCTCCTGCTTCAGGTGCTGAGGCGAACAAGCCGAGCTCGTCGTTGGCGTGGCTGGAGTCGCAGCAGACGCCGGCTACGAATGGCAAGGCTGGTGGCGGAGGACTGTCCGAGGCAAGCGCTGAGTCGAGAGACAATGTTGAAGGGGTCGCTTATGGAGGCGGAGATGGACTGGGTGCTTCTGCAGACCAGCAGCAGAGTTCTGGTAGTGGCGATAGCGGCGAACAGCACACCGACACTTCAACGAACACAGACCCTGAGAAGGCTGATAAAGAATCAACACAGAGTCAGGATGAGCCAGACGCCACGCCTTTACCTCAAGCACCGTCTCTCACAGCTCGCCGAAGTCCGATGGTGGAGATCATGACCACGGCAACCGCCACGGCAGTCTCTCCAGCAATCTCGCCAACAGAATCCACAAGCGCTCTCAAGTCCACCAAAGGCCGTCGCCGTAAGTCTCAAGCTACTGATCCGGATTCAGAGCCGCTCAACTCGGACGACAAGGCTATTGGGCTGCCCAAGGAGCGGTATGTCCCACGCCCAAGCAGGAGACGAGCAACTGCTGCTTTGGAGGAGCCGATCGACTACTCTGTGGCACCAGAGAAGGTCGCAAAGAAGAAGCGCACGAAGTCTACTGAGGAAACTGCTAATAAATCACACGAGGACACCTCCGAGCTGATGGCAAACATCTTGAAAAACCTGGGCAACCAGCAATTCCAGCCGCCACCACAGCAGAATGTGGATGGTTTGCCACCCACGCCGAAGGCTCTTGAGGCTCGCAAGGACGATCCACCTCCTGATGCTCCGAAGCCAGACGAACAAGCTGGATCGCCACAAGCCGTTGCCGACGAGAAGCAAGGTTCTGAAGAGCCTTCATCATCAATTGCTGTGAAATCAAAGGAAGAGCACATCTTCGTCAAGCCAGCGATGCCGACACCCAAGCCCAAGCAATCTGCCAAAGCGAGGCGCTCCCACACGACCATCTTCGAAGATCACGTTGAGTTCATTGGCTCACAACGCTCATCGCCCAGCCTCAGCCAGCAGCAGGCGAAACGCAAATCAGCCCTGAAGAATCCCAAGGACGAGGCAGCTGATACGTCGTCGAGAAAGCGAAGAAAGGTCGTCCAGGACGATGAGGATGATGAGGACGAGCTCGCCATTGTTGAGGAAGACGAAGAAGAGCAGCCGCCACCGAAGAAGCGCGCTAGGGGACGCCCTCCGAAAGCGGCTGCTAAACCAAAGGCCAAGTCCGCTGAAGTCGTTCACGATAACTCTGACGGCGAGGCTCAGCCTGAGTCCGAAGTCGACGAAGCTCCGAAGAAGGCCACAAGAGGTCGTCCCTCGAAGTCAACTGCCAAATCACAAGCGAAATCTGCTGAGATCGTTCGTGATGACTCTGATGACGACGTCCGCCCAGTTGCTGAGGTCACGGAGGCGCCGAACAAGGCCACGAGAGGTCGGCCAAAGAAAGTGAATGGTGCTGAGAGTGAGAAGGAGAATGAGCCTGTCAAGCCGCCGCAAGGGCCTGAAACTGAGCCTGAGCGTGATGTCAACAAGACCACTGAGGATGCTTCCATCTCGACGCCGCAGAAGCCACAGCAGGAGCTACCCACGCCATCGCCCGACAAGCCAGCAGAGAAGCCAACTGAGAAAGCAAAAAAAAGCCCAGCCGCTGCAACGTCTCAGAAACCAACCAAAGCGAGCCCGACCTCCCACAGCCCGATCAAGAACTCTTCTGCTGTCCCTCACAGAGTTGGGCTTAGCAAGAGATCTCGCATCCCGCCATTGCTGCGTGTGATGAACCCGCCGAAGCGCTGATCAGATGATGCTGGAGCATTGCTGTGCGAATCTGGCTTTTCTGTCAACGATTCATGGCTCACGAGATGAATGAGACGGAGAAAATGGACTGAAGGCTTGGAAGGACTGCTCTGCTGTAGACCACAAGATGGCCAAGATGTATGAATATAGCTTCTACATAATCTCGCTCACGTTCTGTAAGCTTCCGCGATCCTGATGTTGAATGCACGCACACACGCAAACAAGCTCGAGTACCCGACTGAGGTACGAGCACCAACCAAAAGTCCACCCTGACGCCATGACAACAAGAAGTAGTCCTAGAAAGCCCTACTTCCCACCAACACTCAGCTCCAACCTCTCCGTTATCCCATTCGTCATCACCTGAGCCCCCGTCGCTGGCGTGCCCGGGAGCGGCGTCCCAGGAATCTGCTGCGGTCCTGTCAACCCTTTCCTCACTCTCGCCACACTATCCACAATCACCGCATCGATCCCCTCCTGCGCCTGCAACTTGCTGTTATGCGCATCGTTATTCAACGTCCCGTAGGAGAAACACACGAGATTCGAATTCTTCACCACCTGGATCAGCCGCGGACACATGACAAACGGCTCGCTCGCCGCCACGATCCCGAGTAAGTTCCAGCGACTCGCGAAGCGGATCGCTTCCTGCAGCGAGCTGGCGCGGATATCGCCCACCTCGCTCGTGCCGGCGTCTGTGAGGAAGAGGACGGGGATGGAGGGTTGTTTGAACGAGAGCAGCAGGCAGATATCCGGGTGGAAGGAGGAGAAGAGGATGTTCCTCTCGTTGCCGAGGTCGTAGACCATCTCCAGCACGGTGTCGACGAAGGAGTTGAGCTCGACGGCGTAGTTGTCCATGCCTTGCTCCTCGGATTCGAAGAGCATGGGGTACTTCATCTCGATGTTGAAACCGACGCCTTTGGGCATTTTCTTGAGCATTTCTTCGAGTGTGGTGAAGGGTGCTTGGATCGAGTCGCCCCGGCTGTTGCCTTTGAAGCCTTTTTCTTTGAAGTCGCGGGTGTGCTTCATGCGCTCGCGGAGGTCGGGGCGGAGCTGGCCTTCTGGCGCGCCCATTGAGTAGGAGCGCTGTTTCCGGCTTCGACCATTCGCGCGTTGTTCCATGCGGGTGGGGGAGGGTGTGCGGACTTGGCGTGGTGTGGTGTCGCCCAGGGCGAGGAACTGTTCGAGAGTGAGGGTGTGGACTGGCACGTCTGCGCCTGTTTCGCTGACCAGGAAGTCGTGGTAGATGACTGGGACGTGGTCTTTCGTCATCTGCACGTCGAACTCCACATATGAAGCGCCCAAATTCGCAGCGGTGATGAAGGACTGCATTGTGTTCTCCCCTAGTTGAAGTGAGGTCTTGGTGCTCATGTTTTTGCCAGAGCCACGGTGGCCGATGACCATGGTCGAGGATTTCTTCCAGTACGTACGGTCCTCGCTGATGCTCATGTTTGGATGCTTGAAGGGTCTGATGACCAGGAAGTTGAAGTTGACCTCGCCGATGACTTCGAGAGATGGAAGCGATAACAGGGCAACCGTCGACTCGCCTTGCAGTGTCATCCTGTTGACACCAACATTCGGCTTGATGCTCGAAAGCAGAGCGACTCCTCTGGCTACCCTGTTCTCCGGCTTATCTGGATCGCCAGCGTAGGTCGGCACAAGGTCGAAGTAGATCTTGACACCCATTGGATCTCTGGCCAGGAATGTCACTGGCGATGTGCTGATGTTCTCCTGGATTGGCAAGTCGAACAGGCTCTGCTCTCCTTTGGCTCCATGAGCAGAGACCTTTAGTGAAAGGGCAGTGTCCAGCTGGGTGGAGTGGACTTGTGTCAATTCAATTCCCTCCAGAACCACAGGAGGCGTGTTCTTGGATTTGCGGTCATCGATTGAACCCAGACTCACAAGAACCATGGATTCGTCTTGCAAATATCTATGACCGAACTCTTTGACAGGCTCCGCAGACTTTGTCGTCGGAATAGCTGTCGTGCTGCCATCTCTTGAGACAGCGTTAGATCGTCGATCAACAAGTGAGGCAGCCTTCAATCGGGTCGTCGAATCTTGCGCAAACAGCTCGGGACTCGACCGTATGCTGGGAGGTGGAGTGAACTGTGCAAGATATTTGGCGATGTGCAGATGTCCACGCAATGCGGCGTGTTCTTGGGCACTCCAACCGGACAAGTCGAGCTTCTTGAGATCTGCTCCCCTGTCAACGAGCAATTTGACGATGCTCAGATGGCCGTCGACACAGCCAATGAACAGTGGAGTCCAGCCGTACGTCTTCTCGGCGAGCTCAAGATTCATCTGTCGGGTCTCAGAGCCAGCCAGTAATATCTGAACACACTCATCGTAGCCAAAGCGGGCAGCCAGATGCAACGCTGTCTCGCCATGTTCGTCTTGATAGTTGATATCCACTCCAGCGTCGACCAGTAGCTTGACGATTTGGTGGTAGTTCGACTTTGTTGCCAACGCCAGTGCTGCACCACTCGTCTCGACGTGGTCGCTCGTCAATCGAGCGGAGGTGAACTGGTGGCGGTCATCTACCAGCAGAAGTGCTTTCGCGGTCCGGTAATGGCCGTTGATCACAGCAAGATGGTAGGGTGCGTAGCCTTCGCCGTCCTGCCATGCTGGCGCATCCAGACCATCAGAAGTGTCGAACAGTTCCCACATTTCCATGTACCTGATGAGGTCAAGGCTGACCTGCACGAGACCATACTGAGCAGCATAGTGGAGTGGCAGTCGACCGTAGGTGTCTTTGCTAAGAATACTCTGTCGCTGTGGCTGGGACAGGTGATCCAGAATGTATCGCAGCAGTTGCTCTGCTTGTTCGTCTTTCCCAACATGGACGTCCGGATCTCGTTCCACCACTCTGAACGAGCCTGGGCCCTTAACCGGAGGCTCCGCAGCGTTGATGTATGTAGCACCATTGGGAATGCGTGCAGTGCCTTCCTTCCCATTGGACATCTCGAGGGCTCTGGCACGTCCCATCGATATGACGAGGCGATGCAAACAATTCCGTTGGTTCATGTCCTCGTCTTGCTCGATCGAGCTGACCTGTCCTAGTAAGGCTTCGATGCAGGTAAAAGCTCGTTGTGTGATCGCCCGCTGCAGAAGGTCGAGATGGAGACTGTGTCGAGCCTCTTCTGACGCGTTGAATGGGAGATTGTTGAGTGAGGCAAAGAGCTGCTCGCTGTCGTCACTCTTGACTGCAGTCTCCATTGTCTCCACCACTGTGGGAGGAATCTGTAAGGTCGCCTTCGAGGCCATATGCCGAAGAGATCCAGAACTGCCAGAATGAATCGAGCTAGCATCGTCAGTAGTCTTGACGTCCTTCAAGCTCGAAAGATATTCGTTGATCCCACGCAAGTCGAACAACAGCTTGTTGTTGGTCGCAAAGGACTTGGGGTCGACCTTGGTCGTCAAGTATCTGCTCTGTGCCGTCGATGAGGGTATCTTCTTGTTCAACTTTTTCGTGATCTTGATGAAACCCCTTCGATTAACCTCTCCATACCACTGCAGCTTCCGATATTGCCCTCGAATCTCCAACAGCGCCTCCATCAACTCCTCCATATCTTGCTTATCCATAGTCTGCGGCATCCTCCTTGCCACGCCAAAGCGATCTTGCAGTAGTCGCAGACGACGCGAGAAGTCGCCATATTTCCGGTTGTAGAAGGTGTCCACGTTCTCGAGCTGACGGTCAAGAGTATAGAAGAAACCTACATTGTGTTATTGGACAACAGGACGCCGGCGCGTGCCTGGCAAAAACCATACCTGCTAGGTCCGGGTCCTCGCCCGCCTCAACCGTCTTCTGCTCGGTCTTGATCAACTTCTTCAGGGCCTTGTAGTCGATGTACGAGGATGCCCACTCGGGGACTTGGTTCCTGGGGAGGTTCTGTCCGAACTTCATCTTTGCGGTTGCTTGCAGACCTGATCCCTGTGAGAGCTTGTATATACACAAGCAGCGCTGCCGCGTTTGCTACGAGATCAAGGCCTCTATACACTGCCGCCGTTGCAGTCGGGTCAAGGGCCAGCAGCAAACGCCATATCGCGTGTCCTCGAGTTGTCGCGCAGCGTGCGACGGATCAGCGGTTCACCGAGTCTTTGCGTTTACGAGCAGCCCATGCTCATGTCTAGAGTGGACAATTGCCGGGTCGTGCCAGTTCTACGCGATCTGAGTGGTTGCTGGACCTGTCTCTCCCACAGCGGTGAATGGCAAAGGTAAGCAAGAGCGGCATTGTTGCGGTCAACGGCAAGACTCGTGCATGTAGTCATCATTCCTGCTCGATGCCGAGACTGCATCTGTGGTTCACCAGAAAACGTTGGTGGCTGCATTCACTTCGGGGTTCTCGCCGGATCCACTCGGCAGTCGTGAAAATCAGGAACATGCTTCCGCGCATCCGTCTCGTGTTTTCTTCCTCAAGTTCATGTGCTCGATGAGGAAAATTCAAAGCAGTTAGTAGTAAGTTACCATGAAGCCAGAGTCTCTGGCAACGCAGCGGTGGTCACAGTGCGTGGTTGGCGTCGACGCGGCGTGATGTGTCCCCAACGTCTCGAGCACAAGCTACACCAACGGTGACAAAGGACGCAATGGACTGATCGTGAGGAAAAACGCATCATTCAATACAGCAAATAGTAGGTACAAACTTTAGGACACGAGCCCTCCAGGAGCTAGAGAACGAAAACAAGCGAGGTCAGAACAAAAACAACACCCTCCCACACATTGAATCACCCATCAACCACCATCAAACTCACTGCTGTGCTGGACCCTTCGGTGCTCCGGGCGCTGGGTTGGCAGGTCTCGAAGTCGAAGGCTGCCTCTGCTGGTCGACCGAGGGACGCGGTGGATGGATGGCTTGCATGCCACGTGCTTGTGGGTGCGCCGACATGGGGAGGAGACTCCAGCGGACAGGTGCTGGTGCTGCAGGCTGAGCTGGTGCTGCGCTTGGTGCCTTACTGCCCTGGGTAGCAGGAGCTTGTTGACTGTTATTGGAGTCCTGAGTCTGGGATGGCTGAGTTGCTTGAGGTGCCTGAGGTGGGATGGTCGAGCGGCGTTCTGGAACTGGGAATGGCGGTGCGAGAGGTCCGCTTGTGGATGCTGCCGCAGGCCTGCAGATTATTAGTGAGTACAACACCAGCCGAGGTGTGAGAATGAGGTACTTACTCAGGTGCCGCCTGGCTGCTCTGTGGTGCTGGGGTCGGTGCCGGTGCCGCAGTTGGTGCTTCCTGTGAGGACGGCGCAGCCTGGGGTTGCGAAGCTGCAGTCTGGGTCTGTTGGACTACACCACTCTGCGGACCGCTGCTAGCAGTCTTACGGTCGCCGGCAGCTCCACCGGTGGTGGTATTCTCTGTCTGTCCGACTTGGCCAACTTGGCCACCGATGGAACGCGGCTCGCCCTCGAAAAAGTCGAAGCGCTCCTCGCGGCCAATCAGAACACCGCCCTGACGCTTGAATTCAGCCATGGTGACGGCAGGGAGGACTGAAGTCTGGTGATGGGTCGAAGCCAGGTGGTGGATCTCGTGACGTCGCACCAACTCGTGGATCACATGGGGCTCAAGAGTCTCTAGAGGCCGCCGTCAGTGTCAAAAATCGCTCCTGTCTCGGAGAAGAGGGCCAAAGACTTACGCTTGGTGACGATTGGTTGTATGATCTCCCTCACATGGTGATGCAAATGAGAGCCCTCCAGAGACTGCTGCACTTCCCTGGTCTTCTCGCCCTCCACGATCTCGACGTTGTCGAAAAACTTGGCCTGCTCCGCATCCAGGCGATGCTTGACCTCTTCACGGTCGTCATGCTCGAATACATGCTTTTCAACAGGGTGTATACGTTCATGGTGTTGAGGCTCAAGCGTCTCTTCATCAGTCACTGGCTGGATTGAGGTGTGAAAGTGGCTCTGGTGACGTTCTTGGTCAAGCACCGTGATGACCTCTGCTCTTTCGGTTCTCGTCCGTGTCTCGTGGTAGACAGCTGGGCGGACCTTTGCTCATGGTTAGTTGAGTTAGTCAAGAGAACGGTGAGCTTCGCTGACATATTCGTAGATGCTGGTGTCACGGTGACCATTCTTGATCCTGGGAGGCGTTAGCATTGGAATGGAAGAGAATTGAGTGAGTATACGTACATGAACTCCTTAACCGCCTTGGAGGCGTTTTCCATCGCTGTTTGGGACTCGTGAGAAACCATTTTGACAATTGTAGTGAAGAGATTGGAAGATGCTGATGTGACGGGAAGGTGACCTTGCTATGGAATAGGTGATTGGTATTGAATGAACAAGGTAGGCTGTGAAGAGGTAGTGAAGATGCTGTGCTGACGGGAATGTAGAACGCTGTGATGTATGAAGACTCAAGAAAGAAGGAAGAGAAGAAAGTGAACAGAGAATCGAAGTGCTTCGACTGCTGCTCTGTGCCTGCCTTCTGAACGATCTTGTTGGGCCAATGGCGTGGTCTCTGTTCAGGCCGAGGCCATATGAAGCGTGGGAAAGGAAGGGACAACATCAAAGCCCGGATGGACTGCGAGTTGCATCCTTCTGGAGCCGTACCTACGGATCTTCTACTTCCAAATGCATGACTGAGCGCATCTAGATGTACCCAACACAGCGTACGCCAAACAGACCGCGTTGACCGCAGGTACATATTGGAAATACGTACAGCATGGCAGCGCCATTTGCTCGACGGTGCTTCGCGAAGCTCTTCCAGAGAAAGACACGAGGCGCCAGACAGGCGACTGGCTTGACAGCAGAAAAGGTCGCAACCAGGCCCGTCGAAGCTTCGGTGGGCATCAGACGATCTGTTTCAACGATCGACCTACGCGACTTCTTGACGTCTAGAGGTAGGTTACAAAGCCTTCGATAGAGCCGTCAGCCACTGACCGCAATCGCATTCCAGAGGTTCGTCCATCTCAACTGCGCCGTGTCTCGCGTCCGGAACGTTCAGCTCCTCTTCCGGAGCATAGAGTTGCCACCAAAAATCGCTTCCAGCTGGATCAAGCGGTCCCGAGGGAGCTGCAGCAAAGTCAGACTTCCACTGACCTTCAACACGTCTCGCGGTCCGATGAAGCTGGTTGTCTGCCATTCTGCGAAGACGTAGCGCAGCGCAATCTCAACTCACAAAGATTCAAGCCTCTGGAATTGAAAAGCCAAGCCGTTCAACCAGGACCGAGGACGTCTTCACTCAACCAAGGCTCGCCTTCGCCGTCGAAGCATGTGGTGTCCAGGCATGCGGCAGACCAGTCCGCTATCATGAGTGACCAGCGAGAAGCAATCTATAGTGGCCTTCACCATCTCGGTTCCTTGCACTCTCCGGCAAAGCCTGCTCGCATTCAGCCACAGACATCGCCCTACGAGCCTATAGGGGAGGTGTTCCTGCCTCCCTTACGACAAGATGGAAGGCGGCGCAGTCTGTCTCATAAGGCAAACATAGCCGACCTTCGTGTCGCCTCCGGGGCTCCTCCGCCGGGTGACGTGTGGCCATCGTTAAGACTACCACGTCCAGTCTCCGAGCCGTTCAGCTTCTGCCCTCATAGCGGCGTGAGGCTTGACAAACCGCTCCGTCCTACGCCAGTGGAGCACATCAGGCAGGATTCCGTATTGAGCGCGCCTCCAGCGGGCCGGCAGGAAAATCACCTTCCAAATGACAGCCTGGAGTATTCCGTTTACGCAGAAGCACGCCGATGGTCTGCTCCACAGTTCACAGAGAGCACCACCTGGTCCGAACAATGGCGTCCAGCCGTCACGCACGAGACCATCCGCCAGGACGTCCACGAGATCCGCGAAGAGCGTATCCAGAAGGAGATCCACCAGTACCATATCCATCGCAAGATCCAGCCGATCATCGATTATGAAATCTTGCCCGCCCGGCACATTGTCCATCTGGAGGGTGGCGGGTATGCTGAGGTTGCGCAAGGGGATCTTCCTGCCGGGACGCCGGATGCAGAGTGGTTTACCAAGGAGGTCAGGTCGCAGCTGGAGTCCGGCCTGCGAATGAGTTCGAACAGTGAGCTGGTGTCCATGTCGCGAGATACTTCTTGCGATGAGACTTCTGCTTCTGAGCAAGCTGCTCCATTCAGACGGGAGTCGTGGGCGCGTAGCACCACCATGAAGCCTGCGGTGTGGTCTGATAGCTCCGGATATCGGTATGCGTTCAAGTTCGATGGGTATGACGAGGCTTCAGGGCCTGGAAATGTGCTCTTTCATGGGGATCAGCCTTCGCCGCTCTGAGGTCGTTTTCAATGAGGGGGCGACAGATGTTGGAGTCGGCAGCGATTAGGCCGCGGCGAGTCGAGCGTGGTTCGCCTGTAGGAGGGTCAGTAAGTTAACTCAGACGTACATGTCCGGCGCTGCTCAACTGACACACTGCCAGGATCAGACTGAGATGTCTCACGCATCACTATGAGTAGACAAAGCGTGCAATGTGCTTGCTCCTGGAGGGCAAACGATCTTAGAGCTGTACCAGATTGAAGAAGCACTTGTATGAGGCTAGGCAGAGAAGAGGGAGTATCTTCCGATACATGTGATATTCAACGAAAAGCACATTCCTCAATGTGGAAGTCATTGAAAAAGCTCTTCCGCTCTTCCTCACCACACTCACAACAATCAGGTGAGCTTCCACTTTTCCAACTCCCTTTCCCCTACTAACTTCCTGCCGACCATCACCGCAACACAAAGAGTAAGTCACTACTCGGTCCATGAGCAACGCGCCCGCTGAGCGTCACTGACAGCAGCCCAGAAGCAATGGCAGGACAAGAGAACGAGAAGACGGTCACGGGCGAGAGAACGGGCAACACGAGTGAGTCATACTGCGATACCTGCCTCTTCTCGAAGACAACATCAAGCCTCTCTCAACTCATCACGACCTCCGAGAACCCCACTAACCCAAATCCTCCTCACCAGGCCCCGCCCACCCCCCACCAACCCCCTTCCTCGCCCCCCTCCGCCGCGTCGCCTCCGCCCTCGCCTCCCCCTTCATCTCCACCACAGACGCCAAGAAGCCCAAGCCCGCCCAGCCGAGCCACTGGAACGACGCTTCGCACCTCCCCGCTCTACTGAAAGTCTGGGACGCCGTGAAGAAGGAAGGGAAGACCAAAGACGAGAAAGTAGCGATGGATGAGACGGAGAAGAGGTTTTTGCCGGAGTATGGGGAGTTGGGGTATGGGGACGTTGTGATGGGGAGGGAGTGGGTGGAGTATGTGCTGAAAGAGGGAGGGAAGGGGTTAAGCGGTGGGAAGGGGAAGGGGATGAGTAGGACTGAGATGCTTGCTGTAGGGGCTGGAGATAGGATGAACTGGGGGCCGTACTAGTGGTGGCAGTGATGGCGATGTTGGGAGTAAGTCAAGAAGGCTGGAGACTTTCTTATACTCTTCTTGCTCCGCCTTACTGACAAGTTTGTTTAGATTCTCTTTCAGCATCCACGAGGACCACTGACGCCCGCCTGCATGGCATTCTCCACTCTGGCAGCAAACTTCGACTTCAGCTGAATCAAGGCCACCCTTCTTCGACTCATCGACATTTCTGAAATGGTGCTGACAGCAGCGGTACATTGGGGACGGGAGTTTGCATAGCGTCTCGATACCAACGAATAGTCATGTTCTTCATAAAAGCCTATCGTACAGTTCCCGTGCTTCCTCCACTCCCACTAATACTCCCACTGCGCCTGATACAATTTCATAACATCCGCCACCAAATCCTCCGCCGAATGCCCACCCTCACACATCTTCCACTCCCCACCATCCCTTACACACCTCACCTCACCATCCAACCGCACCGTGCAACTCTTCGACACATCAGCATTCTTCGTCCGGTTAAAACTTTCCCGCAGCATGTCCGTCGCAAAACGCCCTTCGTCCCTATCAATGCACGAGTTCAGCTTATCCATCGAGACGCTGTGTTCGAGCGCACAGTCCTCGACCAGAGTCTGCTTCGGGATATCGTCGTATTGGCGACTCATGCACATGGTGAAGCCGAGGTAGGTCTTGGGGTTCGGGTAGAGGTGGGCGGCGCAGAGCTCGATTATGTTGCCGAGACATTCTTCCGAGCCGTGTTGGCAGAGGACGCCGTCGTCGTCGGCGGTGTTGCTTGGGTGTGGCGTTAGTAGGGGATGGTTTGATGGGGGAAGGGGGGAGACGTACGTTCCGATGTAGGAGAGTTTGAAGTCGACTTTGTCCGAGATATTCTGCATCGCGGGCAAGATCATGTCGTGGAGACAGTCCTTTGCGTCGGGGCATTTGCTCATGATGTGTGCTTCCAGCGGGACTCTGGCTGGATAATGCCAGACTTCGCCGTCGTCCGTCAAGGAGTCGGTCACGACCACGCCGAAGCAGAAGACCATAAACATGGTAACTAGGAATGTCGTCCCGATCATGATGCGTTTGTTCCACTTCCCAGATGTTGATTTGGACCAGGCTTTGAAGTATCGCCTCTGCGCTTCGCGGACCTGCTGCTGGAGCTCTTGGAGGGTCGGCTCCTGCTCTGGCGCTTCCTGCGGTTGCTCTTCGAGGAGCGGTTGCTTCTCCATGTCGACGGTTGTGTTCGCCATTTTTGATTGTGTTGGGTGGAAGTGGAAGGCACGTAGAGTAGAGTTGAGAGCGAGGTGTTGGTTGGAGTGGCGCCTTGCCCTCGTTGTGGCAAATGACGACTGCTTCCATTCTGAGACTAGCTTACGGAAACAGCCGTCCTACTGCTAGACCTCACATCTACACCTACACTTCCGTAGCAAATCACGAATATGAGTCTTCTCTCCGTTCAATGTGCACCCGGAAAGGCTATAGCACTCCCATTGGTAGACTATCGTGGTCTGTGAGAGTCTTACCCTGTGGGCCGATGTCAACGGCACCTGCTTGACCCTCTCGAACACCATATCCAAACGCCAGACTCCAACAGCAAAATCATTCCTTCTCATACGGTCCTTTCCCGTCCATCCTCGCCCTCTTCTTCAAATGAAAACCCAACCGCAACACCCCCTTCCAAACGCCAAAAAACAATCCAACCCACCACCTGCTCGAGATCTACCCTCAGTCAATCACGATCGCGTTCTCCATGGCCTGCAACCTCAAGCAGATCTCCACATCCTTCATCAGCTTCGGTAACCGCTTCATCCACTTGATGGCACGACCTGAACGGCGCAGCGCTGGCCAAAGGATCTCTCTGTGGAACTTGCTCTTATCCTCAATGCGCTTCAGATTCTCCTTCATGTCCTCCAAGGCGTCCTTCTCCTCCTCGAGCTTCTTCAGCGCCGTCTTCATATGTCCATGCCATTCGAGCTTGTGTCTGGTGAGGACGTGTCCCAGCGTGCCTTCAGCGACGACATTGAGTGCGCTGTCCGCCAAGCGTCCGCTCAGGCGCGGGTGGGGCTTCACGCTCTCGGAGAGCTCCCTGGACATGTTGGCGTATGTTTCGAGGAGGTGTGCTGTCTCATTTCCTTTAACGACTAACTCTCCCAGGTTCGCAAGGAAGATCATCTCCACGGGTTCTAGACTTTCGTTAGTTTATCGCTTCAATTGAGGGAGGGAAGGATGTATGCGTACCTTCGACTTCGATAGCTTCGTCTGTGGCCACGGAAAACCTATCTTGAGCACGCTCCTGGGTTGCCGGCTCTTCGTCTTCTTCTTTGAGATGCTCTTCCTCTACTGGCTCATCCTCGACTTCGAAATGTCCATCGTCCGGCTGTTGCTCGTAAGGCTCACTTCCGAGGAACAGTCCTTCGCGGTGACAGTCTTCCATTTCCTCCTCCACAGCATAGTATGCAGCCATGTCGAAGTACCGTAAGCTGTTTCCGATGGTCTGTTCCAGTCAGCTTTCGTCAACGGTAATTCTCACACCCAAGAACGAAGTGTTAACGCTTACTCGGATTGATATCTGTCCTGACTGGCGGTCGGTCGTGGTGAGGAGAACTGCCGTCGTGCTGGAATGAAAGCTGGACGGTTGTGCAGTGGAATGGAGTAGTTGTTGTGAGCAAAGGTTGGGAGTAGATGAATGGAAGATGCTGTGATGTGGTGATAGATGAGAAGGTAGATGTTGTGTCGAAAGGAAAGAAAGGAAACGTGGGTTGACACGAAGATATAGACAGACAGTGTGAAAGGTCGTCAGGCCAACTCCGACGTGCCTTCACTCAGCTCTTTCACCTGCTCATCACGTTGTGTTCAGTGAGTGCCGTCTCACTTTCACCTACCTTTCACCTGGCGGACAGTAAAGCTCGTTTGGCCGTGAAAGCACATCACATGCCGGAGGAAATGTGAAGCCTGCGCTGGCGATCTGGTGAAGCCATGATGGCAGGACGAAACGTTGTCACCTTTCACTGCGGAAGTGAAGGCCGTGTTGACAATCCGGTGAAGCTGTGGTGACAAGACCTGGTGTGAAGAGAAGGCCCTGTGAACAGAAAAAAGGATAAGCAAGTCATTCCTGTGGCGCGGAAGGCAGCAGAGTTGTAGCATTCATCATTCGTCCTAGCAACCTCATCATTTCGTTCACCTGCTGTTCCTTCAGATCGGCAGGCTTCCACCGCTCGACCGAGCCTGGCATAATACGTCGGTCCTCCCACCCTCCCCGACCGCGTTGCTCCTTCCAAATCTCGTAGCGCAGCCGGGCTGAGCCGGCAGGATGACACCGCTGTACCCATGAGCACTCATACGTACAGCAAAGGGCATCGAACTGCCTCCGGTCGATGGTTCACCAACCTGCGGCAGCATATTGCGGATGAAAGTGCAATCGGCGCCGTCTGCTCCTCGCCGGCACCAGAGTGAGGGCGATCGACATCTCAGTCCTCCTCCACCATCTCCCCATCCCCCAACCCCACCTCCTCCATCTCATCAATCAACTGCTCCATCGGAATCTCCAACCCCTCCTCCTCCTCCCCATCCGTCTCCATCTCCGTATCCATCGCCACATGCCTCTCCCCCTTATCTGCATTCCGATACAAACTCAACCCCTGCCGCAACTCCGGATCCGCCTCCAGATCGCGCAGGAACTGCTCATAATCCACCTCATCCCTTGCCTCGTCCTGCTTGCGCGGCTTCATCTCGCTCTCCTCGCGCGCCATGCGCTTGAGCTTCCAGTTGCGCGATTTGCCCTTTTTGCGCGCGGGATAGTGTTTCTTGACGAGGATGACGTCCGGGATGGTGCCGCCGTATTGCTTGCTGGATTCGATGGCTTCGAAGTGTTCGTTGTTGAATTGCGTGCCGGTCAGGTGGTAGCCCATTACGCTGTCGCCTGCGTGAAGGATGCTGCCGAGGTGCGTGCGGACGTTGTAGGAGGTATCGCTTTTCCCGAAGTCAGACGCGCGCATGACGGTCACGTCGGAGAGCAGGAACCGCCCCTTCTGCGGACCGATGGGTTCGATGTCCATGACGACGAACTCGACGAGGTCCTTGACATCCGCGATCGGAGCGAAGGGCGTGCGCCAGTAGATGGGCGTGCTGAGGTCGGCGATCTGCAGCGTGTTGGGGTCGAGGAGGTTGACGGCGGTGCCAATGCGGTAGCAGAGGACGAGCGGGGAGATGTTGCCGATCTGGCGCGCGAGTTTGAGGGGCAACGCGACGAGGTCGTCTTTGCAGATGGGGACGAGCTCGCAGGAAAAGGTGAATTTGTAGGATTTGCTCGAGGTGTGGATGTCCATGGAGATGAGCTCTTGGCTCTTTTTCGTCTTGACGGGGGAGACGGAGGAGAGGAAGTCGACGAATTTTTCGGCGTGGTTTCGTTGGGAGAAGAAGAAGTCGATGCCGTTGTTTACTTCCTTGATGTTGATCGTCTCTCTGTGCGCACCTTGCTTCAGGATGAGCTGCTCCAGGTACAAGAACGTCCGCTTGTGAGGCACTTTCTGCCGCACCTGCACCACCGCTCGCCAGGTGTTGTGTGTATAGCTCTTCGCGCAGTCCGGACACTGCTTGAACTGCTGCACAAACTCGACCTCGAACGTCTGTTGCAGTACCGTACCCTCAAACGCTTCCTGCTGCACCGTGATCTTAAGCTTTATCCGCCTCGAATGTGGCTCTGTCCAGATGAAGCTCGCATCGATGATTCGGCTCTTGTGTAGTCCCCTCAATTTTCTTAAACACAGCGCAAGCAGCTCTCTTGACTCTAGTGTAGCGACGACCCACTGACTGGGCGGCGAGAGCCATCTGTCGCAGTCTCTGCACATTAGAAGCACGCCATCCTTCTCGATGCCTGCTGTGATGTCGACTGTAAGCTTTAGACAGTCGCTGCAAAGTGCGCCGGCCGCTTGTGTGCCGTCAATCGGTGCGCCGCAGTTGTAACAGAGGATCGTGGGTGCCGTTGATTCACGGAGCTGGTGGGAAGGGAAGGCCACGCCGTTCGACTCGTCTATTTCCATCGACATGGTGGGCGAGACCGTTCACGAAGTGGTGTTGCTGTGTTGGCGAGAGTTGAACAGGACGGGATGGAAAGGCTCAACGGCCTGATGCCAGTTGGGGTAAAGTCAACACTAGGTGCGAAAGCAAGTTCGCCACGCAGATGTGTCACAAGCAAAGTTGCAGCTTGCTTGCAAATTCAACGATGATGTGTTTTGAGGCTCGAGTCATGCTCGTATCGATATCGGCAGTACCCGCGCAACGCGCTTCGGAATTCACGTGATCAAGTTGATCATTATCATGTTGCTCGTTTCCAGCTATTACATAAAGCTGCCATTGGTGACTTCCACATCCCAGCACCCTTTGCCTCGTCTTTCGTAGGTCCCCACCCCAAACGCCAAACTTTTGCTCCCATCCCAGGAAAACCGCTCACTTCATAACCATCCCCGCATAATCCCCCCACCGCTCCATCCGCACCCCCTCCATCTCCTCCCTCACCCCAAGGATCGTCACCTTCCCCCCACCTTCCTCACCCTTGAACTCCCAGTTCTTAAGCAGCTTCTCCAGCTCCGCGACCGTCTCCGCCTTGTCTTCGATCAGGAGCGAGATGGCGTCGTAGCCCCCCGCGCCGGGCACGACGCCGCCGACTACACCTTGCACGGCTTCGCAGGCATCGAGTAACTCCGTCTGAGCGGGTGGTTCGATAGGCACACCGCTCTTCTGGCTCATTGCTCGGATGCCGCGGCGGATGCGGGTGAAGCACGTCCGTAATCTCTCCAGTCCGAAGATTTGCGACTCAGCCAGCGCCTTCATCTCCTTTGCCAGACTCTCGTTCGCTTCGTGGAGGTCGGACCAGATGGCGTCCGCTTCCTCGGGATTTTCCTTCCGCCATGCGAGGACCTTCTTCACCATGCCTGGGGTCTGGCTTCCGCAGCTGACGTCACACATGACTAGTCGGAGGCCTTTGGGGACTTTGACGGCGTCACGGTGGATTTCTGTGTCCCAGGCTGCTTCGCTCGAGCTGTTTTCGGTTGTCTCGTTGATGAGGTGCTTGAGTGCATTGGCGAAATCTTCTGCTCCTGGGTCTGCTGATGATGCGAGGATGTCGGGCGAGAACCGACGGTACAGGCAGCTGCCGTAGACTGCGCTGGCGACGTCGAAGCCAGAGCCTACTTTGCCTTGGGCTGCACAGTGAGCTGCTTGTGCAAGGTTGTGGAGGCGGCGTCTGGAAGTCTCCGTTGATAAGTCGAAGTGCTCCTTCGGGAGGTAGTATGAGAGCACGGCTGCTGTGAAAGATGTGACGAGCGCTGCTGATGAGCCTAGGCCTGTCTTGTGTGCTTTTGACAGAGGGACGCCGAAGTTGTGGAAGCGTTGCTTTGGCGCGGTGTCTCCATTCGTATGGCCACTGGGAAGTTCATCCGGAGTCGAGTAGTAGTCATTGTCTGCCAGGATTGTGATTGAAGCGGGTGTGATTTGCGGGCTCCACACTGCAGCGATGTAGCTGAGGGCATATCCCAAGGCGGTCTCAATGAAAATGTTGCGGTTAAGGCTAAGGTCTGCGTCGCTGTATGAGCATGATCGTGTAAGTATGTGGTCGGTATATATACATACATCAAACTGAAGTTCTTGGTCGTGTTGCGAGACCAAGATTGAAAGAGAGATCAGAGAGACGATGAGACTGCACTTACACTCGCAACTGCGTGACACTCATCCCACCTCCCCTGCCCACCAGTCGATAGCCATACTCCCAAACGGCATCCTCAAACTGCGGCGAAGTCACCACAACCTCATTCAACACCACACCATTAGTCGTCGGGATCGGCTGCGCAACAACATGGATCCTCGCATCCAGCCCAAACACAAGGCCGGTATAGGCTCTATCAAGCACCAGGTAGCCGCCCGCCAGCAGGACCTTGCCCGGTGCAGAGACGGCTACCGCATCGCGAAGGACCATTGGAAAGTCCACGGACGAGGGATTTAGTGGTGTCGAATGAGAGAGTGGACCGAGTCGGCCGACTGTTTGGCTTTCGCGGGATCTCTTCGTGGAGATGGAGGTGAGGTTCGAGAAGTCGGGCGGTGTTAACGTCCCGTGCCCGGTTCCTGGGAGGGCTGAGAGCAGATGATCATGCGCTCGTGAGAAGACGGAGGCTAGCGGGGGACTGCCGGCTGGCTTTGGGAGCGAAGGGAGGTGATTTTATGCGCTCTCTGCGCAGGATTTCGCATGTGAAGGGGCGACAAGTCTCAAATGGGTCTCAAGGTGTATGGATAGGAGCAAGCATTGTTTTTGGAGGCTAGATGGATTGAAAGAGTGGCTTTGGAAGAGGAGTTGGAGCCAGGACCGAACACGGGGGCTAACGACTAGCGGCCGAGGTGCATCCGGACGATTCTCTTCGAGTCACGACAGCGCCAAAGTTAATGACACGCCCTTCTTACGCACCTCGCTCCCTCTCCCTGCTGAGGCACTCCTTAATTCAGGCCACCTTGACCCAAGCCTGACCTCTTCTTCTCCCATTCTCTTCATCCACCACCAATACCGCGACCTTTCTCGTGCTGGACTACACCTTAGCACATAATCGCCACCCTCACGACGGAACCACCTTGACTAATATCAACCACCTCATACCTCTTTTCTAATCAACTGCGCGTTTGTTTGGCGGCTTGAGTCGTCAAATGAACCTGCATCCTCGCTACTTTCACATCATCCAGGTGTGCACTACCGCCCATTCGAAGGTATACACCCCTTGCTGACAGCCCCCAGTCTCACCCTTCGCGACTGAAGGGTTCCTCCATCACCTGGATGCCTTACGTGAAGTCCACGGTCCACATCTCGCGTATCGCAGGCACCGCCCTCAAAACCTTCACCCACGGCTACGCCCAGACCGTCACCGCGCTCGCCGCGCAGAACCACAACTCCTCGACCCCCCTCGCGGACACCTTAGTTGGTCGCTTCCGCAAGACCGAGAAGAGCAAGGTCGGAAACGTCTATCAGAATGTCGAGTCCGCACGGCAGGCGAGCACAACAGCCGGCGCGTCTTCCGGCGCCAGGCCTGAGACGAGCAGTGGCCAGGACGCGGGCTTAGACAAGTACTTTGTCGCGTGGCAGAAGCACCAGCGACAGCCGACCAAGGATTGGCAGCAGTTCCAGTTCGCGCGCACGATCGAATGGCAGCCTCCGAGTGTTGTGCCGGCGAATGGCAAGGAGCATACGGCGGCTGCTACGGCGGAGGAGGTGCACGACAAGAAGAACCAGGATCTGGCTGCGCCGCTTCTGAAGCGCTCGTACACCACAAGCGCGCTGGACAACTTCGGGAAAGCATTCATCTATGACGAGGCTGCGGAAGCTGCAGCGTTGGAGCAGGTCAATGATGCGATTGCGGGGGAGATTCAGAGGTCAAAGGACGATGCTGAGGATGCGGTTGTGCTCAAGGCGCAGAGCGCGTCATCAGTCTCGGATCAGACTGCGCCAACCTCAGACCGGCAGTCAATTGAGAGCCCGGCTACGAGTTTCACAGCGACAGACAGCTTCTCTACCGCGACACCAGAAGTCGAAGCATACGCGCAAGAGCTTGAGCAGCTCGTGGAGAATGGCCGATACCACGATATTCCTGGTGCTTTCCAGGCCATGCTCCGCGCTGGAGTGCAGAAGCCAGCACCATCCGCGTACCGCGCGCTTCTTACGTCGGCCGTGGAGCTCACCCATGGCAAGCACCAGAGGGTACCAAAGGCGCTGGAAGTCTACTCGGACATGCTCAGGAGAAAGGTGGTGCCGGACATTGCAACTTTTGGCATTCTCATCAATACTTTGGCGCAGCGGGCTAAGGAGGCAACGGCGATGCGGAAGGGTCTAGAGGAGAAGCTGACAAGATATGGTGGACTGGAAGCGCCAGGCAGGTTCATGTTCGGCTCCACCCAGTCTGAGCACACCATGCTTCTGGAAGACTCTTCGCTCTCAATCGCGATGAGGATCTTCGACCGCGTGGCGTCGATGAAGTCTCAGGAGGCCTTGCCTAGCGCGGCATGCGCTTCTTTGATCAGCGCCTGTGCCGAGCAAGGCCGTTTGGACGATATGGCCCGAGTCTACGAGCACATGGAGTCGAAGTCGCTAGAGCCGCATTCGAGCATCTTCCCACCAATGATCACCGCCTTCGGCCAGATTGGCGACCTCAAGCGAGCGGTCGAGGCATACGACGGATACAAGGAGCTGGCCATTGCGCACAACGCCGGGACGAACACGATTGTGCGTGTCGACAACCAAATCTACGCCTCACTCATTATGGCCTACGGCTCAGCGGGCAGATTGAAGGGCGGCTTGAAGTTCTTGGCGAGTGTCCAAGCAGACTTGACCGACGCTGCAGAGGTGGAGGATCTCCGGGAGATTGTGGCTTTGCAAGCATTGCTGCCCCTAGCGCTTAAGGATCAGACACTCCGCAACGCTTTCGATTTGACGCTTTCGCTTACTGGACGTGCACTGCACTCGGCCCTTGCGACTATCTGCAACACCGCAGCCGACAGGAACCTACTGGACGTCAGCGTGAAGGCTTTCGACATGCTTGCTGCTCAGACTCAGGACCTAGCTCTGCCAGCCACTGCCATGCTCGCGATGAACATTCGCAACGGCAATGTCGAGGCCGCCGAGCCATACTGGAGAGTCTTGGAGACGGCACCGGCCACAATCGCTTTTGTCGAGCCCACGACCATGCGCACAATCGCGTTGATTGGCATCGGACAAGCAGAGCGCGGCTTGAGACACAGCCGCAGGATGTTTGGTCGCATTCGAGACGCGCAGGTGGAGAGCAAGCAAAGTGAAGCTGTCGAGCAGATCGACGAGGCAATTGAGCTCATTGGCAACTTCATGCTCAGAAGTCAGGCTGTGCAGTCACCTTCGATCAGCGTCGAGCTTCTGAGGATGATGACTGAGAACGGTGCGCTAGTTGCGCCAATTGCGGACCACATTGTTGCACGACTCGGAGCAGATCAGATTGCTCGCTTGGCACCGGCAGACTTGGAGTTCTTGACACGGGTGCAAGGTGGCATGATCCTGGACAGTGCTTCAATGGCCGACATTGCTGGCCCTGCTAGATTTGGCTGCCTCTTGGAGAACATTGTCTCGCACTCTGTCATGCCGTCTGCCGAGACTGATACGCTCATCGAAAGGACGCTGATCAACATTGACCGCTCCGATCTGTCGAGGCTCTGGAACAACTACCGATACCCTTCCACCCCGGCCAGCTTCGCAGCGACAGCACTCTCCCCTGTCGCTCCGTACCAGCCTCCAACGCCTTTCCTACACGGTCAGCAAGCGTTCGATGAGTCGTACGATCCATACGCGCACCGCACCGATGTCAAGGGCTCCAACGCGATCAACGAGCTGCTCGAGCGCCCCCAAGGTCGCCGCACGCAGGAGGCCCTGACGAAGTTCCGCAACATGCGCCGTGTTGGCCGTGTACCTCGCATGTTCACCTACGGGAAGCTGATTGAGACTGCGGCTAAGGAGCACAACCTTGCGCTCTCGCATGAGATCCTTGAGCTAGCGAAGCAGGACGTTCCCTTCGACGCTCGTTACCGCGTTGTCCGGTTCGGCTGGCAGCAGATTCTCGACCACATGGTTGCTGGCTGCTTGACCATCGGCCGCCGCGACTTGGCTGCTCGCTACCACCAGGATCTCGTCGACATGGGCATGGCGCCTTCCGCGAACACCTTCGGCCTCTACATCACGACTCTCAAGGAGAACACCAAGACCTTCGACGAGGCCTCCGAAGCCGTCAAGATCTTTCTCCGCGCGAAGAGCGAGGGCGTGGAGCCCTCCTCCTTCCTCTACAACGCCCTCATCGGCAAGCTCGGCAAAGCGCGCCGCATCGACGACTGCCTCTTCTACTTCGCCGAAATGCGCAACCTCGGCATCCGCCCCACCTCCGTCACCTACGGCACCATCGTCAACGCCCTCGTGCGCGTGTCCGACGAGAAGTTCGCCGAGGAGATCTTCGAGGAAATGGAGTCCTGCTCCAACTACAAGCCCCGCCCTGCCCCGTACCACAGTCTGATGCAGTTCTTCCTCAGCACCAAGCGCGACCGCGGCAAGGTCCTCGCGTACTACGAGCGCATGCGCAGCAAGGGCATCGCGCCGACCGTGCACACCTTCAAACTCCTAATCGACACGCACGCCACCCTCGAAACCATCAACATGGACGCCGCCGAAGCCGTGCTGACCGAAATGCGCGCCTCCGGCATCGAGCCCGAAGCCGTGCACTACGCCTCTCTGATCCACGCGAAGGGGTGCGTACAACACGACATCCCCGCCGCCCGCGCCCTCTTCGACTCCGTCCTCTCCGCCGCCAAAATCCGCCCGCAACCCTGTCTTTACCAAGCCTTGTTCGAATCTCTCAACGCCAACCACCTGGTCCCCGAATCTGACGCCCTTCTTGCGGACATGGCTTCGCGCGGGGTGGAGATGACTCCTTACATCGCCAATGCTCTCATCCACGGCTGGACTTTGGAGCGGAACGTGGAGAAGGCTCAGCAAGCTTTCGAACGCGTCCCTGTGGGACGGAGAGAGCCGAGTACGTATGAAGCGATGGTGCGGGCGTATTTGGCGGGTGAGCAGAGGGAGAGCGCCAAGGGGGTTGTGAGGGAGGCGCTTGGAAGGGGGTATCCTGCGGCTGTGGCGGGGAAGATCGCTGAGCTTGTGCGTTGAGCACCGAAGACGACGGTGAGGTGCGGGGGAAGGGGCAGGTTTTCTTTTTGTCACGGCTGGAGGGTGTGGTGAGATTGCTGCGACGGCTACGGTTAAGATTTCACGGCCGTCTCTGTCTTGTCTTGTTTTGGGAGGGATGGGAATGGGCATGGGCATCAGCGAGGGCGTTTCTGGCGTTTCATCACCTCCGTCGTGGAAGAACACGGCGTCGCTGGCTTGGAAGGCGTTTTCGACATGACAGGAAAAGCACATTAGCCATGGCGGCTTTGCTTCGCATGGGAAGGGACGATGTGTGGGAGGATGTTTTGACACTTGTACTACTATAGGATACCCCCAATCTCCGCTCGGCTGGACTCGCTGCTGCCGCTACTAGCTGTTAGAACAGGTAGATGGTGCGTCGTGGTGGTCTGGGTTTTCATTGCAAATGAACGTCAACCACAAACTTTCACCCTTCGTTCCCCTCTGCTTGTCTCAATATCAATATGGCACAACAGTGATTCAACAGCGTCCTCGGTGAAGCATGCTGACTATCAGATATATCGTCTTTGCTGTATAGATATGTATGTACATCACCGTCCTGTACAATCTCGCCACCACCATCCTATCCCCCCCCCAAGCCATCCCCCTCACATCGGCCGCGCATCAAACTGCCTCTCCGCATAATACCGATACACCCTCGCCGTCTTCACTCTTAACCCCTTCCCCTTCCAAATAAAGAACCCAGCAAAACTCAACACCACAATCCCAATCGCGCCGATCGTGTTAAACACATTCGCCACCCCCACCGCGGCCACCCACGCCGGCATGGCGAAGACGAAAATCGTACTAAAGAGGTTGCGCACGAAAGTCAGCGCCGTGAGCGCGTCGCCAACGATCTCGTTGTAGGCGTCTAGCAGGTAGGTGAGGGCGAGGGACTGCAGGGGCGCGGAGCCGAAGTTGCACAGCCCGTAGGCGACGGCGACTTGGGGCCAGGGCATGCCGCGATCGAGGGCGTAGCCGAACCAGAAGGCGCCGGCGACCTGGAAGGGGACGAAGGGGAGGAAGACGTAGAATCTCATCTCCGGTTCATACACCCCGTTATTGCGCTTGGAGAGGTAGAGGGCAATGCGGTCGGAGACGGGGCCGCAGACGAGGGAGCCGAGGGTGTTGCCGACGAAGGGAGCGAGGCTCATGAGGCCGATTTGCGAGGCGGAGAAGCTGTAGGGGGGGTCGAGCATGTAGAGGCTGAGTGCTGCGGTCATGACGGTATTCCAGGCTAGGAGGACGGCGTAGCAGAGGGAGCAGAAGAGCACGCCTGGTATTGTGCCGAGGATCATGAATGGTTGGTAGGAGTGCCGGAGGAAGTGTGACCAGTTCCCGGGAGAGGTCGTGAGGAGCGACAGCTTCTGCCAGTAGGTCTTGCGTGGGATGGCAGGGTTGACTTGGATGGTGCTGAGCTTGCGTGTCGTCTCTTCGTTCGAACCGGCTTCTGCATCTGGAGACGCTCCGCCGTATGTTGGATCTTTGCTGTCCTTGTCATCGGTTGGTCCAGAGCCTTGCTTTGGTTGAGATTCGGAGACGACGCTTCCCTGTCTTCCCTCCAGAGTCCCGACATGCATGAACTTGGTCTCTTCAAACCCGAAGACGAACATGATAAGCTGGACGGCAAAGAAGATCGCGCACCACCACCACACCCACCTCCAACCTTGATCCACGGTGATGAAGCCAGCGGCGACAACAGCAAGATTGCCACCCATGTTCAGGACCCAGATGTAGATCGAGTTCATTAGGCCACGCTGGTGCACGAAGTACATGTCCGCAATCGTCATCTGAATCAGAACCTCACAGAGCGCTCCCAACCAGCACTGGAGTGCGTTGACGCCCCACCAGTCACCGGCTGTCTGCGTCTTGGCCGCCCAGATTGAGATTGCGAACTGGGCCAGACTGCTGAAGACGTATACCGGTCTTGATCCGTATTTCAGTGCGAAGGGGATGAGCATTGGCGCTCCCAGAGCAAGCGTGGCACATCCAATGGCGTAGGTGTTCGTCAAGGTGGACGGGGAGAAGTTGAGTTCAGTGCCCATTGGGCCCCATGTTGGCGAAGTCGCGTTGACGAAGGCGTAGACCATCATGGCGTAGAACGAAGCCAGGAAGTAGTTGATGCCCTTCTGCCATTTTGACCAGTTCAGAGGGTCGTCTGATGGGGTGTGTTAGCGTCAACGACTGTGTTGTACATGGTCTGAAGCAATACTGACTCGGATTGTCAGTTGGACGCGGCTGGAGAATAATCTCTGAGTCTTTTGTATCTCTATCGAGTAGCTGTTGTAGCTTGACCGTGCCCGGAGGCCAGTCTGGGTCATAGTAGTCGTCCATTGCTCAATGTGTATAATACGTCCTTACCGCACCCGTCCGCTACGAGATCTTATTAATCGAAAGGAAAGAGAGAGATGGTCGAAAGATCAGAAGTAAGAAAACGAACACTCGATGTACGTATGCGCATCGCCAAACCTTGCCTGCCTTTCTGGTCAACTGGTAGCTCGAGCTGCCGCTGAGCATTGCCTATCTCCGCCTGCACGCAGACGTAACAGCTCTGATCTCAAGCCATTGCACATGCTTGAGATCGGTGCTGCAGGGGTTCAGGTCCCTGTCAAGCCTGCGTTACACCCCTCCGCGTGTCTGGGTGTCCAAGGCGCCGAGTTGATAAGGCTGGCTGAGAAGAAGACGTTGACAAGATGAAAAGCCTGACAAAAGCAAGTCTTTCAATACAGAGGTATGCTGGTGATAGGCGACTGCCTCACTTAGGAAGGTATCGTCAACCCGCAGCTCGAAGATAAGGATTGAAGGACCGATTGTGCGATGACAAGGTAAGTTGGGGTACAGCTCCGAACTATATGCCCCTCGTTCGCCGATGCAGGCATTGGGTGAGGTATCAGCTTGAGGCGCTGCTGTGGGCGATGGACCAAGAAGGAAGGAAGGAGGTTGAGAAGAAGTCGAAGTGAAGTGGCGGTGCATGTGACAGCGCTTAGTCACGTTCACGCAGATCATCCATCTTCCTCCATAACATCTTCCTCCAGAGACTCTCACAACACGCAGACAGCAGCAGCATGTCGAGCCACGCGGAGGAGGAAGACTACGAGGAGGTGCCCCTGGTATCACGGCGGTACTTTGGCGCTGGCCTGAAGCGCAAGCGCGTGGAGTTCGTACCCTCCTCGTCCCATGAAGCAGCAACCAGAAGCTTACCAGCGACACCCTCTGCATCAGCTGCCGACAGATATCTGTCGATCGTCTTCAACAAGTCTACACCGGGGTCTGAGCGATCCGCATCTGCGCCGCCCAAGGAAGGCGAATCGAATACGCCGGTCGATGAAGGAGGGAGGATAGGCCCAAGTGAGGACCCGCCCTCTGGCAGGAAACAACCAACGTGCGAGATATGCCACCGTGCGATCACGGATCAGGACTCATCAGCCGTTCATGAGAGCAGCATCGCCCATCAGATCTGCTTACAGCACTCACACCCTCCGTCGCACCTAGATCGAGCGCGCAAAGGCCTCGCAGTGCTGGAAAATCACGGCTGGGATCCAGATAGTAGGAAAGGGCTCGGAGCGCAAGGGGCTGGCATACTCTATCCGATCAAAGCGAAGGAGAATCCGCAAAAGGCTGGGCTGGGGTTAGATCTGAGGAAGCAGCCCGCTCGGGTTGAGAAGGCGGCAACGCTTGACGCTGGTAAGGTGCGGCTTCAGGAGAGGGAGGGTAAGAAGAAGGCGGCTAAGCTGCGTGAGGCTTTTTACCGGAACGATGATATGGAGAAGTACTTGGGTGCTGAAGGGGAGATGAATGCCAACCTGGATCTGGCTGCTTTCAAGCGCGCACGACGGAGATGAGCGGAGGAGATAGTTCATCTTAGCATGCAAGTCTGGGATGTACCTGCATGATACCGGCAATTTTGCCTCAGTATACTATGCCCTGATTTTCGTGTCTCTTCTGTGTTTCCTGTCTCTTGCCACATGTGAAAGCCCGTGCGCTCCAGCTTTGAACCTCACTTTACTTCCAAGTCAGACAGACTTCAACCCGTCCTTCGACTTTTCGTTCCAAACAACAACAGAGACAATGGACGTCGCCGCCTTCGCAAAAGATCATGTCCCTCAAATCACAGCCGTCGTTGCCCTTGTCTCGTACGGGATAGCGAGGAACAAGTTTACGCCCGGCGGGCTCGTTGCTGGAGTTCTGGTGTCAATCATACACATGCTGCATCCGTGGCCGGTCTTCTTCTGGCTCTTAACCGTGTTTGTATTTCTCGGGACGCTGGTGACCAAGGTAAGTACCATCCCTCAGAACAACAAATGCTCTCGCTAACAATTCAAGGTCGGCCACGCAGCAAAATCCCACCTCACCCAATCCTCCACCGGCGGATCCGGCGGCGAAGCCTCCCGCAGCGCTGCACAAGTCTTCGCCAACTCTGGCTTCGCTTGCATACTGGTCGGACTGCACCTCTACCTGCTCGCCAGCACGCCGTTCATCTCCTCCAACCTGCCGATTGCCCCCGGTCCGCACGCCCCAAGGCTGCAGAAACTGCTTCCCATCGGCATCATCGCCCAGTACGCTGCTGTGGCCGCAGATACGTTCAGTTCTGAGCTAGGGATCCTGGCGCAGAGCGAGCCTTTCCTGATCACAGCGCCCTGGAAGCGGGTGCCGAAGGGCACGAACGGGGGCGTCACTGTTGAAGGCCTCATCTACGGAGGTCTCGGCAGCTTACTCTTAACGCTTGTTGCGATCCTGTATCTCTACGGCTATGCACCAGGGATTGCGATGAACGAGAAGACTGCCGGCATGCTCGTGTTCATCGGACTGATGGGAAGCGTCATCGACTCGCTTCTGGGCGCTCTGGTGCAGGCTACGGTGACAGATAGGAAAAGCGGTAAGGTCGTGGAAGGGCCAGGAGGGCAGAGAGTGAAGGTGGCGGAGGGAGGAGGGAGACTGCAGATAGGGAGTGATCTGTTGACGAACAATGGCGTGAATTTTGTTATGGCCGCGTTGACAAGCATGCTTGCAATGGGAGTTGCGCATGTACTGGGCTTTGAGCTTAGCTCTAGATGATATAGCCGCATAATCAACATGTCTGGAATGTGAGTGCTTCGACGCGATCTCAAGACCTAGATGGATTCCCAGTCGTTCTTATGTGTCCCGATCGCAGCCTTGCAACCGAGCTTTTAACGTTCAATTAACGCAATGGGAATGTAGACAGGAGGCGAAGGTGTGGGAAGAAGCAGTTTCGACTGTGCACAATCAATTGCTCATTTCTCCTGATGCAGACGCAGAAACATGTTCAGCCTGGGGTATTCGCATTTCTCCAGAGTAATCCATCTTCAAATGAAACTCATAGCCATAGCACCTCGCTGCCGCTGAGATCCGAGTCTGCCTGAACGCCGTAAACTCTCATGCCAGAACCGAGCAGACCTATGCGCTGTCCTAGCTTAGAAGTACGCGCGGTCGATGCCGAGCATCTCATCCATCAGCCGGCCCGCCTCGTTGGGCGCCTCGACCTCCTCACGCTTGACTCCGTCCGTGTCCTCTTCTGCGACTGGTGTGGCTTCCGTCGGCTTCGGCGTGGTGTCGACTGGCTTCAGGGCGGTGTTCTTCGGCTTGGGTGTGACTGCCTTCTTTGGCTTCTTGTTGAGATTTGCGGTCTCGGTGTCGTCGCCTTCGTCTAGAAGCACGTTTCGTTAGTACACGTTGTCAGAGGAGGGGAGGGTGATATAGTTTACCTGCGGCCTTGCGCTTCTTCGGAGTCGCATCCTTCTTCTTCGGTGTCGTCGTAGTCGTAGCGGCCCCATTGCTGCCCTTGTCTGCCGCTGTGGTGGCACCGCCCTCGTTACCCGCTCCGAGAAGCTTCGTGCGGACGATGGCCCACTGGTCGCGAGCGTACTTGGAGGTGGACATGCCGGCGATGTCCTTGACTTCCTCCCAGTCGATCTAGACAGCGTAAGCTGGGGTAGGAGTGAAGCCAGAGTAGGAGATACTGACTGTGCCCTTCATGACCGTGACGACTGCCTTCAGCAGCTTGAGGTTGTTCTCCGTGAGGTTGACTGATGCCATGGTGGATGTTTGCTATTGAATAGGTCTGTCAGAGTTGTTTGAAGGTAGATTATTTGTTGAAAGTTGGCTGTTCGACTGGCTGACTATGTGTTGAAAGAGGAAGAGTCCGTGAAGGTTGGAAGTGGCATTAAAAGAACACTCTTGAAAGGTCACGACTTCACTTCATCTCCAAGTGATGTGGCTGCAGAACAGCCAGTGAGCCCAATTTTGGTGAGATCCCATACAAACCCAGCTCACTGTTCAGTTCATCACGTGCCATCGTATGCTCTCCGTTCTCCGCGAAGAGCTAGGCCACCGTATTGGCTGATACGCCGTTGTGGAAGAGCTTGTGTCTCGGAGAACCCCTGAAATGCTTGCAGATGGATGCAATGCGCCCTCACTGAAATTCTTCTCCGGCGTACAGAATGCCCATATCATAGCTGCTATGCTGATGTCGAGGAGCTCCGGGTCGTGGAGAGGAGTTGATGCTCGCTGGTGGGTGCCATGTGCGCTCGCTGGTGCTCTTCTCCGGTCTGCGAAGTGCCCGCATTGTGCCTGCTGTGCCTTCTGGAAGAGCTTCGCATCCAGGAGATGCATCAATTCGCTTACTGGCGTGTGCGATATATTCGCTCGCCGGTGCTCTTCTCCGACATGCAAAGTGCCCATAGCATGCCTGCTGTACAGTTGTGGAAGAGAGTCGTGTCCAGGAGAAGCCTAGATATGCTTGCTGCCAGAGGCGTCTTGTTCCTCGTCGGTGCTGCTCTCCTAAAAACCAAGGGCTTGCATCGAGCGTGACACGACGTCTTGAAACGCCTTCGTGTCTTGCAGAAGCTTTGGTTTTACTTGATGATGTGTGTCTCATTCCCCATCACTGCTGTCCTTCAAGGAAGCCAAGGTGGTCGCGTGGATTGTGCTGCGCCATCCCGAGTTGGCCTTGCTTGCGGGAGAGGCATGTATGTATTCGCCTGGGCTGTGCGCATCCTCTCCATGATTACTTCTGCCTTGCCATTCCTGCCATTCTGAATGCCGCCGGTGACAGCAGGCGGCTTGCTACGCGCGTAGGACCGCTCGCAGGCGACTTGTGTATGGAGGCACTGAAACGCGGTGGGCGAAGGGTCTTTGGCGGGGTCATGGCGGCGGTGAAGGAAGGATGGTTAAGTATTTTCACCTGTCGTCAAAATTCTCTTCGCGTGGGGCTTCACCTGGGAATGACCTGAAACTGGCACGCAGTGGGAAGACCAAGTATTCGGTGAAGAGATTGATATCATTGCAAAAGCTACGTACAGACACTCGAGGAGGCGCATGACCGCGACAGGTATCCAAATATCCAACCATCGGCCCTCGCATCTTTTCAATACCATCATGTCGAAAGATCCTGTCAGCCTTCCGACACTGCCTTCCCAAGCCAAGCAGGCCGAAGCCGAACCTGATCGGGACGAGATCATTGCCAGCCCGGGGCACGAAGCCAGTGCGGGCGTAGAAGCGGCATCACTCTGCGGCAGCGCGGATCAACTCATCAGCCAGGGTGGTATTTGTGGCTCATGTAGAGAACACAGTTGCGGATGTTTACTATAGAATAGATTCCATGAAGTAACTAATGGTGTGGTTAGCAGTGCGTCGAAGTGTAGGGGTGGTTTTGGGAAACTCACAATCGCTGAAGAAGAAAGGTTGGGAAGCGGTGCGAGGTCAGGTTAAGTATTGCAAAATTTCGCGGCAGCGCTAGTGGCGCGGGCCGTGGTATGGATGCTACGCCAAATGCGCACTTCTGAGGCCGGGCTCCCCTTCGCTCGACTCGACTTCGTCGTTGAACACTGGTGAGTGAGAACATCCTGCTTTCAATGTTCGTGGTGATGTTTTTGGCCAGGAAGGATCTTGTGAGATGCTTTGCTTGAGGTCCTCAAATCATCATAATGCGTCTTCCGTAGTTCAACGGACAGCCTAAGTGAGATGTCATGGTCGTGCACTGTTTGAACAGTTCACAAGGGCGCCAGCCACATTGATACTGGGAGAGATATTTAGGCAGGTCATACCATCGACTCGATCATTATGCCTCCGAAATAGGAGCGATGCCTGGTTGAGTTCAACAGCATGCAATCGGCGGCGCTCCCCAATCTCCCCGTAGGTGACAAGCTGTACTGAGGAAGGACGACCTTCACGGTATGGTCGGACTGTAGTGCCTCTGTTCCCTGCGTATCGTCTACTTCGCGGCAGGCTAATCTTCTGGCACTTCACTGTGGTGCCAACTTCTGCGATGAAGATATCTCTGCTACAGATAGCGAGGCAGGTGCGACCGATGAGCTTGTCCTAACCTCGCGTCGTCCTGGCTTCCGTGCCTGCGACTTTGTTCTCCTCCACGTTGCGAGACTGATGCGCGTAACAACTCAGTCGAGATGGACGCCGTTTACCCGACGCCCGGATACGGCAATGGTCACCAGCAATTCGGCCACGACGGCCACCCCTCCTTGTCAGGTATGATGGGATACAGCGACTTTGATGGAGGTCACCAACCAGAATCGCCGTCCGGCAGTACTCCTCCAGCTACCATGACTGATAGTGAGCTCGACGATGACGATCTCACTCCCCTGGAGTACGCGCGGAACCACGGCCTCACGCGAGACTACACCCGGAACTACGTGCAAGAAGCCATGGACTGCCTTCCCCCCACCCCAGAGAGCATGCATTCCGACATGATGCATCCTTCTATCGAACTCGATAGTACGGATATCAGCCCAGATACACTGGGTGAGAAGCTGGTCCTCGAGACATGGGACGTCGATAGAGAGACCGTCAAATTCCTCACCTCGGTCATGGCTCTGGCTGCCGACCAGCCTAACATGTGCGTTGAGGAGCTGGATGATTGTCTACTCTCTCGGTCTCTGAAGATCGAAGAAGCCGTGCTGTCGAGGGATCCGGAACTGGAGTTGAGGCAGCTGAAGCGGCATAATGCTATTAGCCTCCCGGCGGAAGCAGCGGCATTTGTTCGAACAACCACGGAAGATGAGCAGCAGCCCCTCTGGACCACAGCTGAGCTCGCTCTACCACACAAAATGGATTGCAAGGTCGCACAGGAGAGACTGGATATCGGCAGGGACGTCATCAGCTATCTCGAGGATGTGCTGAGCTTGTCGGAATCTCAGGACGTGGACTTCTCTGATCCTGATTCTCAACGGGTGACTTTGCGGTCTCCTACGTCGCAGATCAGAGCTGACCATCTCCAGCCTGCTGTTGTCAGACACCTGACTCCTCCTTTACTTCCGCTCCAGCCTCCACCAACTGTGCAGGGGATCTCAGCGCACGCGGCTGAGCTTGACCTGACGTCTTCGCCGGAAGATCTCATTGCTGCGGAAGCCGAGGCTCTGGAGAAGCAGATGGCTGAGCGAGATCGTCTCTCTCCACCAAAGTCTGGACATACGCCTACGGACGAGCTACGAGACAGCGATCTTCTGGCAGGATATCGCCCGTCATCGACGACCTTGTCTTGGGGTTCGCCATCCCCAGGCCGGCGTAAAAGACTTGAAGATCTCAGGCCCGAAGTTCCTTTACTGCCAGTCGCCGATGAACGTCCTGCAAAGCGGCCAAAGACGGTATCCTTTTCTGATGAACTGCTCGCCATCATTCCCGACAAGATCCTCGATGAGCCCGCTCTGAGCATGGACGAGCTCGAGCAGGATTCAGATCAGTTCATGGTTGACGTCTTAGCGCCTTTCGCCGAATCTGGTATCAAGCAAGTCAACAATGAGCAGCTAGTCGAGTCGGACACCACCTTGCGAGTGCCGGTGCCTGGGGTGGACGCCGTGGAGCTGTATCGGCCGTGGCAAGATCTTCGTGCTGAAAGGTCCACACCAGAACTACCTACCAGCCAGAAAGCATTCATGTCGTTGATGAAGAACGACTACTGCCGGACTCAGCAGAGATGGGCTGGGGTTTCAAAGCTCGAGCAGACACTGCCTTGGACAGCATTCCCATCCATCCTTGCCAAGGTTCCAGAGGAAGAGTTTGATGACGGTTCGTTTGCAAGATACATGTCAGGGCTCTCGCTGGATGACACGATCAATGTTGACGAGTTGATCTGGTATCAACCTCTGGATGAGGAGTCGGACGACGAGCTTGACAAACTGGAGCCTCTTGCGTTTGAGAGCGACGAAACCCTCAACGCACCGGATGCTCTAATAGAGCCCTGTCTAGAAAACCGGTTTGGCAACGACGAGGCTTACACAAATTTGCCAGCACCTGCGCCACTAGTCACCACAGCCCGCGGCGGCTTGGATATGGCAGCATTGCTGAGGAAGCGCAAGCAGAAGCTCGAGACAGCCGGCAACCGTAAGAATAAATTCCAATCGCCGGACCAACACCACGCACCTCAAAGGGCAGCCCCGGATGCTCAAGTCCCAACATTCGGTGGCCTGTCCGGCTTCATCAGGTTGCATGGGGACATCGATTTGAACAAGCAACCAGCAGTGGCAGAGCTGCCAGAACCGGTACAACAAAAACAGCAACCTGCACCTCAAGCGGTGATGGTACAGACACACCCTGCCGATGCTAATCATGCCTTTCTCAAATGCCCTGCTCCGGAGGTATTGCCAGTCAAGCACGCAGCATCCCTCATCATATCATCCGCGATGCTCACGAGACGCGACCTCACCCGCTCATTTCAAGCAGCCCTACCAAAGGTAGATCTGATCGAACGGATATCTACATCTCCCGCCAGCGGGACAGGATCGCATGCTGCCGCCGATCCTTTCGAGGCTGACATCACCATCTCACCAAGCATTGGCGTCCTCACCACGACACTGCAGAAGCTGAAGCAGAAAGCTCTGCCTGGACAGACGGCATTCTTCGGCGTCAAAGAGCGGATCGTCTCGGTCTCTGCTCGTTATCCAAGACTCGTTGTTCTCGTGAGCGAGGGGCAGCAGTCATCGAACGAGATTGCGGCCAACGGCATGTCCGCAAATCTCGACGAGCGAGACTGCGAAGCTTTGTCAGACTTGTACGGCCTATCCACACAACTGGACACCGAGATCGAGGTCGTCTATGTGCCGGGCGGCGAAACCAAACTTGCAAACTGGCTTGCTGCGCTGCTTTCTCGCAATCTGCAAGCAAAGCAGACCACTCAGCTGCTGCAAGATGAGACGATGTGGGAGCGTTTTCTGCGGACGACTGGGATGAACGCATTCGCTGCTCAAGCTGTGCTGGCGAAGTTGAACCCAGACAAGGGGGTGGAAGGCTCGTCTGGTGTTGGCGAGCCGAAGCCGTATGTTCACGGCCTTGCTGCCTTTGTGCAGATGATGGCGGACCAACGTCTCGAGATCCTTGGGACTGTGGTCAACAGTAAAGGCATACTTCAACGGGTCAACGGCGTGCTGGAAGGGCCTTGGAAGGTTGCGTAAGACGAAGGGTTGATGAGGGATACATGGCTGTCATTTGTCGCATACTTGCTACTCACTTTGCTCATTTGATCGTCATCTAGCTTCGAGTCAATGGACGATGGATATAAGGGACTGCCGCGAATATCCAGCTACTTGACGCGCAATGCTCCCTGTGCCAATGCATAGACCCACCGTTTCAGCGTCATGCGTCTTCTTATACCGACTCTCCAGATACAATCGAGTTACCAAGAAGTCTTGCGCCGGGTGTCTGCATGACGCCGTCTCGCACAACTTCCACGCTTGCGCGCCGTATCGTACAGTGACACTCCGGCGCAGGCGTACAGCAGGAACAGATCTCAAGCGTGCTCCCACATCAACACAGGCCCCACAAGTATCCTGCGAAGCAAGAACAGTAGCAGTAGTATACAGTAGTGGTATACAACATCAGGACATCGCATGCGAAAGGATTCGATGAAGTCTGCAGGTCGATAGACGAGATGAGGCTCGACAAGGAGCCGCCGACGATCCAGATTCTCAATGCTCGCACCGCCACACCGTCTCACCCCTGCTCTGCGCAACCACCCCCCCGTCACTTATCCCTGACGCTGCCCGGTTTCTGGGCTCGCTTCAGATTTTCTGCTATGCGTTGCTGTGGCTTTCACATGAAAGTCTCAGCTGAACACCGTGGACATTGGTGTTCGCATGCACCAGCTCTTTCGGGAGTCTACCCATACCGCTGCGCACAACAAGGAGGTTATATAGCTAAACACTCCCGTCGTTACCGCATATAGCACCAGAAGTATTGGAAGGCGGTTGAAGCAATTTAAAAGCGCCTACGATCACCCTGTCTCCCTGTGCCGATGGCTGCTGGGTGACGCAAAGTGGAAGATCGATCGCTGTCTCCAAGCGCGCTAACGCGTTGCCCAATCCACCACTTTCGATACAGAGATAGCTGCATTTGTTTGCCCGACCTCCCTTCTCTGCCGTCGTTGCGAGGACCACACCTACCCCCATTCCTACGGCCGCATCGAGGGCCCCAACAGCTCGAGGAGAGGTCCCGAGAGTCGGCAGAGCTCAGAGGAGCGCACAATGGCCGAGATGGCGGCAGAGCTCTTCGCCCGGCAGGTGGTGAGTTCGCACTAGCAGACATGCATACGGTGAAGCATGTTTGCGCTCCGCGGCGGGCAGCTACTGACTGCATCTGTAGGACCAGAGTCAGGACGATAACATTGGTTCGGCGACCGAAGGACCGGAGAGCAGCTCTTCCGCTTCGCAGTTGCTGTCGACGCTTGCGCCTGTTGCTCTGTTCGCGCTGGTGTGGTTGATTCTGTTCCTGATCTTCAGGAAGTGGTTTGCGCGCAACTACAGGTGAGGTCTACAGGTCGCGGAAGATGGGACGGAACTGATGTGAGGGTACAGACCGCGAACATTCCTGGGCAGTCTTCGACCGAACGAGCGATCGCCGAACATCTCTGAGAGCTTCTTCGGATGGATAAAGGAATTTTATGCCATACCAGACACATGGATCCTCAACCACCATACCCTCGATGGGTACCTCTTCCTGCGGTTCCTGAAGATGGCGGTGGTGTGCTGCATCGTGGGCTGCCTCATCACATGGCCCGTCCTTTTCCCTATCAACATCACGGGCGGAGGAGGGAACAAGCAGCTTGACATGCTGACCTTCGCCAATGTGACGAACAACTATTACAAGCTGTTCGCTCACGCCGGATGCGCCATCCTCTTCTTCAGCTTCGTTCTTGCGATGATTACGCGGGAGTCGATTTACTTTATCAACCTGCGCCAGGCCTACCTCCTTTCGCCCTTCTATACGAGCCGCATGTCGTCACGCACTGTGTTGTACTCATCTGTGCCGGACGACTATCTGGACAAGGCACGTCTGAGGGCAATGCTTGGGCCGCAAGTCCGCCGCATCTGGTTTGCTTCGGAAACGAAAGAGCTGGAAGAGAAGGTGGATGAGCGCGACAAGGCTGCCATGAAGCTGGAAGGCGCCGAGACGAAACTCATCCAGACCGCCAACGGCGCACGTATTAAGTCCGAGAAGAAGGGCGAAGGCCCAATGGCAGACGAGAGCGGCACAGGACTACTCGCAAGCCGGTACTTGAGCCCTAAGAAGCGCCCAACGCACCGGTTGAAGCCATTGATCGGAAAAAAGGTCGACACGATTGACTGGTGCCGCTCGGAGCTCAGGAGACTAATCCCTGAAGTTGACCGCATGCAGGCCGACCACAAGGCTGACCGATGCAAGAAGCTCAACTCGGTGTTTGTCGAATTCGAGACGCTTGCTGATGCTCAGGCCGCCTATCAGAGCTTGACGCATCACAAAGTCTTGCAGATGGCTCCGCGATTCACTGGCATGAGCCCGAGCGAGATCATCTGGGGAAATCTCAAGATCAAGTGGTATGAGCGCGGTGTCCGCTTCACGTTAACCCTTGCGCTTGTCGTTGCCTTGATCATCTTCTGGTCGATCCCTGTGGCATTTGTCGGTGCCATCTCCAACGTTGACAAGCTTGTTGGACCGAATGGCTACATTCCGCAGCTAAACTTCATTGTCACTGTCCTACCTAAGCCGATCCTCGGTGTGGTCACCGGCCTTCTGCCGGTTATCCTGCTAGCAGTCCTGATGGCTCTACTACCAATCTTCCTCCGGCTGATGGCAAGAATCGGCGGCGACCCAACGACAAGCGAAGTCGAGCTCACAGTCCAGAACTACTACTTCGCCTTTCAGGTCGTCCAGGTCTTCCTCGTGGCCACCTTGGGATCTGCTGCTTCTGCTGTCGTGGAGACGGTGGCCGACAACCCCACCGATGTGACGACGCTGCTGGCTCAGAAAATCCCGCTGGCCAACAACTTCTACCTCTGCTATTTCATTCTGCAAGGTCTGGGTGTGGTGTCGTCCGTCATGCTCGGTCTGGTGGGTTTGGTGCTGTTCATGGTGCTTGGAAAGCTCCTCGACAAGACGCCGCGGAAGATGTACAAGCGTTGGATTTCGTTGTCGGACATCGGCTGGGGCACGCTGTAAGTGACATCGTCCACACGGACAATCGAGATGACGGCTAACCCTCTGCATAGCTTCCCGGTCTACACTAACCTCTTTGTCATCGCCATCTGCTACGCCGCCATTGCTCCTCTCGTCCTCGGTTTCGCGGCGATAGGTCTTTATTTCTTCTATTTCGCCTACCGCTACAACCTGATGTTCGTCTCAAACTCCAACATCGATACCAAAGGCCGCATCTACCCCCGCGCCCTGCAACAACTCTTCGTCGGTCTCTACGTCGCCGAGCTCTGCCTTATTGGCCTCTTCGCCATCGCTACCAGAACCAGTGTGGTCGCTCTCGGCCCCATGATCCTAATGATCCTCTTCCTCGTCTTCACCGCCCTCTACCAAATGGCGCTCAACAATGCCCTCACACCCCTCCTCACCTACCTCCCCAAATCCATGGACGCCGAAGAACGCCGTCTCCTCAGCGAAGAGCAGGAACACCGCGGCTTCCACCACCCCCACGGCGCCCACCGCATGGAGGACGGCAGCAACTCCTACGCCCTCGACGCCGCCTACAGCTCCTCCCGCGACACCGAGAAACCCCTCCCCTCCGCGCCAGGAAGCGAAGGTTTCTCCAGCACCAATACCGGCGTCAATGCCCCTCCGCATAAAAAACCGAACATGCTCACCAAATTCCTGCGCCCGGACAAGTACACCGACTACGCCACCATGCGCCGGCTCGTGCCCAAAGACGTCGAGATCGAATACTCCCCTTGGACAGAGGAGAACGCGTATTTCCACCCGGCGATCACGAACCTCACGCCTTTGCTGTGGGTGCCGCGGGATCCCGTGGGGATTTCGCGGCAGGAGTGCGGGTTGACGGGCGGGGTGATTCCGATTACGGATGAGGGCGCGTATTTGGATGAGAAGAATAAGGTGGTGTGGGATGCGCAGGATGGGCGGCCGCCGATTTACGAGGAGAAGGTTTATTATTGATCTGAATGATGGAGTGGCGGGGTGGCGGGGTAGAGTGGGCGGAAATGGGGGCGATGAGAGTTGGCTGTGATGGCTTATTGATTGCGGGGAATGCATGTGTGCTTTTTGACAGGGCCGTGTTGTTGGGCTTTGAGATACCATACCCCCTTGGCAACAGTTACATTAGCGTGTGATTAGACAGTGTCCAACTGAACATAAATGTAATATCAACACTGCTTCACACTCTCGTCCAGTCAGCCCGACCGTGTCATGCCTTCTCAGTAGCCTGTATTGACCGTCAAGTCCGCGGCACAACACTTTTGAGTATGCTTATGCTGGAAGGCATGAGGAGCTCGACTTTCTCTCTTCGAGGCGCTCTGAAAGTAGTACGTTCAGTGACTTTGCATTTCTCGACAAGCTGTCGGTGCTACTAACCTAGTGCCATGTCCATAAGGCGCATGCCCTCCGTACGCCGCGCTGTTTGCAAGACTGCCCGCTCGTGGTGCCTTTGACGCTGGTTTGAACCGCTGTGCGCGTAGGGCGCCGACCGTCTGCGAGTCTTGAGATGTCCTCCACCACTTTTCCGCCTCATGCTTGAAATCGTGTCCTGCCTCTTGTCTCTGCCGCCATTTCGTGCTCCTCGCTCACTCCCCCATACTAACATCCCCATTACTCCTCCCCCCCTTCCTCTGCGAAATCCACAACACATTGTTGCACCTGCCGTCCTCATTAGCCCCTCACCCTATCTCTCCCCTCACCCTTTCCCCCCCCATCTCCCCTCCCCCATCTCTTGTCCTCTTGTAGGATGGTTGTAATGAGAACGTACCGTATCAACACCTGCCCCAACCCCCCGGTACTCTTCCCCTCCACCCACTCCTCGGCCCCGCTGAGCTGGAGGTTCATATAACTGTCCACCGAAACAAGGCGGCCCGTGTACTCGGTGTGGCCCCATTTGAGGCGGATGAGGACTTCGTCGTTGACGCTGTACATTCACAAGATGGCGGGTTAGTAAGAGGTGGAGCAGGCACAAGCGCAGTCGCCGCATCAAGGGAGGTGGGGAGAGAAAGAGGAGGACGTACAGCGACTGCAGCATCGGCCGTGGATTGAGAGGGACGAACTGTGCTTCCCGTTAGCCAACGCCTTCAAAACCTCCAAACCTCAAATCTTCAAGCCTCCAAGCCTCCACTGCTGACGGTAGTGGTGGTGGGTGTGGGGTGGTAGGGTGCGCGTACCGAAGACATGATCGCTCAGTGGGTAGTACTCTTGTCGTGGGTGTTGTCGGCGTGCGGTCAAGAAGAGCTGTTGTAAAGAGTGCTGTCGCGAGCCGCAAAAGTCTCAAGCCGCAGAGCTGCAAAGACCCGACAGATGAAGCTAGGGCTTGGCGCACGTGACGCTCTACAATTCACCCCTCGCAGTTTGACAGTGAGGCCAGCAAGGACGAAGGAGACATGCAGTGAAGCCAAAGGAAGACAGTGCGGCAGCGTATGAGTACAAGCATCCCATTCAGCCCATTTCTATGATACTGCATACTGCTCCCTGTACTCCTTCCCATCATCCATGATCACACATCGCTTGTCGCATACCCGTAGCCTCCACCCCTCAGCCTTCTCATACTCCATGAACCCCATCCACCACCCTCCTCACAGTACCTTCCCTCTACTTCAAGTTCACCTCCACACGCCCCTCCGTCCCGGGCGCCCCACCCTTCCCCAGCTCCGGAAGCAAATACGTAATATCATCCCACGGATGCCTGTACAGCCCCGTCCGCAACCTCTTCTGATCCAAATAATGCGCAATCAAGCCGATACTCCTGCCGAGCACAAACAGCCCGTTCAGCACACCGTTGCGCAGATAATCCTCCGCCTCTTCCGCGCTGAAAGCGCCGCAGTTGCGCAGCAGGTCGACGAAGCAGACGGCGACGCAGCCGTCGACGTTGAGGATCAGGTTGTCCTTTTTGGACGTGGTGACGGTCTCGACGGCGATGGCGTAGTCGAGGAGTTTGGTCGAGGGGAAGTTCTTTTGGCAGAACTCTTTGACGAGCGTGACGCGGAGGTCGGGGTTGTTGCGGGATTTGACACGGTGGCCGATGCCGGGGACTATTTCAAGGTTAGCAAAGTGCTTCAGACAGTGCAGGTGGGTATATGCGTACTCAGCTTGTTCTCCTTCCTCATGGTGTCGACGAAATCACGCGGGCTCATGCCCTTGTCGTACGCCGAGGTGAACTCCTCAGCAGCACCATCCAGAGCACCACCGAAGCGCGAGCCGATGGTAAGCAGACCAGACACCAGCGCTGAGATCAAGTCCTTGCCGGCACGAGTGGTGATGATGGTGTTCATGGCACCAGACACCGCGGGACCGTGGTCAGCAGTGAGCATGAGCACCATCTCCAAGAACTTGCCCGCGTAATCGGGCAGACGGCGACGGAACCACAGCAGAGACATGACACCGCCGATACCGACGTTCTCCTTGAAGACGTCCGTGATTGGGATGCCGGCGTACAGAAGCTCCTGGCCACGGTCGTCGGAAATGGTGGAGATGAAGGCGGCTGGCTTACGGATGAGACCGAGTTCCTGAGCCCACGAGTAGTCGATCGGAATCTTTGGAACAGCTGGCTCGGCTGAAGGCTTGATCTGGCCAGACTTGGTCATCTTCTGGTAGACCTGAGAGAGTACCTCAGGGAGCTCCTCGAAGGTGTCTGGGACGAAGATGCCGGCATCCTTCATGCTCTTGTTCTTCATGTTGGCAGTCTCAAGCTGGGAGTTGGCGAACGAGCCGGCGTGGCCGAACTGCACCTCGGTCTTAAGCATACCGGCGACGGTTCCAATGGCCCAGGCGACGATTGGCTTGGTGATGGTGCCGTTCTTGACTGCCTCAATGACGCGGTACTCCTCAACCCCACCGACTTCACCAAGAAGCACAAGGATCTTGCACTCCGGGTCTGCCTGGTAACGAAGGAGATGGTCGATGAAGGTCGTGCCGGGGTATCTGTCACCGCCGATAGCCACACCCTCGTACACACCGTCGGTGGTGTTGGCGATGATGTTGTTCAGCTCGTTGGACATGCCACCAGACTTGGAGACGTAGCCGACGGAGCCCTTGCGGTAGAGCTTGGAAGCCACAATGTTGTCCATCATACCACCAGTGTTGCCGATCTTGTACGCACCCGGCTTGATGCCACCGACCGTCGCCGGGCCGATGATGGTGATGCCCTTCTGCTTGGCCACGTGCAGGATCTCACGCGCCCGCCTCTCCGGGACACCTTCTGCGATGATGGCGATCGACTTGACCTGAGGGAACTCCATGAGCTCCATGGTGGAGGAGTAGACGGAGCGGGAGGAGGCGAAGTTAACGACGGTGTCGACGTCGCTGTGCTTGGCCATGGCCTTTTCGGTGGATTGGTAGACGGGGAGGAGGGTCTCGGAGGTGCCCCAGTACCTAGAAGTATGTCAGTCTGCAATCGGGCCATGTGAACGCAGAGCTTCTCACATCTTGGAGACATATTGTCCGCCGAATGTGTAGATGATGCCTGCCACTGAAGGGGTCTTGCGCTTGCAGATGAAGTCAAAGTCAAGCATGCCCTGGACGGCTCGTGTTTGTAGACCGCTGTTATCGCTGTCAGCAGTGTTTCCTCCGTATCTTTGCGGGGTGACCTACTAGACGAAACATCTTGTCTTGGGGTGGAAGAGCATGTGTTCGGGGGTAGGGCTGAGGGATCTCGATGGCGCTGAGAAGCGCTTGATGTTGTCCTGTTCACTCCTATCAGCTGCTGCTTCTCCGAGAGCTGACGTCCTCCCAATGTCTGAGGAGGTATCCTGGCAGCTCGCACTCACCTCTGCGGAGAGAGAATTTGATCGTGCGCCGTTCATGCTGGTGGATGTGCCATTGGGCACTGGAGCTGGTGCCATTGTCGCTATCTAGATGCTCTTGTTCGTGTGGTTCAAAATGCGGTTTGAGGGTGAGGTCTGTCGGGGCCCAAAATGTCAGAAACAGCAACGTCGTTTGGGAGAGCTCCAGCCGCAAGTTTGATTTTTGGTGGGCTGCTCTTCCTTCTCTTCGAAGACGAGTTCTACTTACATTATGGGTGTAGTTCACAAGACAGAGGATATAGTTCAAGCAGACGAGTTACAGGAAAATGGAGGATGCAGCAGTGACGAGGCGGTCAAGTTGCGGCTTCTCTTGGGAAAAAGCGTTGGCCGTATTAGCGACTGATGAGCGCTGCAGCTGAGGACCCTGACACCATCAAGATCTCCGCCATCCGAGCGCCGCAGGCCGATGCCAACATGGTGGTACGATTGTACATCACCGTTTTTAGTTCTTGTTGGATACGTGGGTGCGATGCGCGGGCCCCAATGGGTGACATCTACATGGACTCCTTGCGATACATGTCTACAACGTTGCTGGCATTGGAGCGATTGCTGACGAGTTGAGGGCTGTAGTCGATATATGTATTGCTGACCTCACGTGCTCGTTTGCCTGTCTTGATGTCTACACTGATCTCCTGCTGTTGCTATAACCACGTCGACTGCTCCAGTGGGCTGAGGGCGGTCCATGCTGTCCTGTCCATACGGCAACGTGTCTATTGCATCTCGAATTTATCGAACGATTGTCTCCCCAAAATTAAACTCGGTGAAGGCCAAACCGGTCGTTCCTGCATATTCCCCGGCGCACTAACGACTCCCAGCAGCCCCAGCGGGCAAAGGTACATCACTCAACCACTGTCAACAAGCTTTGCGTAGAGGGTGGCCTTGTCGTGTGCCATCAGCTTTGCCTCAGCTCCAGCGTCTTTGAGACTTTGCCATACCATCCAACACCTTTCCACAATTTTTGATATATCAGCCTCGCGACTGTTCAGCTGCTCAATCCTTCGACGTAAGTAAAGTCCCCCGGATTTGCTTTATTTAGCCCGCCGGAAGGGTCCAAGAAAAAGTTCGGAGGCCGACAGTCACTGGCGCAACGAGCTGCAACAACGGGAAGAAGCTGAAAACGAGGAGAACCACATACCCTACTCCATTGCAGCCACAGGAAGTGCGAACAATCTTGGAAGAAGAAAAGCAGCAGCGACGATCTGGTACGGTGAACGATTCCAGCGGCACCATCTCAGCTTTCCAGCACACCGCATATCGGCTCCGGACTTCTTGTGTCCTGTTTCTGCTTTTGCGAGAAGGTCCATTGCAACTGCTTACACGCACTGAACAGTCTCTTGAAACCACAAATACAACCACAACATGTCTGCGAAGGCCATCTCAGAAGCTGATGTGAGTATACCTCGTTCTGAGCCCAATGGCATAAGCACAAGCTGACAACACCCAGGGCAAAGCCGTCCTGAACTACCACCTCACCCGCGCTCCTCTCATCAAGCCATCTCCTCTTCCTCCGCAATCCACACACAACCCTCCCGCCAAGCTCGCAACCATCCACTTCGAAGACGGTGACGATGTCCGAGGCGTGCTCGACGCCGCAGAAGCCACATACCCCTTCCTCCTCCAGTCCGGCGCAAAGTTTGTCGCGAAGCCAGATCAGTTGATCAAGCGGCGAGGCAAGTCGGGTCTGCTGAAGCTCAATGCTACGTGGCCAGAGGCGAAGGAGTGGATTGAGGCGAGGGCGAACAAAGTGCAGAAGGTGGAGCATATTGATGGTGTGCTGAGGAACTTTTTGGTGGAGCCGTTTGTGCCGCATCCGCAGGAGACGGAGTATTACATTAACATCAACTCTGTTCGCGAGGTGAGTGGCACAAGCACAACAATACAGCTCAAGCAGCAGCTAATGGGTATGCACAGGGCGACTGGATCCTCTTCTACCACGAGGGCGGTGTTGAGGTCGGTGATGTCGACGCCAAAGCCGAGAAGATGCTCGTCCCCGTGGACCTGAGCCAATACCCCAGCAACGAGGAGATCGCCGCCAGCCTGCTCAAGAACGTGCCCAAGGGCGTGCACCCCGTCCTCATCGACTTCATCTCCCGCCTCTACGCCGTCTACGTCGACTGTCAGTTCACCTACCTCGAGATCAACCCGCTCGTCGTCATCCCGAACAAGGAGGTCACCTCTGCAGAAGTCTACTTCCTGGATCTGGCGGCCAAGCTCGATCAGACGGCCGAGTTCGAGTGCGGTGTCAAGTGGGCTATTGCTCGTGCACCTGCTCAGCTCGGCATGCCTGTCGCGCCCGCTGGTCAAGGCTCGAAGGTCACCATCGACGCTGGCCCACCAATGGAGTTCCCAGCGCCTTTCGGTCGTGAGATGAGCAAGGAGGAGGCCTACATCGCTGAAATGGACGCAAAGACTGGTGCCTCGCTCAAGCTCACCATTCTGAACAGCAGCGGTCGTGTCTGGACTTTGGTTGCTGGTGGTGGTGCGTCCGTTGTCTATGCCGACGCCATTGCCTCTGCTGGCTTCGCTTCTGAGCTCGCCAACTACGGCGAGTACTCTGGTGCCCCCACCGAGACGCAGACCTTCCACTACGCCCGCACTGTGCTCGATCTCATGCTTCGCGCGCCGATGCACCCTGACGGCAAGGTCTTGTTCATCGGCGGCGGTATTGCCAACTTCACGAACGTGAGTAACACCACATACAAACTTTTCTACATAACAACGCTAATGATGACCCTAGGTCGCCTCCACCTTCAAAGGCGTCATCCGCGCCATCCGCGAAGTCGCGCCCCTCCTCAACGAGCACAAGGTGAAGATCTGGGTCCGTCGCGCCGGGCCCAACTACCAGGAGGGTTTGAAGAACATCAAGGCTGTCGGTCAGGAGCTGGGCTTGTCGATGAGAGTGTTTGGGCCGGAGATGCATGTTTCGGGTATCGTGCCGTTGGCGCTCGTGCCCGGGAAGTGGAATGAGAGTATTAAGGAGTTTGAGGGTTAGATGGGGAGATCGAGAGAGGACGCGGGATGGGAGGGCTAGAGGCGTGGGGGAGTATATAGAGGGATGATGTGATGGCTGGACGCTCGACGCTTGTGTGCAGAGAGTATGGATGTATCAACGTGAAGGCAAATCATACCGTCTGCTTCCTTTTCACGAAAAGCTCACCCTTCTCATTCTCTGGTCGATCACGTGCCCTCGCGTTCCTTGGCAGGGTCCAACGCGTCTCCCGTCATCTCCAACTCCAAATCTCCCGCTCCACCACACCTTTCACCCCCATCCCCGGGCGTCTCAGACGTTCAACCCCTCCCCTCTCACCACACAGCTCAGTTCTACACTAACCAGACCTCCAGCTCCCAAGACCCACCACACCACCAACGAAAAAACCCGTCGCGAATCCACCCCTTCGACCGCGTTAGCATCCCGCCGCATCCTCTCAGAAAGATATCAAGACAGAACAGAATCACAGCACACACCCTCCCTACAGTTCCCCCGAGCGCCCATTGCCTGATTCTGAAGGAGCGATCCTGAGGGAGAGGGATGCCTGTTGAAAGATGGGCCGGTCCTTGCATCGTTGACGCCTGAAGCTGCGTGCTGGAGCTTATCGTCATGATATGGTGACGGCGCGCGTGTGGAAGGGGGGAAAGCGGTCCAAAGGAGTCGGATGGGTTGTTTCTCGGTGGGGGGCTTAACCCTAAGCGATTTCTCTCCGGTAGTCTTGTCTTGTCTTCTTGCAAGACAAGAACAAGCAGTGTCACGGTTTCGGAAACGAAAAGCAGCCCGCCCCTCCCTACTAGCACGCCCCCCCTCGTACCCAGGCCTGCGGGAGCGGTGCCCGGGGAGCGGGGAGGTAGCGAAAGGGTTGGTGCTTGGGGGAATACGAGTCCGGCCGTCGAAACTCTTGCTCTCGGAGACGAGAGGGGGGGAGTAGGCGGGTGTAATACGGTGGCCTCATGCGTCGGTTTGGTAAGACTCCTCGTCGAGGGCGCGCGTCGAGGCTCGCTGGCTGGATTCTTTGAAAGTGCTCTGGTCGTTATGGATAGCTTGGATGTGTTTTGTTGTTTGGGGGGTAACGGGAGAGGGGGGGAGGGGTGGTGTCGGGCCCCTTTTGTTGAAAGGCGGCGCTGAGGATCTTCATATGCTGTGGTAGAAGGAACGGTGTGGTGGGTGAGTGAGGGGTGTGGCTGCTATGCTGGAGGCCGTGGTGTTTGCTCCGAGGGAGGGCCAGGACGAGAGGCATGAAGCACTTCAGTGTGCCTGCTGCGGGTGCAGAGGGCTTTGGTTTGGGGGTGTGGTTGAAAAGGCGGCGGGAAGAGCATGACGGTGTCCTTCGGGACTCGAGCCTACGAACGGATTGTGGAGGCCGAGACGCTTCTTCTACTGGCTTTCGATCCACACTCGCCCGAATCATGCCACGCTTCGCCGTGCATGTAGCGAGGTGGTCAAGCGCACACACCGAAGCGTCCACCCCCCACGGTCTTTCACACAACGGCACGTCATCAGCTCCCGCCCCCCGTCGTCCTTGCCAACCACTCCTCCATCATGCCCGAAACCTCGCAGCAGTTGTCTCGTACACTCACCCTGCCCTCAGCACCACGGCACACGGCTCCAGTCCGCACTTTCGCCCGCCCCTGACCTCCACCGCGAGACACCCACTCCAGACCCCGCGGCGAGGACGTCCTGCATACCACCTCATATACGTTCCGCTGCCCTTATTTAGGGGTTAGAAAGCTCCAACCCGCCCTCCAACCCATCCCTTTAACAAAGACAGAGCCCCCAAGCCCGCGCCGCAGCATGTTGCTAAAGGCGTGGTTCGCCAAAGGGCGTTTGTCTGATCAGTCGTGTTAATCATCTCCGCCCTCTTTTCCTCTCTCTCTCGTTCTTGGGCGATGGGGGAGGAGGGGGTGGGTGGATGAGCGCCGGAACCAAAACATGAAATACTCGCACCCTTTTCGATTGTGAAGGGGGGTGGCGGTGTTACCTCACTTACCTCAAAAGAGGAGTGAGATGGCGGGCGGTTTTTGAAGACGTACTTTGTCCGCTGCGCGTCCATGGGGACGAACTGCCTCCTACCTCTCTCCTTCTGCCTTTTTTGGTGTAGGTGGGAGGTGGGATGGAATCTAAAGACTTGTCTCACGGGGCAGTGCTGAATCACAAACGGAGAGGATGGCTCATCAGTCTTCGATGAGTTTCCTGCACAAGCGGGGTCTGGGATGCTGATGCCGGTTGGTGCAGATGGTGAAGCGACGGGGTGGGGTTGTGGGTGAGGGAGGAGCTGGAGGGAGGACGGTTGTTTGTTTGAGCTGGTGGGGGATGAAGGGAGTGGGATGAAGCGGTTCTGTGGACGCTGGGCTTCGGACTTGCGCTGGATGTTCAGGGGACGCGGCTCAGCAAGCTCGAGGGAAGGCACGCTTCATGGGTTTACGGCGGCAGACTCCGAGACGACCACGTTCTCGCCTCCCTCGTGGCGCTCGACTTCGCGGTGGGAGTACGGTGGATGCAGTCCAGGCTTCCGGATCACGGATATCGAGCGCGGGACCTCTACGAGTGCTCAAAGCTTTGGCTTGTCCGCTGCTCGTTGTCTGCCGGTCGCTTTTGGCTGTGTCTGCTGTGCTCTCCCTTGCGGTGTTGAATTTCTGGGGGTTGGTGGGCGTGGTGCGTTGAGGACGGGTCTGCGCAACGTGGCTCTGGTGCTGGATCTGGGGTTTGATGGGCTGGCTGGAACTTGGGTTGAAGGTGTGAGGGTGCGAGGACCGGTTGAAGTGGGATTGATTGGTGGTGGTGGTGCTGTCTCCTGATCCTGGGAAGGGGAGGGGGATGGCACGGAATTGTTTTCTTTTATAAGTCTCCCCTTTGCTGTGGAATTTGGAGAGAAAGGGTTGGCTAACTACACTCCCAGCTTGCCTAACCCCTTCCTCCACCGCCGGGACGTGATGAGGCCTGATCAGCCCAGCGCAACCGCCGCTTTAACCAGCACGACCCTCCAGCTCCACCCTCCCCAACCCTCAGCCGGATCCCAAGTCAACCCAACGCCATGGCCGCCCGCACCAACACGACAAACGACCAAACAACCTGCGCATTATGCAGCACACTGCGCAGATAACTCCAGTTCTGGCTCGTGACGCTGAGGTAGCTCCACGTGTAGGCGGCGCGGAGCAGCAGGCCGCCGATTGCGAAAGATGTGGTGCCAACGAGGGAGCTGGTCTGGGCTTCGACGAACAGCCCGCCCAGGACGGCGGCGGCGAAGAGGGGCATGTTCTCGAGACTATTCACATGACAGCGCTCCGCGCGCTCGAACCTAACCCCCGCAACGTCTGTTAGCTTGTCTCTCAGACGTGAGATATTGATGGAGAAAGGGGAGGTTTACGCAGCATAGTCTTTGGGGGAAAGGCGTTTCTTGAGGAGTTCCTGGTTGCGCGCCCCGTTCGGACTGGTGTTGTCGCGCTCGGTCATGATGGAGGCTCCAGGCCCGAAGATGGCGTAGGCGTGTGGATAGGCGGCGAGGGCGTAGTAGGCGGGGAGGGAGAGGAGGGGGAGGGAGGGCATATTGATCGTTTTTGGGGGTTGGTGGTGGTGGTGGTGGTGGTGGTGATGATGGGTTTTGAGTCGGACGGGTTAGAGAGCAGGCACTGTTTTTGAGGGGGGATGGTAGAGTCTATTTGTATTGCATCTACATCTCATTTATCATGCTTCCGCGTTCGCTCTGGGGAGGAATGCGTTATTGTATAGGGCAGGCTATCTTGCCTTGCCTGTTGTGGTGCTCGGGGCCATTGACGTCGAGCGGCGCGGGTGCGGCTTTCTTCCGGGACGCCGGCGTGGTTCGTGGTTCAAGGTTCCCAGCCTTCTGATTTATTGTTCTGGTGGTGTAACCAACGCTAACGGACAGTGATGATCAAAGATGCTGTTGGAGAATGGGGATTCACGGACGAGTGTGTGCTCGATCGTGAGGGATGCAGCTTACACATCCGCTACATGTATTCAAGGTCCAGTCGGCCGTCTTCGCAGTGAATCTGACAGCCAGCTCCTCTCCGCCTCCACCCCACCTCACTTGGCTTTCCTGTCCTCTCTCGGCGGCACAAGGCACTTCACCCCAGCCCCTTCATGCAGGCCCAGCTGCGGGCAGACGTCTTGGTCCTGCAGACACTTCCGGCTATCATGCACCTCCCACAAGCTTGTGATGCGGTGCCTGATAAGAGCTCTCTTTCGCCGAGGGCAGAGCTCTTTTGTAGTCCTTCAGCTCCCTCAGGTAGGTGGTCTGTTGTTCGTACGTCTCGTCTGGCTACAGGAGGAAGAGCGGCTCCCGTTGTCGCATTGCAGAGGCTACCACCATGCTCCACTCCATACTCCCCCTCCTCACTTTCCTCCTCCCCACCGTCACCGCCCAATCCGACGCCCGCTACACCGTCTGGGCCAGCGTCATCTTCTCCCGCACCGGCGAACGCACACCTGAAGTCCTAGGCTCCGAACCGGTCACTCTCACCTCAGTGGGCGCCCGCCAGCAAGAACTCAATGGCCACTTCTTCCGCCAGCGCTACTTCGAGTCCTTCAACAATTTCAGCACGGACAATGGCGTGGGCATCGCTCCTCTGCCGGGCATGAACCCGCAGATACCGGATGTGCAGAAGTTGTACGTACAAGCGCTGGATGAGCAGAGTTCGGTGGCGAGTGCGCAGGCCTTCTTGCAGGGGCTGTATCCGCCGGTGAGCTTTAGCGGGAATGCGAGTGAGGTGCAGGCGATGGTGGATCCGAGTGGGAGGGTGGCTAATGGGTCTTATGTGAGTTGCTTCTGGAGTTGGGATGGGAGAGAGCAGGCGTTGATTGATGATCTTGCAGGTGGACCCTCCGCTAGGCGGTTACAGATATGCTCAGGTACACACTTCTGGCCAGTACGACCCGGAGTTTGTGTACGTGGGAGGGAGCTTGCAATGCCCGGCGTTCGTGGAACAGGTGGAGGAGTACATCGCTACGCCAGACTTCGCAGACGTGCAAGCTGCAACTTTGCCCGTCTATCAGAAGATTGGTCCAGCCTTCCTGGGCGGTGTACTATCCGAAGACAAATGGGGCTTCGTCAACGCATACGCCATCTACGACTACCTCAGCTACCAAAACGCGCACAACACCACCGCCAGCGACCTCTTCGCCAGCGACGAGTACACCGACCCAGACACCGGCGCCAGCTACATCGACACCCTGCGCTCCTACGCCAACCAACAGCAATACGCATGGTTCGGCAATCTCTACGCCGAGAACCCGATAACCGGCACTGGCTTCGAGAACGACGTCAAAGGCAGCATCTCGACCATCGCCGGCAATACGCTCGCCGCCAAAATGCTTAACCAGCTGCAGACTGCCATCATCTACGGCGGGGAATACTACCAACTCAGCCTCCTGTTCGGCGACTATGAGCCCCTACTCTCGCTGTTCGCGCTCACCAGCCTGCCATCCCTTGACTCCGACTTCTACGGCATCCCGGATTTCGGGTCTGTAGCTGTCTTCGAGCTCTTTTCTATCGTCGAACCAGGCACGGTCGAGTTTCCAGACGTAGAAGATCTCTGGGTCCGGTTTTACTTCCGCAACGGCACGGATATCAATCAGCCATACCGGGCGTACTCCTTATTCAACTACGGACCGGATACGATGGAGCTAAAGTGGACGGACTTCCAAGAAGAGATGCTGAAGATTGTAGTGGGAGATATCGGACAATGGTGCCAACAATGCGGCGCTAGTTACTCCGGCTCCGACCGCATCTTCTGCTCCTACTGGAACGCCTCCGACTCCCTCGACGCCGTATCCACCTCAAGCTCCTCCGGCTCCAGCGGCCTGAGCCCAGCCGTCTCCGGCGTCATCGGCGCCATCATCGCCCTCGTCATCGCCGGCCTGATCTTCGCCCTCCTCATGCTGCTGGCGGGCGTGCGCTTCCACCGCGTCAAGAGCCATAAGTCTGAACTCGGCGGGTTTAAGGGGAGTCAGAAACTCGCTTCGGATAAGGATCTGACGCTGCCGAAGGGGGGAGCGGTTGTGGGTGCGACCGTGGTGGAGACGCCGGGGAGTCCGGTGGTGGGGGGCCATGAGAGGGTGGGGAGTTGGGAGTTGAAGGGCGGTGGGATGCCGAATATTGCGGAGCCGCGGCCGGCGAGTGTGAGGAGGGCGAGTTGGGAGGACGATGATGTTGGGGAGGGGCCTTTTAGGGACCCGGTGAAGGCGGATGAGAGGGTGTAGGCGTTGGTGGGAGTTGGCGGACCGAACGAAGAGATGACTTGGCTTGATGAGATAAGATGAGATGACGGAGAAAATGAGGATGAAGCATTGAATATACGCACGATACCCAATCTACCACGTTACCACCCCCTACCACCTCCCTCTGCTCCCCTAAAACCTTCCCTACTGCCCCTTTTTCCCCTTCCCCTCCACCCCCATCAACCCCGGCCTCCCAAACAAAAACCACCCCCTCACCCCGGCAAACCCCGTCAACGCCGCAATCGCCACCAACAACGCCCCATCCCTCATCCCACTCCCTCCCACCACCCACTGCCCTAACATGATCCCCACCAACGCTACTTCACTGATCCCCATGATCTGGTACGTCAGCCGCCTTCTCGCTACTACCGCTGCCGGAGAGCCGGTCTCGGGGTATGAGAGGAGTAAGGGGGCGGTGGCGAGGGTGATGAGGCCGGCGAGCCATTGGGTTAGGGTAAGGGTGGCGGAGGTGATTTGGGAGGGGGTGGCGACGAGGTAGGAGAGGGTAGTCTCGGGAGCGAGGAGCATTGGGAAGACGCTGGCGAGGTTGGCCGCGGATTCGAAGAGGAGCGCGGCGCGGAAGAGCGATGGCATCTTGGGTTGTTGATGATGGTGGTGGTGCAGTCTGCGTGGCGATGGTGGTTTGAGAGCCTTTCCAACCGGACAAGTTTTTATGTTGGAGCTCCCCAGCGGCCAGATGGCTGTTTTGACGGGGTCTTGGTTGTGAAGGCTGGTGTCGTGTATCGCAGCTGATGATTGTTAAGCTACATGTCTACTTTCATGTGATCGTCCGGATAGATACGTCACCACGTCTGCGAAGTCTCGGTTCTTTGCTCGATGACACCCTTTCCTTACCCTTCCTTCCCACCCCCTCCGTCTGGCTTCATCGTCTCCGGCTGCCGATACATATACCATCCCCCTCGTTCCTACATATCCAACCACGAGCCCGGACCCCGCCAACATCGCGCTGCGGAAGAGAGGGTGTATCTCGGGGAACTGGTTGGCCTAATGGTTGGTATGCCGATTTAATGGCCTCTATTGCGGTCAGAATGGACGAAACTTGTCCAACTCCTTCCAATACTATCTGTCTCGGTCGAGACCGTTGGCTTGTCGTTGAATCTGGTTGATGGTAGTGGTCTTCATGTGCATGTGATCGTCCAATTCTGACTAGTGCTACGTCACGCGTCCCCGTAAACCGGACGCGGGCTTCTGTGATGTTGTTTCCTGATCGAGAAAGCTCTGCATACAATTCCAGCTGTGCGCTGTCTCTTCGCTGTTATTGAGTTGCCTTGACTGGACTCGGAATGCGATAGGCAGCTAGGCTTTTGCTGCCACGTAGACGTGCAGCTGCAGTGCAGGAAGACGAGAGTCCTCATGCCTTGAGGCCCGACTTCATCACTATCACGCTCCAAGCAGCACCATGGCCGGAGCGAATCAGTACATACGGCAGGTGCTTCACCATACCGAGCCTCCGCCTCCAGTCAACGCACGTTTCTTCTACAGCTCCCCGATCCCTATAGACGATCCGCTCTCGCCCTTGCCCCCTCCTACGACAGCTACTGCGTCTGCGAAACGACCGCCAAAGGCCTTCTCGGAGTATGACAACGCTGCTCTGGACAAAGCGTGGCATGACTTGAGGCGGAAGATCTTGAAGTACAACGAAGAACAAGGGGAGAAGAGCGGGAGCAATGATGGCAGTAGATCGAGGGCGGGCTCGACCAATATTCAAGGCAGCCGGCGAGGGTCAGGCTCGCAGCCAGCCACACCGCGCTCGAAGCCCATAAGACTACCAGCGTCTAGCTTGAGCCAGGTCGAGGGGCTTGGGGATGGCACATCGGAGGGTTCAGCTTTCGGCGAGGCCACGCATGTGCCGGACACGACTGGGAACCCTTTCGTACGGGCGCCTTCTAGGAAACAGACTGTTACGACTTCGCGCAATGAGCGGCCAGCTCGACCACAGGTCAAGCAACATGACACTTACGACTGGGATGATGATTCGCACCTTCTTGATCAAAACGCGACAGCAGCGGAGACGAAGGATGTTCGACCGAGCAGTGCCCCGAGCAATAAAGTGGCAGTAGGCGTATCGAGGCTGCACCAGGTCGAAATGCCAAATTTGCAGATGACACCCATCTACTGGACTCCGGTGCACGACGAAGCTGCTGTCATCCGGGGGACTTGGTTCTACCAGGAGACTATGCTGCCTGTGGAGACGGCGGTTGCGAATATGCTCGAGGCTGGATATGTGGATCTGCAGGTCTGGACGGAGACGTGGAAGGATGAGCTGAACAGTGTACGTACGGCAATCTATTCTTCTCCATTCATCATTTTCTGGTTCGATCTTTGTACACTATTCTATTCTATTCCACATTGGAATATCACAGTGGCACATGCTGACGGACTATTTCGTTTTTAGGCAGTAGAGGTCGGTGCTGTTGGCGAGGAGAAGATCGTGCACAAACTGTGGCCCGACAAGCTGCCTAAACCTCCGGACAGTCGACCAAGCAGCAGACATGGCACTGCCACCAGAAGTGATAGAGACGATCTACTTCGCGCTGTGACATCCAACCTAGCTGAAGGAGCACCGGAGACACCCGAGCAGACACGCGATAGAGCTGTAGAAGCTGCGTGCGACATCATCGACATCTCGAGCGGCCCAGGAGGCGCTGACAACAAGGCGTCCGGAACCTCGACATATGGCTACAATGGCGCCACGAGAAGCTACTCGTCATTTGGAGTCATCTATGCTAACGCAAAGGAAGCACGACTTCTCAAGCCTAGCCTACTGCCGTCCCGGTATTATGGACGTAGGCCACTAGCCAGCTATATCCGCAAAGGCCACAAGCTAGGTATCGCGGTAGTCCGTGGATTCGACCAGCGTATCTGGAACAAGATCCATCCGTCGAAGTCAAGTCCTAGGGCCGCCAAAGCACAGCAGGGTGCTGCGACGTCCGCATCTAATGTACCTCCACAAGCTCAAGCGAAAGATGATGTTCCAGATGAGAACACTAATGTGACTGATCTGATCTTCGTCATCCATGGCATTGGGCAACAGCTGTCTCATCGTACGTGACACCTAGAGTACCTATCAACCTGCAGCAAATGCTGACACCGCGCAGGAATGGAAAGCTTCCACTTTACGCACGCCATTAACGCCTTCCGCCGCGAGGTCAACGTCGAAGTCGGCAGCAAAGAAGTCAGAGCACGCTTCAGAAGGGACATGGGCGGCATCATGGTCCTGCCCATCAACTGGCGACATTCGCTGTCATTCGAAGAAGGTGGCTACCGCGATGGCAGCGAGAATCCAGCACGCAACGAATTCACGCTGGCCGACATCACGCCCGAGACGCTTCCCTCCGTCCGAGGGATAGTCAATGATGTGATGTCTGATATTCCTTACTACCTTTCGCACCATCAGCCGAAGATGATGGCTGCGGTCATTCGAGAGGCCAATCGAGTGTATCAGCTGTGGTGTAGGAACAACCCCGGGTTCGCGGATACGGGGCGAGTTCATCTCATCGCTCACTCACTGGGCAGTAAGCATTCCCTCAACTATTCATACCATTGAGCGTACTGACAGCGGCTAGGCATCATGGCCCTCGACATCCTCTCGAACCAGCCAACAAAAGTACCCCAACATCTGTCAGACCCGACTTCGATCGACCTGGATGCCGAGCAGCTCGACCACTTCCTCTTCCAGACCTCTAATATATACAACGTAGGCTCACCTGCCGGCTTCTTCCTGCTCCTCAAGCAGTCTCAACTGCTACCTCGCGTCGAGGGACCCTCCGCCACCGCCATGGACGACCCCATCGCCAACACCCTTACAGTCTGCGGCGAGCGGGCCCAATACGGTTGTCCGGCTGTTGACAATGTCTACAACATAATCAATCCCTATGACCCAGTAGCCTACCGCATGAACGCAGCAGTCGACGCGACGTACTCCGCAACACTCAAGCAAGCGTTTGTCCCCTCAGCTACACCAGGCTGGTTCGGCGTCGGCACCAAATCCTCCAGCATCTGGGGTGGAAGCACCACGGCACCCAAAGACGGCGCTCAAATGCCCACGCTCCCGCGTCTGCCTTCAAACGTCGAAATGGAAGTCCATAACTTTTCCCGCGAAGAGATTGCGGAGAAGCGGATGGCGCTGCTCAACGACAACGGACAGGTCGACTTCTTCCTGAGGTACGGAGGTGGGACTTTCGACATACAGTATATCACGATGCTGGGGGCGCATAGCTCGTACTGGCTGCTGAAGGATTTTGTGCGCATGATTGTGACGGAGACGGGGAGGGTGAAGGGGAGGGAGGGGACGTTTTTAGGGTTGAGAGCGCAGAAGAGGAAGGGGAAGGGGGTGCAAGGTTGATCGTGAAGGCTAAAGCTACTCAATGACTTTGAGCGAGCAGTCAAGCTGGCCGAGCGTCGATTGAGGTGTAAGAGAAGGGCTTGTTGCTTTAGTGATACCCCATAGAATACCTTGAATGAATAGCGTATAAGCGTTCGCGGACGGACATCTACTCAATCGAATTCCGTCGTCGCACTGCCATAGTTCGATACTGCGCTTTTCGGGCGTTTGGAGAGACTGGTGCGGCTCGCGCAGTTGAGGCGGTGCTTTCACATGCACACCGACGTCACGAGCAAGCTAGCCCACGCTACTGCCTGATTGGGCGTGGATCCAACGGCTTGAACGTGAGACCGCCTCTACTTCCTCATGGCTTGTAGGACTTCTTCAAAGCTTTCATAGCACTTTCGAAGAACAGATACGATATCAAGATGTTGAACTGGGCCAAAAACGCGCAGGTCCCCACCCCAGCCGCACCATTGGTAACCGCAGCTGACTTGACGATAGCGTGGGCATCACCGAACCCATATACGGTCCTTCAGCGATCCAGTCGGTTGCCGATCAAGCGAAAGAGAAGCCATACACCGAGCTCAACAAAGATGACTTGCGGTGGGAGTGCATGGACTCGACGAATGTGGAGACCAAATCGTTCTACATGCTGAGCGATGACGGGCGAGTCGGCATGGCGCAGGTGATATACAGTAACGTATTGTAAGAGGCATACGGACACTACCGGATCACAGCAAGGGTACTGACGGAGTCATAGAGGCGTCCGAACCACCGCCCAGTTCACCTCCAAGATCTTCTCCCAAGACCCGAGCAAGCCGCACGCCTGGAGCTCGACGAACCTGTCGAACTTACAGTTCCCCAACGACAAGCACGATTTTACGGCAGACAACTGTTCGATAACCATCAGCGAGAAGGGGACGAGCTATCACATCAAGTCGAACGCCGACGCAAAGCACATTGTCGACCTGAAGTTCACGCAAGCTTGCCCTGGTCTGGTTGTTGGCAAAGATGGGACTAGCTACTTTGGTACTGATCCGCAGAAGTATTGGGGCAGGATGATACATAAGTTCTGGCCGAGATGTCAGGTGGAAGGACAGATCTTGAGGTCTGATGGGCCGGTGGATTTCAAGGGAAAGGGCATGTTCGTTCATGCTTTGCAGGGCATGAAGCCGCATTTTGCTGGTAGAAATTCCCCCCTACCTCAACAAAATTGCGCACTAACGATGCATGATCAGCTGCAAAATGGAACTTCGCCAACTTCCACTCCCCCAACGTCTCCGCCTCGCTGATGAACTACACCACCCCACCATCCTACGGCGAAACCCCTGTGACCGTCGGAAGCGTCACCAAAGACGGCCAGATCCTCTTCACAGGCGCCTCCCCCGACACCAAACCCGAGCACACTGAGACCCGATCGGACCCCGACAGCGACTGGCCGGAGCCCGCCGCCGTGCGCTTCACATGGGTCGGCAAGACGGCCGACGGCAAAGACGCCAAAGCCGTCATCGAAGGCAGTCTGGGCGAACGAGCCGACCGGATAGATGTCATGGGCGAGCTGCCGAAGTTTGTGAAATCGATCGTGCAGGGTGCGTCGGGGGTCAAGGCGTATATTTACCAGTACACGCCGAAGATGACGCTGAAGCTGGATGTTGGGGGAGAGGTGACGGAGGAAGAGGGGCTTTTGTTTAGTGAGGCGACGTTTATCTCGTGATTGGGTTTGCTAAAGGGATGTGAATCGGGTGCTCTTCACGGGAGGAAAGGTACTGGATAGTAATTGTAATGAATGACATGATTTCATGAGCGCTGTCGCACTTCGGCCGTGTTCTCACGCGTACTTAGGTCTACCGCTTCACTTTCACCCCTCGTCTGCGGGCTCATCGTGAGTTGTCTAGAGATTGTTTCTTGGCAGGTGGTTCGTGTTATAAGGTATCACGTCGCCGCCTCCACCTCGGCGCTTCCACCCTCCCACCTTCTTGGCTCGTCAACATCGTCAACAACTCCTTCGCGCTGCAACATGTGGTAACTCGGCGGCGGCAAACACACTGCAGTCATTACACTGTATCAAGCGTATCATTATCGCATCACTACGCACAACACTGCCGTCACTACTCCTCAACATGGCGCGGACACAAGTCAACAATAACCTTCTCCGCTCGGATGTCCCCGTTGGCAGAGGTGGCAAGAAGGGCATAGGTCTCGATATTGGCAAGTCTAAGACTGCTAAGAGGCATCGGAAGGGTTTGTTGTAACTTCACCCACGGCTTTGACGCTTTTCATGCTAACACTCGTAACAGTCCTCCGCGACAACATCCAAGGTGTAACAAAAGGCGATATCCGCCGACTCGTTCGTCCCCCTGCACCCTCGTGATCACACATGCCCAACTGACACTTGTCCTCCCCCACCAGGCCCGTCGCGGTGGTGTGAAGCGCATCTCCGGCGGAATCTACGACACCGTTCGACAGGCTATGAAGTCCTGGCTGGAAGTCGTGCTCAAAGACGTCTGCGCCGTCGTCGAAGGAAGCCATCCCAAGCGCAAGACGGTCGCGACTACGGATGTGGTTTTCATTCTTCGCCGTCGTGGGACGCCTATCTATGGGTTCGGGAACTCGGAGCAGAGGGGTCAGATGAACTAAGTTGGATGGTGTGCTGCTGATATTCGGAAGTGTTGCTTGATGGTGGGATGCTAGGGGAAATGCGTCAGGTGTTTGGGAGATCATTGGAGTGTTTGTGCGAAGATACCCGCCTTTGTTTGGGAGGCATGATGGCAAGATGGCATGATATGATCCAGTTGTAAGCAGCTGTTGGGCGAATGTTCATACCTGCGGCTCGGTTTGCTCAATACGAGAGGCAGACTCAAGCTTATGTAGCTGCGTGCTATCCAGGACTGCACCTATTTTCATCTTCATAAGCTAATACATGAGTTCCCAAGCTTCCGCGATTGCCACCCAGAGACAGCTACCACAAGGCGCCAATGGAGAATAGCGACCGACATATCACGACCATGCCTCCAGCCCTCAACGCCTTTTACGTCAATCTTCCCACCTTATTAACACCGTCCTTCACACATCATACGGATCGACGTCCAGCTTCCCCTCATGCTCTCGTGCATCACTCCTCGCCATACGGCCAGCAGAAGTCCTCAAGACACCTTTGCTAGCATCAACGATTGGGTGAGTGTACACCTCCTTGCCCGTCATCTCTTCTGCCACCTTGACGACGGTTGAGCCGAGCCCGGCGATTTGCGAGTTGACGTGGATGGACTCCCAGTTGCCCGCCTGCGATGCCATATTAGCACAAAGTCTAGTTGCGTAGGGATGTTTACAACTTACCGGCACGTGGTACGTCTCATGGAAGATCGTGATATGCGGCATTTCTTTCACGGTCTTGTTCCACCAGTTCCAGTTGGGAAGATGATATTTACTGTGAGCAAACTTGTGCAGACCATCGACGTTCTTGAAGTAGCAGACGACAAGCAGCTCGTTGCTCGAAGCCGCACTGGTGTTCTGCCAGCTCGTCGCACCGAGAAACCCGAATTCGTCCGCGTTGTCTTCCAGGTCCTTGACCATCTGGATGAAATAACCGGCAATCTTGAAGGCATAAGGTGCCAGTAGGCCCAAGGGGTGGTTGTAGCGGGTTCCGATGAGGAAGACGACGACGTCCTGGTTGGAGGGCTTGTTGCCGAATTTGCCTTCCTCAGACGGGAAGACGACGCTGGTTTTCTTGAAGATGACGCCGTCGAGGTATCTGTTCCGCATGATTCCAGTCGTTTGGAGAACTACGTCGCCAACTTTGACCAGGAAGATTGCTGCTGCAGGTAGAAGGGCGAGTCGGCCGGCACCGAGCAAGAGGAGGCCTTGCACTAGAGCGGCCAGGCACATCCATGTTGTGAATTCGAAGCTGTCACGAAGGATCTGAGGGATTGATCAGTGTCCATTTTACACGGATGCAGTGAACTCTACCCACATTGATGCCTCCAAATGGGCTGTGAAAGGAGCTCACCGGCCGCTTCTCGGTTGGTGGCACTAGGCCTACAAACTCTTTTCCGCCTGCACGTGCGGACATATTGGTAGTGAATAGAAGTATTGAGGGCGTTGGGACGAGAAGGGTCTGCTCAAAGTGGTTCTTGTTGTTTCTTGTTTGATGGCTGCGTGAGTGAATCCGAAGCAACCACCTACCTTAAGTACTTCTCTGTTGTTTTAGAGCGGGTATACGGATGGTTGACTCCGCTATACTACGGACGCACCTCTTCTGTAGACATAGTCTGTTCGGCGGCTCTCTGCCCGAGCTGCTTGGATTGGAGGCATTTCGCCCGTAAGGCGCGGGTAATCCACACGAAGGATCGCGCACGCCAGAAGCTTGGTGGAAGCTCCACAGCGGCTGGGGTCGACGTTGGAGCGGCCGTATGCAGATGCGTACGACATAATTCCTTCCTGTCCGCCCTTCGCGTCACGGAGACGGGATGATTCATCCTCCTGCCGTGCGTACTAAGCATCGAGAACGTCACAGGAGGAATTGTGCAGCATGAAACCGCTCGAGACCTTGACAATGACTCTGTCCTTCTAGTTCTTCAGCCTGGCAGGCATCGTGCTGCCGCCGCGTCCCGAGAAGGCAAAGCGTGGAGGTCGGAAATGTCCTCCACGCTGCTCGACTGCGCGAATCCAGCACCTCTTGTCGGCCACTGGCGGGGATGTGCTACGATAAGCATTGATATGGGTCGATCTGACAGCCCCCAAAAGGGAAGCGAGCAGACGGGATATGCTGTAAGCCATAGCGTTCTGGTAGGTGAGAGGTTGTGAGTTGATTAGCTCCTGTGTCTTGTTCTGTAACCGTCAGTAGCACGACGACCATTTCAGAGTGGAACATAACATGAGTCTGGATGCTGGCGAAGTTGGGCATATTGTTCGGTTCTGCCAGGTCTACACTTTGTTGTAGGTTTGCCTGGTGAAGGAGCTGCCTTCCGAGCGCGGTAACCTTCATAGAAAATGCCTCCCAGGTTAGTCAAGATGGAACAAGCTAGGAGCCATGTCGAAAGGACGGCGCTGACTCGAACGGTGTAGATCAATCAGGGCAGTAACGAAAGATCTTCAGCCCTATTTCACGACATCGAAACCCACATTATCGCTACCGCCAGAAGCGCGCCGGCTGATACAGCAGTACGTGGACGAGCACGATGCCGAGACGAGCGAGGAAGAGTACACACGTGCCAATGAGGAATTGAACGGCTTCTGGGCGAGACACGTGCACAAGAGTCCGGAAAAGCGAGGGGCATTCGTGGGTGTGCTCAGAGGAATAAGGCCTGCCGTTGGCGACGGCGACCTGCTGCTATGGTGGCTCGAGGTCGTCAAGCCCATTGTCGGCAGCACGCGATACGACAGCGCTGCGCAAGATGATGCCCGGGAGTTCACGGTTGGTGTGATGATTGGGGACAGCGACGGAGATGACACAGCAGGTCAGATCAGGTCAAGGGCCCGGGTATGCCGGGAACTCTTAGATCTGTATGTTGCCCGGAACCAACCACTGCCAGGAGAAGACGCAGAACAGTCTGCAGAGGAGAACACGCAGGTCGCAAAGCAAGCTGAAGATGTCCTCATTGCATTTGGCCGGAAACGACCCAAGGATCTATTTCACCACCTGGATGACTTGATCAGGCCGGCAGGCCGTCGGTTGATTGCTTTGAAGCTTCTAACGTCTTTCATCCGTCTCGACATACCTCACCTGTACCTGGTCATCAATACACCTCTGGTCGAAGATCTACTCAAGTGCCTGATGAACGACACGGCTACGGAGCTCTTGTCCGTCGCTCTGAAGGCTCTGATCATGCTGCTTCCGCATATTCCCGGCTCTCTGGGTCCCTACCTGCCACGACTCTTCCTCGTTTATAGTCGACTTCTGTGCTGGGAGAAGTTTAGCGAGTACAACACAGAAGCTGAGAGAAGCATTGTCAAAGATGACCGCGTCTCCACTACAGATGACGATGAAGAAGACGAAGCCCAAGACGTCGGATTCGACTCCACCTGGGAAAAGGCACGGCCTGCTGAGGGTGTGGTTGAAGCATCGACACCTGAGATTCTGACGTACTTCACCTATCTGTACGGGCTGTATCCGCTTAACCTCGTGAGCTATATTCGCAAACCCAGACGCTACCTCAAGGACATCAACTTCCCTGCGGCAGACTCATTCGACTTGGATCAAGCGGTGATACGTAGTAGGTCGGAGCAATTCCGAGCAGTCCATTTTCTGCACCCGAATTTCTACAACATGACGATCGAGGAAGAAGTCTCAGACCCCAAGTGGCCGAAAATGGATCCAGCCGATGTCGTTGGCGAGTGTCACGGCCTGTGTATGACTGTGCAAACCACGACGTCGAGCTTAGGACCGCCTCCAAACAGAAAGCTTCCCGCTATCCCTCCTGTGCCGCCTCTCAGCGCAGCAAGTGCAGGTGGACCGTCTCCAACTACAAGCCACAGAAGCCTGAGATCTGGATCGAGTTGGCGTGATGCGCAGCCTGTCGCCACGTCCAATGCGGGAGACGCAGACAGCCCTGTACTAAAACCACAGCTCGCTCCTGCGCAGGATCCAGAGCCACAGCACGAGAAGCCATCAGTACCACTCGACAACCTTGCTTACCTGCAAAGAGAGATTACTCTACTGCAAAATGACCTGAACTTCGAGCGGTGGCATAAGGCTCAATACTCCAACCACATCGGCAAGATCTTCCAGCGGAATGTGAAGCAAGCAACGGCAGAAGCAGAAACGTTCAACTTGATCTACGCCAACCGAGCCCTTCAAAAACAACTCGACCAAATGCGAAAAGCTCGTGAGGCTACGCAGAAAGATGCTGCTCTAACGAGGAAGCAGGCGAACACTCTCGAGGCCAACATGATGGAGCGCTTCAACAAGATGAGACTGGAGCAGGAAACATGGAAGGCCGATGCGGACGAGCTTCGAAGACTGCGCTCGGAAATGCACGAGTACCGCGACTTGCTGGTGGCATCAGAGGCGCGCGAGCTTAAGAAGTCCCATCAACTCCAGATCGCTGAGCAGGAACTTGAGAAGTTGCAGAAGATTCAAGAGCAAGTAACCACCGCGCGGCAAGAGTTGCGGGTCTACAAGTTCCGAGAAGCAGAGTACGCCATCACCAAGCGACAGAATGAGATGCTGCAGGGTGAGCATGAAAAGACGCAAGAGCAGGTGCGTCGTCTTGAGCAGGATCAAGCACGTCTGAGGCACGCCTTTGCCACCAAGGTCGCGGACTTGGAAACTCAGCGAGGACTTTCTGATACCTCGTCCGGGTATTCTGGTAGCCAACCTGGAGCAGACTTACATGTCGCCGTCCAGCGCGCGGTAGCCGAAAGCGAAGCAAAACTCGCTCAGCTCAAGAAGTCGTACTCGAAGCTCGTTGCAGAGCACACAGACCTCGAGCTTGAATACCAAACCCTCAAGAACCGACTCGAGATCCTCCAAGGCGCCGCCTCCGCCCCATCGGTTTCCAGCACCGCCAGCGACAGCTTCGGCTACGAGATCGTAGACGACTACGCCGCGCGCATCAGCACCAGCGACCCTACTCACCGCCGATCGCAGCAACCCGTCCCCGGAACCGCGGTCACGAAGGGGGCAGACCCAACGACCGTGAACAGTTTCGCTGGGCTCATGTTCGACCCCCGCGCGAGCAAAGGCAGCAGTACGGTCTCCGGGTCTGGACGCTCGAAGGAGCTGGCGGCGTTTAACCAGTCGGCGCCGGTGGCGCAGGATGAGGATGTCAGTAGTGCGTTTAGCGATTATAGTGGGACGGGGAGTCAGGGGCAGCCGGTGAGGAAGGAGAAGATTCAGCCGGGGAGTAGTGTGAGGGTTTATGGGAGAGGTGAGTTTGAATCAAAATGGGGGTGAGAGTGTGCGTGCTAATTGGAGTGATAGGCGGTGCGCAGAACATCAAGCTGAAGCAGAAGGAGGAGAAGAAGGCGGAGGGCGCGGGTGGGAAGAAGAGTAGTGCGTTGAAGGGGTTGAGGAACTTCATGTAGGGCTTCCCGAAGGTCACCTGGGACGTGGCAGCAACCTGTATCGACGGGGAGGGAGCGAAGGATTAAGAGACACCCATTATTACGCCAGTGATGGATATCAAGACGTAATGTAGTGTCATCATGAAGCTCTCCGTGATACCTTGTCAAGCATCGAATGTCCAGGCCGAAGCGTCTAGACCTGAAAGGTATTCGCTGTTTGTCTCGCATGTTCAACCAGAGACCCTGATCGCCATGTAATCATTGGCGATCAATAATAGCGTCCCCTACCACGACCACGTCCTCTCCCACCCATTCCGCCCTGCATGATAGCCATTTGCTGCTGACTATAACCATCCATCCCTCCGCCAAACCCTCCCTGGTCTCCTCCCTGATTCTGCGCAGAAGGCCCAGTCGGTGGTTGGAAGCCCTGTTGACCGCCCGGTGGGCGAGGTGAGACGCTGTTCGGGTTGGAGCCACCGAAGCCTCCTCGTTGCGGTCCGAAACCGCCGCCTCCACCGCCTTGGTGTTGGTTTGGCTGGCCTGGTCCGCCGCCGCCGCCGCCGCCCATCATCATCTGCATGAAGGCGTTAGGGTCGGAGGGGTCGATGCCTTGGGACATCATCTGCTGCATCACTGTTGAGAATAAGTCCGGTTAGCTCTTCGCCACCAAGGCCGTGTCTCTGTGGTATTGTGACTTACTCTCCTCCGGGCTCGGCATCCCACCCATCCCAGGCATACCCGGCATTCCCCCCGGCATCCCTCCTCCACCAGGCCCTCCTGGCCCACCGCCAAACATTGCCTTCATCTGCGCATCCTGCTGTTTCATGTCCGAGATGTTGCCCGCCATAGTCTGCTGCCTAATACAGTACTGTGCCCAGGTATACTCATCAAAGCCATAGTTGAAGAAGTCCGTCTGATCCGTCCCCGGTAACCGCCAGGGTTTCGAGTGCTCTGCGAGGTCCGCGTCGATGTCGAGTTCGGTAATGGGTTTGTTGTTGGCGGGCCAGGCGGGGGTGGTGCTGACGTCGACTTTGCTGCTGCGGATTTCGGGGAAGTCTTTGCCTTCTTTGCCGTCGTGGGTGAGGGTGGTCCTGACGGCGGTGGGTTGAGTGGAGGCTGTTCGCTGTTCGTGCTTGACTGGTGTGCTACTTTTGCCTGGTTTGATCTCTGCGGATACTGCGCGGTCGCCGGAGCCGGTCCGCTGCTTTTTGGGTTGTGGCGGTGCGCTTCTGGGAGTTAGGAGGAACGTGTGCGACGTACGAATTGGAATGCGGCCTACCTTGTTTCTGTCTGCTCGCCTTGTGGTTTTTCAAGAGTGAATTGGATGTCCTATATACATCATATCAACATACGTCCAGCAATCTAGGACATGCGTGCAGCGTACATCGTCACTATCGACTTCTTCGTCTTCCTGCTCTTCCGTCACCTCCATCTTCTCATCCTTGATGTTGGCTTCGTCGAAGGTTGGCGCGTCCTCCTGCGCATTCCCTCCTTGGCCACCGTAGAAGTCATCGTCCTCCTCTTCCATCTTCGGAGTCCGTAAGGTTGTGATTCGTTGGTCGTTGTGAGTCGGCGCAAAGACACGTCGAGAGCTTTGAAGACGCGAAGGAGGTGAAGTCGATCGCACGGGCCACCTCCAAAGGCCGACCACATGCATTCACTCTCAGCAACTCCTTGGAAACAACATGGCTCGATAGCATGGCGTTGACATCGGTAAGAACACACAGTAGCAGACACATCTAGTTTGTATTTCATACTAATACTTTGCAGTGGAAGTCCTTTCGCTTCTTCGATGTTTCCCAAGTCAGACTCCAAGACGATGGTGATGCCTCTGTGGCGCTTGATGTAGGCACCGGGACTCATCAATGTCAGACCAACGCTGACAGGAGGCTCTAGCAAGGCAATACGCACTGCGTTGCAGCTGGGTCCCAATACATCTTCGTGAGCACGGACGGCGGCGTCGTCCAGCTGCTCGACCATAACTTCAAGTCCACCAGGTCATGGAAGGCTCACGAGCGAGGCGATGTCTCCAACATCAAGCAAATACCGGATACGTCTTACTTAATCACACTCTCGGAAGACCTGAGCCATGAGCCTGAGCTCAAAGTCTGGAATTTGGATCAGATCGAGAGGAGGACTGGCCACCCGAAGTGCCTGTGTACCCTGACTGTGCAGAACGGACGAAAGAACTTCCCCATGACCGCTTTCACAGTGACTGGCGACCTGACCCAGCTCGCTGTTGGCTTCGGAAACGGAGCCGTGACGGTAGTGCGTGGCGACTTTGTTCACGAGCGAGGGACGAAGCAGCGAACTGTTTTCGAGTCGGAGGAGCCTATCACCGGTCTTGAATTCCGAGAAGCCAACACAACAGCCTTGTATATTGCAACCACATCTCGTATCCTCGCACTCGCCATCACCGGCAATCGCCAGGGCACGCCGGCCCGCACGCTTGACGAGAATGGCTGCGATGTAGGATGCATGACCCTTGATCCGGAGTCGAACGAGATCGTCATTGCACGCGATGATGCAATCTACACATACAACACTCGAGGAAAGGCAGCTTCGTATGCCTACGAAGGGGCGAAGAAACTCATCAGCGTGAGCAAGGACTACGTTCTACTGGTGTCACCTCCAAGCAACAACCTCTCTCGATCTGCACCACTCCGTGCGTTTGGGGGGGCACAAGCCAGTGCGATACTGAACACCTCCACTTTCACGATCCTAAACACCGACATGAAGTTCCTTGCGCACCAGGAGTCTCTCCAAAATCAAGTCCGGACTCTCTTCAGCATTTGGGGCGACATCTACCTTCTCACCATCGATGGCAAGCTATTCAGGTACCACGAGAAGACATTCCAGCAGAAGCTCGATATTCTCTACCAGCGGAACTTGTTTGTGGAGGCCATCAGCATGGCACGAAAGTACAACGTCGATCCGGTGCAGCGGAACGTCATCTTCCGCAGGTATGGCGACTTCCTGTACCAGAAAGGCGACTACGATACAGCCATGCAGCAGTATCTGCGGGCAATCGACAACACAGAGCCTTCGCAGATCATCCGGAAGTTCTTGGACCACCAGCGGATACAGAATCTGATTGAGTATCTTGAAGAACTGCATGAGCATCACAAGGCCACGTCAAACCATACTACATTGCTTCTGAACTGCTACGCCAAGCTGAAAGACGTAGACAAGCTCGAGCAGTTCATTCGACAGCCTGGCGATCTGACCTTTGATCTGGACACCGCAATTCTGATGTGTCGTCAAGGCGGCTACTACGACCAAGCAGCATTCCTGGCGAGGCGACACAATGAGCACGGCCTTGTGGTGGACATCCTGGTGGAAAATCTGAAGAAGTACGCTGAAGCACTTGCCTACATTGTGCGGCTGGAGCCGAAAGAAGCATATCCCAACTTCATGAAGTATGGCACCGTGTTACTGGAGCACTGTTCGCAAGATGCGACGCAGCTGTTCATCGACTACTTCACTGGAGTATTCAGACCCAAGAAGGATGCCGTGATCGTGCAGGAAGCGCCAGTACAGCAGGAGAGTGGCCGCTTTGGCAACATGGCACAGTCAGCAACGTCTGCTGTACAAAACCTAGCAGCGCTGATTCCACTGCCGTACATGAGCACCAGCACAGCACCTCCACCTCCTTCTGCAGACGGCCAGAAGCAGACCGTCAACCAGGTGGTGGAGACCACGACCGAAGCTGACTTTGTCGAATACGAGGTGCCAAAGCCTCGCGTTGCTTTCTCGGCCTTCATCGACCATCCTGATGAGTTTGTGGTTTTCTTGGAGTCCTGCCTTGACAGCGAAGACGTCAGCGACGAATCCAAGACTGATCTGTACACCACACTGTTCGAGATGTACCTCCATAAGGCGACTACGAGTCAGAGAGAAGAAAAGACGGAGTGGGAGCGCAAGGCGAAGCAGCTGATCGAGTCAAAGCAGATTCCCATCGACACCGCAAACGTCCTCCTGTTGTCCGATCTGGAGAAGTTCAGGGAGGGCACAATCTTGGTCAGTGAACGACAAGGTCTTCGATTTGACGTGTTCCGGTCATACACAGCTGCGCAAGACACACAAGGCGCAATCAGAGCATTGCACAAGTACGGCCCAGAGGAGCCGCAACTATACCCAGCAGCATTGGCATACTTCACGAGTTCACCTGAAATACTGGACGAAGCTGGCTCTGAAGTCGAAGCAGTACTACAGAAGATCGATGAAGATGGCCTGATGGCGCCACTGCAAGTCATCCAAACTCTCAGCGCCAACGCAGTCGCCACAATGGGCCTGGTGAAGAAGTACCTCTCTTCCACCGTCGAACGTGAACGGTCCGAAATCGCCGCCAACCGCCGCCTCATCTCCTCCTACCGAGCCGATTCCACGCAAAAGCTCAGCGAGATCGAAGAACTCGCCACCAAGCCGACTTCCTTCAGCGCAACAAGGTGTTCATCTTGCGGTAGGCCGCTTGAGTTGCCAACAGTGCACTTCCTGTGCAAGCACAGCTTCCACCAGCGCTGCTTGAACATTCCAGAAGGGCAGGAGCCGAATGATGTGGAATGTCCAGTTTGCGCGCCGCAGAACCAGACGGTGAGGCAGATCAGAAGGGCGCAGGAAGAGAGTGCTGGGAGGCATGAGTTGTTTGCGGATGCGTTGAATAGGAGTGGTGACAAGTTCGGGACGATCAGCGATTGGTTGGGGAGGGGGGTGATGGATGTCAAAATTGGCGGGGAGTAACTGTGGACATATGTAAGTGAGGTTGCAGCAAGTGGATCGAAAGTGTGTTGACATGTGATAGTGCGCGGATCACTCGATGCTGCTTCATAAAATCTCACATCATCCCCACATTTCCACTCCTTTTTCCTTTCTTACCTTCAACACCAAACCACCGAGACGCACGACTGTTTCAGGAGACTGGCCAAGATGGCTTGCGATCCGCTTAGACTGGGTGTCGGGAAGTAAGCAAACACTCCGCCTCAAACGTACTTGCGTTCAGCCGGCTGACTTTGCAGGCTCCTCAACGACACGAAACTCTCCCACTTCACGGTTCGATGTGGCACGAGAGAGTGGGCAGCTCATAAGCTGGTCCTGTGCGTTCAATCCGAATATTTCGACTGCGCAATCCATGGCGACTTCAAGGTTGGTTGGAAAGGAGAGTAGTTGTCTTGGACCTAAGCTGACATGCCCACCAGGAATCACGTGAAAACCTCATCGAACTACACGAAGATGACCCGGAGATCGTCTCCTACATGATGCAGTGGCTCTATGCGAACTATTACCGGATCTCCGGCCGACCTCGCACATCCTCTTTGTACCCGGACATACACGTCCGCGTATACGAGCTCGCCGACAAGTACCTGCTCCACGAGCTCAAGGATCTCGCATCAAGAACAATCGCGATGCCAGACGAAAGCCTTCGCTGACTCCATCACTTACGCTTGCAACATGTCAACCGATGTGAGCTAGCCACTACGGGAGCACATCATGGACGTCGTTAAGGCGCACTCGAAGGTACTGCTGGACCGCACGAACGTCAAGAGTGCTGCTTTCCAAGAAGCGCTGAAAGAAGCCCCGGGAGAGTTCGCAACAGAGGTGTTATGGATGGTGGTGGATGACAAGATGGCAGAGAAGGACGAAATGTCGACTAAGATTTCTGATCTCTCCAGCGAGCTGAAGAGGACTATGGGTTTGAAGTGGTGATTGGATTTGGGCATGCCAATCGCGCAGGCTGGCGGTTGTGGGAAGGACCCAGGTGAGCCTCTGCAACTGCGTGATTGGGGATCGAACACTTGTGCCGCAGTTGGTAGGTTCTCGCAGCTTTCTGAAACACTCCAAACATTTCTCGTTGCCGCAGGTGACATGTGAAAGGACATGGTTCACTGCTAGCACACCGCTGCTTCTCTCGAATTCTTCGTTCCGTGACTCGTCCAACCTCCAACTTCACACATCTTCCGACTTCTCCTCAAGCCACCTTGATGCATCAACGCAACACAAGCGTGTGGTGCGCTTGATTGCTCATCGATATCGAGATGGGTCTTTCTCCAGCAGACGCCATGATGGCCGGCGTCGCGAGGTGAGTAGGCTTCTGCAGTCGTGGCCATGATACAGCTGACATGCGACAGGCTCTACAACTCCCCGGAGTTCTCCGACCTCACTATTCGATCCAAAGGCCACGAATGGCCGGTCCACAAAGCAACACTGTGCACGCAATCGAAGTAGTTCAAACGTGCGGTCACAGGTGGCTTCAAGGCATGTGAAAGCTGCTAAGTATCTATGTCTGTCGAAGTTATTAACCATTGTGTAGGAGGCGCAAGACAACATTGTCGAGCTGTACGACGACGACCCAGAGAACGTGAGCCGAATGCTCGAATGGTTCTACCACCACGACTACCCCGTGCCCGAACTGTCCGACGAGTCCCTGTCCGCCACCATCCACGTCCGCGTCTTCTGCCTGGCAGAAAAGTATATTTTGACCGAGCTGAAAAACATTTCGAGTTCTCACTTCGCTGCGTGTGTCCAGAATGCCTGGGGCTCCGAAGGTCTCACTCAAGCCATGCTGGAGCTCTGCGGGGTGCCCTCGTTTATCAATGAGTCTCTGAGAACACATGTGATGAAAGCTGTTGTCGAGAATTCGGGGATACTTCTGGCCAACCGCAACGATGATCGGAGAAGACTGTCGTTTCGGGAAGCACTGGGGAAAGTCGTCCAGATCTCAACGGAGGTCGACGACATCGCTTCGCCGGGAGAAGATGGAGATGACGAAGAGTAATTGGTATTGTCTATGTCGCCTTTAGTATCTGCTGACTGTTTCAGGCTCACGGACGGAGATGAAGAAGACGACGTCTTCATTATCAGGTGCAAAGAGCGCGAATGGGTTATCCCGGTCGAGTCGGTTTGGGAGAGGGAACAGTTTTTCCATCGTGTATTGCACGGCAACTTACGAGTCCATGACACTCCATAAAACCATGCTTTTCCGTGACCAGCGCTGACTACTTCAGCATCCCTTCAACTCAGCCATCCGACTGTACGAGGACGATCTAGACATTGTCGACCTACTGGTGGAATTGATCGGCACTGGTGACTACGACGTGCGTTCTCAGGGCTCGCTCTCCGCACCCGAAATCCACGCAAGGCTCGCCGTGATGTGGCACAAATACTGCAACGATAGCCCAGGATGCAAGGCAAGCGAACATTTTGACAAATACACGAAAGATTGGGACGATCGTGGCTATTTGAAAGCGCTGCAATACGTCTACAACGAGGACGAGAATTCCACCGAGCACCTTCGTTTTATGATCCGGGACGGTGTGGTGGCGGCTGCTAAAGATGTTTTTGACCTCCCTCGGCTTATCAGGGAGACATCGATGGCCGGAGAGTTCGCAGTCGACGCGGCCTATAGCTTGTGCGAGCGTGTGTTTCATTATGCAAACAGAGATGTGTAAGTTGAGTATTGCCTGGAGGAGAGTACTGGCAGAAGGTCGTTGGCAAAGTGAGGTAGAACACCGCCAGGAGGGGTCGGTAGTCATGCAATGGTACAGCAAGCCCTCAGCCACTCTACTTGTAACATGAACATCCGCTGGACAACCTGGAATGCCGTTGCAACAGTCGCATTGAAGCGTCCAGCAATGACAGGTTTTCGCACGAGCAGGCACTTCGTTACAACCAAGCATGTACTTCTTCTCTATCCCTAAGACACCCTCATAACCACCATCATAAACCTCGTGAAGCAGCTCTCCGTCCCTCGCAACGACTGCAGCAGCAGCCATGCTAACGCTCCACCCCAACCCGCCAACCGCCCATGCCACCACGCCCAATCAACCGCGAAGTCGCCGCCGCCCCCCCGTAGAGAATTACCGTTTTGCTCCCCTGGGTATCACAAATGACCGTTTCCTTCCGGCCATGACAACGACCGAATGCCCAACAAACATCTCATCCCCATCCCTCCTAACTTCATGCAGACTCTCAAACGAAGTCGGCAGAGTACGAGAACCCTCTGAACTCTTCTTGCATCGCCTGCGACAAAACTATGAATCCGTTAGCGATAGCTCAACGTGATATTGATAGGACAAAAGTGTACGCACCAGACTGCACCGGCGTCAAAACCGGCGTCACACTCGTAAACTCGGAATCGAAATTACTCGTGTCCGCCCTCCCCTTCACCGTCGGCAAGAAAGGCGCCGGCACCCGCTTATGATAAATATCATCCCAATTGACATTCCGGAAGAACGCATGGCTCATGATCTCCTGCGCGTCGGTCGGCCCACTGCCCAACCGCAGCTCCGGCTCGCGCGTCAGCAGCTTCTGCAGGATCGAGACGCTATCCCGTGGCATGTGGATGGGGTAGAGGGGCTCGTCGGCGAGGATGGCGTCGTAGATTTCGTCCTCGTCTTCGCCGCGGAAGGGCGACTGCTGCAGGAGCATTTGGTAGATGAGGACGCCAAAGGCCCACCAGTCGACGGCGCGGCCGTACTTCTTGTCGAGCAGGATCTCGGGGGCCATAAACTCGGGCGTGCCGCAGAAGGTGCTGGTGGTCGAGCCGTACCACATATCCTCTTTGCAGAGACCGTAGTCGGCGACTTTGACGTGGCCGTCGAGGGTGAGCATGATGTTGTCCAGCTTGAGATCGCGGTAGATGACGCCGTTCTCGTGGAAGTACTTGAGTGCCAGACAGACCTCGGCGGCGTAGAACTGTGCACGTTTGGTACCGAATTGGCCACGCTGGATGTGCAGCATCAGATCGCCTCCGCTGATGTACTCCATAACGAAGTAGACTCTCGTCTCAGTCTGAAAACAGGCATGTAGATTCAGCAGGAAAGGATGTCGCTCCTTGTTAGCAATCAAAAGAACCCTCTTCTCGGACCGCACACTCTCCACTTCATCGTTCTCAATGATAAACTCCTTCTTCAGCACCTTGATAGCATACAACTGCTTGGTTGTCTTCGTCTCAGCAAGCATAACTTTACCAAAGTTACCTTTGCCAAGGACAGCTAAGAAGTTGAAATGGTCGAGGCCGATGCGCCTGCCAGTGCCCTGCGAGTTCGCTGGTGGTGCCTTGGGCGGCTCAGCAACAGGATGAGTGATGGTAGTTGGAGGTCCGGCAGGCTGCTGGAACTGTTGTTGAGTAGCGGGAGGAGATTGAGGCGGAGCCTGCACTTGTGGCACAGGCGACGCTGGCTGCTGGTAATGTGACTTCGTGGGCGGTGGCGGTGGTTGCTGCACGGGTTGTTGGCCATAAGGCTGCTGACCGTACTGAGGTTGCGATTGAGGCGTGGTGAACTGAGCATAGACTGATGGGTCGTACGCCGGCTGCGCCGGTTGTTGCTGCTGTTGAGGCTTCTGCGGTGGTCGGTAGCTGTTCCCGCCCCCGTAGCCGTCAGCATAGGAGCCTCTGGAAGAAGGTGGATGGGCCGGATAGTCAGTCGAGCCTCTGTTATAGTTCGGCCTGGCATCCTGTCCAGAAGCTCGCTTCGCCGCGGCGCTCGCTGCAGCAACTGCATCAATCTGTGGTGACGACGCTCTCTGCGGCCCTGGTGGAGGACGTCCAGAGGAACCAGAAGAGCTCGGAGGATCACTATGCCTCATATGGTGACCTGCAGCATCCACAGCCTGCTGGTTAGGCGGACCAAAAGACGATGATCTTGGCGGCTGTTCGTATTGATCCGATAGCCGCGGGTCTCGACCATATGAGAACCTGTCCTCCGGCTTCTGTGCAGCCGATATCTGCTCTTGGTGTATAGGCGCCTGGGTGAAGCTGCCCGAACCATGCGGCGCTGATGGTCGATTCGAAGCATTCGGCCTCAGCTTGCTGGTGTTCTGCAGCATCCGATTGCCCTTCGACCTTTTCAGCTCGGCCAAGATCTGATTGGCAGCTTCCATGCTCATGCCGCAGAAGTCGGGCACAAAGTGCACGCAGTTGGCATGACAGGTGAGCTTGCACTCGCTGCACTTTCTCGACTGTTTCCTACCAAGAGGCACCATGTAACCGCAGTGGCAGCACCAGTTGGCGCCCATATTCGAGAAGGCCTCGAAACGATGCGGGATGCGGTGGTTGATCTTCTCCTCGTCCGGATCTGTCTCGGAGTTCGACTTGCTGATACACTTCGTAACCACTTTCGGGTAGCAGCCCTTGTGGCAAGTGTACTTGCAGTCCGCGCATTGCATGCCAGCCGTGTATTTGAGGAAGTCGCCGCACAGCGCGCAACGCATGATGTTGTAGAAGGTCTGTGTGGTGAACTTGTGGCCGTATTGCTCGACCACATCCTCCTTCTTCTGTCGGACGGCACCTTTTCGGTTCAGACCAACGTCGAAGCCACGGCGTTCCTTGACCTGCTTGACAAACGCCAGCGTAAGGTTAATGCGACCGACAGGCTCCAGCGAGAACCAAGCATCGATATAGATCGGACCTGTCTGTGGTGCCAAGCCACTTCCAGGAGGTCCTCCAGCAGCTGCAGCCGTAGCACCGTGTCCAGCAGGACCCCCTTGAGACCCAGGTGGTGGTTGGAAGTTCAAGTCAGGTCGGCCTGGAGAATTTTCCATCTGATCGGCAGTGGTCCAACCAGCCTGGATGTTCTCCGTCTCGACCCTCTTCCGTCGGATCTCATCAGCCAAGTCTGCGATCCGTATCCAGAGCAGTCCTATAGGCACCGCGTGATCGCCAGACTTGTCGTACACCGTGAACTCGATTTCGTTGGCCTTGTCCACATCGAACTCGTGAATCTCGTCACTCCACCTGTCGGTCCTCGTAGCCTTCGTCCTGCCCTTGAAGGAGTCTTCAACCTTCATGATGACGAACGTCTCCGGCCCACGCGAGAACTTCGAAGTCGAAGCGTGCTCCACATCTGCAACAGCATGTATTCGTAGAGATAGGTGGCCAGTGAGCGGCTTCCGTTGACTCGGCGTGTCCAGACTTTCATCGTCGTTTGCGTCCGCAGCATTCTCGACGTCGACGTGCAGATCCTCGTAACGCCGCAGCGCCCTCGTAAGAAGCTGGATCTTCTGGTTGCTTTCGATTCTCCTGCCTTCTGCGTCCGAGCGGCTCTTGCGGTCACCCTCCATCTGGTATAGCTTGGCCATCTTCTCAATGCCATCTTTGTACTGCTTCTCCACGCTAAGTTTGAACTCGAGCTGTGACAGCATGAGCTGTATTCGTGGGCCGAGGTGGGCGGTGTCGTATTTGATCAGGTCTGCTAAAGTCAGCACCACTCTCCCACTGTTACGTCGAAGTACATACCAAGCTTGCTGTAGTTCGGACGCGCTCTCGGGGACCTGTCCGCCGGCCCAGGTGGAGCATACGGCGCTCGAGGCGGCATCAACCCAGGCGCTCCACCTTGACTATACCCACCAGGTCCCGGCGCGCCATAGTCGCCCGGCGCGCCATACTCCTGCGGACTGTACGGCCCTCTGGACTGCCCGCCCGCAGGTCCCTTAGGCGGCGGCGGTGGTCCACCATTACCCGACATCGACAGCTTGCCCATATCATCGCCCATCTTCCGCCTCCGCAGATCCTGCAGCGTCTGCTCAAAGTACTGCATGTTCCGGCGCGCATCGCGTATCTGGCCCTCTGCCCTAGAGGTGACCTGTGCGTTGTTCGTGGCCTGCCGCATCTGATTCGCAGCGTTGATGATAGCCTGTTCCCGCTGGATCTTGCGCTGGACATCTTGTATTGCCTGATCTTCGTTCATCGTGGCGGTGTTGCTTGCCCGTCTTGGGGCAGCAATGTGAGGTAGAGGGGGAGGGGTGGTCGAGGCCGCGAGTCACTCAGTATCTCGGAGCGTGGGGTGTGTTTCCAAATTCGCGGGCACGTGCCGGGGCTCGAATGGACTGCGGATTCGCAACAGACGAAGAGTTCGCCAAGCAGCTGTAGTAGGACGGCGGTGGTGAGGCCAAGGCGAGTCGGAGCAATAATGGAGAGATACCTGACTGCAGGGTTGCGTGGCGCCGGCAACGCGTGGGAGGGGATTCCAAAAACGAGGCCCGCAGAAACAGAAACCGACAGCAGACCGCAGAAGCCGTTGGTCGCCGCGCGCGGAATAGTGATATTGCCACACTACCTCAGGCTCAGGTAGGGGCGCAAGAGAGCTCTCCAGGACACGAGCGTCACGAGGCGGGCCAGCGAGTGAGGTCAGTGGCAGCAGCAAGAGCCTGCGAGGTGTTGTTGGCCCGGCGGAGGAGGACTGCGTTCCTGCTGTGGCTGAGCCAACAAGCAAGCGGAGACTGGCGCAACTCTGAGTAGGGCGGGCTGCCGCTACATGTGCCTTAGGTCCTGGGTGGCGAGGCTGGCTCTGGTGGTTCGAGCCGCCAGGATGTCGTGCAGGAGGAAGAAGGATTGGCGTCGTAGGTGAAAGGGAATGAAGATGAGGTCAATACGAGGTTGTTGGTTGAAGCAGCGGGGCAGCCCACACACAAAAGCTGGAGATCGATAGCAAGCGGGCGGAAACAGAAAAAAGGATCATGAAAGTCAAAAGCTCAGCTATCTATGTACACAGAAGAGGAGGTGATGGATTCATTAATGTGCCTGCGGTGGTGATTGTCATGTACACAGCAGGATGCGAAACCAGTACCACCACCGCGCTGGCTCGATCATCTCACCACTCGCTCATCGTTATCTCACTATCGTACGAGTCCTTCCAGCAGGACAACCTGCGTTTCAGAGGCAGCTGAAGGGTGTGACTTGCAGAACGGTAGCACTATTGTAACGACGTGAAACGTGCTGTGTGGGTGTGTGTTCCTTCGGGAATCTAGCCCGCGGAGGCTGTCTATCGTCTTTGCGCCTGAAAGTCATTGTGGGTGAACTCCTTCAACACCAACCATATTTCTCATTGCAGATCCAGTCCACATCTTCCCACGAACCCTCGCCATACCATCTCAAGCTGGCGATGGATTCGTTCTCCCGATGCTGAACGACCGCCGTAGACTCCAGCATTTGCGCTGCAGCAAGCGTGGTGGAGGTAGGGTTCCAGATCTGCACCTCCTTCATATCCCACTTTGTAGCTTCTTGTTGTGCTGCAGCGAATAAGCTCGCAATCGCCTTCACGGTTCGCGTGGCCTTGTGACTCGAACCTTGCTCCGCAGCAGCAGGCGAAAAGTCCGAGAAGCTCTCGTCCTCAACGACAAGTCGAAGAATGTGCAGCGTGTTGGGAGCTTCTTCCTGAGGATTGGTGTAGACACGAGTCCAGTAGCACCACACCCGCGACCCCACCTCGCCAGTGACCGCGCCCTTGACGTCAGGGTCACGGTTGAAGAGCTCCTTGATCACAAACTCCTCTCTCGCGTGGTGCCACCGGATCGCGCTGGTGTCTGGAACAAGGGCAACCTCGCAACGCTTGGAATTTGGTTTTAACAGCCGGGCATGGATGAGTTTCTCGTCGATGGCGCACAGCTCAGCCAGATCTGTGGACTTCAGGCTGCTGACAGATGGCAGGTCTTGCTTCGTATCTGTCGAAGGCGGTAGAGCCACATGCGAAGACGGGAATGATTGCCAGCCGTTTCGGGCGTAGAACTGCTTGCCGATATCCGAGTAGAGAACACTGAACAGTACCCTCCTCGACTCCTCTGCTTGCCAACTCTGCAATCGCTTTCCCAGATCAGCCATCATCCGTCCAGCGTACCCCTTCCCCCGATGTGCAGGTGGGCAGAACACGCTCCCTACGCCATGAGCTGTTGTTTCCTCCACCTTGCCATTTTGCGAGACCAGAGCTTTCTTTCGGATCGTCTCGCAGCCGCAAAGCACTTGTCGCTTTCGGTCTGCAGAAGGCTGATAGACCAACGCCCAGCAAGTCAAGCCGCCGTCCTCCGTCAAAGAAGTGTTCGCGAGATGGACTTCACGTCGCAGATAAGCCTCCAGTGACAGGGCGCCACGCCATTCTGTGCTGTTCGCTTCCTGCTGAGTCCTGTACTCATCCGGGGTTGCTATCACGAGTTGGATCGCTGAGGACTCCTTGTCCGGTAATTCGACATGGCCGTTTGGTTCGCCAATGGAGCCCATGTTGTCTATCTTCCGATTCTTGCGGCTCTATCACCTTTATCTAAGCATTGAAAGCCGCGAGATGTTCATCAGGTGTTTCTCACTGGAGACCTGACGACTTTGTAGGCTCGTAATCGATCACCTGGACAAGTCAGATTGATATATCCATTACGTGAATGGTCCAATGGAAATCGAGCATTTCGTTGAAAAGGCCTGACCAGCTCTGCCGAGTGTAAGCGTCGAGCAGCGAACTCCGAAGCTGCAACGCCGGCGTTGTGGGCATTCGACGCGCTGCGACGTGTTCTGTGAACGTCGTGGTCACATCGGTGGCCAAGCAAGCGACAGGTCTCATGCTGACATCGATGGCCATGCTGTTAGCTCGCACAGGCATCAAACGGACCTGTCCTGTCTCGACGCAGTGGCGTGTTCTGTCGCGTGGTACGGGAGCTTGTCGCTGGCTTGCCATCGCTTTGGTCCGAATGCTTGCGAACTCGCGAGTCATGATTGATCGTCCCAACACGCTGGCGCCACCGAGGAGTCGGCCACGAGGTCGGCATTCGTATTGAAGCCATGTCGAACGTGATAATATGCCTTTATCAGATGTTGTGCGACGTAGAGCCAGGTACGGACACATGTAGAGTTAGTTGTTCTAGGCCTGTGCGCGGAAGCGACTCCTTACCCCACACGTCGCCTACATACCTCAGATAGACGCCATAGATCTACCAACAACACATCTTCCAACGAGATGACCCTTCTTCTTCTCGCAGGCTGTAACTGCCGAATAGATTCCTTACGGCGCGCTGGTAGCGTCAGTCCTTTCCCTCTGAGATTTTAGTCAAGCGATTTACACGTGGAGGCCGTTTCGGTAGCACCGAAGCGCTGGGTCAGCCTTCCTGACCACACACGTCCAACTTACCAGACGGAGGGAAGCGACAGCCTTTGCGATAGCTCACCACCGACTTTTCCTCCCACTATGAACCCCTCACGTCATCTCCTACCTTCCGCCGTCGACTTTGATACAAGTTGCGTGGGCTGCCGGTCTCATCACTCGAGAGCCACCCATTCACCCTTGCGTGCCACTTTCAGGCATTAATCTTCACCACCTTCGTTTGCAGCCTCGTCTTCCTTCCTTCTCTCTTCACCTCAAGTGCGACACCGCGCTGCAGCTTCCATTCCTCTTTGGGCACTGAACAACCATTCTTCTGGAACACTCGCGGTGCTTCCCGCTCATTCACCTCCACCCACTGCCGACACTATGGCACGCCGCTCCCAGCCAATAGAGGTGGTGAATTTGGTGAGCGATGACGAAGACTCAGATCCAGACACACCGCCCCTAGCAATCAAACGGGAAAATTCACCGGCGCGCCGCATACATGCCCCTCTCTACAATGACCCCTCTGGCGCTCCTCCTGTAAAGGTTGAAACTGCGTCCCCGGAACCACCTCAAATGGAGCAGCAAGACGCGCCCGTCGCAGGCGAATACATCTACATTGATGGCAAGCCTGTTTTCATCCCGGACGAGCCGGCCGAGCATGACCATTTCAATGCGTTCGAAACGGATCCAGCACGTGACGAGCAACTTGCCCTTGCGCTCGCTAACGGCGCCGACTTGGATACTGGTGCCCATGACCACGACGATCCGATGGATATCGACATGGACGACGACGAAGTCACTCAGGATACCTGTCTGCAACAAGTTCTTGCCATATTCCCAGACATCAGCCATGATCACGTCATCGATCTTTACACAGCATTCGACCGGGAAGGAGACTATGAGGTTCTGCCTGGGCGGGCACGATTAGACAACATCATTGAGCAGCTGGTCTCTAGCGAATCGTACCCCAAACAGGAGAAAGGCAAGAGGGCTCTTAAGCGGAAGCGGGAGGACAGCATCGATGGGATCGACTTCAAGAAATGGGAGAAAGCCGACCGCGCTGCTGTACCCAACTTCCTCAAAGGTTCGATGCAGGTCATGCTCAAGTCAGAGTTTCCGGAGATCCCGGTCCAGTACATCAACGCAAAGCTTGCCACCGAGCGACATCTGTACAACGCATTCACTGCACTCGCCAAAGAGAAAGACGACAGCGAGAGGGATGATGTACGCCGCTTTGGCAAGGGCCGTCCGTCGCAGCGGCAGATTGCTGATGCCGATACCATTGCCACGAACTGCGGCTGGCCTGAGTTACTGGAGGAGCTGAACGCTGCTCGCGCACGCATGGTGTGCGTCAAGATGGACAGGGCTGCAGAGGACGCGAAGAAGATAGCTGAAAGGGAAAATCTGGACCGGGCTATTGCAGCTGGCGAGACTGCTGAGTGCTCAGCCTGTTTCGACGACCTCCCGATGAATCGCCAGATTCACTGCAACGGATCAGTGGCCCACTTCTTGTGCTTTGATTGTGCCCTCACGTACATTAAGACCGAGGTGGGTGAGTCTCGCTGCAACGTCCTTTGCACGGCAGGCTGTGGCGCTGGGTTTGCCGGCAACCAGCTTAAATTGCTCTCGGACAAGCAGTTACTGGAGAAGCTGTCTCAGCTGGAGCAGGAGAAAGCCATTCGGGAAGCTGGACTGGACGACCTCGAAGAGTGTCCCTTCTGCGATTACAAGGCTATTCTGCCGCCCATCGAGGAAGACTTCGAATTCCGCTGTGCCAACCCCGAATGCGAGAAGGTCAGCTGCCGGCGCTGCAAGGCCATAACGCATATCCCCATCACCTGCGAACAGCATGCCAAAGACAACAAGATCAACAGCCGCCACAAGGTGGAGGAGGCCATGACCGCGGCGCTCATCCGATCTTGCAACAAGTGCAAGAAGACCTTCATCAAGGACTACGGCTGCAACAAGATGTCGTGCAACAGCTGTGGGAACAAGCAGTGCTACGTCTGCTCGAAAGATGTCCATGACTACAACCACTTCGACCAGACTACGCGCCCGAATGCGGGTGCATCTTCTTCTAAATCCAAACTCTGCCCTCTCTACGACAATGTTGAGGAGCGGCACGAGCGGGAGGTCAAAGAAGCAGAGGCTGCTGCGCGCGCACAGGTTGTGGAGGACAATCCGGACGTCACAGCAGAAGACCTTGAGATCAAGGTATCAGATGCCGTCAAGCAGACCGCGGCCGATCGGGTCCAGCAAGCCGGCGGTGTCAATGCAGGGTTTGCGCCTTTCCTCGCCGGAGGTGCTTTCTTGCCCCAATTACAACATTACCAGCCATACGTCCACCAGCCTCTGGCTCATGGCGCCTACAGGAGAGCAGACGGTCGAGCGGCTCTCGATGCCGAACTTGAGCGTGCAAGGGCGCGCGTCCGTGAGCGAGACGCACAACAAGCTGCCAGGGGAGCCGCTCGACATAGAGCTTTACGCAACTGGAATAACCCTGCACAGCCGCCAGCACAGCCGCCAGCGCATGTTCAGGGCTACATCCCGGTGTTGGGCTTCAACCCACCTGCGCAGCCGGCGGCTCCTCGCTGGGACCAGTATTACCCTGGCCAGCCGCAGCGGGTTGAGGACAATGTGCTCGACGATCTGTTCGGCGGCATGAACGACTTGAACGGCTTCGACTTTGGCGACTTGGAGGGGCTTGGTGGCGGGCAGAACGCAGGAGGTCAAGGCCTGGGAGCAGGAGAAGGGCAAAACGCAGCCAACAATCCGATTCAGAACATCCCTTTCCGCCACCAACCACAAGCCATCCCCGGCGCCTACCCAGACTACCTCGATCCCCCAGTTCCTCGCCAACGAGATGCCCAATTCCAGCAGAACCTCCCAATGCAGCAAGCCATGCAGGCGCGGCAACAGCAGCAAGCGATGCAGCAAGCTCTGTTGCAAAACCGCAACAACAACATCATCCACCAACACGCCGCCCCCCACGGCGCCGCGGCTCCGGCTCCGCGAGACGTCCAGCAACTCCAACAGCGCAACCTGCAGAACCTCGAGCAGCTTAGGCAGCAGCACCAGGCGATTCTGCAGCGGCAGGCGGAGAGGGAGGCGGTGCGGGCGCAGCAGAGGGAGGCGAGGGTGCATGTTGCGGAGTTTCAGCGGCAGGTTAGGGAGCAGGGGGGGGAGTGAGTGTGGACGTGCTAGGGGGGGAGGGGTGGTAATGGGTGCGGGCTGTGGTGATTGATAAGGGAGTTTTGGGGGTGTTGTCGTTGCTTCCGGGAACTGTATGGGCTATATCAGCGAAGGTGTTGGGGCAGCGTGGGAGCTTGCTTGCTTTGGGGCAGTGGTAATGGCTTGATTGCTTACTTTGCACGGCATCATTTCGGCATTCATTCTTGGTTGCGAGAGATAGCTTCGAGGTAGTCATCGAAGTTTGCTGGCAGTATATGTAGTCATTGCTATCACGAACCAACGTTTTGCATCCAAAACACACATTGTGATATTCAAAAAGGTTCTCATGTGATATTGGTGATTTGCTCTGAACAGCGTATATTCTGGGACAATGTCCAGTTGCTACATCGCTATGCAGCTTGCGGCCACCCTTCCAACTCAGCTCCGCCTACACGCGCCTATCGTCTCTTCGCAATAGTCCCAGGATCAGCAGATACTGCGAATACAACGCAGCTTGGCTCTGGACCAGCCAGATCGTGCCAAAAAGTCCCGCTCCGACAAGCTATTTGTTGCCTCTTAGATACCCTTCGAAGTCAAGCCAATCCGCGAACTCTTCGCGAAAGCCCTCGGGATCTCCACTAGGGCCGTAGTGTAAGATCTCTTCACCTCGTAAGGTCTCTTCACCTTGCACACCATGCTGCTGCGGTGCGTGTGAGCTGAAAAGAGAATCTAGATCTCCGAAGTCGTAGTTGAGGAGGTTGGAGATGTCCTGGTCCTGCGGAACATGCTGCTGCTGCTGTGCGTAATGAGGAGCATGAGCTGAGGGCCATTGGTCGTGGGCAAGATGATGCTGTTGCGTGGGATAATAGCCGTGGCCCAGGGTTCCAGGATGCTGAAACCCCGGTGCAAGCGGAGCACCAGCGAAAGTAGGAGGCACGGTGGCCGCTGGTCTTGGCTCGGGCGCTGGCTGACGCTTCCGGTTCGGTGCAAGTCTCGGCTTGTTGATTTTGCGACCATTGCTCGCCGAAGCGTCAGGTGCAGGATAAGCAGAAATCGCCTGAGCCGCAGCAGCACGCTTTCGCTTCCTCGCAGGCTGACCACCGCTGGCATTCGCCTGAGATGACGCTAAGGCCCGTTTTCTCGTCCTCGTGCCCGCTGCGGGTCCAACGACTGATGGAGCGGACTCCGCAGTCGACGGCATTACCTGCATGTCTGCGGTAGGTGCTCGCTGCAACCGCGTCACATCGTTGTCGCCGCCCTCCTCGTCTGCGTCCTCCTCGTCTGCGCTCTCCTCCTCGTCGCCCAGATCGCCATCACTATCACTCTCGCCTCCATCTCCCTCTCCCCTCGCTTGCTCTCCCTCTCTTCTCGCTTGCTCCTCCTCTCCAAGCTCCTGCTTTTCCTTCTTCTTCTTGTTGCTCTTCTTGTTCTGCAACTTGCGCTTTTCGTATTTATTGGGACATTCCACGAACGCCAGGACTCCTCGGCCCGCAAGCACGTCCAAACAAACACGCTTGTTGATTGTCATGATCTCCTCAACCCTCTGGATGCGCTCCCAGAACGTCAGCTTTGCCTCCGGTTCTCCGTAGCCGTCGTTATCGCCGCCCCTGGGGTAGACGGATTCGCCACCTGTGTATAGCACAGCTAGTGCTTTGAACATCAGGTAGCAGCGGATGGTTGCAAGCTCAGGTCTGAAACGCTTCCACTTGTTGTAGTTGAGGGCCTTCTGTTGCGCGAGATAGAAGTCGTTGTATGGATTGCGGCAGTCGGAGCGCCAAGGCGTATTTATAGCCGTGAGCCACCTTTCTACCACTGGGTCGGCGTGGCGATCGCAGTCGGTCGGAGTCATATGCTCATGGCCACGCAGCGGGTGAACTTGTGGGTACATGAGTTTCTTCGCCTCAGCAAAACCAGAGATGTCGGCAGACAGGAAAAACACAGCGTTGGGAGCGTTTTGTCCGTGCCATATGTCTAGATGCCGGGCGCATAGCCTTAGTATATTGGCCGGGACTGCCGGCTTCGAGCACGGATTCCCTTTCTTCGACTTCCCCGGGCAACGATCTTCATCGTCTTCGGCTTGTGTTAATAGAGTGGTCTGCTCCAGGGCGTTGAAAGAGTTTCTTGCATCGCCAGTTTCTGGAACCCTCACGCTCTCGTAGAGCGACTGGTTTGTCCCGACCGGGACCTGGTCAAGACCGGCAGAATAGTTGGGCATGTTCCGAGTTGACGCAGGATAGCCTGGTTGCTGCACCATTGGCGGGTTCGTGCTCCCAGATGGCAAGCCGCCCGTGCCTTGCTGGGAGCCATCGAAGTTCGGGTAGTTATAAGAAGTGTTAGAAGGGTCTGGCCTCGTTGGTTGCAGGGTCCCTGCCAAGCTTGGAGTAAAGGCAGCGGCGGTGTATCCATTATGTTGCGTGTACAGTGTATTCGGGTGGCTGTTCTGGCCCTGTTGATATCCAAAGTTCGTATCTGCTTTCTGTGGATGTGCGTATTGCGGGTTGGGCATGAACTGGTACTGAGGCTGAGCCGGATGTCCTGGGCCATATATTTCATTGTGGTACTGCTGGCGTTGCTGCGTATTGCTCGTGCCAGTCGACGGAAGTTGTTGTGTGGCGGAGGGCAGGTCCGCGAGAAAGGCGAATTGCTCGAGGTGTTCGATTGCGTTGCTGTCCTGCAGCAAATATTCCCCGTTGTATATTGCGGAAGTTTGATGTTGAGTTGCTGCCGGCAGTGAATCGGCTGGCCACGATCCTGGCTGGTCTGCATGGTCATCCGGGAGGGCATACTCGTCGAAACCACCATGGAGTCCCCTAGTCACTGTCAGTATGGCCAATCTAGAAGGACTGCAGGTCTTGACATACTCCTCAGGATACGGCCCGGCCGATTGCGGCAGCTGGTTCGGGTCCATTTAACGATTGTGTGGGTGGTTTTGGGTTACCGGCAGGGAATAGCAGTTGTCGGCGGCGCTGAAATATGGTGTTGAATGGTCGGATACTGAAGGGAGATGTCGGAGCAGGAACGAATGTCGGCACCGCAATTTTTGAAGTTGATATATTCCATGACTGTACGCCGTTGCACAGAAAGTGCGTCGATAGCCGGTATAGAATGTCGTAGACTTCCCGCAAGTCATGTGTAGATGAGGCATACATGAGTAGTTTGCGCGATGTCAATGCCGCGGTATACCGTCGACCTGTGTATATTTTACAGTGCTGTCAAGGCCGTGTGCGACCTGTCAAGCCTGTTTCGCGGCACTGCTGGCCGGTATAGGTTACGCATATCGTAGGAAGACAGTATGGACTGAGGAATCCGCTGCATTGTGGCACGCCGTGCCGTGTCTGCTGACTCTCCATGTGGAGAGGCGATGCTTTGCTGTTCCCGTGTATATCCCATAGCCTTGATCTCCGGTATGGCAGGTATGGCTCAGGATGGCAAGGACTCGTGATGCTGCGAGCTCGTGCGCAATCACTGTCCTGCAGCTCACACCCATTCGCGCTCAAACGGCCTGACGTGGAAGGCAAGTGTCCGGCCGCATAGCTTGTACTTCGCCAATCCTGCCGCCATCGTATCCCCCCGAAGCGGTATCGTCGACATGCGGCAGAGCGGCTTTCCGACAGCAGGTTGGAGTGCTGTAGTTGCATATTGAGGAACCTCCGGGCAGTCCAAGAGGCACGAGAGAATTATACAGGTCTTTGAGATGAGTATAAAAGTGAGAAGCCTTTTAAGACGCCGGCTGATCGACAGGTGGGTACTGGCCCAGCAGCTTGCTATGGGCGCCCATGTGCTGGTCATATCCTCGGGCAAATCAATGGTAGCTTCAACGGAATTCGAAGATCGTGCAATCAGCTGTCAATGGTACGCCCATGGTGCGGAGAAGGGCCGTCTTCAGACTCTCCTGCGATTGGGTCAGCTGACGAACGCCCTTCTAAATATGATGTGCTCTTCTAGGTACTTGTGCAGCGAGACATGACGAAGTCAAGTTTATATACATGTATCGCATGGTCGTGTGGCTTATACATGGTGCGTTGGTGTGGCGTATATATATAATATGTTGGTGCGGTTGTATTTCGTATGCCGGTGCGGTTTATGTATTGTATGTTGGTGATACAGGAGCATGCTGGCATGTCACCGATGTGCTGGCACGAGAAGGGATGAAGTCCATCCGGACATATCTCGGCCAAAACTCGATGGTGCCTTAGGAATCAGGCGGAATCGTTTTCGTTTGAGCTGTGTGCTGTGAGACTTCACCTCTGCATCATCGAACCACGGCTGCTCAAGCTCCATTGAAAACGTCATTTCAGCGAGCCTACTGCAGCTGCAGGTGGTGGTAGACGCACCGAGGGACGATGAACCCTGGGAAGTTCGTGTTGACACAGGGTCGTCCCAAGACTGCCTTACAAATGCCGAAGGATGTGATGCAAAGGCGAAGAGGATAAGTAGTGCTCGTCTCCAACCTTATACTCTTCTTGCGATTCTGTATCAAGTCTTTCAGATCTGCTGCTTCTCACAAAACATCATTATGGCCACGACAATGAAGCAATGGACCGTAGCCGGCCAGTCCGGCTTCGACGACCTCAAGCTCAACGAGAAGGCCTCAGTGCCTCAGATTGGCGACAGAGACGTATTGGTAAAGTGTGAGTGCCAACCACCATTGCACAGCGTGCCTATGGAAGCACTGACATGTTGGCTCAAGTCCACGCCGCCTCCCTAAACTACCGCGACCTCATCATTACCAAAGGCCAATACCCATTCGGCGTGAGCGACAACGTCGTCCCAGCCTCGGACGGCGCAGGAATAGTTGAATCGGTCGGCAAACAGGTGAAGAAGTTCAAGAAGGGCGACAAAGTCTTGACGCTTTTCAACCAGGGCCATATCGCAGGCTCCCTGGACGCACAATCTCTGGCTGGCGGCGTCGGTGGTGTGGTCGACGGCACCCTGCGCGAGTACGGTGCATTTGATGAGCTTGGACTCGTGCCCATGCCGTCGAACCTCAATTTCCTAGAGGGTTCGACGCTCACATGCGCCGGCTTGACGGCTTGGAACGCGCTATACGGGCTCGAGAGCAAGAAGCTCATGGCTGGCGAATGGGTCTTGACGCAGGGCACGGGCGGGGTGAGCATCTTTGCTGTGCAATTTGCCAAAGCAGCTGGCGCACGCGTGATCGCGACCACTTCGTCAGCAGAGAAGGGTAAGAAGCTGAAGGAGCTCGGGGCGGACCACGTCGTGAACTACAAGGAAGACCAGAACTGGGGCGAGACGGCGAAGAAGCTCACAGGCGGCGTGGGTGTCCAGCACGTCGTCGAAGTCAGTGGTCCAACGTCGATGAAACAATCGCTGAAAGCCATCGCGATCGACGGCGTGATCAGCATCATTGGCTTCCTCGGCGGCGGCAAGGCAGAGGACGCGCCAGGTTTTCTGGACACTTTGATGAACATCTGCACCGTCCGAGGTCTGCTGGTCGGCTCCAGGATGCAGTTCGAGGAGATGAACAGGGCGATCGAGGCGAACAACATCAAGCCCGTGGTTGACTCCACTGTCTTCAAACTCGACCAGACCAAAGATGCTTACCAATATATGTGGGATCAGAAGCACTTTGGGAAGCTGTGTATTAGCTTCGAATAGGCAAGGTCCTGATAGGCATACAATAAAAACATTGATGTTTGTACCGACTTCGCATGATACAGCTTTTTGTAGACCCACGGGCTTCTTACTTTTCACCTCGCCGTTGGCTCATTGGCGGCCGAAATGTGATTCACCGGTACGGCAGCGATATAGCGATACAAGAGCGCACGTAGTGCCGCCTTGACATCCGATTTTGCTGATGTTGCATTACACTGTTCTGTATACTCCAAGAGAAGATCCACAGCTTGTTGTTTTACAATGTTTCCCAGAGACCCATGCCGCTTTTCATGCCAGTTTACGCCAGCTCGCCTTTCTCTGGTGTTGTCCTCTACTGCCCCTTCTTCTCCCGCTCCGCGGCCTTTGCCGACTCCTTCTGCAGCTCGCTGATGGTCTGCTTCGTATCGATGTCGTCGCGGTCTGCTTTTATCTATGCAGTCTATCAGCGATTGATTCTAGCATATACCTCGTCCTAATATTGACCGCGCAGCAGCCACCAGGTTGAGGTATGTAGGAGCCAGCACTTACTATGCTCTCGCTGTCACTCGCCAGCTCATCCTTCCAGTGCCCTTTGCCCTGCTTCTGCTTCTCCAGCTGGTCCTGCTTATGCGCCTCGACCTTTTCCGCGCGGCCTTCTTCGTCTGTATACTCCTGTTAGCCAGCCATACTCTTTCCTCTTCCCACCCGTTCGTGGCCGGCCCTGCAGGCTTCGGGCCACCGCTTCATGGGGCTCACGTACGAACAGCGCTCTCCTTCCCAACCGCAAGCACCCCGCAGCTCTGGAACCCCCTCTGCTGCGCGCCAATGGCTCGAGGAGCAGCCACGACTCTCGCCCTGGCGATGCTTGCTCGTAGGTTCATCATGCTGCCGGCTTCGCTCGGTTGTTCTCGGTTGTGTTTGTGACCGTGTCCCAATTGTATGTCGACGTGCAGACACAACAACGTAGCACAATGTGAGGAAGACAAAGAAACAACTCAGCTCCCAAAAGTGCTTACTTGATGAAAATTGCCTGTCTTGACACTGGTGGACGATCTCATCCGACGCAGCTGTCTCCCTCGGCAGGTGCAAAGTTCGGAGCTCGCTACGTCACGATTTGTGTGATGCCAGGGGTTGATCAACACGTGCATCTCTGCCACCACAACACCAGGCTCGGAGGGGAGCAGGCATTGTATCAGCAGAGCGTCAGGGGACGATGGGAGAGACCGAATGCTTGGAAGGATGGAGAGGGTAGAGATATCGCTTGGATGCAGTCTGCCTTATCTCTTGCCACAAGAAGCATTCGGGGACGATAAGGTGCATTAAGATGCCGTCCATTGGCTCAGATGTATTCTCACGGATGGGTCTTACAGTGGTGTGCATACAGTCACATGCGAAGCATACAATTGAGCAGACGTAGATGTGAAGAGTCTCGACATTTCATACATAACCCCCTTCATCCCCCTAGCCAAAAGACAGCAGCAACACCATCCCACCCATACAAGAGACCCCAGCTAAACAAGATGGTATCTACCAGCACTTCCACTCCCCTCCCGCATACAAGAAAACACACAACACCTTCGCTTGTACTAGGCATGAAAAATCCACACTGGCCGTTCCAAACCCATCCATCCGCTAAAATCACCCCAGCTCGCAAAAAGCAAGCCTTGCAAATGCTTGCCGTGTTTCGTTAAGATCGAGATGTGAAGTTTTTGCGCCTCACGTCTTGGTATTTTGCTTCGCCGTCCCCGTCCGTTGTCGTCCCCAAGTCCCAAAAAGAGCCAGAGAAGAAGAATCCAAATGAAAATCCGCCAGTAATGCGTATATGCCGCCAGATGTAAATGCTTCCGCTTCGTAATCGCTTGCTGCAACGCCGTGTCGTTTCCCAGGGGTGTATATCAAAAGAAGCTGTGTCCAATGCTTCCGGGGTCTAGAAGAAAGAGTCGTCCGTCATATTTTGTACATGTGCATGGCTCAGTCCAGTAGTCATTCGCAGCCGCTCGCTCATTAGCGGCTGATCATTTCAAAAGATGTATGGAGCGCTCCCTCGCCCAGCCCAAGAATGCACGATGCAGCAGCAGCAGCAGCAATTACGAATGCGGGTACGTTTACCACCGGCGAGGCACGTACTGCTGCTGCATCTGTCGGCCGGGCGAGACGCTCAGAGGTGGGCTTGCGACGGATCGAGTGGAAGGGTCCACGATCGGGATCGCGTTCCTTGTCCGTTGCGCCAGCGGTTGGTGCAGCTTCATCTGCTGTTGGTGCTGGTAGTGCCCGTTGTACGTATTTGGTGCGCTGGAGAGGAGGAATGATGGTGTAGGCTGCACTTGGTGCTGGAGAGGGGAGTTGTTGGGAGAGCCAGACGAAAGCGATCCTCGGTCGGATCCTGACGATGAGTGTATGGATTGGAGCTGCGCATTACTGTCAGTATACTCTGTTCCACCGTGCGAGGATGCTTTTCGCAAGAGTTCATGGTACAAACGTACATCGTCCTCCGTTAGGAGATGGAAGGGACAGAACACCTCGTCGTCGTCAAACTCGAAGCTCTTTGCCGCCTCCAGCTTTTGCATGTACTCGTTGTACGTCGGTGTTTCAGGCACCTCCTTGGGGCTGCGCTGCGCTTTGTAATGTCGATGCGCATTCTGGGAGGAGATTCTCGGCCCTCGGCGGCTGCGACCGTGGTGGTTGTTATGAGGGTGCGACGAAACGTTTTGGTGGTAGTGTGGAGCGCCGTATCCGTAGCTCGCCATTGCTGGATGATGTTTGTGGATAAAATGCGATGTTTCGAGAGATTGGAGTCTGGTCTGTGGATTGACAATAGGTCAAAACAATGAGATCCAGCTGACCTTCGCGTGGCAAACTCGAAGCGGGGAGCGTTCTCGGTGAACTTAAAAGATGCTGGTTCTTGCTGTCGAGCGACAAGGCGGAAGACTGTCAGGTTAAACAAGTGTTGTGGTGAACAGAATGGCGGTGGTGTACAGTGAGGTGGTAAGGCTGGGACTGATGAGGGATCAGATGGAACCAGTTGACAAGAGGGGCGGGCTGTAGCTCTGACTGGCTGGGAGCGAAAGGAATGGAGCTAAGTAAACGAGACGAATCGACGAGCGTATCGGCCAGCGCTAGGAGTAAAAGCGTCATCGGTGGCGCACTTAGCGTAGGGGTGAGGGCCAGGCTGTGTCGGCGCTTGCTGTCGACGACCTCGAGGTCAAGGTCGAGGTCGAGGTCAAGGTCCAAAGATAGGTTGTCGATAGCTTCAACATTCGCCCATCGAACCTCTGCTAGCAGCTGTCCGTTCTACCACCTTTCCCCGAAACGCTTTCCACGCGCGCACAGCATCCTCGTACTCGACACCCGGATCGCGAAAAGCCGGGTGGATACCTGTAGGCGCCGCGCCCAGCAAGCTGCACGCACCGCGCCGTTTCCGGAGGCAGGGCGAAGCGTGAGAAGCGTGGAGGTGGCTCGCGCTGAGAGAACTCTGCCCGCGCCCGTCCTCCTGAAACAGATCCGCTTGCGCAACGTGCTTCCAGAATCTCTGCGTGCTGCGTGCACCCGTCCGGCTTCACCGCTCGATAGAACTCCACTGGCGGGCGTCAACCCTGCGTCCGTATCTTATCGCGAAGATTCTGGACGGACTTTGAAGCGCGCTGTTGAAGTGCTCTTCTGTTGGGGTTTTGTCGTGTTGCGACGGCGCTGGCAGGTTCAAGTCGATGCCAAACGTAAGATCGAAGTTGGGGGAGCAGTAGAGTGCTGACCCCCAGATGGAGCATGTGTAGGAGGCGTCGAGCACTTTTTCACTTTTGGGTCATGTGACAGTCATGTGATATCCAAGCCAGTATTGGTGGTTCGAAATTTCGACTCTGCTATTCCTCCTAGAACACACTGTGAGCACAGTCCCAGCTCTCAGTCGACAATGGCTGCATGAGAAAGTATCGTTCTTCGCCCCATCCTCCTGGCAGACCGGCAATGGTCTCATCTTGTGCCTCTTCTTCCCCGTTGCTTCACGTTCTGAAGGGATGTTCTGCCTCCTCTTCTACTACGGGAGCAGGCTGCACATCTTCGATTTCGACTTCCCGGACTCCACAACCACCCCATCACCTTTCCGATCCGCATGGACCGCGGTGACCGATCGTCGACCTCTTCGTCAGAAAGTCCCCACGCCCGTTGGACGGACTTCCTGCAGAAATGGCTTGGAGAAAACATCTCCTAGGGTTTCATCCCAGCCATGAACTTGGTAATGGCCTCCTTGCACGTCCGCTCGTTGTACTGCTGCTCCCACAGTTCGTACAGGCTGACGAGCTCCTGAGTGGCGTCCACGATCGCGGCCATGTCGACTTTGCTTTCGGCGAGCCAGTCGACGAGTTTGCCCAGCTTTGGACCGGCGGCCTTGAAGCCGGCCATGCCGCCTGAGAGGGCTTGCTGAGCGGATGCGGCTGACACGGCGGCACCTGATGGTCCGCCGCCTGATGGAGGACTTATTTGGTGGGCACCAGGAGACGGCAGTGGTGATGATGCATGCGACGACGACGAAGCGTAGTTCTGCAATCCCGATGGTTGTCCGGCAGGACGAATGACCAAAGCGAGAAAGATGGCGGTGATAGCGATGACGTGCGGTGGATACAGCAAGCTAAGGTCAGTATTGTAGGAATCGTTGATGACATTGTGCGCAAAGGTTTGCTCCTCGTTGCTCAACCCAAACAGTGGCGCCAGCTCGTTGAGTGACCGGTACGGATGATGGACGATAAGGCGTGAAGATAGGGTGGAGATGAGGGCAAATTCGCACTCCCCAATCCGCGACATATCACTCACGCCCATCTCTGGGAACTGTCTGGCGGCCTCGTTCAGCACAAGCCTGATGTGCGAGGGTGCCTCCTCCATTTTGCAAGCCAGGTAGACTGCCGTAGCCATGATCAGGAAGGGGTTGGTCCTGCGCATCTCCACCCGCAGGTAGAAGCGCTTGATGTAGATCTGGGCTGTGGCAAGCGCTTGCTGCCGGGCGGTCAAACGTCGCCCGAGCTTGATGAGGTTCTGCTGCATGTAGATGTTCATGAGCCTCCGGTCTGGCAGCGGGAACTTGGTGTGGATCTGCTGGTTGTTCTCCTGGATCTGGTTGCGCAGTTCAGCCAGCTCGGCTTTGGTGAAGGTCCAGTAGATGGCCTGCGTTGAGTCCCAATAATTGGCTGCCATGCTGCCGAATGCGTTCGAAGCGTATTCTTGCCGGGATCGAGATATTTCCTACTTCTAGGTTCATTCATATGCTTCAGCTTGGCATGTCTGTAGATTCATCGTGGCCGTCCATGGCTATGCTGGACGGCTCCCTTGTCGGAGTCTCCGTACTGCATCGTAGCTTACCTACACTACTTAGCGCATAGGTCGGCAGGCAGACTGTCTCGACGTTGTCTTGCAGAGAAAGCCCAGGAAAGAACACAGCAGCGGGCTTTCATCGGCAAGTGACGTCTCGCCTCGACCTCACAAGCGACAGGGAAGCTCCGAGGACATCAACAACACCTCTACCACGCTCCTACACACCATTGTACTTCCGCACACAGCTTGTACTGCTTCTATTTGGAAAGTCTTTCATTGCACATCTCTCCACTCTCAGGAAGCAGTCGTTTTTCCTCCTTCTCCCACGAGCTCGAGACTTCTCAGAACCTCTCCACCTACAACTCCACACACTCATATCATGAGAGATTAGACAGAATAGGTTTCTTCAGCAAGCAGAGCATGGATGCGGAGTCGCCGGCACAGAGGGAGGAGCGGCTCAAAGAACTATGGCACACACTCGACACCAAGCGGTCAGGCAGGCTCGACATCACCGACCTCAAGGTCGGCCTGGCCAAGATGAACCACCGTGAGCCTGAAATACCCTGGCCATTGTGTTGAGAGACAAGCACTGACGCGTGTGTGTCTTCACAGCCCTCAAAGATGCAGATGGCCTCATCCGCGATATGCTCACGGCATGCGACATCGATCACGACGGGCAGATAACATATGACGAGTTCGTGAAATTCTGCAATCAGACGGAGAAGGAGCTCTGGGCGGTCTTTCAGACTATCGATCGAGACCGCAGTGGCAACCTGGACAAGGCAGAACTCTCACAGGCTTTTGAGCGTGCAGGCGTCACTGTGTCGAACGCTCGTCTGGATCGCTTCTTCGGCTACATTGATAAGAATCATGATGGCAAGATTGACTTTGCAGAATGGCGAGGTCAGTCACAATGCTGAGACATAGAACTCGCGTACGATGGCTGACAATTCACGACCAGACTTCCTACTCTTCATCCCGACCAACACTCCAGGCATGAAGCAAATCTTTTCCTACTACACGGCCGCCGTCAAACTCACTGCCGAGGGTGATGTGCATTTGACTCACGAAGCTCTCTCGGGCCTTGGTACGACCTTCCAGTTCCTTAGATACTCCCTCTTCGGCGCCATCATCCAAATATATGATCCTCCACCACGCACATCGTCTAGTATACGCTACCCCACGCACGTCACAAGACCACCCGAACCAGACACTGCACTCTACGACACCGATCACCCTTTCCACCTCATCTACGAAGACGACGACCCACACATCCCCACCAAGCCCGCCCGCCGAAAAGCAGCCCCAGCACCAGATTCAGCACTTGAGGAAGAAAACTCAGAGGAACTGCAGAGACTCAAGCTGACGGATCTCGTGCCGAATCTAGGCTACTTTGCGGCGGGCGGTCTGTCTGGTATTGTCTCGCGTACCTCTACCGCGCCACTCGATCGGCTCAAGGTGTACTTGATCGCGCAGACGGGTAGCGCTTCGCAGGCAATCCAGGGCGTCAAACATGGCGCTGCTATTGAAGCTACTAAGGCTAGCGCCAGCACGCTGTGGAATGCGTCCAAAGAATTGTGGGCTGCGGGTGGTCTCCGGAGCTTGTTCGCTGGTGAGTTCATCAACTATAACACGCAGGATCATTCTGGGATGCTGACACTTCCTCAGGCAACGGTCTAAACGTTCTGAAGGTTATGCCCGAGTCCGCTGTCAAGTTCGGCTCCTACGAGGTGTGTCCGCGACTGACCATGCTTATGAAGCTGATTGATGATCACTGACCTCAACACAGGCTAGTAAGCGCGCAGTCGCAAAATTTGAAGGTCACAACAATCCGAAGCAAATCCGCCACACATCACAATTCATCGCCGGTGGTCTTGCCGGCATGGTCGCACAAGCCGTCGTTTACCCGCTGGACACGCTCAAGTTCCGCACGCAATGCGAGACCGTCCAAGGTGCACCCAAAGGCAACCAACTCGTCCTCGACACCGCCCGCAAGATGTGGCGCACCAGCGGCGTCGTGGGCTACTACCGAGGTCTCCCGATGGGTCTAATAGGAATGTTCCCTTATTCGGCGATCGACCTCTTCGCCTTCGAGAACCTCAAGCAGATGGTCGTGAAGCGCAACATGCGGCTCCGCAACACCAAGCACGAGGAAGACGCGCTGCCGAACAACTTCTCGCTCGCGCTCATCGGCGCCTTCAGCGGTGCGATGAGCGCTAGTGTCGTCTATCCCATCAATCTGCTGCGTACTAGGCTGCAGAGTCAGGGGACGACGCAACACCCGCGCATGTATACGGGCGTGATGGACGTAACGCGACAGACGATCCAGGGCGAAGGCGTCCGAGGATTGTTCAAGGGATTGACACCGAATCTGCTCAAGGTCGTGCCGTCGGTATCAATCGTGAGTCTCACACCTTCTCCCCCCTCAGACTTTGTTCTTCAAACCCGCCTGCTGACTTCCCGCAGACCTATGTCGTTTACGAAAACACGAAGACTGCTCTGCACCTCTCATAACACCGGCGTGGGCTTGCGTCGTGATGCGTGGTGGTGTGAATGGACGGCTGTCGGATTACTGCATGTACCTGTGATACCCTATCATCTTTGTTTTTGACTTACGAGCTATTGAGCATGGCGTTGGATGTGCCCTGGGGTGGGTAGAAGAGAGAGAACTTGAAGGTACCTGACAGCACTTGTACAATGTTCTCACACATATTCAGTGGCATGACGTGATTCGCAGGCAGTCCAAAGGTAGGCCGGAGGATGCCCTTTTGTGACCGTTTGCATCTCTTATTACACCACATTCTGATACTCCAGGCGACATCGATATGTGTGCGGCAGGTCCTACCCTGCGACGCTCCTCCTCCCCCCCCCCTCCACCTGTCTGCGCCTTGTCGCCTTTTACCTTCCAGGACCTCCCAAGACGAATTCTGGCCCACGACGCCGCCCGCGCACCTGCAACAGCTATGCGCTCGACGCCTCCGTCGCTCACCAATAAAGTCCTAACTAATCAAAGCACGGGAATGCACGTTGCGCCGCAAACCGACCATAGCGCCATCGTTCCACCTGGCAAGCACTCTCTTGGTCCCGAAATGGCCGCCTGAGACAAGATTCTTTCAGTGGACAAACACGGCAGTGTCGTGGAGTTTGTGTACAGCAGTCAAACGTTCGTCTATGGACAAGGCCTTCATGACGCCGTATTCTCGGTCAGAAGCTACAAATACTCATGTCAGACCTGACTTTTCTGCACTGAAGCGAGCATCATACCTTACTCCAGCGGCGATGTCCACCATTCACCATCACCCTCTGCCGCCATACTTTCACCTCAAGGTCCTGCGACACCTCGAAACGAAGAAGAGCAATGGGCACAACAAAAGCGCTCCTGCAACATTGGTCGTTGGTCCTCCTCCAAATGCTCCCTTCCGGTTTCTCCAGTTACCGCCTGAAATCCGCAACAAGGTGTACCGGGAATTGCTGGACAGTGCAGTCCCAGATCATCCAAAGCTCGGGAAATGGTGCAAGCCCCGATGTCTTCATCCAGCAATCATCTTTACTTGCCATCAGATCTACAACGAGGCTTCAGGACTGTTACAGGGTGGCGAATTGGTGTTGCTGTACTCCTCAGGAGTCATTCCTCTCGTCCCTGGGCAACTATCCCCGGAGTACGGCGTCAAAGCCTTGCTCAACGGACAAGAAGTCTTCAAAGCGGAAGAAGTCATCCGCATACTTCAGTAGACCAAAACGTAGACACTGGTTGTTGGAGTCAACGTGGAGGGTGATCCTTCCGGCGGAACGTTGCATCGTAGCTGGCTTGCGGCGCTGGCCTCATTGAACCGCACACTTCACACACTCTATCAGCAGTCTGGAGACACGGAAGTTTGCAGGGTGGACTTATCAGCGTTCACGTCTTCGCCATCCCAGGTACCGCTTGTGGGTGGACCTAATCATTCGCGACAGTATCTCACCAGCAATCGCGATGGCAGCAGCTCGCCCGGAGTCGACGTTCTCGATGAGTAGCATGTGGCCAGACATTATGGAAACTCCGGTGCATCAACACTCTTCCCTTCCAGGCCAACCATACGAGCCACTCGTAATTTCCATGCTTCGGAGTCAGCTCGAGGCACTGGAAAAGCTTCGCTCGGAGACTCGCACGTTTAACAGACTTCTTTCGTCCTTCCCCCAAGGAAAGGGTCGGATCAAGAAGCTTCCGTACGTCAAGGGTGCCATTCAGAAGTTTGGTGGCAACGGCGGTGGCGGTCGTTGCAACACCTATCACTTGAAAACCCCATCAGCACTGCAAACGATCATAGATCGAGCGACAACTAGGCTGGAACAGAAAGATGCTGTGGACTTCGCCAAAGCCCTGCAGAAATGTGAGGAGCACTGACGGGAATGTGCGAGCAATTGGGGGAGGCTGCAGGCCTTACGAGACGCAAGGAGGGTGCAGGAGGAGGAGGAAGAGGAAGAAGAAGAAGAAGAAGAAGAAGGAAGAGGAGGTTGAGGAGAGGGAGCAGTGATCGATTAAGTATGCAAAGCACAAGGAGCTGTCGGAGGTAGAAGTTGGCGATCAACATGTCTTAAGGCAGAACGAGTTTGCATGGCTGGTGTTGGCATGACTGATGCAGAGATGGTGAGGTGGGGACAAGCACAAGACAGTGCAATGACACAGATCCGCAGCATCTTGCAATCAAGCTTCAATCAAAGATGATATCCTCCGATCTTCCGTGTGTAGGGATGGTATGAAGTCGAAGTGGTCTTCTCCAGGGGCATTGGCGAGCGCCGCCAAGAAAACGCTACGAACCAGACAGAAGAGCAGAGCTGTGAAGATAGAGTACTTATCGATGAGCTACGTAGGATGGAGGAGGACTCTTGATATCCCAGTAACATGAACTGAGACCGCTCCGCCATATCCACAATCCAAGCCCGCCTTCCCACAACACAGCATTACGCCGCACATCGCCAGCAAGCTTTGGATAACTTATAGGTGCAAAAATAAAATCCCAGGGGCATAGTACTCCGCGTGCCGCCACACCTCATGCCTTCCTCTTCATATTCCTGATCGACCTCCCACCTTGAGCAACATGCCCATTGCCCTTGTTCCGGCTCATCGTGCACACCGGCTGCGCCTCGTTCGAATGCATCGACGCTATCGCAAACGAGTCGGTGTTATGGCCGTAGAAGAGGTAGGCGCCATCCTTCGTCTTCTTCACCGACAGCACGCCGATGGCGCCGGCGGAGTGCGATTGAGTGACGCTCGGATGGCCCATGAAGTCCTTCTGGATGAAGCCCTTGATCGCCTCTTCCTCCATGCAGTCGCCGTACCTACCGCCGGGCAGCTTGCGGAAGTTGTGGTAGATGCGCTCGGAGCAGACGCTAGCCGCTGTCGTGGTGCTCATGTGCTCGCCGGTGCCGCTGGTGACGGTGGCGACGCTGGTGTGTTCGACGTCATCTGGATCTTCTGGCTTGATAGCTGCGCCTACGCCGACGAGTGCTGCTGGCCCAACGCGACCGCGGTGTTTCATGCCGATGCCGCCAGAGGACGCACCACATGCGATGTTGCCGTACAGATCGATGGCGATGGCACCGACTGTGTCTGTGACGTGATCGCCGCCATCTAGTTGCGCGTCTTCCGAAAGCTCTGGCTTGTGAGGAAGCGGGGGGCTATTTTGGCTATCGTCTGAGAAAGGCTGAGCTTTCGGCGTGGTGAGATCCATGTCTGCGTCAGGTGGCGGACCTGGAAGCGGGAACAGAGTAGCATCGTGGAGACCGCCTCTGTCGGCACGGCTAGGACCACGCGCGTGCCGCGGGCTTTTCATGTTGATAGTAGTAAAGTTGGAGCCTGAGCCTGAGGAGCCATCATGCCAGCTTTGGGCGTGTAAAGGTACTCCCGAATGCTCATATGGTGGAGTCCGTGGCTCATCAAAGTCGAACTCAAGCTCAGGACCATACCATTCATCGTCCAGAAAGCCTCCGTTAGAGTTCCTGTTGGACCCCAGCAGACCAATTGGAGTTGTAGAAATCTTCTGACTGCTGTTCGAGGACGGGTTCACGGATGGATTCATGAAAAAGCCGGAAGGTCCTGTGGGGTCGACAGCTTCTCGCTGATGGTCGGGGGTGGTGTTGCTCGATGGTTTTGCGAGCATGGAGCTGGAAGAGTTAGAATGTGATGCTGATGAGGAGTCTTCCGGCACCTCTCTTGGATCCGAGGGCGGTGGAGACACAGGCTGTGCTTCGTTGCTGAGGGCTGACCTCATCGCTTTTGTGTGAGTCCTCCTCGCTTGTTCGGTTTCGCTCTGCTGAGCATAGTATTGGACGAGATCTGATTGCGAAGGTGGAGGAGACATGCCATATCGCGCAGCATCCTCACGACGCCTGTTGTGCTCCGCTCGCTCGAGGTCGTCTCGCCACTGACGCCAACGCTCTCTTGCGGCTGGAGACACCAGGGAGTCGAGAGGCATGATCGACATTCCGTGCTCGAACGCAAAGTCTGTCGCACCTTGTCCAACCAGGAAATTTGGTGGGACGCGTCGGAGGGATAGAGGCTGCCCAGAATGGTCAAGAAGCAGGCGTGCCAGCGAGATGGGATTCTTGATTTCTGGAGCAAGAATCAGTCCACGCTTTCTATGTAGGCGGCGGTTTGTACTTACGAGCAACAGCTCCCGCTCCACCGCTGCGTCCATTATGATCCACAACCACCGCATCGCATTCAACGACGCCGTCCACTGCAAGGTTGCTGCCGTAACCTGCATTCGTGATCTCGCGGTCCTCCAATATCCTCACTGCCAACTCCACCGCATCCACAGCCGAGCCACCGTTCTGCAAGCATCTCATCGCGGTCCTGGCGGCACTGGCAGTACAGTCAGCAATCTTCGCGTCATGCTGTTTGGGTATGGCATACTCATTACAGGCGGCCAGATGCACGTGCTCGTTCTGGATGCTGTGGTAGCCTGCGCCGGCATGGACGAAGATGCACGCAATCTCGCTGGTGTTGTTCTTCCTCCCTCTTCGCGGGGAGAACATCTTGAATGCCAGACCGGCTGCTTGGAAGGGCAGAATGTTCTATTTCTCGCTCGATTGGGTGTGGTTGGTTGTGGCGAATCGTCTTAGGGTGTCTGTAGGTAGGTGAAACGATGCCGTGTGAAGCGGGGATAGTCGTCGACGATGTGAAAGCACGTGAGAAAGATCTCGCCTAGTTGATCATCGTCGAGAAGCGAAGGAGACGCAATGAATGGCTTGGGGGGCTGTTGTATGGTAATGCCGTCCCCCGGAAAGGAATGATGGCGGTGTGAAGAGAAGATGTTGGAAGGACGATGCTGCTTCATTAATCAGAAGAGAAGTACACTTCGGCTTCGTTGCCGCACGCGTGCCTTCCTCCTGCTCGCACCGTGTTCGAGAGGAAAGAGCGACTCCTGGTCGACGCTGCACCTTCATCTTTTCATCGCCCACTGTGAGCTTAATTGCAATTCACCTCATCCATTCACGCATACGAGGAAATCCACTGCGATCACATGCTGGCCCCGGGTGCCACATGCAATAACACAGCAGGGAAATATATGAGACGCAGTTGGAGATGGAGTAGGAGAGCAGAGTAGGCGATCCTCGAAGTCTTGGCGGTCGTTCTGGTGGGGCGTCCGCAATTTGCTCCGCCTTACGCAACACCCAGCCAAGAGCTCCACGAACATCAGGCAGGCAGTCGATTGCAATACCTCGTCCAGGCTGCCAGTGCGAACAAACCCTCCAGATTTCCGCCCTTGACATACTGCTGGCGCTGTTGAAGGGAGGGTGACCGCGTCTTGAAGCCGCAAGCATGTCGAACCAAACGCCGGCCGTTGTCATGGACAAGTAAGACAACACTGTTGACTTGCCCACGATGCCCGATCTAACATAATCTCCAGCGGTACGGGCTACTCGAAACTCGGATTCGCCGGCAACGACTCTCCCTCCTTCGTCTTCCCAACCGCAATCGCAACCAAAGGCCCAGCAGCGGGCGCAGGCGGCTCTGGGTCCGGCAGGCCCGCGGTAGCCAACAAGCCTTCCTTCCTCACTGGCGGCGCGGGACCGTCAGGGCATTTATCAGGCAAGAGAGGGACGGAGGACTTGGACTTCTTCATTGGCGATGAGGCACTTGCGGCATCTGCAGGTCCTGGTATGGCATCAACAACCAGCTGAGATACGAGGATCAGACGAAAGGCTGACTTGGGGCAGGCTATGGCGTCCACTATCCCATACGGCACGGTCAAATAGAGAATTGGGTAGGCAATATCGGGAGGACAGGCCGCGCGAATGCAGACTGACATCCAGCAGGACCACATGGAACGCTTCTGGTCGAACAGCATCTTCAAATACCTTCGGGTAGAACCTGAGGACCACCACTTCCTGCTCACTGAACCACCACTCAACCCTCCCGAGAATCGCGAAAACACCGCCGAAATCATGTTCGAGTCCTTCAACTGCGCTGGCCTATACATCGCTGTACAGGCTGTGCTCGCGCTTGCGGCCAGCTGGACAAGCAGTAAGGTGCAAGACCGGAGTTTGACAGGCACAGTCATTGACTCCGGAGAGGGCGTGACGCACGTCATTCCAGTCGCCGAGGGCTACGTGATCGGCAGCAGCATCAAGAGCATCCCCATGGCAGGCCGAGACATTACCTACTTTGTACAAAGCCTACTGCGAGACCGAGGAGAGCCAGACAGCAGTCTGAAGACTGCGGAGCGGATAAAGGAGGAGTACTGCTACGTCTGTCCCGACATCGTCAAGGAGTTTGCCCGCTTCGACCGAGAACCCGACGACCGCTTCAAGCAGCATGAAGTCAAATACCCTAATGGCCGGACGACCAAGGTAGATGTCGGCTACGAACGCTTCCTTGCGCCAGAGATCTTCTTCAACCCTGAAATCTACAGCTCCGACTTCCTCACTCCTCTGCCGAACATTGTCGACACCGTGATCCAAACCTCGCCCATCGATGTGCGGAGAGGTCTGTACAAGAATATCGTGCTCTCCGGCGGCTCCACGCTTTACAAAGACTTTGGCCGAAGATTACAACGAGACATCCGCCATCTGGTCGATGCAAGGATAAAGCAGTCGGAGGCGCGGGCAGGCAATGCGGCGAAGTCGGGTGGGTTGGATGTGCAGGTCATCACGCACCGAAGGCAACGACATGGACCGTGGTTCGGCGGGTCATTGCTCGGTCAGACGCCCGAATTCAGGAGTTATTGCCATACGAAGGCGGAGTATGATGAGGTTGGGCCGAGTATCGTGAGGAGGTTTGCGCTGCTTGGAGGGCCAGGGAGTACATGATTGAGGCAATGATTGGTGATGAAACGCAACTGCATTCCTGGACGACGGCATTGCGATTGCGCCATCCTGTCTGCGAGCGCATTTGGGTTGCAGCGCAAGGAAGTGGATGTGATATGGCAACAGATTATGGTCGGCCGCGTTCCTGCGTACGTACGCTCAAGTCAAGCCAGCCAATTCGGCCACGTGCTGTGTACATAGCAATCAGCAGCCAAACATCAAAATCATGACGAAACCTGTTCATGCGCTCGGTCTAGAACAGACGGAGCCTCCATGCCTCACATGTCGTCGAGACAAAGTAGGCTGACGTGAAATCAGCCTGAAATCAAGCACTCCCTCGCGCCTCATGCAACCGCAGTGCTGGAAACCGAGCGCCAGAGGAGTGGTTCTGGCGATATGAGTGGTTCGCGGGTCGGCAGAATGCTCTCAGATCTGAGCAGAGAGGAATGTGAGGGATTAGCAATGCTCGCCCGAGATCTCGGGACGCTCTTGAACACTCCGCGGCTAGGGCTCGTAGGGTTCGGTCTACACAGGATACCGAGACATGAATTGGAGTTGAGATCGTTGTCTGTCGAAGAAGCCGAATGAAGCCGGGATACAAGGTGAGGTGAAGCGCCTAGACGGAAAGACGCTGCCGACGGGGCTCCGCATCGACATTTGGGCAGCGCTAGGGATGGTATGGCGGCAGCGGGAGAGACTCCGGTCGTTTGATGATGATGTGCGCCGGGTCGCCGGGAGGGGAGGGAAGGGGAGGTGCAGCAGTTCTTTCGGGTATTCTGCTTCTCAGCGAGCCGCGAGATTGGATTAAGGTTCAGATGAATGCTTGTCGGGTCGGGATGGCATCGGAAGGTGATGATGTTACGCTGGCTGTACGCGGGTGGTGTTTCTTGTGTTTTGTTTCTTTCGTTGTTATTCTCGTTGCAGCATTTTATTAGAAGAAAGAGTTAAGGATTCACTAAGAGTAAGTCGGCACGAAGCAATCGAAGAAGCTGCTGAGCTCGGTCCGGAGAAGGCTGAAACGACTTGCCGACCGACGGCTACACCTCGTCGCTTCCAATCGTCGACACGGCTTGCGCGCTCTTGCCCCGGTCTCGTGCGCCGCATTGGCAGGCGACACCGCGGGCAGCCTCACACCTGGCCCAGCCGAAGCTCCAACCTCACCTCCTCACGACACTCGATACCGAGACGTGTACATGTCCACCGACCACACCCGGCTAGCCGACTCGTTGCTCCATACCCTGCAGCCGCCCGAGAGTCCCAAGCCGCCGACCGACAGCAACACCGCCGCCGTCTCGTCCAAGCCCGCTGAGCCGCCAGCGACGTCGCAGGCTGCCGGGCTCGAGCCCAGGCAAGCTCAAGCTCGAATGCGATCCAGCATTGCTTGCATTCGCTGCCGGCGGTCCAAGGTCAAGTGTGTCAACAGCGGGGTCGGCACACCATGTAGGTCTTGCGAGAACTCGGGGAGGGAGTGCTTGTACCCTTCGCCGGTAACGACGGGCACACGGAGGAGGGACAGCTTGTCTGGAGGGCCGAGTGGGTTGGGGGAGGGTGAGAGGCGGGTACGGCCGAAGAAGAGCAATCACACATTTGTCGCCAGCTCTGGGACTGGGTTGAACGAGTCGCTGCGGCCGGCATTGGATGCTTTGGACTCAAGACTGCTCACGCCGCAGGTATGGCAGGAGTTGTTCGATATCTTCCAGATTCACTACTCTGCGGATCTGCCGTTCGTGCACCCGCCGACGTTTCTGAAGCCACTACGGCAGGCCAACATGCAGCCGTCGCCGACCATTGCAACACCCAACGATATCCACTCAGGCCCACGTCCTCCGGTATCACCAGAATTCCTGCTGTCTTTCCTGGCACTGACCGCTCGTTTCCATCCCAAGCTGGTGTCTCACCACTCACCTCCAACGTCCGCACGCCCAAGCAACCCTCTCATCGCGGCAGAGTACTATGCCGCTGCTGCGAGCGAGAAGTTGAGCAACAACTGGACCGAAAGCACTCTCCAGGACATCGATAGGATCCAAGCTTTGCTCATGCTTGGTCTGCATGAATGGGGCATGTGCCGGGGAGCCAAAGCATGGTTGACTATAGGAAGCGCCATTCGACAGGCTCAGGCCATGGGACTGCAATACGAAATGGACCTGGACGATGAACCGTTGTCGAGATCGATGGCGCTGCATTCGGAGGCGGAGAGGCTGGGTGTCAAAACTCGATCCAACTCGATTTCGGAAGACAGCTCAACAAACGAGCGCGATGCTTTCATTCAACAAGAAGTCCGACGTCGGACCTTCTGGAGCTGCTATATCATGGACCGCTACCTGAGCAGTGGCAAGTATCGGCCTCAGATGCTACAGGCCAAGGAACTCAGGATACAACTTCCCGCCAGCGAGCGCTCGTTCTTGTTCGCGGAGAAAGTGCGCACGCTAATGTTGGGTGAGGAGGAGCATAAAGTTGCTGGCAGAGCAGAAGTCCAGAGCCACCGACAGGCATCGCTTGGAATGACCGGCACGCCAGACAGGAAGGGCCAGATGCATGACTCCGGCGAACCCGAAGAGCGTTTGCAGGTTGGCGCCGACGAAGGGCTTGTCAGCCGATACGTCAAGATTCTCGAGATTTATGGCAAGGTCGTCAAGTGGTCTTGTGCTGGAGGCCGGAGGTGAGTGTAACAATATGTCTGCGTGAGCATGCTGGCTGATCGTGTTTGCAGAACCGAACAGCACCCGCCATGGGACCCACGCTGCGAGTTCTACCAGCTCAACAAGCAATGCCTGGACTTCAAGAATAGCCTACCTCGCGACAACATGCTATCACCATCTAATACGCAAGCTCATATCAGCATGAAGAGCTCAACACCATACACGCTTATACACTGTGTTTACTTACTTTGCCAGATTGCACTTCACAGAGAGTATGTGCCATTCCTGCCGATCCGGTGTGAGAAGCCAGAGGGACCACTGGATCCGCCACTGTTTCCTTCGAACAAGTATGAAGTGCCAGCTCGATTCTGGGAGGAGAGCGCTCGTGAATGCTTCAAGTCGGCTCGCGAGCTTATGGATCTGGTGCGAGCATGTCAGGAATGGAGCGTGCTTGTCGAAACTCCGATTGTTGGTTTTGCCATCTACACGGTGGCCTTTGTCGGCGTCTACTGCATCAACTTCCCGCAGATGGACCCCGGTGGCTTCATGTGCACACCAAAGGAGCAGCGTCAAGATGGCAGCAAAGCTGGCGCGAGCAAAGGCTTCGAAGCCGCACGGAAGGCTTTGGAGATGCTTGGTCAGCTACGAACGAAGTTGCATATGGCCGATGGTTGGTTCAGCACTATCAACCGCATGCACAAGTATTTGAGACGGATGAAGAGCGACTACAAGAAGAATGCGGCGGCAAATGAGTCGATCACTTCAGGCAGCGACAGTCCGACGTCGACTCGCCACCTGAGCATTCGGGAAGGTGGAATTGGCGGCGGGTTGGATGAGTTCAAGCTTCTTGAACGTGTGCTGAAGGAGTTTGGATCTTTGGAGGACCAGGACTCGCCGATGGCGGATGTGAGCCACGGGAACGGATCTCGGCCGCTTGACGCAGTATACGACGACAGTGGATCTGGCACCACTGTGAAGAGCGAGGAACAAGACCGCGGACCTCCACCATCATCCGAACCACAAAGATCCGGCAGTGGTCTCTGGAGCGCAATCAATGCTGCGCCTTCGACGGCGAACACCAGTCATCAGCAGTCTTCGACGCCGACCACAAATGGACAGTTCAGGGCTTACGACTCATACCAGCAATCTCACCAGCAAACCCATGCACCTCCCGCCCCGCAGCCCAACTACGCACACCAGATAAACAACTTCCGGCCCGCATACTCCCACGACAGCACTGCCGGCGCGCCACCCAGCCTAACATCTCCTGGCTCGCACACCGCCACCACGCCTTCTAACGCCTCTCCACCCTTCGACCGCCAACACCAGCAATACACCGGCTGGGCGCCTCACAACGCTCCTTACGCCATGCAACATTCACAAGCACCACCCGGCTATCCTCCCGGCCTTGCTCAACATCCTCAACAGCAGCATCTCCCACCCGGCTTGCCCAACCTCACCGCCTACCCTACTCCAGGCCAAACGCACACCCCGCAGTCTATGCAGCCGCCCGCGCCGCCTATGCAAGAGGCCCATCAGCCTTGGAACCAGATGGAGAAGGAGGCTTGGCTGAATAACCTGGACACGAGGCTAGGTGGTGATGATCTGGCGGCTTTTGTTGATGGAGGGGACGTGGCGGAGTGGGCGAGTATGCATCGGGGGTATGGGGGTGGGTGGTTGAGTGCGGTGTGGGGTGATAATGGAGCAGGTGGTGGGATGCGGTGATGTGAGGCTAATCACGATGTTTGCGACGATTATGGCCACGTATGCTGTGACGTCATCTGGGAGCGTGAGAATTCTCGGGATGTCCTGGCGTTTTGGACGGGCGGTTGGATCTGTGGTATGGTATGCTTGGGATGCTCCAGCGGCGGAAAATGTGTTGATATGGGAGGTTTACTCAACTGATGCTACGTCGAATGTATGCGGTTATGACAGTGAGGGAGGGAGGTACACGTGATAGCGCTGTTTATGGGCATGTACTTGGTAGGTAGTACTGAGCTAGGCTGATACCGGAACGGTTATGATAATATTTGAATGCCACCCAGCTGACCACCATTCAAAACGGCCTGTGCTCATTCTGATCGCTTCACGGCTGTTCAGTGACTTGTCTTCACTCAATCGGCGACACCACATGGCTTTATCCCATGCGCGCAACATCTCGCCAAGAGCTCCGACTCCTTCACTATTGCTTCTGCTACGTCCGCCGCGAAGTCTGCGGAAGCCTCCCGCATCGACCTCCTGATACGGCAGCCCTACTCGCTGTCCAGATTCATGACATCCCTTCTGTGCGTACAAACCATTTTGACGGCGAGCTCGCGCAGGTTGTTGCTCGCCTCTGAAGTCATGTTGTACACTTCCACAATACCTTTCGCCACTCCGATAGTGATCCACCACTCGTTTATCTCCACTCGAAAACCGTCGACAGCTTTGTCCATCAGGCCATACAGTAGGTGCTTCTCCCCGAGCGCGAAGACTCGGGCATGAACTTGGGCTTCGGAGAGGTAGTCGTCAGGCGTGGTGTCGGATTGTGCGGAGTCGGCAGGGTAGTAACGGTTGTAGAACCAAGAGAGCATAAGGCCGACGATCTTCGGGTCATCTTCTTGGAGCTCGATGAGTTTCTCTGTAGACTCCTGTTATGACGCACGTAATCCAACCTGTTAAGTGCTTAACGGGGTGGTTCGCTCACCTTGAAACCGCCTTCAACAGCACGCTCGAAGTACTTTGACTGAGTACACAGCACGAATCGGTGAACTGACCACTCACGGCCTCCGCATCGAACAGTGAGGTCGGACAAGTCGTTAGAGCGCCACAGTCTGACAGAATTAGCTTGGATCATACAGCACGGGTGTACGCGATCATACTTCTTGATACCTTCTCTGAGCGGGTCGGCGTTTTTTGGGAACCTTTCAGTCTTGTATTCATACCCAGCCGGAAGGCTGTCGCTGGAGGCCGACATCTCGACTTCCATGGTCATTAAAAGGGGTTTTGAGTCACGGTGTCGATGTGTTGTGCTGTTAGTGGTGTGGAGAGACTTTAGGTAATCAACCAGAAACGGAAGGAGCGAGGCAGCCATTGGAAAGTGAGCCATGCACTCTCACATGATGCTTGAAACATCATAACCGTGCTTTTCACACCGGACGTTGCCTTCTGCAAGAATTGCAATCATGCCTCGACTCTCGATACAAAATCATGTGTCCCAGACGGCACGCTGAAGATCTCATACCCATACTCAGAGCGCACAAGCTCCGCACGGCCAGACGCTTTCACCTCGCCCTTGCTGACCGGTACGCGTACCTCCGCAACAGTATTTGACGGGATCGTCACCGTCAACCTCAAAATCCCATCCGCGTTCTTGGACCACCGGCTCCTCGCCTCACCCGCCTGCATCATATACGTCGCCTCCGCGCTCGTCAAATCACCCACAATTTTTGGCTGGAACACGAGCCCTTCCTCCTCCACACCGCTGAGCGTACGGAGTGCCAGAGGCCTGAGACCCGCAAGACCCGCGTGAAACCACTCCTCGATCTGCGCGAGGATCATGTGGTTCTTGCTCGCGCTGATGTCCCAGTTCTCGCGGATCGTGGTGAGGCCCATTGGATTCTCCGGTGTGGGTTTGAGGAAGTAGCCGTAGCTCGGCTGCTCGTTTTGCTGCAGTGCTTGCCAGAGCACGTCGTCCCGTCCGCCGTCGGAGAGGGCGCGGATGATGGGATTCAGGCCGATGGTGCCACCGCTGAGGTGCGGCCCGCTCTCATTCTTGGGGCCGTAGGAGTATGTCAGGTCGACCAAGGCTTGCAAAACACTTGCTCGATTCTCTTCTTCGACGAGACCAGAGTCGAGGGCTAGGGCTTGCGCTGCCTGCGTGGCGTTGCTGACGCCTATGCTTCCGTTATTCCTGTAGCGGCCGGACTCGTCGTCGAAGAAAGCTGCGTTGAAGGCGCTGCGGATCCGAACGGCCAGAGCTGCGTAACGCTCCGCATCAGCCGTATGTCCAGTGATGTTGGCCATGCGTGCCATAGCCTGGATTGTGTTGTAATAGCCCCATGTTCCAGTGATGTAACCAGATGTTTCTGGTCGATCCTCGACCCAGTCCGCGAGAGGGCCAAGGACAAGGTTGTCTTCGACCTTCTCGCGCTGAATGTAGTCAACAAAGTCCACCATGTGGTCGTAATTCTCGGCCATGAGAGTGGTGTCGCCATCGAGATCGTGTAAGATGGAAGGGACAAGTACAATAGCATCACCCCAGTTGATCTCATCGCCAAATTGGCGAGTGTAGCCCCAGTCATAGACAGGTGTCTTGAGAGCAACGTTTCCAAACATGTAAGTGTCGGCGATGGACTGTCCTTCCACAAGCGTGCGCATAGTGGTGCGCATGAAGGCCGAGAGATGGAAGTGGCGATAGATAGCCCCCATCGGCATCACGTAGTCGGCAGGATAAGAAAGCTTCTCACGCCCCGGGCAGTCGGTGAACGTAGACATCAGATTGCTTGCGAAGGAATATGAAACCATGTTGTGGATGCGGTTCACACGAGCGTTGGAAGAAGTAAATGTGCCGGCGGTGGGGACGTCACCTTGCAGTCGTAGACCGGTGATCAAGTCCAAGGAAGGTTCAAACCCATTCGGCAGGCCAGTGACTTGCACCCACTGCATGCCGAAATAGTTGAATTTGGGGCGCCAGGACTCGCCACCCTCACGTCCAGCAGTGGTGTAAGTGTAAAATAGGTCGCTCCCACGAGATCCAGGGCCAGAAGACGGGCCAAGGGACGACTGTTCAATTGTTCCATTGGCATTCAATGATTCGGAAGGTGCCACTTTGACGGTGACACCAGCCGGCATCTCGGGCAGTGTGAGAAGTGCCCAGCCAGCAAAATTCTGCCCGAAATCGAAGACCCATGTGCCTGGGAACGGTTGCTTCATTGAGACAGGCGTAATGCGCTCCTGGATCCTCACGGGTTCCGCAGCGCGTGCGACGAGCTTTGTGGCCAGATTCGGAGGAGGGACGATGCCAGCAGAGACCCATGAGTCGGACAACTCAGGGTTTGGTAGGTCCCATCCGGAGTGCTCACGGCGAGCATCGTAATCTGGACCGGAGTACCACTGATCTGTCACAAAGGGACCGAAAGCAGTACGCCATGACCGATCAGTGACCACGACATCGGTGCCACCGTCTTCGTATGTAATCTCCAAGCGAGCAATGAGGCGAGGAGATACGGCAGCGCCGGCTGAAGGGTCAGTAGCGGCAATGTTGTTGCCGGAGCCAGTAACGTTGACACCGTCTTCATGGCTGAGCTCGAGAGCAGGCGTGAAGTCGATGGACTTGGTACGGTTGTGGATAGCGGTAATGACACGCGATTCGAGCTTGTGACCGCCGTTTGCAGTATCGATGTTGATGGTGCCTCCAAGATGATACAACGTGACGTTGTTCAGACGCACACTGGTGCTGCCGGCCTCTGCAGCATCTGCAAGGAGACCGTCTCCTTGAAGTTGACTCTCCCACCATGCATAAGGTGCATCCCGCCCGACGGCACGATTGGTGACACTTCGTCGTATGTAAGCAACACCGTTGCCCAGGCTGACGCCGAGGGAGTTGCTACCGGCGCGCAGACACTTTGAAACGTCGTACGTGCGGTATTCGGTCGAGAGCTGGTAGTTCGAATACCCTGGAGCCAGGACCTCGTCGGTAATGTCCTCTCCATTCACCGTGGGATGTATCAAACCAATGCCCGACAAGTATAAGTTGGCGCCTGCAACTGTCTTGGAGTCGTCGACCTCGAACTGGCGAACAAAGATGGGTAGAGGCTGATCTTCTGTGCGGTCGGGGTAGGAGATCCAGCGGGACTCCCCCCAGTCAGCCTGCTCGAGCAGACCCATGGTCCAGGTCGAAGGCGCCGACCAATCCGATACATCGTTGTTGGCATTCCAGACTCTTACTTGCCAAGCAATAGTGTCCCGTGAGGCGAGGGTCCCATCAAAGCGAACCTGCTGCTGGCTGCTTTCGATCCGACCAGTCGTCCAGATACATTTATTGGCCTGGAGACCTGCCATCGTAGCTGCAGCCCGGACCTCGAAGGCCGTCTGTCGGTCGCCGGGGCAGGCCTTCTCCTCGCATGCCTCGTGCTGAATCATCTGCCAGGAGAGCGTGGGCTGAACATCATCAAGGCCCAGCGGTGAGTCCAGACGCCCATCGACGCTGAGCTGGGTGACAGTGACTGGAGATGCTTGAGAGGCTGCTGCGGCCCATACCAGCCAAAGGGCGGCTCTAAGGATAGAAGGACGTTGCATCTTGGCGAGGTAGAGAAAGGACAACGCCAGGTCATGGCAGGAAGGAGGGTTGCCATCTTACCTTCTCAGTGGTCCTTATAAGACCAGAATTCAACAGCAGGTTACGTTACGGGAGGACATGCTGCTGCTGCATTGGGAAAGGATGTCGTGCCAAGCTGAATGAACATCAGGCGGGGGAAGGCAGCAGCAGTTTGCAGCTCGGTCCTCGTGATGATGGTAGCCCGAAGTCATATTCGACACTCTCCAGCGGAGGGTTGGGCGGGGGAGTGAGGGGGTGGTCGCGACGGTCTGAAGATTCGGGCCTCGCGTTGATGCCGACCGAATGTATGTGGACGACACCCTGGCTGTAAAGCAGGATCAAGGCGTCATCAGGCTGGAAGCGACATGTCCAGAGTGGAGAGAGTATCGTGTACGACCTTGATCGTTCAGTCATTGAGGTCCTACTAGCCAAGTCGATGAGAGTATTGAGCAGGAATGGGAGGTTTGCCAAACTGTAGCCCACTCACCGTTGCGTTGCGCGGTATTGCATCTTCACGGCGAACAGCTAGCCAGGACGTGATATTGATGTCTTTCCCTGTGACAGATGTCAAGGATACATCGTACCGCGTGGGGAGGGCGACAATTAGTCGTGCTGTCATCTGGGCGTGGAACCTCGATGGAACTGCGGTGGTGGTACGTAAGGAGGACGATGCGAGGTTGCAGGAATCCCCTCAAGCCTGCTTGGCAGATTCGGTCCGTCTCGGTGCGAAGGATCGTACCTATTTACCAGCAAGTCGTCTACGGTAGAAAGCACCGCATCATACTCCACTGCATTATGTTCCGTTCTTCTTCGCCCCGTCACCCGTTGCCCGTTGCCCGTTGCCCGTCCACAGTCGAAGTCCTGCTCACACTGCGGCCAGCCTCGACGCGACGCAACTTGCACCATCCTTCAACGAGACGGCAGCGTGAAGCTGTGGGTACCCTGCCTATCGTCTCAGCGACGTCTGCCGCAAACAACACTGGCTCCTGGCTTCACGCTTTTCGGGATTGAGAGTAGGAGTCGCCGCGGCTCACAGATGTTGCAAACCCAGCCGCTCTCCGCCTTTATCCACCACGCTACGAAGCTGCCTATATCCCAGATCATTCTGCGTCTTATTGGCGTCAACGAACCCTTCCCAGTTGCCCAAGTAGGTCCAGTGTCAGCTGCTGTGGGGCTCGGTCCAGCAAGTCCTTGAACATGCGGCTTTCCAGCGCTTTGTCTCCAAGAAGATGGTCAAGGGAGCGGGAAATGTACTTGGCGACAGTCTCTCTCAGCAGCGCGCTTATCTCCACCGGCATAGTGTAGATGTAGAGTATTGCCGTTGCCATGACATCTTTCATGTTTGTCATGCACAATCCCCCGGCAAAAGCGCTGTTTGCTTCCTCTTTCAGCGGAAGCAGGAGATACTTGTCCGCAAGCTCGTAGAGGCAAACATGGTATGTCAATGGCAGGTGCGTGATGTCGTAATCGTCCTTTTAGAGCCATTCTAGCATGAGCTCGACGGCGTTCGGGTCGTCTTCATGCAGCTCGATCACCGACTCCAGACCTTCCTGATACTCAGAGTTAGTTGAGTTTGCACGCTTGAGAGGACGCTTTGCTGGCGCCTCGCTAGGGAGTCGTTACCTTGAATCCGCTCTGCAAAGCACGCTTGAAGTATTCGGACCGATTGCAGAGTACGATCCTGTGGGCTGGCCATTCGCGACCGCCGCATCGAATGGTGACGTCTGAGAACTCCGGACGGTTGAACCACTCATCGCCGGCGCTCTTCCAGTAGCGTGGAAGCGCGTGCTCCATGAGCTTGGAGAGCTGGTATTTCTCCGCGAGGTACCAGACTCGAGCATGTACCTCAGCATGCGAGGAGGCGGTCGTTGGTGGTTGCATCACGCCGTAATCGCTGGTGTAGAGCCACTCGAGCATCAGCCCAACGCCTTCCGGATCATTGTCAGGCAAGCTGAGGACACCTGCACGTGTCGGCTGGTGGGAAGTGTTAGCTTGGGCTTCAGTTCATAGTCAGCTGTCATTCCAACTCACCTCCAATCCAGCACTGACTGCTTGCGCCAGAATTTCGCACTGAGCGCACACTGCCACCTTGTGAACGAACCACTTCCGACTGCCGCAACGGATGGCAAGGTCTGAGAACTCGGCTCGATTGAAATGTCTGTCGGGGTTAAATGCATCATGATGGTGATCCTGCGCTAGGACCTACTTGACTATTGCTACGCTTAGTGCATTGGTGGTCATCTTTGCGAGTGTGGTCGACTTGTCGTCGAGAGGTGTAGCGACCTTGGTGTGCCATATATGAGAGAACATGGGAAAGGAGTGGGGCGGGAGCGTTTCACTATTGAAGAGTAGTGAGGTTGCAGGATAAGCGAGGTGGTCAATGCATTCTCACATGCCTTTAATGTCGTCACCTGATTTCACCGGACCTGTTCTTCGCCCATCTTCCATGGTTTTTCAGACCGACTAAGGAGATAGAGATGAGTTGCTGCATGACTTGCGGCTCTCCACGCACCCCACTGCGGCATACGATCCAGCGTCGAGCAGCCACATCCCAGCCCCTTTCACGCCGTCCACGTTCAACCCAACCGCAGCACGATCAACTCAAGAAGCTCTCGCAAACCTTTCAGCCACGTCTGCCGCAAATCCCGTGAGCTTAGGGTCTCTCAGCACCTTCCTGAAGGTGGAGGAGTTGGTGTTGTTGGCATCGAATAGCGTGGTCTTGCATGCAAAGACGACGTCCACAATTGCTTCTCGCATGGCTGAGTTTGTACTGGGAAGCATGGCGTAGACTACAGGTATCGAATCGACCAACATACCCGTAAATTGGCCATTGATGCCAGAATCAGACTGGTAGAGTTGTCTGGTTTTCGTGACCGCGAAATCTTTGAGACCAGTGATAAAGTACTTCTCGGCGGGTGCGAAGGACTGGGCGTAGATCCTCAAGCTTGGCAACTGGCAGGCCGCCATATCGACGATATTGTACTTTCGGGTGTAGAGCCACTTCAACATCAAATGGACGAGGTTTGGGTCCTCTTCGTGTAGTTCAACAACCTGTTCGTGCGCTTCCTAGCAAAGAAACATTAGCCAGCTTTCCAAGTCGTCCAAAGACGTGCTCTTACCTTGAAGCCGCTCTCTAGTGCGCGCTCGAAATACTTGGACTGCAGGCAAACGACGAGCTTGTGTAGATGCCGTTCCCATTCACCACATCGCACCTTGAAGTCCGACAGTCTAGGCTGGTTGAAGAGCCTGACATCTACGTTAGCCACACGCCGACAGCTCAAACACGAGAAGGAATGGGACTCACTCCGCGATCTGTCCTCTGAATGGATCGATAGCCATGCCGACGATGGTTGTGCGAGATAGCAGGGAGCGGTTCGGTGATGTGTCGAGAATCCTGAAGCAAGATAGGTGAGGTTCTGTTCGAGAGCAGCTAGAAGGACGGAAAGCTCCGTGCGCTTTCACGTGTCAACACGTCACTTCATTAGGCACTGTCTAATTGTATATGCGCTTACATTAAGCTCGCTCCCACTTAATCCTTCTTCCTCCCAATCCTCGGCAAACATAACCACAGCAACCAGATCACCGCCAATAGCGCCAATATAATCGGCTGCAGCACCTGCACACCCTTCGCCTGCGCAATCGCACCAATGGCATACGGAAAGATCGCTCCTCCGCTCCCACCGAAGGCCGCCGCAAAGCCGATACTGGAGACATGCAGATGTTTGGGAAGCAGTTTTGCGCAGGCGACCATGGCGGCTGGAAACATTGGGCCCAAGAAGAAGCCGAGGAAGCCGACGGATACGGCACCGACGTAGAATTGTGGCACGAGCCAGAAGACTAGTTGGAGGGCCATTGATATGGGGAGGTAGATCTGGGAGCAATTTCAGCAAGCATACCGGCTTAGCATGACTTTCCAGCATACCGAGATAGCAAGCTTCTCGCCAATCCGTGGCGTGACGAAGCCTAGCACGACCCTGCCAACCGTGATACCTAGCCAGAAGCCAGTAGCCGTCATGCCGCTGGCGAACGGCTTCGCCTCCCGCACCCGGATCATAAAAGCGACAATCCAGCCACCCAAGCCCACTTCGATACCGACGTAGCCCAACAAGAACAGAGCACTTAGCCATGTCACTCGTGCTGCCGGCTTCCTCAATACCGCTTCCCTGAGTCTTGACCCACCTGCGTCCGAGGTTCGTGGATGTGCATCGCGGAAGACCTCACCCGTGGCACCCCAGAAGGCGTGGATGGACGTTGCAACTTCAATCGCGGCGAAGCCGACCATGAAGTAGTACCAGTAGTACCACCGTACATCGGCCTCCGTGATCAGCGTCGTAGCAATGGTCGGTGCAATCGTGCCTCCGATGCCGTAGAAGCCATGCAAGAAGCCGAGCATCTCGTTTGCGTTGTTCATGACACCGATCCAGGCGTTCCAGGCTGAGTCTTCAAGCCCATTGCCGAGACCTGCGAGCATAAACGAGATGACTAGGACTGGGTATGGTGGATGAACAGCATTGATGATGTAGGCGACGAGATGGCACACTGGGCCAGCAACAGCGACTCCGCGCTGTCCGAACTTCATGTGGATCCAGTTGTTCAGCAGCGCTGCGGTGGTGTATCCAACGAATGGCGAAAGGAATACCAGAGACACTACCGTGTATGGCAGGTCATAGTACGTCTCCAGATACGGGATGATGGCGCCATAGGTGGCGTCGTTCATGCCCATGATCACAAAGGCCCAGAAGGTGGCAGCGAGGCGGTAGATGTTGATACGTGGGTTGTTCCATGACTCGACATGTTCAGTAGGAGCGGTCGTTGGAGAGGGTAGAGTCTCATTGCGGTCGGACGCGTTATCGTCGTCAATCTTGCGGTCTGCTGAGGCAAGGCTTCGGCCAGGGATGGATGCTGGCCGCTTGCTGGAGAAGCTGGGCCGGTCCTGTTTGGTATGCACTGGCTGGAGTTCTATGGGCTCCAGGATCGCGGTCGAGGAGCCGCCGTTGGGTCGCTCTGTAGACATGGTGCCGTTTCCGCAGGATATAGCAGGAATGAAGTGGAGGAGCCTCTATCACAATACGTAAGAGGCGGCTTAGAGGAACATGAGAACGGCTATGGAGAGCCTGGAAACTACGCCGCTATTTATCGACTGTGTCGGAGCGACTGAAGTGGTCGTCTGCCGTTCATTGAGACGAGTGGTTGAAGGAGAGGATGAAAGAGGAAATACCGCGAGCCAAGAGAGACGACTCGTCAACGCCGTTGAATTCCGACTTACGGAGCTCGACGTGGCAGCCTTTCCATAGACCTCATATGCTCAATGAACACCGTGTCATGCTGTGTAACCGCGTTGAATAAGCCATTCGTTTGTCGCGTGATGGAGGAAGTGAAAGAAGTACGGGAGCCCTCTCTTTCACCGAGTCTCGTGATCTGAAAGGTCCGTGCGCAGCCAGGTTAGTCATGCCGCAACTTCATGTGAAGATGAAGCCGACCGGATACCTGCAAGTTCACCAACAAATCCTTATAGCAACAGCTGCTTGCTGAAAGACCTGCTCGACTATAAAGGCCAAGCTCACGGTATCGACAATGCGAAGATGAACGTCGTCGACGCAACAGATCGGACGGAGAAGCAGGACGAGGCAGAAGCACCCTCACTACTAACCATCATCCTCGACACGAACCCGCACGCCTGGAACCTCCTCGCGGACACCCTGCCCCTATCGAAAGCGGTCGCCAACCTACTGGTCTTCATAAACGCGCATCTAGCCATCAACCATGCCAACAGAGTTGCGGTATTAGCCAGCCACAGCGAGCGAGCAGAATGGCTATATCCAACGCCAGCTCATTCGCAGGAGAACGGCGCAGCGAAGGGCTCACATCAAGATGGAGAGGACGTGGACATGGGAGAGGAGGGCAGCTCAGCGGGTCAAGGGGGTCCAGTACAGTCCCCGGACGATGCAAACAAGTACCGGCCGTTCGCACATGTAGAACACGCAATCCTCACAAATCTACGCCGTCTCATGTCTACCACTACTCCCGAGTCTCTCAGCTCAACTCCTGCCACCATGATCGCCGGCGCTCTCACCCTCGCCCTGAGCTACATCTCAAAACAGTCCCAGTCGCAGCCAGCAGCCAACATGACGTCCCAATTCAACTACTCCGACCCTACATCTGTCGCCGGCGGCAACGAACTTAACCCGTCTGACTCTTCCAAACACCACGCTGCGCTCGGCCTCTCCAGCCGCATCCTCATCCTCTCCGTCTCTGGCGATCTCGCGAACCAGTACATCCCAATTATGAACGCCATCTTCGCCTGCCAACGCCTCGACATTCCGCTCGACATCCTCAAACTCGCAGGCGACACCGTCTTCCTCCAGCAAGCTGCTGATGCTTCGGGTGGTATCTACATGGCACTAGATGATGCGCAAGCACGAGCAGGGCTGCTGCAGTACTTGATGTTCGCATACCTGCCCGACCAGGGCGCGCGAGAACATCTGATCGTGCCGGGAGAGGGTGAGGGAGTGGACTTCCGGGCTGCGTGCTTTTGCCATCGTCGGATCGTGGATATTGGATATGTGTGCTCGATCTGCTTGAGCATTTTCTGCGAGCCGTTGGCGGATGGGACGTGCTTGACGTGCGGGAGTCATCTGAAGTTGAGTGGGTATGGGCAGAGGCCTGCTGTGGTGCCGAAGAAAAAGAAAAAGAAGAAGAGGGCTCTGGAGGCTGGTGGGATGGAGACGCCGGGGAGTGAAGGTGGGACGCCTGCGCCTGCGTGAGGAGCACGATTCAGTTCTTCGGCATATTTCGAACATGTGGCCGAGTATGACACGTGAGAATGCACGGTCCATCCTCGCTTAATTTCAGAGACGCACAACCTTCCGCGTTATGCGCAACACCTTCGCGCACACAGCGCGCGCCCTGAGTTCTTTTGGGCCACCCTAGCTTCCTCCGACGCAACCGGTGGTGTTGAAACCCTTGAAGCAAATTTACCCTGGCCTCGCGGCCAACTCGAAAGAATGCACGTCCCAGTGGAAGACGTTCTGCAGAAGTGAGCTACGGTGAATCCACTGCAATTAGGCAATGACTGACAACGAAACGTAGGCTCTCCAAATCTGCCAAGCTCTCGGATATCAAAATTCGATGCGGCGACCGCGAGTGGCCCGCTCATAGGGCCATACTTTGCGTCCGCTCTGAGTACTTTGACAAGGCGTTGTCAGGTGCACTCAAGGTGAGCTGCGACTAGTGTGAGGTGTCATGGGCGCCCAGATCTGACGTTGCTTGTGTAGGAAGCCACCGAAAACACCATCGAGTTACACGACGACCATCCGAACGCAGTACACGCCATGCTCGAATGGTTCTACAGTGGCAACTATAGCTATTGTCAGACCCACTCTATCTTCGAGCTCTGCGTTCTCGTTCACGACGTCGCCAACAGACATCTTCTGGACGATCTAAAAATGTGTGCGCTCGAGGCGTTCAGTGATTCGGAAATCAACCCGAGCAACATAGAAGGATTCGTGAGGGTCACAACGACAGTCTACAACGCCTCTTTACTGGATCAACCATGGCAGAAAGTCATACTGGACGTGGTTAGGTTGAGTCGGTACAAGTTCTAACCCGAGGCCGTTCGCGTCCCATTCAAGGCTTTGCTCGGGCAGGTTCCCGAGTTCGCAGCGGACGTTTCCGAGCGCTTGTTGGAGATTGAAGGCACAGGGCCATGAGAGCAAAGCGCGATGCCTGCGGAGCACAGAAGCGCACCTGCCTCGAAAGGACACCGGCTAGGGATACAGGATGGTGGCGGAACATTTTGACCTCATGCGAGCCGCTTGATTAGTAGTGACGGCATGTGAGAAGGTAGTGCAACATAGCCATTCATGACAATCAGAGAAATGGTGAGTCCAAACACATTCCACTTCTTTGGGACATTCGACCTTTTTCTCAGAGAATCCCACGTGCGACTGTGACTCCTTGACATGTGAAGATGCACGGCCCAAGCGGTGCTCAGTCCTGCTTTTGCGGATTCTTTTTTTCTTCTGTCTTCCCGCTCCGTCGACCTCTGACGCCCACAAGCAAAGCCTTCGTCGGCACATTGAGGCAGACGAGGCCAACATGGGTCGCAACACTTATGATATGCAGCAAGCCGACGAAAAGTGAGTACTGTCGCTCATCCTTTGTTTTAATATTATACTGACTCTTGTGCGAAAGACTGTTCTCTTTAGGGCAGTTCTCTGACCTCAAGATTCGATGCGGCGCTCGCGAATGGGCGGTCCACAAGGCCATACTCTGCCCGCGATCGGAGTACTTCGACCGCATCGTTAATAGCGGCTTCAAGGTAAGCACAGCGAAATCTGCATTAGCGACCGAAGCTCACTGCGTTCCCAGAAATCACATGAAAACCTCATCGAGCTACACGACGAGAATCCGGATATCGTTCATCTGACGCTCGAGTGGCTCTACAACGAGAGATACGTTCCAGCGGGAATGACATACACTTCTAAGTGGGGGATACACAAGGCCGTGTTCGAGATTGCCGACAAATATCTTCTGAAAGACCTTCAGAACGTGGCCTTGCAAGCATTCCTGGACTGCGAGATCTCCGAGGACATGGAAGGATTAGTGAAACTTGGAAAACTGATCGGCAACATGGCACCGGCGAATCCTGTCTTGCAGCAAGCGGTCGTGGACTGCCTCAGCTACGAATTCGTCGGAAGCCAAGCAGCATTCATGCGACCATATCATGCCGCCGAACTCGTAGAGCTCCTGCGCGAGACACGCTCCGACTTTGCAATAATGATTTTCCTGAAGCTCAACGAGAGATGAGCATCCTCCAACTGAATATCATGTTCCCTGCGAACACACCAGGAGGACGGACTCTCACCAGGCAAAGTTATGTGGAATTGAAAGCGGTGGCTCACTGCATCGACAACTTCACCAGTCAGAAAGGCTGCAGCTGGCATGGATCACTGGAGACAACGGCTGCGGCGGCCATCTGGTGAAGGCGTTGGTGTTAGAGCATGGGACTACGGCACGAATTATGTCAAGTAGAAGCAAGTACCTTGTGAAAATGCGCAAGCTGTTGATGTCTTTCACTGAACGGTTTCCGCAGTTTGACTTGTATTCGTCGAGGCTCACTTCCCCCGAGGCGTGTGCTGCTAACATGTGAAGAAGCACAGGCCACAGGGTGAGCGGGCTTTTTCAGGCGACTTCACATCACTATTTGACCTGGATTTCGAGACCTTGCGCTCTGAACCTTCTCCACCATCTTTCCACGACGACCCATAAAGACATCCATCAGCATGGCGTGGCAATCGCAGAGAGGTGACATGTCCGGGTACGTACAGGAGACCACTCACTGCCTCTCTCGACCTGTTCTAACTTTCGAGGCAGACTCTTCCATTCGACAGAGTTCTCCGACCTCACTATCAAGTGCGGAGGTCGTGAGTGGCCGGCGCACAAAGCAGTGCTATGCACCAGATCCGAGTATTTCCATCGTGTGGTCACCAGCGGCTTCAAGGTTCGAAGCATATCCGTGGCGATGCTTTTGTGCACGGCTGACAATTGCTCCCAGGAGTCGGAGAGTGCAGTAGTCGAGCTACGCGATGATGATCCGGACGTGGTCCACCTCATGCTGGGTTGCTTGTATCGCGGTACTATCGAACTATCGCCATTCCGCGATCCAAGCACGTTGCCCGAACTCTGCATGAGCCTCTTCGTGCTTGCCGACAAATACCTCTTGCACGACCTCGAGAAGCCTATGATAGAGGAGTTCAAATGCAAAATCCAAAGGCTGCCAACGGAGAGCTTCGCCAGGGTTGTTAACACGGTCTACGATATGGAAGGGGAGGCGAGCGAGCCTGTGCGAAAAGCTGTCGTTGATGTCGTCACATACGTTCCTCCGTCCGCCGCGGAGAGATGGACGCGGCGCCATGCTCAAGATACCGCGCCCGGGTGGAGTGTACCGCCAGGATACTCGCTTGGGCGAGTACTAAGGCAAGCACCCAAAGAGTTCGCTGTTGAGGTGGCTGAAAGACTGAGAAAGGCACTGGAAGATGCAAAGCGCTGATGGATCTCTCTGGGGGCCAGGTGCTGCGAGCCGTCATCCACTGCGCACAACAATGAGCGTGTCTTGCCATGGAAAACGTGGACAGATCGATGCTTGCTCGATCAAGGAGGATGGAAGGTGATAGCGATGCAACATGGGAGACTTCCGGACCTACTGTGCTTGCGTACGCTGCTAGGAGACGTATTGAATGATATCTTCTTCCAGATGTTCACTTTTTTCACCAACACGCCCGCCCCACTGCGAGCACATATCCTACCTTGCCAGACGCCAGAGTCCACTATCTCAGACTTATACTTGTGCAAGTACACAATGCCTGAGGTCTTCCATGCGCAAAGTCGCCGAAGTGCAGCAAGACCTCCCCGACAGGCCTTCGCCAGACCAATCATTCCCATCTCTTACATCTTCACGATCTTGAATGAGGTTCGTTCCGTTCCATCATGCCATGTGGTCGCTGCATGGTCGATCTTGATATCTTTGAAGTCACCCTCTTCCTCCTCAAAGGTGTATAAACGCCTGCTACACCTCTGTCTCCTCCCGAGAAGCCTCGGATCCCTCGACCTGTTCGAGAACGCAATAGCGGAACTTAGTGGCCACTCAGCAAACGATGATTGGTCTCGCTCGAGGGAAAAATTTCAACTTTGTAAGCATCAATTGCCGGCGGCAACGAGCGCGACAGGCCGACTGCGGGTGAGGTAGGTCATGTCTATGATGGTCACTGTTTCTCTTTCTCGACCACACGATATGCTTTAAACAATTTTCCTTCTTCATCCTGCGTCCGGTAGGTGAGAAGACAACTGCAGAATGGCGTCCGTTATCAGTCCTGGCGAAGCTGGTGAGTCGCCCCTCCATTGACAATAACAGAGTCCAGACGAATGTGACTAACCACGAGCAACAGTCGCCAGAATCGCATACCTTTCCTCCGACACCATCATCTCCGTCCAGCCTTCACTAGACACCGAGTCCGAGTTCTCCGTCTTCCTCCACCAGTACGCGGCGAACAAGGCATCGAGCCTGGTGTGCAAAGATGTGCCAGAGGTGCAGAGTGTTCGCCACAATGCCGACCCTCTGCTCTCAGCAGTACAGCCAGTTCGGGATGGGAGGATCACGAGCGTGACTACGACCAGCGGCGTGCTCGTCAAGAGCATCCCGCATCTATACAAGTTGGCGCAGCACCCAGTGGTAATACACGTGAGCCTGCACCCGACAGGCTACCCTGACTATGCGGACATCACGAGCATACGAAACACTGGCTTCACATTCCTACAAAGCAACTCGCTGCAGGAGGCGCAGGATTTGGCTCTGAGCGCGCACGCACTTGCGATCCGGAGTGGCAAAGGTGTCATACATTTCTTCGATGCGGCAAACTCGAAGAGCGACCAGCCTATCCCGCATGAGAACAGAGAGCTGGTCTCGAACGTGCTGAACAGGGACTTGGCGCAGCAGTTCCAGTCTAACAGGAGCGAGGAGAGCACACTTTACGTCAGCGAAGGAAAGCCTTCAACCGCAATCGGCGCGGAGCTTGCAAGTGGTGCTGGCAAGGCAGATCTACCAACATCACCCGCGCAGGCCACACCGGCCGACACACGAGATCCATCCACAGCCTCTTCCTCCTCCTCCGACAGACGAGCTAGCAGTTCGCATGCTTCTGAAGCCGAGTCGGCCACAACCCTGTCATCACAGCCCAAGCCCGTGGACTCCGATGACATCGACTTCATCTGCTCCAGCATTTGGTCGCAGATCAAGACCTCCACCGGCAGGTCGTATTCTGCTTTCCAATACACTGGTCCTCAGAACGCAGAAGCTGCTCTGTTCTTGTTCGGCTCCGACCCTGGCCTCTTCAGTCGAGAATTTGATGCCGCCTCCACCTCGGACTTCTTTTCGCATGTCGGGCTCATCACACCCACTCTCTACCGACCTTGGCTGTCAGAGCGTCTGGTTGAGGCTCTCCCCAAGAGTGTGAAGAAGATTGCAGTCTTGGAGCAGATCAAGCGGAAGACGACGAGATGGGGTCCGATTCTGCTTGACCTTCTTACTGCGTTGAAGGGCTCAGAGCTCGAGAAGGTACCGGCTATTGTTGGATACCAGCTCGGATACATCGAGTACACCACCGTCACGCAGGCCCTGAGCGGCATTTTCCAGAACCTCTTGTCGAACCACCCGATTCAAAACCTTGAGATTGGCGCCCACGATGCGCCTACCCTCAGCCTTGCTGGCGTTCAGAAAGAGCTTGAATTGTCCCAGCCGGCATTGGAGAATGCCTACATGAAGATCTTGGATCAGGTGTTTGGGCAGCGGTTATACATTGCGAACGCACTCAAAGCGAATAATGCTGGTGTTACAAGCACTTTGAAGTCGAGCCCGGAGTATGGCTTCGGATCCCTGGTAGCGCGTGCAGAGCACAGAAGACGATTCGTGGGCGAGGCGCAAACAGCTGCGAAGACCCGAGATTTTACCACGGACATCCCGCAGAAGTGGCTATCACAGTGGGCTCTGGTGGCAGACAAGGCGGACGAGGTCAACAACATCGCACCTGAGGTCATTGCGAGATTATCGACTGATGGCTCTCCTGCTGCTTCAACGCTCCTCCAGTCCAAGGGTCTCTTCTACAAGGAGAGCCAATGGCTTATTGGCAGCGATGCTTGGTCCTACGATCTCGGCAACAGCGGTGTGCATCATGTCATCGCTTCCGGCAAGAACGTGAACATGCTCATTGTCGACTCTACACCGTACTCCGAGCGCGCCGCGCAGGACGCAGCACGGAGGAAGAAGGACATTGGCCTTTACGCTATGAACTATGGCAATACTTACGTGGCGTCTGTGGCTGTCTACAGCTCGTACACGCAGGTCCTGCAAGCTATGATGGAAGCGGAAGCATACGATGGTCCTTCGGTCGTCATTGCGTACCTTCCCTATAACAAGGAGACTGACAGCCCACTCGTTACGCTCCAGGAGACGAAGAAGGCCGTGGATCTTGGATACTGGCCACTGTACAGGTGGGATCCTAAAGCTGAAGAGAAGGGCGAGGAGTGCTTCAAGCTTGACTCTGAGAGGATCAAGCAGGAGCTGCAAGAGTTCTTGAAGCGAGACAACCACATGTCGCAGTTGATGAGACGGCACCCGCAATACCACGCCAACCTGTCTGAAAGCTACGGCAGCGAGGTCCGCAAGGTGCAAAAGCGCAACGCCAAGGACGCATACGAAGCTCTGCTGGAAGGTCTCCAGGGCGCGCCTATGACGATCCTGTTCGCAAGTGACAACGGCAACGCCGAGAACCTGTCTAAGCGACTTGGGAACCGTGGTAAGGCTCGAGGACTGAAGACCATGGTCATGGCTATGGACGACTACCCGCTCGAAGACCTTGGAAATGAGGAGAACGTCGTGTGCATTACTTCAACAGCTGGCCAAGGAGAGTTCCCGCAGAACGGCAGGAATTTCTGGGAAGGCGTCAAGAACTCGACGGATCTCGATCTGGCTAATGTGCACTTCACTGTGTTCGCGCTTGGTGATAGCCACTACTGGCCTCGGAAGGAGGATAAGCACTACTACAACAAGCCTGGAAAGGATCTCTTCTCGCGTCTGGCTGCCTTGGGCGGCAAGGAGATCGTTGAGATTGGTCTTGGTGACGACCAGGAGCCTGATGGGTACCAGACTGGTTACGGAGAGTGGGAGCCCAAGCTTTGGGATGCGATGGGTGTTGGAAATGTCGAAGGCCTCCCTGACGAGCCACCGCCAATCACCAACGAGGACATCAAGATCGAGAGCAACTTCCTACGAGGCACGATCGTAGAGGGCCTGAACGACCCCACGACCGGTGCCATCAGCGCCGCTGACCAGCAGCTCACGAAGTTCCACGGCACATACATGCAGGACGATCGTGACCTTCGTGACGAGAGGAAGGCACAGGGTCTGGAGCCAGCGTACAGCTTCATGATCCGATGCCGACTGCCTGCCGGTGTCGCGACACCAGACCAATGGATGCAGATGGACGAGATCTCGACGAACCTGGGCAACGAGACCATCAAGCTCACCACACGGCAGACCTTCCAGTTCCATGGTGTGGTCAAGGGCAAGCTTAAGCCGGCCATGCAAGCTATCAACCGTGCGCTGATGACCACTATTGCTGCCTGCGGCGATGTCAACCGGAATGTGATGTGCTCAGCACTGCCAGAAATGTCCGCTCTTCACGCCGAGGCACATGCCGCAGCGAAGAAGATCAGCGATCACTTGCTTCCGAGCACTACTGCATACCACGAGATCTGGCTTCAAGACGAGAACGACAAGAAGGTACAGGTTGCCGGTGACGCTGTGCAGGATTTTGAGCCCCTATACGGACCGACATACTTGCCCAGAAAGTTCAAGATCACCATTGCTGTACCGCCGCACAACGACACCGACGTGTATGCTCACGACATTGGCTTGATCGCCATTAAGAACGACGACGGTACGCTCAAGGGCTTCAACGTCCTCGCTGGTGGTGGTATGGGTGCCACGCACAACATGAAGAAGACCTACCCACAGGTCGGCCGCATGTTTGGCTACGTTGACAAGGAGGAAGTGCACCTAGTCTGCGAGAAGATCATGCTCGTGCAGAAGGACAACGGCGATCGTAAGAACCGCAAGCACGCTCGTCTGAAGTACACGATCGACGACATGGGCGTAGACGTGTTCAAGGGCAAGGTGGAAGAGCTTTGGGGCCGCAAATTCGGGGACGAGAAACCCTTCCACTTCGACAGCAACATCGATACCTTCGGCTGGCTGCGCGACGAGAAGGGCATGAACCACTTCACCATGTTCATCGAGAACGGCCGCGTGGAAGACACCGCCGAGTTCCCGATGAAGACTGGTCTCCGCGAGATCGCTAAAGTGCACAAGGGCGAGTTCCGCTTAACGGGAAACCAACATCTCATCCTCTCCAACGTCGCCGACGGCGACCTCGACACGATGAAGGATCTGCTGAAGAAGCACAAGCTGGACAACACCAACTTCTCCGGCATGCGTCTGTCGTCCTCCGCTTGCGTGGCGTTCCCCACTTGTGGTTTGGCTATGGCGGAATCAGAACGCTATCTCCCCGAACTCATCTCCAAACTCGAAGGCGTGCTCGAAGAGAACGGCATGCGTCAAGACAGCATCGTCATGCGCATGACCGGATGTCCGAACGGTTGCGCCCGTCCCTGGCTTGCCGAAGTCGCATTTGTCGGCAAGGCTTACGGAGCCTACAACATGTACCTCGGCGGCGGGTATCACGGCAATAGGCTGAATAAGCTGTACAGGAGCAGCATCAAGGAGGAGGAGATTCTGGGGATCATGAAGCCGCTTTTGAAGCGGTATGCGCTGGAGAGGGAGGAGGGGGAGAAGTTGGGCGATTTTGTGGTGAGGATTGGGATGATTAAGGCGACGAGGGATGGGAGGGATTTCCATGAGGATGTAAGTGCTGATTTTCCAGAGCGTATTGGTACGGGTTGTTGCTGACCTTGTTTGCAGACGGCTGAGGTCGAGAGTGATGATGAGGCTTGAGGTGATGCTGGGTGGGTCTGGTCTTTTAAGATGCATGGCGGTGGCGTTTGGGAGCTAAATGTCAAAGTGGGCGGGTGACTACTGGTGGATGGTGGAAATCTGTCGATGGCGTTCTATGGGCGCGTATCGCAAAAGCTACAATACATTTGAAGTTCTTGTTAATGCGCCATTACCAAACGATCTCCGAGCGCTTGCTCTGTCACGTGCCTGGTGAATCTTGCTTCGTTGAACCAGCATTATTGTAACAGACACTGCTTATACGCCTATGCACGTATTGTGATGTGTGAGGACACTGTTAGCGACAGTAGGAGGTGCATGTAGTTGTGGTAAGAGGAGCTCATATTTGGAGGGCCGCACGTCCCTTTTAAGCGTCCTCACCACTAAAGCGCCGGCTCAATTGCAGTCTTCTCTTTTGCAACAACAACTCCCAACTTTACAAAGCAGCATCAAAATCGCGGTCCAGGGCATGGCGTCGTCTCCACAGGGAAAGAGGAACATCGTCTTCGTGCACCCGGACCTTGGAATTGGCGGCGCTGAGCGACTGGTCATCGATGCCGCTGTTGGTCTGCAATCGAAGGGCCACAAGGTCACCATCCTGACCTCGCACTGCGATCCCACGCATTGCTTTGAAGAGGCACGAGATGGTAAGAGCTCTGCTGTGATCTGAGATGCCTATTTGAAGCTAAGACATCAAAAGCTAAGCAACACCACCAGGAACACTCGACGTACGAGTTCGTGGCAACAAGATCTTCCCTCCTTCACTGGCTGGTCGCTTCAGCATCCTCATGGCTATCCTACGACAGATCGCCCTAGTCCTCAGTACTGCTCTTTTCAGCTCCGAGCTCAAAACGCTGGATCCGGATGTCTTCTTCGTGGACCAGCTGAGCGCTTGTGCGCCACTGTTCAGGTTCTGTTTCCCCAAAGCTAAAGTGCTGTTCTACGGCCATTTTCCAGACCGACTGCTGGCACAAGAGGGAAGTGGTTTTATGAAGCATGTCAAAGCTCTTTATCGACCGCCTTTCGATGCCATCGAGAGTTGGAGTACGGGATGTGCTGATGCCATCGTTGTCAATAGCAAGTTCACGAGGGCGGTCTTTCGGCATACGTTCTCGGGTATGAAGACGCGGGATCTGAAGGTTGTGTATCCTTGTGTGGATACAGATACTAAGGAACCTGCTGAACAGACAGCCGAACTATGGCCCGGCAAGGCTGTTCTGCTGAGCATCAACCGCTTTGAGCGCAAGAAGAATCTCGATCTAGCACTTCGGGCTTATGCCGGACTATCATCTGAAGAGAGGTCGAAGTCCAAGCTTGTGATTGCCGGAGGCTTCGACTCTCGAGTGCAGGAGAACTCTCAAACTTTGGATCAACTGGAAAGGCTTGCAGGCGAGCTGAAGCTCAAGCATGCTACCTTTCGGGGCAGTGATAGCAGCATTGAGTCAGACGAGAGTGAAGTCTTGTTCCTACTTTCAGTACCTGACCAGCTCAAACGGCGGTTACTACACAAAGCCAGCATCTTGATCTACACGCCTCAAAACGAGCACTTTGGCATCGTACCCATCGAAGCGATGCTGCTAGGTGTGCCTGTACTCGCTACCAACAGTGGCGGCCCTCTGGAAACGATTTACGACGGTCGCACAGGCTGGCTGCGAAGTCCCGAAAAGATCGATCAGTGGACAGATGTCATGCGCAAGCCTCTCATACCTTCGAGCGCCGACAGTCTCAAGACGATGGGAGAGAAGGGTTGCGAACGGGTGCTCGCGGAGTTCAGCCATACCAAGATGACCGATTCGCTGGACGACGAGATTCAGAGGCTGTGCCGGAGTACTGCGAGAAGACCCAAAATCACACCGGATTGGCTGTATGCGCTGATGTTCTGTACGGTCGTTGCTGTGGTCGGTGGCATCGGCATGGCGTACTTTATGTCGTACGTCGCGGTGCCGAAGGCTCGTGAACACGATGCGTGGTTGGAGAGCAGAGTGAATGCATTGGCGACAGCAACAACAAGCAACGGTCGCAATGAGCTGTGACAGCGTGGAGCCATGAAACATAGCCTCGCTATCGATATGGCTGTGGGGGGACACAGCCCAAAACATGCGCGATATGTAGTACATGCCCCACACATGCTGGCAAATAACGCAGCCACAGCTTGCGCAGCTTCATCATCAATTGTTTTGCCAAACCGCCTTGCGACACTGAAATGCATGCGATGTCCCCATTCGTCGGCGAGCCGTGCCACCACCATTGTGTGAGGAATGCAAGGGCTGGGCCTCCACAAAGCCCGGCAACATCACACCTTCCCATTCAAGGTAGGATACGTCGTTTACTTCTCACACCTTCATCTATTTATCGATCTGTCATGCTGTCATTGGATTTGTGGCAGGGCATGATAACGTTCGTTTATAAACACTTGCCAAGTGAATCTTGTGTCTGCCTGTTCTGCTTCGGGCTCGAGGCAAGACTACTATCCTGTTCACTTTTCGTAGGACACAGTACTCACAACGCTCTGCAGTGGCCCCATCACCCCTCGAACTGACCAAGAGAGGCTTATTCTAACCTTTAACGGCGGAGCTTGTCAAGAATAGTGTTCTGGCTAAGCTTTCTGGCGATTTTGGGACTTCTGGGCGTCGAAGCTACGCCAACTCCACGATCATCCCGGCAGCTGAAGACCTCGGACAAAATATTGTCTCTGAAGCGTAGTAATGGCAAGGCAGGCAGTTCGAAAGGTAAGCCCGCCGCCGAGAAGTTTGCCTCAGTTCATACTGATCTGTATCCCAGCGTTGCTCAAGGAACTCGCAGTCAGTGAGACGACTCCCCTGATATCTGTTGAGAACGGTGGCGGATATGCCGTCGCCGTCGATCTTGGAAGCCATACTTTCGACTTGATCTTCGACACCGGAAGTTGAGACCTCTGGGTAGCATCGAAAGGCGTCCAGTGCGTCAACCTGAATGGCCGGCATGTGGCTACGTCAAAATGTGCTTTCGGGCGTCTTTGGTCTGGTAACTTCGAAGAGGGCAAGGTGCGCGGCGAGAACTTCAATATCAGCTATGGTGATGGCGAGTTCCTGACTGGCACGCTGGGCTACGAGGACGTCTTGGTCGCTGGCATTACCGTCAAGCATCAGGAGATTGCTTCCGTGACTGAAGGGTACTGGAACGGCGACGGCGTGACTAGTGGGATCATCGGCTTCGCATACTCTGCTCTCACGGCGGCGTATAGCGGAACGGATCCCAGTCAGGACAACCCAAAGACGAACAATGTCCACTATGAGAACTGGATCGACAACGCCATCGATGAGGGCAAGATCGATTCGTTGTTCAGCGTTGCGATTGAGCGTGGAGCAAATGGTGGAGGCGGTCAGATTGCTTTAGGAGGGCTGCCGACGATCGATTTCAACCACAGCTTCGCCTCGACCCCGTTGGAGATCCACAGCTTTACGCCTCGACATCCGCTGGAGAAGACGAACTTCACTTACTACACCATCCAACCGGATGGATGGGTAGTCGATGGGGAGTCTGTCTCGACCAACTTCCGAACGATCGTGGGTACGTTGAAAAAGAGAACGCATGCTGTACCTGAAGGTGAGCTTTACTGACGGTCTGCATAGACACCTGAACCACCCTCGCCTACCTCCCAGCCCGCTACGCCACAGCGATCAACTACACCTTCGACCCTCCAGCAGAGTGCGTCCCGAGTTCCGGAGTATTTGAAACCGCCTGCAACGCAAAGTTGCCTGACCTCGCCGTCACCATCGGCGGCAAGAACTTCAAGATCAGCGCTGCTGAACTGCTCCTTAAGGGTGAGCAAGGGAGGGACCCAAGCACTGGGCTCTGCGTAAGTCGTTCCCTGCCTGAAGCTGTGCTCTGCTGACAAAATCCACCAGGTTACTGGGATCCAGGCTGCGCCCGGTCCGCCAGCGATCTTGGGAGATACGTTTCCTAAGAATGTTGTTGCCGTGTTTGATGTTGGCAAGTCGGAAATGCGGTTTGCGCCGCATGTCAACTACTAAATCGACGCACTGATGTGCAGCTGATGGTACTGACGGTACTGACAGCATGTATCTAGTTAGCTCGCTTCGTAGCCACTGCCGCTGTCGCTCGTTCCTGGTAGAGATGAAGAGATTTGAAGATTAAATACTCTACATCATCGATAGTACTCGTGGATGTGATGTTTCGACTTCCACCTCATGAAGTAGCATGCGAACTGCAAGGACGTCAGTAAACAAACCACGGACATAGCGACAACTCAAACTTACTGGGAAGACAGCTGAGTTCACAATGGCCTATTGCGACAAGTCAGCCTTAATTCGACGTCATCCTCATGAGAGCCACTCACCCAAGCAATCAGAATCCCAAAATCCTTCCCCAATGTCGGATGCAGATCAAACAGTATCATCCTACTCGCCTCCACGATTGAATGCAACGGCCATGCATATCCCCAATGGTAGAACCCCGGCTCGATCTCAATATCATAAAACGCCGTGGTGACATTGCTGATAACCCAGAAGATCAACCACAGCGCGCTCCAAGGCTGTCCAACAACCATTGCCACATTCTCGCAGGCGAGTCCAAGAGCCATCATGCCAACCCAGTTTAGAAGCCAGAACATCGGGAATGTGCCGTAGCCGAACGCCGTCGGGTTGCCGTAGGATTCGATGGTCGGGAGGGTTTCGGATTGGATGGGGTTGCCGCCGTGAAAATTGATGTTGAAGGCCAGGGAGACTAGGGAGTAGGCGAGGGAGAGGATGAAGTAGGCGAGCATTGTGGAACACCAGCGCCAGAGCGTTAATTGCCAGAAGTGGAGCGGAGGGTGGCCTTCGGGTTTGAGGTACTAGCAGATGGTCAGTGAGTGCTTCGATGAGGATGAGGGTCAACAATGTACCTTGAAGTGGATGGGGAGGTAGAATGCGAACGAGAAGAAGCTGATGATGATCAGGTAGATCAGGCCAACCGAGATCGCAGGGATAGCTGTGTATGGGTAGAAGGGCCGGAGATTATACTCGCTGAATCCAACGGCAGGACTGACCGCCTGTGGCACTTGCTGCAGGTTGCTGGCCAGAGTGTCGTTCGAAGTAGCGTTCTGCAAAACCTGCTGGGCCCATTGGGTACCGACGCTCGCAGTGACTTGGGTAAGGAACGGCCGTATGAGAGGCGAGATGAAGTCGTACCAATTGGTGTCGTCTCGAGAATCCGTGTAGACTAGCTGCATAGCGCCATTCGGGTCATAGGAGGTGTTCGCATTCTGCACCGCGGAGACCAGCAGAGCGGTTGCATTGGGATTGACGATGAGCGCGGCCCAGGCGTCGAAGTCGTAGACGGCCTGCCGAACTTGGATCGGATCGTTGTTGAATTCTGCCGGTTGGCGAATCTGGTAACCGAGTGATACGCGGTTCTGGCGAGCTGCTGCCGTCATTTGCGTGACGATGGGTCCAACGACCGGATCGATGTTGTCGTAGGGAGCTACTCGCCCGTCGAAGTCCACCACATAGACTTTCAGAGCGGCCGTGTTCTGATCGATGGAGGATAGGGCTCCCCAGAACAGCGACAGGACGGCAATGATGAACACGAACAAGACTGACGTCGTGACCGACCATTTGAAGAACGCTTCTGTACGCACACCGGCCAGCCTTGGATCCCAAAAGCCAACACTGAGATACGTAAGTCATGATTTCATGATCGCTGGATAGGTAGTTGAACGTACGGTTGCGGCCCCTGGCTCTGCTGCTCCTGATCGTCATTCTGTCCGGCACCATCGCCCTCATTCTTCGGTGAAGAATTGTCGTCGCTAGAGTCTCTCGTCTTTGTCTCCTGGCTCAGTTTACGTTCGTCAGCATCAAAGCCCAGATCGATGGCAGCTGGTCGAGAGGTCTGGATCCAGACTCCCTAAGTGGTCAACAGTCATGCCATGAGGCATGTTGACTGATTGACTCTAGAACGTTTGGGTGGATAGAGCAAGCACCGAAGTACAGAAAACCGCCACCTGAAGACAAGCAACAGACAAGCAATGTGCTAGGTGAAGAATGTCCATGAACTCACCTGCTGCGATTGATGTTGCCGCCCCCACAGCACCTCCCAAAACCATTGCGACCATTTCATGACAATAATCAATAGCCGGTCAAGTCTCCCAGGATCGTCTGCCTATTTGTATGTGGATGTTGATGAGACGGAAGGCGGATGGATTCTGGTTGAAGTCTCGACAAAGTCGTGACGCAACTGAGCGAAGGCGTCGAACGGACCACAACCTTTTCTGTCTTCTGATCCACTTCCGCGGAAATTTATGCCGCGACATCAACCTCTTTCAGAAGTCTGTCTAAGAGAGACGATGAATTAGATGTTCAGAGAAACCCCAAAGCCTTGTGCGCTGTCGGGCAACGGGTACTCGACTGTCAAACGGTGGAAGAGGTATTTGTCGGGCGAGCTATATACTTGAGCTTGTCTTCAACTCTATCTTCTATAACCTCCTAAAATCCCCATCTTTATATTCAACTCTATTTCCTTGTCGATCAAACCGTTTCGGTGTCCTGAAAAACTTCTCCGGCTCCTCCCTTGCCCCTTCGCGTTTCTTCCAAAACTCATACTCCATCCATCCATCATCCGGCATCTGTTCCTCCGTCGCCGCAATGTACTCCCCCAACGCCGGATTCAGCGGTACCACTCCCGTCTCCATAACATACTGATCCCACAGCTTCAGCAGCTCCTTCATGACATCGGGATGCTGCTCAGATAAATCGTATATCTCTCCAGGATCTTCCTCCAAATCGAACAATTCCCATTTGTCGTTCCCAGCTCTTGAAGGACCGTACTTGCGCGCTGGGAGGTAAACGGCTTTCCAGTTTCCCTTCCGGACGGCCGCACGGCCGCTCATCTCCCAACCTTCGACTGCGTCGGCTGTATGAATGGAGGCGGATTGGCCGGTAAGCCAGGGTACCATGCTTCGTCCTCTCATGCCCACGATTTCGCGGCCTTTGTAGCTTGGTGCTGGGTGTTGGGCGCCGGCCATGTCGAGGAGGGTGGGCATGATGTCCATGATTGTTGAGAATTTGTGAGTGATACCGTTTTTTGGTACGGGACATTCGTAGCCAGCTGGGAATTTTGCTACGCATGGAACTCGGATTCCACCTTCCGTGGTATAGGACTTGTACATCCTCGAAGGCGCCGTCGAAGCTTGCGCCCAGCGCGGACCGTACCAGCAGAAGGAGTCATGGTTACCAAGATTGTCCAGCGAGTTGTTGTAGTACCTCTGCAGATGAGCCATGGGACCTCCGTGAAATGCTGGGTTGGCTTCATGGGCTCCTCCTTCGGCGCCGTTGTCTGACATGAACATGATAAGAGTGTTGTCGAGCTCACCAACTTCCTCGAGGTAGTCGATAATTTTTCCTACGTTGTGGTCTATGCACTCGACCATCCCGGCATAGACCTCCATCGCCCGGCTTGACTTCGCTTTGTGCTCTGGCGACAACTCGGCCCAGGCAGGTACTTCATCTGCCACTACTGGGTGCGGTTCAACGTCTTGTCCGACGAGACCGAGTTCTTTCAATTTTGCGAGCCGGCGTAGTCGGAGAGCGTCCGGCCCGTCGTCGTACATCCCACGATACCGCTTGACATATTCTTGCGGCACTTGCAATGGCCAGTGTGGCGCAGTGAATGGATAGTAGGCGAAGAATGGGCGGTCTTGATCATCCGAAGTCGTCTTGCCTGCCTGCCAGTCTTTGAGATACTGCAAAAGGATATCGCCGTAGCTGTTTGAAGAGTACCAGTCTTCTGGAAGTTTGTGGACATACTCGCCATCTTCCATGTGAAGCGGGTCATTCGAGCTGAACATCTTCGGAGCATCGGGAGCATCGTCTTCAAGCTGTGGCTCCCAGCCGAAGTGATTTGAGGCTCCGGTCAGTAAAGCGAAAGACTTTTCGAAGCCACGAGCACATGGCGACTTGTCTTTTCGCAGGCCGAGATGCCATTTGCCAGACATCAAAGTAAGATATCCAGCATCGTGGAGAACTTCCGGAAGTGTCACGACTCTCTCATTCAGGTAGCCTTCGTATCCAAGCTTCCCTCTGGCTGGTGCTTGGGACTCCTTGACGCCTTTTGGATTGGCTCCCGTGGGGGTTGCAAGCCATTCGACGAGACATCCTAGGCCTGCTATGTGATTGTCGGTACCGGTCATGATCTGGTGGCTGTTAGCGAGGACGCTGTTCTATAACCAAGGTCCAGGGCAAGCCTACCATAGATCGAGAAGGTGAACATAATGCAGTTGCGTGGAAGTCTGTGAATCGACATCCATCTCTTGCGAGCTTGTCGATGTTGGGCGTCTTGATCTCTCCTCCGTAGCATCCAACATCGCTGAAGCCGAGATCATCGGCGAGTATGATGAGGAAGTTGGGTCTTTTTTTGGCCATGTTGACTGTCCCCAGGTCTGGGAGTTATGCTAGCCTCAATACTAACGGGTATGTTCACTGATGGCTAATATCTCACGCTGTCTCCTCAAGCTCCAACGATGGTAGCGACGTCGGCAACTGATGAGAACAACCGGTCCATCAAAGGCTCAAAAATGACAGCCGCACTCTTGTAGCTCTTTTATGCATCTATTTTGATGCAATCTCTATACAAACGGTCTAGGATGGGAGGGCGTGATCAAGTATTGCTCGATTGACAGACCTATCATACAGAAGGAAAGGCTGCTCTGTGGGGAAGGTGTGTGTCAAGGGGGGAGGCCGACCTTGGGATACTAAGATTCTGCTCCGGAAATTGCTGTTCAGCATACCATCTGGTTGTTTTCTCAGCCCCGTCACCCGTGCCCGGACGTGGGGATGCCAGATAACAATCAGCATTAATGTCCATAGCGCTCCCCAACTCCGAAGCTTCACCTTGCCCAGAAGCGGCAGCAGCTCTTGTAGCACCATCGATCACGCCAACCACCAGCCCTTGCTCGCCATCAACCAAGCTTTCGACACATAAACGCTTACATTCGTGCCGACCAAGATGGCAACTCGATCTCACCGTTGTCTGACCAGGGTCACACTGACATCTGTCAAACCTCCTTCAACCCTCCCAGCACCGTCAAGATGCCGTTGATTGAGAAAGGCACGTTCAATCCAAGGTACTTCTCGAAGTACTTCACCAAACACCTAGCTCTCGCCTGCGGCGTTGTGGCCGTAAGCACGTTCAACTATGCCTTCGACCAGCAAGGCTTCAATTCGACGCAGGCGATGACGCCGTTTGACAAGCAATTTGGTGCATGGGACGAGGAGTCCGAGACTTATGTGTTGCCGACGTATTATCTGAGTCTGCTAAACAGTCTTGTCTATGTCGGCTTCGCGGCAGGTATGATGCTCTCCTTGACACACGTTGTTCGGTTCTGACTATGAGATAATGTAGGCGCCTGGATCGGCAGCATCATCAGCTCCCACTACGGTCGCCGCATGACATTCTTCTGCATGTCTCTCTGGACTCTTGTCACGGCGACAATCCTAGTCACCAGCGGCGTCTCCCTCAACAAACGGCAACTCCTCGTCGCCCGCGTGCTCAACTACATCTACATCGGCATGGAGCTCTCGAATGTCTCAGTGTACATGTCGGAAGTGGTACCAGCACCGATAAGAGGTTTGATGGTTGGGTCGTACCAGTTGTCGCTCGGGATCGGAGGGCTAATCATCAATGGGATCTGTCGTGGAACGTCGACGATTCCGAATAACAATTCGTGGATGATTGCCTACTGGTTGTATTATGTTATTCCGCCGTTTGTGGCGAGTGCGATTTGGTTCATTCCGGAGGTATGCCTTTCGACTTCTGATGGAGACGGAGTACTGACCTCGTGCGTAGTCTTCCCGATGGCTGCTCATGCACGATCGTCACGAAGAAGCTCTCCGCAACCTAACTCTACTCCGTGGTGAAGGTCACGAAATAGCAGCAGAAGCAGAGCTGGAATTGATACGTGCATCGCTCCTGGAAGAATCCGACCAAGGCTCTTGGGCAGACATCTTCAAAGGCCACAACTGCCGCAGAACCGGTGTCGTCGTCGGCGTCGCATTTTTCTTCCAAGCCACAGGACAGGTCTTTAGCGGCCATTATGGTGCAGTCTTCGTTAAATCCCTGGGCACTGTCAACCCATGGGAGATCACCGTCTCGCAAAGCGCCATCAACACTGTGACCTCCCTCATCGGCATCTTGCTGCTCGATCTGGTTGTTCGGCTCGCTCTGGTGCGGTTGTTCATCGATGAACATGGGCGGGTTGGGTGTGCCGCAACCTACCTCGTACTCGGTCAGCCAGGGTATCGTGGCGATGATGCTGTGTTTCAAATTTATGTATGTCGCGACGCTCGGGCCGCTGTACTATACCATTCAGGCCGAGACGCCGGCGTCACGATTGCGGGATAACACAGTGAGGCTGGGAGCCACTGTTAACATCGTGACCATGTAAGTCTTCACCGAGACCATGCATTGTAGTCAAGCGCTGGTTATTACTAGCTTCGTCGTGTCCTTCACGCTTCCTTACCTCCTCGACAAGCCAGGCGCCAACCCACAAAGCAAAGTCGGCTTCATCTACGGCGGTGTCTGCTTCGTGGCACTCATCTGGGGATACTTCTACCTGCCAGAGCTCTAGGGCCGTAGCCTGGAAGAGCTGGAGGAGATGTTCGCCGCTGAGCTGCCGCTCCGCAAATTTCGCCATTACCAGTCGAGTGAGAACGGCGTAGGTTCTGCTGTCAGCAAGTTGGAGCGGCGAGAAGAGGATCCTGCTCTTACCAAGCTGCATGTCAGGCCTGGGGATATTCAACGGACGAGGGACGAAGAGCCTTGAACACTCTTGTTAAAATTCGTTAGTCAAGATGTCGAAACGAGAAGCGCAAGGACCACCGCCAACTTTTTCATTGCCCAAAGATCTACTCGCACAGCGGAGCTCGATGTCTGGTCTGTTTTTCTTTAGCTGTAATGACAGATTGGTTTCATCAAATGGCCTTCAGTCGGCCTTCCCGTCTTGCATCCTCTCCTTGCCTGACACCTTTCCAACCTTTTGCCTCGCCGACTCTCCCAGTCTCCTACTCCAAACATCTCACTCGGTAGTTGGAACCGCTCTTTCGGGAATCTTCCGGAATGTACCAATCGGCGTTGGTCCTTGAGGGAGTGTAAAAGCCGCTGTATCTATAGGAGGAAGGCAGATTCAGTAGACTATTCGTGCTTGAAGGGACGATGGTACTCACATTGTGTATAATGGATACCAGTATACTTCTCCATATTGGCCGGATTCGCAGTCGACGTTGACGTCAACACCGTACGAGTTGGTAGTTGTGAACTCCTGGCTTACTTCGAGGCTGACTGAGACGGAGAAGATGTCGAAAAAGCCGGCTTCTGCTGAAGCGGAGGTGGTGATGCCAGTCGTATGCGAATCTTCATGGGTCACCGTATACTTACTGCCCGCCGGCAGACGACCGGTGACTGCAATTCCACCACGTTCAGCGCTGTCCTTTTTGACCACGAGAGTGAAGTCATCATCCTATCAACGCATTAGGACTTGCACCATCGTACCGCGAAGAGAGGCCAACTCACCCCGTCATCCTGGCGTTTTGGGAAAGACCGCGCGTGGTCGCGCTCATCAGGGATCGTGGCATTAGTCGATGTCTTCTTCGATATCTCGTAGTCCGGATTGTTGCTGATTTCTGCGGAAATTGGAAGGTCAAAATTAGCATGTCTACAGGCATCGCAAGGCAAGAGGAGACGCTTTTGAGGGGCAGAAAATTTGGCAAAGGCTTCGGGGACAGTGAAAGCCTTCTCCCGAGCATACGTACGCATGTACCAGTCGTCTACGATGCGCCAATCACCTCCGGCTGTATCGGCACAGTCAACACGAATGGTGTTGTAGGCATTCCTGGCATCGGCGCCGAGCATCAAAGTAGAGTCGCTGTCAGGACACACTGAGACCCGACAGTTGAGGTTATCCGGGTCGGCTCCGTTGTCAACGGGGATAATGCTGCAAAGAGGATAGAGATTAGTGATGTATGTGGTCGAGTGACCTTGAAGCCAGTTGAACATCGTCTCGCCTGTACCACTGTTAGTCGAGAAATTCTTTGCAGCGCGTAGCCCAGGAAACGTACAAGCGTCCCAGTCGGGAGCGGTGTCGCCATCGCAGTGCACCGGCTCTATCGCAGAGCCAAGGGATGCCATGAGGCCGGCAGCGATGATAGAGGAGCGGTATAGCATGTTCGCTCCTTTCGAAAGACGGGCCTGAGTCTGAAGTAATCTGTGAAGGGGGCTAAGCTGAGTTTGGGTGAATGCTGTGCTGGAGGATGTACAGAAAGGTCGGCAACGAGCGTCTTATATACACTCAAATTGTCACAGCGCCTGTTTCTGTCCTCTCTGATGTTGCACGCTTCGGTTACTCGCACGCTGATGGTCTGCGACATGCTCATTCGCTACTGCCTCCGACAACATCACCGTCCACTGCAACATCGGCAGAGGCTCAATCCTCCAGCTCGTCTTGCTCGTCGCAGAATGGGTCTTCCTGGTCGACAGCTGGGTCGATCGCGCAAGGATATGTCAACCTCCATGGCGTCTGTCGCAGCATCACCTCACCATGGGGAGAATCCTTCAGTATTTTGGGGTCGGGCACACCGTTTCCACTCGTAGCCTAGGGCCACAGAACCCCATGAGAGTATGTCATAGTCCATAGACCTCCGCGTAGCGTCTCTCGGCCTCACTTGTTCGCACGTACTTCCCTGTCCTGTTCAAGGATTGAATGTATCTCGCTCGAGGCAGAATTCGCAATGCAACCTTGGCAACCCAAACCCGACAATCCTCGCCGATCAGTCATGGAGTGCTACCCACTCACACTGCTCGATGTTGAGCCGCCTAGATCCGGGGCTGAGACTAACATTGACCGGGTTGCTGTTGTCCATGCAAGTATACGGAGAGCGATTGATCTGCGAACGACAGAGCAAATACAACACCGTCCAGGGGAAGAAGCCAGTGCGAATTGTCGAGCAAAGCAGTTAACAACCTCATGCACTGGGCAGGTCCTCACACTCACAGCAACATTGCGAAAGATTGGCCTTGCCCAATCTATACTCGAAGCATTGTCAGGTTGTCTCGGCTCGTCTGAGCGGGAGACAGTGGAGTACATGGATAGTCAGTACAGAGAGCACCGCGAGATCGCGTTGCCGCGTAGCTGTTGATGCGACTCCCGTCGTATCTGGTGTTCGGACTCGCATGTATCGTTCGTTCTCCATTCGAACTCGTCCACGGAATAAACGGGGGCAGCTTCTCGATTAGCGGGCATTCTGATGGAAAGGTGCAACACGCCTGCGCGCTCCACCACCATACAGTCGCTCCCATCTAAGTTGTCTGGGATCCGTGTTGGATTCTTGGGGATGTGGGTCTTTGAGATGGGGTGAAGTCCCAAAGCAAGTTCTTGGCATATGGACCCTTTCGCGGCCCTTCGGATGTATTGGGAGAATCAACTCTCGACATGCGAATGCGAGGGCCTGTAGAAGGACATGGGGGCATCTTGCATATTCCCATGGGGCCATCTGGGAAGTCCAGGGGCTACCGGAGGCTACATTCGCGCGTTTTCGCCTCCACAGCGCCCAGGAGCTAACCTCAGTATTGAAGATGCTGAGCGATTTGTACTCCATATTGGTGCGCGGGATGCGGGTGGAAGAAGCCTTGCAAGACTGGCCAAGACGGCGTGACGCCCCCTAACCCACGCAGGGACCCTTAGGAGAGGACGAAGAGGGCGAAATCGTACTGCTAGGGCTGTGCCGATGCGGAGCCCGGTACCAGGACACCGAGGGGGATGAGCCGTCGTGCGCAATAGTTGTAACAACCAACACAAGGCGAAAACAGATCTGTTGGAGTCGGCAAGTGGAGAACAGCTGGAGGTTTTGCGAAAGCGCGGAACCACTCGGCTCGCTTCAGGGAAGCGCCTCTTGATTCTGTCATTCTTTGACGTCTCAAGACACCGTGACAACTTGAAGCTTGATCAGCTTGTCCCAGGTCCGCCATGACAATGAACTGGCCCCGTCACGATATCACCGAAGCGTGGACCAAGTCTATGCTGCCATAATACTTCATGCACTTCTGATGGAAGGCAACCTGGACGTGCCACTGTACCGTTGGAGCGATGATTCCCCTGACCAAACGGCGTCAAGCTGGGTACTAGACTACGCCAAAGCTGGAGAAATGGCAATTGAGCATGCCCTAGTTTGCTCTGGCCGACGGATACAACCCAAGCGGTAATGCGCGTATTCTCGCGCCAAAGGGCAATAGCGGTCCACGCTGGCATCAGCAGCGGAATACGCAGACGCTCGTAAGGGGAGGCCTGCGCCTCAAGTCCAGACGCCCTCTCCGCACGATGCATCTACGCGGAAGACATTGGTCGGGTTGACACGATCGACGGAACCGACCACAGTGGTGTTGACGAGCCACCCGCTAGCTATAGCACCAATAAATGTTACCCAGTCGGTGGTTCCGTTGGGACCCCGTTTTCAAGGACGATATTCTTCGACCGCGATCTTCACGCTCAACGGTACGGTAGACACCAGCGGTCATCCCTTTCCCGCTGGAGTTCAATTCCTGGGAGAACGAAAGGCTCTGAAGATACGTCTTGTTCCGGACCGTGCGAGGATTTATTGGACTCGCGAGGAACTAAGTTGAAAGTGATGGTGCTGTTTGTCAATTTAAGGCTGCAGCGTCCCGGGCATGCTGAGGTTGAATGCCGGACGGTTCAAGTTCATACGTGCATGGTAGGTCTATGTATGGGAAGATAGTGGCATGTCGAGCTGACATCGATGACAGATATGGGGAAGGTCTTAAAGATGGCCAGGTTCTCAATGAGTCCAGCAATATGGTGTTCAATGTTCACTAAGGCAGAGCACCATGTCGTTCATTTCTTTTTCCCGGTTCCATGATGTTGCTGTGGACAAGATCCCTGTTCTTAGAGTATGCGAAGCAGTTAATGGCAAATTAGAGGAGCGCTTCAACAGTCAAGGAGGCGGCGCTTGTTCATCTTCACTCATATCTTTACCATGGATACATGTAGTCACGTGCGCTGCGTCATCTCAATTCCAACTTCATGCCAAGCCAGAGAGCCTGACCTCCGACATCGAGTAGAGGACACCTTTGTCAACTTATCAATTGAAGAACAATTCCTCTTGATCTCTGAAATATAGCACATCCTGTGTTACATGCGCCCTCTAAGTGAGGTCATCGCATACCCACCACCGCGTCCGTAGGCACAGCCACAAGTCTCAGCTTGCAGAGCGATGCACGTCGAGCCATTGCGGCAATAACAACAAATAATCCCGATTGCTTACAAAAGAGCTTAGGCGCGCCATCTTCCTGCGTGCGGGCTCGATAGTGCTTTCACAAAGAGCCTCATCATGGCTCAATACCACTCTCTTCTTCTGATATGCCTACTGGCTCTGGTACTCCTTCCTGCGCCGGCAGCAGCGTTTGGCGCTGGAAATATCGCATCGATCTCAAATATCGAGGGACATAACTGGAGACATGGAGACATTGAGGATGTTCTTAAGACGGTGGCGTTTCTGCGAGGTAAACCATTACCATCTGTTTGCAACTCGAGCTCATGCTGACGGGTTGATCATAGGCCACAAATGGACCAGCATGATGGTGAAGAGAGCCTACTTCGGCAACTGGCTTCGAGACTACAGCCAGGCAGTGGACGTGGGCACTTTGAAGGGCGTTCAAGCGGACACGATCAGAGTCCTTGTGTGGGTGCTTGCATTCATGAGTTTCGGCTATGCCACCGCTGAGTTTGAGGTCACGGCGGAGCGTTTGGGGGTCTACAGGCCTGAGGAGTAAGTCTACTCCATGAATTGCCGCCATCTGATCCCCGCGTCTAACAATTGCAGGCACATTGATAATCCAAAGGATTACGCAGACAATGCAGATGCCACGCAGTTCGACCGAAGACTCAGAGGCCCGGTCTCACCTGCTGAACTGGCTGTCGACCACAACACCGGCATGAAGAACTACATCGCCAACGAAAGCGGCGGTTGGGCTACAAGTCTAGGCTACATCAAATGGAGCTTTGCACGAAGCATACACTTCGGTCGCCTGTACACCCATGGAGCGCAGAGCGGCAGAGAGGAAGACTTGTGCGAAGCTCTGCGGTGTTTGGGTCAAGGACTGCACTGTGTTGAGGACTTTGGAGCTCACACTAATTACACGGAGCTGGCACTGCGAGAGCTCGGTTACCACAACGTCTTCCCACACGTCGGCAGTCAGGCTATGATGAACTTACATGGTAAGCAGGTCTTCCCCCTTGTTACTGGAACATTTGGCGGCGTCGACTTTCTACATTCTGTGCTCGGCGAGGCAACGGACCATATCACTCAGACCGAAGTCAATCAGGCAGAGGTGGATCAGCTCGATGCAGCCCTCTCACAAGCCCAGGCATCACAGCACTCTGGAAAGCGCAGCGCAGACCCCGCCTCCAACGCCTCTGGCTTCACAGACCTCCTAGCCCAAGTCCCAGGCACCGGCGGACTGATCCAAGAAGCCGTCCAACTCCAAGCCGCCTCCGACGCCCAACAAGCCGAGAACGACCGCGCAGCCGCTGGAGCAAGCTACGACAGCTCCTACGCGCCATACGGTAATCAATACGACATGACCCGCGCCAGCAACCCTGGCCAACAGTCCTTCCAAGCACCCCCAGGGTCCGTCGGCGGGCCGCCCAAACCCGGCATCCCAGGCGTAAACATGAACGTCGACCCTCAAGCCGCCATGGCCAAGATCTACCCTCTCCTTCTCTTCCGCGACAAAGTTGTCCGCACCATCTCCGGCATCGTGTCCAAAATCCCAGGTCTGGAAAAAGCCATCGAGACGATCTCCGAAAAAGTCACGCTATTCATCATGGGCTTGCTGGCGCCATTCATCAAACCCATCATCGCCGCCGCCTCAAACGCGCTGAAGCAGGGGAGTGGCACCGTCGTCGATGCGAGCGCGAAGCAGCAGTACCTCGTCTGGACGGACCCCACCTCCACCGACCCCACCCACTCCATGCTCTCCAAAGACCACTTCTCCAACATCCTCAACGCCCCTGCCGGCCAAGTCGCCGCCGCAACCCTCAAATACGTCGCCCCCCGCGTCATCTATGGCTGGGACCACCCGGAAGTCCCCGTCGAAGAGATCCTCGCAGACGTTGGACGGGTGTTCCACCACCCCGCGCTGCGCGACCAGCATTTGGACCTGCATCGGGAGATGTTCTCCGTCGTCGAAAGATGGGCCCGTGCGCGACCGCACGGCGCGGCGGACTTGAATCAGGTGTTGAGTTCGGAGAGCGTGAAGGCGGGTCGGAACCATACGGTGAAGGATATGCAGAGTAGTATGACCGGACTCGAGTCGAAGCTGCAGGGCATGGGTGGGGGTGGGAGTCATAGTGGGATGATGGGAAACTTCCTCGGCGGTGGAGGGGGTGGGAGGAGGAGGGATATTGATGATTTTGAACCTGCCACCGTCGCAGGTGGGGGGTATGGGGGTGTGCAGCAGGATGCTTACGGGCAGGCTGCGTATGGGAAAGCTGCGCCGCCGCAGCAATCGGCGGGATATGTGCAGGAGGAAGGGGGAGCGTATCCGACGGCTTATCAGCAGGGGTATGAGGCGCCTTTCAACCCCGGACAGCAGCAGCCTTACGGTGGTGGGGAGTATGGACAGCAGCAGCAGTATGGCCAGGGTTACGGAGGGTATGGATCTGGTGCTCCGGGTGGTGGATATGGGACTTATTAGGATGGTGAAGGGTCGGTGAATGTCATGCTGGGATGACTCGGCGTTGTGATGAATGAGTAGACAGCCATGCTTCTGGAAGGTGAACTGACGATAGGGTCATGATGGTCGGTAGCATGATAGATCTTGATGACTGGACTCACACGGAGCATGATATTGAACGTCGTAACCGCCACCCTTTCGTACAAGACATCTCACCCTCCAAACCTGCTCTTGTGGACAACCCCAAACCTCCACCCCCTCTCCCACGCAACGTCCATCACGCTCCCTTCCTTCCCCCTTCTAACGACCGCGCGGTCCCAGTTCCCCACCCAGCACTCCTCCAACCCCTCCAACCGCTCAAACACCTTGCGCCCCACGTATCGAACAGCCCTGCCCTTCTCCTCTTCCAACTGCTGCCGATACTCATCCCCACCCGGCCCGAGGAACACGTTCCCGCATCTCGGCGGCTCGTAACCGACGTGCAGATCCGCGACGTCCGCCAACGCCAGCGTCCGCAGCTCCCGCAATTGCTTCAGCAGTGGGAAGAGACGATCGATTCCATTCTCCCAACGGCCGGAAAAGGTGCCGACGCTCCCGATGTGCGGGACGGACGTGGTGATGTGGCGCAGCAGGAGGGGAGCGGACATGCGATCGTCGACTTCGAGATGGTGCAGGTGTTTCGCGGAGCCGGCGGCGTGGACGAGGTCGAGGTGCCAGTTGCTGCCGCTCGGGGCGCCGGGGAGGGAGGAGTGGCGGGAGTAGGGGTCGGAGGTTATGGTGCGGACGTTGGGGCAGTGGGGGATGAGCCATTGCAGGCCCGGGCCGAGGGTGAGGGTGAGAATGTTGGGGAGGGTGAGGGAGTGGTGGTGGAAGAGGGAGGAGAAGGTGTCTTGTTGGCGTTTGGTTTTGATGATAGCGAGTTCTAGTTTTGAGAGTTGGGGCAGGGCGAGGAGGCGTAGGGATAGCTGTTGCAGTAGGGGCGTTGGAGCGCACGTGTCGGTGCTGCGGTACATCTCTGTTCGACGCGCAGTGAATGTGTGGGCTGCCTGGTTGATGGAAGTAGAATCCTCCATGGTTGAGAGGGCTCGTTGAATCCTTCGCCACGACCTATGCTTGATGTTGATTTTTGCGAACAGCAGGGGTATGGCGAACTCACGCAACTGCCTGCAGGTCATGGAGAGGTTGATCAATGTGCCGTCTAATCTGGGCCTGCTGCGGCAAGTTGGTCTGTGACACCTCCTGCATTCAGGAAATTTCGCCCACTCCCAAACTTCCAGCAGTATCTCGTCCGGAAGCTGTAGCAGCAGAGGTACAGTGGTTCTCCGACTTGCAACGGCATTCTGATAACGGGTCCGGAGCGTTCTTATCCAGCGTACCACACCTAAAGCCAGAAGGTAATCTAGGAGGAGAGGTCGAAACTCTTGCCAGAAAATTTCCATGTCGTGAGTGGTAGGCATCTCGAGCCAGTCGAACGCATTCATGAACTTGGTCTTCCGCACGATCCAGGAGCCGCCACCGCATATCAAGACGGAGAAGGCCAGACACACCAGACCGTCGCGCCACGGCTCAGGCGAGCAGATGTCCTGCCAGATCCTGTCGGCCTCGCTGGTTACATCTATTTGAGGACGTGGCCACATTGCGAGTAGATAATTTTTCGTGTAGGCCTATATCAGGCCTGGCCTTGACCTTTTGATGGTGGAGTGGCGCCTGGGGAGACGGCAGGAGACAAGAGTTGGCTCATACCAGGCATCGAGTTGGGGGCTGAGGGAGGATCAGTAGGGCCTGAGCAGGCAATGAGGCATGATGCATGATGGACACATCTTGACCGAGACGAAATACCAGGGGTTAGTCAGTCCGGCTTGCATCTTTCGATCGTTGTGGGGCCGTTGTTTTGTCTGGAGGCGACAGGAGATTGATGAGATGAAGCGAGAAGATGTGAATGTAGGTCAGGGAGAAGTTGATTAGAATTGATTAACAAACCGATATCGCTCCAGCATTTAGCGAGAAACTCTAATCAAACTGCCCCACCTCTACCACCTACTCTACCTTTCTTTGTCAATCCTCTCACCACTGTCCTCCCCTCTACTCACCACCATAGACCTCCAAAGCACCCCCTACCAGCGACCATGGCACAAGAGTAAGCCGCCCCCATCCCCCCGTCAATGCTTCTCGCAATCTAACACCAGCTGATCTCGCAGCAAAGCACGTCCACAGGCGTCGCTGCCGGCCTCCCACCCATTCGGGCCTGTCTCTTCGACATGGACGGTCTTTTGATTGATAGCGAGGACTTGTACACGATCTGCACGAACGAGGTGTTGCGGGAGTATGGCAAGCCGGATTTGCCGTGGCATATCAAGGCGCAGTTGCAGGGAAGACCGGGGCCAGAGGTACCACTCCCATCCGCAACGAGATGAAAGACTTCGGACTGATGAGATTGGTCCAGGCCGGTCGCATCTTCAACGAATGGGCCCAACTGCCCATCTCGCGCGAGGAGTTCTACACCAAAACCCGCGCCCTGCAAGAAAAACACTTCCCCTCCACCCAACCCCTCCCCGGCGTCCCCGCCCTCCTCTCCCACCTCGCCTCCACCACCAGCCCCAAAATCCACCTCGCGCTCGCAACGAGCAGCATGGCCGCCAACTTCGCGCTCAAAACCTCGCACCTCGAATCCACACTCTTCCAGCACTTCCCGCCCGCGCATCGCGTACTCGGCGACGACCCACGGATCGGCGCAGGAAGAGGCAAACCGGCGCCGGATATCTACCTCGTTGCTTTGGAAACGATAAACGCGCGATTGAGAGAGGAAGGCGGGACGGAGGTGCAGCCGCAGGAATGTCTAGTCTTCGAGGACAGCGTCCCGGGGGTCGAAGCGGGACGCAGGGCGGGGATGCAGGTGGTGTGGTGTCCGCATGAGGGGTTATTGGGCGAGTATACAGGGAGGGAAGGGGAGGTGTTGGCGGGGTTGACGGGGGAGTTGAAGGAGAAGAATGAGGAGATTGGGGTTGTGACGCCCGAAGGTGGGGAGAGGAGGAAGGGTGCGCCGGGGAGTGTGGGGGATGGGTGGGGGAGATTGGTGAGTTCGTTGGAGGGGTTTCCTTATGGGGGTTATGGGATCAGGGTGTGAGTGTTGCGGCGTCAATGATTTTGAGGGGAGGCGAGTGGCTGATGCGTGGTCGTAGCAGGCAAGCGAACCACCTCTAGCTTTGCCGTTCCCCAATATCGGTTAGATCTGTACATATCATACAGCTACACATCCCACCACACCTACTTCTTCCCCCCACCACCCCCTTGATCGAAATTCATACTATACCCCCCCGTCGCCTCATCCTTCACAAACTTGAAATTCTCCGTGCTCAACCCGAAGGGTTTCAAAATACTATTCCCCAACCCCTTCAACTTCCCCATCATCTCCGCCATCTCCCTCTCCCGCGCCTCATCTAGCTTCGGCTTCAACGTCCGCAAAGCCTGCTCCGTCTGTCGCTTATCCGTTGCTGAGAGAGAGGTTTGGAGGGAAGGGTGCAGGATGGTGCTGTAGTCTTCTTCTGCCCCCTGCAGGGAGGCCCAGGTGGCTTCTTCGCGGCGGGCGGTGGCGCGGCGGAGGAGGAGTTTGGTTTGGAGTTTGCGGATGGAGTCCAAGGAATGCCCGGACTCTTTTAGCCGTTCAATGCGTGCCTCGAGTTCGTTGTCGACTTCTGCGATTACTTGGTCCCCTTCCTTCCCCGCTGCATCCTCTACCTCACCCCCATCTGTTCCAGTCCCCTTCGAAGCACGAACAGAAGGTAACCTCTCCAACCGCTCCAAACATCCCAACCCCTTTCCCGCACTCTCGCTCGCTTCCTTCCACTCCCTCAACTTGAGATGGCACGCAGCGACATTACTGCGCAGCACCGCGATCTCGTAGTCTAGGTAATTCGGGCACGAGGAGAGGGCGCGGTCATACGTCTGGATGGCGTTGTCGAAGGAGCCGCTGCCAAACAGCTGGTTCGCGTTGCCTTTTATAGAGTTGGATTCTGCTAGTAAAGATGCCTCCTCCTCGGGTGCGAATTTGTGGTCGGGAGGCTTGCTTGCAGTTTCTGGTGTAGTGTTCGTTGGGGCGCTGTCGTTGTCGTTGTTGAGGGAGTGGAAGGATTCGGTGTCTGAGGAGTCGTCGGAGTCGTGGGGGTGTGACGGCATTATTGTCTGTGGGACTCTGGATATCGTTGTGTGGTTGGCGCTTGTGAAAGTGACGTTGATCTTCAAATGCATACCACGGAATTGATTCCGTCGACTTTCACATGAATCAAGCTTGAACAGTCCTCCTCCGAACAGCCACCACATCTTCTCAACATTCGAACATCATGCCGGAGACTCCCCTCTCCTCTACCACACCCCCCGGCGCCTCCACTCCGTCCAACAACAACTCCCGCTTTGCCGCGCAAAACGCCTCCGCCGAAGACGTCCTCAAAGAACAAACCGTCGGCCTCGTCCACTTGTCCGACTTCCGCAAGCGGCGCGCCGAAGCGCTCGATCGAGTGAGCAGAGATGTCACGCCGGGTACTGGCAGTGGAGCGAGTACACCTGACGGACGGTAAGGATTTGATCTATGTGGGTGAGAAATGGATGGGTGCTAAGTGACCAAGTACAGTGAAGCAGCTACAGCCCCCGTCGCATTCAAGAAGCGGAAGAAGACGATGAAGAAGGGTGGGCTTTCGTTTGGGGATGATGAGGAGGAGCAGGAATCGACCCAGAAGAAGGGCGATAGCAGCAATCCAGATTCTCGAGCAGCAACAGCGGACGACTCCGAATCAGCCACCGAAACCACGTTGAAGAAGAGGCGCGGGCTGCGACCTAACTCCTCCCTCACCACTGCTCCCAAGGCTCTCACGAAGTCCGCCCTCCTCCGCGACGCCGCCCGCAAAGATGCCCTACGGCAAGAATACCTCCAACTCCAAGAAGCCGTGCGATCGACAGAGTTCTGCCTCCCCTTCGTCTTCTTCGACGGCAAAGACGCCCCAGGAGGTGTATGTCGCATGAAGAAGGGCGATCAGATCTGGCTCTTCCTCGACCGAGCGCGGAAGATGGCCGCGACGGCCAAGGGAGGCGCGAGGAAGGATTGGGCGCGGATTGGGGTGGATGATTTGATGTTGGTGAGGGGGGAGTTGGTGATTCCACATGTGAGTGTGCCTTCGTAAGCAGGGATATGAGGTAGAGCACGGCTGACTGATTGGAAATTATAGCACTACGACTTCCACCACTTCATCCTCAACCGCAGCGTCGGCTACAACAACACCCCGCTCTTCCCCTACTCCCCCGACCCCACGCCCTCCACACCGCAGCACCTCCTCCCGCAACCCGACACGCCTACCTCAGCAACCCCCGAACCAACCACCATCGGCATATCCAGCGGTCTCACCACCGCCGCCGACCGCCGCGCCGCTGCCCAGACCGCTTCTACTGTTGAAGTGCCTGCCGACGATGAGCTGGAAGGTTTCAACGACTCCCCGAACTTGACAAAGGTGGTTGATCGTCGGTGGTACGAGCGGAATAAGCATATCTATCCGGCGAGTATGTGGGAGGAATTCGACGAGAAGAAGGACTATGCGGCGGATGTCCGGAAGGATGGGTTGGGGAACGCTTTCTTCTTCTCACGATGACCTTCTCCTCCCGGTCAGGTCGACTTAGTCCGTTGAGGGATACGAAGAATGCCAGCCCCCGTGTCTTCAGCCTCCTGGCTATCTCCTCCATCCCACGGCTTCCGTCTTCTCACATCTCCTTGTTCTCCCTCTTTTTTCCCCTTCTCCCCTGCAGCCTTTGCATCTCATCGCCCCATCCAGACCCCCATCCCCACACAAACCAACAAAATCAAACACACCGGATTGAACAAAAACAACACCACCGGCGTCGGCCTCAACAGCGCCATCACAATATTGGTGGCGCACGCGGACACCCAGCGCTCGAAGCGGCGTTCCAGCGTTTCCAGCCGCGCTTTGACGTCTTCGAGGGTGGGGTTGTTGGTTGTGTCGTACCAGCCGGAGGAATATTGGGATGTTGAGCGGGAGGGGGATGGCCGCGAGTGGGAGGATGAGGGTCGGGTAGGGGTACGTGGGCGGTTGGGGGTCGTGCGGATCATTGTTGCTGTTGTGGTGGTTGTGGTGGTGGACATTGTGAATTTGATTTGGATGTGCCAATGGCTTTTCAAGCCGATGTTGAGTCGATTACCTTTTCAATCTCTCCTGTCTGTCTCGATCAGAAATACGGACGCGGCGGGGTTCCTTCGAGTGCTTCCTCGATTGTCCTGGCTTGGAGATGGTGTCGACTACGAGGAGGTACTGAAGTTTGTTTGTTGTCAATATCCCCGATGTCGCCGGTCCCACCAGGTCGAAGTTCGAGAACTGCCGACGATTGATTCGAATAAATGGCAGTGGGTCTGGATGTCTTGTCGTTCGGTTATACACATGGGTATCCGGTCTCCCGAGTAATGGCTCGGTGGAACAATACAGCGTACGAAGCAAAGAACGAAGCGTAATTCCAGAGCAACATCTTGAAGGTTGGCACGTAGTACACATATATCCTCTCGGTCTCCATCCTCCTCCAACACCCGAACAACATCCAGACCCCCACCGAATACCCCACCAGTTCTCAACAACAACGTCCCTCGAGACCCTCGGTACGCATCAAGCGCGTACATTGCCTGCCATTCCCTTCCAGCCATTCAATCGCAGGCATTACTGTGCGTGAGAAGAAGGGTGATGTCGAGCAAGCAGTGCTCATGCGCAGAACACGTCGTCCCATTCGTCCGTTTCCTCGACTGCGAGTTCGGATTAGGAAGGTGTAGGAGCCAATGAGGGGTGGGGGAGGGGGCATGAGGGGTGTGGGATGTTGTGGTGGTACTTCGTTGTCAAGTCTTCGAAGGACCGAGGATGAGGGTTGAGTAGACTATGATGAGGCGCGGGGATCGGTGGTTGTCCAGATCGTGGAACACGGGACAGTATCACGACCGTAGGTATGGGGTCATATCACGGGAGACACGATGAAGGGTCCATGCCATCGAGCAAAAGAACCTTGAAAGATTTCAGGTAAGGGAAAGGCAGAAGGCAATCATGAGGCATCGTACACTGTTCATTCGAGGCTATCAAACATATACACATGAAGAGCCATCATCACATCGTCCCTCCCTCATCATCCTCCTCTCTAACCGAACAACGCATCCCCCAACCGAATACTCACCGTCTTCGTCTGCGTGTAGTTATCCAACGCCGCCTCGCCCAACTCCCGTCCCTGTCCGCTCTCCTTGTACCCACCAAACGGCATCTGGTGATGCAGCGTGTTGTACGTGTTCACCCACACCGTGCCCGCCTTCAACGCATTGCTCACTTCAATCGCGGTGTTCAGGTTCCGCGTGTGCACGGCGGCGGCCAGGCCGTAGGTGGTCTTGTTGCCGGTGGCGATGACTTCGTCCTTCGTCTTGAACTTGGAGATGGAGCAGACGGGGCCGAAGATTTCCTCTTGCATGATCTTCATATCCTCGGTGACGTTGGAGAAGATGGTGGGTTCGATGAAGTAGCCCTTGTCGCCCTTGCGGTTGCCGCCGATTTCCACCTTGGCGCCGGCTTCCTTGCCGGCCTTGATGTAGCTGGGAATAATTTCAGTACGAATGATGCGTGGAGAAGGATGAAAGGATACTCACCCCATGATACGGTCAAACTGCAGCTGCGACACCTGCGGGCCCTGGAACGTGTCCTTGGCAAAGGGGTCACCGACAACGTTCTTCTGCGCACGCTCCTTGAAGCGCTTGATGAACTCGTCGTAGATGCCCTCTTGCACGTAGATCCTGGACCCGGCACAGCAGCACTGGCCATGGTTGAAGAAGATGCCAAAGTTGACCCACGAGATGGCGTTGTCGATGTCGGCGTCGTCGAAGACAATGTTGGGCGACTTGCCGCCGAGCTCGAGCGTGACCTTCTTCAAGTTCGAGCCGGCGGAGGCCTTGAGGATGGTGCGGCCCGTGACGGTCGAGCCGGTGAAGGCGACCTTGTCGACGTCCATGTGCGAGGCGATGGCCGCGCCGGCCGTCTTGCCGAAGCCGGAGATGACGTTGATGACGCCTGGTGGGAAGCCGGCCTCCTTGACGAGCTTGGCCGCGACCAGGCCGCCGAGGGGAGTCTGCTCGGCGGTCTTAAGGACGACGGTGTTGCCGCAGGCGATGGCGGGGCCGATCTTCCACGACCACATGAGAAGAGGGAAGCTGAATTCATTAGCACGGCATTCGTGGTTATTAGATGAATGGAGCAACTCACTTCCATGGAATGATCTGCCCGCAGACACCAATAGGCTCCTTCTTGATGTAGTTGAAGGTATCAGGGCCAGTGTCGGTGACCTTGCCCTCAATCTTGTCGGCCCAGCCGCCGTAGTACCTCAAGCAGCCCGCAGCCATGCCGATGTCGACCTTGGCCATGCTGACAGCCTTGCCGTTGTCGAGCGCCTCCACGGACGCCAGGAGGTCGAGGTTCTTCTCGAACAGGTCGGCGAGCTTGACGAGGACCTTGCCGCGGTTCTCGGGCGTCTCCTTCCTCCAGGGGCCCTCGAAGGCCTTGCGGGCGGCCGACACGGCGATGTCGACATCCTTCTCGGTGGCCTCGTAGACGGAGCAGGTGACGCTCTCGTCGGTGGGGTTGATGACCTCGAAGGTCTTGCCGTCCTGGGCCTTTACGAACTCATTGTTGATGAAGCTGGACATACCATCAGCTTGTTGTCTTTCGCCACGCTGATGTGTGATCACACTTACAGGCCAGTTGGCTGCTCGTACTTGCCGGCAGTCGGGGTCTCGACCGTGACGCTCAACGGGTGGTCTCCGGACATGATGGGTGACTATGATCAAGTTCTGGGGGTTTCTTTGAAGCAAACTTTTGATTGTTCAATCGCACAGCGATGAGTATAGGAAGAAGGAAAGAAAAGCTCTGAAAGCAGACGTGCGGAGGTTATGTATGAAGTCAGCGCTCTTCTTATGCCCGCAATGGTGCAGGGACGGATGCAGAGCGAGCAGTACAATTTGCGGGACACGAAGCTTCCTTAGGCTAGCTCTGGAGAACTGGAATACGTGATGGGCCAGCAGCACGTCTCCATCTCCGCGCGAATAAACGGACTGCTCCACTCGTGCGTCGGTTCGCACACATGGAGCCCTGCAAGTGGACATCGAGCTGCTGTAGGAGGATCTGTGACTGGCCCTCGGTTCTGCGGGCGGCGGCGTGAGGTCAGAAGTGAATGCACAGAGTGGAGCTCCATGGCGGGGTAAATTCCTCGCTGTTACGTCTCGGTGGCGACAGAACGGCAACGAATTTGAGAGAAGACTGCTGGGTGAATGATTATCTCTCGAGGCGCGGTTAACCCCAGAGACTGTCAATCTCGTGCATCTCTCATCGAAGAAACATTGTCTCATTGAAATGTTGAAAGTCATGCTCACACGAGGAAACCATGAAGGTGGGGGTAAACAATGACGACACCTTACAATTCATACGCGCTCGGCGTCAGCGTGCTCGGTGGTTCCGCTGATTAGAAGTGCGCCCTGGTGCCACCTGGTGGTAGTAGTCTTGCCCGTAGCAGTGCCGCGGCGAAAGGATTCGGACGACCTGCTGCACCCGAAGTAGGCGTTCATCGAGCACGCTAGGCCGTGCAGCAGCTCGAACAGGAACAGTAAGATCGAGGACGACCGGAGATGGCTCGAAGACTTTTCGGAACTGGTCGTGACGGTGGCTGGGTCCAGGCTCGCGGTACCTTTCTGCCCTGAGCTCTGCAGTATCTGGGGAAGCCTTGGGGTGGAGGTGGAGGTTCCGCGGGACTTTCCAGGCGTCAAGCAGAACAACCACCACCATTTAGCTGAAGGTGGGAGTAGATCGACAGGCCATGCAGGTACCGCCCATACCGGCGCTTTCTCGATCATTTGCTCTTCGATCATTCTTGAGATGTGCGATGCTCTGGGATGGTGGTTTCGAAGCTCGGTCGACAGTGGAATCGCATTGAGAAACTGAACTGATCCTCCATTGTTTCATTCTGATACTACCGCCCTCGCTCAAAGAAAGCCTTCGGTTGCTGCAGATTCCTTCCGTAGCAGCAAAACCCATGAGCCCCTCTTACTGATACATTCTGTTCGAAGAGGAAAGGAAGGCCGCTTCTTCCGTTCGGTTGGTGAAGCTCGCTGTGAAAGCAAGTTGATGTCGGAAGTCGATCACGCTTTCCTGTCCTTCGCTATGTTTCTCGCGCCCACCTCTTACAACACCTCGTCCACCATCGCGTCACCACCGGTCGTCGTCGTCGCGGCGGCCGGCTGAGCAGTAGTCGTGGTCGTGGCCGGAGCCTCGCCTCCGAAGTAGTCCATCATCTCAGCGTCGAGCTCCTCAGCCGTCTTCTTCTTTGGCCTGCCGCTGCGTGCCGGCTTCTTCGCCTTAGTCTTGGTGGCCCCGTTCGTAGTCGCCGCCGCCGCAACGCTGGTCTTGGGCTTGTTCTTCTCCCTGGCCGCGCTCTTTGGCTGCTGCCTGCAGAGATTGTTAGAAGATGTAATGGCGTAGAGGGGACGAATGATACTTACGCAACGCGATCCGCGAGACCCTTGGGAGCTGGCGCCTTGGGCACCTCAGTCGCACCGACGACGAGCTCGACCTGCTACTGTTAGTGTTGAGCACTTGAAGGTGACTAATAGCAATACACACCCTCATCGGCTTGCCGTCAACCTTCACGCCATCGAGCTGCTTGACCGCCTTCTGTCCGGCGTCGCCCTTGCGGAAGACGATGGTGGCTGTGCCGCGGCTGCGTCCGCTTGGTCCGTAGGTGAGCATCGCACGCTTGACGTTGCCGATGGTCTGACCGAAGTAATCCTGAATCATCCGTGTGTTAGTCGACTTCTGGTTGATTGCGGACAATCAAGCCCCTCGATATCGTTTCGTGAATCTCGCAAAGCGCCAGAAAAGGATCCGCAGCCATCACACTCCACCCGGCTTGAGAGCTTTGGTAAGAACAGGCCCAGTGAGCAAAGAGCACTAACAGCAGCAGTGACAGCAGGCAGCGGACCAGCCAAGCAGAGCTCTCCGGGATTGTGACCCACGAGCCGAGAACAGGTCCCGTCGCAGCGCAGACTCTGAATTGCCTTCATGTCCTTCGTGCGGAGCCACGGCGCCATACCCTCACAAGACTGCCGGTCGTGCTCATTTGACCGCCGTCTCGTATGCCAGGAAAGCCGATGCGAGCCTGAGCCGACTTGTGGTGAATGCTGTCCGCTGCTTGCATGCTGCTGTGCTGTCGCTCACACCATGCCCTCTTCTTCTTGCTCTGCTCACTGGACCTGTCTACCTAGGGTTGGCCATGTCTGCACCTCGCGTCAAGCGCTGCTTGCCAGGCAGGCTTTTAAACATACGAGTTGTGTTGTGCGTCATGCCATCCAAGCTTGCTACAGCTTGCCAGTCACTCGAAAGTGGAGGTTGGCGTGCTTGCGCTGTGCATACAGAGCTCATGAGCTCATTTCGTATGAGGGAGCCTCTGCTCACTGCGAAAGGTTCTCGATCCACAGTCCAAAAAGATCGCGAAAGTCGTCCTTCGAGTCCGCTCCGGTCAACGTACCTTAATCTGCCCTTCGGTCACATCCTCTGGCAAGTTGCTGACGATGACCTTGCTCTCCAAGTCCAACGCGCGGGTCGTCTTCACGGCGACCATGGCGGGTCCCTTGGCGACGGGCCTGCTCTTCTGAACTCCTCCAGTTGGGGCGGCGATGGCGGCTTTGGCCTTGGACTTCGCGTTGCGCGGCTTCGGGCCACGGCGTGCGTTGCGGCCTCCGGTGGGCTTGGTGTCCTGCATGATCTGGTCGAGAGACTGGTCGAGCTTTCCAGACATTGTGGTGGTGTTGTGAAGTGAGGTCGGCGTTGTGAAAAAGTGGTTTGGCGAAAGAGTGTTGAGAAGTGGCTTCAAGTGAGCTGGGTTTCCTTAAAGCTGATCGGTGGCAATGAAGTAAGCAGTCGGCGCGTAGAAGTAGGAAGGATACTGTGTCGTGCGTCGGTGTGACGGGGTGGTGCAGCTGGTGCGAGAAGCGTCAGGCTGCGCGCGGAAGTTGGCGGTCTTTGAGTGAGCGCGAGGGCGCGGACGTGGAGTGGCACAATGTGATGGCAGAATCCCTCTTCTCAGTTTGTGTTGATGAGAGAGAGCGTGTCGTGAGTGGTATTGATGACTTGATTGTGTTGGTGTGTGAAGGTTGGTTGAGGTGCGTGGAAGGACAGGAGAGCAAACAGCAAGTCGCGCCAGCCACCAAAAACGCCGCTTGCCCGCATGCGGACGTCACGTGTTGATGTGACCGCATTCACTACCTCGAGCACACTATACCGTGTCAAGAATATAGTGTGCAGTGTGAATGGATTCGAAACGTCGCTACTTGCAATGGTCCAGAAGCATGATTGCCATCTGCCTGGTTTCCAGAGTATCGCACGCATCTATCACACCTCGCTCAACCCTCCTGCAGTTTTCTGCGTTTGCCCTGCTACTATAAGCCCAACGCGAAGACTCCCTCATCGTTTGTCTCATAAGTCTTTACAACATCATCCTCAAACCAGCCCAACACCACCCTCAACTCTTCAACGCCTCCAACCTCCCCCTCATCTGCGCCAACATCTCCTCCGACCCCAGCTCCTCCTCCTCCTCCGCCGGCTGCGCTTCCACGGGCTGCACCGGCTCCACCGGCACCTGCGCCGCAGGGGTCTGCACCTTATCCTTCAGCACCTCCCCTAACACCTTATCCACCTCCGTCTCGGCCTCCTCGTCCTCGCCCTCCAGCATCTCGTTCTCCGGCAGCGAGTCCGCGACCATTTCCTCGATGATCCCGGCTTTCACCAGCTCTTGGCTCAATTCGCGCATCGTGCCGGAGATCTCGGGGAGTTTGACCAGCGCGTTGACGTCTTTCATGATGCCGACGCTGTTCTTGATGCTGCCTTCGATCTTGCGCATCGCGAAGGCTTCCTTGACCTGCATGCCGACGCTTTCTAGTGTGGCTTTGGAGGTTGCGACTCGTTGTTCATGTTTCCGTACTCGGAGGAGTTCGCGCGCGAACATGCGTGTTTCTGTTGCTGCTTGCTTTGCTTGCGAGGGGTTGCGCTGGGCGCGCTTGTTGGCTTGGAGGATGTAGGTGCGGGTTTTGGACTCAAGGGCTTTGAGGTTGGCGAGGTCGCGGTCGAGTTTGCGGGCGTTGGAGCGGACGAGGGCGTTGCATTTGCGTCGCTGTCATCTTCTTAGCCAATGCGGTTTGGTGGTCTGGTGGTAGGTAGTGGCCTTACCTGCTCCTCTGGTGAAGGGCCGTAGAAGAAGCGTCGGGTTGCGTCCATGATGGTGGTTAAGAAGGACTACCGATTACTACTGCCAGTACATTCCATTGTCGCTGGTAGAAGGCGTCTCAAATTGCCATTGCGAGTTTGGTTGTCATATGTTCGTCGGCGCATGTGAGAGCGTGCAGTAGCCTGGCGCATGTAGAGATGACGCTGTTGGCCCGTGCGCACTTCGCCGTGGGGAAAGAAGAGCAACTGACTTTTGAAGAGCATTCCACACAGTTGCGAAAAGTGAATCTTCGTGGTATTGGAATATCACAAAGTGCTCAACTGACTGCCATACCAGATCGATCAGTCTCAGAGATCAAAACAGCTGCGTCACTTCCACCACGCGAAGATCTGCTCCAGCCTTGCCGATTCCACCATTTTCTTCGAAGTTCGGCCAGCAAACTTCAAAGCTTCAACACGACTCTGCAAACATTCGGTACCTGCATAGACATACCACCTCACTCTCAGCAAACTATATCCTACCTCATATCACCACCCGCCAACCGCAAAGATGTCTGCTCTACCAAAAGACACCACCGTAAGTTTCTGCAATCCGCCAGCCGAAGTCATGGCTAACAGCAGCAGGACATGAAGGAGATGGAGGCATCCCACGGCAAGATGGTCACTCCCGAAGGTGTGTTGAGACACCCCTTTCAAAAGCGATGAGAACACAAGAAACTGACATTTCACCACCAGTCACATGGGCCCAACGCTCCAGCGCAACGGAGAACGAGAAGAACCACGTCTACCTCACCATCGCCGTGCCTGACGTCGCGAAGAACAACATCAAGCTCGACATCCAGCCCACCAGCCTCAGCTTCCAAGGCTACTCCGAGTCCAAGAAGGCCACCTACTCGGTCAAGCTGGAGTTCTACGCCGAGATCGACCCCTCCGCCGCCAAGATCAACCACACGCCCAGAGACATTGAGATGGTGCTGCAGAAGAAGGAGCTGAACGAGGAGTTCTGGCCGCGGTTGCTGAAGGATAAGGCGAAGGTGCATTTCCTCAAGACGAACTTCGACAAGGTGAGTTGATCCGTGTATGAGAGGTGGTTTTGGGACAATGCTAACGAGAGATGCAGTGGGTGGACGAAGACGAGCAGGACGCCGTGCAGGAGGACGACGACTACATGTCCCGCATGGGTGGCATGGAAGGAGGCATGGGCGGCGACGGTGGCTTCGGCGGCATCGACTTCAGCAAGCTCGGCGGTGCGGGGGGCGCAGGTATGCCCGGCATGGAAGGCATGGGCATGGGTGGCATGGGCGGCATGGGCGACGAGGAGGAGGGGGATGATGACGACGACGAGGACATGCCCGAGCTGGAAGACGAGGATGCCAAAGAGGGTGCTGGCGCGAAGGCGGGCGGCAAGAAGATCGAGGAGGTGGAGTGAAAGCGTTCTCTTGTCCAAGCGAGGCTCTGTTGATGTTCAGCGCGCGCTGCTGCTTCGATCTCTTTTCGGACGTCGTGCAAGATGGGCTCGGCTTGCATAAGCGAGGCGCTGGAAAGTACAGCTGCTACCTAGTGGCCTAGTGGGAGCTCTTCGTGAAATCGCGAGCGTGCAGCCCGTACAGAGATGAGATACCAAAAATGTGATTGACACTCAGCTGTGTATTGTATTCCATGTGGATGTTGTCTCCAATATGCTTTGTACTCGTCGCTGCTATGATGTCTCTGCGCCACGTGCCCAGCGCTTTTGATATGAACCTCGACTTCACGTCTTCTTGCCAACCGCACCACCTTCTACGGTTCAACAAAGTGCCGTTGTAGCAGCTGCAATAGCATCCCTATCGTAGCCGGTGGCCATTGCAAAAGCACAACCTCACTGAACAAACTCAGTCAACACCGTCATCGGACGCCGCAACAAGCTTTCCAACCCCATGAGACCTCATCATCTGGACCATCTCCCATCATCTCAATGCTCTATACTCGCTTCCTCCGTAGCGCCCTGGCTCTCCAACTCACCTCCCCAAGCACCCGCGGCTTCTCCTCCAAACCCGCCTTCGCCGCCGCAATGGCATCGCCACCGCAATCCTTCCCACTCGACCGCAGCATCTTCAACGAAACCCTCTACTCTCGCCTCCGGGACTTCTGGCTCGCTGGCGTACCGCAGGACGCCACTTCACCACCCTGGGAAGCGATTCAGCGCTGGTTCGGCCCCGGCATGACGCAGGAGCAGAAGGACGCTCTGGACCGCTCGTGCCATAGTAACTTCGGGGAGGCGTTGAATGCTCTTGGGCCGGAGAAGCTTGCCTTGCCGGCTTTTGAGAGCTACGAGGATGATTTGGGGAAGGCGGAGATTATCTCGTCTCCTTTGTTGAAGGAGGTGCGGGAAGCGCATTCGGAGAGTGTGGAGGGGGGAGCGAAGAGGTTGCTTTCGCTTGTTGTTTTGTTGGATCAGATGCCGAGGAATATTTACCGCGATTTGGATGGGTTGGGGTTGGTGTATGGGCATTATGATCGGCTTTCTTTCTCGTTGTTAAGGAGTAGCATGAAGTTGGAGCCGAATATGATGGGGGAGGATTGTGTGAAGATGCGGCCGGTTTGGTTGTCTGTACGTTTCTCTGCTACATTCAGGCTGGTGAAAGCCATTTCGCTGACCACGCCTTTCTCTGCAGTGGCTCACCATCCCATTTATGCACTGCGAACATCTGCCCTCGCATGAGCTATACCTCAAGTATGCCAGAGCGACCAGGCAGATCTTCCACGAAAAGAACGACACGGCCGCTGTGCAGTACCTGGACCGCAACATTGAGTTCGAACTAAAACACATCGAACCTCTCGAGAAGTTCGGCCGGTATCCGCACCGCAACGCCGCTCTCGGAAGGAAAAGCACTGCGGAGGAAGAAGAGTATATGAAGAGTGGCGCTACGTTTGGCGTGACGCAGCAGAAGAAAGTGGAGCAGGAGGATGAGAAGAAAGATGATCCGAAAGATGAACTATGAAACATCGCTCACCTCAAATGCCGATCAAACACGCTCCTAACCATATCTCCTTTGCCAATCCCTCGAGCTCGATCCCGCGAGCTGGGCGAAGGCGAGAAAAAGCAATACCACAATCATAACTCGCCAGAAGTACCCCATGCTGTCGTCCGTCTCCTTGACCTCCAACACTTTAGCCTTGGGCTCGGCCTCCTTGAACTCGACCTTTACATCCACATTCACCGTCGGTTGGAACGATCTGTTTCCGTCCCACCTCCTGGTGCGGGTGGAGACCGCCATGGAACGGCCGTTCTTGAGCTCCTCGACTCTCTTGCGCTCCCAGTCGCCGCTCGCTGCTGATTCTTCGCTCGACGAGCGCTGCTGGGGAGACGATGGCGCCCCTCGCCTGCGCTTGCGGTTGAGCGGCAGTGGTGTGCAGGGCGATGGCAGGGGCAGTTCGGAGTTTGTTGATGAGTCTACGATCCACTGGCGAATGCGGGTGTACTTTTCGTCGACTTTGGCTTTCTCAGAGTTGAGTTTGCGACGCTTCCGGTCAGCGGTGGCGAGGGCGGCGTCTTGCTCGGCGGCTTGAGCGCGGAGACGGTCGTTGCTGCGTTGCAGGTCTGAGTTCTGGTGCTGGAGCGACGAGATGGTTTCTTCAAGACGGTGGCATTCGGCTGCGAGCGCTCGCCCGTGTTCTATGAGGCCTTCCAGGTCTTCGAGGCTGGTGGTGGTGGGCCTGCTGGACTCCTGTTGCGGGCTCTTATCTTCGCTCTTGAGCTCGCCCTCGGCCAACCGGATCGACATCTCGGTGCACCACTGTGTCACCTGGCGAAGTTCCTCCTTCATCTCTTCGACTTGGGACTGGGGCAGGTTGTTCTCCTCGGCGAGCTCAGCATATACCTGGTTCAGGCGTTCAACAGCGTCGGCCTCGAGAGATATACCGACCGGCACGCCGCCGACTTGTCTCAGACATGTCTCGATCGTGTGGGCGAGGTTGTTGGTGTCAAAGCTGAAACCTGCTTCCTTCAGTGAATCGATGAAGCTGCCGACAGTGAGTTCGTCTGTTGCCAGGAGAGTCTCGATCTGCTCGACGAGCTCGACGAAGTCAGAAGCCGGGACTGTTTGCTGTCCGTACATGTCCAGCCAGCGTGCGATGTGTTCCGCGACTTCGAGCCGTGCCAGACCCAGAAGGACGAATGGGACATCGAGAAGCATTCTGGCCCTGGCCACAGCATCGACCACTTGTCTGATCGACGTCAAGTCCTCCGGCGACTGAGTCTGGGTCTCAGCATCCGCCACGCCTCTAAGCGACAGATCCGCCGGATGCTGCGTCTGCGTCCCGCACCCCCTCGACTCCTCCACCCCCTCCTCCTTCCTCTTCCGCCTCTCCTTCTCCACCATCGCAAGCGGCTGCTGCTTCTTGAACGCCTTCTCCCACGACTCCGCCTCCACTTTATACCGCTCCAGCTGTCCTTTAAGCTCCGACGCCTTGTCAAACGCCCTTTGCAGCTCGCTCCGCGCCCACGCATGGTTCTCCGCTGCCCCGTTCCGCTCGTCTCTGTACCGCTGCGCTCGATTCGCCATCTCCTCCGCCTCCTTGAAGTCCTCCCGCAGGATCCCAAGCTCCATTCGATACCGCTCCGCGGCCAACCTATCACTACCCTCCGCAGCCAACCGACTCGGCATCCCGTTCCTGCGCTTGTTCGCCTCGACCTCCCGTCTATCCCCACTCGGCGCGGCCGTCGACCGGCCCCGGCGTAGGTGTCCGACGTCCCGTCTCAGCACTGCGCCGCCCGCGGGGTCGTCGTAGCCGAGGCCTTTGAAGGGGAGGAGAGCGCCGGAATGGAGGGATTCGGGGGAGCGTTGGGCGGCGGCGCGGAGGAGGGCGGACTCGGGTGTTTGGGGGTCGTAGTTGTCGTCGTCGTCGTAGAGCTCGTCGAAGGGCTGTTGGCCGATCTGTGGGGTGGTGGTGCTGTCGAAGTCAGCGAAGGGGTCGTCTTCTGCGTCTTCAGTCTCCCCCGCCGGCGTCTGGACGGCAGACTGGTCTTCGCCGGACTGCTCTTCGCCAGCATCCTCTTCGTCCGAGCTGGAGCTATCGGAGAAGGCCGACTTGACTGACCAAGTGTCTGCTGTATCGAGTGAGCCTTCTTCATTCGGGTGATCGGGACTTGCCTGTGCCTCCTCGTCTGCGTCGACGACAGCGGGTACTTGCGGCTGCTCGTCTTCATCTTCTTCAGGCTGCATGTAGTAGCTCAGATCCGGACTTTCTGGACCCGGAGCCTCTGCATCTGGAGCCTCTGCATCCGGGCCGTCTGCATCTGGACCGTCTGATGGAGAAGCTGGAGCCTCCTCCTCCTTCTTCTCCCCGCCCGACCGACCAGCCATAGCGAACCGTCCAACCATCCCACCATCCTGACCAAGCCCTGATATCCCGAGACCTGGAAGCGAAGACATTGCTATTCCTGTTAACGACAGTGATCGAGGTCCTGCCTCCAAATAATTTTACAAACGAATGAAGGAGAGAGTGATGTATACGAAAGAGACGTAAGGAACGATGTTAGTGAGAAGAGAAAAGAGCATTACGAGCTACCGGCGACATCATACTGATGTCCTCGAGATTGGGCGATTTCGCTGCTTTGTTTGGGGTCGAGGGGTTGGCATTGAGGTGAGATGAGTGTTGGATGGTTGGCACGTGGCCGGACAAAGCGGGATGCACGTGGTGATTTATTGAGGACAAAGGGAGGATATGCGTGGGAGGCACGTGGATGACAGTGGTATTCTCAGCATAGGGAGCCTTCGAGCCGACGTGTGCCAGACACCAGGCAATGTGTCCCCGCGGTCGCGTGTTTGGAAAGGTCAGCGGCAGAGAAACACATGCTCTGGTCCAGTCCGTCTGACAGGTTTGACGGCAGCCAACAAATCGGACGACTTAACATTAAAATTCGACTCCTTTGTTCTCTTCCACATTACAGCACTCAAAGTTCACCAGCTATTACAAAGAAATGGAGGGGCATTGGAACAGCGATCAATCGTGGCCATCAACGTGGGTATGAGCATGAAGTGCTCCAGGTAATGTTGGTCATGAACCGTACAAAACATTAAAACAATCAAACAAGACGTACCGCTCCGCAGCCCCCAAACGCCAGTCGTGTCAACGCATCAAGCCCGTCTCAGTACAGATCAGTTAACCTCAATCAGCCCAGGCCCAAACAACGTCGCATCCGCAACCTCATCCACCGTATCGAAAGGACCACTATCGTTCGTAACAACAGCAATAGTCAGCCCGTTCATAATGAACTTCGAGAACGGGAAGAACGCCTCGAACGTCACTACACCGTCCTTCTCTGAAATGATGGTCGGCTTCTCCACAATCGGCAAGTTCTGCTGGTTGATATACACAAGACTGATCGAGTCGGTGTCGGTCCCGTTATTGGTGAACGAGAACTCGAGCTGCTGGTCTTTGCCTTTGATGTTTTCCGCGAGCACCTTCAGAGCGCCGAAGATGGGCAGATCGATGATGTTGGAGTTCGGGCAGGAGCCGGGGACCACGACGTCCTGGTTGAGCACGGAGAAGGCGAACTGAGCTTTCGATCTTGTGAGGAAGGGCAGCTCGGAGGGCACGAGGTCGAGGAGGGAGCGGTAGTAGCCGTTTTGCTCGCCTTCTTGGCCGATGATGGAGCCGATGAGGGGGATGTATTCCTCGTCGCCGTTCGCTGCCAGGCCGGCAAGTGCGTCTTGTAGAGTGCCTAGGACGACGTCGGTGAAGGTGCGGGCGAAGCCGATGGCGGAATCGAAGTCCGCGCTCGGGAAAATGTATTCGCAGGGCTGGATGGGTGTCTCGCCGGCCGCTGTGAGGATGCCGTTGGCGCCGAGTGCGTGCAGTTCTTCTTGTGCTTGGACGGTGATGAGGGCATTGAGGACGAAGTTCTTGACAACAGGGCTGCCGATTTCGAAGCCCTCTACGCCTTGGGTGATGTTGTTGATTAAGCTGGTGAAGAAGGCGACTTCGAAGAGCTCATTGAAGGCGATCAGCTCGAAGATGGTGTTGTCGCCGGTTTGGAGAGTGGGTGACAGCGGAGTGTTGGGGAGTGTGCCGTGTGCTTGCTTTTCCTGCGCGCAAGGAGTCAGTAAAGAAGAGCTCTCAGTACACATGATCACGCCAACTTACAATCTGTGTGAGAGCGGGACTTGGGTTCTTGATATTTGGGAACCCGTTGGCCAGAGGGAATGTGAATGGCACCTGTCCTGATCCATTTCCAGATCCGTATCCGTGACCGCCGAATTTGCCATGGTCACCATGACTGGGAAAAAAGCCTGGCGGTGGGTGTGGCTTGCCACCAAACTGCTGGCTTCCACCCCATGGTGCTGCGATAGCGACTGATGTGCTCAGCAGAACAACGGAGGCGAGAGTCTTCAGCATTGTGAATAGAAGGGCCGGTGAGTGATTTGTGTGATTAGCAGTTACTGTAGTGCAGGAGAGAAAAGTGATGGGGAAGAAGCGTGTTTTATATCGTGAGCAATGCTCGCCTCACGTATATGTATCCTTGTCCGCCCCAGTGGCAGGTTGACGTCGGCGGACAGATACTCACATTGTTGCTGAAATAGTACGTGAACCAATTTGGGCAGCAAACAGGAGCACTGATGCCATTCTGGGATGATCGTACAACGCAAAGTCCGGAGCAAGATATCTTCGCCCGCCGTTGTTTGGCGATGTCAAGTACGCAAACCTACGTAGCGCCTTTCCTGGCAATCGGGGCAAGTTAGTCCGTCAGCAAAGGCTTGTTCTAGCTTGTCTGTGAGCCCCTTCAAGGATCGTTAAGAGCATCGCTCAAGGGCTGAGATGCTTAGCATGCGCGGCCGTCAGTTGGTCCGGGAACTTTGAACACAGTCAGATCCTAATTGTGCGCAACCCTGTGACCAACTGACGGCCTAGACCGTAAGTAGCTCATACATTGGCACTTGTGCCTGTGGGCGGGGCGGTGCTTCACACCTCGGGTTAGCGTCAGTGAAGAGGTATCGTCACCCGAATGCGAGGCCATGCAAAGACAAAGGGTGTGAAGACAATGCCAGAAGGACGTTGTACCAGCGAGGAAGTCGGGGCCAGATCAACGTGGGGCACAACGCTTGTGCATTGCGCTAAAAAGTGCTAAGAAAAGCCTAGCTATGCTTATTCAGGGACTTATTCAGAGCTTGGACCCAGGAGTCCACCTGTCCTAAACAGCAAGCGTTAGGATGATACTGAAGGGCTGGTCAGAATCAGAGGAGATCGCATCGTCGAAGCACGGCGAACTGCAGCCAGTCGCCTGTCGAGCTCGACGATGCAACACTGATCGGCAGAATGACTTGCCTCAAGCAGTTGTTTGCCTTCTCGAGAATGTTAGACGACGTTCCAATTCGAATGCTGAGCATGTGCCTTCTCCAGCTTACGATGTAATCTTCATCAACTCTCGAATCTCCTGTCGGAACGTGATCATCATTTCGAGGAACAACGCCGGCTCAGACATGACCATTCCCGATAGAAGCGGACGCTGCTCGTCACAGGGGCCTTCAAGTTCTCAGCGGGAACAACCGCAAGCACTCCGTCTTCGACACGAATGGCCGTTTCCTCAAAGTGCTGGAAGGTCTTTCTGCGCATGTCATCCGCATCTTCAGTGGTTGTGACAGCTCATCCAGCAGATGATGCAGCAGGCGCCGGACTCGCAGCAGCACTACCCTGCGCACCACCTCTCGCACCGACCCTCCCACCCCGTCCACCTCTGAATCCCCCTCTCCCAGCCGATCCTCGAGTCCCAATCTCCCTGAACTCCAGCACTTCGACCGCTCCGTTGGCGACCGGGACACGCTTCGCCTCGAGAGCCTTCTTGAGCCCCTCGCTGTCCTTGAACAATGCGATCGCAGTGCCTTTTCTAGGGTCGATGGTCACACTCGCCATGTCACCATACTGTGACAGAGCTTGCTGGATGAGTATCTCCGTCATGCCTTGTGAGGGATTGGCGTGCTTGAGGTAGGCCTTTGGCGGCGATGGCTTTTGATCTGACGATGCTTGTGGAGTCGTGGGGGCTTTTGATGGTGGCTGTTTCGCGGAAGTTGCGGGCGCAGCGGGTGTTGAGGCTGTTGACGGCGGCGAGGTCGTTGTTGATGCTGAAGGAGCTGTAGAGGGGGTTGGAGGAGCAGCTTTCGGCTTGATACCCAAGTCCTTCTGCAGCATCTTCTTGATGCCATCCGCGTTGCCTCTTTGCCTGGGGCCGGCAGGGGCTCGCTGTGGTGCTGGGCTCGGTGGTCCTGAAGCAGCAGCAGAAGGATTGGAAGTCGCGTTGGTCGGCTTGGGTGACGGCTTCTGCTTCTTGGCTGCTAGAGGCGCGACGGCTTTCGCCTGCTGGGCTTGCTTGACAGCAGCAGCTTGCCTGTTTGCGACCCGTCCTGCCTCCTTCGCAGCCTGCTCCACCTTCTGCTGCTGAGTAGTTGCGGCAGCATCCCTCTCCTCCGCAGCCTTGCCAGCTTTCCCACCGGCTTTTGCGGCTTTCTTATCCTGCTCCACCTTCTCGGCCTTTGCCTGCGCAGCCTTTGCCTTGTTCGCCTTCTTCTCCCTCAGATCCTCAATCAATGGTGTGGTCTTGACTGCAGCTTTCTCGGCCTTTGTCTCCTGATGAGCCACATCAAGCGCATATGCCTTTGTTATAGGTTGCGTCTCGGCCTCGAGGAAGGCGATGAACTCGGGATCCTGGTCAATCGTCCCTTGTCGGTTATCCGTTCTCTGCTTCAGCTGCTGCAATGGCGTTCGTTGGTTCGGTGCGAAGCCCAAGGTGGGTGCGAGATGCTTCAAGTCCGGGTTTTTGTGCGTGCCAGCCTTGTCTTGGAACGTGACCTCGAGAAAGCGCTTTTCAAACTCCTTCACGTATGGTTCGCTCGCCAGGTGGATGTAGCATCGACTTTGCTCCGGTACCTTGCCTGAACCCGCCAGGCGTGTCTTCCCCTGCCGATACTCCCTCCAGTCCACCTTGCCGTTGTTCAGCTTCCACTCATCGCCCAACGTCTCCTCGAATTCCGTCAGTGTCAGTCCTGGTGGTAGTCGTCGGACCTCCAATTTAAGGCGGGGTGCTTGAGTTTTCGCTGGGCCTGCTCGCACCGCTGCGTTGACGGGAAGCACACCGCCCTGCCGATCTGCGTTCCTGGCGATCACTTTGGGTGGCATGGCGGTGGCTCACGTCGTTGATATGAGTGATCACTTTTCGAAGAGTAAGAAGGTGGGATGTATCTAAGATCGCGGAAGTACTACGGCACGGCCCGGTTCCTGGAAGCTGCCTTTTTGGGATTGCTTTGGTGAGCATTTGCATGTGACAATTCTTTTGAGCTCACATCTGCCAATGCTAAACACCTGCAGAGCCTCATTGTTACGCCACTTCACTCGACCACTGCCCCACACCAGAGTGAAGATGGCGCAGAAGCGCCCATTCAACGAAGGAAAGAGGCACTTCAAGAAGAACAAGAAGCAGAAGAAGTCCACAGGCACTGAAGGATCCAACGAGGATGTACTGCTGGCGGATGTTAGAGGATTGCTGGCAAGAACACGACTCGACGCCGGAAAAGACGAGGAGAATAAGCTGCCCGATCAACACGCAGAATTAGACCTGACCATATCCGAGCTGTCCTCGACAGGGGACGGGCTCGCTGAGAAAGATGGTCAAGTATACGTGATTCCGTTCGCGGTTCCCGGCGATAACGTTCGTGCAAGAGTATACAAGCATATGGAAGAGGAGTCATACTCTCTAACAGACTTCGTCAAAGTCCTTTCGTCCTCCGAGCACCGCACCGAAACTCCCAAATGCCCCTACTTCACGCAATGCTCTGGTTGTCAGTTTCAGCATCTTCCTTACGCGTACCAATTGGCACACAAGCGGCGGGTCGTGGAGAAGGCGTACCAGAACTTCTCCAAGCTGTCGTCAGTAGCAGTCCCGAAGGTCGGTGACACTATCGGCTCGCCTCTCCAGTATGGCTACCGAACAAAGCTGACACCCCACTTCGATGGACCTCCTGGTGGAAGAAGAGATAACCGGAACGGGAAGCCAGTGACATGGCCCGAGGTGCCTCCGATAGGATATATGAAGAAGGGAACCCGGAAGACGATGGATATCGAGGACTGTCCGATTGGGACAGGAGCAGTTCGCATTGGGCTGAAGAGCGAGCGGAAAAGGGTGGCGAACCAGATCGACACGTACAAGAGAGGGGCTACATTGCTGTTGAGGGAGAACACGGAAAGGAGAGCGAGGGACAAGGACAAGGAAGTTCACGGCGACGGCGAGAAGACGGAGGGCGATGCGGTACTTGAGGACAGGGGAGAGTACACACATCGCAAGACCTGCATCACCGATCACAAAGCCATCTCAACCGAATATGTGGACGACTTTCGCTTCGACAACCCAGCCGGCGCTTTCTTCCAGAACAACAACTCAATCTTACCTCTCGTCACCCAGTACATCCGCGACAACATCCTCAGCTCTTCCCCTCCAGATTCAACTACTCCACAGATCAAGAACCTTGTCGACGCCTACTCCGGCTCCGGCTTCTTCACCATCACCCTCTCCTCTCTCTTCGACAAAAGCATTGGCATCGACATCAGCCCTCAGTCCATCGACTCTGCAACGCAAAACGCCAAGCTCAACAACCTACCCAACGACTCCACCCGCTTCATCGCAGCAGACGCCTCTGCTCTCTTCGACGCCCTAGATGTCACGAAGTACAAGCCAGAAGAGACAGTGGTGGTGCTCGATCCACCCCGCAAAGGGTGCGACGAAGGCTTCATACGGCAGCTGATCACGTACGCGCCACAGCGCATCTGCTATGTGAGCTGCAACGTGCATACGCAGGCTAGGGATGTCGGACTGTTGGTCGGTGGGCTGGGTGGTGAGGAAGGCATGAGCAGTGGGCTGTATGAGATTGAGAGTTTGAGAGGATTCGACTTTTTCCCACAGACCAGCCATGTTGAAGGTGTGGCCATCTTGCGAAAGATGGCACGAGAAACTGAGGAGGAGGATGTGGATGAGGAGGGTGGCGTCTCGTTGGGGGATATTAGGAAGAATGAAGAAGTATGACATACATCAATCGTCAAGCGCTGATTGAAAGTGTCCAAAGGAGTGAAGAGACATAAGGAGGCTTGCGAATTGTTTTACTTCCTGGATTCGATGCTTTCAGGGCCGGCCTCGGTGGACGAAGAAGCTCACCCCGCACAAGACTTCAAGCAATGAGAGTCTTGTTGAAGATCCGAGAATCATTTAGGTAGGGCACATTGTTTGACGATTACTCGAACATACTCCATCTCAATAATACCTTACTTCGTCTACCTATCCATTCATTCTAATACAAAATGTCGAACCAAGGCGAGACCGCCTTCTTGACGGGTACAACCACCTCACTTTGTTTCAATCCGGACAATACTGACTCTTCCACGTTCAGGCGGTGCAAGTGGCATTGGCAAGGCCGTCACAGAGATGCTTGTCAAGAAAGGGTGAGTTTGACAAGCCTAAGGCTTTGTCCAAGTTAGCAATGCTGACCCACCTCCAGCATGAAGGTCTTCGTCGCCGACGCCGATGTCCCAGGCCTAAGGGCACTGAGCAAGCAGCTCAACACAAACCCGCAGGATCCAGCTATCTATACGACTGAAGTCGACGTGGCGGAGTGGGAATCAATCGAGCGGGCTTTCCGGTACGCGGTCAGTGCAATGGGCAGGATTGACTACGTGTTTCCAATCGCTGGTATGCTGGCCCCTATCCTTGATCTGATGGACATTGGCGACTGAAAAGATTCATTGCTGATGGTGTGAACAGGCATCGGCGAACGACGAAGCTTCCCTAACAAGCCAAAGTCGGATGAGTATGTGAAGCCGGACATGAGCGTCATTGATATCGACCAGATTGGTGTGATATACACCGTCAGTCTGGCGGTGCAGCACTTTCGGCGGCTGGAGAAGAACAGGCATGGCGTCAAGGGGAGGAGTGCGTGCTCTTCCTTCCGGGAAAAATGTCTCAATGCTGACCGGTTGACCACAGTTGTTGCTGTGGCATCAGTATGCGGCTTCTACATCCATACGACCATCCCGCTTTACACCGCTGCAAAACAGTACGCTCTTCACTTCTCTGCTCACATTGGCTTCGCCCTCTGACCCCCACTACAGCGCCATCGTAGGCTTCACCCGCTCCTACGGCAAAATCCTCGCCGAAGAATCCATCACCTTCAACTCCGTCTGCCCCAACAAGATCCGCACCTCCATCGGCACCGCCGAGTCCTACGAGAAGGCTGAGAAAGCCGGCTGTCTAGTGCCAATGGAGAAGCTGCTCGAGTGCTTCGAGATGTTGCTTTCAGGTGGCGAGCACAAGGATCTGTCGGGAGAGTGCCTGGAAGTGGCGCCGCAGTTGGGAATCAGGATTGCGCCGAAGGTTGAGTTTGTGAATGAGGAGAGTAAGAAGAGTGCGGAGATCACTTATGAGAGAAGTCATTATTTGCATGAGGTGGTGGAGTAGGCTGTAGGGAAGTGAAGGGAAAGCTTTGCTGTATGTGATGCCTGGTGTGGACATTTGGTGAGGATGACAACAGCTGGTGAGTGAGCCTCTAACAGAGACGCCGATGTATTCGATCAAGGTTGACGCGAAGACGGGGAGCAGCTCACTCGCATGTGTGCTATTGCATGACATCCAGCACGAGGCTTGCATCGGCTCCAAAACGGCTGAGTATGCTCTACAAAACACACCGCTCTCATCCTTCTCCGTCCACTATCGTCCACCTTCCCACAGTACAGTAAGTTGCAAATCAAATTATGAAGCTGTTGTCTTGACTGCTGGTTTATGTCTCATACTTTTCTTTGTCCGCATCCAGGCTACCACGCCATCGAATGAGCGAGCAAACGCAGCCGCCATGCAGCCTTCCGTTTCTCCTTTTCCGCTCTGCATCTCTACACTTTCTGCTTTGCTAGAGTACAGGGAATCTGCCGCTCAATCGACAACCATGCTTCAACACCCAGCTACTTCGACTTCCAAACCGACCTGGGACACCAGAGGCCGCAGCCCCGTCACAATCCCCCCATCCACCACCACCGCCTCCAAACGCATCCCCTCCCCCAAACGCCGCAGCTCCCCAAGCATCACCCTCCTCGACGTCCGCCCGACCAAAAAACAACGCCGCCTCCACCACAACGCCCTCTCCATCCCCTACAACAACGCTCAGCAGTTCTGGCACGAAGAGAGCCTGCACCATTTCTACGTCTTTTGCCCGTTGGACCGCACGAATCTCGACGAAGCTAGACGCAAGAACCTTCTCGGCAAAGTGGTGTATGGGATGCTAGGGAACAGGACGGTGGAGAAGCTCGTGCTGGATCAGGAGACGGGGATTCCATGGACGGTGCCGAAGGTGGTGGTGGAGTTTGGGCGGGTGGAGTGGGGGAGGAGTGCGGAGGTGAGGGGGAGGAAGGGGAGGGATGTGGAGCCCGGGGTGCTGCCGAGGGGAGAGGAGATGACGGGGGAGGAGTGGGAGGAGGCGGTGGGGAGGGGGGATTGGAGGGTTGCGGGGGAGGATCGGGAGACGTGGGAGAGGTGTTTGGAGATGGGGGTGGGGTGGTTGGGGTATCGTGAGAGGTAGAGTGGGATCGGTATTGAGGACATTTCGAAGTGAAGAAACAGAGTGGAAGCTGTGTTGGGCTTGAGCACGGTTCGGCACTGATTACCTGTACCGCACAACGGCTCGTTGGGTGCTGCAATCTAGAGATTTCAAGCTGCAAAGCCGCATCTGGCCCACAGCGTCCCGGACGATGTTGACCTCAGAATACGACCGAGCTGAACCGGAGTGGTGAGGAGTGCGACCAGCTGCACAAATCGACCTCGTGACAGCATCCAGTGCTTTGTAGCGAACACAGCGTTTGCAGAATTGCTCCAGCAAGCCCCTCCACATCTTCGAGCACACATTCAACCATCTTCCACTTCCTTACTTCATCTACACTCCCTCCCCTTCCGGAGAACAAGAGCACCTCGGACCTGCACCAGCATCACCGCAGTTGGGTGGGCAGAGTACGAATTTGGTGTGGAGCCCTTCGCTGGATCTTCATCGACCCAGTGTTGCACCATTCATGTTGCCACCTCGGTAATGAACACTTAATGAACAATGTCATTGGCAGAGGTCCAGCTTCATGGTGAGTTCGTGATGATGATTGCGTGATTGAGAACACGTCAAGCAATTCGTAGTTGAGATAATCGTGAGTAACTCATGTTGAAAACTGCTGGCAGCATCATGTCTTGCCCTTCCTCAGGGAGAAGCCGCGCAGCCTGGTTTTCACTGGTGCGCTGGTTGTCGGACTTGGATCCGGTGACGATGCTTTGTCTGTCGTCGGACTGTGAGAACTGTCCGTTGATGGTGAACGGTGTCGAGCATCCCCAAGAATGTCGTCCAGGCTCACATTGTCGTGTGAGTAGGGAAGATTGGTCGTATCCAGGATTTCGACGAACTTTGAGGATGCCATGGCTTTCAATAGACGAATGTGTTGGCGTCGAATACTTCAGAAGGCCGAGTTTGTCGGACGGGCTGATTATGAATGACCAGAAATGCTGCCACCTGAATGAATAGTAGGACACGAAGCAAGAACGAACAAGAACGAAGAGGCGCAGACCTCTCCCAAATATTGGCAACGAACACGCAAACAACGCCCCCTCGTCCCTCGTGGCCCTCCGCGCATGCAAGCTTCGAACCGTTGCCTGTGGCGTGTCGAGATCTGCAGACCCTTGGGGCTCGAACGCCGGCAGAGTCGCGGATCGTGGTCCAGAAGGGCTATATTAGACGGCGCTATGCCCCGGATTTAGCAGTGGTGTCTTGATTGGAGTAGGACGAGCCGTGGGATCGCCTTCTTGAGCCTCAGGAACCGAGCAGGAACGGGCAGGGGTGTCGGAGGCCTGCTTGACGGCTGTTCGTTTGAGCGGTTTCTTCCCGCATACTGTGGTTGCACGACAGCAGCAAGGACGGCGGTCGACGACGTGTCTTGTGTCGTCCCGACTCTGCCCGCGGATGCAAGCAACGCAAGCAGCGTGACGAAGCCACCTGCGTCACAAAAGACAAGACGAGTTTATTGACGCGAGGCTCTTAGCCAAGAGGAAGAAGGTTTGCCACCAAAGGCACCATCCAACACTATCCTCCAGGATATGCAATCCGCTGATGCGACAGCCAAAGGAAGTCGTTGGAGACGACGATCATGTAGCAGAAGTGTGCCAGAAGTGCTCCTACTTCCTGCTCGGCAATTGATGGCCTGTCGTTCTCTCGGCCTATTCTCGCTTCAAAACAGGTACGACGTGGAAGTATAGGTACAGGTAGACCAGCTTGCACTGCCGCACGTTGTCTCTAGGCAGTATACGGATGTACTACGTTACCATCCAGGCTGCAACATGAGTCCACGCCGGCAGGTGTCTTCGATCGCAGGTCTGTCTTGACTGGGTGAACTAGATTAGTGAGGTGCAGTTGAGTATTGAATGCTAACGCCGAAGGTGTGTCTCGACCTCGCTGTTCGATCTTTTCTGCAGCCCAGAAAACAGCAAGACAGAATCGACAAAACAGGGCATGTTATCCGCGACTCGCCATCCACAATCAACTTGACATGAAGCACGACCACGATTCTTGTTCTCTCACATCTGCGGCAATAAGAGTGGCTTGGATACAGCCGTGAGAGACAATTCGTGCCTCGGCTCGTGAGAGCTTCAGACCTCACGTCTCCATCAGACGGGATGACACGGTCAACATACCATTGTAGGTCAACTTTCACCATTGGTGAGGCCTATCAGTATTCGTTCCCGATACTCAGTAGTTGGTATTAGATTGTCTGTATCATCATGACCTCCTCGCCTAAGGCAAGAGCCCAACAGCTGAGCGAGCAGCTGGCCGCTCCTCGAAAGGACCCTGGCACATTCGAAGGCATACCTCGCATACCAACCATCGCTGGGAACTCCAATGGCCCGTGAGTAAGAATCCATTTCCAATGTCCACTTCATCGAGTGCTTGGACATCGCAATAGTATTCGTACTCACGTCTCCCATCAGCCGCGCCCAGGGCAAAGTAGTCATCATCACCGGCTGCAACTCTCCCCTCGGCATCGGCCGCGCCACCGCCCATCAGTTCGCCAACAACGGGGCAAAAGCCATCTTCATCTCCGACTTCGACACCACGCACCTCGAAACCCACAAGCGGGAGATCGAGTCCCTCTACCCGGGCGTGGCCATCCACACCAGCAAGGTCGACGCCGGAGACGAGAACGACGTCAAACGCATCGTCGACGAAGCGCTGGAGAAGTACGGCCGACTGGATGTCTTCTTTGCCAATGCTGGCATCTCGATCACCGCGGAGAGGGTGACGGACGCGGAGGCGGGGAAGTTCATGCAGGTTATGAAAACGAACGCTCTAAGGTGAGCCTGTTCCCACCTCTTGGTCGTGCGCAGGGACGAGATGGCTGACGTATCTGTCCATCCACCAGCGTCTTCCTAGCAGTCAAACACGGTGCCCGCGGCATGCTTCAAACCTCCTCCTCAAAGCCCTACCCCTCCGGCTCCATCCTCGGCACAGCCTCTTCAGCCGGTCTACGCAGCAACGCCGGCGCAACAGACTACGTGAGTCCCCCAACCCCACTCACTCCTCCATGTAGCTTGCACATCAGTACCCGCGCTAACCCCTCTCCTCCAGTCCGCCTCCAAAGCAGCAGTAATCTCCATAATGCAAACCTCCTCCTACCAACTCGCCGGCACGGGAATCCGCTGCAACGCCCTCTGCCCGGGCGTCATCGAAACCGGCATGACGTCGCGCATGTACGACGCCGCCCGCGCCCGCGGGACGGAGAGGAAGATCGGGCAGCTGAATCCGCTGATGCGCGGGGCTGTTGCGGATGAGGTGGCGAGGGTGGCATTGTTTTTGGGGAGCGATGAGGCGAGTTATGTGAATGGGCAGGCGATTCCGGTTTGTGGGGGGTTGACGGCGGGGCATCCTTTCGTGCCGGGGAAGATGGCGTAGTACGTTGAGGTGGAGGTGAAGGTGGAATTGCACAGCACTCGCAAAAGGGATCGTACCCCTCTGACATACCAGTGAGTAATGTGAAGCAGTATCAAAAATTGAAAGGCGCGAAAGACAACGCCCAACCCATTACCCACCCCTTTACGGGACCGAGCTAGTAGAAGAGAAACTCAACCTCCCGAAAGAAAGAAGTCTGGTTCTACTCATTTTCACTACAAGAAGCTCGAGTCGCCCCTGAATCCGACTCACTTTGCCGATCTCCAAGCACTCAAAGCTCACCACAAACGCCGCAGCCGCCACACACACACAAGGAGGGAGAGATGAGTTAAGAAGTATGCAAAGACGCTCAATTGCTTCACAAGGTACGAAAGAGTTATGCCACAATTATCCACCAGCGCCATGCTCAAAATGCAGCACCAAACAATCACTGTCCCCCTCTACCATGAATGTCCGTTCCCCCATCTATCCCCCCTCCCATTCCCATCTTACCATCCCTCGTATCATGCATGCACCAACCCCCAGTCAAACAGACACCTCACCCGGATCCTCCATAATACTGTCCCCCCACCCCACACTCGTCACCGCGCCCGAAATCCCCCTCCGATCCACCGCCATGCCCTCCCCCTCCCCGCGCTCCACGTACCGCTGATAATGCAACTCCTCCCAGATCTTCTGGAAATACATCCGCAGCGTCCGCAGACCGCGCAGATAGCCACGGTCCATGTCGCCGGGATGTTGCGGAGGGGCGGGGCGGTCGCGGACGGAATCGGCGGCTTCGGCGGTGACGCAGTTGGCGAAGTCGACGATTTTGAGCTTGATGTCGGGGTAGGGTTCGGATTTCGCCGTGGAGGCGTCTTTGCCGTTGTCCGGTTGAGGGGGGCGTTGTTTGCCGTTCGTGTCAGCGTCGCCGCGGTCGTAGATCAGGAGCAGGCTGCTGGCGTAAAGGCGGTAGCCTGGCAACTCGCGGATGATGCGGTCGAGCGCTGTGATTTTCTCGAGCACGGCGGGGATGTGCTTGAGTGCTTGTGCGTGCCCGATGCCGTCGAAGAAGAAGCGGGTCAGAGCGTCGCGGAACTCGCGGCCGGCTTTGAGGTCGCGGCCGTAGTATTTGTCTTGGAAGAGGTAGTTCTGCTCGCGCACGTTGTAGACTTGCATGCCGCAGATGCGGACGCCCAGCTCGCGGGAGGTGGTGGTCTTGCATTTGCGGCGTTGCGAGGCTTGCTTCTTCTCGTTGGCATCGACGCCGTATTGGCGGGTGCCCATCTTCAGGTCGAGCACGCAGGGTTTCTGCATGCCGGCTGTGAGATCTTCTAGCAGGAGGAAGTGCTCCACGCGCTCATCTTGCTGGACGAGGGATACTTCCGGGTTGCGTGGCTCGGGTTCAGTTGCGAAGTGGACTGACGGAGCCAGCCTCGGTAGCGGCGGAAGTTGTGACGTAGTAGCAGAAGATGACTGATCGTCGCCAGCAGGCTTCTTAGCAGCATCCTTCTCAGCAGATTTGGTTTGCGGCTTGGTGAGGCTCTTCTTGACATCGTCCATAGCGAAGACCTCGTCCTCACCATCCGCACCGTACGCTTCATCCTCATGGTACTCCAGATCGCCACGCGCTCCCTCCACATCATTCGGCTTCCGTATCAAACCGCTGCCCGAATGTCTCCGTCGATGCTGTTTGCCACGTGGGACAGAAAGCGACTTCTTATCATCGCCTGCCATGTCCACACTCCTACTAAGAGCGTTGGGTCCATCTTTCGAGAGTTCCAAAGAGCGGCCAGCATCAGTCTGTGGTCGTTCCAGCTTCTTCGTCGTTGCATCCTTCAACAGAGCTGAGCCGTCCTTTTCTTTTCGAAGTGCTGTCATGCTGTCAGAAGTACTATATCTTTCCAGCGTAGGCATGTCATCTCGCGTCGACTTCGATGCTTTATGCAGGGATCTGGCAGTGTGATGTGCACGGTCTCTGCGATTGTGTCGATGAATGATCGGATCCATGAACACTTCTCGGAGGACTCTATCTCTGAGATGATCATTGACAGTGGTGTAGCCCCAGCTCGAATGCGCCTTTGCCTTCAAGTACGGGCGGTAGCCACTGCCAGATGCCTCGTCGTCGCTGCCGCCGCCTGGTCGAGATGGTGGCGTGGAGATTGTGCGCTGCAGATCGGGTGTCATGGAGCGTCGAGGCAAGCCGAACAAGTCTTCCGGAATGAGATGTCGGTTGTTCTCGAAGATGACTTGTGGTATGGTTGTAGGTGCCTGCTGGGAGTGACTGATGATGCGTGGCTGCTCCTGAGTGGCTGCTTGCTTGTCTGCTTTTCCGGCCTCGACCTCTGAGGGCCCAAGTCCGCCACTGGGCGTGTTAGCTCCATCTTCAGACGGGGTCTGCTTCCGCTTCTTCTGCTCCTTCCGGTACGTCACGTTCAACACGCCAATGTATTTGGGCATGAATCCAAGGAGCTCCGGGTGCCGCTTTTCAATGGTTTCGTAGAACATGTTCTCTTTGCTGTTGAGCTGCTTGCAGACAGCTCGACGAGAGAAGCGATACACCGTGGTATGCCCGCCCACCTGATGTCTGTACGGCTTGAGCTCTACTGCGCCAATGGGCGGTGCGAGAGGCTGCGCGCGTCTGCGTTCCGGAGACATGGCCTTGACCTGGCCCACCAGCATTGGCGTAGCGGTCGGCGTGGTCTCTGTCTCGTCACGCTCAGATGTCAGCGTGTCATAGCCTTCTGACAATGACTCGTACTCTGAATCAGAGGGCTGAGATTCGTTGTCAATCAATGGTTTCGGGAGCTTTTCGAAGTCTGCTGTGGATGGCGCTCGTGAAAGCGAGATGTCGCCGTGGAGGTATTCTCTAGTGTCGAGAGAATGAAGCGATATGTCGACATCATCCCGCTTCTCCTTTTGCTCAGGCACCTTGCCGGCTTCTTCATCTTCATGCTGGACCATGTGGTCATCCGTAGGAGAGTCACCGATAGAGACACCCTTGTGAGGAAAGTAGGTCGCTGAAGAAATATGCTCGCGGTCTGAGTCCTCATCTTGATCCGCCTTTTGAACCCTCTCCTTCACCTTTCGATGCTTGTCGTCTTGTTCTGGAACCGCCTTGTGATACGACCTCAGCCAGGCAGCTCCAGGAGCAAGATGGTGGTGGTTTCGTATCTCTTCCAGCAGGTCCAGCGGCAAGTTGTGTGCTGTACGGTCTTGTGATCTTGCAGCTTCTCTTGCTTTTGGCGTATCTGTGAGATCGTCCAGGCTGGCAGGCAGCTTTTGCTCCGCAGCTTGATCTAGTGTGCGTTCGTCAGACCGTGAACGCATAACTTCCCGCTTCCTGCTTGTGTCCTGCTGCTCGTTCGTACGCTGATCTGTCTTCTCATGATCACGGAAGAGACCCAAATAATGGCTCGTTTTCCTGCTCCGCGCATTGGCCACTGATTGCTCTTGTCTCGGTAGCTGTGCATCAATTGATTGTTCAACACCATGCTCCACCATACTCTTTCGCATTTGAGACTCTGCAATAGACATGCCGCTGAGCTTGGCTTTGCCTTGCCGCCAAGACCGATACTGCTGTCTCTCAGCGCTGCGTGCTATGTCTTGGTCGCTGTCGGAAGTGAGATTGGTGGTGGGAGGTGTAGCCGGCGCATCGAGCGGCGCAAGATTGGACGTCGGAGAGAGCTCATTGGATTCACGCAGAACGTGGCTGCTAAGTAGATCGTTGAGATCATAGAGGGAGCGTCGATTTTGTTTGTTCGGTAGGCTTGATCTACTGACTCTCCGCCTGCCCGTGCCATTCTGATGTGATTGCCAGGACTGGGCAGAGTCTGGCGTATCTCTGAAAGACGTCAGGCTATGTTCATGGGCACCACCAAGAGGCGCTGACACCGCCATGCTTGCACCAGAGCTATCCAGCGCCTCGTCTTCCACCTTGGATCCGGTTGAAGGTCTCAAGACAGGTGAGGCCTCGGGGCTTTCGGTCTGCATATAGTGGGTAGCAAAGATGGAGTCCCTTTCGGACAATTGAGGTTGGACGGCATCCTGCAACGATGGGCCTGAGCGGAGGACAACGGGGCTTGTCTTGGTGCGTAACTTGGGCCGGGCTCGAGGGGGTGTCACTGCCCTACCGCCCTCCGCCGCCGGATGCTGGGCCGGAGCCGTAGGATGGGTCGGTGGGACATCGTGGACAGGGTCGTCGTTCTGCTTGGACGGCGCGGGCCTGCTTGGATATGGCGCAGGCGCAAAGGGAGCGGGTGACATGAGAGGACATTGGAATGGGCTGAAAGGCTCCTGTCGGCACGAGGTGGTCGGATGGCCTGCCAATGGAGCGGTCTTGCCCCGGGGAATGGCGGTAGTCTGCACTAGCGACTCGTTTCGCCAGATGCACGTCGGCGGCAGCACGTGTGTTTCCTAACGGTTCCAGAGAGGTGTGTGCGACGCACGTTGGGAGTTGGTTGGTGGGAGAGTGTCTGCGGTGCAAGAATGACGATCGCTTGGATCGGATTCGAGAAGGAATTCTCGGCAAGCTGCAGCTTCCTTGAACTTCAACGGCCACAACGACGGCACTTTCACGATCGCCAGGAACACGACGTTGAATCACTCAAACGATGGCGTCCACCTTTCGCTCTAAGCACCTGGTCGACAATGGCTTCACGATGCCACCTCCGGGTGGCTTTCCACGCTGCAGCGCTATCAATTGTTACCGGCCGCTCAGAGATAAGGCCTGGCCTCTTGATTCCATGTGCTCTAACTAAACCTTTCAACAAGTCCCTATGCTTCACAATGCGATTCCGACCCGGTACTGTGCATACTGCCATCACCGCTTCATAGTTCTCGCATCTGGAAGCCCGGCCCTGCATCCCTTGAACGTCCAGGACGGCCTCAGCACCAATCACTCAAGCACGAGGCAGGACCCTCCTCCAATGACCTGGTCCAGATTCTTGACCGCCTGAAAAGAGGCAGAAAGGACCTTGTCCCAGCATACCGCAATTCCATTCGAGAAATCATGCATGTCTCGACCGGGCTGCCATTGGCGCCACGTCCGTTTGAAACAGGGCTGAGGAAGGCCTAGAGTGCTGTGGGTGATTGATCGTCTTCCACTTAGCCTACAACTCGGTATGTTGCGGGTGGATGTTGTGTGCAGTGTTCGACGATGCCTTGCTCTACGATACCTTGAAAGCTTTCGCGCTGCCGCAGAGATGGCTTGAACGTCTAGCAGCACGGAATACTGGTATCAAGGCATACTGGTATCGAGGACGGTCGGTCCAGCGAGACATGTACCTGGTAGGTCCGCCGTTCCTCTGCCGAGTACATGGCTATCCTTTGCCTCCCACGGGCAATGCGAGGAATGCTGCCGCAACGGGCAAGATGAATTGCTTTCTGTGGGACGACCTCGAACATCGCTACTTCATGTGTACAAGGCAAACCGCCGTGCTATCTGTGTAACGTGCAGAGAGCCGCGGAAAGCGCAGGAAGCTCGCAGTAATCATTAGGTGGGTCTCCAGTATTGCCATTATTACTTCCACTACACAAGTACACCCCTCCGATACCACCCCCCAGGTCCCCTCCAAGCCCACGCCCACAGCCCACACGCCAACCACACACTCACCGCCATCGCCCCGAAAGTCGGCGCATAGCAACTCGTCCCATAACACAGCAAATCCTCCTTCATCTCCGAAGCCTCTACCCCTTTCTCCGCAGCCCATTGATACACGCCTGAATACACTAGGCCCCACACCGTGGCACCGATCGCAGGAACCGTAGCCACGATACCCCAGTTGGTGCCGAAGTTCTCTACACCCCAGATGACGCTCACACAAATGGGTGTCAGGCTGAAGACGGCACCGTAGCCGGCGCCGATGGAGGCGGAGACGAGCCAGAAGAGGTCGCCATGTCCTTGGATTAGGCCGCTTGCGAGGATGACCTGGCCGATGGACATGAGGATGGAGAAGGCGATGAGGAAGGTGATGCGGGAGAGCTCGAAGCGGCCTGATGGTTCTGGGGGACCGGCTTGGGGAAGGGAGGCGAGGCTGTTGGCTAAGCTGTTTGGACCACGGCGGTGTTGATGAGGGGATGAAGTGGGCGCGAGGACGTCGGTGAGGGTGCCAGTTAGGATGCGAGCGATAGTGCTGGTAATGGCCACGATGGAGACGTGCGTGGCGGCGCTCGTTTGGCCGGGATCGCTGTTCTCTGGTGGCGCGAGGGAGGGTGGGTAGAGAGTGCCGATTACTGTTCCTAGGTTGTTAATGAAGGCTTCACCAGGACCCGTGACGAGGAAGAAGCCAGCGGCGAGCCACCACATGGTGTGGTCGGAGAGGAAGCGGCGTGTTTCTTCGTTGAGCAGCCATGTCTTCTTGCGCTGTTCTTCGAGGCGCCGTGCTTTCTTTTCTTCGGCCTCGCGGCGAAGTTCGTCGAACTCTTCTGCGCTCAGACGGCGCTCGTTCGACATGGTGCCGTATTCGATATTCCCACTGCTCGTCATCCGCTGTAAGAACTGGCTGCTGTCTAGCAACCCACTCTGCTCCAACTCATCCACTGCCTCGTCAATCAGCTCCTCCTCGTTGACGACCTTCAGCGTGAAGAAGCCTATTATTCCAAGCCCAAGACATAGCAACCCCAAAAACAGGAAATACCGGTATACGTCCACGTCTCCCTTCTTACCATCCGGCTTCTTCTCATACAACAGTTGACTCCCCACCTGCGACTGCCACATCCCGCTCAGCCCAAAGCATGCTATAGGCAGCGCCAGCGCTATGCCCTTGTACTTCCCACGCCCAAAGTTCTTCGCGCATGTCGTGACCGCCGACAAATACATGCAGCTTGTCGCACATCCAATCGGCACGAAGGCCAGCAGCATCACCCAGTACGGCCATCCGTCCCCGCCTCGATCCGGGGGAGGCCCGCTCTGATACGCAAAAGCAGCAAGCAAATACCCCAACCCAAACAATATCCCGGACAACAACGATGGTATCCCAGGCCCATACCGATCACACATATACCCCCAAATCGGCACCGGCAAGTACAAACTCAACTCCGCCGCAATCGAAACTCCATTGACCTGCAACTGCGTATAATGCAACCGCCTCTGAAACAGCGGGCCGTATAGACTGTACGCCGTAATTCCCCCAGCACCGAGACAGTTCACAATCGCCCATGTAAAGCTCAGGTACCGCGTAAACTGCTTCTTCATCCGGTCTCGGTCTTGCGCGACGATGCCGTCGGCGACTTCTTCGAAGAAGCTGCCGGCGTAGCTGTGGGCTTCGCTGGTGCGGCTGTGGGGTTCGGCGGAGGGGGAGCGGAGGAGCGGGCGTCCGCCGGGGACGTAGTCGAGTTTGTCGATGGTGGAGGGGGTGTCGTCGGGGGGTTTGGCGCGGGAGGAGCTGCTGGTGGGTCTGCTGGGCATGTTGGCGGTGATGTTGTTCTTGTTTGGCGGAGGTTGGGGGGTGGTGTTATCGCAGCATCGTCATAACGCGGATCTTTTCTACTCGCACGACCGATTCAAATAAAGGTCCAGTGTATAGTTGTGATGAAGAATGAGATTAAAGCCTGGTCTTGCCGTCATGCTGGCTGCTCGCGTGCCGGGTGACGTGTCCGAGCTGGAAGGAAGCTCCGACCTCACCTCTTGGTCTTCGTCTGCTCTCCACCTAGAACACCACTCCGATTTGCTCAACGATGGCCGAGCATGTCTGCGGATGGTACTTCAGACCGGATCGATACTCTGCTAGCCACAGCAGATGCTGCCATCAAGGCGGATGAGCTGCAGAAGGCTGCCGAGGCCTTGAGAGAGGCTTCGCATCTGGACTCCGAAAATGCTAAGGTCAAGGAGCGATGGGCTGCCCTGCAGAAGTTAGACGCTGGCAGCGACGTCTTCGAGCTCCTACGCAACTATATCACAACACAGAACGAGGAAGGCGGACAGAAAGCTCTTAAATTACTGAAGGCCAAGCAATTACCATCGAAGGACGCATTACAGGCTGTTGAGCTGCTCCTCGACATCACTAAGTCCCTGCCGCTTCTGGACGGGCTGACTGGAAGCCTTCTGTCTCGCAATGTTGAGGCTCGCAAGTTCGTCACTTCTCGCTTCGCGGACAATGCCACGGAAACATTCGAGCTGTTCTTCGAGCGGGGTGAGGAATCGTTCAACGCGCTGGCTACCATCCCTCTGGATAACGCGGTGTGGGCTTCCACTGATCAGCAGACCACGGCACAGAAGGACCTCTTCCGCCTTTGCGTGGCGACATTGATTGAGGCGGGCGCAGATCACCTGGAACGCATCATGCGCTGCATTGCCCGTCTGCTGTCTTTAGTACCGGCGGTCGTCGCGGATATTGTAGACGACGAGGTACTGGACTCGATCCTGTCGTGTCTGGATCTTCGCATGTCGGCTTCCTTACGGAGTCAGGCAATCTTGGCCACTTCGAAAGTACTGGAAGCCACCAAGGAGAGAGGCGAGGAGTTGTTCTCGAATTTCATCACAGAGCGGGCCGCCAAGCAGACGAACAATGATCTAATAATTGCCTTTTCAGCGGCTGCGGCAGTTTTCCCAATCATTCCTGCAGTCACAGCGAAGCTGTTCCTCATTGATGGATTTGTCCAACAGCTCGTCCCGAACCTAGAGAGGAACTGGGAGGAAGGTGCTGCCGGCAAGAGGTGTGTTATTTCTATCCCGCGTCTCGATTGAACGTAGGGCGCAAGCTGTCACGATGTGGACCGAACTAACACAGTGTAGGAAAAGCCACAGCTTAGAAACTTCGGCACTGGAACTATTGAGTGCAGCTTGTCTCGACAAAGCCTGCCGAGAAGCAATAGAGCGATATTGCTCGCACTGGCTCAGAAATCTCACTGAGGAACGCGAAGGCACTCACAAGGCGCTGGCAGCCCTCGTCCTTGCCAAGATCAGTGCCGACGCAGGCGAAGAAGTCACCTCTAAGCTTGAGCAGTTGGTACTCGCTGCTGACCCGGAGGCCGATCAAGCCATTGAGGGTCTAGCGTACACCTCGCTCCAGCCGAAGATCAAGGAGGAAATCGTGTCAAATTCGAGTGTCATGAAACAGCTGGTCAAGTCCCTGAGAGAGCGCCCTCCAGCGGTCTTTGGATGTCTCACCGTCTTTGCAAATATTACAGCTTACCTCCCGAGCTTGTCAGAAGAACAGAAGAAGATGTCCCAGCTCAAAGCCTACGCCAACTCCGAGCAGCCGACCGCGGAAGACCCTCTGGACGACGATGCGCATGTCACCAAGCGCTGTCGCGCAGTGCTCGATGCAGACATTGTTCCTGCATTGGTCGCTTGCAGCAAACAGACAGCATCGCCAACGAGTCTCGCCCTCGTCGTCCGCATCCTGCTAGCTCTGGCACGAGAGCAGAAACACCGCTCCACGATGGCGCAACAAGGCGCTGTGAAATTACTCCTACAGATCAGAGACCGTCTCAATAAGACCGATAAATCAACGGCCGAAGCTTCAGCCATCGAACGCAATGCCGCACACGCCCTAGCCCGGATCCTCATATCTATCAACCCTTCCCACGTCTTCTCCACAACACTCCCTGCCTCATCCGCGGTCTCCGCCCTCGCCCCTCTGCTCTCGCAAGACAACGATACCTCGCAGCGCAACCTCCTACCTGTCTTCGAATCTCTCCTCGCCCTTACTAACCTCGCCTCGCTTCCGGATCCAAGCATTCTGGATCTTCAACTTCGCCTCGTATGGTCTGAGCTGGAAGACCACCTTCTCTTTTCTCCCAACACCCTCGTCCAGCGCGCCAGCGTCGAGCTCGTCTGCAACCTCATGGCCTCCGCTGCCTGCGTCGGCAAGTTCGTCGGCGATGGCAGCAAGCGCGAAGGTGCGCGGATGCAGATCTTACTCGCGCTCACTGACGTTGAAGACATGGCCACCCGCCGCGCTGCTGGAGGTGCACTGGCTATGTTGACCGAGTGGGACGCAGCTGTGGAGAAGGTTCTGGAGCAGCAGAGTCCCGATGGAGTGAAAGCCGTGCTGAAGATGTGTGGAGACACGAATGAGGAGGTGAAGCATAGAGGTTTCGCGTGTCTGGCGAATGTTGTCAATGCGCCGGACAAGATTGGGGAGAGAGGGGTGCGGTTGGTGAAGGAGAAGGGAGGGGCGGATGCTGTGAAAGAGGCGCTGAAGGCGACGAAGAATCGGGATGTGATGCAGATTGGCGTTGAGATGCTGAAGAAGATCATGTGAGCCTTGGGCATGTGACCTGCGCTTGGACTCTGGAACGGGCCGCGTCTGCTCTGCTTCTCCCGCTGGCCGGCTATCTCACTCTCCCACTCCACGCCACGAACAAGTTGAACCCTTCGAGAACGCGCACACCATGGCGAGTGGCGGCACCGACCAGGACTTCGATGCACGACTTGCATTGCTTCCTCAGGAGCTAAAAGACATCATCCAAATCTTCACCCTCACCATCAATGCCGGCAAAGTCTCCTTCACCAAAAATTACAAGCCACTGAACCAGCTTCAAGTCAATCAAGCTTCGAGGAAGTTACTACCGGACTTCTACACCAACACGACCTTCTGCTTCAAGCACGTGGATCTTCTCGACAAGTGGCTGCGCAATACCGGACCGACCTATCGAGACATGCTACCGTCAATCCACTACACACCCAGCTTCTGGAAAAGGGATCGAGATGTGGGCTACGACTGGGACTACATCGGTCACTCAACTGCAAACCACTTCTTGAATGTTGGCATCGCTATTAATCCGGCGGTGCTGGTGATAGTATGTGCAAATGGTCACATCAAAACAACCGCCCGAGAGGCCATCTTCCGGCAACAAGCGGCTCTAGGTGAGGCAAGGAGGGCAAGGAGGTAGCACAGGCTCACAGGCAGTCTGTTGCTTGGTGTGGATCGGGAGGTGCATGGAATTTGAGGCATGACACAGGTCAAGAGGACTGCACGGCAAACGGCAGGGAGGAGGCATGCATAACAAGTGGACGGTGTTGTTCAAAGACTTCATCGGTATGTGGCCATACCGAACAAGCACGTGCTTTCTCAAACCTTCTCTTTCAAACTGCGCGACTCTGTGAGGCATCAGATCCTCCCATTATGTCCACCCGGCCGTTGCCAGCATCTTCTTCCGCGGTACATGGTACTTCGGCAGGCAGCTCTTGTGGCAGCCTGCCGCAGCCTACTCACCCTCACTTTAGCGAGGACTAGTGCTGATTCTTTGCGCCGCTATGGGTTTTATCTTGGTCTCTCATATGACCACTGTTGAACCCACATCGCAAGCCATCTTCACCAAAATGGCACGCTCCAAGACCTCCCGCCTTCACTGCCACCGAACAACAAGGCCACAATGACCGGCCACAACTTCATCGAGCGAGTACACGCCCTTCCGAGAGAATTATTCGACGACATATATCACCGCACATTCACCGCCGGAGCTTGCGACCTCACGATCGATTGCGACTACATGCCTCCCGCCGCGCTCCATGTCTCGAAGGACACCCGGGCGCAATTCGCCAGGAGCTTCTATCGCAACACCACCTTCGTCTTCGAATACGCTAAGCCGAGCACACCAGGATTGATGAAGGAGTGGCTAAGAGCGCTCCATCCCGATCATCTGGATCTGGTGGATTCGGTCGTTGTTTTGGAAGTTCACCGGCCGGACCTTGAATCGGAGCATGGCCGTTGTGGGACCAGGCTGGAGGCTGTGTGCCGTTGGTTGTTCGGTTTTCTTACGTCAGAAAATCTCAGGCGGTATCCGCGTATGGAGGCATTCGTGAAGAGGACTCTCGCTATTGCTTGCCCGCTGGGACATAGGTACAGGAAAGTGGTGGAAGGCGGGGAGCATTGAACTTAGAGGCAGCGAAGAGGCTCTAAGCGTGGAAGCGAGACGAGAGGAGGTGGGTCGCTGAGCGGTGCGGAGGGTTCAGACGGTAGTCATCTATGGATGATTCAGGGCATGCGATCGATCGGGCGCGAGCTATGCAATTTCAGTGGACTCTCCAATACCTTGTCGTCCTTCTACATCGATGTTCCGAGCCCATGACTAACTCCTCATGGGACACAGCAGGCGACTGCTCACGGCTGAGAATGCTTTAGTTCCTCGCACGGGATGGACGAAGCTACACGCAGGTAGATGGCTTCCACAGATGCCTGAACATGTCAGCTAAACGATTGGCGAGGTTCTCCGACCTCAAACGGAGGTGACGGACTCTCAGAGTACGGGCAAATCTACTGAAACTTAAAAGCGTCTGGGAGAGTTTTACCGCGCATGAGTTGATGATGGCAAGGTCGCGCGGGCATCAACTGATTTGTCCACGGCTCGTACGAAGATGAGCAGATTCTGGAGCATGGAGCACTGCATAGTTGGCTGGACCTTCATTGCGGCTCAGAGAAGCTGACCCCCCATCCACCTGGATTGCGCAAATGTCTAACTCGATGTACAGGAGAGTTGGCCATATTCTCGAGCTTCGAGTCGAGGCGAAAGAGTCTCGAAACGCTGCAAAGCGCATTTGACATTGCAATCAGCTTGGAGCAGCTTTCCGTCTAGGGAGTGAGAATCAAGAGAGTCGGCTGGCTTCTCGACGGCCTATGCAGGACTGGACGAGTATCGAGCACTGGCCAGTCACTTGGACCTTCTTTGCTTTTCGGGGAAGGAGGACGAGCATGTGAACTGGAGCTTGGTAAGTGACTTGACCCTCTTCAGGGATCCAAGGCGTGAGGTAGGCATGAGACCTTTCAATTAAGCTTGCTGGTAAGGATGAATGTTGACAATCGACATGTGATTATCAGCTTCCGCCAAGCTTTTCTTTGTGCTTTCCCATTCAGTTTGCGCCTCTTCTCAAACCTATGCAAACATTCGCAGCTACGATCAAGTACAGACCCCTTTCGATTTTGGCCCGGCGGCGGCTGCTCTCCATCCTGTGCCCGCCTCCATCTTGCCAAGGGTGCTACGATGCCGTGCAAGTACCACCATTTCCCAACAGTGAGGTAACTGGCCATTCACTCCGAGTGACTGGACATTTACTGCCAAAGGTGGCCAGGTCGTGGTTGATGAGGACTACAAGCCCCCGATCGAGCTACAAGTCAGCAAGGCGACTAGGTTAGTACCACTCTCCTGAAACATGAGCCGCGTCCGATCCGCGTACTGATGCACCCAGCAGACAGCAGTTCAGCGAAAGCTATTACATCCACACGACCTTCCTCTTCAGCCAAATCTGCGACGAGAATATGGGCATTCAGAGGGGCACGAGCATGATGGAATGGCTATGCACCCTTCCGCAGAGCACGCAAAGGATCCTACCACTACGTTCGATGATCTACTGCTCGCATGACCTCTGGTGCCCCGGGGCGACCGCCGACTTGATGGCATCTGTCGGAGACATCATCGAACTGTATATTCCCTCGATTTCTCGCCACGTAGTTGCGATTGGATGCGAGGGCGATCCCGAAGGAGAGGGAGCACCGGCAATTCTCACGGTCGATCCTTAGCTTCGCAGCGTCGTCGACGATACCAGGTCAATCGATACAGTGGGACGCATGAGATGATGGAGAGATGGCCGCGCTCGATGCTTCCCTGGAGTCGGGAGTAGGGTCATTTTGTTGGAGTTGGAAGGAGTCGAGGCACGGTGAGGTGAAAATAGCGTGTGATCGCGCTCGGACCAAATCCACTGTATGTGAATGCTTGTTTTTCAACTGTTCACTTGGCACCAGGCCAGGAATCTTCACTTGTCATTTCCCTCGTTGTCGGCATCCTTCCTAGCGTCCGTCAACATGCCAGCCACCTCATATCCCCCCTGATATGACCAACGCACACCCACCGTGGCGGAGAGCACACCCGCCGCAGTGGAAGATACCCTCATCGAGAGAGTCCACGCCTTGCCCCCCGAGTGGTTTGAAAGTGTCCTCTACTTCACTTTCTCACACACCGAAAAAGGCCATGTCAACGTTCGCAAAGCAAATATCCGACAAAGCTCCATTCAAAATGATCGGCTCATCAAAGGTTTCACTCGCAAATGCTACAAGTTTCCAGTTCAGCTCCGAATCAACAAAGCGATGAGGTACGTACGAACGATGGCTTTGTCCTTCCATCGGGTCCCTTGCTGACGAGTGCGAGCGCAAAGGAAACAATTCGGGCTCGACTACTTCCGCAACACGACCTTCATATTCTACGACGTCGAGGTTATGGATAAGTGGTTGGAGGTGCTGACACCTGGCGGACGAGGAATGCTGAGGTCGCTGAGCATCGAACGGGGCGCTGGCGACAGGAAGATGGACCATCGAGACATCACAGCTGTCGACGCGCTCATTGACGATTACGGTCTGGGCAACACGACCGAGGATGACCGGCCTCCCCTCTTGCTAGACCTTGAGGTCACTGACCACCGACTGGTCATCACCCTCTTCTGAACTTGTCGGGCGGGCTGGGGCTGTGGCTGTACCCTGAATCTAAATAGAACAGCGACAAAGGAGAGCCCAGTCTTGTCTGTTTTGTCTAGGTCACATAGCTTTGAAACTTCAGTCACATGGACTTCTTGCGGTAGCGATCAGGACGTAGGAAACGAATTGGAACGGTCGAATGCCCACCATTGCATCTCCAAATCACTACATTCACCGTCTGCTTTGAGCTAGTTCTGTAACGTGATTTCACAATTCACATGCTGCCAGAACCACCTTTTCAAGACTCGGTCTCGTCATAACAGTCTGTCGCACATCGTGCTTGCCTCCCACCTTTTCAAATCAAAACTCTACCGAGGGCGGTACCGGCAAGACACATCAACACCACAAGCATCGCCGCGCCCACGATGCCAGACGAGGCATTCGACGAGAAGGTCCAAGCTCTCCCGCCCAAGATTTTCGATGTTATCGTCAACGTTACGTTCACCGTAGGAACCAGCAAGATGGTCCTCAAGTCCAACGCCAACGGGCGGGTGAAGATCGCAAGCATCCAAGGATGCAAGCCACAACTTCATCTTTCGCTCGTCGACCGAGCATCAAGGTACGTCCGGGTCCATCCACGCGCAGCTCGCCAGCTAAAGACATCCACAGCCACCAGTACAGAACCCACTTCTTCCGTAAGACTACCATCGGCTTCAACAACGCCCGGGATGTTTCCAAATGGGTGGAGTCCCTGAAGCCAGGCACTCGAGCCCTGGTCGAGTCGGTCAAGCTCTCGCGGCCGGATCTCGAGGTGGGTCGTCGGATTTTCGCGCGGGAGGTGTTTATCTGGCAGCTGGACTTGCTGGGTGATGGCGGGACGGTGGAGTATCGCTTCGGGAGGGACGAGGAAGGTGTGGTCGTTCTGTTCTGAGTGGCGCGCAGACGGCGGAACGTGGACGGGTAGAAGCTGTTGTAGCGATCCAGCGGTCGATTGGAGGCAAGCGAAACATGAGCACAGCGACAGGCCTTGCACGAAGTGTTGGATGTACCAAGAGGGACAAGAATGCAGCGCGTTATGCTGAGCGCCGGGCCAACTGGTAGTCTTCATAATCCAGAAAACGAGCAAATTATGCAGCATCCTTAAACGCCCCGTGGTAGAGGTTTGTTCAGCAGAGAAAAGGTAAGTCCAGACAAGGAGGGTGAAAGATAGGCGATCGTGTCAACGTTGATCGAGAGCCATAACCCGACTGCTGCCTCTCTTGCTGCGTACCTGTAGGCTTTATGCGGTCTCAATGTCCTGCTCATGATTCTGCCAGGATACTGGTATATATGTACGAGAACTTGTCGCTTACCTTAATTGCGCTTCAAGGCAAAAGCAGACCAGACGCCAATTCCCCATCAAGTCTTTTCAAGTCAGTGCAAGACTTCCCGAACAACCTCACATGCACCTCACCTCTCGCTCTTTCAGACTCAAGCCCATCCGCACACCTACACACCTCCTGCACACAGCCATGGCCACGGAAAAGCAGTCAGAAACTGGAACGACACCACCAACGACCGTGGAAGAAGTATCGCCGGCAGCAAGCGATACCCTCGAAGGCAGAGTGAAGGCCTTGCCGCCCGAATTAACAGCAATGGTGATGAGTTTCGCCTTCGCCCTCACCATAGGCGAGAAGGTCTGGGTGGGCAAAGGCTACCGGACCTCTGTGCAGCTCCAGGTCAGCAAAGCATTGAGGTGTGTACAGTCCAAGGCAGTAGCGATGCATGCCACACAACCAATGAATCTTGTGCAGGTGTGAAGTCGGCAAAGAATGCTATCTCCATAACCAGTTTCGCTTCGAAAGCTTGGACATGCTGGACACGTGGTTGCGCGCCCTTCCGCCGGACAGTCGAAGCATGCTCTCCCACGTTGTATTCACCGTAGCGACGAGCCTACCAACGACGACTGCCGCAGTAAAGGACGTGGGGAGAGAGTATCGGATCAAGGAGAAGCTTTGAAAGAATCTTGATCTGGACCACGTGCTGATTAGCATGGAGGTAGTGACCTGTTACAAGTAGGATGGGTCATGAAGCAGACATGGTCATGTCTCTCGCCTTCAAAGCGCAGCATCTCAGGGAGCATCAATGAGCGCTCTGCAGGCGAGAAGGGATGAGGTATATCATCCACATGGGGTTTGCTCTTCGCTAGTCGTATAACTCGAGCTGCCATGGGGAGTGGGCTGCGGAGTAGATAATCTAGCGGTGGTGGAATCAGCTTGCTCGGCGACATGGCTTTGCGATTGTGGAAAGCAACAAGACAGGAGTGAAGCTGTTGCGCTCGTTGTGGCAGTTTGATATTTTGCATCTCTTCAGCTATCCGCAAATACGCCGTAGCCCAGAGTGATGCTTCTCTTACAGCCCGTGGCCGCATAGAACGCTGACCATCCTGATACCCATCCCCTCGCTCATGCCTTCGTCTTCGTCTTGTTCGTCTCCCGCCCGTGCGCGATCCGCTCCAAGATCTTCTCCCTGTCCTTGTCCAGCTTCAGCTTCGTGATCTCGACCTTGCTGGGCGCGATGCCGATAGGCACGCTCTGGCCGTTGCTCTTCTCGCGGGAGACACGCTCGACGTGGATGACGTATTTGAGGCGGTAGACGGAGGTGACCTTGCCCTCGCGGCCCTTGTTGGTGCCGCGCTTGATCGTAACTTCGTCGTCTTTGCGGATGGGAATTGCGCGGACCTACGGAAAACTGTGTTAGGAGGCTCGATCTTTCGCTCGTGTTCGAAACTTCATACGTTGTGCTTGTCTCTGAGATCTGTGGCCGGGTCAGTACAGCATGCGACGTCTTCACACATCAAGACCTACCTCTGGAGAGCGGCGCGCTCATGATGACTCTGCGGACGCTGGAGGGGGCCTGGAAGTGAGCCTTGCGGCTCTTTCTCCGGCTCGAGTGCAGGCTGGTGTTGATCTTCGTCATGGCGGCGGTGGTGTTGTCGATTCCGTCGATGTCGAACTTCTGGAATTCAAAGATGAGGTCGGATCTCCAAATTCTGTGGGCTTGGCAAACTTCAAATCCCGCCGCCGCCCTAGCCGCTTTAGCTCAAGTGGCACGTGCGCTTCGACCTCAGCAGACGAATGAACCACTTCACTCTAGATGGATACGATCAAACGCGACAGAATGGAGATCGCACGTTCCCTTGAGGTGGTCGTCGTGACAGATGGAATCCTGGAACACCACACAGCATCGCGCGCCGTCTCCGCGAATCCGTCGACCTCACGGCAATATGCGCCTACCACGGAACGACTGAGCCCACCGGAGTGAAGTGAAGCCAGCACGATGTCGCGCTACAACCAGTATGGCAACTACTACGATCCGGTTGGGAGTCAGGCAAATCAGCCTACGGGATATACCTATCAAGGTGCTGCTTCTGGCTACGCGAACCCGCCATCTTCGACGGGACATGGGTCTACAAACTACCAGAGCTATGGGACACAGCAGTATGCGTCGAATGCGCCGCCGTCCAACAGCAGCACCACTCACGCGGCAGCTGCGTTGAGTGCTCTGAGCGGTCAGAACTACAGTCAACCATCTTCGACAAATACAACTTCAAGCAGCCGCTACGACAATTCGAATTGGTCCAATGCTGGCGCGAATACTGCTGGCTATGGCGCAAATACTCTGGCAGCGCCCAATCGCACTCAAAGCAACAACTCGCCTCTCTACTCGAGCGCGCACTCTCCAAACACCTTTGGTAGACGCAGCGTTGCCGAGCAGTCACAAAGCTCCATGAACTCGGATGGGACTTCTCAGATGACATACCAGAACGCGCCGTCAAGTGCGGGCGTAGGAGGTGGCTCATATCAGTCTACCCACAGCCAGCCATCAGCGCAACCGCCGCGGTACAACAGCCCCCTCCATGCCGTGCAAGCTCAACAACGGGGCCAGCCTCAGCAAAACTGGCAGTCATCAACCCAGAACCAATCGCCGCAGCTCGGTAATGCAAGTCATTCAACCCAGCACAATCGCCAGCAGATTGCGTCGGTTGAGCCTTCAACAACAGTCGATCCATCCCAAGTGTATGATAACCGGGCCGAGCTTCAGCGTAAAGCGCAGATCGAGGCCGAGAGGAGGAAAAAGCACGAAGCTGAACAGGCTGCGCGGAAGGCAGAAGAGGAGCGGATAGCTGAGGAGACGAGAAAGCAGGAGGCGGCAAGGAGAGAGGAGGAGGCTGCCAGAAAAGCGGAGGAAGAGGCTGCTAAGAAGGCAGAGGCGCAGAAACGTAAGAATGAGCAGAGGCAGAAGGCGAGAGAGGAGAAGAAGCAGAACAAGGACGCGGCTACGGTTTTGCAGCGAATGTCGTCCGGCAACGCTGATACATACGTCGAGCCTGCCGTGAATGACGAAGAAGCAGAGATGCGAGCAATGTTCCAGAAAATGCGAGAGTTCAACGCGAAGAACCCAGCAATGCTCGCGAAATTGTGGGATGAAGAGCGGAAGTCGCATGAAGCAGTTAAGAGTACTCCCACACCTACGCCAGCGCCAGCAGCGCAGGCTCCGGCGTCACAGCAGAAAGCGTTGAACGCGACATCCCCACAAGCGACAGCGGCGAACCAGATCCGACCTTTCGCCAGACCGGCCGCGCCTGCGAAACCTCCAAAGACTGCATCGGCAACCAAGCAAGGACCGACGCAACAGGCCACGCCGCAGCCAAACATGGCCCAGTCCCCGAAACTGCCACGAAACCAGTCCAACACCTCACTCTGGCCGCCGCATAAGAAGGGCGCTCTAGCAGAGGTAACTGCGAAATGGCTGCTGTCTATTCACGAGAACGAGGGTCAGACTATTTCACCGAAAAACGTGCTCGATATTCTGGATCAAAATCCTTCTTATGTGCGGCTGTGCGAGTCTTTGGAAGGCTTTGGCATGGTCTTCGACCGGTCCACTTTGGCACGGGAGTTGCTGAAGGCGGTGCCAGACGGCTTGAAAACGCAGACCGCGCCGAAAGCGGCAACACCTCTAAGCGGACTCAACCGCGCTGCAGCGCAAGGTACTGGCGCCTCAACCGGATCGCCTAACGTCCTAAGAGGCAAGGGGAAGCAGAGGAGGGAAGATTCGATGAGTGCGCCGAGGCCAACAAACACTGTGAACTACGAAGCTCCTATCTCTTTATCTGAGGTAGCCAGGGAACTCAGCACATCGGGTAGGCGGCCTTCGCATTCCACGAACATGCAGAACAGCCCGCCGCAGCAGCAACAGTACTCACAGAGTCCTTACTTCGCACAACCACCATCGTTCACCAATGGCAGCCGACCCGCTTCTCAGGCCGGAGTACCTGAGATGAAGCCGGAGGTCAAACCAGAAAAGCCGCCCAGACCACCTGCTGACAAAGAGGAGGCCGCACGGAAGCGTACTTTTGGCGATCTTGTCGACCTCACCGCGGAGGACTCTGATGAAGAGCAGGGCCCGCCGCCGAAAAGGGTGATGGGCCCCACGGCCGCGCCTTCCAATAGTTTCCCACCACAACATAGGGACCCTCTTGCTTATATTGCACAGCCTACCACCTTCAAGAATTATATGGACGCACCAAATCACGAGCATCGAACCAAGACAACGCATGGTCCGCCTGGCTTCACTGTTCCTACGCAGTGGCCACCGGGGTCTTCGAATGCACAGCCGCCGAAGCAAGAGAGTGGCGTGCCGTCGCCGTATGGACAACCGGCGACAAACGTTCTTCCTTCTCAGCTACCAGCGCCTCCTCGACCGAAGGGTCCAGCACAGGAACAATTACAGCTTGCCCGAATGAAAGGCAAGATGCTTGTCGAGCCCATCATGCGGGATCGTGTTGCGCGCAAGTCGAGGTACGACAGCCGCACCATCGCGAGAGATGTGCTTCTTGCCACCGGACGGCACCCGGACATGCGCGGGTTGAACGCACACTTGTCCGTAATGCAAAAATTGCTTGGACAGCATGGTATCGATGCGGAGGGCGGCAACAGGTTTGATCTGAAGACGATCAGGTGGGATGCCATCGATCCAGACCCGCCAAAAGTAGAGGAGAAGGAGAAGCCATTGGCGCCCAAGAAGACCTCTGAAGTCGACGCAGAACGCAAAGACAGCGAGGAGGTCGCGGTGGCTCAAGACACCGCCGCTCGCACCGCTTCACCGCCTGCTCTTCCAGCAAAAAAGAAGCGTGGTCGTCCCGCGAAGCTGACTAATCCCGCTCCCCCGCGTCCAGCAACTGCGGCTTCGCGTGACAGCCAAACGCGCACCAACCCACCAACGCCTTCACTTCCTTCTCCTGCCGACATGGCTTCCAGCTGCCAACCTCTCGGCTACTCCGCCTTCCAGCAGATCGACCCTCTGACCGGCAAGAAGAAGAAAGGCCGCCCATTCGGCTGGAAGAAGTCCGTCCATTCACGTGAAGCGCAAGGCCTCACACCCGCCAAAGCCGGCCATTCTATCCGCCCCAAGCCCGCACACGCGAACGCCTCGACTCCTGCTGCCGCCGAGCCCGCCGAACCGCACTACCAAGTCTACCGGTGTGAGTGGGCGGGTTGCAAGAGCGCGCTGCATAACTTGGAGACGTTGAAGAAGCACATTGTGAAAGTGCACGGGCGGCAGGAGGAGAGGCAGTTCGAGTGTGATTGGAAGGGGTGTCTAGAGGGTACGCTGGATGGGATTGAGCCGTGGCTGGCGCATGTGGATGAGGCGCATCTGACGCCTATTGCGTGGAAGTTGGGAGATGGGCCGAGTGCTGGTGGTGAGTAGAGGAGTGTGTGAGGGGAAGATGTGTAGATATTGTAGTTGCTGCGAGACGTGACTGCTCCGCACCTTGACAGACGTGACTAACAAGACGATGAATGAATACCAGACCCTTCAAGCTTTCGCGAGTCTCCACAAATACCTTCCTATCTCAAGGACAGCTACGGCAGAGCCGTCACGCCTGCGATAGCACCGCGCACGCCTGCCAAGTCGGCTACCTCGGACACGCAACAGCAAGATACGCTGCAAGAAACTTCACCACCACCGCAGCCCTCCTCGATGGAAGCTTACGGCCCCAGCAACCCAACAGAGACTAGAGGGCCAAAGTCTGCTACGCTTGTGCTGGACGCAGAGCTGAAGAAGCTGGAAGAGCAGCAGAGGATCGTAGGGCCGATCATGGGGAAGATGGGCTGTGTGCTTGCGGATGAAGGGAGGAAGCGGACTTTCCTGGATGATGAGGATTTCGAGGATGAGGTGGAGGGGAGTGAGCATGAGGATGGATGAGGACGGCAGAAGTGGCGGAAAGACAAGGCATGCGGTTGGATAGGAATTGAAGCATTTCCGATGGCAGATCGAGGCGATGTGCGTGAAGATGCTTGACTGCTCGGGCCAGAGATGCTCCGTTGCATAGTCTCCGACGTAGCGGCTGAGATTGGTGGTTGTTACAGAGCAGATGTGCTGCTATATCCTGCTTCATCTCCAGCTTGGGCTGTTTGGATTTCAGCGGCCAGATCGGATCCACGAGCCAAGTGCCGTTCACATGTCCATATTGACCCCACGCCTCTCTTCTTCTAACCCATGCTCGCTCCCTCGTCCCCCTCAAGCTCGGTGCTTCTGCCCTCGTCTCTCGCAGCACCTGTTCATCTCCTTGCTTGACATCCTAGCCAGCGTTCAAATGCACACCCTCCCTCTTCCGACCTCATCTCGCCTTCGCAGGCACAGCGTCCGCTTTCCGTTCCGCGCTCAGAGGCGTTGTGGCTTTGCCGTCGATGCTGTTGATCTCGAGGTAGTGGTAGAGGACTATGAGTAGCATCGAGGCGCTGCCCAGGAAGACTGCAATGTCGTTAGGATTGGAGGTGATGTAGATACGTGGCGCTCCAGACTAACCTGCGAGCGAGTACAACGCGTTGTCTGAAATCATGCTGACGACTTCGAGGGCTGGAAGAAAGTGGTTGCTGCCCATATGTTAGTCCGGACGAACTGGCATAGCTGTCATGTATGAGTGCTTGCCGGAGGCCACTTACGCCAATGGACTAGTGGATTTGCTACACAGCGGTTGTGGACCGGAACTCTATGATTCACGTCCTGTTCGTTGTCAAGTGGCCCAAGAGTTGTACTGCGATTGCGATTGACTTGAAGTAGTACATGTATGCAGGTGTTGTTGTCGGATTCAAGGTCACGTGCTACCCCAGTTTTGAGCCCCACTGACTTCACCTGCACGACATCTTCTCAAAACTCCACCACCTTCGGCGCACAACGGATCTTAACCACTTGTGATTGCAGTCCAGAGTCGCTGATGGAGAGCTTTCCTTCGCCTGCCGTCTGAGTCAACCCGCGCCCATCGAGCGACTTTGCCACACACATTACACCCACGGAAACCCCATCACACGACCACCCAACATGCCTCCAAAGAAAGGCAATGAGCCGCCTAAGAAGAAGATGACGGTCGAGGACAAGACCTTTGGCATGAAGAACAAGAAGGGCGGCTCAGCACAGAAACAGATCAAGCAGATCGCACAAGCGACAGCATCGGCCAAGACTCCGGATCAGAAGAAGAAAGAGGCCGAGAAGCAGCAGCGCGAGAAGGAGAAGGCGGCTGCCGAGCAGGCGAAGAAGGAAGCGAACGAGCTGCTTGGTAAAGCCGTTCAGACGCAGAAGGTGCCGTTCGGTGTCGACCCGAAGACAGTTGTGTGCGAATTCTTCCGCAAAGGCACGTGTGAGAAGGGCAAGAAGTGCAAGTTCTCGCACGACCTGGAAGCTGGCCGGAGGACTCAGAAGAAGAGTCTCTACACTGACACACGTGAAGGCGAAGAGGATGGAGAGGGCGAAGGCGAGGAGGGCAAGAAGAAGGATGACATGACCGACTGGGACGAGGAGAAGTTACGGCAGGTCGTGATGAGCAAGCACGGTAACCCGAAGACGACGACGGACAAAGTTTGCAAGTTCTTCATTGAGGCGGTGGAGAATGGGAAGTACGGCTGGCGATGGGTGTGTCCGAACGGTGGCGACGATTGCAAGTATCGACACTCGCTGCCGCCTGGTTTCGTGCTCAAGACGAAGGAACAACGGGCGGCGGAGAAGGCGATGATGGATAAGAGTCCGCTGGCTACGCTGACGTTGGAGGATTTCTTAGAGAGTGAGAGGCACAAGTTGAGCGGGACGCTGACGCCTGTGACGCCGGAGAGCTTCGCGAAGTGGAAGCAGGAGCGGCTGGACAAGAAGGCTGCGGAGGCTGAAGCGCAGAAGATGAAAGAGGCGACTGGCCGAGCACTGTTTGAGAAGGGCGACTGGGAGGTTAGTGATGACGAAGAGAGTGGGGATGAAGACGACCCGTGGAATCTGGAGGCACTACGGCGAGAGACGGAGGAGGCACGGGCGAAGAAGGAGGAGGAACGGATGACGAACGGTGTGGATGGTTGATGTGATCATGTGATTGCCATGAATGTTTTGTCTCGACGGCCTCAGATGACATTTTCTGTTCCAGGAAACAGTGCATGCCTTTTATGATCATGAGGAGCCTTCTCAATCTAGCTCCATATTCTCTCTCATGCAGTGGTGTATGAGGTCTTCCTTCTCGAACGCGTCCCTGTTAACGTCCGATGTTGCCATCGCCGCAGTGATCGCCACCGCTCGCTCCAGGGCTCGCGTCCTCAACTGCAGCATTCATCGAACCCTCCCTGTCAAACATGCTTTATGAAGGTTCAGTATCGCCATCCTCTTGATTCCTTCCCTCCACCTTCATGTTTCCGCGTCTTGGGTCCACTCATAGAACATGAAGTCCGGGCTGGCGTACTCGAGTTCTTCTCCCTCCTTTGCTTTGGTACGCACATATCGTAGCAGACCGTTGTGATTCGTGACCGTAAATAGAGAGCTCCTCGCATCGGTGATACCGTGGCCCTCCAAGCGGCTGGGGTATGCCTTGAGCGTCTCAGCGTCGTTCGTGACGAGGCCGGTTACAAGAAAGCGACATAGGAGCGCGCGGTTGAGTGGTCCCAGCGCTAGGAGCAATCTCTCCAGGTACATTTTGCCTGGCGAGATCATGAACACCCGCTCACCGTAGTAGATGGAGCTAGCTTCGGCCACAATCCGTTTGCAGGTGTGAAGGAGTGGTGGTGGCTTCCACTGGTCCGGACCGGATTCCAGGACGCTGACCCTGCAAGGGGTTATCTTCCTTTCGCGGTCGGCAAAGTACATGCGGTAGACGCGGTTGCGTAACTCGGCTGGTAACCTTCGCAGCAGTGGTGAGGTCTGGTCTTCGTCGGCGGCGGCGTTGTTCGTCGTGACTGAGGTGACGTTGTGTGACTCCATCTTGGCGGGCAAGTCTGGCAGCAGTGGTGAGTTCTGCTCCATACTGGCGGCGGTGATGTTCGTCGATACTGTGTTGACGGTGTGTGGATCGTTAGGTCGTCGACGCTGCAGGAGTGTGTCCTGCTCCATGTTGTCTTGTGGTGAAGTTGTGCTTTCGCTTGAGAAGTTTCACATCTTTCGAAGTGTCAGAAAGGTGGAACAAGGTGGCCTTTTGTAGGGGACGGTTCATATGATTATGAGAAAGTCACTCGTTTGGTGTGAGGTCCTTCCGGATCTGGTTTGTCAGGTACGTGGGTCAGCACAAGGCGGCCACAGCTACGATATGGAGTGTCACAGTGAGAGGCTAAGAAATCTTGATGATGCATACCTATATGATATCGAAGACGAAGTTGCCATAACGCACCACGTCTTGCCCGTCTTCGATGCATTCTCTCCGGAACTGGGGCGGTACAACATCTCGTGGTCGGCTTACATGCTCCTTAATGTTGGTCTGATCGTCGAGACTGGTTGCTTTGAGACCCCCTTGGACCGCAGCGGCAACACCACTCAGCTGATGCAGAGCCTCCCGTACTATCTGAGGCACCTTGCTTTTCGGATCCCGGTTGGGCATCTGCCTGGACAACGCGGCATACTTATTGTAGCGCTGTTGCAAAGTGTCGGGAGTGATCCCTCGTTTTTTAGCGATCGCTGCTATAAGGGGGTGTGTGTCAGGCCCAAGGAACAGATTCTTAATCTCAGCTGGACTCTGAACATCCCAGACCGAACATCTCGAGCTATTTGTCGTGTAGCTCTTGCTGTGGGCTTGGCCATGCTTTTCTGCCCGTGGATAGGGGGTGTGCGGCTTTGCGGTCTTCCTCAGATGCCTCGCCGTCGGTGTCATCGTTGTCGTTGCCAGTCGTATAGTCCTCAACTGATGCGTCGTACAGCTCTGGAACGACACCATAGAGTGTACAATGATGGCTTAGCCGCGCCGTGCCGATACGACAAAAAATACCGTTCTCTCCAGTCCACTCGAGCAAGAGAGCATTCGTGGTGCCGGCCGGCAGTCGCCTGTTCCATCGAAAGAAGAGCACCGGGACTACGAATGTTTGACGCACTGACTTCTCGACAACCGAGCCCGTCCAGAACTGCACCAGCTTGTCTTTCCTCTCCAGACCCTCCGGCCAGTGTTCGAGATTTAGATCTATTGGCAGTAGCCGGCCCTGCATCCGAAGGTAACCACTTTGAGAGGACCGAAGAGCATGCTGTCAGATTCTGTGACGCCCTCGAGCTGAACATCGATAATCTTGACCAGATCCATCGCACCCTTGGTCTCGAGCAGTTGATCAAGCTTCATGCTTCTGGGAGACAGCTTTCCACCACGATGCGCCCATGACCAAGAAGGCGCCACGTAGGTCTCTTCGGGCTGTGAAGTATCTAACGCAGTACGCTGTCGCGGATAGATGCGGTCCCAGAGCAGCTGACGTGGGAGCTAATGTTCCCACAGCCCGGCGACGTACCGCATACCGGATCGTTTATGAAGCAGACGTGCTATGGCGGAGATGGCAACAAGTCGGTCTGTGGGAAAGCTCAGATCGCAACCACTATCCATACGAGCGATCTCTGACCAGAACGTGATCAGCGGGTGCGTAGGCGTCCACAAGTCCAGGCCGTAGCATGTCGATTTTGCCTTTTCTTTGGCCGAGGGTTCGTCGTGAAGATCGGACTTGACCAATGCAACCTTGTCATTGTCGAGCAGCGCTTTGATGGACGACCAGACATAATTGACCCCAAGATCTCTGGGCTCCAGTGGTTCAATCACCTTGTCGGAGAAGATGTCCCACGATTTGAAACCCGCTTTGATCGGGTGGAGCGTCGAGTGGGCAGATTCAATGCTATCTTCTGGCTTTGCTTCCATGTCTCGAGAGCATGAGCACTCCCACAGCAGCTGACGCTTCGCGAAATCAACCACTCGAGGCGCGAGGAAGCGCTCTTGGACCACCCAGCCACGGCACATCAGCTTGGCATGGGAAATCTCGCTGGACCAGTCAACGTATGGGTCGTCACCCACATCATAAAGATAACGGGTGCCTGAAGATCTGGCAGAGCGCAATCGTTCAAGACTGATGAAGCTCTTCCTCCACTCTCCATCCAGTGCGCGCAACTCTGCAAGCAGCATACTGTTCTGCATACCCACATTCCTGGCACTGTACTGGAAGTTGGAGCCCGACCAGTCGAATTGGCCGTTAGTGTTTCCGAGAAACGAATTGAGATCTTGTTGTGACTCTGCTGTATCTGAGTGGAATAGGATTCTTAACGTGGCAGGCATCGTCAATTCCAAGCTCTCCCACTCCGCAGATGGTACAAAAAGTGACCTGATGTCAATCTTGGAAGCGTTCCATTGGCCATGTGTATCCCGCAGTTCCGTTCGTAATTCATACTCGTGAAGCTCTACGTTCCGCGCGCTGAAGGAAAAGTTGACACCACCTCGACGAAAGCTACCATTGCTGTTCCCGAGGAGTGAATCCAGGTTGGCCTGGAGAGGCGGGCGAATACAAGTGGAGATGAAGATGCGGTTATTGTCGATCTTGAGGAAAGGGTCCTCCCATGGGGGCATACCAGATATTCCGGATTTTTCCTTCGAGCGGACGGGTACACGCAGAGGCTGTATCAAGACAGGGTTCCTAGCTGTGAACAGGCCACCGTGAGGGTTACTAGCCTTAGTAGCGGCAATATTTAGCCACGACCGCTGGTATATGTCTGCCATCACGGCTGCTTGGTCGAGCCAGTCCTCTCGGGAGTCTTGTATGATGCACAGCGAGTCAATCCAGACGTATTGGACGTCAAGCCTGCGAGTAAGCTGAACGGCGTCCCTGAAAGTCTGTGGAAGGTCCGAAAACGCTATCCGCTTGAAGTAGGCGGCGTACTGTTCTTTGGTCAGTGATGGGATGGTGTCTTGAGATTGGCCCCAGCAATGGCTGAGCGTAGTGTAACGGATGTCGGCTGGAAGGTCGACTCCAGAGCAGAGTCTGATGTCTGTTCCAACATCTAAAATCCGTGCAAAGCGACGGCCCGATATCGTCTCGTGATTCTTGCGGCAGGCATCGTGGGTTGTCTCGCAGTTCTTGACCCAGGATCGGATGACATCTATGGACGAGGAGTCCACATCGTTGTTGGCTGATGGAGCTGGTAACTCTGACAATAATTTCTGCGCTTAGCACAATCAGTGTCTCAAATACCGTTCAAGCGAATGCTCTAGATATGAGTACACTTAGCCAGGAACAGATGCTGCCGGCATGTCTCCTTTACTTCTTGATCCCCTTTCCATGCCTTGAAGACGGCCATACATCCTATCACTCTCTGGCTCTCGTGCTCATGGCTCAAGCGAACGCCAACAGATGCTCGGTCTGCCTCGACACCATCGCACCATTCCAAGGCGGGCGTGATGATCTTGCTTTTGCCATCGTTGACGAGGGCGTCGACAAAACGGTGGCATAGCCCGCAGCCACTCGCCAAAGACGTCCGCAAAGAGTGGAAGTCCTCATGAAGCGGCTGCAGGTCTTTGTACAGGTTGTTGGGAAGATAGCTCCTAACATACGTGGAGGCTAGATCCGAGTACTTGGGCTCATCCAACACCGCCACGCATGGTTGGCATAGCATGATGTCGTTCAGCTAACAAGTCGGCTGCCAGCTGCGCACCAGAAGAAGCGGCACTCAGGAGACGCCTTCTTCTCCGCGACACAATTGCCTATTCTCGAGCTTGCGTAGCAGGCTCTTCCATTGGGCCAGGATGACCATGCAGTCTTCTTGACTCTTCTCCTCAGAACGATCTCCCGTCTAAGGACTGCTGAGCAACACCTCGACGTAGTTCGGGACGCAATGACAGATTCTTCCTCCTCCCGCGAAGATATCTAGCCTTCGCTGTTTGATGATGGAGGAGGAAGATGCAAATATGAGGGCTCACACATTCCCGTCCTTCGTCGTTCCTCCCGCACGCAGCGGCATGTGGTCAAGGCTGAGGTGAATGCAGCCCGCTGCTCACCGCACTTGATCTCGACATTCCTCTATCCAACGACCTCCTTTGCATTAAAGTTGAAATCAAACCCGTCGCCACTGCTGTGTCTTTGCCGCTCTCGTTCGAATTTCCGTCGCCGTCACATGTCCAAACGGTGTGCTGAAGATATTCTACTGGCCTCCGCGAAAGAAGCTATTGCGCCGCCAACACGGGTTTACTCCAGTAGCACATCCACCGACCACAGTTCCGCGTTCTCCCCCGACACGGGAGACAGGCTTTTCGTTGATTTCGACTAGCTGTCAGGAATTGCGCGGTTTTTGTCTATGTATCAAAGACCAATCATCTGGCATTCTCCCGCAAGATGGACATCGGCGTCGAGACCCCGAGTCTGTCGCCTGAGCTGATCTCACTCATATGCTCATTCATCGATACGAGGAAAACGCTGTACAACATCTCGGTCTGCTCAAATACCTTCTACGATGCCGCTGTGCCATATCTGTACTCCACGATCGATCTTAGGGCAAGCGATGCAAAACCAGTTGGTCGACACACGGACTGGTTTGGCCTCAGAAATCTGATATCTCTATTCTTGTCCAAGCCGAAGTTAGCCCTCTACGTCCGCGGTATCAGCATTAGAGGTATCAGCGACTTATCCGACGGCTCCCGGTTATCCATGGCCGAGCCTCCCATGGCAGTCCCACGTACGGTTCAGAGACTCATTAGTAGCATCTCCCCGGACGAGCAGGTATCCAAACATTGGGGGAATGCATACAGCGAAAACAACGAAAATGCATTGTTCGCGGTTCTTCTATGTCTGTTACCAAGACTTATATCAATAGACCACGACGTGCCTTCCAACCTCGATCCTTCGTGGGTACCCTACGTCTTATCGGCTAATGTGGAATACCACGAGCTCGTAAGGCAGTGCAACATCAACATGAAATCAGCTTTGCACATGCTTGAGACTACTACGCCTTCTCGCATACACGCTGAGCTGCGTGACATCTCCTGCATCTGCTTACCGGACTCTCATCACAGTCCAAAGCATTTCTTCGAGCACTCTTCGGTGAAGCGACTTTTTTTGAACAATATTCGATCAGATCTCAGTCAACGCTATTGGCGCACCACGAGGACGATGCTCCGAGATCTGGAGTCATCCAGCTCGAATGTTGAGCAGATCCAGCTCTTCGACTGTTGTTTCGACGATGCCGATGTGACTGATATCCTTCGAGTCCCTAGGGCTCTGACTAGTTTCACATACGAGATCGGCAAGAATGACAGCCTAAGAGAGGCAGTCTCCGATGCTTCCCGTCAAACCCTTCTCCATGGTCTTGAGCGCCATGTCACGACCCTTCGAAGCCTATGCGTGGACAGCCAACATGGGTGTGATGAGGTCGAAGAGGTAGTGGCAAGAGTAACGCCATTTTGGGGTTTACGACGATTCGAGAAGCTTGCCCATTTACGGATGGCAGCAATATTTATGATGGGTCGTCATCGAGCCGACATGGACATCCTCGCGAATCTATTACCAAGCAGTATAGAGACACTGGAGATCACGAAATGCAGCGAGTATTTCGGCAACTCTCCTGATCAAATCTTCTGGCCCATCCAGGAGCTCTTGCGTATGAAGGCATCGTTTCCGCGGCTCTCGAGCATCGCTGTCGGAGTGTCCCTAGACTTTTTATTGGAAACGGTCGAGATGGAGGAGGAAGGCAAGTGGTATTCATCGATGTTTCGACGGGCCAAAGAAGTCGGTGTCACAATCACTCTGCTCGTTGAAAGGGAGGGTTCCCAGTCCTTTGAGTTCAAAGAGGCCATCAACAGGGACATTGCATGGGCTGAAATTCGCGACGGAGGCATTCCGATGGATTGGACAGACTCATATCAGAGAGTGAATCGGAGAGTGACTATGGAGTGTATGGCCCCGAGCGGCTCTGATTAAGCTACCTCCACTGTATCTCGCTGGACCGCTCTTTCGCATCGGCCTGCAGCATCCAGCTCGCCTGGCTTACGGTCTTGAAAGAGTTGAACGTGAGGTTGATCTACAGGTTCATGGATGCCTAGTGGAGGACCAACCTTTTGTCCTTGGTGCCGACTCGTGAGGACGCAGAGTAAGGTAGAGGGCTTTTCGATGAGCCATGTCTGCCTCCAGCCGCTCTAGGCTGCAGAAGTATTGTAATTCCTGCGGCTGAAGTGCTTCAAAAGGCTTCTGCCGATGAGGTGGTTGAGAGTCCTCTCTGCCGCCGAACAGCTGTTGTTTGTACTCCTACGGTTATGCCACGGGATCGGGCACAAACAGACCTACCTGCAGGGCCAGCTACTCCAGCCCTCTCACCTGAGCTTCTGTCCCTCGTTTTCTCCTTCATCTCCGACCAGACGACTTTATCCATGGTTACTAGGTACTCTAAACAATCCCACGACGAAGCGTCGCCTTACCTGTACCGGAAGCTGGACATCCGACCACGCAATCCAAATACTTAGGCCAGCGAAGGCGATCGATTCCGTCTCAAACACTTCACCGATGTCTTCTTGAAGAGGCCACGACTCGCCGCTCTGGTGCGGCATTTGACCATTCGGCTTGCCCTTGCGGATGCCTCCGAGTCCAATCCCAAGCAGGGATCCTCCAGTCACCGGGTCACTGTGCCGACCGCGGTTCAGCAACTGATCGCTGGCGCAGCTGGCAGTCCCACCCAACAAACGGAATGGATCGAAGCCTACGGCATCGGGAACGAGGATGCTATGCTCGCAGTCTTGCTGTGCACTCTGCCCAGGCTGGGGACGCTAGACGTTACGATAGCTCTTGACGCTCCTTGGACACAATACGTTCTCTCCCTTTCGAAGCCTTATCACGAGCTGCTGCATCTTCCACTGGCAGAGGCCGAATCATCCTTACGATCACAAGACCGCTCCCTTGCCGCCCGCCACATTCATGTAGAGCTCCACGATATCTGCTGGTTCTGCACCAATCTAAGCGGCAGCGCTCTCTCCCAATCATTCTTCGCTCTTCCGTCCCTCAAGCGATTATACCTCTATCACATTGGAAGCGCAGCACCGCGCACACAAGGCTCCTTTCCCCTCGACACTGAGACGCTCGCCCTCAGCACCCTCCTCCCATCCACTTCCAGCACGAGCTGCGAGAAAGTTCCATCTGTATCGCAGACCTCCACCATCTCCTCCGCCTCCCTCGGCCCCTGACGAGCTTCATCTTCGAAATGGGCCAGCAGGTCCCAACTTTCATCCACGCCCGCGAGCACCGACTCGAGTACCTCCAATGCCTGCAGGAAGCTCTACTGCCACACGCGCCGACGCTGAAAACGCTCTGTCTGGACTTTAACCGGGACATCTGGATGATGGAACAATATCCCAACCCTTCGATCGGAAGTCTGCGGCATTTCTCTCAGCTGACCGAACTCCGATTGGCGAATCTCTTCGTCTTCAGTAGACTCGACGATGGAACGGCGGGTTCGCATTAGAGCTCCACACCAATGTTGCCGGAGACGACGCTAACGGATCTCCTCCCACCCAGCATCAGGGCGCTGCAGTTGACGAAATGCGAACACCATCTCCAACGGACTTGCGCGGCTGTGCGGCATCTCTTGGACTGCCCTACGGCATTCCCAGCGCTCGAGAGGGTTGATTTAACGACCAACCACACGTCAAGAGACTCAGCCTCCTGGCTGCGAGCCGCGTCCAGTGGTGCGAAGCCCTCCTCCTCCACTCCCAGAGCTCTGATGTGAAAGTCTCTATCCACGGAGAGTGGAGAGGCTTTGAGCACGAGGAGAGGGGCTGGGGCTTCAGAGGAGACGTGCATTGGGCGCCTCAGATCGATGACGTGGGGCTTAATCGGCCGTGGTTGAGGCAGGCGGTTAGGCTGGAGGACTGTGGGAGTATGGGTGAGTTTAGGGAGAGGGTGTGTGGGAGGGAGGGGTGTGGATATTGCGTCGATTGATCGACCAAGCTCGCTGCAAAGGGGGTATATAACTCTGTAAAATCACTGTGCCAATCCACCACACCACACTGTAGAAGCAACTCCACTTTCCCCCTCTCCGCTCCCACCTCCACACTTTCCTCACCACTCCTCCCATCTCCCTCAAAGATCCGGATCCTCAACCCCCTCCGCCCTCTCCCCGGCCTCTCTTACCCCCAGCCCCGTCTCCTCCGCCACCCGCACCTGCACGTTCCGCATATGACACACCACAATCGCCAAAGCCAGCGCATTCCAGACATCGTACGCTTTATCCGCCATTTGGAAGAAAGCAATGGATTTCACGTCTGGTTCGGCGTCAGCGGGGTTGTAGGCCACCAGCGCGACTAGGGTGCCGGAGGCGATGATGGCGTAGAGGGTTGGGAGGGGGTGGGAGAGGATTTGAGATTTGGTGGAGATGGAAGAGGGTGAGGACTCGATCGATGGTTTGATCGCGAAGGCGGCGCGGTAGCGGGCAGCGAGCGCGGCGAGTTTGGCGCGGGCGCGTTCTTGGAGTTCGGCTGCTGGGGTTGAGGAGGGGCGGCATTGGAGGGTGAGGAGGGGGATGGCGGTTTGGGGGTCCAGACCTGAGTCGGTGGTGGCCCATTTCATGTACTCTTTCATCATTTTCTTGGTCTGGAGTTCAGGCGTGATGTTGGTGTTGGGTAAGATGAGGCGATCCCTGACTCTACCGCCCAGCTCGAAGAGACACTCGAGCGCTTTGCTGCCACGGGAGAACTTGGTGCGTTGGGGGCAGAGGATGGCGTCGTCGTCGGCGGCGAACAGGGCGTCGGGCATCCAGGGCCATTCGAATTTGTAGTAGTTGGGTAGGAGAGGCTCGTAGCCGCGCATGGCGATTTTCTGGACGAGAGCGATATGGTCGTCGTCCCAGCCTTGGTCACGGAGTTCTTGCTCGGAGATGCCGCGGTCGAAGGCTTCTTGCGCGGGGGAGATGATCTTTTTGCGGTGGGGTGAGGTGTAGTCGTGTTCGGAGACGAGGAGGGAGGTGTCGCCTTGCACGTCTTCGTCGTAGTAGGATTCGTGGTCCGCGGGTGTGGAGGAGCGGTCGAGGTGGATGTTGGATTCTGCTTCGACCTCGTCGTCGTCGTGTTCTACATCATCCTCACTCGCAGCCTCCAGCTCCACGTCCTCGGAGTCTGCTTCGTCCGCGCTGTACTCTTCTTGCCCGAGCTGTATGCGCATAGCGCTCTCATCCTCGTCATAATCGTCCTCCGAGTCTTTTTGCTCCACCTTCAAGGCCTTTCTTTGATGACCACTCGCCGCGCTGGGTGTCATGGGCGTCTTCCTCTTCCTGCCCGCCTTGCTGCTCCCACTGAGCGTAGACTGCGCGCGCCAACAGTCCACCCGCTCGATCGGGCTCATAGACTTGGTCTGCCTCACTGCATCCTTGGTCGTAGATTTGGGCCGCCCAGGTGGTCGTCCTCGCTTTCTGGCTGGCGGCGCGGTCTGTGGTGTCGCGTTGCGTGTCGCATCGGCTTTACGTGGTGATATGTAGGACCAGAAGCGCGAGAGGAGCGCCATGGCCAGTAATATGGTGAAGTATATTCGGATTCATGGAAGAGGTGTTGGAACAAGAACGGGGTCGTGAACAATGAAGTGAATAAGATACATGTGCTCATTGTTCTGGAGAATGCAAGGCCCGCATCGGGTTAGATCGTGCAGCTGTTCTCCGGGAGCATAACGTGAGCCAGACGGATGGATCAGTCGCAGTACTGAGGTGTGAACTGCTTGTCCCACGGAGATGGCTACCTGATTCAGGTCGTCCTTACCCCCTTCTCCGCCCCAGTGATATGGTGCTATACAGCTGTCCATGAGTATGAGAAGATTGTTCGTGACTGGGAGAAGAAGGCTGAAGCTGGCCGCATTGGGCTGGAGCATTACGTGCATTAGGGTGGCGGGAACAGCCGCCGCCGGATTTTTCGTCATCAGGCGCGTCGTCCTCGGCCTCACGACAACAAACCCATTCTCCACCACGCGGCCCCTCCACCCCCCACCACAGCGACAGCAGACAGCAGCAGCAGCGACAGCAACCGCGGAGATGGAGGATGTGATGGACATCGATGGTCCGTCCTACGATAACTACAGTGAGTCCTACTTTCTTCCTTACATTCCTTCCATTCGCCTGCATGCATGACCCACTCTCCGGCATCGCAGCTGCATGCTCGTACCCCCCTCCCCCCCTTCGCACCCCTGTCTCTGTCTTGGAGAAGGCGTTCGGCTACCTACTCCACCCTCTCATCCCGTCCCCCTTCTCGCGCAGCAAAACAAACCTCAGTGGCACGACGCGCTCCATGAGAGCTCATTGCGGTCTCGGAGAACGCGTCAAATCCATCACCTCCATCATCACAATGGCCCGCTGAGCACCATGAGACGCTCTTGCCGTCTCAGAGAGCGCCTTCCTCAGCATCTCCAGCATCAAGACACACGTCAATGCACTCAGACACCGAATACGCCCAGGTCGCTGTTTCGGAGAAGACGCACAGCCCTTCACGGTTCTTCACTTCACATAATCCACTGAGCCACCTCGCACACCTACTTCTACACACTTGTCATTCTTCTTTCACATCGCACCTGCCTTCAGCACAAACAACTCACTACTGCCTCTTCCGGAACATCTACTAACATGCCTCCAGCCCCGTCGTGGTACATACCGAACGCCGACAACGACATCAGGGCCAACATTGGCCTGTATAGCAACAATAACAACACCACCACGACCACCTTCGCCCCCTCCCAGAGCGCGACCAAACGCAGCTACAGCGAGTACTCGGCAGACCGTGACAACATCACCACACGCCTCAACCCAGCGTTCTCCCGCAACAGCGTCTTCTCACCACTTCTCATCTTCTCACAAACACCACCGAAGCGCACCCCGCCGAAGGGAGGCCGACCACAACCAAGGTCTATCCTGAAGAAGCGTGTCCCATTCCACACACAAGCCATCCCAGCCATCGAGCCACAAGAGGAGGCACGCGACCCATCGGCGCGTACTGTAAGCGGCATGATCACCACAATCTATACCACTGCCACGAGCTACTTCTCTGCACTGTGGGGTTACATCACCAACACCATCACCGGCGGTCAAGAGCAGCAGAACGAAGATATACGGGCCATCGAGTCGAACTCGTCCGGCACCAAGAGGCGCGCCGTCTCGTCACCGTCGGCCGCCATCTCATCCCCACCAACCCTCACCACAGCACAGCAGCAAGTCACTTCACCATCGGGTATGCCAGGAAGCTTCCCGCAGACACAGACAGCTCAGCTGGAGACACCACCTTCCTCGCGCCCTAGCTCCTCCGGCTCTGACCAGGAGAAGAAGCACGACAGCCCGACGGAAGACGACAGCTCAAAGACATCACATCCGCCACAAGAGCAGGACGATGCACCATCTAACCCTCCTACCCACCACAGCGCGACAGATAGCTACGGCGCTGCGCAGGTCATGCCACAGACCAAGCAGAGTGCGACAGATGGCCACGGCGCTACTCCGGTCATGTCACAGACCCAGCAAAGCGCGACAGATGGCCACGGCGCTACTCACAACTACCCTCGCATCCGAAACAAGTACGCATGCATCACACCATCATCACCATTGGACTCGGCACAGCCATCAGAGCCAGTCGACTTTGTGTTGGGTCAAATGCAGAAGAAGAAGTCTCGCAAATCGAGACTACCGCCAGAGGCACGAAAATGGAAACCACGACCATATTTCAGCACACAGAAAGCGGAAAGCTCCAGCACACCAGCGGAGAACAACCAGAACGGCGATCCACCACGATCGATCACCGAAGCAGCCGTCAGGAATAAGCTAAAAGATCTCATCGTCGATGAGCGCGTTAAGAAGGTGCAAGTCGCCATCGACAGCCCAGCGAGGCGCGAACTCAGCAGCAGCTGGAACGATCGCAAGAAGTTGAAGGAGACGCAGAGGCGCGAAAAGGAGGCAGAAGAAGCAGCTCAACAATGGGCGCGAGACGAGGAGGAAGCCAGACAGGTGGCTGAAGCAGAAGATCTTGCAAGGCAAATTGAGGATGCAGAAAAGGGATATGAATCTGAAGAGGCGGAGCCCATCATCCCCACACTATCAAAGGCTTGGCAGGCCAGAGTGGACGAAGAGATGTCCACCAAAGATCACCGCAAGAGAATCGCCACGGACGCCAGTGGTACTGACCTCACCCGCCACGACTTTGGAACTCTCATCCCGCAGGCGGGATCGAGGGACAACCCCTCAGGCTGGCTCAACGACGAAATCGTCAACGCTTGGTTCGGGAGAATCGTCGCAGCAAAACGAGACCCGAACAGCAAGGTCAAAGTGACCAGGCGAGGTGCACCATCATCTCACCAAGCACACTCAAGCATGTGGTACAACACGTACAAGAACAGCGGCATCTCCGGCATGAAGGGATGGTCGAGAAACTGGTATCAGACCTCAGACCAATTCTTCGCGACCGAGAAGGTGTACTTCCCCATCAACACCGGCGCACACTGGACGCTGCTGGTCGTCTCCCCAAGAACTCGCTCGATCGAGTATCTGGACAGTCTGGGCGGGAACGGCGGCCATTTCGTCCGAATCGCGCGTGAATGGATCCAAATGGAGTTGGCGAAATTCAAACTCGACTATGTCGAAGACGAGTGGCGATACGCCCTCGAGTTCAAGAGTGGTCTACAGTGCAACAGCAACGACTGCGGCGCCTTTACCTGTCTCAACGGGATGGCGAGTGCGCAAGGGCGTAAGGGTTATGAGGCGCTGGGAGACTGTGAGAAGGAATTGGGGATGGGGGATGGACGGCGCTTCATGGCGGCCGTTCTCATGAATGGGGGTTTTCAGGGGGAGTTTTTGCTGTGAGATGGAATCTTTTTGGGGTGTTTGGGTTTGGGAGAAGGCGTTTTTTGATTGGGCTTTTGGGCATGGACATGGACATGGGAATGGGCAAAATAGACCTGACGCGGCGATCGCAGGCTACGATTGATGGAGATGATGTTCCCCGAGAGACGAAATGATACCCCAGATGAGAAGGCAATTCGTTTGAGCGTTTGTATTGAGCGTATAGCGGAGACCAGAGCTGGTTCTCCTTTATTGAAATTGAATTGAAAGTGTTTTCGTCATACTTTTCATTACATTCCAGGTTGTTTTGATCGCGGAGAAGGGGCGGATGGGATGGTACATCTTGCGGCCGACTTCTCCTACATCTCGATGCTTCTGCTCCTCACATCTGGACTGCTGTGGACGTGTAGGCTCCTATCTCAATCTCAGAGAAGTTACCACAAAGCATGCAATTAGCCTCGTCTCTCACAGTCCGATGTTCTCCGCCCGCTCATATCGCCCCGCCGGCGGCTTTGGATGTGGTGTTTCGAGCATAGAGAAGACTGCCAGGGAAGCAGATGAGATGGACGGCTTCTCTTTGGTCGATGCGGTGCTGCTGCTCTGATCGCAGCACCCCGGGCTATGGATGCGGAGTCGGAATCTGGGAGAAGGCGTCGACGGTTAGGGGTGGGAAGGGTTGTTTCTCCCGGGGTTATGATTCTCCTCGCCGCTGCGTTCGGTACCTGTTGTCGAGGGGGTCAGCACAGGAGACGGAAACATCCATGCTGAAGGCTTGCTCGCTTCTTGGGAGGCTCGGTCGGCCATACTGGCGGGATGGACGAGCGTGAACGGGATCTTTGACGTATGCTGGAGCGTTTTGAATGAATAGGGCTGCTGTATTCGATGTGCGATGAATAGCGAGGTAAGAGATGTCGTCTGCTTCTTTAAGAGGTCCTGTCTTGATCGCAGAGAAGACGCCGGACGTCGGATGGGATCCCTCGCCTCCCCATGATCGAGAGGGTTCTGGTGCTCATAAATTACCTCTCGCGAGCCCAGAATGTCTGGCATTGGCTCAGGAGAAGAATTCCGCACCCTGGGCGAGCGCACCCCTTCTCTGAGACCGAAACCGCTTTCCTGCTCACCACAGAAGTCCCATGGCCGCTTGGATTTTATGACGATTCTGGGAACGAGATTACAAAGAGGTTGCCCCTGACTCGTGTGGGTTTGAAGACAAGCTGGTAAGTAGAAAAGGCCGTTGAACACAGCAGAGACATCGTCTTTCGGTTCTTTAGTTCAGCACAGACGCAAGCATCGCGGTACCAGCTACTAGAATCTCGTAGATCGCAACGCCATTCTGGTCCCGGTCCCATTGCGTCAAGACGGTGGCTGCAAATGTATATCGCATCAATGCTGTCAGAGCGTAGAAGTGACGATCGTTTGAGTACGCCCCAAGTGCGCCGTAAGCGCCTACGCCGATCGAGCCTAGACCTGGAAAAAAGAATTAGTACAGACTAATTGTTGTCCATGGGTCGGTAATCGGTATACCGATGCTCTGTAAAGCCTGCTCACTGGAGCCTACGAAGGCTGGACCCGCCTGCTTAGCCCACGCTCGCGGGGAGAAGACGACATAGAAGCCTTGCGCGATGTTGAGGAAACCGTGTATGACCAGAATGATGCGTAGGATTTGCTTGAAGGGTGACATCGCATAGGACTACATGTGTCTGGGACATATGGGAGAAGTTGCTCTAGCTGAGTTCGTTGTCAGCTGAAGTCCATTCCCTCCAGCTCCGCCCAAATAGGCAGGAGCATGCACGGTCCGAGCCGCTGTTGCAGCTTTAGTTCAACGACATTCGCGAAAAGCGCTTCCCTTGCATCGACACCATTTCTCCCACGAACCATGACCAGCGTTGACGAACTCTTCAAGAAGCCCAATCTCCCGTCCGGCTCGACGAAACGCAAGTTCGAAGCGCCAGACGCGCAAGCAGCATACAAAGCCACGAAACTATCAGCGAATGGCTCTCCGAACGGCACCGCGCAGGCCAACAGCGCGACGGTAGAAGATGACGAGGACGACGATGTCGAGGCTGGACCAGAACCACCTCCAGATGACGAAGGCGACGACGAAGAAGGACGATTCTTCGGCGGAGGCGTGACGAAGGATGCTGCACAAGCGCTCGACTACCTGGACGAGCAGGATGAAGATGGCTACAAGGAGGAAAAGATCGACTCGGGGTGGTTGAGAAGGCTGGCCGTGAGTTTCGAGAAGAAGGCGAACAAGAACTCGGAGTTGAGGGCGCGGTATGAGAGTGAGCCGCAGAAGTTCATGGCCAGTGAGGCGGACCTTGACGCCGAGGTGAAGAGCTGGAGTTTGTTGAGTGAGCATCCGGAGCTTTACATGGAGTTTGCTGAGAGTGAGAGTCTGGCGCTTCTGGTGGGGCTGCTGGCTCATGAAAACACGGATATTGCAATTGGTGCGATCGAGATCATCTCGGAACTCCTGGACGAAGATGTTCAAGCTGAGCAGGATCAGTGGGATGCTCTTGTCGCGGCGCTGCTGGATGCGGATCTACTCGAGCTCCTTCTGAGCAATCTGGCGCGATTGGATGAGGCGAATGAGAGCGATCGAAGCGGAGTGTATCACAGCCTGGCGGTTCTGGAGAACTTGGCAAGCCAGCAGTCAATCGCGGAGAAAGTTGGTCAGGAAAAGGTTCTAATGTGGCTATGCAATCGCATCAAAGAGCCTGAAAAGCCAGTCGGACAGAACAAGCAGTATGCGGCGGAGGTGTTGCAGGTGCTGCTGCAGTCTTCGCCTCTACTGCGCAAACGCCTGGCTGTGGATATCGACGGGGTTGATCTATTCTTGCGCCTACTCTCAGCCTACCGGAAACGAGATCCGCCCAAAGACAGTCCAGAAGAGGAATACGCGGAGAACCTTTTCGACGCTTTGGCGTGTGTCGTGGACGAGGCAGAAGGTAAGCAGAAGTTCGTTGAGGCGGAGGGTCTCGAGCTATGCCTCATCATGCTTAAGGAAAGCGCTTTCAGCAAAGTCCGCGCTCTCCGGCTTCTGGATCATGCTGTTGCAGGCCAAGGGGCAGCATCGGCGGAGGTGTGCGAGAAACTGGTCGAGGCTGCAGGATTGAAGGTTCTGTACAGCATGTTCATGAAAAAGGCCGACAACACTACCGTTGAGCACTTGCTCGGCATCTTTTCTGCGCTTCTGCGGTTGTTACCAGGCGAATCTTCAGCGCGAATACGGACGCTAGCGAAGTTCTTGGAGAAGGATTACGAAAAGCTCACGAAGCTCGTGCAGTTACGGAAGGACTATGCGCGTAAAGTCGCCACGGGGGATGAAGGCATCCAGCTGGAGCAGAGGATGCTGGATGAAGAGGAACGGGAGGAGCGAGCAGACGAGTTCTTCTCGCGGCGGCTTGACGGAGGCTTGTTTTGTCTGCAGACCATTGATGTGGTGCTTGCGTGGCTCATTGCAGAAGACGGCGGGGCGAAGACGCACATCAGCAGCGGACTTGGTGGACTGGAGAACGTTCGGAAGTCTTTGCAGGAGCAGATGGCTCTCTTGGATCCTCAAGCTGGCGATGATGAAGATGCGAGGGATATGTTGAGCACACTCATAGACTTCTTGCAATGATTATTGGCTCGCTCCAAGAGCTCCATGGAAAGAACTTCTATCTCGGCTAAGAGTAAGGCTTGATCCGTATGTCCATGTCTGCGATCCATGGAAACGTAACGAATCACAGGGTATCCGGTCCGGGCAGGGAAGCCCCGTAAGGCTCGGTAACGAAAATGTCTTCGCTGTACCGCTCTCGGATGCTGACTCGAACACCATTGTCTTGACCAAGCTGCGGAAGAGTCCGGAACAAGCGTTCTCGATAGATCGCAGCTGAGCTCTTCCTGACATCCAAGCTAACGCTCGATAACGCAGGAACACTCGCACGATGCGACAGCAAATGCTCTAGCGAAGCACAAGTCCGGTCAACGAAAGCGTCGCCCACCCCGAGCTCGAACGTTTCGATGTGGCGCGGCAGCAGTTCCATGAAGACGGTTTCTGGCGACCCTGCATTGGCAAAGTCTTCCAACGACTCCCAACCGGGCGTCGGCTTCAGGGCAAGCTGATTGAATATTAAGCCGGCCGACAAGCGCACATGGGTGAGCTTCTGAAAGCTCTGCAAGCTGTCGATCCACGGCGTGTCAAATGTTGGAAGGTAAGGCCAATCGTTGTCGTCGGCGTCAAGGCAGAGGTGTTCCAGACTCTGTTCATGCTGGCCTAGACTTTGGCGAAGCTGCTGATAGTCCGATCTAGACTGCTCAATGTGCTCCGGGTGGATCTCGTAGACGAAGCTTTTGAGAGCCTTGGGGAACCGCAGCGCTCCACTCATGTCAGAATTGTTCAGCTCACAATAACGCAGCTCGAGCTTTTCCATGTTGGAGCTGGCAGGCTTCAATTTGCGGAGTCCTTTCTCATCTCTGGGTAGGTGGCCCCAAGGGTTGTGTACACCGTTGGCACTCCGGAAGTTGTCACAAGAGATTCGCTTTGCGGAGGATATGTCCAACATCTCTTCAAGAAGGTTACTGTGCTCGGGTCCTGTACTGCTCCAGCGGACATCTTGCAGTTCGGGAAACATTGGGAGACCAGCGACTGGTCTGAAGCGAAGAGGCAGGGCATCCTCGAGCTCCTGCTGAGAGGTTGACACCAGAGTATGGTAAGCACACCTGAGGGCGACGACTTTGGGTACCCACTCCATGTTCATAGCTGTAGCGAGGTCTATCGACTTCAGCCGTGGCAATGTACACAGGAGGAAAGCCAACATGGCATCCTCACTATAGGCGATATAGGCCTCTTCCAGGCTAGGTAGCTCCCAGAACTTGCGGTCGTAGTCCTCGAGGGCTGCCAGCAGCTGCTCTACGTGGTCTGGTAAATCCCTCTGTTCGGAAATCATGGCGTACTTGCCGCATCGACATTGGTAAACCCCATGTCCAGCATTGTTTGTAAAAGCTGGCCATATGCTGAGTTTCCGAACAAGAACGGCGATTTGAGGCTTCTTCATGAACAATTCCAGCAGGCGGCCGAGCCCAAAGCGGTCGTGGTGGTGACGGCGGCCCTGTAAAAGTGCGTGACAGCGTTAGCATGTGTCTCGATACTCCGAACGAAGGTACTGGGCCGCGAATCGTCGTGTGGAGCTCGATGGGGTGTTGAGGAAGAGTACTACCCATCGATGCTTACCACTGCTCTCCGTGGTCGAACGTCCAGCGTCTCGTAGAGGTAAGGCAGCGCGAAATCGTAGAATTCTCTCGAACAGAGGGCTACATTGGCCAATGTTTCAGTCGTCGCGAAGGAGACGATGTATGATAGTAGCTCCGCAGGAAGTTGCTGTTGTGACATTGTGATTTTGTCCATTGTAATACAAGATCAAGTTGCCTGGAGAGAAGAAGTGCGGTGAGCTTTGGGGTATTGGCCGGCTTGAACCACGCCTTCAGATCTTCCTACATATCAATAGTTGTCTTTCTTTTTGAGCACCATGCCCCCAAAGGACTTAAGCGTCTCTATGCTCAAGAGCAAAGCTCAACGTACTTCTTGTCCAGCTACATTGGAGTAACTACTGAAATGCATCGTGGAACACAAATGCATTCTACCCGTCCAAAGACTAACGTATGGTGCTTCTGACGACTCATTGGCTTTGCTCTTAACGTCTCATTATCTCCAACGGCACCAAAAGCGTTGGCTTCGTGTATCAAGAACTCCCACATACCACCTTCCGTTGCCTACTATGACTTCACTTGCTCCTCTAGAGATTCCAATGTGACGGCCTTGTAGCTGGGAGCCTTGTTAAAGTCGGGGAGCTCGTCGTATATCTGCTCAGCCCATTCGACCTCTCCACTGAAACCCCACCCTCTCTCCCGATCTGACATTCCACACTGCTCCCACACAATGACCCAGATGCCACTGGTCTCCGCAAGGCGTAACAGTGAACAAATTTCAGCTTCGCGCCCGCAGTCCCGTACTGTTCCTTCCTCGATGCGAAGAGAGATCGACGACAGCTGAGGCAGCGAAGAACGATGCTCCAGAATATATTGGACAGCCGAGCACGTTTCTTTCAGAGTCTCATCGCATTTTGTCAGCTTCAACGTCGTGATGTTGCGTGGCAAGATATCGAACAGACAGGACTCGCGGAAGACATCGTCGCTCGAATCGCCCCCAAGCCAGAAGATATTCGCCAGTTGCAGCTTGGACAGCTTCGTGAAGTCTTGTAGGCCTCCAAGCGCTGCCGGTGGCATCGTCTCGTCCATGGGTTCTTCCTCCGTGTAATCCAATGAGAGCGTCTCCAAGCTCGAATTGTGTCGATCTAGCGCCTTTCGAAGGTTGCGCATCTCATTGACAGTGTGGATGCGCTCGCTCGACGAACCAATCTCCCAGATGAAGCTGCGTAGAGCCCGCGGCGTCTGTAAAATGGTTATGATATCGCTAGGCGCGAAGGAACACTGCCGTAGTTCTATCGATGTAATGCTCGAGGTGCCATCTGGCAGCTCGCGCAGTTCATTAGGGTACATGTACGGATTCGTCCAGACAGTGTCGTCCCAAGCACGCTCGATGCTGTCGAAAAACTGGAGGTACAGCCGCTTCGCCGATGGAAGGTTGAATAACGCTTCAGTCCACACAAAGGGAGTTTCATGGTCACGTTTGCCGGACCAGCAAATGTCGCGAAGCTCACAGTGAAGCCGTTGGCCAGCCGTAGTGTGTTCTTGCGCCGGGAGGAGCCTTGCTAACTCTGTCTGAGACATGGACAAGAAGGTATGGTAGGGTTTCGTCACGGAGAGGGTGCGGAATACGAAGGGAGCTGAGCCAGAGATAGCAAAGTCTATGGTTGCCAACTTCGGCAAAGTACACAACAGTACAGCCAGCATGGCGTCTTCGTTGTCGCGACTGTAGCATTCGTACCACGCCGTTCGGGTGAGATGACTCGCAGCAGTGCCATGGATGAGCTGTCTGACTTTCTCAGATGCTGGAAATCGAACTGGGGAGTTCTCGTCGTACTCTTCGAACCCATCGATGAAGGCAGGACGAATGCTGAGGGTCCGGACTAGCACAGCTTTCTGTGGACTGTTGATGAACAGCTCGGTGAGGGCCCTGAGACGGAAACGGTCGTCCGGATGATTGGTAGACACTGGAAGTGGCCGGAGCTCCAAGTTGCTGTACAAATGAGATTGAGCTTCATCTTGGAATCTTTTCGAGCATCTCGACACCCGGACCAGGTCTGATTTGGAGCGCAAGTGCGAAAAGATAAGAGACGTGAGTTCGGGCGGAAGATCTGGCGACTGGCGAAGTTGTGGTTCTGCTGGCATGCTGGAGATGATGGCACGTAGTACCGCAACGCCGGAGAACGAGATTTGGTTTTTGTAGTATAGGGATTCCACAGCAGATGTTAAAGGCACTCCAGGAACCCTAGGAGGACTGACCGCCAGGATTGCGGGGCATTCTCAACAGCTGCAGGGGACCCACGTCTCGAATTCGAGCAGTATCGAAGGGTGTCAGACGTCTCTATGCGGTCGTGTGGCGTCCATAGGAAAGCGTTCACGTTCGGACAGTATGTCATGGTCATGACTCTGCGGTTGCTTTCTGGTGCTGAGCTCCCGTGCCCAATTTCTGGCGTGATTGTCTTGATCGCCGGCCGCTCGCTGTGTGTGTTCTTCTGGCACTTGTTGCAGGACCAGCGATGTTGCTGGAAACGCCGCGGGATAGTCGCCAGATGGGTCTGTATGCATATGCTGCGGACCTCTGGACCAGCGCTCCTGATATCAGTCTCAGCAAGTTGCCACCTTTGAACCTGACCCGGGCTCGTTCGTCAAGTCAGTCGAGCAATTTTCCATAGTACCGCTCGAATGTCGCGCAGAAATGCGCATCGTGATGGTACCTCTCTACAAAAGTCAACAGTAGGTTGTCTTGATCAGTGAGAGGTGCCCATTCAACGTCCTCGTTCGCTTCCCATTTTCGCTCTCGTCTTTCCTCGCTCCGACGCCAGTGGTGCAGTACCTCCATGTCCAGGCCAACTTGATGGGCGAGCGCGAGTACAGGTCGATAATGCTCCATGAGGGCAGCGATACTCCAGGCATCTGTTACCATCTCTAGTGAGACTTTGGACAGCTTGGGAAATGTGGTGTGGTGCTTTATAAAATGTGCGAGCGCGGCGCAGCTTCGCCGTGGTTGCTCGTTCCGGCGTGAGAGCCGCACCGTCTCGATGCTCGAAGGTAAAAGGTCGAACAGGATCGTCTTTGTGGATTCTGCGTAATCGAGTTGACTGCTTTGATCCGGCTCTTTGCCTTCAATAGGACCAAAAACGAAACTCGCCGCAATCCGGAGGTGGGTCAGGGTTTGGAACCGCTTTAGACTTGTGATGGCACCCTGAATAATGCGAGGCGTCCCTCGCACGGGGTGCCCGTGCTCGAGGGTCAGATATAGAGCCTCAAGTGAGCTTGGATGTGGCTCAAGAGCCTGGCGAACAGTGTCGGGGCTGAAACAATTCTCCTCGCTCCCAGTTAGGCTCCTCTCAGAGACTGAATAGATGAAACTTCTAAGGACTCATGGAACGTCCAGGAATCGACGTATATCGTTTTCGTTGAAGCAAGAGTGGCGCATTTCAATATCCTCTATGTTGGAACTTCCAACCCGCACGTGTTCTCGGTTCACTGCTCGTACCCTTTCTCCGGCGGGACTTCAGTTGTGGAGCGTGAATACTCTTCTTGCAGCAGGTAGAGCAAGTGCACTACGGACAAGCACATTTGCTGGGCCAATGTCGTAGTTGTTACAGACCAAGCAAAGGTCGCAAAGCTCGGTGAACAGCTTGCGACTGGCATGAATGCGAGAGAGAGCTGGCATTCCAACGAGCTTTGGTTCCCAGCATGGCAGTAAGTCGCAGCAACTCCGCTGTGAAATTTGGCAAGGACAAGAGAAGTCCATTTAGCTCCATCAGGTAAGTAGATATCTAGAGACCACAACCTGGGCAGGAAACATAGGAGGACCGCTAACGTTGCGTCTGCTCCGTCGAAGTCCCAGGACTGTTGGAATGTCTGGTTGGTATCTTCATCGACACAGTCCGAGAATCCACATCGATCAATTAGCTCTGCCACTTCGAAGGCAGTCTCTAGATCCCCTGAATGAAGGTGCTTTTCGTCCTCAGGCCGGAAGCTAAGATGTTGTACAAGCATAGCTAGGTCTGGACGATGAATAAACAGCGCGCTCAGTTGTTTGGTAAGAATTATTTCTTCGCCTAGGAACTCGTCGTCGTCAACAAGGTAATTGTCCCAGTCGAGGTCCAGGTTGCTGTACAGCTCAGGCAGTGCCAGCTTAGTAAAGTCTTTCGAGGCTCGTGCTATCGCGGAGAGTGTCGCCTTCCTCTCGACAAACGAGAAGATCAATCCTAGTATTTCCTCCGGGAGGATTGGTAGTTCTAGGGAGCCTGACCGTGACGGGGAGGTTGATCTGCTCCAGCAATTGTCGCCATCCCTGAGACCGTATATCGCAGTCATCCGTGATCAGCTCATTCGAAGTCGTAGCCAGGTCAGCGCGTACCGCTGTTGCAACTGGCACCCAAGTTAAGATTGTGTCGCCTTCTCGCAAGGCGAAGTGACGGCAACGAAAGGTGAAGCTCTCAGCAGCAGCAGAAATTGGCCGCGTGCACAGACGCAAAAGTTGTTCTACGAGGGAAGAGCTTCCCTTTACACACGACTCTGTATTCACGTTTGTTACGTGTATGTTCGTCTCAGCACACCCCAGACACATCTCAAGAGCCGACTGAACGGAACTGCGCTTGACGCCGATGGCAGAGCCTATGGGTGATGATGAGTTGCTCGCAATCGTAAGTCAAAGCTCTCTGGAAACCTTCAAGAAGTACATGTAAAGATGCTGAAATGCCAAAGCTGCTATCAAATCTACGCAATGCCGAAGCCACGTTCGGACAAGGCACTCCTCCGTACGAAGCCATATCGACGACAGTGAAGGAGCACCTGGAAGCTATGAAGGCGCATGGAAAGTCCACCAATCTGACGGGCTTTCGTCAATCGCAGCAAGCCGATCCAGGAACCGCAGGAAAGCCGGCGTCGACTGCATTTTCGAATCTTGCGTTTAGACCGAAACCGAGTAGCTGAAGATCGTGCTGAGGATGGTTTTTTTGGGAAGCGTGCATCGGAAGTCTCAAGCTACTCATGAGTTCCGCTGCTCGATGGACACGGATTGGATGAGAAGTCACGACCAAGCTCATCGTACTGCCAGGTCGTCTGCGGAGCTGGTGGTGCCGGGTCCAATGGTGGATAAGCGCTTAAAGCTTGATCGCACGCACAGTCGCCCTGGATGTTGTTGTACTATCGAGCTTAGAGAGATAGTCATGCTTGGAGGGGTGATGCTGTAACTGGAAGCCCGTAAAACAGCTGGCAGCTCTGGCGTCGTGTCGAAGTGGATGTCGAGCAGATTTCAACTCAAGCGTCGATAGCATGCCATCCAATTCATTCAGACTTCATCGCTCATCAGCAAGCGGATTGGCATGAATCCTGACACCCTCAATCCTGATCGCCTCCTGCGGCCGGTTCTTCTTGTCGACCGGCACCTCCTCCATCTTATCTAACGTCTCCCACCCCTCAAGTACTCTCCCAAACACCGTATTTTTCCCATCAAGATGCGACGCGGCAGCCAGAGTCACGAAGAACTGAGATCCATTGGTACTCGGCCCCTTGTTCGCCATCGACAGCATGCCTCTGGCGTGGTGTTTGAGTGAAGGCTTGATTTCGTCTTCAAAGTTCTGCCCGTAGATGGATGGCGAGTCCTTGACCGAGCCTGAAGCGGGAGAGCCGCATTGAATCATGAAGCCTGGGATGCTGCGGTGGAAAGGCGATCCTTTGTATGCGCCACTTGCGCATAGGGCCAAGAAGTTGTAGGTCGTCTTTGGGCATGCCTGGAAGAGCTCGACTTTGAGGTCGCCGTGTGTGGTTTGGAGTGTTACGGACATGGCGCCTTATTCTTTACGAAAGGTCGCAAATGATTTGAGTGGAGAAGTGGTTGTATGGCAGTGGAGATTTGGAAGGTTTGCGCTTGGCATCAGCTCTCCAGGATGTCTTGATCGACGCGGGCCAGTCGCAGCTGGTGTTGGCGGTTGTTGGCAGGCAGGGCTCAACTCTCACGGGCAAACAAGCCAGGCGCTCCTCTGACGACACTCCTTCCCCCAAACATGCTTACTCACGACACCGCGGCCGGCTGAACGAATCGCACTCGCTGTAGCATTGACCTCTTCTTACCACCTCACCTGTCTGGCAGCGCGAGAGACCGACTCGCATTCGGCCGAGACACCTCATCTCATCTACAACAGCTTGCCAAGGTAGCCTCGAACGAGCAAGCGATCGGGCATTCTACTGTCGCGCATACCCTCTGCGCTGTCCAGTCGGCACCCCACATTCGCCCCGGAGGCTACACAAGGCTGGAGGAGAGAACATTTGGTCTGGATCTCATTCGCGACAACAGCATTGGGTCTGGCGGCACTTCATGGCGAAGCGCCCATGTGGGCTGGTCACCACGTACGCTTGAGGCATGTCGGCCTTCGTACGGGTCTCTGGACCTCCTAACAGCAATTTCCTGGTATGAACATCTGTACGAAGATGTAGAGGTCGAGACTGGTTCACTAACACACGCTATACAGGTCGGCTACCCAGGCATATCGGCCACCCTCCCCCGGATAGAAGGCCGCGTGGAGATACGCCCCGCCGCCGGAGTCACAGCGCCCGTCACCGTTTCCCTCGTCACCGTCTCGCTGCAGCGCCGAGAATGCATCAACCCTACCGCCGACTCGCTCCTCCGGTCCTCGCTGTCCTCGCCGAAGAAGGAGATCACAGATATCGTGGGCAAGGAGATGCTGCTATACCGCACCCCGCAGGGCAGGGAATCGGAGTCAATATTATGCATGGACCTGCCGTTCGTGATCTTCATACCCTACGGCAGAGGCGGGGAGGAGATAGCGAAGAGGACACCGCCGCCGAGTTTACAACTGGACAAGCGGCAGGCGGAGACGTATTATGAGATAGTGGTGACGCTGCAGCAAGGGCCGCAGGAGCAAAGAAAGTTTCCATTTGCGGTACCGATACAGCGATACGACACGCTGAGCACGTTTGGGATGTATAACAGACCTGAGAGCGCGGAGCGAGTGACGGATCATCTGGTGACACTGGGCATAAGTCTACCGCGCTGGAGCTACGGACCGCTGGATCCCGTTTCGGTGTACATCAAGCTCTCGCCGAACCCAGACTGGCTGTCGAAGTCAAAGAAGGTTACGATTCAAGCAATTACGGTGGGGATTGACGAGGAAATTACTTATAATCCCGAAGGCGACGACCCCAAGAGACACACGAAGCAGCTCGCGCGGCATCAGCAGAGTGTGGGTGTCAAAATGCCGGAAGCTGGGTACTTTACGAATCTTGGTCTGGTGTTTCCGGCGCGAGAGCTGAGGGACAGCGAAGGGATACTGCCAAGGAGCAAGAAGGAGTTTCCATTGTACCCAGTGGCTGGCTTCACGACTACGGCGACGCTGTATAAGATCGAATATTTCATCACCGTGAAGGTAAGGCTGGCCCAAACACTCCGGGTCCTGTGTCCCTGCTAATCTCTGCCGCAGGCAAAATTGTCTTCAGCACGCGACATACTCCTCCGACAGCCCATCGTAGTCTGCCCGTTTGACCATGCGCAGTGCAAGGAGGAAATGGAGGGTATTGAGCTCGCCGCGAGAGACGCCGCCCATGTCAGCCAGGACAATCCGATGCTGCCGGCTTGCACCATCATCCGAGCTAACGATCCTGCTGGGATGCGAACGCTGGGATACACGATGGTTGGTGGGCATCGGAAGTTGTTGATTGAGTGAGATGAGCATACAAATGAAGTACGATGAACAACACAGATAAGCGAGCAGAAGTAGCCTGGCAGACAGCCCAGGATATGCTCCAGACTTGCGACTATGCGCGCTACGAGGGCGTGAAAGACGGGATCGCGGACTTGTCGACAGCAGCCACATCACACGGTTCGAGAGGCGAACAGGACGACGACTATCGACATCGAGACAGTTGGGCACGACAAACGCGACTTGGATAGAACGAACAATCTGGACAGCGCTCCAGACAGCAGGATACGAATGAGAACAAGGATACCCAATTTGCTTTTCCAGTGACGGGAGTTGCGGGACATTGGGACACAGGTGCTTCAAGCGATCTGGCGCTGCGGAGTAAAAGCGGGAAAGACTGGGTGGGTGGGAGGGATGGTTCTGAAGCATTTGAATGGCGTGTTCGTGTTTTTGATGCACGAGGGTGTATACTACCTTGCTCTGATAAGTTGAGACAGCTTCGTACGAAGAAGGAGAGGTTACTTCAGCATCCCATCGGTCTTACTTCCAATCCAGCAGGCGAGGCTGAGAGGGTTCGGAGATGTCGTGCTGGTGACGCCGGAACAAGGTTTGGTGGGTGAAAGTTACTGGCTATGGCGTTTGCAGGTATGTTGGAGTACGTTACGCCATTGCGGCATTTTGAGGGTGCAGCAGATGATCAACATCATGCGCGACTATTTGCAGGGCAGATACTTTCAGAAGAAGAGGAGATGTCCTGACAACAGCGTCGACTCTCAAAGAAAAGCACCGCTTGCAGCATGAATTTCGTCAACGAACGAACAGCTCTGCTTTCGCAACAGACACCCAACGCCAAAGTATGGAAACAGAGGGAAATGCACACGCTTCGGGGCGTGGTCTCCGTCGAGTCGACAGGAGAAGACTACCCGTCCAAGCGCCGCGACTCAGGGTACGCTTCTGACGAGGCTCTCGAAGCAGCACCCAAAACTCTGCCACCGGAGCCTCCGAAACGGAAGAAATCGACCAAAGATGGACGAAGCTTGAGACGGAAGAGTAATGCTTCCCTGCTTGACCGCATGCAGGTTATACGAGAGGCGGAAAACGAGGGGGAAGAGCGTCGGGCGAACGTCGTTGCGATGGCATGGCCGCCGCTGACGTCTGTAAAGAGTTTGCACGGAACCGGCAAACAGACCAAGTGTAAATCTTCGGACCGTCGAGGAGGGAACAGGGCAGTTCAAGGGACCAACCGTCGAGCCAGCCGGCAGGGCGTGTTCTACCTCAAAAGCGACGCTCAGGGCGGCGACCACGAAAGATCTCTGCCGCCATTGACAAAGAAGGCTTCCATCCAGACAGAACCCAGCAACGCAATGCACGGGAAGCACGACCTCGAAGCCAACACTGCCCATACCCACAGGCGAAATCATAGATTAGGCGGCCGACTCCATCCCAGAACTGGAACGCCAGTTTCCCGTAGCTGCTGGGTCGTCATCCTGTGTGCGAGTCTCTGGCTGCTATGCATCTGGTTTGTCTTTCAGGAAGCCTTATTGTCGAAGCGTTGCAACGGTGATAGAAATGGCTATGGCTTCTGGCATCGATGCAGGTGATGGGGGCACCTGCGTCGGTTATGCAGGTCGGTGGCGGATCTGGGCGGTCCGGTCTGGTTGTTTTTCCTGCAAGCGAGTCGTCGTGCCTTTGCGAACGCAGGATGCCTTCACTGCCATGAGAGCGCATCAATGTGGATAGTGTAGGGGAGACCAGTCACATGTAGTGTAGAGAGCCAATTCATCCTTCGCTGGGCCAGAAAGAGAATGTAGCCGGCAGGGGCCTTCCCTTCCCTTCCCCTCCGCGCTCGAAGCTCGGGCGTGATTTGCAATCCACTTCCGCAGTTGTGGGCGCAGCAACGTCACCTTTCAAAGCAACCTGGAACCTTTCTTCCCTAACCATGAGAAATCCATTTCGAGGGTCTCACTGACCACCCACCACCCCCTTCACACCGCCGCCGTCTGTATAAGATGGGCCATGTAGCACTCCCGCGGCGCTGCTGAGCTGTGACCGGCAAGCGAGAGCCGAGACCAGCGCTATCACCACTCCCCGACCTAATCGCCTGTCGTTCTGGCCATACCACACGGATCCTTCGTTGGCGATCAGTCAACTTCCCATTGCTACTCCCTACCACCTCATTGCGCCCTACTCTCGTGGTGTTGATACTACCGGCTTCAGTAACTGACGTACACCGGCCTGCCCCCAGGCGGCGATGACAGCAGTCGCGGCCAAGCACAACGCCAGCATGCCTCACAACACGTCCGATGGAGGGAAGCGGAATTTCTCCGGCCTCAATATGAGCAACAACCAGAAGGTCACGGGATCGACTGGCCAAAAGATCAAGAACTTCTTCCGGATACCTTCGAAAACCGGCACAGGCGACTCCGTAGGAACACCTACTTCCGAGACAGAGCCCTCGCAGAAGGAGCAAAAGGATGACGGCACTCGGACCCCGCAATCACAGAACACAAAAAGTCTGCGGAACAGCAGATTCATGCCACATCTTGGTAGGAACAGGAGTCACACTGTGGCATCCGAAGGCAACCCGCTCGACGATGGCATGAGCCCTACTGCCCACGTCAACCCGTACTTTCAACATCAAGGCCCGCCCGCGTTACGGCATCACAACGATAGCAGCGTTCCACCTTCACCGCCAGACACTCCCGGCACACCGAAGAAAGTTGGCGCGGATAGTCTTTCGAAGGATGCAGCGGGCACGTCTGGCAAGGAAGAGCTCGCAAGAAAGCTGAGGAGAGTCGCCAGTGCGCCGAATGCGCAAGGACTTTTCAGCAAGAGTAAGAGCAAGGGCAGCGCGGATAGCAGTGGTAGCAGACCGCAGACCAGCGATCTGGACTCTCCCATGAAGGCCAATGGCGTGCTTGGACAACATGGCAATGCTTCTGCGTTGTCGATGGTGGAGACGATGCCGCAGAACGACGACCTGCTTCCTGTTCCCGGCATTCCTGGTATTGAGGGCAAGCTTACGCCCGGGAAGATCCGAAATAGCGTGGCCTTTAGAAGGACGTACAGCAGCAACAGCATCAAAGTGCGGAACGTGGAGGTTGGGCCGTCGAGCTTCGACAAAATCAAGCTCATTGGGAAGGGTGATGTCGGAAAGGTGTACTTGGTGAGGGAGAAGAAGAGCTCGAGACTATACGCCATGAAAGGTAAGAATTTGGTGCAAGTTGTGGTTGGATTCAATGCTGACTCGTTACAGTCCTCTCGAAGAAGGAGATGATCAAGCGCAACAAGATCAAGCGTGCACTCGCTGAGCAGGAAATTCTGGCCACCTCCAACCACCCATTCATCGTTACGTTGTACCACTCGTTCCAGTCGGAGGATCACCTGTACTTATGTATGGAGTACTGCAGTGGAGGCGAGTTCTTCAGAGCCTTGCAGACGCGGCCAAACAAGTGTGTGGACGAAGATGCGGCTCGATTCTATGCTGCTGAGGTTACGGCTGCGCTGGAGTATCTGCACTTGATGGGCTTCATCTACCGAGATCTGAAGCCAGAGAGTAAGCACATGCTGTCTGCGAAATGACGACAATCAGCGCTAATAACTCGCAGACATCCTGTTACATCAGTCAGGACACATCATGCTTTCAGATTTCGACTTGTCCAAACAGTCAGATCCAGGTGGTGCACCCGCAATGCTCCTAGCGGCGAGCAACTCGAGTTCCGGGCGCCTGCACACCGGCGGTATCACGTCGAATCCTTCACCTAACAACATGCCCACGATCGACACAAAGAGCTGCATCGCGAACTTCAGGACCAACTCGTTTGTTGGAACAGAGGAGTACATTGCACCAGAAGTGATCAAGGGCTGCGGACACACGAGTGCGGTCGATTGGTGGACGCTGGGCATCCTGATCTACGAGATGCTTTTCGGCACCACGCCCTTCAAGGGCAAGAACAGGAATGCCACGTTTGCAAACATCTTGCGAGATGAAGTGCCCTTCCCTGAGGGCTCTGGACACCCGCACACCAGCAAGTGAGTCCACCACTCCATTAACGAAGACTCTTGGAGTTATGCTGATATGAGTCTAGCCTCTGCAAATCGCTCATCCGCAAACTCCTAATCAAAGACGAGCTCCGCCGCCTGGGCTCCCGCGCCGGCGCCTCCGACGTCAAAGCCCACCCCTTCTTCCGCAGCACCTCGTGGGCCCTCCTCCGCCACTCCAAACCGCCCATCGTGCCTAACCAAGGCCGCGGCATCGACACGGTCAACTTCCGTAACGTGAAAGAATCCGGCTCGGTGGACTTGGGCGAGGCGCCTCCGACAGGGAAGAATAAAGGCTGGCAGGTGCCCGCGAGCAAGATGAAGGGCGTGCCGTTGGATAGCGGATTGGACACGCCTGGTGGGGAGATTGCGGATCCGTTCGAGGAATTTAACAGCGTGACGTTGCATCATGAAGGGGATGTCGGGGATGAGGGGCCGGTGGTGAATGGACATCGGTAGGACCGAGGGAGGTGGGAGAAGAGGCGGACGTGGCCGCTGTGTGGGATGAGAGTTGTGCAGGAGGAATGAGCGCGCGTCGAGGGGTCTAGATGGGAGGATGGCAAGGAGTAAAAGGGCGCTGGCGTTACGAGGCGGTACCTGTACAGTGAGTGGCATGGAGGAGTTTCTTGACCCGTGCTGGAACAGCGTTCTTTTTGATGGCGGCTTGAGATGTTTGAGCGCACGACACGTTTACGATACGATCATTCGAAAGGGGGGATCATATGGTGTATATAAGGGTATTACTTGAATCAGAGAGCTCGCCGTCATTTATATGTTCGTCGCGTGAAAGTGGTGTGATTGGCACCTAGAAGCGAGCTTTGCCAAGCCGTATCCGATCGCGTCTTCACCTCCTCGCGTTCTATCGACAGTGTAAAGTAACACTTGAAAAAAGAAATCTACGAAATGCTGGAACGATAACACCCTGCCACCGCTCTTGAGACCAGCCCTCTAAAGACCGAACAATGGACGCCTCAACCTCGTCCACCACCCGCCCCCCACCCGCCCAAACCACAGGCGAAGACTCCCTAACCTCCCTAGAACAAGGAGTCCTAGACGAGTACGCCAAACTTGCTGGCAACCTCGATAACGTACCTCCTCCCGCTCCCTCATCCCCCTCTTTCACCATACTAACGAATGCATTGTAGTTATCGGGTTTACTAGCGGAACTAGCAGCGAATCCCTCAGTAGAGATCCTAGATGCGCTAAGGGGGCTGGAGAGGAAGACGGCGACGGTATTTACGCTGTTGAAGGCGAGTGTCTATAGTATTGTGTTGCAGCAGGAGATTTTTGGGGATGAGGGGAGGGAGGGTGGGGAGGGTGGGGATCGCTGAGTTTTGAGAGGAGGCGCAGTGAGGTTGAGTCGAGGGCATGAGACTGGGAGGAATTAATGGCAAATGAGTATGAATGTGACGAGGGATGAGCCTGACATGGGGGTCTGTCCACCTGCCGCTCGGTATGAGAAAGGGGAAGGGAGCTGGGCTTGACGAGGATATTTAACACGAGGCGGATATGGACTGAAGTCAGATTCGAGACCTAACTTGATGGGTCAAGGCTCGAGCTACACTGCACAATGAACCACGGTGGACGAACGCCATGCGCTATGCATACAAACGCCAACGACCTTGCTTTACAGCACTTGGCCGCCATAGTACACACTCCGCGCATCCACCATCTTCCTTCCTCTGCCCTTTGCCACGTCTTCTGGTAGGCGCTGGCTCGTCAAAGCCTGGAAAGCTGCCTTAACGACGTTCATCTTGTTGCGTGAGCGTGGCGTGCGGGCTGCAAGATCGCTGATACCTGCTGCTCGTGCAAGCTCAAAGATGAGGTGTTGGCAGCGGTTGCCGAAGCCTAGTCAAAGGTATTAGTATTCTATCGCGCATTGTATGAAACTGCACGGACTCACCAGGCCCCCTCGAGCTCAACTGCACGACGGACGCGCCAACCTTCCCCTGCACCTCGCCATAAATCGTCCTCTCCTCATACCGCGGTATAGGCTTCATATTCCGCACCGCATTCATCATAGCCTGCCTCCTCCCATCCTCATCTTCCGCCGCCTTACCCTCTCCAATCCCCACCATGCCGTCCTGATTACCCGCAATGGTGAGATAGTACAACGACTGGATCTTCCCCATCCTCGTCTGGTTCACCACCCGATGCATCACCAGATTCTTCACTCGGATCTTCCTGATCTCCTCCTTCGTCATCCCCGTTTGCTGGCATAGACGCAGCATATGCGGGTCCGTCTCCTCCTTCTGCTCGGCATCCTCTTTCTGCTGGGGGTTCTTGCTGGCTCCGCCGCGGCTTGAGCGGTTCTCGCCCTCGACTAGCTCGTCGCCTTGCAGATCCTGATCGGTCACTGGTCGATCCAGAACTGGTCGCATCGTGGAGAAGTCGTCCAGATACTCGATGCGCATGGGATCTGTTCGCATTCGTCCTTGCTGAGCCATGTCTTCTGCCGTGATTGCTTTCTCTCCGGCCTCGATGACTTTCATCTGCTCTGGTGTGTACTTCAGCCTGAGCAGCTTTTTCTCGCGCTCAGTGTACGGTCGAAATTGCGGCTGTTCGAGGTCCGCGGCCTTGATGCTGGGATAGACTCGTTTGCGCGCTTTGGCAGGGGATGAAGCGTGGAACTGGCGGCGACCTGAGCTGGTGGTGTTTTGCCATATTGATGACTTGAGCCGGCACGAGAGGCATTGATATGTCTTGGAGGAAGACATAGCTGTCGTCGTGGTTGGAAGAGAAGAAGCAGATGCGGTCGTCGCTCCATCTCAATGCACCCCCGAAACTCCGCAAATGTCTTGGCATATCGTCTGTCAATGTCCGGGAGGCGAAGATCCACTATACTCTACATCCTCATACAATGGCGCTACAACGACCGATATCGACGGCATTGAGATGCGGAAACTGTCAGCGATCGGTTTTACGGTCCTTCATCGCGAGCGTTGGCATTCAACCGGATGTCCCATCACCACCGCTCCGGCATCAGAGACGAGCCATATCACAGTCAACACCAAGGTTACGAGGAGTTGATGAACGATTATGGCAAGCTCAGGTGCAAGCAGATCATGCACTGAACGATATCAACGAGACCATCAACCAGTCGCCAAAAGCCAGCACAACCGATGAGCCTCTCGAAGAAGCAGAACAGCCAGAGCGCGAGGAAGAGGTACAGGAGCAAGAACAGCCCCAGCAGAAGACAAAGAAAGAAGACAACCTGCCATGGTATCTACAAGCGCAGCAGCCGTTCGCAGAACAGGCCCAAAACCCTCTGGCCGCTCGACAACGACTGCCAGATCTGCCCGACAATCCACCTTCGATCCTCCAGCCATTACTTGAGCATGTCTCCGTCGAACTCGGGATGGACGACCTCACGATCCTCGATTTACGGTCCATCGACCCTCCGCCGGCGCTAGGAGCGAACCTCTTCATGATTATCGGCACAGCGCGATCAGAGAAGCACCTTCACGTCTCGGCAGATCGATTATGTCGGTGGCTGAGAACGACATATAAACTACATCCCTACGCCGATGGCCTGCTAGGTCGCAACGAGCTGAAGCTAAAGATGCGGAGGAAGGCCAAGAGGTCGAAGCTTATGAGTGCTGTGGGAGCCAAAGCATCTGGCGACTCAGAGATCGATGATGGTATCAGGACGGGTTGGGTGTGTGTGAACCTTGGTCGGGTGCAAGGAGGTGAGCTGCCGAAGACTAAAGAGCAGATACGGCGGGAAGAGAACATAGTCGGTTTTGGCACGCAGACGACTGGCTCGAATGTGGTGGTGCAGATGATGACGGAGGAGAAGCGTGGCGAGATCGATCTGGAGAATCTGTGGACAGAGCTGTTGGAGCGCGCACAGAAGCAGAAGGGGGCGCTGGAAATAGTGGATGCTGAGAAGCAGTCGACCGCGGCTGCTGCAGAGGCATCGTCAAGCACATCGCCGTCTTTTGGGCCGGCGGCGTCCTATGATCCTGCAGTCTACGAATCTGATCATAGTGCTGATGCGCAGCTTAGAGCGTAGAATGGGTGTTACGTTCTAAGGATACTTCAGCCAAACTGAATTCGATCTCGTCAAAAGCGAGCTTTAATCGACGACTCCGCAAGGGAGGGTTTCGAAACGGCCACCGTCAGTCACGAGGTAACGCATCAGCTATTTCATGCATGTACCTTAGCGTAACACTGCCCTGCCCCCTCGCAGCCTCGCAGCCTCGCCAAACTTCCACTGCCTACGCAAGGACAGCTATATTTCGCCATCTCCGTACTAAACAACGACGACCTCAAAAGGCAGACGGCATCTTGAGGGACTATTTTACCACACGACATGGCGCTTCCAAACTTTCCGACGCTGCAGAGACCACCTTTGCGGGATGCCACAAAACAAATTCGCTTGTTGGAGCTTCAGCTTGACGGGAGGCAGGATGGAGGGGACACCATCGAATGCACCTTGAGCGTGCACAACGTCCTCGATATCGCTGGAGGATACGTCGCTGTGTCGTATGTTTGGGGAGAGAGCGAAGATGCACGAAGGATCCTCATAGACGGTCAATGGCACCCCGTTCGCCTGAACTGTTGGGAGGCACTACGCCAAATGAAGCAGCATGGTATCAGCGAACCCTGCTTCGTGGACTCGATATGCATCGACCAGGGCTGCCATCGTGAGAAGGCGGAGCAGGTAGGCCAAATGGGTGCCATTTACTCCGGTGCAAGACTCGTAGCAGCTTGCCTAGGACCTGAAGCCGCCGGAGAGAATTTGGCAAAGCGGTTGTTTAGCGCCAACATGCTCTCCGTACAGGCAAGCGGCTTGAATTGGCTACGCATGCTGGAGCACATCGCATCACGAGCTTACTTCACACGCGTCTTCACACTCCAGGAGTGCATGTTGGCTCAAGAGGTAGACTTGTTTTATGGCGAGGCACGAGTACCACTGAACGTCCTGGAACAGAGACTGAATCGGCAAAGGCAATTGTTCGTGGGAACGATATATCTGGACCGGCTGGCTTCGTTCTTGAACGACTTTGCTATGATGAACAAGATGTCTGCCTCTATCCACACCGAAGCCAACTCCAATCTCAGAGCCCTGCGAAGTAAACCACCATCACTTTACTCTGCGACTGTAATCATTCGCTACGCCCATCGGCACTGCAAATATCCTCGCGACAAATTGTTCGGTCTCTATTCGCTCATTGACCCAGCTGCTCGCGCACGCATCGTAATTGACTACGAGATGCCACTCTTTGACGTGCTGCTGGCCTACATTGGGTCGTACCGATGTCTCCAGGACCAAGGTGCTCGTGAAGCGCACCTGTCCGTACGTGGGCGCTCTTCTAGGATGGATTCAATGGGGAGCCTTGGGGAGGTCTTACTCTCAGTCCGAGTACTTGCGCAGCAGTCCTTCAAAGCCTCCTCTGAGTTTCGAAAGACTCTCAGAGATCTTTTTGTCCAGCGGATGGAATCGTCCGACACCCACACCAAGGATTTACCATGCCCACAGCATGTTGAAGAAGTTGCTGTCGTGCTTTGCCCGGTCATGTGTCATCAGATCTCTACAAGTCAGAGAGCTGAGAAGAGAGCAGTCGACATTCTCGTCGACTGTGAAGAGACGCAACGCAGACATCTCCGTGGCAGCGTGGAGCCGCTTCCGGATGCCTGGAGATACCACGCACATTGCGCCTGTTGTACTGATGAAGTATGCATGGACTCACGTCTTACCGATCGCAAAGTGAGCATGCTCGACTGCATCAGCACACCTGACTACATCCACTTCCTATCCTCGCAGGATGACTATCGACTTCTATAGGTTCGAGGCAACTCAGAGTTTGACACAGGCAACTTGGTCTTCATGGTGCCCAGACAAACCAGAGAAGGCGATGTGCTGCTCTCGATCGGCCCAAGCTCACTCCGAGCAAGCCCCAAACCGGATGTACAACAGGACTCGCGCAGACTGTACGTCGTCTGCAGAAAGGAGGCGAGAACGGATCGCTACAGCATACTCGGGCCAGCTTCACACCGAACCGTACGGGACAGCGGGGCAGGCCAGATGTGCTCGTGGCCGGGCGACCGTCCATGGTCGTATGCTTTGACTAAGCGAGCGACGATAAGCCGTGAGGACCTTCTCTGCTTGTCGGTGTGCAGCTTCGATGGTATTTTAAGACGCCACAGTCGCGACTATCTCTACAACACCCTAGGCCTTACGAAGGTTGTGATGCCTGGAGAGCAGCAATATGGGCAAGTTGCTTCGGAATTGGAGCAACACGTTGCCACGTTCCTCGGGTACGATGCCCTCCAGCAGTTGGCTTCTGTACAGAACCTCTAAAGTCCGAGATTCTTGCCTCGAAGTCATACTTGTATAACTGCATCGCTCTGGGATCGACGAGCGGTCTTTCTATCCTCTGGTCGCCATGTCATCATCAAGCGCAAAGGTTCAAGCGCTCTGCCTTGTTTTGCCTGCCAACGCGAGTCGATCGAACCCCATAGATTCTGTCAGGTGTTTGGATGCCTGCAAACCTTCTGATAGGCAGCACATGCGCTATTGAAGCTGTATCGCCACAGAAGCCGCGACGGACTCACTCCCGACGAATTCACTCCCGACGAACTCACTCCCAGCGAACTCCATCTAATGTTGGAAGGCTACCAAGCTCATCGACAGCGATCTTGCTCAGCCTCACCAGGGCAATATGCAGGGCCTGGATTGGAACGTCGACCTCCCTGGTACTTTGATCGTGAGCAGAGGGCACGAGATCTGGAGTTATCCCTGGAGCCGTGTGCCTGCAAGATCGCCTTCGACGTGCGGCGACGAACAATGAGACGAAAGTGAAGACCACGGTCGGGTGAGCGGAGTGCTGATTGAGAATCGATAGAAGAAGCTATTGTGTTCATACCTACCAATTGTACAGTGATCGCAGTCTTGCTCAGACCCTCCCTGCCAATGTACCTCCATCTCAGCACGTGCATCTTCGCAACAGCCTCAACGCAGTGACTGTATGTATAGGCACACTCACCAAACTAGAAGCTCATGTGGGCCATCCCATCAAGGTCGTTGCTGAAAGCATCCTCATCTTCAACGCCCACCCTCGTGCTGCGATGTGAATCCCACTGCTCACCTGCCTCTGCTACAAGGACGTACCTACTGTTTCAACCGAAGGCATCTCGGAACGCCGTCCCAAGAGACCGGTGCGAAGCTGAGCCGACCTGGCTGATGTGTAGCTGTGCGTCTCGGCGTCAATTGGATGATGACTTGCCAACTTCGACACAGCTGCAGGTCTCTAAGGAGCATACCAGCCTCCCTTTCCCGCGGTGGAAGGTACGCCATATTATCGGCACAGCTCAGCTATCCTTGACTCCACTGGCCCATGAAGGATCCGGTCGAAAGGCTGCGCCTCACAGACAACGCCTCGTGGTGGGCGGGACCGGGTTCAACGTGCCCATACTTCTGGGCCGTCAAAGCTCTCCTCCCGTACAGCAACGGACGATGCCTCCAGACCAGCGCTCGAACGGATTGACTTTCAGCGCAATGTGTTGCAGCCCGGGGCCATCCCGTCCCGGATGGTTGTCGTTACGTGAGCAAGGATGGCAACCTTCTCACCAGATTTCGAGAGCATGTTAGGGTTGCATCCGCAGGACCGCATAGCTCTCGACCACTCGACCAACGTTCCCCAGCTATTTCCCCAGGAACCAGAGAGATGGCGGAGATCTCGTGCGACGTGCATGTGCATGTGGATCTGCGCTTGTCCGGATCTGGTAGTCTCTAAACCGGAGCTGTTATTTCCAGCTATCAAGCGAATCTGAAGACAAGCGTTCGACCGAGTACGACGACAGGGAAGTCGGGCATCTGCGGGCTGTATCTACAGTTGTGGTGAGTCAGATGCAAGCCGCAGATCTGGTGGGAGAGCTTGATGTGGTGGACATCGGCAGCCGTTGCCAGAGCTCTGCCCCGCATTCGAAGAACTCCTGCATAATGCTCCAAATCAACGCATGGGGTAGCTCGACTTTCTAGCAACCTTCCGTGGCCCCGAACATTGCCCTGGACCAATACGTTTCGACGCGTTCTCCGGCCCTGCAGGCGGGCGGTAGCTACACCAACCTCAAGACTTGGTGGCCGGGGCCTCGATCGGGTTTGTGGCTACAAACGCTGAGCTTGCAACACCTCTGGATGGTGCAGAAAGGTCAAGGCGCGCCAGTGCTATGCAAGATCCAGCTATGACGCCCGTGAATCCGGAGGTCGTTGGTCGAGGGGTCTCGAGTAGCTGCATGACGCAGACGTGGACCTTCTGGCCGGATCAGCAATGCCCCTCCCTTCGAACGGAGTGATGTGGGGCGTAGGCATGGTCAGGATGGAGCAGATGCGTGCATAAGAGAGGCAGGCTCCCATTTCTTCATCCCCTCATCCTCGAAACAAGATACCCACATTCAGACCACATTTCAGCAGCTTCATTTTTGACCCGCCCAAACCACCACAACCACCAGCCAAGATGCCCGAGATTCCCAAGAAGCAGAAGGCCATGGTCATTGAGAAGACCGGCGGCCCAGTTGAGTTCAAAGACATCGACGTTCAGCAACCCGGACCAGATGAGGTTCTGGTCAACATCAAGTACAGCGGTGTCTGCCACACTGATCTGCACGCCGTGAACGGTGACTGGCCACTGCCCACCAAGCTTCCGCTCGTCGGAGGCCACGAGGGTGCAGGTGTGGTTGTTGCACGCGGCGAGCTGGTCAAGGATGTCGAGATTGGCGACCATGCCGGTGTGAAGTGGATCAACGGCTCCTGCCTTGCTTGCGACTTCTGCCAGCAGTCCGACGAGCCTCTCTGCTCGAAGGCACTCCTCTCTGGGTACACCGTCGACGGCACCTTCCAGCAATACTGCATTGCAAAGGCGGCGCACGTTGCCCGTCTGCACAAGGACATCCCCCTCGACGGTGTGGCACCAGTGCTCTGCGCCGGTATCACAGTCTACAAGGGATTGAAGGAGTCGGGTGCTAAGCCAGGCCAGACTGTGGCCATTGTCGGTGCTGGTGGTGGTCTCGGATCTCTCGCTCAGCAGTACGCCAAGGCCATGGGCCTCCGATGCATTGCTATTGATGCTGGTGAGGACAAGAGGAAGATGTGTTTGGAGCAGCTGGGCTCGTACGCATTCGTCGACTTCTCCACCAGCCAGAACGTGGCCAAGGATGTTCAGGCTGCAACTGAGGATGGTCTTGTATGTTTCTCGTCAGTCTGATGACCACAGCAGCTACTAACAAGACTGTCGTAGGGCCCACACGCCGTCATTCTGGTTGCCACCGCTGAAAAGCCATTCCAGCAGGCTGCCGAATACGTACGCCCAAGGTAAGTTCCTTCTCACCTCTGACATCAAGATCGCCTTCTGACCTCGCCAGGGGAACTGTCGTCTTCATTGGTCTGCCGGCCGGTGCCTATGTCCGCGCCCCAGTCTTCGAGTCGGTCGTCAAGATGATTACCATTCGTGCCTCATACGTTGGCAACCGCAAGGATACCTCCGAGGCGCTCGACTTCTACCGCCGTGGCCTGATTAAGGCACCCTTCAAGACTGTCGGTCTCTCCGAGCTCCAGAGCGTGTACGACATGATGCATAAGGGCCAAATTGCTGGCCGGTACGTGCTTGACACCTCAAAGTAGCGGTGGGATACAGCCAGGTGCAAGAGCATGATGTTGATGGATGAAATGTGGTTGACACCGAAGAGGTTATTGGTTGAGGCGCAATATCGGTGTGCACCGATCCAATGGCTTCCACGGCCTTGGTTGTATCTTCGTGTCTGTAGTAGCTGGAAAGTCATCTCATCCACTATCAATGTCCCTCCTCGTTCACATCCGTGCTGTGCTTGATGTGTAGCAACATTGCGCTTTGCGGTACGGGTGTGAGGCTGGATGTTGTCGCTCTGCCTGGTGGTCCTCTCTGATCTTGGCCAACGTTGTACCCTTCCCTGGTCGGCGGAACGGCATCGTCGCCGCCATCGGACAAAGACCAAGATGGGGGCCAGCGGATGAAGCCGAGATGAAGTTTCACAAGATGCTGTTGTGACAGACAGAAATGTTTTGGAGATTCAGGAGATGGTTTAAGGCTGATGGTGAGACGGCCTATCACATGCCTTGAAGCATTTAAGCTCATGGCTTGGCAGGGCCGTCGTCACTGCCTCGTCTCACAATCTGGCTCCTGAATCTGGACGAGTGGTGTATAGCATGAAACGTCCTCTTTCTCCTCGAGGCTTGATTATGGATGCCCATGGTGGAGCCGTTTGCGCCAACGCCGGACAAAGGTTGTCAAGCGCCTACTAGAATGCTTTAGCCGTCGTGGCACTTCTACGAGCCCAATCTTCGTCTTGCTTGCTGCATGTCCAGTATGTGTGATCCACCCCCGATGCAGCCACACCGTGATGAAGTACGCAATCCTCAAACGTGACGAGCAGGTATCGCGCTCTAGCCAAAACATGAAGGCTGTCCTGACACACCGTGGCACTTCCGTTCCGCAGGCCAGAGTGTCACAAGCTTCCCGTCGGCCACCCCCGGCTGCCGCTCCTGCCTAGTCTGTCACAAGTAGACTTGGCTGTAGGTCTCCATCATATCAGCCTTTGTTTGCTTTCCACGTCGCACACAACTTCGTCCTCACCTTCACCTTCTTTCTTCTTCGTCACGAGCTGGGCTCACTTGTCGTGTCACCGCGACACTCACACTCTTTGCCATCCGCTTCTCCGTGATTCATTCATTATTTTCTTTGACAGACTTTGACTGAACCACGTCACTTCAACCCACGTCACTCGCTCCGACAACAATTTCAGCAGAAGTCGACCACCTTCGTTCAGCAAACTCGACAGCTATACAGCATCCTTCGCTACCGAAACAACCCACCGCCACCATGCACCGCGGTCTCTCGCTACTCCTCCTCGCCGTCACGGCAACCTGGACCGTGGCGGCACCCACCAAGCCGCGTGCGAAGCATAGCTTCAAGGCTGGCGCCAAGGGTCACAAGAAGTGCTCCGGTGGCCAGGCCATGTCTCGTGCTTATCGCAAGTACGGGTGGGACATCATCTTCCAGGAGCCTCTCTCGACGTTTGAGGATAAGTGGCCAAGCGAGGGCTACTCGGACCAGCAGTCCAGCGCGTCGCCTTGGGAAGTATACACGACTCTCACCATCGCACCCTGGGAAGTGGCTCAGCCTTCCAGCGCCGCCGCCGGGTACGGACTCCCTTCTTCGAGCTCAGACGCATGGTTCATCATCGGATCATCCAGCGTGCCAGCGTTCCCATCCGAGAGCGTCATCGTCTCTGGTTCGCCTGCCTCGGCTAGCGTGATTCCTTCCGGACAGCCCTCCCAGCCCTGGCCCGTGAGCAGCATTGCGGCGAGCACGTCTGTGCCTCTGCCTTCTCAGTTCGGATCCAGCAGTATGAGGCCAGGCCCTGCCTCAAGCAGCAGTTCAGTGGTCAGCGCGCCCGCACCGTCATCCTCATCTCCTTCGGGCAGCGGATCTGACGATGGCGAAGTCAGCGCCACTCCCGAGGACAATGAGGCTGCTTACATCTCACCCGTCACTATTGGAGGCCAGAAGATGAACCTGGACTTCGACACCGGATCTGCCGACCTCTGGGTGTTCAGTTCTGCCATGCCTCAGAGCGAGAGCTCCGGCCACGCTGTGTTCAACCCATCCAAGAGCTCCACTTTCAAGAAGTACGGTGGCGGGTCATGGCAGATTCAGTACGGCGACGGCAGCACCGCCCAAGGTTCAGTTGGCTTTGATGTTGTCAACGTCGGCGGCGTCATCGCGCAGAGGCAGGCCATTGAGCTTGCCGAGGAGGTGTCCACATCCTTCCTAGAGTGGGAGGCGAACGATGGTCTGCTGGGTCTGGCATTCAGTAGCATCAACACAGTCTCACCCCAGCCGCAGAAGACGTGGTTCGAGAATGTGATGGACGATCTCGAGCAACCCCTCTTCACCGCTGACCTCGAGGAAGACGCTTCTGGCACCTACGAGTTCGGAACGATCGACACGAGCAAGTACACTGGCGAGATCAGCTACGCTCCAGTGGACAACCGCGACGGTTTCTGGGCCGTCGAGTCGCAGACGTACACCGTCGGCGGCAACACTCACCAATGCCAGACCTGCAGCTTGACCATCGCCGACACCGGCACCTCGCTCTTGATCTGGGACAACGATGTCGTCGAGACGTACTACAGCCAAGTGCAAGGCGCGCAGCTGTCCAGCCAGGGTTACCAGTACCCTTGCAGCTCAACCCTTCCAGACTTCGGCGTGGCGATCGGCGACCACACCGTGACGGTAAAGGGGGCGGACATGACGTACATGGAGGCAGGGCAAGGGATATGCTTCGGTGGTATTCAGCCCAACGAAGGCAATGGGGTGAACATCATCGGAGACGTGCTGCTGAAGCAGTACTTTGCGGTCTTTGATGCTGGGCAGATGCGTTTCGGGGTGGCTGCGAAGGCATAAGACAGTGCAGCTGGACTGACAGGACTTCGCTGTGTGATGAGAAGCGGCTACTTACTGTGCGTAAAATGTGCATAGGAGGGGCCACAATGAAGAATGATCAGAAGTACCAATTTCAGAAGCTTGTTCCGCTCCTGACGAAGTCTGTCTCATAACCTGCCCCTGTTCAAGAACTTCTGCGGCAGATCAACATGCTTCGACCGCAAGAACTCTGCCACGTTCTTCCCAAGGAAATCATAGGAGCTCGAGCAGCTGACACCGCGATCGAGATGGTCGTGGAGCAGAAAGTGCACCGCATAAGCGTTCGGGAGCTCGAATCGGTCCTGTCACGTTCATTAGCTTCTCCTGCCTGACATGCTCTGGTGGAAGTGGAACCCACAATCTTCTTCCCCTTATACTCCTCCGCCAGCAGCCGCTTGATGTTATTGATCGAAAGCATGCTTCGCAGCCAATCCCACTCATCCCGATGCCGCACCCAAAACCCCACGTTCGCATTCGACCCCTTATCACCACTCCGTGCGTGCACTATCCAGCCCAGCGGTCCTCTGACCGTCTGCCCCCAGTCCGTGGACTGCACATCCAGCGCTTCAACCTGACTAGGCTGCTGAGCAGGATACGTCCTCGACTGGGGCGGAGCCGGAATGTCGAATTCCTTTCCATCCCAGAGGTGGACTTTATGCTGCACATCCGCCTGCGGGAGCAGAGTGACATAATACTCCTGAATCGCCTTCGGGAACCCCTGTCGCCAGTCCAGATGCGGCGTCGCGCCCGGATAGCCCTCCATGATCGGATCTACAACGGGGCGGAAGAATTTGTCCGGAGCAATGTCGCTGGCATTCGGCGCTTGCACGAAGATCCGGAAATCCACCGTCGCGGCGTTCTGGTTCGAAGCGTCTTCTGCTGCCGAGCCGTTGAGCGTGAACTCGAGTTTGCTGAATCGGTGGGAATACGGTTTCAGCATGTGCCGGGCTTGGGCTTCCATCATGCGCGCTTTGTCGGGGATGTCGAGGCCGGTGAGGAACCAGTGCACTTCGGCTTGGTAGCCGCCTTTGGCCGTGATGCCGATTTTGGTCGTGGGCGGTGGGAGTTCGCCGCGCACGCCTCGTAGGGCTACGCGGTCGGTGCCGACTTGCTCGAAGTACAGCCCGTCGAGGACGGCGGTGACGTCGGAGTTGAAGTACCAGGGTCCTTGGATCTCGTAAAGCAGTTGGGACGTGCACGTCTGCGTGCTAACTTCGCCGCCGGAGCCTTGCTGCTTGGTGATGATGGCTTGACCATTCTTCGAGATTTCAGCAATGGGGTAGCCAATATCATGCCAGCCTTTCCATTCCAGGCTCTTGAAGCCCGTGAAGTTGCCGCCGCAGACGTAGTTGCTGCATTCGATGAGATGGCCGGTGACGAAAGCGTTGGCGAGCTCGTGGAGTTGGTCTCGCGACCATCCGTGCCACCACACTGCTGCGCCAATGCAGGGACTCGCATCGCTGACTCGGCCGCAGACGACGATGTCTGCTCCCTTGTCGAAGGCTGCAGCTATCCCGAGCCCACCCAAGTATGCTTGAGCGTATATGGGCTTGAACTTCCATTCGTCCAGCACCTCGCCTGTGCAGATGTTCTCGAACTTGCTCTTGCCCTCCTTCTGCGCCTTTTGTACAGCCGGTAGTACCTCGTCTCCACTGATCCACGCGACCTTGAGATCAAGTCCCTTCTTCTTCACCATCTCCGTGACAACCTCTGACAGCCGTTTCGTGTCCGAAGCTCCGGCATTGACAGCAACCTTGATTCCATGCCGCGCAATGTCCTTCAGTGCAGGCTCCAGCGATTCGATGAATGTGGGTTCGTATGCATCGCCGCCATCTCATGCGCCTTAGCTTCTCTCTTGGACGTGATTGTTATAGCTCAGCATACCGTCAGTCTTGAGCGTAGCCCTGGCCGTCATGTTGGCTTCCGACATCCAATCGCCCATGATCACATCGATAGGGTCGTTCGGATGGTTCGCGGCGAGGATCGCCATCGCATGCCGCCGGTCGGTCGCCGCGCCCGAACATCCTTTGCGTATTGGTTAGCGATCGCAGCCATTCCATCTTCAGCTATAGACATGCCTGCAATGCGGATAGGTCGATTCCTTGCGGCGGCCATGGTCTTAGTGCTTGAGTTGTAATGGGAGCTAGTAGTTGATAATATGGAAGAAGAATCTCTGTTACCTACACGTGTGAGAGAATCTACAATGCCCTGCCTCGGGTCCACAACAAGATGGATGTGTTGGGTGCTGTATCTCCAGCCTCGGTCAAGAAGTGGTGGTGTTGCAGTCTTGCGGAGAAGTGCCGGAAGAGGAAGGTTTGGAGATTCTCATCGGAATGGTGTACCGTAACCATATTTGCTGTTGAACATCGCGAGAATTAACGCCCCGAAGATGCTCCACCTGGTAGGACGAAGGCTCGATTCAGCGGAGGAGGCGCTGACCAAGCCCGGAGAAGATGCAACCGAAGATGAAGGAGCCTGCGTCGCGTATGTCAATCGCGGCAAGCTCGACTGTATCGTAGGCTGGACACGCGCTACTGTAGACCGGTTGGCGGATATCGTCGACTCTCCGAGAAATACAGTATCTCCAGCGCTATCCGTCCCGAGAGCTAACCTGGTGATGGCGCTTCCAGTACCGATAGTGAGCGTAGAGCTGATGACAAGGGTCTGGCCGTGAAAGACCACGTTGCCATCCGTCATCGACAAGGTGACATTGCCGAAGACCTGTACAGCATGGCTCGGAGAATTGGAGATGGGTGAAATTTGGCTATTGAGCACGGTGGTGCCGCTCATGACCACTGGTATTGTGGCAATTGGTACGCTCACGGCAGATCCTCCTGGCGGTGTAGTTTTCCCACTGTGTATGGTGTAGGTACCGGCAGGTTCCTGCTTGTCGTGACGAGTGGCCGTGGTCTCACTAGTAGCTATCTTCGAGGAAGAAGCTGGATCAGTCCTGTATCTGGACACCCTGACCGTCTCTTCCAGTTTCGAGGTGCTCGTCACGCTTGGAGGATGCCGGGTCGAGTGAGCGGCGTACGACTGGTGCTGCACGGGTCTCGTGGTCTGCTCGGATGGGTTCGCGGTCTCGATGTGCTCTGATTGCCTTTCCCGATCTCCTTCGTCGTTTGCCTGGGTCGCAGCCGAACTTTCCGTGAGTTGGGTAGCTAAGCCATGTATGCGGCCCAGCGTATGAGCCGGTATTGGCTGAGCTGTGGTTGACACTGCTTCCGCTGTTGAGACTGTAGGTCCGATCATACCATACGGCTGTAAAGCAATCGGTGGCCGACCGTTGGTGCCCATCGTAGACGTCGGCTTGCACTCCTGCAAAGGAGCCTGATCAGAATAGACAGAACGAAACCAGCTGACCTCAAGGGGTCCCGCTACTACATATGTTGGATGCAGAGACCAATGTAGACCCTTGCCGGTAGCCGTCTGAACAGTGTCATACGCAAAGCTTGCGGCTGGGTAGAAGACTGAGGTAGGCATCATGACGGTCGTGGTGCTGTTCGAGCTGCAGGCGCTTGAGGAGCACCACTCGTAAGATGCTGGCATATCGTAGCGACCGGTTGGGAAAGCTCTGTCAATGTCAGGTCCCACATAAACTTCTCGGCGATTTGAGAGGTTTCTTACAAGGTACTCAAACTAGTGAGCGCCTCCCAAGTACCGTCGTGCATGCGTGCACTCGTCGTGACAGTGATGATAGCTGTCTGTGTCCCGTCTGGGTTGGTCGGCACAGTAGGCGTAGCCGATGCTCCATCCTCCGCCACTGTGACAGCGGCGGGCTGCCAGTTCCATACGTAGATACTCGGAATGTAGACATTGCATTCGTTCTCCTCAAAGCTTAGGCTCTGATTCCCATGTGTAGGACTGCTCGCTGAGGAGGAGACAAAGAGGATCGGTACGAGAAGAAGCAGAAGTGCTTTGAAGTGGCGTGTAACGAGCGACATGCTGACTAGGAGAACAAGAAACGCTCGAACGAACAAAAAAGCAGCCACCGTAAGAGCAGGAGTGTGAGAGAAAGAACGGTCTCTTACCTGGCGGCCAAAGGGCACTCTTCTACTTTACCCAGTCCGTTGTATGCGGCACAGTCTCCATTATTCAGGTCCGAAACATGGATAATATTTACGTCGAATGTTGATGTCTTTCGAAGCGCCGCTATCCAAAGGCGAGAACCTGAAGTGTAAGCGCCGCCAAGACCTTCTGTTCCTTCCTGATTGAGTCATTTTCGATTTCACTTGCGTCGATCCCTCACGTGGATTTCCGTCAAATGGACAAATACACTTGAATATTCACGATTCACAGACCTAACGAACAACCCTCTAACTCAAAATGGCAGACGCAGAAGAAGATGCGATGCCCCGCGGCGGCGCATCAGGCGAAGAACCAGATCTCACCGATGAAACCCAAGACTTCCGCTTCCTCACCACCATATCGTAATCACATCGTCTCCCGAGAACAAGACACGTTGTACTGACTTTCCCCCAGCCGCGAAGACGCCTCCATCCCCAAACGCGGCGAAAAGGACTTTGAGCCCCACGCCACCGCCCTGCAATCCAACACCCTCGCCGCCTCCCGCCACGCCATGCACGCCGCCCTCGCCTTCCAACGGACCCACCAGCCTCGCGGCCACACGCTCGCGACTTACCATCCGGAGACGAACATGGCGTACGCTTACAATCCGAAGGGACCGCTGTTCGTGCGGATGGGGACGGTTTTGCCGGCGATCGAGGATCCGTTTGGAGACGACGAGCGCAGGGGGCAGAGGGTGTGGTTGTTACCGGAGGAGGTGCTGTTTTTGATGAATCGCGGGACGGTGGATGTGAGGTGGCCTGGGCAGGAAGGGTTGGCGATGAGTTTGCAGGGGGCTTATGCGATGTTTCTGGGTGACGAGGGGGAGAGGGGTGGCGGGTTGACGTTTGAGCGGTATGCGGTCTACTCGAATCTGAAGCGGTCGGGGTATGTGGTGCATCGGGCGCCGACGTGGGAGGGGGAGGGGAAGGTGCCAGGGGATGAGTGCTATGCTGCAATTCCGAGTATGACGCCGCCGACGTGGCATGTGGGGTTGTTCAACTACTACACATCATGGTGGGAGTTGTTCAAGGCAGACGACAAGGTGAAGGAAGAAGAGAGCAGTCAAGGCCCACTGGTTGCATCAAAGCCGTACCGCAGCTACGCCGAGATCTATCGAAGACTGGCCATTATACCAACCTACGATCCAACAGCACGCTTTGGTCCCGATGATTCCCAGCTCGCCACCGATCCAGCCTTTCGCATCACATATCATGTCTGGAAGCCCAGCAACACAGCCTACAAGAAGTCTGCGCCCGGTCCTCCGGATTTCCGCATCGCTGTCGTCAATGCTCGGGAAAGTGCTGTGCCGACGTCAGCGCAGCTCAGTGCTCTGATGGAAACGGCGCCGTACAAACCCCCTCCTGAACAGTCACAGCTCTATCAAAAGCTCAAGCATGGGTACAAGAGCGTCATTCTTGCAATCGTCGATCAAGGGGTAGTGAGTTATCTCCGTCTCGCTGATGCTGCATTCGGACGGGAGAAGTTGTATGAACGGAGAGGACAGCCTGGTGGTAGAAGGGGTGGTCGGGGCGGTAGGGGCGGTCGAGGAAGAGGTCGATGATGTCTGTCGTCGTCCGATCCGCTTCGATGTTGGTTTTGGCCTGAAGAATGGTCGCTCTCTCATCCGGAGTAAATGTTGAAGAGGTTCCGAGCCCTACCTCCACGGTCTCCGTAGCCACGATTGTTCTTGCCTCCACGACCTCCCCTGTGGCCGCCTCCACGACCGCCTCGGTTACCTCCTCCACGCCCGCCTCTGTTGCCTCCGCCGCGACCTCCACTGTCTCCTCCTCTATGAGCTCCTCCGCCTCTAGTGGGGCCTGGACGATACATATCGTAAGCATTAGAGCGCTCACGAACTACAAAAAAGGTCTCACCTTTGGCCACGTTCGCATCAATCTGGGCGTCTGAGACCTCGAGCGGGTTATCGATCTCGATCAGCTCGCAGTAACGCTGGGTCTGTGGGTTCGGGTACTCTCTGACTCGACCATAGTTGCCGATGTCGCGCAGCCTGCCGCCGTCGTATACAGGAGCAGTGATTTCGAAGTTCTCGGGGACGATCAAATCGGCTTCGCTGAGGTGCTCGTTGATCCAGGTCCAGTTGTCGTCTATCAGCCTCGCTGTCTCGAACCACCCCTTGACCCCCGGGACTTCCGCAGACGGGTCTCCAACGGTGAGGGGCTCTTGCTGGGCGAAGGCGCGTGTAATGGCAAGCCATTCCGGGTCGTATGTGAGTTTGAAGGGACGCTCCGCAACGATGTCTTGGTTTTTACGCGGACGGATGGTGATTGCACGCATGAATCTTCGGCCTGGAAGGAGCTTGTCGAGCGCCAGAAACTTGGTGGTCTTGTTCGTAATCCTGTAGCGTGCATCTTCAATTCTCTCATGGTATGAAAGCCCATTGCCGTGGAAGACCTCTGGCAATTCTGCACGCGCATCGTTGTCGTCGTCATCGGCCTCGAGGTCGATCTCATCCTGTGGAAGAGGTCAGCAATTGACGATCATGCTTGAGCATGTTTACAGCAGCCGGAAACCGCAGCTCGTGAGTGACAATATCAGATGCAACCTTCACGGAAGAGGGATGTGCGATGCTTAGAGCGAACCTCGAGCTTGCGGATGCGAGCTGGAAGCCAAAGCACAGCGCTCGTGGATCATTAAATCATCGCAAAGGGGTTCAACATACCTTGTTGCCCTGCTGTTTCTCGGCAGGCTTGTCCCATTGGACTTTGGCGACGTACTCGCAGTGCAAGTGAGCGCTGAACCAGAAGCGTGGCTTCAGATTGGCCATCAGGACTTTGCTTGACATACTGCCGAGCTGATGGTTCCTAGCGTCTTCCTCAAGGTGAGGCTTGAACTTGAACAGCTGCTCGTAGTTGCCACACCACTCCACGCCGTTTGGCCAGTCGTGGCTCATGCAGATGTCGAGATGCGTGCGGATCTGATGAAGCTTGCTGACATCCAGCTCACGGGTGTGGAAGACGGTCTTCTTATCGTTCTCACTGTAAGGCAGTCGTTCGTGATGAGGCTCGCGGTAGTCGTAGGGCTTGTAGATGCCGCCGATTCCCATGATCCTGAGTGGTCCGAAGCGAAGCACGTTGGCAGCGCCCATGAAGTAGATGTTTGGTGCGACCCACCCGCCGAAGTAGAGCTCGAAGAGGTAGTTGCTCGCCTCATGGTTGCCACCGACGAAGAGGGTCAGGTATGGTGCGGTCCGGGCGCCAGAGTAGTACTCATGAAAGTCGCCCAGTTCGCGATACTTTGGTGGCACGCTGACGCAGTTGAGGTCGTACAGGTTGCGGACAGACTGGAAGTCACCGCCGACGATGAGAAGATCCGGACCACTGTCCCAGCCCGCCCGTTTGGCGGCCTCTTCTACAGAAGCGTAGATGTCGTTCAGCACGCCGTGGCCGCAGCCGACGACTGCGATGCGGACGCCCTCTTCCTTGGAGAGGTTGACGTCCATTGTCGGTGCCGCGGACATCAGTGGTGATCTTGTCTTGTTCGAGTCAGCAAGATGTTCTCACCAATGTTCCCACAGACGACAGCGGCGGCAAGACAACTGACAATGATTGTTGTTGTTGCGAAGGTTGGAAGCAGCTTCGAAGCAAAAGGCAAAGCCAGCAAAACCTCGTGTCCCAAAGAGGAAATTCAGCGGCAGCTACCCGCCGGAGTCGGCCAATCAAGAAATAGCAGCTTTTGAAGCTGACTTCTCCCACATCTTCCCTCTCTCCTTCATCTTGTCATCCTCCCCGAAGGCATGGCTTCAACTCGCAGGAGTACAGATGCGCGGGCGAGGTACCTACAAGATGCTTCGCAAATGCTGTTGACAAGCTCCCCTGCTGCTTCCATGCACTTGGGCGCCGAGCAGAATGCACTGTCGGAGAGAAGAGATGGCGAGTCGAGCAACACTTCCACCTGCGCATCTTGCGGCAGTGTCATGGTCATGGGGTGGTCTTGTGCAGCTTCGTACGATCGAAGGCGCCCACGAAGCAGAAAGGACCGCCTGGCACAAAGCACAACAGGGACGAAGACCATCAAATTAAAGTGCACAACATGTGGCGGCTTGACGGTCCTGGAATCTAGTAAACCTCCCAAGAAGTCTCAGATCAAAGCATCCATCAACACCGGAGTCAGACGACCAGAGCCTGCCCCTGCTTCCATTGGAGAACCTAGCACACCGCCAACACTTGTTGAAGAGAACAAGCCATCCAAGCGACGGGCGAGAGGCAAGAAATCTAGCCTGCAGTCCTTGATCGCAAGTCAAAAATCGACAGAACCTACCAAGAGAGCAGGATTTGGCTTGGACCTGCAAGATTTCATGAAGACTTGAAGACGGCGACCGCCTTACATGGAGCCTCCAACAGACCGAGCCATACCTGGTCAAGGTTCAACGGACGGACCTTCTTCCCAGCTTTTAGCACCGTCCAGGCAGTCCGGACCGTACAAATCAGTATTGTGCGGAGCTCGACCGCACCCGACGGGCAAGGTTTGCTCCACAGAGGCTCTCATACTGCAGTCTTCTTGTCTACAGAATAGCCTCCTGCCAGACAAGAGTCTCCAGACCGCGGAGGACTGGAGAGGGGACTCGTGCTGGATCCAGTCACGGACGGCTAGCTTCATCGTGCCCACCAGCTGCTGTTAGGCAGCTTTGAGAAGGTTTGTCGGAGGGGTTTGTCGAGGATGATCAGGATTGTGACGAGAGATGTCAACTCTGAGCAGCGTGACCGTTCGGATGTGGCAGTGGCGAGTCGGGGGTACATACATCAATGCAACTCAGGAATGCCTTATATAACTTCAACGCTACAACAATCGTGCAGGAAACTGTGCGCTAGAGCTGACTGCATTCCCTGAGATACCCATTGCGCTCGTTAAAAGTCTCGTGTTGCCTCTATCTCCAAGCTGTGCATCTCCATTTCCATTGTGAGGCGATTCCGAACGCGAAACCGACGCTTCCTCACCTATTCCTCAAACCTTGACACCTTCCATAACATGGCGCTTCCGGGACTGTCCTTGCCAGGCCTGGGACTACAATCAAGTCACATTGCGTCTGGGTCGAATGTGCCAAATGCCGCCGCTCAACAAACCGCACGGCAAGAGGACCTTGCGCCGCGCACAGAATGGCGCTTCGAAGTGAACTTCCAACAACAATACACCATCCGCATCCTGAGCGGCAATGCTGAGCTGTTCGGTGTCGAGCTCGCATCAAATCAGCCGTACAACTTCTCCGGAATCAAAGGCGCAATCTTCACGTGGCAAGGATGTCGGCTTGAAATCTCTGGCGAGGCGGAAAGCGAGTATCTCGGGCAGGAAACGGACTATGCGGTGGAATGGCTGAACGTGCACGGCATGCTGGAGACGGCGCGTGACGATGCGCAGAGCACGCCAAATGGTGATGGCGGTCCCAGAGTGCTGGTCGTGGGCCCGGACTACGTGGGCAAAAGCAGCCTCATCCGCAGCTTGACAGCGTGGGCGGTGCAATCCGGCTGGACTCCTACCATCGTCAACGGCGACCCTCGAGAAGGCCTGCTCGCGCCACCTGGCAGCATGAGCGCGGTCACAGTAGGCAGCTGGCTCTCAGTCGAAGACGGCTACGGCATCAGCCCCATCTCCGGCCCAACAGTCTCGCCCGTCAAAGCACCGCTAGTCTACCACTGTCCCTACACTTCACCCACAGAGAAGCCGGAAATCTACAAATCCCTCCTCACCCGCACCGCCCTCTCCGTAACCAACAAGCTGGAAGAAAACGCCCTTGCAAAACACTCCGGCCTCATCATCGACACCCCCGGCGCCCTCAACGACCCCCGCTCCAACTACGCCACCGTCGCCCACATCGTCTCCGAATTCAGCATCTCCCTCATCCTCACCCTCGGCTCCGAACGCCTATCCAACGACCTCATCCGCCGCTTCTCCGGCACAACAGCAGGCGCGGACGCTATCCCCGTCCTCCGCATCACCAAACCCGCCGGCGCCGCGGAGAAGGACGCGCAGTTCATGAAACAGCTGCAGAACCAGCAGATCCGGCAGTACTTCTTCGGCTCGTCGAAGGATCCGCTGAATCCGCATAGCCACACCATTGCGTTCGCGGACCTGAACATCTGGCGTGCTAACTCGCGTTCCCTCACGCAAGCGATGAACAGCAGTGCCACAATGGACGATAGCGACGACGACTACGCCCCTACCTCCTCGATGGGTTCATCGCAGGACTTCGAGCGCGTGACGCCTTCGCAGGAGATGTTGGGACGATTGGTGGCGATCAAGTTCTGTGCGGGGAGCGAGACGGACGAGGTCGCGATCCGGGACAGTGCGGTCATGGGGTTTGCGTATGTGAGTGAGGTGGATGAGGGGAAGAAGAGGGTGCGGTTTTTGAGTCCGCATCCGCAGCGTTGGGGGGATAGGGCGATGGTGTGGGGTGGGTGGCCGGAGGCGGTTGTGGATTTGGTCGGGTAGGGAGGGCATAGAGCGTGCGATGGGATTATGTACGGGGGAAGTAGGAGGGTGGAAGGGGTGAGACACAAAGGCTGGAGCTCGAAAGCTCTTTGATAGATTAAAGTCTGAACTAAGTGCCGACCACGATTCGTCGACCTTCACCTCCACCATCCCTCTAAACCTGAGCTCACCTCCATTACTCTCCTCCCACTACCTCCTCACTCCCCCCAACTAGCCCCATCCTTCACCGCCAAATCCCCCGCAACATTCCTCGCCACCACGCCCCTAAAATCCACCCCGACCTCCGACAACACTCCCGCCTGCCCCTTCACCACCTCAATACACTCCTGCCACAGCACACTCCCCTGCTCCACACTGCTCAGCTGTCGCTCCAGCATCATGTTGAACTCGTCCACCTGCTCCTTCGCCCACTTCACTACCGCGGAGCCGCTAGCTGGCGGGAAGGCGGTGGCGGAGGTGCGGAAGGTGTGGAGGAGGAGGGTGAAGGTCGTGTACGCTAGCGCGTGGAGGTAGGGAGGTAAGGGCCCGGTGAAAGGTAGCTGTCGGGTACGAGCGCGGAGGGTTTCGGTTCGAGAGGTGAGATAGGTGGAGCGTGCGAGTTCTTCGAAGCCTAGCCGCAGCAGCCAAGAGACGTTCTGTTTCGTCCTCTCCGTGCCGGCGGAGGTGAGAGCGAGTTGGCGAGATATGGAGGCTGAGAGGCGAGAGGCGCGCGTGTTGACTTTGGCGAGGATGATGTCGGATGCTGTGACGTTTGATCGGATGCTGCGCGCAAGTTTTCGTAGTTTCTCAATGCGAGCTACGGCGTCTTCGAAGCGCTGGAGCGCGATGTCGATGTCAAGGGTGTCGATCTGGCCTTCCACATGCCGTACGCTTTGCTGACGACCTTCGGCATCGACCAGGACACTGTTGCTTCGTGAAAGGCCGCCGCCTAGCATGTCGTTTGCAGCGGCCTCGGCGGCAGCTTTCTTCAGCGAGCGCGCATCGCGGCCAGTATGGAGGGCGACATCGTCAAGTTGGCGTTCCCGCTCTCCATGCTCGGCAGCGATCTGTTTCCGCAGATCTTCTTGTGCTTTTCGGAAGGCGACAAGGAGGCCGGCTTTTTCTCCCGAGTCGGAGGTGGCGTAGGTGAAGCTTTCGTTGCCAACGCGGATGTTGATCGCGTTGGCCATGTTCTTGTGCTCCTTTGTGCCGGCGGGCATAGCGGAGGCAGACGAGCTGATGTCTGCGAGGCTTACATCCTGGAGTGCCCAGCATCTCTCAGCTACCAGTGTGGTCTGCGATTGCGGCTGCTGCATGCTCTGTCGCTTGCTCTTACTGTCGCTCTGTGTGCCGTTCATAAGATCCGTGCGCTTCTTCTCGCTTGCAATCAGAAGGTGGTCATTGAGCAACACAAGCGCCACCCGTCTCCTCGGCTTCCACGTTGCTGCATTCAGCTCCACCCACCGCTGGCTCTCCACGATGATGTGCCTGCCTGGTAACGCCGGTAAATACTTCTGCGAGCCTTCCACCCTTTTCCAGAGCACCTGCAAATGCGTGCTCCACATTGCCTCGAGGTTAGCAACGCTGCTCCTATTGGCGCGCTTCCTCTCAGCGAGACTGAGTGAACTGCCATTTTGAAGCTCAGCACCACCAGCACTCGTAGCCTGACCAAGTGCGCCCGTCAGCTCGCCCATCAGTGTCCGCAGCGTCCGCATCTCAGACTTGAGCTTGTCCGCCTCCTTCGAGATCTTGATGAACTGTGTCCGGTTCTGGTAGACATTATGCTGTAGATCGGTACTGGCATGCTGCTTGAGGTTCTGCAGATCGTTCTGGTAGGCGTATACATCGCTCTCGGTAGCATCGGCAAGGACGCTCTGGACATACTTCTCCGCCTGTAGATTGGGGTCCTTGAGAGCGCGTGTGTCCACCTTCAGCCTGCCAACACCTGGCTCAGGACTTCGGCCATCGCGTGAGGGACTCCTGCCTTCCTCTCTGCTTGACGCGGCATACTGCGCCGGCATAGTCGGCATGGGGGGAGCTGCTCCTCCATCTTGAAACTGCAGCGCCTGTCCGCCGGTGAAGCGCGTGCTGTAGCGTCGTTTGACCAGGTCGCTGGTATTCTCTCGATTCAGCCTGCCCCGTTCCCTTGATGTCGAGTTCGGCACGGTGAGCTTCGAGTCCTCGGAGGCATTGGTTTGCGTCTCCCATAACGACTGCTGTCGGCTGTCCGCGCTCTGGTCTCGAGGTTGGCTGAGCTGTCGGGGTGCGGAGATGGTCGGTCGTGTCGTTTTCTTCCGCCGCAGCGAGATACCCTTGCCCTTGTCCTCCGACATGTTGATTACATGTACCAATGCTAAAGAACATGTGCTGGTATGGGAAGCGGAGGTGTCGTCCTTGAAGCCGCAGTATCTCGCCGAGCTTGGACCTCACATCATCCAGCTTCAAGACTCCCAGGAATTCTTCCCATTGTCGCTCGACATCAAACCACCATCTACACACTCGACCTCTTCACTCAGACCGTGAGAAAGCTCCAAGAACGCATTAAGAGATACCCGGATCTTTAAAGTCACACCCACCACCCGCCGCGATGGCCTCAACCACCCCCTCCCAGGCCACCTCCTTCACAACCATCGCCCTCGCCTCAACAGGTGTCATCCTCACCGCCTCTCTCGCCTACGCCTTCTACTTCGACCAAAAGCGACGCTCCGACCCTGAGTTCCGCAAGAACCTCAAAAAGCAACACAAGAAGATCTCGCGCCAGGACCAAGAAGCCAGCAAGGCCGCCGAGCGCTCGCAGAAGGACCGGATCAGGAAGAGCGTCGACGAGGCCAACGAGGAGGGCTTTCCGAAGGACCCGGAGGAGACCGAGTCGTATTTCATGCAGGAGGTCGCGAGAGGGGAGGGCATGTGCAGCGATGGCAGTGATCCGGTGGAGGCGGCGTTGTGCTTCTACAGGGCGCTGAAGGTGTACCCGCAGCCGAGGGAGTTGATTGGGATTTACGATAAGACGGTGCCGAAGGTGAGTGGTGTTTTACGGGGGTGGATGAAGGTCTGAATGCTAATGTGTTGTACAGCCTATCTTGGACATTCTCGCGGAGATGATCGCGGTCGACCCGAGCATATCTGTTACTGGATCTCGCGCTGGCTCGGACGCAGGATCTGACAAGGTCGAGTAAGACACGCGCGAGCGCCCGGCAGAAAGTGGGCATGCAAATGTACGATGGAAGAGAGCGAGAGTTCAAGAGCGTGTCGTTAATAGGGTTGGCTGTCCGTGATCATTTGAGCACCCAGCTGGAAGACGTGCATTTGCGGGAGTCTGAGCGAGTCGAAGTGCCGGTCAGTTAGAAGGTCTCATCTCACGGCTGTATAGCAAGGTGTACATGTATGTGTTCGAACCGCTCCGACTCTACAAGGCGAAACACTAGGGTTGGGACACGGGCGAAGCTCCTCATGTCTTCAGAGGGTAGGTATGGACGTACTTTCCTGGGCTGCAAGCGTCATGTGATGGTTCCATGTCTGCATCCTACCTATATTCGACCTTTTCATCCCGAAGCGTAGGGTTGGGGTCGGTGTTACATTGTTACACTGTCACATCTCGGGGTGACAATGAGCTGCAGATAACTACAGTTCCTCGAGAACGAGAAATGCTGACCGAAGTTGATTATACACTTCCACTTACGTTCCTCAGGAGCTTGAAACCTAACACCCTTGTGCTCCCGTAGCCACAGTTCAGTACAAGAAGTCGTAGGCGATTCCATCTTGACGGCGAAATCAGCCAACATCACCCATTCCACAAGACGCAGCATTGCGCCGTTGAAGCAAACTAAGTTGAGCTCATGAACGAACCGAGGTAGTGAGTAGATGTTGCCGCTCCACGCTACAAATGACAGCAAGTCGTGATGTCTTTAGGTGGCCCTCGACCGTCTAGAAATCTGTACAACCTAGGTCAACATCGAGAGGGGCACTCTTGCATTCCGATTCTTGAGACAATCACTTGGGATAGATATCCCTTACGACCACTGAACACTCTTCACCATTGACATCGTAGCAGCCTGCACGATGTCTCGCGAGCACGTCCTTGTTACCGGCGCAACAGGCGTGGTCGGCCGCTCTGCTATGCAATACTACTCCGAGAAAGGTTACAGAGTCACAGCTGTATCTCGTCGCCAGCCGTTCAACACATATGGAACTTCGTGGCACTCACTCGACCTTTCGGACGCCGAAGCATGCAACAAGCTTCTTTCACCTCTCACTGACATTGTCCAGATAGTCTTTGCCGCGCTCCACGAGGAGGCCGATCTCCAGAAAGGCTGGCAAGACAAGAAGCAGATTGACCGGAACCAGATCATGTTGTACAACACCATAGAGGCCGTTGCGCCACACGCGAAAACCCTTCGAAACGTGACGATTCTTCAAGGACCGAAAGCCTACGGCGTGCATGTCCACCCCATCCGACATGGATCGCGAGAGGATCGTGATGAAGATCGTAGCATCGCCAACTTCTACTGGACGCAGGAGGACTACCTAAAAGCACGTCAACAGGGTCAAGACTGGAGTTGGAACGTTCTGAGACCTGGACTGGTGATTGGGATGAGTGTTGGTGGAGCCATGAACCTGTACGGTGCAATCGGGGTGTATGCTGCTGTTCTGAAAGAACGGGGTGAGCCACTATATTACCCAGGAGAGGGATTGGCCATTGCACAATCCACAGATGCCGACTTGATCGCACAAGCTTGCGAATGGGTCTTGATCGAGCCCAAAGCCAAGAACCAGTGCTATAATTTCGACAATGGGGAGCTCGCAAGCCTCAAAGAGCATTGGGATGTCTTCGCAAAGGCACTCGACATGGAGACGGGTGAAGAGAAGCCGTTCGATTTTGTCCAAGGTCTGTCCGGCTTTGGAGAGGCTTGGGAGACGATTCGTCGGAAACATGACCTAAGGAGTCCAGATATTGATGCTTTCCTCGGACAGAGCGGGCAGTTTTCGAACTTCGTGCTTGCAAGGGCGAGTCGTGCCCCAACGACGATGAGTTGCGTGAAAATTCGACGGGATGGGTTTATGGGCACTGTTTACACAGATGAGATGATTCGGAAGTGGTTCAAGGCCTACCAGCAAGAGCGACTGTTGCCGGCGGTCGTTGCTTAGAAGCTGCACGTCGTCCGCGGGACAGTCTGCGGTGCAAGTCCACCTGTCTTTGCACCCAGCGGAAGACCCAGTTGTGAACAGTTACAGTGGACTGCAGAATCTGAAGTGGGTCGGCAGAGGTAGGAAGCTCGTTGCGCTAGGGGAGGATCTTTGTTTGGGAGCCTGCGACGAAGCTCAAGTGGAGTGTCCAACGTCCGAATGGCCGAGCGGTCGAGGATGGCAATGGCACAGATGTGCTGTACGTACACAGAAAGGAGGCGAGCTGGCTGCTTTCGAGAGTGAGAACAAGGTCCGATTCTGGAAGCTGTAGTAACATCTGAGAAAAGATATACTGACGATGAAATGATACTTTACCTTGTTGTACTGCGCTTACCTTTCGTGTTACATCCTCACCTCCTGTACACTTACATGCCAACAATCTCCAAAATCTCGTTTTCGCTGAGGCCCTGACCCTCGAGATACTCCTCCACACGCGGGTTCAATCTAGTCCCATGGAGCGCCTCCTGCGTCTTCGCCACTTCGGCAAACTCCTTCAAGAGCTCGAGCAGATCGTCATCATTGCTCACCTCGAGCGTCCGGAACTTCTTCGCCCACTTCACCAGCAGTTTCTCCGAGGTGGAGAGTGTCGGGAGACGAGCTTTGTCGAGGCAGATCTCGCAGTCTGGATTGACGCCTTCGTGCCAACAATAGCGGTAGCCTTTCCCGACCTTGTTGGCAATCAGGATGGATTCCATCAAGACGCCTAGCCATTGGTAGTCGTCATTCCGCAGAGTTCGAAAGTCGTCCTCGCGTATTCTCGTGTCGGGTTGTGTCTCTGCTCGGCCGAAGTCAGCAAGAACGATTTCCAGACCCCAGAGAGAGCTCGCGGGCCGGATGAGCAGGTTCGCGGAATGAAGATCGCCATACCTTTTCAACGTCCGTGTACCTGGCAAGAAGTTCGCGGTGTCAGTTACGTGCCAGTGAACCAACAAGAGCGACTGACAGATGCCGAGCGCGAGGTGCCACTGCAAGCCGGTCGAGAGGTCTTTGTGACAATCCCGGACCAAGTTGCAAAGTGTCGAGCCCGGGACGTACTTCATAGTGAACCACTGAGCCTCTTCCCCCAAGCTGTAGTCGACCAGACTCGTCACCTCGGGCCTATTGGCTGGCAAAGACCGGAGGAAGTTGATCTCATCTTGCACGTCCTGCTTGTCAAGGTTGTCCCGGCGGGGTTTGTAGAACTTGGCGACCACGAGGCTGTCCCGCAGCCTCTTGATTAGGACGTCCATCGATTCGTCGACGGCGTAGTCCTCGAGGATTTCGTCCACGTCGGAAGCCTTGATCGCGAGGAAACACTCGCCGTTTGAGCCTTCGCTGAGGAAGGAGACCTCCTCATGCGTTTCGCGGAAGTGGGCGCGGGATTGCGCCGCATACTGTGGACGGACGGGCATCGTGGTGGATATGTCGGTGCAGTAGGATAGCTGTTCGTGTTCTGCAAGGCTTCGATTCTGCGGCCAGTACTATTCAGGTTGGTCTGTACATTTATCGAAGCATGCCAACAAAGCCATTATTGCTCCGACCCCGACAAAGGCACACCAGGAGCATTGTCCCGTCTTCTTGGTTAGGGAGCGCAGTCAATCAGCAACACAAAGGGCTGAGCAGTACTGTAGCGGAGCAGGAACGACAGAACCGATGGTGGTGGACAACTGCGTAGGCGTTCTTTATCCAATACTTGTACAGTTTGGAGCGGTGGTGACGGACTAGTTCCAGGAGAGCAAAGGATACTCGTGTTGCAGGTACCAAAGACACTGTAAGAAATCGAGTCATGTCGCCTCGCAGCTACCTTAGACGACATTCTCATTACGCCAATTTGTTCCGTGAAACTTGGACATGCTCTTGTTCGATGACAGAGAGGAAACCATGAGACCTTTGGCGAATGGCCGAGATGGCAGAAGGCCCATGTACTCACGCCGGATCACTGATGCCGAAGGTGAGGAGTCGAAGCGGAGAACGATGTTGATGCATCATCATCATCGTCGACTACGATGGGCATGCATGACAAGCTTTACTGTGTACATGTGGGAAGAAGCGCCTTTGCTTGATTCTCTTCTCTCTTTTCTTTCCAAGGTCTCCATACCGTCAAGATGAAGACAACAACTTTCCTTACTCTACTTGCCTCTGCTAATGCACAGCACCACGGTCCCTGGTCGAAAGGTCCATGGTCTCATGGCAACTCGAACCCTCTCATCGTGGAAACGGACAGCGGCACCTATCGTGGCCTCATCAACGGCAGTGCACCTCTCGTCCGGGAGTTCGTTGGCATCCCCTTTGCCCAACCACCCAAAGACGACCTCCGCTGGCTACCACCACAGAAGCTCCACAGTAACGCCAGCCATGTCTACGATGCTACGCAGTACCCGCCATCCTGTGCGCAGTACATTTCACAAGTTCCCACTGTCTTCAATACTGTCACTCCCGAGTATAGTATTGCTGGACCGATATCCGAGGACTGTCTGGCCTTGAGCGTCTGGACTCCTATGCATGCGGAGAAGTTACCCGTGATTATGTTCATCACGGGAGGAGGATTTCAGACCGGAGGCGTTGAGATCAATTATCAATTACCATACAATTGGGTGCAGCGGACGCAGGCACATATTGTTGTCACGATTAAGTAGGACTATCGTACCCAAACCGCGGAAGACGACTGACAACTTGCAGCTACCGTCTAAACATCTTCGGCTTCCCTAATGCTGCTGGCCTGGACGACCAGAACCTTGGTATACTGGACCAGCGGATGGCGTTGGAGTGGGTACGAGACAACATTGAGGCATTCGGTGGCGACCGTAGGTATCCCACAACATACGTGAGAGCCATTACTAACCATCGCAGCCTCTCGCATTACTCTTTGGGGTCAATCCGCCGGAGCTGCAAGCGTAGACATCAACAACTTCGCCTTCTACGACGACCCCATCGTAACTGGCTTCTTCCCACAATCTGGCACCGCGTTCCTGCTCAGTTCCGACGACGAGATGAACTCGAACTTCACGTTCGTGGCCAGTCATGTTGGCTGCCACTATCCCAACGATGCCGCAAAGGAACTCAGCTGCATGCGCAAGGTCCCGTGGGAAGACATTGAAGCCTTTGTCGGTGGGTATGCGGACAACGGAACCGAGCCTGCGCTGAACTTCAACCCTGTGCCTGATGAGAAGATTGTGTTCTCGGACTATCCACAGCGTTACAGGGAAAACAAGGTCTCGCAGCGTCCAGCCATCTTCTCGAATACTGAAGAGGAAGGGAACTCACTTGTTCCGTTCAAGCGCTCTGGCATCAACGAAACGGCCGCTCGAGAAGTGACGCTCTCCGCCTTCATCTGCCCGGCCGCTCAGACGGCGAAGTTGCGCACTCAAGCTGGCTTGACGACCTACCGGTACGAGTACTCCGGCGTCTTCGACAACACCGCGCCGCTGCCTTGGATGGGTCCTTACCATGCTTCCGACCTGCCGATGATGTTCGCGACGCATCAGGACTATACGAACGGTGAGGGCCAGTCTACGTCTTTCGAGTACGCGGTTAGTGAACGGATGGAGGATCTGGTATACGCTTTTATGCTTGATCCGGAGCAAGGACCGCAGAAGCAGGGGTGGCCTCCGTATACAAGCGGACAGATGCTGAGGTTCGGAGCGGATGGCAAGGTCATGCAGACTGTCAGTGTTGACAGCGTTGAGGGAGACTGTTCTTCGGCCTCGTGATGGAGATATGTAGTCAAGATTTATGCTTCGTCTCTCCACAACTTCCCCTTTTCGACTAGTTCGGAGACCCCTCCTCATGCCGTCACTTTCTGCAAGGTCCATCCTTAGTGGGCGCCACGTGCGATTTAGCCTACTTCGTCCACTTCGCTTCCACCAACGGCACAACCTCTCTTCCGATCTTCCTGGCCCGATGCTGGACGACATGTCGCCTGTCGCACCAATGACTTAGCTGCCTAACACACTTATACACTTGTACACAATTACACCTATCACATCGCAGCACCACCAGCAGCAACAGCTCATTAACGCGACAACCACATGCGAGCAGGACAACGATAGCAGGCAGCCTCGATGGCTCGTAAGGCGAGGCAGAGGATAAGCTATGGTGAGCGCAATGCGCCAAGCTGTGCCCGAGAGCTTACATTCCAGTCCAGCTAACATGAGATGTCGTAGTCCTCCCCCTCGCGAACCAGATCGACGGCCACCGTCTCGGCGTCGGCGGCCTCGCGGTCGACAGCGACAGCTCCATCCTCTACTCCGGCGGCCGCGATGGCATGATCTGCGCCTGGGACCTCAACCTCGACCTCAAGAACGTCGGTCTACCCGACTACGATGCGAAGCTCCCCGCCCCGACCCCGACCGCCTTTAAACAGCAGGTGCAGGCGCATACGCATTGGATCAATGATATCAAGCTCGCGCAGAACAACCAGGCGCTCGTGTCCGCCTCGTCTGATATTACGGTCAAAGTGTGGAGACCGACGGCGCATGCAGCGGCGCCTCCGCAGCCGATAGGACTGCACAGCGATTATGTCAAGGTGCTTGCTGTGCCGTCGAACACGAGCGACTGGGTTGCTAGTGGAGGGTTGGATCGTAAGATCAGTGTATGGGACCTGAATGGTGCAGGGCAGAAGTTGAGCATAAATGTTGGCGAGGATGAGGCGGGAGCATTGTCGTCGAGGGAGAAGGGGAGTATATACTCGTTGGCGGCGACGAACAACATGCTTGCGAGTGGTGGGCCGGAAAGCACCGTACGGGTATGGGACTCTAGGAGTGGGAAGAGAGTGACGAAGTTGGTTGGGCATACGGACAACGTGCGGAGTGTGCTTATAAGTCAGGACGAAACGACCATCATGACGGCCAGCAGTGACCGGACCGTCAAGGTTTGGAGTACTCTTGCGGGCCGATGCATGTATACACTGACTATGCACGACGCGAGCGTATGGTCGTTGTTCTCGTCTCATCCGGATCTGTCCATCTTCTATTCCAGCGACAAGAACGGGCTAGTAGCGAAGACTGACACCCGAAACACGATCGAGCTCGACGAAGGTCTCTCAGTGGCTGTGGCACAAGAACACGAAGCTGTGCACAGCGTGGTAGCAGCGGGTGACAGCATCTGGACGGCCACTGGTCGACCAAGCATCAACAGATGGCGCGACGTCAGCACGAATAACACGGATATCGAAGTGCCGGAAGGCTACAGTATGCAGCGAGCTAGCATCTCTGCTGCGCGACCTCGTACGACTAGCCAAATCGACGGGCTGTCTTTGCAACAAACAAGGAGTGGAGGCTCTACGAAGAAGAAGATCCCGTTGAAACACATGCTTAGGTTGAGCAACACGGCCGACTTTCCTACCTCGGTCCAACCAGAGACGGACAAGCGGGCGTCGGTGATGGAAAGGCAACCGAGTAGGCAGGAGAATCCTGAGGCTATCACCATGCAGCCTGTACGAAGCCAACCGGACTTCTCCATTGAAGGGCAGAATGGGCTTATCAAGCATGTCATGCTCAACGACCGGAAGAGGGTGCTGACCACGGACACCGCTGGAGAGGTGGTCATGTGGGATCTGCTCAAGTGTGTACCGATCAAGTCGTTCGGAAAGCGACATCTAGACGACGTAAAGGACGAAGTCACGACTTCTGCGACGGTAGCTAACTGGTGCCAAGTCGATACCAGAACAGGCAGTGTGGCCGTGATCTTGGAAGAGAATACATGCTTCGATGCCGAGATGTATGCCGATGAGCTCGAACTGGATGAAGATGTCGAGTACAAGGAGGACCAGCGTATCAACCTCGGGAAATGGGTGCTGCGATATCTGTTTTCAGGCGTCATCACGGAAGAGATCAGGCGAGATCAGGCGTTCCGCAAACGGCTGCTCAGCGCTTCAGAGGAGAAGAGGCTGCAGCGGGAGAATGCTCCCAGCAGCATACAACTTCCTACGAACGGCGAGACGAACGGCTTCCACCATGGCGAGTCTGCTGCAACCAATGGAAGTGACATTACTCCGCGCGCATCCAACGGGAACACGAAGCCTACTACACCTGGTCTCGGAATTGGGCTAGCTCCACCAAATCCCTACAACTCTCCTGCGCGATCAGGTGCAGCAGCCAACACGTTGGTCTCGACTGCCGAAGAAGGCGCGCCATCTGGCACTACCCAGCCTCGACCGTCAGATGAGCGGCCAACGAGCGACTACTTCTCAGCGCCTGCAGTGCAGACTTCTGGGCTTGCGACTCCCGGTGGTGTGAGCAAAGCTCCCGTCACCCCTGGCGAGTCCGCCATCGCCGATGACCATACCGTGACCACGCCTTCAGCCGACTCACCTGCGCCTAAGGAGACGCCAGGAAAGGAGGCGGGCCTATTTGGTAAGAAGTTCTCGATGAGAGGAATGAGCTTCTCCGGCATGAAGAAAATCGGTCGCACGCAAACGATTGACAAGGAGGCCAAGCCCGTCGTGCCAGAGGAGAAGGAAGAAGTCTCCGAGTCCGATGCGCATAGCAGCAAGACGAGCAACTCCCGCGTCGTCGACGACAACTTCCTCGGCACAATCCAGAAGGTGCGCTTCGCCTACGAAGACAGCATTCAGCAGCAATTACAGAGCATGGTCGCACACGAAAACGGACTGCCTGTACCAAAGATCGCCAACCTCGACATTCCATCAGCCATCACGCCTTCTCTGGCCTCCGAAACGCCTGTCCTGCAACCTCCCCTCAACACCGTCATCCTCATCCAAGAAGACCGCCCCGAAGCCGGCGGCGTCGCCGACCTCTTCGAAGGCACCGTCGGCACACTCGCCAGCCAGACCGACACGATCGAGAAGACGGCGCCCATGTGGCTCGGCGACGTGCTGTTGCGCAACCAGGTCCCGCAGAAGGACGTCGTGAAGATCTCTTTCATTCTTGAGCCGCAGCAGGGTAGTGGATTACCGGGTATCGCGAGCGATGGGAATAACCGCCTCAACGCGAACAGGATGCTGCGCGCGAAGAAGATTCTTGGATACGTAGCTGAGCGCATCGAACCCGCGCCCGCACCGCCGAAGGAGGGTGAAGAGGCCCCGGTGGAAGAGAAGTTGAAGCCGGAAGAGTACTTGGAGCTGTGGTGTCAGGGTCAAGTACGCTACCAGCCCTCCCCCCTTACCTCACTCCTAAACCACCGAATCGCTTTACTGATGATGTTTTGTGATAGATGATCCAACCAATAATGACCCTCGCAACCATCCGCTCCCACATCTGGCGCGGCGGCGGCGACGTCGTGCTGTACTATAAAGCGAACGGGCGGAAGGAGATTCGACATGCCCCCCCGCCGCAGCCGCCGCAGAGCAGTATTCCTACTACGCCGAAACCTGCTGCTGCGAATGAGAATGGGAATGGGGGCGCGAATGCGGGTGCGGGTGCTGAGGTGCAGACGTGAGCTGTGCTGGAGCTTGCGATCCTTGGTAAGGGAGGGAGTGTGCACTCCTGTGTCAACACCGTGTTGGAGAGGGAGTGCGGGGTGCGAAGGTAATTGATAATGCTGTCGTTTGGATTGGCGATCATTTGTTCTTGGGCGGAGTGGCATGGGTCGTTCAGTGGAGCATGTCTGCGCATGGGAGTGAGGAGCGCTGCGCCATGTAGATGTTGTATACCCCTTGGTTTGAGTAACTTTGTCATTTGATCCACGTTGCTGACATGCAAAGGCCCGCTCCCATCATATGTCTGTGGTGCAATCTGAGTTCCGCTAGATAGTGACAAGGTGGGTTGAGAAGAGACGTAACTTAATATGAGATGGCGCTCTATCATGAGCGATACGACAAATAGTGGCATGGGTGTATTGCGCAGGTATTCCAGGCGGTATTATTGGATTAGGAAGAGACGATTGGCAATATTGCGAGACTGGAGAGAGGTATCTCGTAGTGAAGGATCCGCGATAGTGTTCTTTAGATATAAGATACTTCCATGATATGGCTCAGGGAGAGACCTGATGACATTTCCTTTCGCGGCCTTTCGCCGTGCCCATTTGATGCATTATTGTACAACAGCGCTGTGCCACAAATACCCACCCAATGCTCCCCAAACCACCAACGCCCAACAATGCCAGTAAATGCGTTCCCTTGACTCAAATCAATCTGAACATATTGTTCCGCACACTCCTCTTCATAGCCACCGGCTCTCCACCCTCATACTCCACCCCCGCCTGACCTCCATCCCCAGCATGCCCACTCATCCTCTGCCGCAACTCCTCGTCCTGCTCCGCGATCGTCTTCGGTCTCGAGGTCGACATCTGCCGCTGCTGCTGTCCGTTCTTCTGCTGAGACTGAGGCTGTTGGCCTTGCTGCTGCTGCTTTTGCTGGTCCTGCACTGTAGCATTTGACTCGGTGCCGGGTTGGGTTTTCGAGGGTTGCTCTGAGCCGGGGGCGGGTTGAGACTTTGAGAGAGGGCCGAGGTCTTTGGCTGCTTCGGAGTTGGCGCCTGTGGGGTGGAGAGATGGGTCGTCCTGTTTGATGCCAGCGTAGGTGCGGCGGAGGGAGGGGGTCGCGAAGCGGGTGGTTTGGCGGAGGGCGCGGTGCATGTTGGGCTGTCCTTGTGGGTGTATTTCCCGGTGATGTTCTGTGTGGACTTTGGTTTTCTTAGGAACTCAGGGAGATGTAGAGACGGGAGATAGGAGCCAATGAAGAAATACAGTACTTGACCTGTGCTTCAATGCGCAATGTTTGACCAGCTTGACCTGCTCATCGTTACATCATGAATCATTCGCCTGAAGTTGAAGTGAGCAAAGCACGTGACAGACGTGGCTCAACTCCGGTTCTTGGAGGAGCTTAACCTCACGTCTTCAGAATTTATCGTACTCGATAACCTCATATCACTAACACCACACGACCGCCAACATGCCGGTCGTCAAGGGCGGCGTATGGACGAACATCGAGGATGAGATCCTCAAGGCCGCCGTGTCGAAATATGGACTCAACCAATGGGCGCGCGTGTCTTCACTGCTCGCGCGCAAAACCCCAAAGCAATGCAAAGCCCGATGGTCAGAATGGCTGGACCCAGGCATCCGCAAGATCGAATGGAGTCGCGAGGAGGACGAGAAGCTGCTTCACTTGGCCAAGTTGATGCCGACGCAATGGCGGACGATTGCGCCCATCGTTGGCCGGACGGCGACGCAGTGTCTGGAGCGGTATCAGAAGCTGCTGGACGAGGCCGAAGCAAAGGAGAGTGGACAGTTTGGACTTGGTGGCCCAGAAGGCGGCGAGACTGCAGCACCGAGTGCTGACGATGTGCGACGCTTGCGACCAGGCGAGGTGGATCCGGAGCCGGAGAGCAGACCTGCCAGGCCGGACACGATCGATTTGGATGAAGATGAGAAGGAGATGTTGTCTGAGGCTCGCGCACGTTTGGCGAACACGCAAGGAAAGAAGGCGAAGCGGAAGGCGCGAGAGAGGCAGTTGGAGGAGAGCAGGAGATTGGCGGTATTGGCTAAGAGGAGAGAGCTCAAGAGCGCTGGTATTAACGTCAAGGTCACGACAAAGAAAAAGGGCCAAATGGACTACAACGCCGACGTGCCATTTGAAAGGGCGCCAGCGCCAGGTTTTCATGACACCCAGGAAGAATTGGCAGAGAACGAGCGGGCGAGGGAGGCGTTCGATCCACGAAAGCAGCAGCTTGCGAACAAGCGAAAGCAGGACCAACAGGATGGTGATGCGCAAGAGCACAAGAGGAGGAAGAACGACAAGGACGGCAATTCTTCAGCGGCAGCGGCAGCTGCTAGGGCGAGTCAGATGCAGAAGATTAAGGAAGCAGAACAAAGCAGCAAGAGACGCGGCCTGGTCCTGCCGGCACCGCAAGTCAGTGAGGGCGAGCTCGAAGACATCGTCAAGATGGGCATGTCCGGAGACAGGGCGAATACGATGGCCGAAGCAAGCGAGAACGATGCGACGAGAGGCTTGATGAGCAACTACTCGAACACCATCGGAGCAACGCCCATTCGAACACCACGCGCGCCACAGGAAGAGGACCGGATAGCCAATGAATTGCGCAACGCTCGTGCCAGGACTGAGACGCAATCTGTGCTGTTTGGCGGCGAAAACACACCTCTGCACGAAAGCGGCGCTAACACTACAGGCTACCAAGGCGTGGCGCCCTCAAAGCAGGCATCTTTCACCCCCAACCCTATGGCCACTCCCCTTCGCACCGGCGGCATGAACGGTACAGGTGCGACTCCTGCTGGTGCACCAGGCGCCACACCAATGCGTACGCCTAGAGACAACTTTGCTCTCAATCAAGAGGATGGAAGTTCAGCACTCGTCAGTCAGACGCCGCATGACATCCGGCTGCGAGAACAAGCAGCCAAGTCTTCGCTGCGTGGGAAGCTTTCGTCTCTGCCGAAGCCAAGAGAGACCGAGTGGGAACTCGAACTGCCGGAAGACCAAGAGGAGGGCGCAACGGGTGCCGCAGAGCTATCAGCAGAAGACTCTGCTGTCCGCGACGCCAGAAACGCTGCCCTTGCGGAAGCCACCGCGATGGCGGAGTTCAAGCGTCAAACACAGGTCTTGCAGAAAGGCTTGCCCCGACCGAAGGTAGTGGACGTGGACGCTATGCTGAAGAACGCAAAGGATCTGTCCGACCCTATTCAGCGCTTCCTTGTTGAGGAGATGGCGCTGCTGATGGCGAACGACGCCACAAAGTTTGGCGGCAGTAATGTCAACGGTCACGCCAAACCTGTGCAGGTTTTTGAGCAAGAAGCGATGCAGAACGCGCAGATGGAAGTCATCCTGGAGATGGGCGAGGATGCCGACCGCTCCGCTTTTGGCAAGGCTTTCGAGCGGGAGTGGCAGGCTGCGTACGAGCGGCAGAGCATGCTACCTGGACTCGCGGGCTATGGCGAAGATGAGCTGGATGAAGAGCAACTTCTCACTGAAGCTTTTGACAACGTGCAAGATGTCATTGCCACGTCTGCAGATAAGGGCCTAGCGCTGGAGAAGAAGCTGGGAAAGGTCCACGGCGGGTATGTTGAGCGGTCGAAGAAGCTTAAACAGAAGATTGGTGAGGCGGCGGCTTTTCTAGAAAAGACGAGGCTTGATGTCGAGGTGGGCAGGGTTGCTGCTAGTGCGGAAGGGGCGGGGATCGCGGAGCGTTTGGAGGGTTTGAGGGAGGAAGTTGCTTTGGTTAGGAAGAGGGAGAGGGAGGCGCAAGAGGATTATCGCGCTTCGAAGGCGGAGTTGGAGGGGATGGAGGGTTGAGAAGCAGTGAGCAGATTCTCCACATCATAGCCCTACTACATCAAGCATGCATTCTTTCGACTCGTACCCATCTCCGACATACCTACTTTTCTTCTCTTCCCCCCTGCAGTATCGTATACTTCGACCACCCATTCGTACCACACGCTCCTGTCGTCTGTCTGTCGCCACATGTGCACCATCATCTCGCCTCCTTTAGGAACGTATACCGGTGTCTACAGCACTAGTTAGCATAACATCATCTCCCCATGAAATAGACCTTACATACCTTCAATGGAAAGAAAATCGGAAACCAAGAAATCATATCCTGACTCTTGCTCTCCATCGTCACCGGATTCGTCGACAATTCCACTTTCTCCCCTGTCCGCGCGCTGGAATACAGCACTGTCTCGAAATATCCCGCTAGCCCGTGGCAGACGCCTTGCTTCGCGCAGGTGAAACTTATCCTGCAGCTGCGGGAATTATGCTCGTTGCTGCCGTCCCCACCGACACTGCCTGGGGCTCCTGCGCCCCCGCCTGCGCGGAGGCGTGCGTGGGTGAGTGTTTGTGGGGAGGTGGGGTGGGTGAAGGACCAGGCTTGCTGGACGTTCGGCGTACGGGACTCTGGTGAGGAAGCGGGCGAGAGGCTGAGGTAGTCGTATTGGTGCAGCAGGACGACGTACGGGATATCCCATTTCTCCCCCCCACCGCCGCTGCGGAGGAGGAGATCGCTGTGGATGCGCGGGGTGGCGATGGGAGTGAGGTGGGCGCTATAGCTCTGCGGGATGCTGATGCCGTGGGAGGGGTGGAGGATGTGTTGTACGCCGTCGAGGCATTCGGGGGAGAGCTCGTTGTCGGCGAAGGAGCCTAGGAGCTCGGAGATGAGGATGTCAACTTTGCCTGCTTCTCCGTTGGGGTTGGATGGGCCGGGCCAGTGGCGCATGTCGGATTTGACGACATGGACGCTATTGGACCAAAGGGGGTCGGTGGCGTTGCGGCGTTGGAGAAGGACGTAGGCGTTTGGGTTCTTTTCCACGGCCCAGCAGTCGATTGCTACGCCAGTGGACTCACTTGCTTGGAGGGCGCGAGTGACGAGGGGACCTCTTCCGGCACCAGCGACTGCTACCACAATCGGTCTTGCGTCTTCGACCGTTTCTCGTAGATCTTTTAAGGCTACGGCGATGGCTCGCTCGTACCACTCATACTTCACAGGATCTCTCTCAAATACCTCATACGTTACGGACTCCAGGTTGTCGGTCAGCGGCTGGAGGGGAGATTGCAGGTAGTCCTGATACCCTTGACCGAATCGTTCTATAGGTGGACGAGGTGGCTGACTTTGCTGAAGATGTCGCAGGTAGCGTAGATGCGGCACTGGATCTTTCGGCTTCTCTTTCGTCTTCGACGTTGCTTCTGCTGGTGTCGGCTCTGGTGAAGTTCGTGCTGGAATGTCAACGGCACCCAACAGGGTGCCGACATCGCTGAGCAGCATCCATGGAGGAAAGCGGAGGCGTGCGAAGCGCGAGATGAGTTGTTGGTGGGGCTTGGATAGAACCGGGTAGCCTTTGGCGTTACGGATGAAGGTTGTTCTTGGGAAGACCAGCAGCCGGACAGGTTCGGAATACCACCGACATTGTAGGTCGAGACATGGGAGTTGGCGTTGGACTTCGAGGGCTGGGAAATATCGTGGTCAGTTGCGGCTCTGTTGGCAGCCTATAGAAGAGGCATATACCTTGGGTTGAGCCTTATGCTCTCACGGGGGCACAGCAAGGAACGGGATGTGAGAGGTAAGTGGGAAGGGAAATGTAAGATTGTATTCGTACCTAAGCACAGCTTCTGACTGTAGCTACACAACGACCTGATCGTGTCCCACGTAGCCCACACATCGTACTCGTCTTTCGCGGTAGAATCATCCTCGTCCGCGTCAAAGTCTGGCGGAGCTGCAAGTTCCGACAAATGCTCGCCGTAGGGATAATCGGTCTCGAGCTCGCCACTCATTGGCAACAACACGTGCAGCTGGACGTACGGCCCCAAGCCGAGGGCCTCTTGCACTGCTCTGCCGTACCCGACCGCGTCTGCTTCTTCTGTCGGTGCGTACACAAGAACGTTGCTGACACCACAGAAGGCGGCGTACGCTACCTCAAGATTGAGGACTTGACGGCTGATATGAGCGATGACAGGATCCGAGGACCCGAGGTCTATCCATGGGCTGACGACGGCCACCCTTAGGCTATTGCTGTCGTCGGGCGTCAACGTCGAGTCCTGTGGTGTTAGGGGCGGGATCAAGGGCAGGGGCAGTTCCCGTGAGTCAGATTGGCTTATTCGCTGCTTGTAGTCCTTCACAAGGCTCACGACACTGGTATGGAAGGCCGGCGTGGTGATGGGGACAGTCAGGAAGTCGTAGCCCAGGCCCTGCGCCTGACTGAGCACGTCGTAAGAGACATTTTCTGTTCGATCGGTTTCATGGTGGCCAACGTAGAAAATGGTCGTTATCTCGTCTGGGGGAAGAGCAGTGCTGGTGTCCATGGTGATTTAGTCGCTTCAAGATACGGTATTGTGGCCGGCATGCATCTTCCTTTGACCAGGCTATATGAGTCGGAAGTGTTGCTGCTGTGGTTGAGAAACAGAATTTAGAATGGGCGTAGATTTTATCACGACGATACACATTTCAGTACAGCATCGTCGGACCTTCCTCGAAGGCAATAACTTTTCTGCGCCGCGCGCCGAATGACCAGCACAACTCACCTTCGCCATGGCCGACTCGGAGAACAAGTCGCGCTTCAAGCGCCAGAAACTCTCCAACGAGGCTGACCAGTCCAACCCCTATCTAGCGCACATGCACCCCAACGGCGATTCAAACGGCGTCGGACTCGACCAGTCCAACGGCTATGGCAATGGATATGCTTCCAACTCGAACGGCAGCGCAGGAGGTCTGTCCACCTTCAAGCGCCATGCATCGACTGCAAAGATGGCCAAGGTCGCAGAGGATGGGCCAACGAACCCGTTCACAGGCAGGCAGCTGTCGCAGAAGTACTTCAGCATCTTGAAGACGAGGCGAGGTCTGCCGGTGCACGCCCAGCGGCAGGAGTTCCTGGACATGTACCAGAAGTCGCAGATCCTGGTCTTCGTTGGTGAGACGGGTTCGGGAAAGACTACGCAGATCCCGCAGTTCGTGGCCTTTGACGACCTACCGCAGAGTCAGGGCAAGATGGTGGCTTGTACTCAGCCCAGGCGAGTGGCGGCCATGTCGGTGGCACAGCGTGTCGCGCAGGAGATGGATGTGAAGTTGGGAGAGGAGGTCGGATACAGCATTCGATTTGAGGATATGACGAGCCCGAGCACCATGCTGAAGTACATGACGGACGGTATGCTGTTGCGGGAGGCTATGAACGATCACGACTTGAAGCGATACAGCACCATCATTCTGGATGAAGCTCACGAGAGGACGCTGGCTACGGACATTCTGATGGGACTCTTGAAGGGGGTGGTGCAGCGCAGGCCTGACCTCAAGCTGATTATCATGTCTGCTACGCTTGACGCGCAGAAGTTCCAGAAGTATTTCATGAGTGCGCCGCTGCTGGCTGTACCCGGTCGGACGCACCCTGTCGAAATCTTCTACACAGCCGAGCCAGAGCGGGATTACGTGGAGGCTGCTATGCGGACAGTTCTACAGATCCACGGCACAGAGCCAGAAGGCGACATTCTGCTCTTCCTTACAGGTGAAGAGGAGATCGAGGATGCATGTCGCAAGATCAACCTTGAGGCAGACGAGCTCTCCCGAGAAGGTGCAGGACCTTTGAAGGTGTACCCGCTCTACGGTAGCCTTCCGCCTGCTCAACAGCAACGCATCTTCGACCCAGCCCCGCCACCTTATAAGCCAGGCGGCAAGCCTGGTCGGAAGTGCATCGTCTCCACCAACATAGCCGAAACGTCACTCACAATCGACGGCATCGTGTACGTGGTGGATCCTGGCTTCTCCAAACAAAAGGTCTACAACCCGCGGATTCGAGTCGAGTCGCTTCTGGTATCGCCGATCAGCAAGGCGTCCGCGCAGCAGCGAGCGGGTCGTGCTGGTCGTACTCGTCCCGGAAAGTGCTTCCGCCTCTATACTGAAGATGCGTTCAAGAAGGAGCTCATCGAGCAGTCATACCCTGAGATCCTTCGCTCCAATCTCGCTAGTACCGTGCTGGAGCTGAAGAAGCTGGGCGTTGACGATCTCGTGCACTTCGACCTCATGGATCCGCCGGCACCAGAGACACTCATGCGTGCGTTAGAGGAGCTCAACTACCTCGCCTGCCTCGATGATGAAGGCGAACTCACTCACCTGGGCACCGTGGCCTCGGGCTTCCCCCTAGATCCAGCATTAGCTGTCATGCTCATCTCTTCACCTGAGTTCTACTGCAGCAACGAGATATTGTCTCTCACTGCGCTGCTCTCAGTCCCGCAAGTCTTCGTTCGACCAGCGTCTGCACGTAAGCGAGCCGACGAGATGAAAGACCTCTTCGCGCACCAAGACGGCGACCATCTGACGATGCTGAACGTTTACCACGCCTTCAAGTCCCCGGCTGCACAGGAGAACCCGAAGCAATGGTGCCACGATCACTTCCTGTCCTACCGAGCCCTCCAACAAGCCGACAACGTGCGCCTACAGCTGAAGCGCATCATGGAGCGCGAAGACATCGAACTCGTCTCCACACCGTTCGAAGACAAGAAGTACTACGAGAACATCCGCCGTGCGCTCGTGGCTGGCTTCTTCATGCAGGTGGCGAAGAAGGACAACAAGACTTACACGACCGTCAAGGACAACCAGTCCGTGCTGTTGCACCCGAGCACTGTGTTGGGCCAGGACAGCGAATGGGTGCTGTACAACGAGTTTGTCCTCACGAACAAGAACTACATCCGTACTGTGACGGCGGTGAGACCAGAGTGGTTGCTCGACATTGGGCAGGCGTATTACGATGTGGACAGCTTCCCGAAGGGCGAGGTGAAGAACGGGCTTATCGCGGCGCAGCGGGCGATGCAGAGGGCGCGAGATCGTGAGGAGAGGCAGAAGATGATGGGTGGAAGGGGGAGATGATTGAGTACATGGTGTCTAGATATGGGCATTCCGAGCAGATGTTGGCGCGCTGGATATGATGAGATGCATGACGACAGCATCTTGTCTACTAGCAAAGCTATGGAAGAGGTAGAACGGACGACTTGAATGAAACGGTACACAGACCTTCACAACTTGACACGTTGCATTGTGCGTTTTCCTGTCACTGTATGAGTGTGCTCGTCGTGCAAGTGACTTCCACAAACAGACACTGGGTCCTGCAGGTCATATACCTCGGCATCAACCGGTGGCGTCACATGTGTTCGCGTTTACATCTTCCATTTGCTTCCACGACACCGAGACAACTCACCTTCTCATCCTCCACCTTCTCCATCTCTCCAATACATCTCAATCGATTGACTCTTCCCTAAAACCATCAACATGGCGGTCGGACAGCCGAAAACCCGCACCGTCCCCCTCGTCCCCCTCCCCCACAACGTCGTCCTCCTCCCCGGCATCACCGCCCGCATCCCGCTCCAGAACCGCGCCGACATCGCCGCCATCCTCGCCCACATCTACTCCAAAGCCTCAACCCCGCGCCCGGAACCCAACAGCGTCACCGTCGGCTGCGTCCCGCTCAACTCGCCTTACCTCAGCCCAGACGGCCAGCGCATGATCGAGGATGCCGGCGCAAAGGATGATAGAGCGACGCAGGCCACCGATCCCGCGCAGGCGAGGAAGCCGGATTTGTTCCGCTACGGCACGTTGGCGCGGGTGACGGGGGTGCAGGGCAGGACGCCGGGGGAGTTGACGTTGGTCGTGGAGGGGATGGCGAGGTTTCGGGTGGAGAAGTTCACGAAGGAGCGGCCGCACTTTGAGGCGAGGATTGCGGTGCATGAGGATGCGCCGGTGGCGGCTGGGGAGGCGGAGGGGAAGGTTGGAGAGTTGTTCGCGCAGTTGAAGCAGTTGAGCCGGGAGTTGATCGCGTTGATTCGACTGTCTGCGCTGCTGCCGCGAGGACCGTCGATGTCGCTTTCCCCGATCCTGGCGCGGAGATTGGAGCTGTTTATTGTGAGGAAGGATATCAATGAGGCTGGGGTGCTGGCGGATTTTATGACGAATATCATCGATTGCTCGCACGAGGATAAGTTGAGGATACTGTCCGCACTCGCGGTGCCGGAGAGGTTGGAGAGGATCATTGAGATCTTGCAGAAGGCGATTGGGAATTTGCAGAGCAATTCGACGAGGACAGTGGTCATCGCGACGAATGCGCCGCAGCAGAACGGAAACATCGACCCGGAGATGCTCAACAGGCTACGCCAGGATCCGAGGTTGAGGAGGATGGGGAATGGGCAGATGCCGGGGAATGGCATGGCTGGCTTTGGACCGCCCGGTGGCGAGCAGGAAGAGGCGAACGAGGTGGATGAGCTGAAGAAGCGGTTGGAGGAGGCGAAGCTCACGCCAGAGGCACAGAAGGTTGCGGATCGCGAGTTGAAGAGGCTGGCGGGCATGAACCCGGCGCAGGCAGAGCATCAGGTGATTAGGAATTACTTGGAGAATCTGGCTGAGATTCCGTGGTCGAAGGTTACAGAGGATAATTTGGATGCCGCGACGTTGCAGAGGGCGAGGAAGCAACTGGACGATGACCATTACGGTCTGGAGAAGATCAAGAAGAGGTTGTTGGAGTATCTGGCTGTGCTCAAGCTGAAGCAGACGGTCAACCTGGATCTGGAGAGGCAGATCAAGGCGATTACACAGGCTGGGGAGGGTAAAGAAGAGAAGGAGGCGGTGGTGAAGCCAGGTGCTGTTTCAGAGGCTGATTTGGATAAAGACGTTGCGCCGACGACGAGGGACACGAAGAAGGCAAGGCAAGACGAGAAGCCACGAGAAAAGACGTCAGAGGAGGTCAAGCTGCTGCAGCACAAGAAGATGGTGGACAAGTCGCCTATTCTTCTGCTTGTAGGACCGCCTGGAACGGGGAAAACATCTTTGGCGAAGTCGGTGGCTACCTCGCTCGGCCGGCAGTTCCACCGCATCTCGCTCGGTGGCGTGCGGGACGAAGCAGAGATCAGAGGACATCGTCGGACTTACGTCGCTGCCATGCCCGGTCTCATCGTCAACGGCCTGAAGAAGGTCGGCGTTGCGAACCCGGTCTTCCTGCTCGACGAGATTGACAAGGTCGGCACGTCTTCCATGCATGGCGATCCGTCAGCGGCTATGCTCGAAGTGCTCGACCCAGAGCAGAATCACACTTTCGTCGATCATTACGTCAACATCCCGATTGATCTGAGCAAGGTCCTGTTTATTGCTACGGCCAACACTCTCGACACTATCCCTGCGCCGTTACTGGACCGCATGGAGACCATCCAGCTCTCCGGCTATACTTCGCTGGAGAAGAGGCATATCGCCACCCAGCATCTCATCCCGAAGCAGATCACGACCAACGGTCTCGAGAAGAAGGACGTCGACATCGAGGAGGGTGCGCTCGACAAAGTTATTACGAGCTACACTCGCGAATCCGGCGTGCGAAATCTCGAGCGTGAGCTGGGAAGCGTCTGCCGTGCCAAAGCTGTGCAGTTCGCTGAAGCTCGGGATACCGACAAGATCTCGACGTATACCCCCAACGTCTCAATCGAGGACCTGGAAGATATCCTCGGTATCGAGCGTTTCGAAGAAGAAATCGCCGCCCGCAACTCCCAGCCCGGCGTCGTCACCGGCCTCGTCGCCTATAGCCACGGCACACAAGGTAGTATCCTCTTCATCGAGATCGCGGACATGCCCGGCTCCGGACGCGTGCAACTCACCGGCAAACTGGGCGACGTGCTGAAGGAGAGCGTCGAAGTCGCCCTCACCTGGGTGAAGAGCCACGCCTACGACCTCGCCCTCACCGCCGATCCGAGCGAGGACATCATGAAATCCCGCTCCATCCACGTACATTGCCCCTCCGGCGCGATTCCAAAGGACGGACCTAGCGCCGGTCTTGCGCACACTATCGCCCTCATCTCGCTTTTCAGCCATAAAGCCGTCCCGCCTACCCTCGCTATGACCGGCGAAGTCGCTCTACGAGGGAAAGTGATGCCCGTCGGCGGCATCAAGGAGAAGCTCATCGGCGCCATGCGAGCGGGTGTGAAGAAGGTCTTGCTACCGCAAGGTAATCGGAAGGACGTCAAGGATTTGCCGCAGGAGGTCAAGGATGGGTTGGAGATTGTCACCGTGGGACATATCTGGGAGGCGCTGGCGCAGGTGTGGCCGGATGGGCAGTGGGATAAGATGCAGGGGTGGGCGTCGAGTCGGTTGTGAGTTGAGGGGCGTGTCTGATACTTTAGCGTAATGAATTCATGTGATTCTATCAATTTCAACTGGTTTTCGCGGGTCTGAGCAGCATGAACTCCTCATACTTGTCCTCCCCAGGCATCACCTCGCTACCCCGCACCTGGAAGCCTTCTCGTTCGTAAAACGCCCTCGCGCTGGCATTAGCCTGCACGAACGTCTCCAACCCCCTTTCATCAACGACCTCACAAGCCCGCCTCAACAACGCCGCGCCCACGCCTTTACCTTTCCAGCTGTTGTCCACCCCGAACAGCTCGATCGTGTAATGCTTCCTCGCCGCTTCCTCCTCGTCAACTCGCATAATTCTCTCGCGCTGCAGACTCATCGTCGACACCATGGCGTTGAACTTCTCCGCGTCATGATCGGAAGTTAGAGGGAAGATCGACCAAGCGCCTGAGCCGCGCTCGTGGGGTTGCATGTGGCGGAGGACTAGGACGCCGATTGCTTCTTCTTCGTCTTCCTCTGCATTCCGGGGAAAATTGGATTCCGAGGAAGGGGCTGAGGCGGTCAAGACGTGCCAGCTGCTGCTGTCGGAGAGGAAGTGTTGGAAGATGTTTCGCCACCATTCTCGGACGGATGGGGTGTCGGGGAGTGCGGCGCGGATGTAGGGGTTTGTTGAGTGGAAGGAGCGGGCGACGATTGTGGTCAGAGAGGAGATGTTTGATGGACGCGCTGGGACGATTTGGTATTTTGACATGGTTTTTGTTGGTCGTTGTGTCGTTGGTGGTTTGAATTATTGTGCTGCGTCTCGCCAGTTAGATTGGTGGTGTCGGGATGGGGCTGCGTATTATTGCAAAAACGGCATGTGAGAGAGAGGACACTCAGAAAAGAAGGGACATCAAAAACTCATAGACCTGGTCGCTTGAATCTGTTGTATTGCTGTCGGAGAGGCTGTCGAAGTCCACCGATGGAATTGAAGGCGGGGATCGTAGCGGAGTCTTTGACAGAGCTGCTCACAGAACAGGCGAGCAATATGCGAGACGATGCAGCTTCGACAGCAAGTTGTGATGGCGAAATCATCAGCCCTCCTGCCCGTCCAGTACTCACGCGCAAATTTGCATAGCTCGTATTGTTCTAAGCCGGTGCTTGTCGAAGACACGCAACGGCCCATACACCTTTCGGGCCCGGACACAGCCCCTCGGCGCCTGACAACCCCTTCACTGCATGGACATATCAGTCATCGCATCCCATGAAAGCCAGTCGAAGTTGGAGTCCGCGAAGAATCCATAGGCATCGTTGCTGGCCATGCCGGCGCTTTGGAGCATGCCCTCCATACTGCTCGGCTGGACTTCAGGCTGGAGCGATGTCGAGGCATTTGGTAGCCAGAAGTCCATGTCCATGGAAAGGTCTTGCACGGCTGGATCGTTGAACAAATCGAGTAAGTCTTGCGGGTGCTGCTGATCCGGGGCTGGCTCATGAGGCAGACTTGTCGGAGGGATGGTGTTGTTTGTGCCCACTGAAGTACTCGTGCTCGTAGGAACGCGTGCGTTTGGATCAGCAGCAGCGTCTGCCTCTGTCTTAGAGTCTTCGGACCTTCGAAGGACCTGCTGAGCATACTGCACGAATGTCGTAGCGATCGTATGAAGCTTGGCCGCCTGAGGATGACGAGATCTCATCTGATTCAAAAACGAAGACATCGTCTCCAAAGCCTTCAACGACCGTTTTGTGGACGGAGTATTGCCTTTTGATAGAACTTCACCAAACAGGATGAAGAACGGCGTAAAAGGGCAGTACAGGATGACCCAAATAACGCCGTTGAACACCTCAGACGAGTCGGAGACCAAGTCTTCGAGTAAAAACAAGATCTGTTGTGAGGACGAGATGCATTCTTCGCGCAGATCGGGCCGTGAGCGGATCAGCAGTACTTTGAAGTAGTTGTAGTTGAAGTGTTGATACTTGATGCCCAAGCGCATGGAGTCGAGAGCCTCTGGGGCCATGAAAGGCTGTTCTGCGACCAGGCATGCTTCGAGGGTCTAGAAGTATCAGTGTCTGTAGTGTTGGTGGAAAGAGGGTCGACCTACCGAAGTTGTCTTTTGGTGCCAGTCATCCAGCTTCTCGCGTACGCGAGCGATGTTGGAGCTGTCTTCGTACAGGCAAGACCAGATATCGGCAGTCACCTCTGAAGAGCGGTGCATGAAGTAGAGGAAGTGCGCACCGAAGGTGCTCTGGTAGGAAGTCCCAATGCGGCCGCCGTCAATGACCTGGTGAGGCCGGTATTCCAACAGTTTGTGCACAGGAATAATCGGCAGGTTAGCGTTCGTGATCTTGTGCATAGCGGGCGGCCGCCCGAAGATGAGCGCAAGATTCTTGTCGATGGCATTGAAAGTCCAGGCCAGGAGGAGGCGTCTTTCTCGAGTCTCGGGGTCCAGACTCCTTGCATTGACGCCCAACGCTTGCAGCATTCTGCAGACGATCGAAAAGACCATCCAAGACAGCGATGGGGTTGTGACTTCTTGAACATGGAAAGCCAAGATCATCAACGCCTGCATATTGAGGTCGCTTGGTTCTAGCAGTAGTCTCGCATCGTCGATGGAAAGCCTGAGGTTCCATCTCAACTTGGTGACGGTGGTCCTGTCGTAGCTTTCATTTAACGCAGCCTCGGTTAACAGAACTCCATAGATGAGCACGAGGTGAGCTCTTTCGTGTACCGCGTGAGGGCGTGCCAAGGCATCTCGAAATACGTCTGGTGGTATTGGCGCAAGAAGCGGTTTGCCTTTCCCTTCCATGGCATAGTAGGCTGATATTGTAAGTACATGTAGCAGCTTGGTATGGACTGGTGCTACTCACCTTTGGAAAACGAGGCCGTCTGGCCGCTGCCGAAGGTTACGAACGACTTCTCCTTCAGACCCAGTTCAGCAGCCATCTCCGCGAGACCTGGTCCCTGCCAGAACGACGAATACTCCTCTCCCAAAGCGGCAAGAGTACCAGATGGACTATTGCCGGAGACATCAAACTGCTGAAGACTGTCTTTGGTCTGAGAGATGTCGTGATCCATCTGCGATTGAAGGTCTCCCGGCGACGATGACGACGCTTGGCCATCAGAACCTGCAACGGTGCTGCGGTTCGTTGGTGAAGTCGCAGCTTGCCATGGCCGCTTCGTTTGCCTTGGGCGCCTGCGAATGACGCCTGATCGGGAGTATACACAGTTGCGAGCATCGGCGATGCATTGTGAGCAACCGCTTGACTCGCGTGAGCATCGTATCTGCAGTGTGTCAGGTATTGAGTACACGTCCGCGCGTTAAGCGTACTTTACGAGTACGGCATTGGTCGCACTGATGAATGCAGAGTCAGCTAGAATAGCCATCGCATGCAAAGGAATGATCCATAGTCGTACCGCGTATTTTGAGAGATTGGAAGTCATATCGTTGAATCACAGCAAACTCGCTCCAGACTGTTGGAACAAATTCATTCAGTCCATCACCACTATATGTTGGAGGCGGCTCTGCGGTTAGTAAGGTAGATAGAACAAAGAGGTTCGTCGTTCGTTGGGAACAATGAAGGCGATGATGCCTTGAAAGGCTAAATGCACGCTAGTTCGGCATCTTCCGACCTTAATCCAGACGACAGTTACATACAGAACACGAAGGACATGACCGGCCTTTTGACGCTGTGAAGTAGGCATTAATTCGTCGCTCATGGCTAATTCAACACAACAATCAGCAGCACAAGGACGACAATCAGTATCCCGATCGTCATCCAGCTCCAATTGTCCTTACTCTTCCTCGCCACTGTCCCTAGCCTATTCCGCGCCCGATCGAGCGTCGACTGATGCCTATCGACTCCGCTCTCGACGTCATCCAGTAACTCATTCTGCTCCTCCAACTCATTACCCATCTGTATCCCCAGCACCCGCTGCCGCCCGATTGACTGTCCAAGTGTGTCAAGCTGCTCGTCCTGATCTCGTAGTACCTGTTTATGGTATGCGTGTATCTGCTGGTTGCCGAGCTCAGACTGGTCGGGACCCGAAGGTTCGTCCCGATAGCGTTCTTGGTCGGAGAAGAGCGCGGCACGGTTCGCTACGTCTACCGGATCTTCTTGCTCTTCAGCAGAAGGATCGTCGCGGAAGCGGACGCTCTTGTTCCGTCTAGGTTGGGTCGGTCTTGATTGCGCTGCGGCGAAGTCTAATTGTAGGCTCGGGTTATTGGGGCGTTGTATCTCCGGTGATGAAGGTGCGGCACCGTGAAACTGCGAGTATAGCTCTTCATACTGCCGCCGTAGTCGCGAGAGGTCGGAGCTCGAGTCTGCTGCTTGCCCGAGATCTGCTTCTTGTGATTCGAGGTGTTCGATTCCTTCTTGGAGGCTGGTGAGGGAACGGGAGATGTCGCTGTCTTGCTTGTGCGATTCGAGGTTGAAGCTGACGGCGCGTTGCCGTTCGAGGAGGGAGAGCTTGAGGTGGTCGGCGAGGAGGAAGAGCTGGTGGGGGGAAGCGCTCGACATGGTCTATCCGTGGGTGGTGGATGCGCCTAGGCAGCTGTGTGGTTGATGGCGGCGGATGGTGGTCTGAAAGTGGTACGCATGCAGCGGTAGTTGGATAGTGGTGTGTCTGAAGACACTTCCAATGCGCCCTGGTAGACGTCCTGTCTTGGAGATGATTGTTGCCTTGTGGTAGGGAAGTGTTGAAGATGATGTCGGTGATCGTCGAGCTCGACCTCCGCGGCCGCGGCAGTGGGGGGATCGGCTGCTATTTCCAGCCTCCTCCTCCGCACGAGCACCTCCAATGTCTCACACTACCTATGCTCTACAGTGACCATACCATATACGCTCCAGAGTAACGCCGAGCACGTGTTCCTACACCCTAGCCACTACACCAACACCACGCGATTCCGACCTCAGCATCCAACGAGCTGGTCCTGGACGGCTGCAACAACGACAAATCAGGCTTCCCGGTAAGCGCTTGCCAGCGAGGCCACATCCTCCTGAGGACGAGGCCACCAAAGCTGCACTGTGATGGAGCTTTGATCACCCCCTAATGCACGATACTTGAGGAGGAGTCAACGCAATATCTCGAGGACCTAGACTACTGCGTGGATACCGCCAATCCATACCTATATCTCCATTCCCCGACTCTGCAGAACCGCTCCGGCGCGCCATATTGCACACAGCACTCCTTAGCCTCTCCCAAGGACGTACCACACGCCGTATATCGTTCCACCGGCTGTTGATCAACGCCAACTTGGACCGCCTTGTGTAACAGGAATTTGGAAGCGGGCTGCCACCACCCACCTCGAGCTCCCCTCGACTTTCCGCTCAGATGCCGAGCATGATGTCGCGCTCTCCCTTCTCGCGTTCCTCTCCATCCGGCAGGCAGGAGTCTACCATCACGCGCTCGCATTCTCACAGCTCTGCGAATCCAAACAACGCGCTAGGCGTGCCTCCACCCCCGCCACATGCCCGACGCTCTAGCATGGGCGTGGAAGTCAGAGGCATGAGGAGGCTTGAGCAAAGACGCAACATGGAGGAGAGCCACTACCTGAACTGCAAGTCACGAGCGCAGAACTACAACCCTCCGGTCGACCTACGGCTTTTGGATTATGTTTCCATCTACGACAACAACCTGATGTGCGCCATCTGTCGCTGCCCCTTCGTCGATCCCGTCGTTCTATCTGAGTGCGACCATGTCTTCTGCCGGGACTGCATTCGCCAAAGCTGGAACTCGAACACCTCATACACTCCACTCGGCCCTCGAGGCGACTGCCCGACATGCCGCACGCCGGCCAAGCTTGGCCCTCGATCAGCCACCAGCAAGATTCTCGTGAATCTGGTCGATGAGTTGGTGGTACATTGTCCAAAGAGAGACGATGGCTGCAAGGCTGAAGTACGGCGTTGCGAGGTTCAAGATCATGTCAACATTTACTGCGGCTATACTGTAATCGAATGTACGGATGACGACTGTACACTTCCTGTTCGGCGGAAAGATGCAGCGCAAGGCTGTCTGCACTTTGGTGTTAGTTGCCTTTCATGCCACAAAGAGCTGCAGAAGTGGAAGCTAGAGGCGCATTGGAGGAGCGAGTGCGCGGATCGACGAGTGCATTGCGATATGTGCAAGAGCTCGGTGTTCTATCGGGACCTCGAGGCGCATAGGAAGGAGGCCTGCCCTGCGATGAGTGTCTCCTGTCCTGGAAAAGCTTTGGGTTGTACGAGCAGGAGCAAGAGAGGCCACGCGGAGCTTCATGCGAAGAGTTGTACATTTGCGAAGCTGGCGCCGGTACTATTGAAACAGCAAGAGCGCTTGGACGAGCAGGAGGCGGCGCAAAAAGAGATGAGTCGGAAGCTGGAGGTGCTGGAGGGAGGCTTTCAAAATATGCAAGGCATTCTATACCCTCCTGGAGTGGAGACCAGTCAGAGAAGTGCGGACAACAGTCTTACACCCTCGTTACAGGAACGTCTGTTCGGCAGTGGTACTGCGGAGAGTACTACGCCAACCGGTACAGCCGCAGGATATGACTGGACTGAGTCTGCCGTGGACGAAGACGCAGTATCACCAGCAGAGACCATGCACACAGCGTTCAGCTCAGCGACATCACCACGACAACGCGCAGCACCGCTGCCGCCTGGTCCTAGGCCGGCAGATCTACCTGAGCCGTTCTCGTCCGACTTTGACATCGCCTCACCGACTGGCTTTCCACCTCCAGCCACCAACGGCGGACCCTATGCTTCTCCCCTCCATCACCTCCTATCTATGCACGAAAGTTTGCGGGATGAAATGACCCGCGTCTCCTCCGCACTCTCAGAGCTGGATGGCCGCCATTCCATGCAGATCCTCAACGAGAACCTCCGCACTCGAGAAGAGATCTCTTACCTCGCCGCGCAGACAGCGGGCTTACAGCGGCAGGTGCACTGGCTCACATCGTCCGCTCTACAACGACAGCAGGGTCGTAGTCCTACGCCTGGCGCGTCGAGCTCAGGCGCGGGGGGTGCTATGATGGACGCCGGAGCTGGAGCTGGTGTTGAGGCCGCGGTTGGTGCGGTCAGTACGGCTGCGACGGCTTTGAGAGGGGCGGCGAGGATGGTGAATGTGGGCGGAAATGGGTCCGGGTCTGGGACTGGGACTGGGATGAGGAGAGGGACTAGTGAGGAGGGGAGGACGAAGCTATGATGATGATGTGGTACTTGATACGGGAAATGGTCTGAGCGTTCTGAGCGAGTTTTGTCGGGCCTATGAATCGAACGCGTTCGATCGGTGCATTTTCGAGGCCGAAGAGATACGAGGCTACCTTTGCCAGCACACCGGGCATTGCACGAATTGCTTGTGAGTTCAAGGTAGGCGTTGCTCCATACTACCATGAAGTCGAAATCTCAAAGTTAGACAACTGACTATCAGCATGTCTCTGTCTTTCACATGCATTCAGGAGTTTGGACACACTTCAGGCGACGGTGTGGAGAACCAAACCAATTCGCAGGTTGAACCAGCGTTGAAAAGCTGATAAAGTGCTCGCCTTCATCATCGATCTGACAACAAACACGAGCTTCTGCTCATCGCAATACCATTGGAATCTGGACAGCCGCAGTCTAGATCTACCAAAACTGCATCATCTCTAACGCCATCTCCTATCCCGTATGCCTAGCGCAAGCGGACGGAACCTTATGTCAACGTCCACCTGTACCTGTCCGCCCAGAGAACACGACGACCTAGTATCATGCAACGACCATTGCAATTCAATCCAGACGCACATTGCGATGTACGAAGCTGAGCAAAGCAAGGGACGCGGCCATTTCGTGTCATCGTCTCACCCCTCTCGTGTCATCGTCACTCGTTCCGTTGTTGAACCTGCGAGGGGTTTTGAGGCATGGAGGGATGACGGGACCTCATGAAGACGACATATAATAAGGCTGCTCTCGTCTTCCTATTCAAATCTACCACCCAAACCCGTCACCCAACCGACTCAGAATATTCATCACCACCACCATGCAGCTCACCTCCCTCCTCACCACACTCCTCGCCACCACGGCCCTCGCAGCTCCCGCCCCCGAGCTCGAGACGCGCGACTTCAACCTCATGGTCGCCGGCTCGACCTGGACGATCCAGAACTTCAAGCGCGTCTGCACCGCCAACGCCAAGAAATGCTCCTTCACCTACGCCATCGACACCAACGACGGCAAACCCGTGACCAAGTGCAGTTACCAGGCTACGGGCAGCCCGGCGGCGCATGCGAGTTATAGTAATGTTAAGTGTGGTGCTTTTACGTAAGTACCGTGCCTTTCTATGGGATCGACAGGTTGTGTGTGAGGCACTGCTAACGATGGGTTAGCGTTGGATCTACCTGGTCCAACCAGTTTGGCAACGACAAGGCTTTCACTACTCTCTCGGTGGTGAAGAATGGCCAGATTATCTACCCGGCCTACACCGACAAGCAGCTGGCTGGCAACAAGGTCGTCAAGCCGGACCAGAGCTACACGCCGCAGAACCTGCCATCATAGATGGTAGGCAATTTGTTCCTGGTGGCTGCTGAGAGAAAGAATATTCTGGGAGATACACGCCAACGATAGATAGATCGAGATTATACTTGACAGGAATACCGATCCCTCATATAAGCTCAACATCCACGTCCATCCTTCCCGACCTTGACAATGACCTTCCCTCGTGCCCTCTTCGTAGCAATCCTCGCGTACGCCTTCACCACATCCTCAATCTCCCAGACCGAATCGATCAACATCCGTACCTTGCCTTCATCAATGAGTCTTGCCGTTATGGCCGTAGCGTCCGTGGAAGGCGGCGTGCTGAACATGATGTAGCGTCGTGGTATCCCGCCGAGCCATGTCGGTCGCCAGGCGTTGAGGAACCAGTTTGAGAATGTTGCGAGAAAGCCTTCGAAGGAACCTACGTTGACCACTGCGCCGGAGGGTTTGAGGTAGGCGGGTGAGTGGGTGTAGAGGGCTTGGATGCCGGCGCAGTCGAGGATGGCGTCGAATGGCTGGGTTGAGTGCTTGTCTGATAAGTACTCTGGCAGCGGTCGTGCGGTGTAGTCGATGAACTGGTGCTGTCAGCATGACTTCTTAGAGGCTGATCTTCTGGGAGAAGTACTGACCTCATCAACTCCCAGACCGCGCACCAGCTCCTCGTTCCCACCACTCGCCGTTCCCAAAACAGTGATACCTTTCGCCTTGCACATCTGCACCATGACCGAGCCCACCGAAGAGCTAGCGCCGTTGACGAGGACCTTGTCGCCCTGGCTGACGCCCGCAGCGTGCATCATCTTCAGTGCTGTACTTCCGGCGCCAGAGATTCCGCCTGCTGCCACGAGATCAAAGTCGCCTGACAGTCGAACAACCTGACTCGCCGGAACCTTGACATACTCAGCCAAACAGCCGTAGCCGTACAGTGCAAAGTTGGGGATCGCGTGGAAGGCCGCGACACGCGCTCCAATCTCCCGTAGCTCGGCTGGCGCTCTGGATCCTGCTGCCACCACCACACCAGACCACTCGAGCTCGGGGATCCGTGGCGGTAGGCCTGGAATTGCTGGGAGGGTGCGTAGCATGAACTCGCTCGAGTACTGTAAAGCCGAGTAGGCCACGCGGATGAGTATGTCGGTCGAGTCGTGTGTTATTGTTGGGGTTGGGATGGTTGATAGCTTGAGTGAAGTGGCTGGTGGTCCACGGGAAGGGCGGAGCCAGGCACGCATTGTTGGCGGGATGGATGGTGGAGGAGAAGCCATGCTAGCTTCGGAAGGGCATACAGGTCAGAAGGGTTGTACTGCTCCTGGTGGGTATGCACTTCGCTTTGTTACAGTAAGATGGTCTTCTCTTGATCTCGTCCCGGTGACGGAGGTGTTCTGATGGTGGGCGCCCACCAAGTTCTGCGGTAAGAACTGGTAAGGTAAAGAGACTTGACTAGAGAGCGAGTAGATCTAAGGAACATGAGGTAACAATACTTGACCATTACCATTGGGCGTCCTTGAAGCGCTATTGAGGCTCGTCTACACCGGGAGCGGAGGCGGTGTATTATCCGCTGCCTTCTGAAGACCCCTTGCAGCCACAAGAACGACAACGAATGGTGTAGTTCAACAGGCCTTTGCTCTCGTTGGTAGGCCTAGATTGGGTACAATTGGTCTCGAAGGAGCATGGGGGATGGATGGGGGGCGGTCTGGAGCCTTTCCGTATATTGCCTCGCACAATCTCTGCGTCGACTGAGCGTGATACGAGATTAACATGGCGTTGAGACGGTAAACACCACGTAATATTGGCCGTGAGCCCTCCTTTGGTGCACAGTATAGACAAATGTGTCTCAAAGACAGTGGAGCGAGATTGAGGGCAAAGGAAGAAGGCAGGAAGGTGCATGTGAACGCCGAGACCTGGCTGACTCAGCGGCATTTTTTGACTTCAACATCGCAAAGGCACTCCATTGTGACTCGATGTTGCGACGCAAGTGGTCATAGCAATACTGATTCAACACCCCCGCCCGTAATGGCCTCACCCACCCCCTCGCAGCGCTACCTCAGCACGCGCGGTGGCAGCTACGACGTACGTTGAACTACAGGCCAATGCTGGCTTTGGGTGCAAGATCTGGTGACTTACGCTGAGGCGCATAGATGATACACAGTTCTCCTTCGAGTCCGTCGTCCTCAAGGGACTCGCATCCGATGGTGGCCTCTTCATCCCAGAAGAGATCCCGGCCCTTCCGTCAGACTGGCAGACAAGATGGCGCGACCTGAGTTTTCAAGATTTGGCCTATGAGATCTTCTCGCTGTATATCTCAGAGGAGGAGATCCCGAGTCAGGATCTCAAGAGCATTGTCGAGCGGAGCTATGGCAAATTCAGAGCAAAGGATGTGACGCCGCTGAAGCGTCTTAACGGTGGAGAGGGCAAGGAGCTGTGGTTGCTGGAGCTGTTCCACGGCCCAACGTTTGCGTTCAAGGATGTGGCTTTGCAATTCGTGGGCAACCTTTTCGAGTACTTCCTCGTGCGAAGAAATAAGGGGAAAGGGGAGGAAGCGGAGAGAGAGCATTTGACGGTCATTGGAGCTACAAGCGGTGACACGGGCAGCGCGGCTATCTATGGATTGAGAGGCAAGAAGGATGTCAGCGTGTTCATCATGCATCCGAAAGGCAAGGTCAGTCCCATACAGGAGGCACAAATGACGACGGTGCTGGATGCCAATGTGCACAATCTGGCTGTGAGCGGGACGTTCGACGACTGTCAGGTATGTTCAGCGAGATTCTTTCAAGCTAATATCTCGTGTTGCTAACGTATGGTGTAGGACATCGTCAAGGCGCTATTTGCGGACCCAGGGACGAACGAACAGTTCCGTCTCGCAGCCGTCAACAGCATCAACTGGGCTCGAATTCTGGCGCAGATCACCTACTACTTCCACTCATACTTTTCACTTCTGCGGAACACTGACTCACAACCACAAGTGCGCTTCGTGGTTCCTACAGGCAACTTCGGCGACATTTTAGCTGGTTTCTTCGCTACACGCATGGGTCTGCCAACAGAGAAACTGGTGGTGGCGACGAATGAGAACGACATTCTGCATCGATTCTGGAAGACGGGCTACTATGAAAAGCAACCCGTCCATGGCCGTGAAGCTGAAGGTGGGCTGGTCGAAGACGGTGTGAAGGCGCACGAAGAGGGTGTCAAGGAGACGCTCAGCCCAGCGATGGACATTCTAGTGAGCTCAAATTTCGAGCGTCTACTCTGGTTCTTGGCTTTCGACACGAGCAAGATTGAAAACACCAAGCAGCGTAGAGAAGAGGCAGGCGCAAAGGTCAAGGGATGGCTGAACCAGCTGAAGTCTGAAGGTGGCTTTGGTGTTGGCAAGGAGGTGCTGGAGAAAGCGAAAGTGCTTTTCGAGAGTGAGCGCGTCAGCGACGATCACACGATCCAGACCATCAAGAGCGTTTACTCCCAACAACTGCCACAAGCCAATGCCACTTCCAACGGACACACAGCGCCTGCGACCACCGGCACCGAGCACGATGGCCACTACGTTCTCGATCCACACTCCGCCATCGGTGTCGCAGCCACTCTGCGCTCTATGTCGAATTCCAACTCACAACACGTGGCGTTGGCAACAGCTCACCCGGCCAAGTTCTCGCATGCAGTTGAATTGGCACTGAAGGAGGTGAAAGGCTTCACTTTCGAAAGCGTACTACCGGAGCAATTCCAGGGAATTTTGGAGATGCAGAAGCGGGTCACAGGGGTGGACAACGATTGGTCCAGTGTGAGGGATGTAATTGTGCGCGAAGTTGAGGAGGAGCTAAAGGGCAAGCGGTAGGAGAAACAAGATTCCGTTCTCTAGGCTCAAGGACTGGAGTGCTGAAGGCGCTCTGCACCAAAAGTTGACCTGCGGGCTTTCGTCCCTGCTTTCTAAGGCCAAATGGAGTACATAGGATAGTAGAGTGTTGTCCGATTTGATCTCCGGTGGTGTCGAAGGAGCTTACTGAGCAAGCAGGTCTTGAGCTCCGTACCTGGTCTTTGGTATTTCAGCCGCACGCCATTCCCCTTGGCTCTACTGATTTCAGCGAGTTTGTGCAGCGCGAGGGAGCTCTGTCACAGGTCACCCCACGATTGCAGCATTGAATGGAGCAGTCCCAGAACATGGAGGTCCGGTGAAAGCATGCGTATATTGCGAGCCGTAGGTTCCCTTGGGAAATACTTTCTACCTTCCTTCGCAAAACAAGCTCCTTCCTTCTCCCTTCCCATAACAATCTCGATCTTGCATCATGGCAAGTGTTGTGATGGGCATTATTGGCGGCATCGCGGCGTGGAGTCTTGCTGTGTTCAAAGACCCTACGCAAGCGTCTGTGCTACATCACCATGCTCTCTCAGAACTGAAGCCGTTGTTGTCACCCAATGCAAGCATCCATCTGCCTTGCTCCGAAGGCTTCCAGACGGCGATGGATCGCTGGACTAGGTGGAAGAACCCGGAGTTCGATGTTATAGTTGAAGTCGTCACCGAAGATGATGTCTCGAAAGCGGTATGGCTTTACTCATGAACTCCAGGAAAGTATCGAGGGCCACGCTGAGCATTGGCACGAGTGAGCAGGTACAATACGCCAACCAGCAAGAGCAACAATTTCTAGCCATCTCAGGCGGTCATGGTGGAACGAAGCATTTGGGAGATGTCGAGCATGGAGTTGGCATCTGGATGCGGAAGATGGACGGCGTACAAGTCCACGAAGATGGCTGCAGTGCTACAACTGGAGGCGGTGTTCTGTCGAAGAAAGTAGTCGATGCTCTATGGGAAGAGGGCAAGCAGACTGGTAAGTCTTTCCACGAGGTAGTGGACTCTATTCAGAGACAGGCCAGCTGACCAATATGACCGAGCAGTGATCGGAGCATGTGAGTGTACAGGAGCCATTGCACCAGCGCTCGGAGGAGGCCATGGCTGGCTCCAAGGCCGTCACGGTCTTTTGGCCGACCAGATTCTATCCGCCCGCCTGGTTCTTGCCAATGGAACTGCTGTGACGGTCTCTTCCAGCTCGCATCCTGACCTGTTCTGGGCGATCCGAGGCGCCGGACACAACTTTGGTATCGTGACCGACATGCAGTACAAGGTGTACGATCGCACGCCCCAAAACGAAAAGTGGGCCATGGAGACGCTCACGTTCAGTGGAACAAAGCTGGAAGAAGTCTTGCAGGAATTGAACGAAATGATGAAGCAGTATCACGACGTGGTAGAGTTAGCGCACTGGACGGAGGTGCTTTGGCTTTCGCAAGTCGATCCTAAGGTAGGGAAATGCAAACTAATACTCAACGAGCGCCGCTGACAGTTTCAACAGCCGGTCGTTATCGTGATCCTTCTCTACCAAGGCAAGAAAGTGCCGGAGACATACGTTTAACCATTCGTTAAGCTGAGTCCGCTGTCTCATGACACCTTCCTCACAGACCTACGGGGGCTCGCAGCTCCCCTGATGATGGACAACGATGGTGCGGCCTGTCAGCACGGCTCTGCCTACCTCCGGTTCCCTTTCGGCGGTTCCGAGTACAACATCGAAGGTCTACGAATAGCATACGACACTCTAGCCGCCCTCCCGCCCAAGCTCAACCAGTCTTGGATAATCTCCGAAGGGTACTCCATGCGCGGCGTCCAAAGCGTTCCAGCAGAGAGCACCGCATTTCCTGATCGATATAACAGCCTTTTGATGGCCGTTTTCATGGTGTATTCTCCAGAAGACGAAGCTCTCGATCAGCAGGCTGCTGAATATGGAGAAGCCATGCGAGACGATGTGGTGAAGAGCAGTGGTGATGGGCTACAGGCCTACGTCAACTATGCATTCGGCGACGAGAGTCAGGAAGCATTGTATGGCTACGAATCCTGGCGACTCGACCGCCTGCAGAAGCTGAAGGCTCTCTATGACCCAGACGGGAGGTTTAATTTCTACAATCCAATCTTGACGTGAGTGGACAAAGAGGCTGCGGAGATTGACGAAGTGCTATCTTTATGCGGAACAAATATGGACGATGCGAGTCGCTTTGTCTCAATATATCCACAACTTGGGAACAAAGCATCATTGTTATTTCCGTAAGGCTGATTTAGAGCCGTGAAGAGCCCAGCGAGCCATCTGCAGACGACCTTGAGACAGTATAGCATTTTTCCATTCACATTCATTCTAGCATACGCATCAGCGCTACGACATGAACGACGTTGCCAACCACATTCATTTCCCAGACTTTGACTTCGATTACCGCTCCGATCCATCTCTCAACCAGCGGACGAAGGTACGGATCCCGTCATTCCTTATAGCAGAACAGCGAGTTCACGTCAAGTTTGATAAAGTGCTTGAACCGACACTGCCTTCAGACCTTCGCCGTCCTGAACACGGCGTTATTGCTAAGCGGAGAGTACAAGCGCAGGACGAAAGATGACATCGCCGTATCTCACTCTGCTTCGCAAATTGGCAGATGGAATACCCACAAGCACCTATCGCTTGGTCGGAGGTAAGGTGGACTGAAGTACCGCATCCCGGCACCAGGGTGAAGTTCGCAGTGGCGGACGGTGAGGTAAGTCCAAAGTCGGGCGGGCGACTGGTGCAGGAGCAGTATGGTTCACGAAGCAGGAAGCGGGCTGGGCCCTTGAGATGGATAAAAAGGCTGTACATGCGGGCGAGAAGGTAGGTTGTTTTCATTGTTCTGCATAAAAGCGTCGATTCGTGTATCTATGGGGTATCGTGTACGCTTGAGCATCCGCGCTCGTCTATCCCAAGGTCAACTCCCTGAAACGAGCAGCTTCCTGAGTTCTGCAAACTTGACTGGCTTTGGTAGGAAGACATCAATCCCAGCAGCCATCGCCTGCTCTTGGGCTTGAGCGCTGGCCAAACCAGTCAATGCGATGATCAGCGTCTTCTCCAGGCCATTGTCAGCCTCAAACTCTCGAATGCGTTTCGTAGCCTCCATTCCATCCATCACCGGCATGGAGATATCCATTAATATGACATCAAATCGTCGTCCGGGGGCAGGGGAGTGCGGTCCAGGAAGACACGCTTCCCTGAAATGGTCCAGTGCTTCTTGCCCGTTCTCGGCCTCGGTATAGCTGAACTGCAGCTTCTTCATGAACATGACAAGAAGCTGTAGGTTGATCGAGTTGTCATCTACCAGGAGTACGTGCGAGTCATCGGAGATGACCCCGTCACTCTGCACTGTCTCAGAAGGGCCTGATTCCATGCCAGGCGTTGTAGGGTCGAGTGGTGTCGGAGACGGGAAGGCAACCGCAGAGCTCAAAGACTTTGTCAAGGACTTGTACCGATGCGGAAGAGGCGCTCGTGCGCTCTCGTTCGTCCTTGCAGGAGCCTGCGTATCATTATCGTTCGACGGCTGTGACTCAGGTAACCTTCCCGGAGGATGCTCAGCGGAGTCGTCAGCCTTCTCATCCTGTGGTGTGGCCTCGTAGGAATCCTCCTCTGCTTCTTGCTTCTTCTGTAGACAGTACTTCAGTACCTTTGCGAGCTTTCTTGGCCCACATGGCTGCGAGATCACTTCGGTGTGGCATCCCAGCTCATGCAAAGCTTGCCCTTGATGCCTGGACACCTGCACGGCCTCCTCAGCGTTGAGACATATAATTATCACTGGAACGTTTCGATGCGGCCGCGGTTTCAAAGCTCGCTCGTGGTGATTGGCGATGAGTTTTTCGACCGGCGGCGGCTCGGCGAATATGTAGAAGTCCGCATCGCTGCTGTCTATTGCCGATGATCTAGAAACCTTCATGTCGAACCAGGAGGCACAAACCGCACGAAGGGTCTCTTCAAGTCTCGAGATGCGGCCAGACAAGGACATCTCGCTCTTAGAAGAGAATGGATCCAGAATCACCATGTTCATTCCCTTGGTCTGCTCTGCTACCGCCATCACCTCTTCATCTGGGGCAGCGATTGGCGTCGCATGAGCAGGTGTCAAGCTGACGCGGACGGTGATTTCGGTGCCGATGCCTTGTTGAGATTTCACTTCGATCGAGCCTCCGAGACTGTCAACGATTGTTTTGACAATGCTCAAGCCCAATCCGGTCCCTGCTTGGTATGGGTCTTCTTGCGTGAAAGGAAGGAAGAGCTTGTCACGCAGGAAATCTTCTGACATTCCTTTGCCGGAGTCAACAACCCGGATGAGCGTATCCATCTTGCCATCGCGGAAACCTTCTTGTGCTCGCAAGGAGATGGCAATGAACCCACGTGGAGTGTATTTAAGGGCATTTCCGAGACAGTTCATGATAATTCGACGCAAGGCACCAGGCTGTGTTCTCACAAGCCAAGATTGCCTGGGTGCAATGTCGAGAAGAACGGAGACCGCCAGGTCGGTATCGAGCTCCGAGATCTGCTGTCGACGGTGTGAAGTATCGTTGGCAAAAGTGGCCGGGTTGCTAAACGCCGATACTGACATGCTCTTGGAGGGGATGTCCAGCACTCTTTTGAAGGCATGGCCAGAGCATATCGCGTCCGTAACCTCTTCCACTAGGACGCCGAGATCCACCTCTCCGGTGATGCTCATGCTCTCCAAAGCGGAGTCCGATGAGGAAGCATGCGGTGACTTGTTGTGTTTCGCGGATCGCTTCGGCCTCGTTCGACCACTTAGTTTGTTGATCTTGGCATAGTCTAGGACATGATTCAGAGTGTCCAAGAGTGTTTTGCCGCATGTGGAGATCGAGGTCAGCAGACTGGCTTGAAACGAATCCTGTGCCGTCTCTCGAAGAAGTTCCGTAGAGCCCAATATGCCATGGAGAGGACTTCGTAACTCGTGTGAGATCGATGCTATGAAAGTTGTTTTCGCAGCCTCATTCTGCTGCGTGTTGATGCGCGCAACCTCGGACATTATGCTGGCGGCGAAGGCTCGCAGATACGACAAATCCTCATCGTAGCTCATCATTTGCCCGGTGTTCGAGCTCCACAAGAAGCAGCCGGCCATCAATCTGTCCTCAGCGTAGTCGTAAAGCGGGAGGAAGATAAGCGTCTTCATCTCCGGCAGCTTGGCGAGCAGCTCGCGATGGTCAAGCGTGCGGTTTCGACGTAGCCTTCGAGATTCTGTATCGAGACTAGTACTGGCTACATCTTCCCCAGATGTAAAGTCCGACCCTTCTTCCTGATGAAGCGTAAGCCGCCCTGAACCCGGAGTGCACAATTGCAACTCAATCACTTACACCGAAGTAAAACTTCTTGCCCCGTGGATGCAGTTGGAAGTATCGCTCCAAAGTGCCGACCGTGATTGAGGTGTCCTTCAGTATCTCGCGACCGCTCTCATCGTTGGAGACTGCGGTAGCGAAGACCCTGCATGGCTTCGACGCCGGACTTACATCAGAGTCGGAAGTGTCGTGTGAAACTGAGTCAGACCCGGGTGATGGTCCAGATGACACGGGCGTAGGATCGGATGATTGAGACGAGCTGCGAGGATGTCCGGATGAACGCATCTTTGAAGCACCAGGAGAAGCACCCAGGATCACAGCCCCATCAGCGAATGTTGATTCGCGAAGTATCTCAGTGGCTCTGTGGAATACACGAGTCACACCATCTGCTTTTCGTGGTTGCGAGCCTGAACGACGACCTTGCGTCGTGATGAATGCTTGACGTCGGTAAGAGACGCGCGAGGTCATCTGTGGTCTCGTCGTGTGTGACCCAGCTTCCTTCGGTGGTTGGGATGATACAGGGACACGATCTGTGGCCGTTCGCTCGTCCCCTTTGTCCATGGACGAGCAGCCTTCGATGAACGAAGCCATTCCGCGCACGACTCTCTCGCCCTTGAACCTATCTACACGATCGCGAGCCCACTCGAGATGTTCCATCACTGCAGCCGCTGTCTCCTGCATGAAGGCAAGCTCTTCTACGCTGAGGCCATTGGAACGAGGCTTCTCGTCCGACACGGCATAGGCGCCGATTGCACAGCCAGACTGCGAGATGATGGGTACTCCGGCATAGAAGCGGACGCCGGGCTCCTGTACGACATACTCCCTGTCCTTGAACCGCTCGTCCAGGCGGCAATCCTCGACGATGAGTCCTCTACAAGTCAGCGTCTCGCCATCCTCGTTCGTCGCCGTAGCCTTGTTCGTGAAGCAGTGTTCACATACTGCTGAAGGCCGAGAAAGCACGGTGGTGCCCAGCCACAATCCGCCACTGGCTGTGAGCGATAATGAGCGAGTGGCCTCAGCGAGGATCATCTGATGTTTTGGATCGATCAGGGATACCATGGCACGCTTGACGTCGAGGCGTGCCACGGCCAGCTGCGCGAAAGCAAGCAGAGCCTTATCCGGGGCAGACCGCGGTTGATATCCCCGTGAGGACAGCTCGCGCTGGCCAATGCTCTCCACATGAGAGGCGACATTGAGGGAGGAGCCCTGTGCCTTGAGCCATGGCTGATAGTATCGGTGGACTTCACGCTCTTGTACCGACACTCGTGGTTGTGTGCCATCCGTCGTCGTGCTCATGTCGTACCTTGTCGTCCGGCTGCCTTCGGAGTCGATCCGTTCTTTCGACTACTTCGTGAGGGTAGGTGGTGGTGGTGCCGACACATGTGCACGCTTGCCAACCGATGCTGCTAGGGATATCGCGACTCGCGGTGTAGGAGCCAAGAGTAGGGAATGAGGGAGCAGGACACTGTGGACGGGCGCGACGGCGGCGGCGGTGGCTCCGAGAGGTGAGGTTGGATTGAGTTTGCACGTGACTTACCAGGAAAGCATCTCCCTTCTTATCGTTCACCATCTTTCGCGCACTTACACTTCCGTCGCCGTGAGTCCCTGGATGATATGCGCAGCTCCACACGATAGGCTGGGATGGGAGGGACGAGAAGTAGAAGAGAGTAACAACACACCTCACAAGCGCCTCGGCCTTGTCCTGGGCCAGACGGAAGGTCGGCAGGATGTTGACTCGATTTCGACCTTCCAACCCCAACCCCACTCATACTCAGACTCTTGGACTCTTCGACACTAGGACCCGCATGTGATGGTATCGTTGGAATCCCTACACGCACAGCATGGACTCAGCCGACAACTCGTCCACTCCGCCTCAGCAGCACTCATACGCCGAGCATCCTCGCAAGAAGCGCGTCAGGAACTGGACGGCGGAAGACCGAGCGAAGCATCGAGTATTGGAGAAAAGTCGAAGGGAGTCCTTCAACTCTCGCCTGGTGGTAAGACAAGAGCCTTGTCTCGATTTGACCTACAGCTTACTTGTAGCACCCCAGGAGCTTGCTCATGTGATTCCTGCACTTCAAGGCACCAAAGACAGTCAACTTTCGAAGCATGTGATCGTAGACGAGAGTGTGAAGTGGCATGAGAGTCAGCAGACAACTAACGAGCGACTGACTGCATCCATCGATAGTCTGATGGCTGAGAGAGACCGTCTTCTGAACGAGCTGAACGCATTCCGTCAGTGTGTTGGGTTATTGCCACATCAGCCAGGTGAGCCGGCACCTGATCCATCTCAGCATCAGACACAGATGCAACATACTGCATCACAGCCAGGCCTGGACACAGTGAGGGAAAACTTCGACGACCATGACTGGATTAACGTGCATGGCGGCATGGCTGGTCCGGCTCCCAACAATGCACTCCATCTGGAGGCTGCAGTAGCTGAGGGCGGTCAGCCACCACGATCGGGGCTTGAGTCGCTTGACCCTATGCCTTACTCCACGGAGCTCCCGGATATGTTTGACCCTGCGTCACTCACTGAGGTAGAACATCCGAGCCAGACGCTAGAACACCTTCCCACGCAGGACGAGGTGTTGGAGTCTTGGCCACCTCTGATACCAGACTCACACACCCAAAGTGGGCACGACTTTTCGATCTGGAGCATTCCCGTGATCTAAAATCGACATAAAATACACCATGCCGTCTATTGATCTATCTGGCGAACCGCCAGCTATGTACAAGAGCACTGTATTGTCACCACCGGCTTATTGGCACTCGTACGCAGTTCTTTCAGTTCGGCCGATCCTGGAAATACCCACGCAACGGTCAGAAACTCACGATCGTCCGACTTTACGACTTTAGACTGAGAATGCCATTTGCGAAAGCTGGTATCGCCTCAACCCCAGGCCCAAGCCATCAGATCTCGGCAAAGGCCTTCTCAATCTTGGCCTTGCTCTCCAACAGACCACCAGTGAAGAGCTCAAGCGCATCTTTCAGGCGCTGGGTAGCTATAGGGTCGGCAGCAATGGCCTTGTCGAGCTCCGCACCGTTGTTGGCGAGGTAGTCGATGTCGGTGCTGGCAAGCTTTTGGTCCATATCGGCTGCCTTCAAAGGATCAATCTTCGAGACTTTGACCAATCGCTCAGGTGTCTTGTATCCGGCGTACACGTTTGCTGGCTTCGGCTTGCCTTCGCCTGGCTGCTTGGAGCCATCATACTGCAGGCTGGCGAGCTCGTCGAGGACCTGTGGGGAGATTGTTGCGCTGTGGCAGCCGTGCTCGCCCGCGGCCATGGCTTCCTTTGCGGTGATGAAGCTGTGTGGTGGTCAGGTCTGCTCGGCGGCAGAGAAGAGGATGTGTTAGCCTACCTTGCTTGCTTCAAAAGGGGCTGCTGCTTGTCGGTCTCCTCGTACAGCCTTGCGTAGGTCTCAAGAATTTGCATGGTCCTAGCACTCATGGTGTGCTGCGTTGCCGGATCCTCAACGTTGGGCCAGAGCTTGTCGGGATCATCATGCGCCTTCACCTCGTTGAAGTAAGGGCTGATGTACAGGCACTCTCCTTGGCTTGCCGCGATGGCCTGCGGAAGACTGAACAGAGCTGTACCAAGGGTGGCGATCCCTTCCTTCTTCAGAGTTGGGCAAGCGCTGAGGGCAGGACCAACGGATGGGATCTTGATGCAATACCGCTCCTGGGGAATGCCGGCACGCTCAAACTCCCGGGCGTAGGCACGAGCAGAATCCAACACGGCTTGGTGGTCGTAGGCCTCATTTGGGTACACTTGGAGCAGGACCCTTCCTTTGATGTTGCCAATGTTTTCCTTGCACATCAAAACCGCGATCTTGGTATAGGCGGCTTTCCAGTCACCCTTCAACCCGTCGCAGACTTTCTGGAACATCTCCTTGTTGTCCGGATGCGACATCTGCTGGTTCACCCAGAGGTTGTTGCTTTGAACCGTCAGAAGGACCCCGTCAGTGTGCATTTCAGGGCTTTTCTCACCTTGTCTGGTCATTGGGTGTGATCTGCAGATTCTTGCTGTATGTTGGGTCCATCCAGTCAACGTCGACATTCACTGGAACACGTCAGTGTTATGATTACATGCCGGAGCCATGGTTCCCAGCACCTACATTGCTCGTCCAGCTTCTGGAGCCATGTCTGGCCGGTCGGGTGAGGCATGATGCAGAATATTCGACTTCTGCGCTATTGTTTCGCTGCGAGCGGCTGGAGAGAGGCAGAAAGTGGAAGATTTCTGATTGTAAGCTGCGGACATTCTGCTGAACGACTGCTTGCCGTCTTGTATAATCTGCTCGGCGAGCTGGTGTGGAGCACTGATTGCATCTGTGGGAACAAGATATCGAATCGAGTCGCCCAACAACGATGTCGGTACATGATTTCTGCCATACCTGCGCAGGTCAGCATCACGTGTCACGCACAAGATCCCCACTGCCAAGCTGGACGCACACAGGGCAGCGCCCACGCGTCCCGGGCTTTCGTCCCGGCGATCTTCTGCACCCCACACGTCCCCGGTCTGTCGCACTCGACCTGCACAGGACCGCCTGGAATTCAATATGTACCGAGGATTCATGAGTAATGTCACATCCTGTGGCTGCTCTGGACTAAGGCGATGTATGGCATTTTCTCTCAAGTTGGTTTCCGTTCTCGGGCGGCAAAACGTCGGACACTGAAACGAAAGGCCGTGGCCAAGGTTATGCTAGCCTTCAACAGCTTCGGGACGCGGCACTGGCATGAATCGGTATGGAGGATTCCACGAGCATGCACGTGGAAATAACGCCTCCATGCGGAGAACGGCAGGCGCTCAGGTATGGCCAAGCCATGTGCGCTGCGCCTGACATATATAAGTTTACCACTGCACCAACGTTCTGGTTGTCCTTGCGCTTCACACCAACCATCGTCATCCTGCCTACTCTCCAAGGGCATCTCATAATCATGGCTACCGCTGCTCAGGTCCTTGATCCATCGGAGTCGGCCCAGGTCGAATACTTGGAGGACGAGATCGAGAAAGACTTCCACCGCAACCTCAATGCAAGGATCAGAAATCCGCTCCATGGGTTCACCCAGGATGAACTCGACCATCAAGCCTCGATGTTCTGCGACACATACGGATTCCAAGAAGATCTGGGTCTCTTCCAGAAAGCCGCTCGAGTGGCGCAGAAGCCGGACGAGTTCGAGCAGATCTCCTGTCTGACGGAAGAGGACAAGTACCATATCCGTCGGGAGACGACTCGTGAGTGGTTCATCACGACAGCAGTACGAGCTGGGCTTCGAAGCTGACGAAATGGCCATAGACCGATGGCACTTGCCTCGCTAAATGTATATGTGCATCGTTGTTGCATCCATTGGGTCAGCTTTGCAGTAAGAATACACTTCGTGTCGATACAATTAGTCCTGGCCTAACATATAACAGGGGATGGGACAATACCGGTAGCGCACACCTGTTCATTTCAAGTCTCTAACATCCGCTAACCCTCCAACTGAGGCGCCAACGGCCCAAACCTGTCCTTCCCGGTTGACTTCGGAATTGAGAATCGGGAGTGGTTGATTGGAGTCATCAACTCGTAAGAACGTCCTTTCACAAGACACCACAAACAGAGGCTGACTTCTCTACACAGCGCGCCCACCCTGTTCGGCACTGCCAGCGCCTTCTTGGCCGATCCTGTCAACAACCTCCTTGGTCATCGTGGCACGATCTTTTTCACGAACATGTTCGTCGTATTTCCCGTTCGGCCCAGGCGTTCACGCAAAACTGGTGGGAGCTGCTGTTGTGTCGGCTGTTCATGGGGCTCGGTATGGGCATCAAGATCTCTACAATTCCAATCTACACCAGTGAAGTCTCCCCGGCTTCGATCCGCGGTGGGCTTGTGACATCTTTCCAACTCTGGGTAGCATTTGGTATGACGATTATTTGCGAACATGAAGAGTCTTCGCTGACCTTGCTCCAGGAATCATGATTGGCTTTTCCTCGAATTTGGTCTTCAAAGGTGAGCCGTCTAACCAAACACCCTTCTCCAAAGCAAGTGGCAGTGCAGCCGACGCTTATCTTCTATCACTTGTTCTGACCAGGTGCTTGCTCGTGATGGAGAGTGACATCAGTATACTGACTGCTGCTACCAACAGACATCGGTCCTCTGGCATGGCGCTTCCAACTGGCCGCTGCCTTTGCTCCGGCGGTGCCGTTGTTCTTCCTGGTCTGGTTCGTTCCTGAGTAAGTATGCGCCGACCGCAAAACCGACCCCATGCTGACGCCGCTCAGATCGCCGCGTTGGCTCATGAAGAAAGGCAGATACCAAAAAGCTTTTGCAGCCTTCTGCCGCATCCGCAACTCAAAGTTGATCGCAGCCCGCGAGATCTTCTACGCCCACTGCCAGATCGTTGCAGAGGACGTGGCATTTGAAGGCCAGTCGATCTGGTCCAGGGCGTGGGAACTGTTCTCTGTTCCTCGTATCCGTCGAGCGACGTTTGCCTCTGCATGGATTGTCATCTCCCAACAGTTTTCCGGGATCAACATCATGGCATTCTACTCCTCCACCATCTTCAGCCAGGCGGGATACACTGTTACCCAGTCTTTGCTGGCATCCTTCGGATTCGGAGTGGTCACATTCGTCTTCTCGATCCCGGCGGTCTACACCATGGACACGTTCGGTCGCCGCAACCTCTTGCTGTTCACTTTTCCTGTAAGAGAAGCGTGTTGCACCTGATTGTCCTGCAACAGCTAACGTCGGCAGAACATGGCTTGGTGCCTGCTCGCTGCAGGACTCTTTTTCTTGATGCCCGTGGAAAGCAGCGCGAGGGTTCCGCTCATTGCACTGTTCATCTACATGTTCACTGCATTCTACTCGCCCGGTATGTCATTCTCCACAGTCCCTTCACTTCAAGGCTGACATAGGAAAGGCATCGGCCCCATCCCGTCGATCTACTTCTCAGAATCCTTCCCGCTTTCCCATCGTGAGATCGGTAGCGCCTTCACCATTTGCGTGAACAACGGGATTGGCAGTGCGCTGGGCCTTACCTTTCCTTCGCTTCTGGCGAAGATCACGCCGACCGGAGCTTTTGGCTTGTACGCTGGCTTAAACTTGCTCGCATTCAGCGTCATCTTCTTTATCGTGCCCGAAACGAAGAAGAGGACGCTGGAGGAGCTTGACTATGTCTTCGGCGTACCAACCACCCAGCATGGTTCGTACCAGCTCCGCAAATGGCTGCCGTGGTTCGTCAAACAATACGTATTCTGGCAGAAGGATGCTGTGCTGGAGCCGCTTTACCATGATGACAAGAGCAGCTGAGCGGCGACTGGTCAGCGTTTCAGAGATTCGTGGTGCTTGAGGAGCGAATGGCTGGAGGGGAGGAACGGAAGGTGTGCTGCATGTCAAGAAGGAGAGGTCAGAACGCTTATATCCAGATGAACACGATTCGAAATCATGTCACTGTCACACCAAGCTGACGTTCGATTGCTGGACCTGGGTGTGCAATGGATTGATTGTTGACTATGAAATGACTCAAGCGACCTCTGCCTGCAAAATACGCAGCTCTCCCGTGCGTGGTGATGAAAACTTCGAGTCACAGCATCCATCAAAGTCGGCACTGTCTTCCAAAGCAGTGCCCCGCCCTCCCAGTCCCGACCGCCGTGTGGCGTTCGAGCGTTCAAGTGTAGATAGAAGTCAAACCAACCACATGAAGTGTGAAAATGCTCAGCGGACACATGCTGCTCCGCTAACTGCTCAACCCTGCGGTGCTTATGCATCTACTCGCCATCCTCAATCCTCCTTTGATGCACATCAATCTTCTTGCCATCCTCTACACCCAAGTCGTAGGCGTCCCAATCCCGGACCACACCGTTCCTGGCCCGCCCAGCCTTCAGCTTCATGCCACTGTCCTTGAGGTAATCATCTGCGATCTTGCTGGCCGTCTCGCGGAAAGTAACGAGTTGCAAATGTGAAGCCCATGTTGGCGCCGAGACTTCGTCGGACTCCGGTTCAGTAGCGACGCTGCGCTCGGGGGAGAGAGGTTCGGTTTTGACCAGTCGGCGCATCTCCTCGTCCACGTCCTCGAAGGCGCGTGGTCCAACGTCGTCGTCGTCATTGTCCTCCACTTTGGAGTCGGGCTCAAGACCGTTCTCATCTTCCTCGTCGGATGAATCGGATGGTGAGCCAGGAGCGATGTCGACGCCCTCATCGACGCCCTCATCGACGCCCTGATCCCCGACCCTGGTTGCAGCCATAGAACTGTATTCACTGTCTTCACCGCCAGATACGTCCGCAAAACGGCCAGAAGCAGTATCGACGCCTTCATCTTCGTCGTCTTCCAATTTGATCGCAGTCTCCATGCTATCTCCTCCATAGTAGTCGCCCTTGTCGTCATGGTCGACGCATGTGGCCGCTAGCCCAGTGGCCGTACTGTTGCCATCATCTCCATGCCACAGGGTCTTGTCCGAACCCCGCCCGTCGGGACAAGGCGGTGCGTCCTGAGCTGGCGCCAAACGATCCAACTCGGCTTGTCTTTCCGCCTGCTCCTGCTTCTCTCTCATGGCAACGGCCTGCTTTTCCTGCTCTTTGGCTCGAAGTTCTTCGGCAGCTTTTTGCTTCTCTGCGATCCTTTCCAGCTCCTCGCAAGCGCCCAGGCAGTAACTGTTCCTTGTGCCCTTGCCTCTGTGAGGCCGAGCCCACTCCGCAATAAGGCTGTAGCTACTCCTGAAGCTCAGTGCGGCAGCAACCGTGTACTCTGCGATGCCGTAGAATGTGAAGCGAAAGGACGAGCCCTTAGACGTTCTATCGTACTTGCAGTCGAAGAAGATTTCCATCGCTCCGGCAAGACAGTCGGCCCAGGTTTGGTTTTGCACAGCCTTGGACTTGTCGCCGTCAAGCCTTCTGAGCGTGATCACGCTCTGCCCGGCAAATTGTCTCTGCACAGAGGCGGACTCATGAGCGAGGACGTCTGCTTGCGAAATGTTGAATCTCGCCATTTCTTGTGAGGCCAAGTAAAACGCAGCTTTGGCCTCGGCCTGAGCGGTGCCGGGATGGTTGGCTTTGTCCAGGCATTTCTTGATCTTTGCAACGACCGCCGTGTCGATGTCGCTCGTGGCGGAGGTGACTGTGGGGTTTGCCTGTCTCTGCACTCGCGGTCACGCATGCTTTGTAGAGGGGTTGCGGTAGCTTTGGCGACGCGCGTGGACGAGCAGCGCGTTTGCGAGGTAGCGGTGCTTGGTCTCCGTCCTGCTCGTTACTGGCCACGGCGTCCGCGTTCCGCTTAGCCATGGCTTAGCGAATAGGTAGGATGAGGAGGAGAGAGGAAGAGTTTTTGATGTGCTGGTCGATGACGAGAACCACTGGAAAGTAGGGGGGATATACTTGGACTGGTAGAAGAAGTCATGGGAGAAAGGAAGCGTCTGATTGACCTGCCGTTTGTCACGTCTCACCCACCTCCAGCGTTTGTGATGGCGCTGCAGCATGGGCCGCTTTGGACCAGGTTGGCACCGACATTTCCTGCTTTCATCGCGGGTGCTTCTGCACGATGGAAGTATTCATTGATTGCTGCCGCCGTAGACATGCGCACATCGGAATGGGAGATGAGGTTGGAAGGAAGGCAAGTTGACAGTTCATATGGAGTAGGGCTGACTCATCGGTCTAGTCTATCCTTCGGCGTCCATTCCCGTCTCTGTTGGAGAATCCAACCTCGCAGTGCTCACGCTGCTTGCTCTGTGTCCTGCTCCTTGCACCATCGTCAAGCATCTTCCTGCGATGCAGTCTTGCGACGCATCCCGTCTGCTCCTCTGTTCCCTTTCGACATTGTGATATGGCACACGTCGTGCTCGCACTGCCTTTCCCAAACACGGATCGACGAGCCCAATCGTCCGGACTGCTGACTGACACGGATTGCTGTTCAAGATTGGTTGCTCTCGACAAGACTATCACTACCAACGACTCTCCTTTGGGTGTCGACGCGTTTCTTGACGTCTTGTTGTCGCCTCTGCAACGTGATGTGAGACCACGCCCGCGTTCCTGGGGATCTACTCCTATCCACATTGGCGGCTCTTCTCCACATGGAGAAAGCACGTGGCTGTGGGTACATTATCCGAGGTATTCCTTCAGGATTCAGCATTCAATGCGTATTCTCACTTCCAGATTTCTAGTCTACATTCATTGACATCCAATCTACATCTCACTCTTTCTCTGCTTCTAACCGCCGGCAGCATGGCAAAGTCAGGGAGCACCAAGGGCGGCTCGTGGTTCAACTTCCTCATCATCTTCATCGTTGCTCTGGGTTCCTTCACGTACGGATTCAACAATGCAATCACCGGCAGTGTCTTTGGACTGCCCGGCTTCTACTCCGTCAGTCTACCAACCCCTCCGTTGATCTCGAGTCTGCCATTACTAACGTGGATGGCAGTATTTTGACCTCAACGCCGGTGACTCGAGTTCCAACTCCATCCTCGGCGCAGCCAATGGTGTCTTCTTCGCCGGAGCAATGCTAGGCTGTTTGATCGCAGCCTGGTGCGCGGACAAGCTGGGCCGGGTGCGTAGCTTGCAAGTTGTGTGTCTTCTCTGCTTAGTTGGTGGAATCCTGCAGGGAGCCAGCGTGCACGTCGCCATGCTGCTCCTCGGTCGTGTTGTCACCGGTCTTGGCTCGGGAATGGTCAACTCTGTGGTCCCACTGTATCAATCTGAGATCGCTCCACCGAAGATCAGAGGGCTCATGGTGGGTCTACATGGCACGCTGCTCGTCGCTGGATATGCGATGGCCGGCTGGGCAGGTTATGGCTGCTATTTCGAACCGAATCAACAGATTCAGTGGAGGCTGCTGCTGGCTCTGCAAGTCGTGACGCCAGCCATGCTGCTCGTTGCTTCACCATTCCTCCCGGAGTCGCCGAGGTACTGTACAAGCACTGTTGTACCAAGATGACTTGCTGACCCCTGGCAGATGGTTGATCGCAAATGGGAGAGAAGAGCTGGCAAACACCATCCTGGAGAAGCTGCATCACTCGTCTGGTGACGTTGGAGACAACAGCCTTGCGCACAGGGAATTTTACCAGATTAAGCAACAGGTGGAGTTGGAGCGAGCGACTCCTTTCGGCCTCCTGGACTTCATCCGCATTCCAAGCTATCGACGTCGTCTCCTGGTGGCCTGCGGAACTCAGTACGGTGTCCCGGGCAGAGCTTGCATCGTGATGAGACCTTTCTGACAGTTCTGTAGGTTCATCGCTCAGTCGACCGGGACGCTGGTAGTGGCCAACTACCAAGTCCTACTGTACAATGGCCTTGGACTGTATGGCTCTTTGCCGCTCCTGCTGTACAGCGCATACCTTTCTTGGGCGGCATTCATGAATTATGTCGCCGCTTTGATCGTCGATCGTGTGGGACGAGTGCGCATGTTGGCGATTGGATTTGTGAGTTGTCCAGGAAAACAGAGCACGGCGTCCTTGCTGACAGGATAAAGGTCGGCTGCATTATCACGCTCAGCCTGTTCACGGCCATGGTGGCCGAATTTGCGGAATCGGAGAACAAGGTCGGCCAAGGTACGCTGCTCACGACTGCAAGCACGCACACCCCCAGGCGGTACTGATTTCCGTGTCGCAGGCTTTGCAGTGTTCTTCTTGTTTGCCTTCGTCGGCTTCTACGGCGGCTGCGTGGATGCCGTATCATGGTAAGCGGTAAGGCGCAAACAGCATCCGATGCATATACTGATTGGTGTGCAGGATCTACTGCTCTGAAATCTTTCCGACACACGCCAGAGCCCGAGGATTCTCGATCAGTGTGGCCACGTTCTTGGGTGCGGCTCTTGTATACACGCAGGTCGCCCCGATAGCATTTGCACAAGTCGACTGGAAGTTCTACCTTCTGTTCATCCTGGTGACCGCAGTGGGCACACCCATCTTCATGCACTACTCGCCAGAGACGAAGGTACGTTGCCGATTCTGGCAAATTCAAGTTCCAGTCGTATATGTCATCTCAGACTTGCTGATACGACCAACCAGGGCCTGGCATTGGAAGAGATTTCGGAATTGTTCGGCGATCAAGTGGCAGTGCACCTCTCGAATGGTGAAGCTGAGTCCGGGCCGATGCAGGAGAAGTCGACGCAGAGCAGTGAGAAGGGATTGGACCGCCAGCACATGGAGTCGACATCCGCCAGCCGCTGAATCACTCTTCCCCAATCGTGTTCTGTGCGTCGCTCATGGGTACATGTCGGTGGCAGATCGGTCCCGGCTTTAATCCCATCCCAGGCAAACCAAGCCGTCAAATAGTTAGCCGATCCTGTTTCTCCTCAGACCTCTGTCCAGGCTGTGACATCTATCGAATGCCGGCCAATTATCGACGAGCTATAAGCTGCTGTAGAACTCCTGACTTCCCAGAAACCAGCGTTTTTCCAGGTGTTTTGGATCTTGGATAGCCTTCAAGATTTCGGAAGCTTTGGCGGACAACGGAGGCACCTCAGCAGGATCGTTCATTTCAGCCCACACCAGTTCCATCCGTGGACCGTGCCAGCTGTCCAGCCATGGCCACCGCTTGAGCTTTGCCTCGAATTCCTGGATGCTATTGATGCCGAGCTTCTGGCATGTTTTGGCCAGCAGAATAGGCAGCAGATTGGGCTTGCCGGAAGGGTCCATGTCGAGCTTCGCGGCAGAAAACGAAAAGAGGACCCAGAGAAGTGAGGAATACTCGCCGCCCTGATCCAGCCAGATTTCGAGCAGGTTGGATGGAAGTGGATCCAATGCGCGTTTCAATGTCGATGCATGAAGATTGCGCACCTGGACTGTCCAGTACCTAGATATGATCCAGGAATGAAGCTGCAATGTTAGGGATACCACCTTTACGACCAGCTCGTTGTCCGTGGCGATGTTAGCAGATGCGTCTGCGTGCAGCAATCGCAGGCGATATGCCAGGTCATACACATGGCCAAGAGGGACTTCCGAGTCCGCGATCATGACGTCCCATGGAAGACAGATCTGATGGAGGTTCCGGAGCAGCTCAAAGCTTCTACCGTTGTCAAGTAGACGGGATTCAGGAAGTGCCCGGCAGTTCTCGAGACTGAGGGCTGTTGCTTGGGCCGCGAACTCGGTGCTGTTGCGTAGCCTCTTTTTGTATCCCTCGGGAATATAGTAGGTCATGAGCGGACGCTCGCCGGATACCAATGACTGTCGCAGGTCGACTCGTGAAGCTACTCTCCATGCCGCATGGCTCAGCCGATGGTTCGGAAAGAGGTTTGAAATAGCCTTGAGATGGATCCGAGCGGCAGGAAGATCGCCCAATTCTCGACTTTCAAGCTCTGAGAGCAGCGCCATAGCAAGAGCCAAAGACTGCTGGGGTTGGGACCCCAACTTGTGCAGACGACCAATGGCCGCCTTGAGATCACGCAAGAGACTCTGCTTCTCCTTGTAGTAGGATGCCCACTCCGCCTGCCCAGTCAGATTCGCTCTCTTCAGCAGCATCGAGAGAGAAATGCATCGCAAGACCAGCGCGTCGTACCGTGCAGCGTCCCAGAGTTGCTCCACCCAAGTTTTGTGCGCAGCTGTGAAGAGATGGGCTTGCGCCTCCCTGAGATGGCTGCAGAAGAACCATACTGCAGTCTCTGACATGGACATTGCGCCGCAAGCGTAGGTAGGACCAGAAGACGGTAGTGCCGGAGACCTGGCTAAAGAGTTGGGCCGAAGTAGAAGCTCTAAGGCTTTGGAATCATCCCCATTGGTACTTGTGATACTTTGCGTGTCCTTGAGATGTTGCGCACAAGTTTTGTTCTCCGCAGGCCCAGCACATTTGGAAAGGTGAGCCAACATGACATGCCGTCGTAGCCATTTTGGGTTTGACTTCCGCTTCGGTGGGGTGGAAGGGTCGTGAGGGTGAACGAAAGTGATGCCTGGATGCTGCCGAGCCATTGTCGTCTTTGGCGAATGGTTGAGAGGAGGGAAAGAGAGGCGAGTTTGGAGGAAGCTGGAGGAGCTGCTACTCGCAGGTAGACATACCTCAGACTTACCGCACGCTTCACCTTAATTGTCATGAGTACAGACATCAGTTCATACGTAAGCAGCAGTGCCGAAGATAGCTCAAGGAGGAGAAGGTAAGAGCAGGCTTCCCAAGTCATTGAAAGCGGGTGGATTGAGGAGGGTATTGCGGGACGGACGCAAGTCAGATTCTAGACGCCCGGCATCGCGCTAGAAATCATATCTCGTCATCTCAATGGCTGGGTGGTGTTCTTACAGCAAGACCTCGCAGGAGCAATAGAGGTAAGCTCAACAGGAACGGACCAAGCGTCTCTGACACGATCATGAGCATGTGCTTGTGTAGCTTGTCGTTGCTTGTCTTGAACGTCTACCGAGGACAGAAGCCGTCACAACCGTCCTACCGCCTCTTCAGTGCTGACTCCGCATCCTGCATACACTGCCCGGACCCTTCTGAATTAAAGCTGTCCCGAACAATGCTCCGTATTTGCTCGGAACAATCCTTGCCTACACCGCATAGTAGAGCGAAGCCTCCTGCAAAACCGCGTCGATCTTCCCTGCCGCAACCAACCCAGCCGGCGCCTGGTCCACGCTCAGCTTCGCTCCAACCGCCAGGCTGAAAGTCTCATGGTCGTTCTTCAGCAGCAGCACAGTCGCCTCGATGACGCTGCTTAGCTGGGCTTGGTCGAACAGCGGCTTCTTCGCTTCGAGGGCTTGCACACTGGCCGGGATGGACTTGCCGACGCTCTGATTCACGTTCTGGACGATGCGTTTCGACTCTGCAGATGTGAAGGGTGAGGACGCTTGAGCATCGCTGAAGCCTTGTCTGTTGATGGCGTGGACAGCGATTGTGGCGTCGAAAACTGGCGTCGACTCGGTGATGCCGCCGTTGTAGGCATTGATGGCTGATGTCAGCTTTCGCACGGCGGTATCAATGCCGGTGATGTCGTCGTAAACGGCATTTGCGTCCCGTTTGGCGGTGATGGAAGCTGAAAGCGCGAGCGGGAGGACGGCGAAGATCGAGAGGAAACGCATTTTCGGAGATTGTGGTTGTTACCTTACGAACACGGATATCTTCCAGGTTGCTTGCGATCAGCTGCCTTTTGTCTCTTCGAACGGACTCAGAACGAGCCGAGGCACCACTTTTTGAGTTCACTTGTACCGCTTCTTGACACTGGCACAACGCAGGAAGATCCTAACTCAGTAAAGTAGCACGAAAGATGAACTGAAACCTGCGCAGTCACCTGTGTCGCCGACAGCCGTACACCTGAAGCACCTCTTGGGTTGCATCCCGGACAGCCAGAACTAGAAGAACAGCAAATCATCATCCTTCCATCCGTCCTCCAGCAGCGCCTTGTGCACAGTCTTCTCCAGCGCCTCCGGTCCACAGACAAGCACCATAGCCTCGCCAGCCCCATGGGCACTTCTACTCGCATGTTCCTTCAACAATGGCGCAGCTATCCGTCCGCGCAGACCCTCCCAGCCATCCGGAGCACTCGTCAACGTATACATTAATCGGCACTTCTCGTGGTTGTCCTTTGCATGCGCATCAAGCTCTTCCTTGCATAGGATATCTTCGAGTAGTCGATTGCTGTCTAAGACAACACATCTTGTGTCGTCCGACCGCTCTTGCATGATTTCCCGGAACACCTGATAGATGGGCGTGATGCCGCTGCCGCCGGATATCATGATGAATGTCTTGATCCGCCTTTCAACATCATTCACCGTGCAGCGGCCGTGTCCCAGGTAACGGAACTTGCCTATAGGCCCTTTAAACTCCACAAAATGGCCGACAGGGAGTGCGTCCATGGCCTGGCTCATCTTGCCACCTTTGCGCTCGTTGGTGTTGAAGTACACTTTAACCAGGACGTCCATGGTGCCCTTCTGCGTCGTCTGAGAGATTGGAGTGTAGCTCCGGATGATAGCTTCTCGTGTCACCGGGTCCCGTAGCCGGATCATCAGGTGTTGGCCGACTGGTAAGCCCAACGTCTGCTCGCCGTGGTCGAGCTTAAATGAAAAGATGCGAGTATCCCAAGATACGGTTTTCTTGTTGCAAAGAGTGGCCTTTCGCCATGCGCGAGGTTGCAGGAAGACTGCTGTTGGCTCGGAATCTACTTCAGGTTGGCCCTCTTCACCAGCCAGTGCGGCCTTGCCCTTTTCATCCAGAGTGCCAATGTGATGTTCTATTAGCATTGCTTTCGCAGTTTCACTGTCTGTTGATTGTCAGTACTCCAACTTGCGAGGTTCTCAGACTTCCATTATGACATACGTATCGCCACAAACTCGTCTGTCGCATCCATACCGGCCGCTGCAGTAATACTGGATGCGCCGCCAGGGTGGTCTTTGAGATAGTCGGTCCCATCGTATACTTCTCCATTGACGACAAACCATGGGTTCTCCTCCTTGTCGTGTTTCCTCAGTTCATCGACCGTGATCAAGTTGTTCAACCCGTCCTTCGTCATCTTCACCTCCGCCGCCGCCGCCTCAGTCACCGGTTCAGGCACTTCTTCGCCACCGATCTGTTCGCCCCAATAGCCGTTTGCCAAGTTTCCGCCGGCATTCTTCACCCGCTCCATCCAGCCTCCAGGTAGAAGAGCCGGCTGTGTGGGATGTTCGAAGCGCAGATAATCGTTCTCTTTGGTGATTGTGACTCTGTACCATGGGTTGTTCATCATCCCAAGAACGCTCCAATACATGTCTCTCGGTTGAATGTTCATACTTTCGTCCATTGCCCGCACGAAAATGTCGCTCGATTGACCAAGCTCCTCGAGCGAGATGTCGAGGTTCCAGAAGCACCAGCAGAAAGAAGCCTCGTGGTCCCACAAGTCCAGCACGCCGCCGCAGAGGTTCTGTCTTCTCGCTTCTCGGTACCGGTCTTCGGCATAATCGATGTTGGCCAGCCTCCATGTCTTGCCTTTGTCCAAGGTTATCTCGACGCGGGTTACCCTTCGCCCGCCACCTCCGTAGGCATACCCTCTTACTCTATACACTGGCTCTGAGCCTACAAGACATAGTTGCTGGTCATGAGCAGGCTGTGCAATAGCAGAGTTGGTGCTCAAGTCATAGATTGCGTACCGCTCGTCCTTCCACCACGTGGAGTTATTAGCCGCTTCCTCCGGAGAAACCATTGTCGGTAGGACCCGATTATCGTAGATATGATACCAGTTGTCGCTCGGCTCCGAGGTTATGACTATTCGCTTTAACCACTTTACGCTACGTCCGCCGATCTGGCCGGGAATGACGACACGCAGAGGCTTGCCATGATCCGGTCGCAGCATCTCACCATTCATAGCGTGTGCCAGCATCATCCCTTTGTTCGGGTCAGTGGCCCAGTTCAGCTTGACCGAAGTCCCGTAGCAGCCATTGGGCAGCTTGTCTGCGCCTTCCATACACAGGTATCTCGCACCTCGTTTGGGCTTGGCTCTGTGTATTAGCTCCCCCAGAGGCACGCCCGTAAAGAGAGCGGTCGAGACGCCAGCGGCACCCCAGGAGAAGCCCTTTGTCTTGCGCACAATATTCTGCTCCTTGCGTCTGTTGCCGGCACAGACTAATGTGATGGGGTAGGTTCGCTGCTCATACTGATCCAGCAGATCTCGTAACGTCATCGCGATAGGATGCTCCACCATCCCTTCAATAGAAAACTCCCAGTTGAGAACATCTTCATCCTCGCAATTGGGGACATACCCGTGATTTCGCACGTAGAAGAGCTCCGGACTTGTCAGAAAGCCTTCATTGAAGAGGTCTGTCAAGGGAGCTTCGACATTGAAGGGATGGACGCCAGTCAGTCGTATCAGCCGTGGATCTCTTGGAAGCCATGAGTCGGGTGTTTTCTTGTCCGGATCAAGCACTTGTGTGGGTGTTGAGGTTGGCGGTGGTAGTGGAAAGCTGGGAGTCGACGAGGAAGCAGCGATCTCAGTGCCTGCCTTCTCTGGACCGCCATCCTCGGAGTCGGGAGGGGTGGGAGGTAAGTCGGCGGTCGTTCTTCTCAAATGCACGTTTTCCTCTTCGGTCATTGTGTGATTTGCCATCATTCACGCAAAGTGGGACAACCAAAGGGAACAGAAGGGGAGAACGAACTTGAAGATGAGATGGTTGAGATCGGTGACAAACGTAAGGAATCGACTTGCCAAGAACGGTGTACTGCTATTCTATCTCATGGTATTGGACATCGTGGCAGCCATGCGATGACAGCTGCAGAGCCTCCGGAGAAGCATGAGTGCACTGCGGGACGAGTCCAAGGTCGCGAGGTGGGCGTGGGGCAGGCGTGCTGATAATGGTCTTTTCTTTGCCTCGTCGAGCGAGGTGAGAGATGTCTATCGGCCAATGATACAGAGGTGAGGTGTCCTTATCTTTGACCTGACAGAAAGGGGATAGTGGACCATGGACCTCACCTCTGCGATGCACGTGAGCAATCCTCGGAGATGCGCACTGCGAGACTCGCCGGTGATGTCGTCCAGGTAGTCCATTTCATCCTGCGGATGTGCTTGGTCGAGTCGAGGACGCTGGGGGGGAGGTGTGTTAATGTCGTGCGTTGGAGAAGATTCGTCGAACTAGTGTCGGCGTCAAGGAGGATGTTTTCTCCGAACGCCACCGCACTGCCACAGATGATGTAGAAGGAGCGTTCAAGAGTGAAGTTCCCTCGAACTCCATAAGGTACCAACGAAGGAGTCTGTGATCCAATGCCGGTGCCAGTGGTGACGCAGCTTCTGGCCGACGGGCTGGACTCGTTGCCCTACGTCTGGCCCATCCTGAAGACGCTGCCATGGCTGCTCGGGCTATACCTGGTGAAGGCGTACTTCGAGGGCGCCAGCAATGGGAGCGAGAGGAACATGCACGGCAAGGTCGTCATGGTCACGGTGAGGCGGACAACACTTGGCAAGCAGGAGAATGGTCACTGATGAGGTGATACAGGGCGGGACGAGTGGCATTGGAGAGGCAGTGGTCCGCGAATTGGCTGGCAGAGGAGCGCAGATAGTCCTGCTCACCCAGCATGAGTTGTCCGACTTCTTCATAGTCGAGTACATCGAGGAGCTACGGAAAGAGACAGACAACCAGCTCATCACCGCCGAGCAGGTGGACCTTTCCAGTCTACACAGCATCCGCACTTTCGCGACCAAATGGATCGACAATGCTCCGCCCAGGCGCCTGGACACGGTCATTCTGTGCGCCAACACCCTCACTCCAGCTGGTGGCGACATCGAGAGTACGGCAGGGGAAGGGGTCGAGGTCAACTGGATGGTCAACTACCTCGCCAACTTCCACCTTCTCAGCATCCTCTCTCCCGCACTCCGAGCACAGCCGGCTGATCGAGACGTCCGCATTCTCTTTGGAACATGTGCGGGCTACATGGGCGGCGACCTGCTTCACATCACCCATCCTGCGCCCTCCTTCGGCAAAGCGCCTAAAAAGACAGCCAATGGCAAGCCCAAGAGCTCCTCTGCCACTCAAGCACCATCGGACTTCTCGCCCGGCAACGCACACGCCACCAGCAAGCTCGCCCTCACCACCTTTGCCCTCGCTTTCCAGAAGCATCTATCCTCATACAAACGTCCCGACAATACGCCCATGAATACCAAAGTCCTGCTTGTCGACCCCGGCCTCTCGCGCACACCTGGAACCAGGCGCTGGCTGACGTTCGGCTCACTGTTCGGTCTGGCGCTGTACCTCCTCTTCTACCCCCTGTGGTGGCTCGTCCTCAAGTCGCCGCTTGGTGGCGCTCAATCCTTCCTTTTCGCTGTCATGGAAGAACGCTTCACGAGGAGCGGCGGTGGGCTATTGATCAAAGAGTGCGGAGAGCGTTCATTCGGCAGGAAGGAGGTGGTCGAGAATGAAGAGACGCAGAAGCAACTCTGGGAGTACAGTGAGAAGATGGTACAGGAGGCCGAAAAGCGGGGCAAGGAGTACAGGACGGAGATGAAGAGGAAAAGCGACGAGGCAAAGGACCAAGAGGAAGCAGAAGAGCAGATGCGCGAGTACAAAGAGAAGATCGGGAAGAAGGAGGGCCAGAAGCAGGAGGGCAGCAGGCGGAGTCGCAAGGCAGGATGATGGAGGTCGTGCAATAATCACAAGATGGAATCATTTGATGGCAAGACATACACCTCTTGAGCTATATGCGAATTGTCAGTGCGCCCGCCAGAGCGCAGTGCTGGAGGCGATGCTACAGCACTCCCATTTGATGGCGGAGCGGGCTCATCAGCGCTTGTGCAAGGTTGTTCTCCAGCCAAAGGTGCTCTTGCCAATGAACGACTGGTCGCGACCTGGAGGAACGACATTGAGAGTGAGATTGTCTCACCTCACCTCCATGCCCGCCAAATGGAAGGAGTTGTATGCCGTTACTCTCGCTCTTCCGCTCCGCCCGTAGTGAGCAGCCTGGTTGATCGAGCGGCGGATACAATTAGTCCAAGACCAGCAGCTCGCTGTTGGCCAATTCAGTCGTCCAAGATCGGTAAGAGATCGGGACTCTTTGTTGCCGAATGATAAGTGGTATTTACGGCCAGCGCGCAGCAGTGGACAAAGACTTGGTCGCCTATGGCTTCCGGTTTTCCGTACCGAAGGCTGATGCCAGAGCCGAAAAATGGCGGAAGGATACGCCAGATGGTTGTCTCGAATGAGCGCAGACCGTCGTGAGAAGGCAATTCGATGCATTTCCTTTGGCGAAATGTTATTGCTCTTCTGTCATCCCAGCTCCAACGAGGCACCAACGAGCGCGGCCACATGTCGATCTGCTGTATCGGTCGATACAAATTCCAGTCAGGTCTACAGCCAGTCAATTGAGACCCTATCTCCTTGGGAAGAGGCGTTCACCGACTCGGCCGCACAATCCACATCGCTTGATATAGCGTCTTCATTACCAATGTCTCCGCACATTGGTCACCCGCCGATCATTGGTTTACGTTCGTCCTCTCAGCACAAACTTCGCAGCCAAGGTCGCGAAGTATGTAAGACGTGCGATATCAGCTCTCTGCTCATCTTCTGCCATTCAGGACATTGCTCCGCACCCACTTCTGCGTTGGATGGCCCGGAGCGGCGGGCTGATTTAACCACACTGGCTCTCCGTCCTCGGTTTGTGATCAACAAGGTGGATTTCCGGTGTTGCGTAGAGCACCGTAAGCCCAGGAACGGGTTCCTCGGGCGGCCGCCTTTGTGCTGACACGAGGCTCGAAACTTTCTGGTCGAATTACGTTGCGCTTGGCATGGGCTGCCGGGGTCGCCTGATTGTGTTGGAATACCGGAAGAGTGATGTCACTGGCCTTGACGGTCGGTTCAGGAGGAACAGCAGCAGATATATATTGTGCATCGAAGGATGGCTCCGAGGGTGATCAAGCAACATTCGCAGGCCGAATCATCTTACCTCAAATCACTGCTTCTCAACAACTTCTCGAACCATCTCCAACATGCCTTCTCTCAAAACAGTCCTCTCGGTAACCTTGCCTGCTGTTGCGTCGTCGGCAGCAGCAACCGCAGACGTCCTCGAAAAGCGCCAGTATACCGGTCAACAGACCCGACTCACCTTCTTCGGGTATGTCCTTCTGCAGCTGCTGACCTTGCACATCTTAGTACTGACATCTCTACAGCTACCCCGACAACTGCGACGACACGGGCTGTTACAGAGACGCCACAGCATACGATTGCCAGGGCCGAGGGTCAATCGCCGGCGGAGATGGCACCTTCGACAACCCTTTGACTGCGGCAATCAAGACCGGTGGCAACTTCGAGCCATGTCAGATCGCATACACGACGTACCTTCAAAAATTCCTCATATTCGACGGTCTCTGCGCCAGTTGCACGCCCGATCACGTGGACATCTGGGTGCAGAGCTCCTGCAGTGACGATGCGGACAGCGTCTGCGCTTGCGAGGACCAGCTCACTCCCGACGTTGACGACTATTTGTACTACGGTATCACTGCTGATGATCCGAGCACGTTCAACGTCGATACGACACCGCTGTACTCCGGAGGCTGCACCGGGAATACATACCCGACCAGTGCTGGAAAGCGGGACAACGCCGGCATGGAGCAGAGCATCAATCCACAGCGCAAGAGGGACGGGTTGTGGGGTGTTGAAGAAATGTGGTTGAAGAACAAGAGGCAGAGCGGTGCTTGCAGCGAGAACTCTTGCCAGTGCACTTGTTGAGCATGGCGACGAGCTGGATCTCGAGCGCGATTGATGGAAGTGACGTATTGGTTGTAGTCGCCTCCATAGCCATTCACTATGATGAGATATTGAAACACTGCTGTCGTCTCACTAGGTCAAACCGAACCTGGTGACAAATCTCACGACCTGACGAACAATAGACGCCCGACGAAGAGAGTGATGTGGCCATGCCGGGTGTATTGGGGCCCGGGAAGATGTGCTGGTAGATGGCTTTCGTGTCAGTCGCCTCAGGGGTTCGACAGGATGCTCAAAGGGGAAAGAAGGCGGAAGAAGCGACCCGGTGTCTACGAGAACTGCAAAGCACAGTCAGTAGATATGTTTCTCAGACGAGCCCCCTCCAGCACCCAGCTGAATGCCGAAATACTGATGGGAGCCCATGTTCGCCATGGGACCCCCCGGACAGCGAGTGAAGCAGCGGCTGTGAGTCCAACAGAGATACGCTTCGTCTTTTCGTTGTCATCAACCTGCAGTTCAGCACCGCTGTCCAGTAGCACATACCAAGGCCGGGCGATTGCAGCAAACTGTCTCCAGCGCAGTCTCTTCTGTCGCCCGGCCTCAGCATCTGCCTTTAGCTTAATGATGCAGTGGCTTCGGCATCAGTGCTTCATTCATCGAAGCTCCTGCGCCGTCTGTACCAGTCCAAGTGTCGACAGTGGACAATAATTCGACCTCTGCGTAGCATGGCGTCGTCTCATTGTCCACCAACTCGGTGCGACTGCGGCAGGCTCTCATTGTCAAGCTGAGGAACTCCTCTGTCGCCGAAGCTCGATCCACTCGCATCCAGGTTCATCGTGTGTACCAGTGACAGTTGTACCCCTTCCTGCAAGTTATCTGGTTCCGACAGCGCAGACAACAACTGTCGTCTTTGCTGCCGTTGCACTTCTCTTGCGGGGTCTTCAAAAGTCAGGGTGGTTGCTGCTGACCCACGCCTCAGGCTCGCCCGTGTGACTGCTGCTTGTCGGACCGAAAGAGCGTATGCCACCTCAATTGGGTCCGCCTGACGTCTCCTTGGACGGCGTGTCCTATATGTATTGAACGCCGCCATCTTCCACAGACTGAGCGCGGGTCGCATGTGGTGCTTGATGCCTGCCAGGGTGGGAGTGACGAGAAACCACACATGAACGTGCAGCTCAGGCCATCCCTCCCTTCGGCAGGCTCAGTCTGTTCTTTGCGCTGAGCTGATGAGATGTCGCGGGCTCGCGTAGTTGGCGTAACGCAACGTTGGCGCAATGGCGGAAGCGAAGAAGAGGTGCCAGGTTTCGAAGACTGGAAGTTGATGGTGCTACGGCTTTGGCAGCCGGTCCGTTCCGCTGACACGCCTTGATGCCCTACCGTTGCACGGAGGGAGAGACTGGGTGAGTTGAACAGAACATGTATCCTCTTAATTACTTGACTACAGAGCGTGATTGCAAAAAGTGCACATATCGTACAAGCAAGAAAGGGACCGGCGCATGTTCCTCATTCGAAAGCATGGAGACGGTCTTTGCGGTACACGAATCGAAGAAAAGACTTGCTTGTGATGATTGCCGTGAGGTTATGCGTATAGTAAATTCAAGTTTCACGCTGATGAGGATACATAGGCAGTCGAAAGGTGAAATGTCCAGGCGGCGAGCCATGTGATCGATGCTCGAAGACCGGCGCAACATGCAGGTACTCCTTAGCAAGGCAAAACGGTAGACCGCGCAAGCGGCAAAAGTGTGACGAGCAGGGCGTGGGTGGCTCAGGTGGTTTCACTCCGACTGAAGCCATGACTGGAGCACATATGAGTGAGCTATCAAGCCGGCACTCTCACTCTTCAAGTGCGTTTCCCATAAGCCTATCTAAATTCTTCCTAATACCTGTACAGTCATGGAGATACGGTCTACTCCGATCCTGGAGATCAGTGTAAACGACACTGCGCAGCCATCGCGGATATTTACACCGGACTCCAGTACCATGGGCCTTCCGTGCAGCTGCATGTCGACAGGCTACTTGACGTCGACGCGCGTCCAATGTATGGACCTCAGTGACATGGAATTGTCTACAATACAGTTACGGTCAGCGGTGGCCACCGGGGCCACTATACTGACATGCCCTACATGCCCGCAAAGCATACTGACAGCGATCCAAAACAACTATCAGCTAGCTACGCTCCTGATCACTGTCACCGACGCCACGAGAAGACTCTTGCTCAACGTCGACAGCATGGCTAAACCGACGAGCCCTGGCTCCACCAGCAATGTCATGGAACCTCAAGCGATGTTACTTCCAGCCATCTCGGGGCATCAGAAGAGGTTGTACGTACGCAGGATGTTGAGAGTCGAAGTTCTAGGGTCCCCAATAGACGAGCACAACGGTACCTTGTTCGGTATCATCAGGTCCTGGGAATCCAGACAAGACAAATGGCATCAGAGCCCGGAGTTCTACGAGGAGCAGGTTAAGATGTATGGACATCAAGATACTGTTAATCGCGACACGAATAAACATTGCAGGAATTGCTACAGACTCATTCAGCAGGTCAAACAGGCAGTCTGCCGGATTGACGTCTAAGTGTGAGCAACTGAAAGACGTTGTCACTGGTTGCTCCCTAACGTCTTCCAGGGTGCGAAAGAGAGTTGTAATGGCTACCTATCGCCGTCGAAATCACAAACGTTCCTTGCGCGTGGTCGGCTCCAGCCTTTCCTTCTCGCAATCAACGTGTGGTGTTGCACGAAGCTCGGCTCCAAGGTTCGGCGTGCGGGATTCTTGAGCCAATACTGCGAAACCCTCCGAAGAGTCACCCAAAGTGGACTCTTCAAGCGATTCTCCAAACGCTCCCATCACCTTTCCGGTAAAAGCCTCCGACGAGTGTCCCAGCACCACGAATGCAATAACAAGCAAGCCATATCACTTCCATTTCTCTACATTCCGTCACTATCTCGACAACGGCACCTCCTGCACCTCGGTGTCCAACGGATTGCCATGCAAGATCATGCAGCCGCAGGTGGCTCTGGTGAAAAGGCTACAGGTGAGCTGCAACCAACATGGTCTCTGATCTCTACCTTCTGACCAGCCCAACACTTAGAGCCTTCCTCCCGGATGAAGGCCACAGTCGGCTCCAAGACAGGAAGCGCAAGACCAACGAGCTTAGAGATTCCGGCTAAACAGTCATCATGTTGCCACGCTTCACATCCAGCAAGCAAAGATGTCCCGCCCCCCGATGCTGGATTCAGACCTTGGCTGCAGGTTGTTGCCGGTTTCATTCTCATGTTCAACGCCTGGGGTGTTGTCGTTTCATATGGAGCTTTTCAGACTTTCTATACCTCCTCTAGAGGCCTCACGGATGAAAGCGAATCAGTAATAGCATGGATTGGCTCAGCTCAGAATTTTCTGCTGCTCTTCGGTGGTGCGCTCGGTGGCAAGTATTTTGACGCTGGATACTACCGCCAAATGCTTTATGCTGGAACCTTTCTGGTTGTGTTTGGACTCATGATGACTAGCCTGGCGACACAGTATTATCAAGCTCTCCTTGCGCAGGGGTTCTGCGTGGGTCTAGGTCTAGGTAAGGCGGTCGGTGTTCTCGCAGTCCAAATGGCCGCGCTGATACACGAGCTGACTGGCTTCTTGCCTGTCCAGGTCTACTGCTTGTTCCATCGGTTGGACTGCCAAGTACCTGGTTTCAGAAGCGAAGAGGCCTCGCCGTGGGGATCGTCTCAACAGGCGCATCTTTCGCTGGAATCACCTTTCCCGTAGCTCTCAGAAAGCTTATCATGCTCCCTGCTATTGGATTTGGCTGGGCAGTACGGGTTCTCGGGTTCACCTGCTTGGGTACCCTTTCTATCAGCATTGTTTTGGGTCGACCACGACTGCCGCCACGGCCCAGAGGTGCGATTGTGGAGTACAAAGCACTGAAGCAGCTTGACTTTGCCTTCTATGTAAGTGCCAGAAATAGCTCCGCAGTTTGAGGTGAAGTAGCAATTGACCAACAGTGACTGCTTGTAGGTCGCTGGTCAATTTGTGACCTACCTGGGCTTCTTTACGTTCTATAACTATGTTGAGAACTGGGCTATCAGCATGGGTCTCGATGACCGAGGTGAGTGATTGAGGAGAATTGCCTGCAGGTCCTGATCCGGCGAGAGTACGCTTGCTGACAGCTGTCCAAGGCTTACCACTCATGTACGTGCTGCCCATTCTGAATGCGGCAAGCATACTTGGTCGTAGCCTACCCCCATTCATCGCTGACTACACCGGAGCACTCAACATCCAAGTTCCGGCGACGTATATCACTGGTGTACTCCTCCTCGCATGGATTCCAGTCGACTCACTTGGGGCTACAATAGCATTGTCGACCCTATACGGCTTCTCTTCTGGTGCTGCGCTTGCAATAATACCAACTGCTACGGCATGTATGACAAAAGACATGCGGACGTTTGGCGGGCAGATTGGTGTTGTGTTCGTAGCAATGGCCGTCTCTACATTGATTGGAACACCGATCGCTGGAGCAATCATACAAAGCAGCGGCTATGACAGCGCTCGGATATGGGCAGGCGTGGTTGTACTGTGCGGCGCAACGTTAACCTTGATTGCACGTTTAGTCAAAAGCGAGTGGAGGCTGTTGGCCAAAGTATGACCCTTTCCAGCCGGTGTGAGCTTCGAGACTCAGATGAAGTGGCAGCGCAACGAGCCCAGCATTGACAGGCTTGACAGGGTTCAGCGCACGGGAGGCAGAAGATCGCTCGCAGGGCCCGGTCACGAGAAGTGGATCTATCTGGCGATTGTTTGCAGCTGCGATGACAGACCGAGACTCGCAGGTGACTGATTGTATTGGTAGTCGTTGCGACAGCAAGACATGCAATCTGGATGGAGGCTAGACGTTGCCGTCTAGCCGAAGCTTGGCAGTTCCGGCGTGCATCCCACACAATCAGGAGCAATGGGCAGGCCAACTCCTTCTCTTTACGACGCCTACAATCAGACTCATCCTAAGGCGCCATTCGATATTTTCATCTCGTTTTGCAGTAGGAAAGAGGTGCACTCATCACGAAGTCTCCTGCCTCGTCGCCGTCATGCGTCTCTAGCCGCGATGCCACCACTTAGGCCACGTACGACAGGTAAGAGGCATAAAGTGCTGCTCGAGCCGGAGGAAGATATAGTAAAGTCAAGCATCAGAATCGTTTCATCATGTGATCCACTCTGATACTTCACTTGCTTCACTCTTGTCACCCTCATCTTCCCCTCCTCCGCCCGGGTCTCCAAGTTCCAGCCATTGCCACTGTTCGGACCCTTCCAACCGCCGCCTGTCGTTGACGCCTCGTCCGACAACATCGAGTCTTTGGCCAACGATTTCAGGAAGACCCTCAACAGCTACGTCGCGGAATCAGATGGAGTCTACGGGCCAATCTCGATCAACACCACGAGCTGTAGCCTTGCCCTGTCTGCTGGATCGAATTACGTCCCGAAAGAGAGCAATCCACGCCCTTACTTCTTCGAGTACCACCATTCAGCCTCCAACCTGGACGAAGACGACGCACAGGATGCCGAGACCGAGTGGGCGATTGGGGACTTGACGCAGATCTTCACCACGATTTCTCTGCTAGCCGGTGAGGGAGATGAGGTATGGGCAAGAAGCATTACGGAGTATCTGCCGGAACTGAAAGCGTCGAACGTCAAGGCCATACCAGGCCGAGCAATCGTTCAAGTAGCCTGGGAGGATGTGACGCTTGGCGCGCTGGCTTCGCACATGGCCGGCATCGTGCGCGACTGCAAGTTCTCTCAGACATTGAGACGAGCGGCTGAGGCTAAGGCGAGTCGACAGCAATACTTGCAACATCGACGAGCACTGCCCACGAAACATCCTTCTTCAACATCTAGCAGCTCTTCCGCCCATCGAGCTCCCGGACACAACGCCCATCTATCCCCGCGCCGCCTTCGAGCCTCTCGCAAAGGCAATGGAAGCACGCTATAGCGCACACTTCGAAGACATCTTGACCCACCGCGTCATACAGGCTCTTCAATTGGAACACACCCGCCTGCTTTCGTCCTCGCGCTCTGTCCCTCTTGGCAATGGCCTTACCAATACCAGCATGGAAGGCGAAGCGGCCTCCCTTGGACCGGTATCAAGCATCGAAGACCTCTCTGTATTTTGGCATGCGCTGTTGACAGACTGGCTCATTTCCGCTTCCCAAAGCCGTCGCTCCTTGAAGGGGGTTAGGGTTAGGAGTTCCATTGCTTGTTTACGTACTAGCTAACATATACTTGAAAGTCACCTAGATGCGCCCGATAGCCTAACGAAGGGTCTAAGATGAGCCCACCAAACATGGGATCTTGCCGTCTAACTCCCGGTATACGGCGACAACCGAATGCTTCCCTAGACATATAGCCCTTAGTGTGATCTTGAACAGGTGCCCTATCCTATAGCCAGAAAGGACGGGCTATGCCAGGTTGGGTGCCACTCTAGTAGAGCCTAGATAAGCCCTACCATCGTAGCCTAGAGGTAGCTAGAGGGTATGTCGATCCTCCGGTTACTGCTAGAGACTCTATATCCGTAGTCTTAACCCGTTATCTTACGTTACGGGAAGAGTTTAGTCCTACCTTGTCTACCGATATTGGTAGTTAGTATCCTCTATACGCCCGGTCGCTCTTAGCCTTTACTACCCTTATAACGGCGGTTTAGTATATTCCGGTATAGTTAGTAGGTCTATTAACCCTAGCCTTCGTCCGAAGGCCTCTAGTTTCCTACTAGATAGGTTCTCTCTTACTTCTACTACTCCCCTCTATATCCTCGTTCGAGCTCCGACAGCACATCTACGACTACGTCTGTCACCTACCACCAGCCGTTGAGCTACACGCCAGAATGAACAAG